CCAACCCCAACCCCAACCCCAACCCCAACCCCAACCCCAACCCCAACCCCAACCCCAACCCCAACCCCAACCCCAACCCCAACCCCAACCCCAACCCCAACCCCCCAACCCCAACCCCAACCCCAACCCCAACCCCAACCCCAACCCCAACCCCAACCCCAACCCCAACCCCAACCCCAACCCCAACCCCAACCCCAACCCCAACCCCAACCCCAACCCCATATTTAAAAACTTATTCAAATAATTTAACTTAAAAAGAATTTTATAATTTAATTTTTTACTTCTTTATTTAAAAAAAAATTATCAATAGTCTACTAAATTATTTGAAAAATCTAAATCTTAATTTAAATTAAATTTACTGAATAATTTATTAAAATTAGAAATGCTTAAAAATAGATTGACTAAAATAATAAATGATATATATAATAATTTTTCTTTATTAATCGTACCAATTTATGCTAAATTATTTCTGTTATTTTTTTGATTTGAAGAGCAGATATAAAAAATAGAAAGAATTCTAATTAAAATAGATATATAAATAATATTTTATAGTAATATGATAAATTATATTCAATTTTAGATTGAACATATTTATATATTAAATTTTAAATGTTTGGCGTAAAAGAGGTCTTTTAATTATCCTAACACCAATACTTAATTATTATTTTATTACATAAAGATATTTTTAGCGCCAAATTCACATTATTTGTGATATTCATTAAGGAATAAAAGAAAATAGATAATAGGTTAGGAAATATGAGTAAAGCATCATAAAAGAATACAACGTAATAAACGCTTTTTAATACTCTGAACAATAAAAATAAGAAGTAATAATTGGAAGATTCAGCTGATGAGAGCAAAAATGAAAGCTCTCCATTGCAATTAAGAAAATCTAGTAGAATATAATAATAAAGGATAATATAAGAGTAGCAATCAATAGCTCCATAAAAGAAATAATCTGCTAAAATTAATTCCAAATAAAAATTAAACAACTAAAAAACTTAAGGTAGCTCTCAAACTACACTGAACTACTTACGCAAAGACAGTAATAATCTACAAACACCGTAAATATAGTCATAAAGTTTATCTTAAGATATATCTTCAATATAGTCTACCATTCCTTCTCCAAGTATTAATATCCCTAAAAAATAAAACTAGTAGCTATTTCAAAAAGTTATATCTGATATCAATTATGAATTGATAGTTTAAAAAATAGAAAAATTTTAGCCATTTATATCTTCTCTCGTCAGCAATATCACAAATTATATGAAGGAATAAAAAAATGAAAAATAGCAAAAATTAGAAATTAACGTTGATAAAATTGAGAAGATGATCAAATATATATTATTTCGTTTTATTACATCTTCACCCTTTTCTATGTGGAGTAACTTATATAGTCCTCAAAGAGTATCTCAAGTAAGACAGTTATTTTAGTTCATATATTGATTTGGCTAATTTAAAATATAAAATGTATTACTAGTACATATAATAGTGGATTGATAAATTTTTTTAAATTTATAGATTTTATATTAATATTTTTTTTTAATTTTAATATTTTATAAAATAGTTAATAGAAGAATCTAATGGATAATTAATTTAGTTATGGATTAGGAAGTATTATAAAGGTATTAAAGATAAATAAAAGGGGGAGTCACTATTTGGTTATGTTGATTCTGATGATGACTTTTCTGAATACTTTGATAATACCTCAAATAATAGTAATATGAATGAAGAATATACAAAACTGTTGAATAGTAATGCCTGCAAAAATTGGAAAAATAAAGGAAATATTTTAATATTAAATGGTAGAGAAGGATGTGGTAAAACAACTGCTTTAAAGGCAGCAATTAAGTCACTTAAAATGCAAGTAAGTGAAATAAATTTAAAAAATTGACAATAATTAAATTTGAATTAAAATATAGATTATAGAAATTAATAACAGCATGAAAAGAGGAGGTACAGATCTTAAAAAAATCACTGAAATTACTTAAAGCTGCGTTTTATAAAATGGCTCTTCTACAAATAATGAAAAGCAATAAAATTAAAATAAAAAAGGAACGTTGAATTCTTTTTTTGTTCCTATTAAAAAAATACACTCTTAAAATACTTAAGAAAGTGATTAACAAGATTAAATTAATATTGATGCTAAAGATTCAAGTAAAAAAGTGATATACTTTAGAAATTTTGATATTCAGCTTGATACTTTATTTTAAAATGAAGTTTTAAAGTTATCAGAAAACTCTAAAGTTCCCTTTATATTATCAATTAATTAAGGTAAAGATTATTTTTTTATATTTATTATTAAATACTGCATTTCCTCCTTTTTGCAACAAAAAAAAAATAAATTTTATATTTTTAATAAAAAAAAAGATAATGAATAAAATTTAAAGGGAATTAGTCTTCAGGACAAAGATATTGTTTAGTTTTAGCCTATATCATATGAATAAATTACTATCTTTTTATACATTATATTTGAAGTTGAAAGAAATTATAGAAAATACCATTTTATGAATCCCTTATATATTGCAAATTTAGTCAAAGAAGATAATGAAAATCTTTAAGATTCTGAAATGTAAAAAGAGTAAAAAGAATCAAAGGAGGATATCTTACTCTAAAGCGAGGAATTCAATACTTTTATGATAAATTTTCCCTCTGATGTTTATTCTGAAAAATAACACATAAATACAATTAGTAAGTTAGTTCATATGTTTAATGGAGATTTGCAGACATGTCTTTCTTTTGTTTAAGATAACATTAAAATTATATCTTAACGTTCTGAATTTGCTACTATTTCTAAATCGATTGATTACAACTAATTGAGAAACATAAAGTTAAATAACCTAAATTAAATATTTTTAACTGATATTCCTATTTAAGAAATAAGTAAATAACTAATTTATGAAGTGAATAATTTTGAATCTTAAATTATATTTTATAATATTTAGATGATACGTTTAAATTTAACACAGAAAATACCTATCAGATATTTCTAAACTCTTCACATATTCCTTGTTCTGACTACTCAGAGTAGCAGTTGGAGGATAGTTTTGAAATAAGAGAATTATAAAATCATTTAATGAACTTAGAAAACGTTTAAGCCTTAGATTTACTAAATGTAAGTATTAATTTTGTATTACATACATATTTTAATGTTGATTTATAAATTAGAGTAAGTTAGAGAATGAGAAATTAAATAGAAAAATATTCAAAGAAAGTTTGAATACAAAAGATTCAGAATAAGAATTATTTTACAACAAAGAAAAAAAGATAGGAATAGAAAAATTTTGTTACAAAATCAGCTAATTAAAAGATGATATAAACTTAGAATTGCAAACTCTTTGCAAAAATATTAACTCTAATTATCCAAAAAATTAGCAAAAACAAGCAGACAATAATAAAAACATAGATTTGATTGTAGTCTCTAATTTTTTATAAAATAATCTAAAGTAATAAATTAATTTTTCTTAATAAAAATGTGAATTATTTTTAATTTTAACTAATAGCTAAACAGTAAACGACCTTTAAGATAATATATTTTATCAATAATATAAAAACTACAATGTTTGCACTGATAAAGCTGAAAAATCTGATAAATTTTATATTAAAAAGTCTCTTATAAAATAATACTTTCAAATAATTCCAGTAATTTTTTAAAACAATTTTTTATTTTCTTATAAATATTTTTATTTTAAGGTATTAGACACTATAAAAACAAACTATAATATAAGTTCTAAAAGAACAAGATCATAATATAATAAAACTTAAAAAGATATCGCAACAAACCCATTATCAATAGTTGAATAAACAATTAGCAAAAGCTCGTATGCTCAATTTAAATTACTACTTAGTTAATTTAATCTTAGAAAGCAAAACAGTTTTTCATAAAACTATCAAAAAGATAATCAAAACATATAAAATATTAGTAATACTCTAAATGTACTCTCATTACAGATTTCTCAGTAAAGTGATTCCTCATAATCAAGTTTAGAAAATGAAGAAAATATATAAGTTAATGAAGAGAAATCAATTATTCACTAAAAAAAAACTGAGAATATAGAAGATCAGAACAAATACGATTAGCAACAAATTTAAGATTTAAGTTATACTGATTAAAAATATTAATAAACAGAGTAATAAAAATTAGAAGAACAAAATTAAATAACTACGTTTTAGAAATATCCAAACATAAATATTATTGAAAATAAAGATAATTTAAAAGATAAAGAAATGGAAGTCGAATATTATGACAATTAAAATGAAAGTTTAAAATAAGATTCTGAAAATGTAGACCCAAATATAAATTCATAAAATTTAATAAATGAAAGAGATTCAAAATAAAAACTCATAAATGATTAAAATTTTTAGTATCAGCAAAATTAAGTTTCTTAAATTGCTTATTAAGTTTGAAAGTCTTAAAAAATAGTAAAATTAATATTTAAATAAGAAAAATAAATAAATAGCTTCATCTATTTCTTTATCTCCTATATAAAAGCAAATAGAATATTTAAAATTGTAAATAATATTTTAAACTCGTGTTATAACTGACTCTTTGTTAATAATTTCAAATTAAATAAATATACTGTTTTAATTTTTAAATTAAAACTTATTTAATCGTGTTTTTTATTTATCAGCATTCTTAATTTTCTTAAACAATGTCTATTCGATTTAATTTTTAAAAAATTGTTTATTTTAATTTACATTTTTTAAAGAAAAAGTTAAGTTTGTCATTGATTTTTTCAAAATAATTTATTTAACGTTAAAAATAAATATTATTAATTTAAAACATTTAATTAAATAAGCTTTTATTTTAGTAATTTGTTTTCAATTATTAATAATTTACTAAATTTAATTTCAAATTTTAGGTAGTTATAGAATTTTTTATTATTTTTAACAATATTTAAATTTTTGAATAATTAATTTTTATAATAAATTTAATAATTTGATATAATTTATTTTTTATAATGATTTACCAAATTAAATTATTAAATTTAAGTAATAACAAATAATAAATAAATAAATAATTTCTATAAATTTTTAATTAAATAATTTTAATGAAGACTTTTTAAAATTTGAAATCAAATTTATTTTCTTAATTTTTAATTTTTTATTAATAAATTAATTATCGTTATAATTATAAAAGTAGATAATTAATTTCAAAAAAAAAATAATTAAATTAAAGAGTTTTAAATAAATTAGAAACTTAATTTATTTTGATTAAATTAATCATTTATCAAATTTATTACAAATTTAAGTATCTTTTCTAATTAATTTTAAGAATAATTTTAAAATTTAATTGATGGATTTTTATTTAATTGAATGATAATTTATTTTCTTTAATTATAAATGAATCTAATCTCAATTTTAAAAAATTATTGTTTTAAACATAAAATTATTTAACTTTCTCTAATTAATAACTCAATTTTCAAATAAGTCTTCTATATTAAAAGATACCTTATAAAAAATAGTTAAAAAATTAATTTTAGGTTTTAGTAAGTTTAAATATAGACTTCCCTTTTATTTAAATAATAGCTTAATTACTTCTAATAATAATTATTTCATTTTTTAAAATCATTTCTTTTTTTTACTTTTATTATAAAATAAAATATATTAGATAAATAAAGTCCGAATTCAGCCAATTTCAAATTTTAAAAAATTAAAAATAAAAAAAACCATCCTATATATAGGTAATTCTATTATAAATAAAAATAAAGACCCATTCAGAAATCATTTAGGGTGTGAATTCAATCCAAAAAATTAAAATCTCAAAATTAATAAAAAATTCAAAATTAATAAAAATATATAATATATTAATAAAAAAAATTATAATATCTCTCTGATATCAAAATCAGACTATATATCTCTCTACTCTGTAAAATAGAAGTGAATAATTTATTTTTACTTATAAAGTATTAAAAAAATCAAAATATAAAAACTAAAAATCAGCAACATTGAAAAAATGAACAAAGATAATAATTCTAAAATTTAGCAAACTTTTGATTAATTTTAATGTGATCTAAGTGAAGTATTGTTCCGGATGGACCATTTTTATATTTAACATTGCAATTATTTTAAATTTACAGAACTATAAATTGGAAATATTATAAACAATCATGAATATTAACAATTTTTCGTAAAAGTAACATCAATAGTGTAGTAGGCCAAAATTATCAAATCAACTATCGAGACAAATAATAAATAATAAAATATATTGTTTTCACATATATATACAAGAGAATTACTCATTCCAAGATTTTTTGATTTATTATTTTAATTTAAATTAACTCTACCTGTTTTAAAAAACATTAAAGAATTTTTAATATTGTTTCTAGATATTATATTATGTAATAAAGATGATGTTGAAGATGGTGAATTTGAATAAATTTTTGATGAATACTAAAATTGCTTAGAATAGTTATAAACTATAAAACTTGAAGAAGTTTAAGAGTAAGATTTAAATAGACTCTAAAAAAAATGTGTTGAGTACATACATACATTAACCAGAAATTAACTCTAAATATGAATAATCTTTAGTAGATGTTTAATAACAAAAATAAAATATGAAATTTAATTAAAGTTGTAGACAGGATGAATAAATATAAAGTTCAGAATGTGCTTTCAAAAATTAATAAATTTAGATAATCGATCATTCTATGTATTAAAATTAATAACAACAATTTTAGGAGAAGCAAATTCATTTAAAGTAAGATTTACTATTTGTTATCCTTTTTCATTTATTTTAATTTTTATTAAAATAAAATTTTTAGATATCCAAATGGCAACACTCAAGACTAATAAAATTTTTAAGAAATTATATAATGAATATTTATAAAATTTGATGTCATTAATATGTGTTGTTTGTTTTTTTATAATGTTTAGATAAATATATTTTATTATTTTCAACATATTTACATTGAAATTTTAATTATATGAATAATAAAATATTATTAACACACAAATAATTTTATAAAATATATATTAATATATAATTATTTTTATATTTTTATATATACTTTTATTTATCTTCTATCATACAAATATATGTTATTGTTTTCAACCTATATATACAATAATTTGTCATACAAATATATGTTATTGTTTTAAACCTATAAATACAATAATTTGATGTTATAACTTTTATATATGTTCTTTATCTTCTATTAAAAAAAAATAAGTTGTTTTCATTGATAAAGAGCTCTGAACATTAATAAAAAACAATCATTAATGTATAATTTGTACTAACTAAAAACTAATGATAAATGCAATATTTACACTAATTCTAAATACCATTAAAAGCATTATTTGTCCTAATCAAAACTATTGTTAAATGCAATATCTATTCTAATTAATAAGTATTATATATAAATTAAATCATAATAATAAAATATCAATCAATTAAATATCAATAATAAGATATTTATCAAATTAAACAACATTTGCAAAATATTTATCAAATTAAGTCATAATTTTTACATTAATCACAACAATCAATGAATCACACTAATAAAATACTGATCAATAAAAAAATAAAATATTTATCAAATTAAATCATAATTAATCTTCATATTAATCGCATTTATTTAATTAAATCACAATCTATATATTAATCGTATTTATTAAATTAAATCACAAACTTTATATTAATCACAATAATCAATAAATCACAATAATAAAATATTTATCAAATTAAATCGCAAATCTTTATATTAATCAATTAAATCGTTATAATAAGATATTTATCAAATTAGATCACAATCTTCATATTAATCACATTTATTAAATTAAATCACAATAATAAAATATCAATCAATAAAAAAACAATAATAAGATATTTATCATTATTCAAAATAGTAATTTATTTCCTAGAATTTTGTAGATTAGTGACTTATTTTGGATTTTAGGTTTTATAAAATAACAATTTATGACTAAAATTTAATTGAAAGATATTTGATAAGTTTATTACGGTTTAAAAATTTCTTGAAATTCAATTTAAAAAATCGTTTTAATATTGTTGATATGTTTAAATCTTAACTAAGTTTTAATCTTAAAACAGAAAGTAAATATAGCATGACTTAAAAAATATATATTTTTATGGCATAATGATAAGTTAGTATTTAAAATATTTATAAAAATAGAAAAAATTTTTTTGAAAAACAAATGAGATAATTGAAAATTTAAATAATAATTAATTTATTATGAGCAAATCAATCTATTCATTTTGAATTATTATTCAAAATAAATAAAATAAAAAACTTGAAATAATTCTTAGATTTCATTTCAATTAATCCATATTAGCTCCACAAGCTCTCTATCTATCTATTTATCTTTCTTTCTTGGTTTAATTTTTTTTATTTATTTTGTTTGATGTTTATTTATTTTAATTAAATCAAAATCAAAAAAAAAAAGAAACTACTTTTAAGATAATTGTCCAATCAATATAATAATAACAAAAAAGTATAATTTGTTAATTAAATTAAATAAATATTGTAAAATAAATACAAATAGATATATAGAGATGCCTCCAAAATAAACAAAAGTTGTAGCCAGCCGTAAGACTGTTATGCCTATTAGTAGAGCAGGCAGAGCTTAAATCCGTAGAAAGGATTCTAACACTCAAAATAATATGAATGACTAAGGTATGGAAGATGAGGAAATCGATCAACAAAGAGAGGTATATAATATATTAAATTCACTCGTAAATTAGATGTCCTCAACAAACAAAACAAATAATACTCTAATTTAAACAAAAATATTTTAAATATTCTATTTTTGTCTAGCAAAATTTAGAATTGAGCTAGTGTAAAATAAATAAAAAAATGCTAGGGAAAGGCATTAAATATTGAGGATATTTAAACGAAGATACTACAGTTTAGTTATTAATTTAACTAAATTATTTATTTAATGAACTAAAGGGAATGAAGAACCAATACGAACAATTAACTGCCCAAGAATTAAATGAAGATATGCCTTCAAAAATGTTAGAGCCAAAGAACCCTCAAGCTCCTAAAAATATCACTGTTTATGACTATTATACTCGTAAATTTAAGACTGATGAGTTAGTCGATTAAATGATTGTTCATTTTTCTATGGATGGTGATTATATTTGGAAGGAATCAAATGAATACAAAACTTAAGAAGAAATTCGTGATACAAAGAAAGCTTTGATCAAGGAAGCAATGCGTAAATAAGAAAGTGAAGAACCTGGTGCAAACCATGATGAAGAAGCAATTAAATAAACTCTAAGAAACAAATTTAATTACAATACACGTGAATGTTAAACAATTAATCCTTCAATAAGAGAGCGTGGAGTTTCTACCGAACCTCCACCATCTGATACAATCTGTGGCAATATTACTCAATGGGAAATTTTTGATGCTTATTATGCAGAAATTATGAAGGTAAAATAACTTATTCTAAAATAGGCATATATTTTGCTTTTGAAGTAAGCTCAATCAAATTTTAATATCTTTGCAACGAAGATTTTACCTTCCGTTGCAAAGCAAGTGATTGAGCAAATGATCAAGCAATTAAGCTATATAAAATCAAAATTAGAAGTTACAATTCAATTTATTAGAAGAATGCAAGCAAATCTTTTTATTTTTCAAAATTGATTTTAAAAAACTAAAAAAAATAAAAATTTTAAAAGATTTAAAACAAAAAAGTTACATTTATTTAAAGTTTCTTAAATTTTTCAACTAATATTACTTAGTAGTTTATAATTAAATTGGATAAACTGATATTATTATCATTAAAAATATTTAAAATTTCAAAATATTAACATTTTTTAAGGAAAATTTGTATCAAAAATAAAATTATTTTTTAGAAAATAAAAACTCATACATATTAAATTTGATTATATTTCCATTACATAGCATTAAAAATATTATAATAATTTCAATAAGGATTTTACAATTATATTAAATACAAATTTTATATTTATGTAATCAAATAGGACCATCAAATTGAAAATAAAAAGAAGAAAGAGGTTGATTAGGATAAGAAGCAAGATTAGTAAATAATTATTATTTAGTATAACTTTGATTTATATAATTATTTTTGTTTTATTTAAAATTAGATCTATGTACTCAACTTCGTTCAAAAGATGTTGCAAAATTATGGAACGTATGGTTGTATAAAACGATTAGGAAGATAAGTATCATGATTATCGTTATTATTGGAGTTAAGGCGACAACCTAGAAGCTGGTAAAAATGAAGGTAATATATACTTTTAAAAAATGAATTAAGAAAAAACTAAGATTTTAATTTAAAAATAATATAAAAAAGGTCATTTATTACCTATTTGGAGATTTAGTAATGAAAAGCAAAGAAAGAAAAATGTTACTAGTATTTGTTGGAACCCATTATATCCAGATTTATTCGCAGTTAGTTTGGGTAGTTATGACTTTACTAAATAGCGTATGGGTTTAATTTGCTTATATTCTTTAAAAAACACCACACATCCAGAATATGCCTTCAACTGTGAAGCTGGTGTTATGTGTTTAGATTTCCATCCTAAAAGTGCTGCCCTTCTTGCTGTCGGTTTGTATGATGGTACTGTGTTAGTTTACGATATCCGTAACAAACACAAGAAACCTATTTATTAATCAACTGTACGTAATTAAAAGCACACAGATCCTGTCTGGCAAGTTAAATGGAATCCAGATACTTCCAAAAATTATAATTTTTATTCCATTTCTAGTGATGGTAGAGTCATGAATTGGATTCTTATGAAAAATAAGTTAGAACCTGAAGAAGTTATTTTACTTCGTCTTGTAGGTAAGAATGAAGAGGAATCAACTTTAATCGGTTTAGCTTGTGGTCTCTGCTTTGATTTCAATAAATTTGAACCTCATATCTTCCTTGTAGGTACAGAAGAAGGTAAAATTCATAAGTGTTCTCGTGCTTACTCTGGCTAGTATTAAGAAACCTACAACGGCCATCTTCTTGCCGTCTACAAAGTTAAGTGGAATAACTTCCATCCTAGAACTTTCATTTCTGGTAATATTATTTACTATTTATTTCACATCAAAAAATAAAATAAAAACAAATAAGAATTGTTAAGAGTGAAAATTAAACTATTTTTTAATCTAAAATAGCTTCTGCTGATTGGACTGTAAGAATTTGGGATAGTAAATACACTTCATAGATTATTTGTTTTGATTTATCTATGATGGTAGTCGATGCTGTCTGGGCTCCTTACTCATCAACTGGTAAATAATTCAAAAATAAATCATAAAAATATAATTTGCTTATTAATAATAATAATAAATACAGTCTTTGCATGTGCTACTATGGACAAAGTTCAAGTTTATGATTTGAACGTAGATAAACTCAATAAATTGGCAGAACAAAAGATTGTTAAATAACCTAAGTTAACTAACTTGTCTTTCAATTATAAAGATCCTATCTTGTTAGTTGGTGATTCTCACGGTGGTGTTACTCTTGTCAAGCTCTCCCCTAATCTTTGCAAAAGTATTTAGCTTTATTATATTAAATGTAGCAATTTAAAAATTTTTTTAATTTAGGTGGACCTGAAATTAAATAAACTGAAGATAAAAAAGCAATGGAAGAATTTAAAAATGTAAAAATAGAGGATTACGAAAGAGAAAAGATGGAAAATCTTCTCGCTGTAGTTAGTAAATGGGAAAGGGAAGATGCTTGATCTCTCTTTAATGTCTGTCTGTCTAATTTTTGTTTAATTTGGAAAGCAAATTTATACATAAAATATTTTATTCAATAAAATTCTAAATTATACTACAAATCAAATCATACAATCTTCATGTTTATTGTTTATAAAATTTAAAGTAAATAATCTTCTGTTTCCATTATTTATTTATTTCTACAATAAACTTCAAATTTTTTATTTAATTTGCATAATTTTGTGCACTTTTAAGCAAAAAGTGTATTAAATAAATAAAAATACACAAAGAGTTGCAATAATTAACATTTAAATTTTTTAATTAAAACTTAAAATTGGTTTTAAAAATATTTTATAATAGATAAATTTTATGCGATTTAAATAAAACTTAAATTATTTATGTGAGTGATTGTGTAAATTGCATGCTTTTTGTTTCTTTTTAAAAAGGCTAAACTTAAAACTAAAATTATTTGACTTCATTTAAGAATAAATTTTTATCTTAAATAATTAATTATTTGCTTGAGCATAAATTTTGTTTGGTAGTTCTTTTACATTTTATTCATTTATATATAAAGATAACAACAACATATTTATTTTAACTTGATGAAAAAAAAAAAATATTCACATTAATAAATTGATATAGAGAGTTCGTTTGAAGAATTTTGTATTTGATTTTGGTATTTAAATAATTTAGTGAGGACCATATATATAAACTGAACAGGAATCTTATTTATATATACATTTTCCTAAATTGTATAATATAATTCTTATGGATTTATCAATTTTATAAAGTAAATTAATTCAATCAGTTCTTCTTAGCCTTAGATTCAGCCTTGAGGTTAGCTTGAGCTCTGACATTAGCTCTGTGGAAGTTAACGAGCTTCTTAAGAGCGAATTGCTTAAGACCCTTAGATTGGAATCTACCTCTAATAACCTATTATTTAAGAAATTAAGTTAAAATTAGTTTATTTTGATTTATTTGCAAATGTTATTCTTATCATTTATAAGGAAGTAAAAAAAAATACTATCGTGTTTGTTTTTCGTAAAATAAATTTATTTTTAATATCAACTTATCCGATAGAAATATAAAAATTTTGTTGTAAAAACAGCTTATCAAATAATAAAAAAAAAAAATAAATTTCTATTATTTTAATTTATGGAGCTGAATTTTCACATCTTAAATGTTTTTTTAAAGGAATAAATTCTAATTCATTTTTTAGCATGGGTGAGTGTTTAATCCGTTCTAACTACTTTCCATTTAGTTTAATTAATATTCATATTACATACAGCTAATTGATTTCTTATTATCAAAATTTTTACTTAAAAGAGTTAATTTTATTTTTGTTTCATAATTCTTTTAGTTTTTTACTATAGATGATCTAAAAAAATAAATATTGCTGCTATCTTCCAAATAATTCTTTGATATTTTTTATTTAATGTTATTAGTATTTCTCTTCAAGATTTTCTCACTCTTCCATAATTATTTTTACAATTTTCATATTTTCAACTTTTAGGCCAAAAAATATGTTAATTTGTTTGTTTCTTTCTTTGTTTTATTTTCATCTTTCATAAGTTTACTTCCTTATCAAAACTTTATCTAATATGCAATTATTTTTTACCTTAGCAACTCTTTAAACACCACCCTTAACGGTAAGAGTTTCAGCTTCAATGGTACCAGTCTTCTTGACCTTGTGAGATTGGTTCTTTCTGAGGGAAGTAGCAATAGCTTGCTTGGCACCACCCTTCAAGGCGACACCGTGTCTGTGGGTGAAACCTTTTTTATTTGAAAAATTGTATTAGGAATTTTGAAAATTAATTTTTTTGTCTCTCTAATCAATATTGATTATATATTCTATCCAAATATAAAACTACGAACGCATTTCAATACACTCAATCATATTTTATTCCTTCGGAAAAAATGAATTACTCTCACTAAAAAATAATATATTGTCTTTTGATAAACCTTTATAGTTAGCCTTAAAATACCTATATTGAGTTTATTTTAATGACATCTTTCTAAACGCTTAAAATGTAATGCAATTTTTGATCAATTGCATTTATTCTTTGTTTATTTATTAGGAGTGTTGTGAAAAAGAATTTTAGTTAGTTAAAATGCATGTCCGCTCATTGGAAGAAAGATAACTAATCGCATCTAATTAGAAAAGTAAGATGAAAAAAATGCAAATTCTGCTTACCAAGACCGACTTGAGTGTTTCTACCAGTGACAGAGAAGGGGTCAGTGGTGAAAGCAACACCGTTGTTCTTAACTAAGAAAGCGTTGTTGTTCTTGACGATTTCCCAAACTAATTAAGACATTTTTATTGATATTTGAGGTGCTAAATATATTTAGTTTTTTTTCTTTTTTTTAATTTGATTTCTTTTTTTCTATCTATTAAGTGTTTATTAATTTATCCACTCAAAGTAATACCAAATCTTTCTCCCTTGTTAATTATGTATGTGATTCATTCATACCATTTCTCTTTTATTTTTTGTGCTTTTAGATTGATCACTTTCATTCATTATATATCCCTTATTCAACTCATTTATCTTTAATATTACTAAATTCATTTATGCAATTTACAAGCATGCATGGCAATATATTGCTATCTCTTTCCCTTATATTTTGGAAGACTTTCATGAAGATTATTTCTTATATATCTTCTCCTTTCTACTTTTATTTTCAATTCATCTTAATTATATTATATATACTATCTAACTTTTAAGCTTTGAAAGCAAGCATTCATTTATCTTCTTTAGATTATCTCATTTCCTTTTGAGTAGTTTATTTAATCTTCAGTATATTTGCACCTTTTTATGTTTTATTGTACAAAATCTAATGTTTAAAATAAAATTTTCTACAAAATAATTTAATTATTTTAAAATTATATTAATAAAATAAACTAATTATCTTTTATTTACCCAACCCAAGTAAACTTATAAACAAAATTAATTTTAAAATATAATCGATAACCTTTTAAATTAAAATCACCATAGATCAATCATTAAAAAAATATATTCTTTTCAAATTACTATTGATAAAATAATTTTATTTGCTATTAATATTATTAAAAAAACGTAAAAAAATTAATTATGGAATTTAAATTTAGACTTTTTCATAAAAATATTGAGATTAATGTAAAAGAATTAAAATTTAAAAAAAATGTAAAACTATCAAGTTTAATATTAAAAATTAGAATAAATAAGCTTTATATCATTGTATTAAACAAAAAACTTATTAATTAATAAAAATAAAGTTAATTTCTTTTATTTTTATTTTGTTTAAACCTTAAAGAAGCAAAATATTTAGATTTATTTATTATAAATAAATAGATGTAAAAGTTGATAATACATTTTTTAAATCTCAAAATATAATGAAAATATTTAAATATTTATTCAATTTTAATTAAATTGAATAGATATAAAGTAATTTCTAATTATTTGCTAAGAGTTGAATAAACAATACAATTATGTAATTTCAAATCTTAATTTCTAAATTTTTAAATGCAATTAAGCATATAATACCATTTAAAAATCAAATATAAAAGATAAAAATATTCAGAAAAAGTCTTCAGTGTATATGTAAATAAATTAAATACATTAAAATTTTAATCTAAAAAATTTGTTACTTTTAAAAATATGATTTAAGTAAAATATATTATTTAATTATTTAACAAAGAATTTGAAGAATGGAAGTAACTCAAAAATAAATAATCAAATTTTTAGATTTATTTTGAAATTGATGTATAATTTAATCATATTTTTTAATCAATTAATATAAAAAAACCAATATACAGTAAGTCCTCATTAATTCTCACCCCTTTAAACTTTCAACATTTTTCCGAAATTTAGACACCATTTTATACTTAAAATTATGGAGGAGTTGGTGAGAATTAATGAGGATTTATGGTAATAAATATTATAAATTAAGATCATATATAACTTAAGAAATTTAATCATTATAAAATCTTAAGTTACAGAAAAAATTGTAGAAAGTTTATTTATTGATTTAAATAAATAAATAAAAAATATTTAAATGATAAATTTAAATTTAGGTAAGAAAGATAGAAGATAATGGGTATTAATATTTTATTTTATAGATTAAAACAATAAATCTAAAATATATCAAATAAATACGTAATACAGTAATACAAAGTTTAGAATATATTAGATTTTTCAAATTTTATTTGTGAACTTTCTAAAGCTAGTAAATCTAATTAATTTAACATTTTAGTTGTAGAAATCTCGAGCTTAAAGATTGATTTTAGAATTTATTTCGATTTTAAAAGATGACTTTATATAGATAGAATTATTTTAATATTTTTCAATAAAAAAACTTGAAAGAGCTCACTTTTCTGTGAGTTCTCTAAATCCTTTCCAATCTTAAGGAGCTTGGAAGCCATAACCTCCCATAACTTCTAAGATTGTTCTAGTTGGACCATCATCTGGACACATTTTTAAGCCAGCATTTAATATGTTCTTTGATTAATCCCAGTGACCATCTAAATACTTTTAAAATCCTTAAGCAAAGTTATCTTAAAATTATTGATTCCTTGTTTCAAATAATAGATATAAATCTTTGGTTTCTTGAATGAAAGCATCTGCATTCCAAGGTTCTTAGTTTGAAATTGCTTGTTCCATTATATCTTTCATCTCTTCTTTCTTAATTTGATTCATGTTATGCTATTTTAATTATGATGAAAATAAAATTTTAGCTTTATAAAAATCTCAACAAATAATTAATACTATATCGTGTTTAGTTAGATTAGGGTCTACTTCTTTTTTTGGAGGCATACTATCTACATCCATATCAACAGTAAAGAGACCAATAGGACGAATTGAACCTTTAACTGTAACTCTGTCAATATATCTAGTATAAGTTTTCATTTCAGGAGTGAAGTAGGATTATAAATCAGATGAAATGAGAAGAGGAACACCATATTATTTAGTAGCAGCTTCTAAACGAGCAGCCATGTTGACGTTAGGACTAAGATAAGAAGCATCTATCTTAAACTCTGAACCGATAGCTCCCTCTATACCCCAACCTATATGAAGACCGAAACCCATTTTGACTTTGTAATTTTCAATTCTATCCTAAAGACGCTTATCTTGACGATAGGCAAGAATTTTTGGAACTCTATTTATTTATGATTGTATTCTCAAAAAGGCTAAGCAAGCATAGTCACTTAATATTGATATATATTATTCATCTGAGAAAGTAATCTCATTTGTTTCATCGTTAATGGAATATTTTTATTCATTAATTCTCCAGACAAGTAAGAAAGCATCACCAATATTCTTATTAGCGGCACCTAAGAATCTATCAGTGATTGTATGAACTATGTCACCAATATTATTCACAAAGAGCATGACATCTTCCTATAATTATTAAATTTAATGAATTTTCTCAGTTTAGTCAATGAAAGTTTATTATAATTTGAATTTATAATATATTATAGCTAAGGATTGTGAGAAGAAGAAAAAATTAATGCTTTTTACTTAAAGAACTTCAGTTGCATCAGTAAAGTTTCTAATATCGCAAAAACCATAAATAGCGCACTTCTTTTTACCAGGAATCATAGGATCAACATCACCTTATCTACCCATATTAATTGCAATAATTTCAGAACCTATTTATTTTGATTAGATGTGTAAAATAAATATATTCAAATACTTAAATTCAATTAACAAATAAATAAATAAATACCTGCTTCACCAAAGCCAAGAGCGAGCAGTGTTCCTATTTTCACAATGGCATTTTCTATGATAACTGTTTCATATTGTTCTTTATTTTCTTCATCACTAATAAGCTTTTGATCTTTTGAAGACAGAGGATCATTAGCTATAGCAATAACTTTATCTCTCATACGCTCGATAGGACCTAGAGCCAAATCACTAGCATCTTTAGAAAAGAGAATAGCACCAGCTGTTAAAACTACGCAAACAAAAATTGTATTACAAAATGATAAGGCAGAAGAAATGATTTAAGTTTATCTCAAAGACATGACACCTACAAGATTTAAAGCTCCATCTGATTTAAGTTTCGAAGTGAGCTAATCTTTTATATCTTATGGAGCATCAGAATGATATTAAAGAAAGGTATCATGATCGAATGAATAAACAGCTCCTAATTTCTCATCGAAACGTAAGTTATCATAATCGCTATCTTTAAACTATATACCGTATGAGTCAGGGAAGGGTGTTTAAAAGTATGAAAGCACTGCTGGGACAACATTAAACATATTTATGATATATTACATTTGGTTTTATATATCTAAAATAGTAGATTATGTCTCGCATACCATTTTCATTTATTTTACTGATATATCAATAGGAGAAGGTGGATCAAAATAGTAATCGACAGAGAATAAAGGCATGATGAATACAAGAACTAAAACTAAAATGATAACTCTTTTAGTAGTTATATCTGTCAAAATTCTAGATACTTTTGATTCTTTTGGAGGATTAAATCCCTAAATAAAATTTTTTATAACAAGATTTACTTATTTATTTGATTGACTCATTCATTATTGATTCGAAATCACATGATATCATATATCAAATATTTAATAAATAATTTAATTTACTTTTTATTATTAAATTTATGAGTCTTTTGTTGTTGAGGTTTGAACTTGTGACTTGCTTGCCTCTTTAGTTAAATATAAAAATTCAGTTTTTTAATATTTTATTTTGATAAATTTTACCATCTTAACCATCATTGAATTGGCCACTTGATTCATTTGGGCCTTTTGAATCAGATTGTCCCTTTGAATCTACAGCTCCTTTGGAATCAATAGGGCCAGGATGTACTTTCTTTTTCATCTTTCTCTTTCTTATTTTTTCCATAAGTTTAAAATTACTTTAGCTTTGATTAGCTTTCTCAGCTAATCTATTTTCATGTTATTATTATGCTGCCTTGTATAGCTTGACAATACGAATTAACCTAACAAGCCTGACAACTCTACCAGCTCTATAAATTTTAAATAAAAATTATTAATATAAAAATAATCAATTTGTTTATTTATTACTTTGAACCAACTCTTGAAGCTTAACCTGCTTTTTAGACACCTCCAATTTATCCTGATCCAGAATTAAATATTACATTATTGAGCATATTAATATCAAGAAGCATAGATACTGTCGAAAGAATATCTAACCAGAAAAAGAATGAGAAAGTGTAGCCTTCTTTCTCAACCATACTCATAATAATTTCAGCAACAAAAGTACATATGACAATGATGGTACATATATCAAAACCCAAATCAGCATCTTTCCTTGTTGTCATGACTCTTATATCATCAGCAAATAAAGAGTACACAGTAAAGACATTTACAATAATTTAAAATATACTGCTATCCAAAATAATTTTGAATATTTTAACTTTATATTTTTTCTGCTTATGTGCTTCATCTTCCTCATCCTTGAAAATTGATAAATTTTTAGAATCACCTTAATTTGAGTTTGAATCGCTTCTGTTAGATTCTTTTTATGCCTCGATACCTATCTAGGAAATTCTAGGATTCACTTTTTTTGTAAGCTCCCTATTAAAATTATGCATATTTATCAAATTTAATTATCTTTAAAAATTAAAATGGGTCAATTAATTATTAATGAAAATTTATCAATAAAAACAAGATTTTTTATAAAAAGTTATTAATATTAATTTTTTAAAAGTTTGAGCTACATGTAATATCTGTAAAAATTAAATAAATTATTACGTTAAAGCCTCAGTAGCTTCATTTTTAGAGTTAGTGTCAATAGATGTCCTATCTAATGAATATTCATAAAAATAATTAAAAACAATAATAGCTACATCAATTTATAGAATTTTTTTGTTTTTCAAAAGTAACACATATTATTTCAAATTAATTCTTGTTTGTTATCAATCAGTTTTTTAACAAAGGTTTTTTTTAGTGATTCTCACGATTTTAAAAGTAATATTTTTAATGAAATTAGTGAATTTTATAGAAGAACAAAAAAAATAAAATTTTAAAATTACTTTAATTCTTCTTGTCTGAGTCTTATTTAAGTAAGCGATTCTTTTCATCTTCTGCCTTTTAAATATTTAAGATTCAATTAATAAATGAAAATTTTTTAACAGAAATAAAATACTTGCTCATCAGATTGTTGCTACTACTATGATTATTATTATTGCTACTAGAGTATTTTAAATAATAAAGTGATTAGCATTGCTTAAAATAATAGGGAATTAATTGCTGAGAAATAAAATAATTTAATTTCAATTAACTCATTTGGTAACTAAAAAAAAAACCACTATTTTTATTATTGTACTTATCTGACAATAAGAAACGATTTGTTATTCTCAAACCATATTCCTTCTTATATCATTTATAAAAATTATTATTAAATTAAATGCCTAACCTTAATAGGTGGTAGCTCAACTACTGCATGCTAATTTTATTTTTCGTGGTTCATATTAGAAACACTATTTTGTAGCGTATTTATTTCTACCTCTCTTAGTTTTTCTTAAGACATAAACGACTTTAACTCTCAATATTTTAACAACAATCTACAATTTTTCTTCCAGCTTAATGTATTGTTTGCTATTAATTTACCTTTCTCTCTTTGTTTTTATTATTTTAATAACTCTTTTAAGTTAATAACTATTTAATATTTCTTGCACTCTCTCTAGTTTTGATTGATTGTCAGCTAATTTAACTTTTATTAAACAATCAATAGTCCTTATCTCTCTGTATTTTTCTTTAATAACAATAAGGTTTAACTATTAATTTATTCACCTTATCCCATCTCGAGTCACTTGAATTTAATCTCACCTATTGACTTATTTTTTTTATTTATATTTTGTCGTTTATTAATTCTTAAAGTGCAAGCAGAAATGAATCAGTTATTTTCTTAATACATTTTTATTGTTTTTTTTTAGAATTTAGACAAAATAAATTCAAGGCACGATTAATATTTCAAAAATATTGCATTTATTAGATTTTTAAGTTTATTTATATAAAATTTTTTTACAATATTACTGAATGCTTATGCAATTAATTTAAAGGAAAACTGCAATACTATTTTAAACTCTCTAGCTAGCTAAATTTTTTAACTTACTAGACTCATTTTTTATTGCAAAATAATCCATAAGAACCATCCGCTATTTTTATACAATATTTTTTATATCACTCATAGGGAATTAAACTATATTAATCTAACATTTTTTTAATAAAAATACCATAAACAAAAATATTAAAAAAAGTATAAAATATTTTTTATGATAAATTTTCTGTTTATTTTTATAGTATTCTAAACTCAATTTAAAAAATTCACCAATAATATATAATTATTTAAACTAATTAATTTTCTATAATGCATGCCTTCCCTATTTTAATTTTACAAGTAATAATGGAAGGAAAAAAATAATTAATCATCAAAATATTAAAGTAAAATGATTTCTAAAAAAGATAAGTAATATTGTATTCTAAAATTTTTTAAATATTTACAAATTGATGATAAAAACAATTTCAAAACGGATTTTTTAATTAAGAAATTTGCAGATAAAGCTGTCTTGATAAATTAATATTAAATGCAAATTAAGTTTTAACTATTATAAAAAATAACTACAATATTTAATAATATGTAAATAAGAATGAATTTTTGGATAATTAAACTCATTTTAATGCTTGCAATGTAAATTCACTATCTGAAGTAACAGAAAGTATGAATTAACCAGATATTTTAGACTAATATGTGCTAGGCATAATATAGTAGCCATTTTTACTTATTTCAGATAGGTGATAAGTTTCTTCTAAAACCTAAACAGGCAAAAAGTTTATATTACCTATTCTCTATTCAATAGAAATTTTTCCTTCTCTTTTTTCTAAAAGATAAATACCAATCATACCACCTACTGTATTCTTTAATTTTAAATAAAAACAAAATTTAGTTAAGTAAAAAAAACACAAATTTATATAATAGTAAGAATATAAAACTTTTAAGTTACATAAAAATAATAGTTTAATATTTTACCTTTGTCTTGGCTTTCCAATTTTTCTCAGCAATAGCTAATGTTACTTTAAACGATGTGGGTTTATTTTCTTTAAAGTTAAGCAAAAATTTAGGATTTTATGTCCAAGTTTTTTTTGTCATATCTTTTTCAAATGGATCATCATATAAATGGCAGCCTCCATCTGATATATCTTGCTCCCATTTACCAATCAATACACAATTTTTATTTTCATCCAATCTTTAAAGTTATACAGGATTATTTGAGTAAATAGTAAGCTTATAATTAGCGTTTTTGTCCTCTTGATCCATCGATGGAATTATTATAAAAGGACCTAGATTTTTATTTTTTCAAAAAAATTAAAATGCACGAAGTAGCCAAATTAAATAAAGCAAATTAATTAAAAAAATTTTAAATTTATTTTCTGATTTAAACTTTTTATTTGTAGTAAATTATATAAATATACCTTCAGTAGGATTCCATTTAAAATATAAAGCACAGACTTCGTCACTAATGTATGTAGACTCTTTAAATTTTTCAGCATAACCTATAAAAAGCTTTCTTTCTATGTTTTCCATAATTGGTGGCTCTAATTGTTGCTATGTTTAAGTTAACAAACGGGCTAAATCTGATTTAATAAAAAAAATTTAAAAGAGTTTACTAAACAAGTATTATAATATCATAAGCAGTTTTTAAATAATCAATTACTTGAACCAGCTTATTTTCCTTTAGACTAAGTTTGGATTTCTTTTTTACCCTTTCCTTAGGTATTTTGCTTTTCAGCAACTTCAAATCTACAAATAGTCATACCGATTTTCAAACCTCTTGTCCTTCTGATTTGGCCAACTTTCTTTAAAATTATCTATTCAATTAAAAAAAATTATTATTTAATACTTTGGTTGTTAAGTAATTAATTTATAACCTTGAGGTTAGTTGGCTAAACTAAATTTAAAAAGTATTAAGGATTTCTACACCAATTTGCATTACTTTTATTTTCAATTTTTCTTTTTCCTCCTGAATTAAAATCTCCCCACTATCCATCCATAGAAACTTCAAGTGTTTCAGGCATTTCATTGACCGAAACCTTTTTTATATTTGTTAAATCATATTTGATATAATTAGAATTAAAAAAATATGTATGTATTTTACAGCATCAGATGCAAATATTCTTAAATAAAATGTTCTTTTTTCATCTTTTTTACTATCTGTAATCATATTAGGGACAATTATGTAATTTCCATAATTTTTTCCTTCAAATCTTTTAAGTGATACGTACTAGGTGATTTCTCTTTAAGCAGGTAAAACTCCGTTTGGATTAGCTTCAATTATGATATCATTATCCTAAGGTCTTTCCCAAACTCTATTGTTTCTATCCTTATTTGCTATAACGATAAAATTACATTAAACATATGAATGTTTGCTCAGTTTTTCATCCTCTAACATCAAACTAATATATAACTTTGTCTCTTTTTAAACTTTTAATCTAAATAAAAATATTTTAAAATTAAGAATTAAATTATTTTTTAAGAAAAAGTATTTATTTCAAAAATTTACCTGAACTAAGGATTGTTAAACCACTTTTCATCTGTATCTAACTAAAGGAACTCAGGCATAGGTTCTTATCCTTCATATTCCATTCTAGGAGGACAGATACCACCCTTTATTAAAAAAAAACATATTACTAAATGAGTACAAAATAATGAAAATATAACGAACTAATTACCTAAGTTTTTCCTTACCACTTTGATTCTATGGAATAGACTTCCCAATTTTCAGGGAAAACCTTGCAAACATAGAGCTTATTGAAGTGAAGATACCACTTTAATTTTAAAATATTGTTAAAAACAAATCAAGGTAAACTTTAAAATTACATCGTGAAAACTCATCCACCATGTTCCATCTGATTTTTTGGACTTAAAGACAAGCTTTAATTTATCTCTTAGCTCCCCTATTAAAATGTGAATATAACTTTTAAATATATATTAAATTTATTTTTTATAACATACTATATTTATCCCATTCTTCAGAATCATCACAGAAAGGACCGTTCCAGCCACCATCTGTACCCCAAGGGTTTCTTATTCTGATCAATTTTAAATTTTCTCTAGGAAATTCTCTGATATCGCAAATACCATAATGATGATTTTCTAATATACCATGAGTACCAGTATCTGCATTTTTCTTTAATATAATTTATGATTTTTATTTAGAGTGTATAACTTAAAATCAAGAAAATTTGTTTAAATAAATTTCATACTGTTCCTTTGCCTTCAACATAGTTAACACATCCAAGGTAAAATTTTTAGTGGAAATAGTTTGTTAGTGTTTACCAAAATTAATTTGATTCAATTAATTTCGATGTGTCAGGATCGTTTAATGTCCATCCTTCTGAAACACCTCCAGTTAGATCAACAAGACCTTCTAAGATAGATCCTTCACATATCTTTTCGTAGCATCCATGAAGTTTAGAATAGGCTTTCTCCATCAAAGGAATCCAAAATTCAGAGGGAGAAGCACAGTAAGTGAAGAGAATTTATTTTGATTCAGGATCATAAGGAAGTAGAGTATCAACAATGACTTATTTCCACTCACCATTCTTGAAGAATTAAAATGTGACAAAGCCTGCAGAGTCAAAATGAGATGTTTCAACAAAGAGCTTTTCTAGTAAATCTCCGTGAGTGCTTATAATAATAATTGCTCCAATAAACCAACTTTCACCAAATGCACCCTACTTTGCATCTCCATCTTTATCTTGAATAAACTTTGCTTCTTTAGAAATTTCGTGTGGACGCAGCCAAGTAATTTTACGAACGTCTTTTCCCCATTCAGGTATATTATTTACATCCTTGAAAAGAGATGAATTATCTGGAGGAAAATCTGGATCTTGCCATTTTTATCCAGTTTCGGCATACATTTATAGAATATTTGCTTCAAGTTCTTGATAGCGGGTCATATTATCATCCCCAATTTTATCTTCATTATATTCATTATCATCTCCCATTAAGTTATTTCCATCTTTCTAAGAATTTTCTCCTTCATCATACTCTCCCATTTCATCTGATTTCTCCTCTTCATATTATTCACCTTGATCTTCATTCTCATCAGATTAATTTAAATTATTTTGATCTTCTATTTCTCTTTATTGTTAATCACTGCCATTATCTCCTTGTGACCTTGAATCATCACTTGATGCTTTTATATTATGAATAAAATATTGAATTATAAACTAACACCTTAAAATATTCAATCAATCAATTAATTAAAACATTTTTTCCATAACATTTTCAAACTTAGAGCCTTAACTTTATTAAGATATTTCATATATTTGCAAATATTTATTTTATAATTTTAACAATATGTTAAATGATTATAAATAAACTTGTATCAAAGATAATTTATTATTTTTGATTTTTTTAACTTAAAATTCTTCAAAATGGAGCAAAATTAAATTTTGTGCATCACAAATAGTAAGAGCTATATTATGTAAATTTTCAGCTAAATAATTATTAATTGATATTTACCGTTTGATTCGCTATCTGACATATTCTCTTACTATTTCTAATTGTTTAATATTTTAATGAAATTGCAGAGTTTTACTTTTTAATAATAAATTATTAATTTAAGGACAATATAAAAATATTAGTTATTTTTTTAATTTTTCAAAAAAAACTTTGTTAGTTATATTGCTATCAAAATAAAATAATCCCTAAACAGCTATTCTACTATTTGGTGATTAATTCATATACATAAGCGAACATTAATGACCATCCTCTACTAATATGCAAAAACAAATAGCATCCCAAAAAAATATATCTTCTAAATCCAAATAAAAAATTTAATAAAAATATTTATTTTATTAACCAAAAAAAAACTAAACATATGCATAAAATAATAAAAAGTACAGTTTCTATATTGTATAAATAACTCTCAAGTTTATTATCATGGTCAATATCTATTGTAAAATTAATTTGGAATAAAAGCTTAATAATTAGGCATTGTGTATATTTAGAAGATATTTTAGATTAACTAAAATTCCTAAAATGTAGAAACTTAAATATATTTTAAAATGAGTAAAATAAAAATTTATTTGAAAAATTTTATGTTTAAAATTATTTTTTTATTCATAAAAGTTTTAAAATAATTTAAAATATTTATTTTCAGTATATAAAAAAGGAAAATTTGATCAAAAGCATAATTTTTGATTTAAAAAATGAAATAAATAAATTTGGATGTGAAAAAAAGATAATATATTTTAGTCAGTGAGATTTAATTAAATTTGATTTGAATTTATTAATTAATTAATTTAAATTAATTTTATTTTGATTAAATAATTACTTACAATAAAATATATTTAATTTTTATAGCTTTGATTTAGATATTTATTTATTTATTAATTGACTATTAGAAAAAATATATATATTGATAGAATAAATGAATCAAAATTTGCAAATTTATAATTAAATTATGAATAGAGATAAGATATTAGTTGCAGTTAATCATGAATGAATGATCACGTTTTGGAATCTTTCTGATCTTATATGAGAGCATACTGCTTCTTCCTTCCTCTTCTTTCTTATTTGTTTATTTATTAATCTAAAATCTAAATAAAAAAAAAATTTAAAAAAAGATTCTCCTAAATAATATATACTTTTTAATTAATAAAAATAAACAAGGAATAAAAATTCAAAGAACTTATTTCCATTATTTTTCATAGCAAATATAAAATAGCAATCTAAAATATACAAATTAACATATCTGAAGCAAGCAAATGGTAAAATAAATTAATTACTTACCTACTCAGATTATCTAAATGTCTCCTTATTATTTGATTCAATACTTATATTATATTTCCTTAATGCCACACATTAGAAATATAATTTGGTTTGATGATAGGAGACATACATAAATAACGAAATTAAATAGTTAATATGTATATATTTTAAAAATAAACCAAATAAAACTTAGAACGATTTATCAGTCACAACTTTCACTCAAGACGGCTATATTAAGTAAGTAGAGTATGCACAAAAAGCAGTCAGCGATAGCGAGTAATTAAATTTTTTATCATTATTAAAATAAAAATAGTTATTTTTGATAGCAATTATTATATCAATTGAGCATTCTAAATCAATAAATAATTTGATGAAAATATTTTTTAAAACATTTTATTTCTTTAAAATCTAATGATTTCATTTAAAAAGAACTATTTTAGGTGTAAGATGTAAGGATGGTGTTATTTTAGGTGCTGAAAAGAAATTATAAACTAAACTTATGGTTGAAGACTCTGACAGAAGAATTTATAATATTTAAAAAAATATCGGAATGGTAATTATTTAGATTACTACTCAATATTCAAATAAAGCAAAACTGTTTTTGTTTTTATTCAATCATTTAATCAACTTATTTTAGATAAAATTTGTTGATGAAATTGATCTGATTATCAACTTAGAAATTCCATACTTTGGATTATCTTTTTATTTACTTTTTATATTTTAAATAATATAAGATTGTTGGTGGTAGAATTCCAGATGGTAGAAATGTAGTCCATAGAGCTAGAAAAGAAGCTTAGGAATACGAAAAATATTTTTCTATGCCAATTTCAGGAAGAGTAAATAACTTTTTAAATTGAAATTAAAGCTTGAAAAGCTTTGTTTAAATAGCTTATTATAATATATCGAAAGCTTTTTCATATAAATATAAATTCTAATAATAATTTCTTATGAAAACAGATTTTGTCTGAAAGAACAGGATAATATCTTCATGCTCACACTTTATACGGAGCCTACAGACCTTTTGGTTGCTCTGTTATTATTTCATCATATGATCCTATTGATGGTCTTCAATTACATCAATCTGATAACGCTGGTTACTGCTTAGTAAAAAAAAAATAATATTTTTTATAAATCTAGAGTTATTTATCTATTAAAATAAAACAAAGGGTTATTATGCTTGTGCTTAAGGATAAGGTAAACAAGAAGTTATGGCCCATTTCGGTAGAAGAAATTTTAGAGATTTAACTTGTGAAGAAGCCCTTCCCTATGTTATATTAGCGTAAAATAAATAATAAATATTTAAAAAGAAAAGAGTAATTATAAAAATTAAATATTATAAAATTAGTTTAAATAAGGCACGTAAAGAAGCCAATGAAGGTATTTATCAATATGAAGTAAGTTGGATCACTGAAAAGAATAACTATGTTCATTGCCATGTTCCAAACGATATTAGAGTAATAATCTACAATTTTTTCAGATTAAAAAAAAACTCTAATTCATATATTTAGGATAATAAAAATAAAAATCATATGTTAATTAAATATTTATTTAAAAATAGGACTCTGCCCAAGTTCAAGCTGAAGCTATGATTGAAGCTGAAGATTCTGCTTGAAATTGATATATATTATATATTTATAAATTAAAAGAGAATAGTAAGATTGTAGATTTATTATAATTTGTAAATTCCTTTCTGTAGTATTTTTATCTTAGCAAGATACGAGCTACAATTTAAATTTTTATAAAAATTAATAAGATTTATTTGTTGATATTACAATCAATATTTTTTAATTTTTTTTAAATTGTACTTTTATTTTTTATTTCAAATAATTGAAAAAAGTTTTAATTTTTAATTAAATAAAGCTCTATAAATGTATGCAAAAACAATTCAGTAAAATTAAATCTTATTAAATTCAAAATATTTATTATTATTATTTTTGTTATTCTATGTTCATTAAATGTTATTTTTAAAATTACTTAATAATTATCAACATAATTATTGCTTTGTCAATTTAGACCCTGTTTGGTTTATTATTAAGTTAGTTGAAGCATTATTTGTTGTTGAAAAAAACAAAAAATATATTTATTTTTCTTTTTTAATGAATATTTTTACATTAAAATAGATATTATTTTTCATTTAGAATTTTTTTGACAGAATATATTTAAATTTCATTGATTTTAAATATTTTCTTGTGTTTTACATTTTATATAGTGGTCATAAATTATTTATTTTAATTCTATTGGAGGTGAGTGTATATTATTTAAATAATGACTTCCATTTGGAATAGTTAATAGCTGTGAACCTTAAATTTTATTCACGATTTCTACTGATTTTGTGTAAGGTATAGTAAAATCTTTGTCTCCATGCACAATAAGAAGCTTTCGACCTAAGTTTTATTTATTTATTTTATCAAATATATCTTATATCTTATAATCTCGTTCTCCCACAACATCAAGAAAACGAGTTATAGCAGGAGCCATCAAAACAGTTGGCCCTTACCAATATCCTTGTGATAAAAGAAGTAAACCTATACCTCCACCCCAGCTTATACCTACTAAAGCATCAGGATTACTCTCATTTAAGCCATTTATTTAAATATTCATACAATTTTAAATACATTCATATCCTGCATTCTATAGATTAAACTTATTTCTAATTAATACTCTTGGAAAACTATTTTATTAAAGTATATTCCATCTTGAGATTTTCATGTAAGGAGTAACACATTTTTCAAAGTTTTTTTCAAGATATTTTTGTTTTAATTTGAGCATTTCACCCTCCAAACCATGGAGAAACATTAATTTAATAGGTATTTTCACTTATTTTTACATAGTTAAGTCCCTTTTTGTATTATTTTGAAATTAATTCTATCAAAAATAAATGAATTTGAAGATTCTAGAAGTAAAATAAAATTTTTATGATAGCAATTAAATTCGTTTTTCAACAAAAAGATTATTCTAACTAATTAACAAGCTAAAAGCCAGCTAGATTTTTTATTTTCACTAATTAATTTTAAAGTCTAAAGATCTTTACTAAAAAAAAAATAGTTAAATAAATAAATAAATTCTTATAAGACATCATCATAAATAAATAAATTAATAAATAAATAAATTTTGGAAGATGACATGATTTCTCTAAAAGTTAATAAGGTTCAATACAATATAAAGCTTTTTGAGAAATAAAACATACTTTTTTTGATTAATGAATAGTTTATTATTGTTTTTTAAAATGGGAAAATAATTATAAGATATTTCAATATTTATAGTTGTCAACGAATAAGGATTCCTTGGCAGATTGGTCATCAGTACCTTAGTACTTGCCCAATTGAGCTTCACCGTTGGCCTTAGCTCTAACTAAGAGGGCAGCTTGAGCAGCAGCAAGGTTTTCAGCCTTACCAGCCCAGGTCTTGACTGCGGTGTTTTAGAGAGCTCTACCGTAAGAGAAGGAAAGGAACCAAGGTCTTCTAATACCTTCAAGTCTGTTCATGGCATTCAAGTTGACGGAAGCTTCTTCTTCAGATTGACCACCAGATAAGAACTATTTATTTTAAATAAAATTAATCAGTGTTTTATAGAATTTTAATTTGATTTGATTTTTTTTATTGAAGGTCAAAAAAATAAGTTTGAAGCTTATTAATTTTTGAGATATTATCAATAATATAATTTGTTTAACTTTGCTAATAAATTAATAAATATCAGTGTGATTTAGCTATATTATCCTCTTTTTTGCTAAGGGGAATCTTAAACTTTTAAATTCTATTAAGTTTTTTAATATCTTGACAGAACCAAAAAAGATACCTATCTATGTATTTTTTTCTTCTTATTAATTTGTTTTTTTAAATCCTATTGATTTATTTATAATCTTCATTTCAAAAAATTTTCAGATCATAATTCATAAAAAAATTTTTTATTTGTTTTTTTGTTTGTTTGTTTGCCTGCCTTTTTGAATGGGCATAATTAAAAATTTTATTAAACGATATAAGGATAAAACTTAACTACTTATTTCTAAATGACACTTCAAATAAAAAAAAATTGTTTATAAGAATAGGAATTTTAAAGTTAATTCTATAATTTCTTACGAAAACACCAACCAAAGCAGGAGGAATAGTTCTGGAAAGAGCAGTAACGGTACGGATGGCAATTTCAGAGGCAGTAGCCTTAACACCACTGGTAGAGCCAGGGGTAACCATGTTAGGCTTAAGGAGGCAACCTTCCCAGAAGATGTTGTTTTCTTAGAGAGCCTTGACGACGGAAGCTAAGACTCTTTCAGTGACCTTTTGTGAGACTTCAATGGAGTGGGGACCATCAATCAAGATTTCAGGTTCAATAATGGGAACCAAACCGTTAGCTTGGCAAATAGTACCGTATCTAGCCAAACCCCAAGCATTTTCTTAGATAGCTTATTCAGAGGGGCAACCATCGGTGGTGGAAATCTTGAGAACAGCTCTCCACTTAGCGAATCTGCAACCAAGACCATAGTATTCCTTGGCCATAGCATCAAGAGTGTCCAAACCCATGGTAGCAGTTTCGTCGTTGGTGCCAGGGAGAACCTTCAAACCTTGGTCAACCTTGATACCAGAGACGATACCCTTCTTCTTGAGGAGTTCAATGAACTTGGTTCCACACTTAGCAGATTGCTTAGCAGTTTCTGAGTAGAGGATAACACCAGAAATGTAGTTTTCTAAGTGTTCAGTGGTGAAAAGCAATTCTCTGTAAGCTCTTCTGTTTTCTTCGGTGTTTTCAACGTTGATGGAAGCGAACTTCTTGCCAATGGTACCAGTGGATTCATCAGCAGCCAAAATACCCTTTCCAGGAGTAGCTAACTTGGAAGCTGTTTCAGCTAATTCCTTTCTGAAGTCAGTCATTTTAATGCAAAGAGAGTGTGTTTGGTTTTTGTGTTTTACCTAAGAGGTAGTTTTGAGATATTGATAATTTTTTTATTAATTTTTTTATTTTAAAATTAATAAGATCATCACTTTATTTATAGAGAGAAATATTGCGTCACAATAAATATCGTAAGCAACTCTATTAATCGCACTAATGTTTATATTTCAATGAAGGATATTCATATCAGAGACCAATATCGCACTATTATGATACAAGAATGATGTTTGGTCTACCTACTTACTTAAAACCGTCTTATCCTTGATATATCTTTCTGCTTTTATTTGAACCATAAGAGCTCACACAGCTGTGTATCAATGTGCAATCATATTCCAAGTAGCAAATAAATGTTAAGCATATCATTTTTATAAATTAGATTGTTATTTAAATTTATTGGTTTTACTTCAAGCCTACTCTATCCTATTAACTATTAAAACAGTATCTCTACTATTGCTTGCTTAGTAGAAAGCAAAATAATATCTCATTCTAAAATTCAAATTTAGTCTATTAACAGATTAAATTCCACTGCAGGTAAGTAAATAATTTTATTTATTCATATTTCATCTATTAGAAAATGTTTTTAACAACTTTTTACTCATGTTTTTTTGCTGAAATTTATTGCAAACATTTCTTCATATTTCATAATTGCCTTGTATTTAAAACTATTACTAACTGTCCTTACTATATGCTTTTTCCTAAAATATCGACCTTAATCATATAGTATATCATTATTTCAATGATAATTTGATAAAATTTACACTTTAGATTCTAATGATGCTATCTTGACTGCTTGGGTATCTAGTTTGCCCTATTATATTTTTTATTTTCTGATTGAATTAAAGATCCATTTTTAAATAAACTAATTGATCAAAATTAAAATCTTGATTAATTTCCAGAAATAGTAAGACGCATCAGCAAAAATATACTAAATCTAAAAAAAGAAAGCAGTATACTTGCTATATCTTCGATGCTAGACCTATTTTATAATTTTTTTATACTAGAATATTTCATTTGCCCTATCAAACCTTACTTAAACCTATTGTTTCTAAATATATTTTATTTTAATATTAAAATGTTTTTGTAAAGAGACCCTCATCACCAAGATTTGCAAAACATCTTTACTTTATAAATTTGAGACAAATCCTAAGTACGTCCTTAGTAAATTTCTGATTGCAATTTATATCAAAAAGATATTATCAAATAGGTTTCTTATTTTATATGATGCGATATTTTTTTGATAAGTTTTCAAAGAATGACAAATTATGATTACTTCAAATATTTTTGTTACTTCAACTTTTATGATAATTTGTCACATCTGTTTTTATATAATCAAATAAGTCGCAGTATATTATTTTGAATACTATATAAATAATTCAGAGCTACTTTTCTATTTATATTAAGCAACTTAACTTTTGAGCATTTTTTTTTGCTTCTAGATATAAAATAGTAAAAATGGACTAAAAGGCTAGATTCAAGCAAAATTTAAACATTTTTATCAAAAGAAAAGTAAAAATCATTAATTTATTATAACGTCTTCTCAGCTATCTATGCTATCATCAATGAAATTTATAGTGCTCATTATTTTAGTAAGAAATATTTACTTAAAACATTTATTAAAGTATCTTTAGAATATTCTAAATTGAAAAAGAATTAAAAAATTATAGTTAAAAATTAAATTTTTTATAAGAACTATTAAGATATTTTCTTTTATTTCTCTCCATTTTTAAAGTCAACTTAGTTTCTTGTTTTCTTCTAAGATTAGAAAAAACTTAATATTTTAATTATTTATATTTTAAAATAAATTATATTAAATAATAAGCAACAAACCTGTAAAAAACAAATTTTTTCAATAGGTCGTCAATTTTTGACAATAATTTTTATTATGAAGGAAATAAAAAAATGCCAATCATACTTAAATATGAAAAGTAACAATCTTAATTTAACATTATTTCCTAAAAATTTTTTAAGTGCAATAGATTAAATTTTATAAATAATTAATCTTAATAAATTAAACAGTTAAAATAGATGTAGTATTCATCTTAAAAACTTGTGAAAAACATTTAAAGGAATTTACAATTTTATAAATACAAAAATGAATATTTTATGAAGTTAGAAAATATTATAAATTAGAATATTTAGTTGATGTAAATATTTAATAACTTATAAATAACATATTCAATACAATTTTGCAATATTTTTTATAATTAAGATATACCACACTATTAAGTTCCCTTAGAGGTTTTTGTTTGGTTTATAACAACAATTTATACGGTTTAAGGTATTGTTGAAATTTAATTATTACTGTTTTATTTCTAAGTTAGTTTTGAAATAAATATATAAAAAAAGATAAAATTTAAAAACAAAGTAAAAATTAAAATACAAATTTAAAGTTATAAAACTGATTAATCAAAAAATGATTGAGGTTAAATTATCCATTAAGCATATTTAGTATCATTTATAAACAAGTAAGCAAAGTAATAACAATTTTGCTCTACCTTTATAATTTTTTTTTTCTTAAAAATCAAAATTCTTATTCATATTTTTTTGTGTGAAGTTCAAAAGTTTTCTTATCATTAATATGATCAAAAACAAACAACAACATTAAAAATGACAGATAAAGCTTTATAAATCTTTAATAGATATTAAACAAGAATATTTAAATATCTTTGAACAATATCAATTAAATGACTAAGTTTTATTTATTATAAAAGTTAAAAAACACTTAATAATTAACCAAAAATAAAATGAAAATTAATGCATGTATTATGTTCAATTAATATAGAATCATTATTTTAAATGTAAATAAATGATACTGAATTTAAATAAAAGAAAATTAAAACAATTTTTAATAACATTATGATTATTTTTTGTTAATTTTGAAAATAATTAAAAACAAATAAAAGTAAAATAAAATAAAATAGAAGAAAAAATTAAATATATATTTATATATAAATCATTTTCATTTCATGAAAAAATTTGAAAAATATTTTGCCTTCAAAAAAAAGAAAAAAGCTTTTTATTAAAAAGAGAAGTTTTTTTTATTTAAAATGTTTAATCTAATTTATTTAAAAATGAATTTATTATGTAAATATGAATAAATAAAAAAAAGATTTAAAATAAATTTAGGTTTACTTAATGAAGGTAAAGAAAATTAAAAACATTGTATCTTCGAAATTTTGCATATGTTTGTTTATCAAATAAACAAAGAGATAAACTAAGTATGAATATATATCTTAAAAATATTTTATAAATTTAACTTGGTTGATGTTAATATTTTAAATAATGAACTTCATTTAGCTTTTAGTTTGTTCATTTTAAAAAAATTAAGATTAATGATGAATTTTTAATTAAGACAATTTTATAGAGTTAATTAAAATTTTGAAAGTAGAAGAAAATTATCAAATAAACAATAGAGAAAAATGAATGCAATTATATAAATACATGCAAAAGGAGATAAGTGAAATGATTAATTAGAAAGATAAAATAATTATTTAGAAAAGAATTACAGTTGCAATTATTTAATAAATATAATTGGGTTTATTTTCGCTAAGTTTAGAGCTTAAATTACACTTTTTACTTGAAGTTATTACTATAATTATTATTATTTTTATTATTAATTTATTAACTGACAAGCAATCTTTTAACAAAAAGCAAGCTTGATTGATTTTTTGTGGTAGTATATAATGAAAGCCTATTCTTGTTTTTTGATAATTGACTGGTGAATATGTAGATAAAAGATTGTTTTTGAAAAACCCACTTTTAATTTAGTTTAAACTCTAAAAATTTTTAATATTTAAAAGTAATGGAGCTAATTTTATATTTTTATAAGAATTTTATTAAAGTTGTTAACTCTCTTCAGAAATTAGTAAGAATCTTTCTGCTTTTTGTGGCACGACCATTTTTAGTAGGATTCTTTTTGTTTTTACCTATTTTCTTAAGGAGAGATCTCTTAGAAGGACCTTCTTCCTAAACTTTGTTGTCATCTTCGAACTCCCATTCTTTCTCTTCCATTTATTATTATATTTCTTCAATTTCTTATTATTCTTATAGATCTGTAGTGCCATTGAGCTTGTCTTCTATAATTTCAACATCAGTGACTTTTTTACGTCTTGCACCAACCCATTCATCACCACCGATAGGGAGATAAGCACTTCTCATGTCGATAATTTTAGGAGGTACATATTATGGGAATTCAGCATTAGGATCATCTGGGTTTTTGAATGCATTAGGCTTTTTAGGTTGTCTGTATTCATAGCCATTTACTGTTGCCTTGATCTTGTTGTGCATTTCTTCGCATAAAGGTTTTATAACAGCTTCATCGATGACCCTTCTTCTTAAAGCTCTCCATCTTCTCTTTACCTTTGATCTTAAACTCTTAGCCATTTTAATTTTATTATATCTATAAAGTTACTTGATAAATAATAATTCTTTTAATTTTTTATATTTTAATAACTTTGATTTTAGAGTCTGTCAGAAGATGATTTAATTATATTTGATTCTCATAATAACTACTAAATATCATATTATTTTTTTTTTGGCTATTAATTCATTCAGATGTTAAATAAATTTGTATTTTAGGATAAATTACTTTATGCTTCAAATTCATCATTTTTTCAAAATATAATTTATTTCTAATAAATCTATTTGAAAATTCATTTTATTTTATTCTAAACATATAAATAAATGTGCCCTCATTAATTATTTTAGTATGAATTAAAAATAAACTATTAAAAACTCAATCAAATTTTATTATTTTTAGAATCTTTTTATTAATTTATTTTTATTGAGCCTATTAGAGATGATGTTGCTGTTTCAACACTTGAAAAAGAGTTCAGTTATATATTAATTTTTGATATTTATTTTATTACTATATATATATAAATTAATAATAAAAAATTAATGAAAAAATTAAAATAAATTTGATGATTTTAAACATATTAAAAATCTTGAAGTAGATATTTCTGTCTAAAAAATTAAAAGCTCTAAATAATCGATGAGAAAAAAAATATTAAATTTTAGATTTTTGTATGTATATTAGCCAATAATATAAAAGTCAACTTTATAATTAGTTATTTCAGGAAATAAAGGTATTTAGATATATTAAGTGATTAACTTAATATCTTTTACTTTTATAAGTAAAAAACAATTATTAGATAAGATAAATATATAGCTTATGAACGTTGGTAAAGATCAAACTAAATTCTTAATCTTTGTTTTGTTTAGTGGATAAAAAAGAGAGGTTTAAATATATTTTTAAATTACCTAATAAATTGTTAATAATTAAAAAAATATGCATTACTTTATTCAAATAAAAAATTTTGTAGAAATTAAAAAGTAAAAACAAAAGGTAAAATATGCAAAAATTAATTGCTTGATTTTTACATATTTACAAAATAATTTTATAAGAATTAATTCATAAAAAAATTGTTGATAATCTCAATTTTCATTTGATGAACAAAATACTTATCTACATTGTATGAGTAAATGATTAAAATTTCATTACTGAAAAAAAAAATTGAGATATATCTAACATTAGTTTCATATTTTTATTCAATCAGAATTCATCTAAAAAAATTAATGAATGTTTAAAATGTTCATAATATCAATAACTCCATTTATTTTTTAAATGAATGTATCTATCTTTACTTTAAATATTTATTAAATACTTTTTCATATAGTTTTAATTTTATTAGTAAATACTTAAAGTCTTTAAGTTAAACTTCTTTTTGTTAAAAAAATAACAATGTCAACAGAGTAGAACTAATTTTAAATATGAAGAAAAGAATTTTTTAATTGAAATTATAAATTAATGTACAAATAAATAGATTATCATCTTATCATTAAAATGTGTTATTTTTAATACTTCAAAAATTTTTTTATTCATTTTTTAAGATTTAATGTAGATTTAAAAAAGATATTAAAAGTAATAATTTTGTTAAAAATTTTTTAAAATAAATAAATTCATCCTTAATTTTATTTAAAAAAATTTATCTTATTACTTAATATTTTTATTATTAAAAATATGTTGAAGTAGTTTTTTGTTATAATTTCATTTATTTGAGATTACTAAAATTAATTAAAGTAAAAAGTTTATTTATTTTACAATGATTGTTATAATTATAAAAGATATTTTAAATTTATAATATTTATAAATGCAAATTATATCCTACCTATCTTAAAGTAAACACTTTTCAAAAAAATTTAAACAACTATTTGCTTAAAACTATTCCTGTATGAGATATTATTATGCTAAGTTTATTTTAACTAGTTATGAGAAATCAATCAAATTTAAAATCTGTTATAATTAAATTAGAGCTTATATATCAAATTTACATTGATGAGTTTTAAATACTTATTAAAAAATTGATAAACGAAATAAAAATTATTAAAATTTATCTAAAAGTTTTTTATTCAAAATTATTTAAGCATGAGTTTCATAATAAATTATCTAATTTTTAAACTCTCCTTACTAAAGTCGTTACAAAAAAATAAAATAAGAGTAAATGACTATTTGTTCATTAAAATTTTCTATTTCTATGAAATTATTCAGTTATGCATTTAAATTTACTCTATTTGAAGAAATTAATTTACTCAAAAAGAATTAGTTAGAACTATACATAAAATATTATGATCTAACATATCAAGTCTTTATTTAATTTGAATATTAATTGTAATCTAAAGTTATTTTCTTTCTTGTAAAGTAGAATAATTTAATCATAAGTCCTGAGAATGATTATTTGAAAAGTGAATCTATAATTTTTAATTACTCAAATTGAATTTTTTTTCATATGATTTACTCACACACACACACGCTTGAATTGAAAGTGAAGATAAATATTGATAGTCACTAATTTTTTAAAGTAAATTTTTTGATACCATTAATAACTAACTAAAATAAAACAAGTTTCATAAACCATAGTTATATATAAGACAAATTCTTAGATTTTAAAATTATATTTTTGTAAATTAATCATTAAATTTTTATCTGGATAATTCAAATTTATATTCTTTTTTAGAGTGAGACCCTTTAAAATAAAAAACTGCTAATATAAAAACAGATCTACTCTATTTAATATTTAATTTATCTTCAGCTTCGAACTATTGAAATCTATTGCCCTCAAATTTTCAAAAAGCTATATAATATATTCTCCATTTAAAAAACATAATTTCTATATATGTAAAAATAAATGTAGTATATAATTTAGGAATTAGTTAAATGTTAAAAGTTTTAGCATATAAAATAATAGAAAATTATATGTGGTTATAAAGATTAGATAACTAATTTACATTTTATTAATCTAAATTAAATTACCTCTAAAAGAAATTTAGTTTAGAAAATAAATTTAAAAAAGCAAAATAAGAATGCAAATCCTTAAAATAAAATTGAGTAAACGATTTCTGGCATATTTTGATTTTAAGCCTCTAAAATATAAATGAATTTTATACTTTTTTACTGATTAAATAAATAATTATGTACATCGCTATGAGTGATTTAGGTAATTAAGCAATTTTAGAATAATTTCAGTCAAAATTTACTGGAGATATACTTGCTTCTGCATACTTTTTTATATATTATTATTTTTGAAGTACTAATGAAATATTGATGGCTATAATATAAACAATTGCAAGACTTTTATCTAATTTTATATGAATGGAATTATATATAAAGTTTTTGAGACAAATGAAAATTAAATAAGACAGTTTGTGATCAATAGTAAATATATATATGTCGAAGATTTTATGATTGCTTGGTTTTGAAAAGATAAACTGATAGAGATCATGTATGAAAGAATGTATGTATTATACATGCATGAATATATGTTTGTATTAGTTAATAAATAAATTAAAGGAAGAAAGAAATAATGATTGATCAATTAATTAATTAACAAACAAATCTCTTAATATTGATGCAATATTATCAAATTACACATTGAGAGTGAATAAGAGTAAAGAAAAAGAAGAATAAAAAATTTATAAAGATAATATAATAATTATTTATATTACTTCCCTTTACTTTAGATAAATAAAGAAAGAGATTACTTGCTTACTACTACAAAGAAGTGTATACTTAGAAGTAGATTTAGTAATGATTTGAATTTGATTTAGTTTATAAGTTACTTAATTACTTTTTTACTTGTTTGATTTCTTTAAGTTATATTATAAACTTAAGTTTTTCCCATTTCATTTTCAGCTGTATTTCTTTGTTTTTTATCAGCTTATTTTTAGCATATTTGCTAATTCAAAATAATTATTTATTTATTTTTATAATCATAAAGGATATTCTAAATATTTCTATTCAAGACCAACTAAAATGTATATGTAGCATCTATAGCCTCAGTCATAAAATTATGTTTCTGAGGAATCAAAAAGAATTATTGATAAAATTTAGACATTAAGGAGTAGTAATTAGCATTTCAAGAGTTCTAGCGATGTAAAGTACTAAAATAGCAATTATACAGATAATTAAACTATATAATCCAAACCTATAATAAATGAATTTTAAGGATAATAAGCTTCTACGTTATAAGCAGCAATGAGTAAGTTTATTTATTTATTTTCAAGGAATATTGAACTTTCAAAATTAGTATTTTATGATTAACTATATATTCATTGTATTTAAATTAATAATAGAGAAGCAAGCATAAGGTATCCAATAAAAAGCCAACACTAATTCAAATAACTAGTTATACTAAATTACAGGAACACAAACCGCATAAAAGAACTATCTTTAAGTAGGAAAGATTGATCTCGATGCAATATTATCTGCTAACAAGAAATAAAGTTAATTAGCATAAACATAAAATTAATATCAACCTTAAGGAATTGTAACTTAGAGAGAAGTAAACAAAAGATAAACACTTCCTCCAGATCGTAGATCATTTTAAGATCAATTTAATACAACACCATAATAGTGCACAAATAATAGTAATATAGCATATAATTAACCATAGTAGCATACTTTAAAACAAGCAGCAACTCAAGTCAGCAACATAAATGCTACCTAATCATAGAGCTCAATTTCTAAAGTAGGATCTAATGGTTTAATTAATTAAAGCTAAAATGCTATTTATTAATAATAACCTTCAATAAATATTATACAAACATCAAATTTTTAAAATAATTCATCATAACAATTAGATGATCTAGACAAATATAAAAAATAAATGTAATAAAAGATTGTATCAACTACTCCAAGTAAATAATTGCTGCACTCTTACTAAAACTAAAGTCATATGAATATAAATACTCCAAAGGGCAATAATAGATCATAAAACAGCTCTGAAGCTAATATTTTATATTTTAAGGGAAACATAAGTTCACATGATTTAGCATCGAATCAGTAAAGCCGCATATAATCAGATTCATAGCTTAACTTGCATCCTTCTCCAATGAAATAATAAAATTCTTAATAAAACAAATTTGTAAACAATGACAGTAGCTAATAAATAACATAAAACCAGAACTAGGCTTTCAAAAATTTAATCTAAAATCCTGATTAATAAAATTTTATGAATATTTCTTCATTTAAATATTAAAAACCACCAGTAAGCTCAGATAGTATAACTAATAATGAAGTAAAAAAGTAGTAATAATAATAATAATAACAGTAATAGTTGCAGCAGTCTTAGTAGTAGCAGAATAATTAATAATTTAGTGGTTAAAACTTGCTTAATGTTAAGAATATACAATTTTAATATATCGATCAAAGTTTAAATGTCAGTAAAAACAACTCTAACACAGGAAGCATTCATTAAAATATACCTAATTCCCCTCAATCAGCAGGAATTCATGGTATAAGCAAAGTTCCTCAAACTAGTGCTACTTAGACTTAACAATATTTTTCTTAAACTAATTCACAAAATCCTTCTATCTAGAATTCTATGACATTTAATTAAAGCAGCAGTAACAATTATCCAAATGAAAAGACCCATTCAACAAACATAAATACTATAAATTCAAAAACTTAATCAATCGATGACATTCTTAAGCATCTTAAAAGTAAAGAAATAAGTAAAGTGTAAACAATACCTTAAAGAATATTTAATTAAACTGCTCAAGGTATCCCTAGTAGAAGCTACTAATTAAATCAAATACCAAACTATAATTCAAATACAGTAACTGGTCATAAAGACTAATAAGTTGAGAATAAAAACGAATTGCCACTTAATAACCCAACACAAATTGCTTCTCTTAACTAGATTGCACAAAACGAGAAAAAAACTGAAGCAAAACCTGTTGTTATGAGATAAAATTCTGATAAACTACAGAATGCTCTCACAAACCGCGCTGATCTTTTTTAAGTTACTCCATAAATGAATAATTTATAAAATCAGTAAAATTTAAATACAAGCTGTTTCAATAACATTGTGAACAACAGTAATACAATCTACAATGATTACTTTTTTAATAAAATGAATCGTAATACTAATGAAACATAAAAAGCTACTATCAGTAATACCACTAATGTTTCTGATATAGGATAACATAAAAATAACTAAACAAATGGAATTTAATACACACAATAAAATACAAATTAAATTACAAAAGAAACACCAACACTAACAAGCAATAAGCTATCTAACTCAATAGACCAAAATAATTATTCTATTCAATCCCAAAAGTATATGTATGGATCTTCAAATATAAACAACAGAATATTACCAAATGCCAATTTTACAGTTTCTCACACATATGATAAAAATATAAATTCGTTGGTTAATTAAAGCATAAATAACACTTCCTTAATTACAAGCACAAATAATAATTTGATTAATTCTATTCCTTAAAACTAAGCAGTTAATTTGTCATATTTCTCTACTTTAAATAATTCAATAAATTTCAATAATAATATTTAAAATCAAAATCCTTCATCCTTTTAATTTAATAACTTAAGCCATGCTAATTTAGATTCTTCGATATCACCTATTAAGAAAGTTTAAGCTAACTTCAACGATCAGGAAAAAAAGTAAGCAGACTCATTTCCTATTTAACAATAATCTATTGATAACAGCTAAAACTAATTTCAGTCAAACATCAGCAGTTATTATAATAGTCCTAATTTACAATATGCTCATCCAACAGTAAGATAAAATGATTTATCAAGTAATAGCATACTTTCTAGCATTAATTATGCAGTAACTACAGCAAGTGGTTTAACAACTAATAGAACAAACAACAACTTACCTTCAGCATCAATTTCTGTTACTTCGACAGTCAAACCCATTAATTAAAGTTAAACATAAGCAATTAATGAAGGAGATTAATAAAAGTAATAAACAAAAGATAATTAATTGTAATAATCAAATTTATCAACAAAAAGAAATTCTGAAATAAGCTATCAGAAAGCCTTGGATGAAATTAAGCCTTCTGAGTAAGTAGAAAAAATTCTTGATGAAATTAGAAGAAAGAATTCATCTGGAATTAGCATAGATAAGCAATAGTAATAGTAGACATAATCATAGTAGCAACTACAAACAAGAAGTAGCTATGAAGAGTCATAATTAAAAAATTCTCCCCAAATAAATGGTGCTACTTAAGCTTAATAGACAAAATAACCTAATTCAAATTTATTGTAGTCAATTTAGAATTTAAATCTAGATGTTAAAGGTATTTTACAAAACACAATAAGCAAAAATATTTCTACAGTTTCAAGTTAGTATTAACAACTTTTATATAGAGGTAATGCAGGAACTAATAATGAATTTACAACAAATAATAACAATAGTAATAGCAATATTAGCAGTTAATAAAATTAGCAAAGTGTGGTTGACAAAATCTTATAAGAAATCAAAAGAAATGATATGAAAAAACACTTATAATCGGTATTAACTGTGAATTCATAAGTGAACACTAGCAACAATATCACGAATAATAATATCAATAATGCTAATAGTAATGCAAATGGAACTTTAAATTATAATGACTTTTCATTGAACACCTAATCTTCCTCTATATCACCTTACATCTTAAATAAAACAGATACTAGTAATATCTATAATTTAACCAGTTAAAAGAATGATTAAGATAATATCTTTAGAAGTTAAAACATACTTGAATACTCGTCTAATATATAAATAAATAGCCAAAACCTTGTAAGCTCAAGTGCAGTTGCATAGATGCCTGTAAAATCTGATTAAAAACTTTAATTAGCTGAAATATAAAAAGACAATACATAAAATAATACAAATGAATCAAGAAAGGCTTTAGAAAATGAATTAGACGAACTAAAAGCAAAATATGGAGAACGAAAGCATAGACTTTCATCTTTTTCTAACAAAAAAGACAGACACCATTTAGACATACCTAACAATGTGGAAGACTCTGATGATGAAGGAAAAGATAGTATAGGTTCTCATGAAAGCTTCATTGAAGAGAGAGAATCCATACAAAAGTTCTCTACAAACTGCTCTTAGCTGACAACTGAACCATTGAGATAAACTAAAATGTTAATTTTAAATAGTATAATTTCAAAAGATTCATTTAAAAAGGATGATTTAAGTGCTTCTAAATAACCTGTATTTTCATCTCTTAGTTTTTCGTAAAACTAAGCAGATATGCAAAACCACACACCTGCAAATAAAACTAATGAACACCAAATTATACAACTATAAGCAGCAACTTAAGATTAAAATAACCAAGCTATAAATGAATTCAACAGTTCATCTAAACCATCTTCAAAAGTACCAACTCTCATCTCTTTCAGCCCATCTCTTAATTAAATTCCTTCAAAAAATGACATCATTACTGAAGAATAATCTAAATAAAATGAAGTTAATTCAAAAGTATAAAGCGAAACCCAAATAAATTAAGTTTAAAATAACATATAACCAAATACTTAGTATGGAGAAAAGGACTTCTATTTTGTTAAGAAGCTTGGAAAGGGTAAACATTCTGAAGTATTTTTAGCTTAAGATAAAAAAACTGGATTCTTATTTGCAGTAAAGTAGATTCATAAAGAAGACATGATATCTATGGGTATGGAAGAGTAATTCAGTAATGAAATAAAGATTTAAATGTCTCTTAACCATCCTAACATTATACGTTTGTATGGTTTTTATCAAGATGAATACTACTTTTATCTTTTAATGGAATACGCTCCTGGTGGTGAAATATATCGTTATTAGAAAACTCTACCTGATGGACGCTTCACAGAAACAGAAGCAGCATTCTATTTATATCAGTTAGCCAACGCACTTCGTTACTTACATAGCAGAAACGTCATTCATAGAGATATTAAGCCAGAAAATCTTTTAATTTCAAATGTAATTATTTTTATAAGTGATTATAACATAGGTTTTTAATTTTAATTCTAATTTATAATAGGGAGTTGTTAAATTAGCTGATTTTGGTTATAGTAGAGTATGCGATTTCAAGTCAACTAGAAGTACTTTTTGTGGTACTTTGGATTATTTGAGTCCATAAGTAGTTAAAGGACAAGAATATAACCACGACGTAGATGTTTGGGCTTTCGGTGTAATGTGTTATGAATTCCTTCAAGGAATAGCACCATTTTATGAAAAATCAAAAGATGATACACTTGATAAGATATAATCAGGAAAATACTCATTTATAAAACCCATAAGTGAAGAGGCTAAGACTTTAATATAAGTGCTGCTAGATTCAGAGTCAAAAAATAGAGTTTCAATCAATGATGTATGCCGCTGCTCGTGGTTAATTTAAAATGCTGAAACTTATAAGTAAGAGTAAGGACCAATAAGTTAGTAAGAACTAAATAACATTTTTAAATGAAATTTAAGAGAAAATAATAAACTTAATCTTATAAAACAAAATAAAATATTTTTTCATAATTTTTTACTAATTTCAAAAACAAATATAATTATGATCTAATTCATAACTAATATAACTGATGAATAATAAAATATCATTGAAGCTATTATATTTAAACACAAAATTAATATTTAAAGGTCATAATAACCTAAATAATAATAAAATTGATCCAATTAAAATATTTTCTTTGATATCTTTATATTAAAAGTTTTCCAAATAAATCTTAAATATAATTATTATTTTGACTTAATTAAGGTGTAATTAATTTTAAGAAAATTAATTATTTATTTATTTAGCGAGTGATAGAATGATTTAATTAATGGCTATCTCAAATATTATTTAATATTACTTGCCTTTAATTTTAAATAAAACACCTAAATAGTTTTGTATTTTATATTAATTGTAATATATTTATATACATCTCTCTATCTAACTATATTAATTAATTACTATTTTTCACATTAACTCTTCAAATATATTTTATTTATATCAATATCAATTAAATGTAGAAAAATGAATATTTTTATTTTTTAATTCTTCATTTTTAATTATTTTTATTTAAAATTAGTTTAAGTTATATTCCTTAATATAAACATTCTTCTTTAGCACATTTACAAAATTAAAATCTTTATTTTTAAAAAACTCTTAATAAAAGTCCTATTTAAGAAGATTTTTAATACAAGTATGAATAGTTATTATTTTTTTAATAAAAATTTTATATGTAAATAAAATTTGCTTAATAATTTGATGAATTGAGTTAATAATTTTAACACACGCATTTTAGAATGTTTAAAAAAAAAAAAATTTTAGACATTAATAATATATTTTTTTTTAATTATTCATCCATTTTTTATATTTTAGTTTTAAATCATAATAGGAAGAAGGAAATCTATTTATTTAGATTTTATATATCAATAGAAAAATCTATGATTTGTAAATTGCCATCGTGAAATTTATTTACATAATATATAAATATTTAATGGTAAAAATAAAACAAGAAATAAATCAATTATTAGGTTACAAAATTAAATAAATTTTAAATTAAATTAAATTTTTTATAAAAAGAAAAAGTGAAAAAACAAATCTTAAGAATGAGTGAAAGTAAGTAAAATCTTTATAAATTTAATAATTATATGTTTTTAAAAACAGAAATATATCGAGTTTTAGCTTGGATTTAGCTATTCTTATTCTTTTATGCAGTTCCTGATTTAATTAAGTACTTTTGGAAAGACATTTAGAGCTTATTCCCTTCTGGTAAATTTATTTTAGCTAAAAATTTGGTTAATGATTTAATTTCTATAATAGTTAAATACATGTTTGCAGTTGGTCTTATATTAATAAATAGCATTACATATTATGGAGGATCCTTAATATTTATGTGCATTTATAAGGGTGAGTTTAAGTTTTTTGAATAATACAAAATCATCAAAGTAATTATTTTATCATATTAAATATATTTAAAAAACTTTTTATTTTTTTTTTCTTGTTTCTTAATTTTTTTTAATTAAATTGCGCAATTTATACGTCATTTATACTTTTAATTTGTTTAATCAAGAATAAAAAGTGGCCTTGGAATGAAGACTATGAAAGTTGGTTGAAAATTCGTAATAAGACAATCTTGAATTCAATTTTGAATATATTTGTTGTAGGTTTAGGTCTTTTAATAATTGATCTGCAAATAAATGAAGTAGAAACAAGCTTTTCTTAAGAGGAATTTCCTTCTAAGTTAAAAAACTTAAAAGATTTTTTCATACTTTTATTTTTCCACGACTTTTGCTTTTACTGGTCTCATAGATTTTTCCATCAAAAGTTTATATATCCTTATATACATAAAATTCATCATCAATACTATCAAAATGTGTGTATTGCTGGTTAGTATTTCCATCCTTTAGAATTTATAATTACAATTCTATTACCTACATTTATTTTGGTAAAATACCTTGGAAGCTATTTGCATTTTTCCACTCTATGTATGTGGATATTTGTGATGGGTGTAAATGCAGTTGAAGAGCATAGTGGATATGACTTTCCTTGGAGCCCATTTAACATATCCGATTTTAACGTATCAGCTTAATTCCACGACTTTCATCATTCACATAATGTAGGAACATATGGAGCTTAATTCAACTTTTATGATAAATTATTTAAAACTGATACAGAATTCAAATAGTTTATGGAAAGCTAACAAGTTAAATAAATAGATAAAAAAACTAGTTGAATGGATAAATTCTGACATTTTATTAATTCATGTTAGTAAATTTATATAAATTTGTTTCTCAAGTTAAACAACATTAGATATAATTATTTAATTTTCTCTTCTATAAATTTATTATAATTATTAAAATTATTATTTTAATATATATATAGTACTCTAAGGTACTGCCCATTTCAAGGCTACATATACGAATTATAACAAGTTATATTATTTAATAGTTTTAAGTTTCATTTATATTTTTTTAATTATTTTCAAATAACTATTTTTATTACTTCAAAATAATTAGTAAAATTTTTATTACTTCACAAAATTTATAAAAGAGAAGCCTTCTTCTTGCTTTTTATTGCAACATTCAGCTTATATTTTACATCATCTACAAATATCCTATCTAAAATTAAAGTACTTTCACCAATTACTATTTATTTTATTAGTATTTATTTAAAGATATGAATTTTTAAGTTTTTGATAAGCATTTTATAAAAATTTTCTTTTTCTTTAAAATCTTTGATGAAAATTCACTTAAATTTTAAATTTATATCATAAATATTACTAATGATTGAGTATTTCATAGAATGTTTGTTAACTTTGAGATTTATTTTACATTTAAATTTCACTATTAATTTGATATTTGTTTTTTGGATTTTCATATTGTTAATAATTTCATCTATGAATTCCTTTATTTATATTTGTTCTCCAAAAATATCTATTTTATATATTATAATAATTAAAAATGTTTAATATCCAAACTTATTTGATCATAAAAATTACTTATAAAAATGTTCAGGTTACTTAAATATATGAATTCATTTTTTCTATTTTATTTAATATAAATATTTTTTTAAATTAGCTTTAAAATATTCATTCATTCATTCCTTCATTATATTTTGACAAAAAAGTATTATTGGAATTATCTAAACTGATTGTAATACTAATTTGTGATAACTTTTTGTAAGTAAAATATCTGAGATTGATAAAGCTGGCTAAAAATATTTAACTCTTTTAAAAAGATTTTGCAAATAAAAATATAGAGACATACAATAAATGGGTAATAATCCTTAAAAACCAGACAGATTAAAGTAATTATCATTCTTATAAACACTCATTTTTAATTTAAAATTTGATTTTTTAGGTAGATATAAGGATATTAAGTTAATGTTTCTGATGAAGAATAATCAGAAAAACATTACTAAACAGGAAATTAATTTCTTTAAAACGAAGATTATGATAAAGCAAAAGAATTTTTTTAGTAGTCTTTGAGATATAATCCTAAAAATGTAAAGGTTTTAACAGCTTTATGCCAGTAATATAGAAGGGATAATAAAATTTATGATGCATTTTAATGTGTGTTAAATAAAACATTGATTGAAAATGGTTTTGAAGATTAAATTGATGATAAAAGAGCTCACTAGTTAAGCAGGATAGTAAGCTTAGCTACTGATTTTAACAATGACGACTCAGAGTAATTGAAAGTTCAACCCCAAAAACAGTTGGATTTTGCCAAAAAATATTTTATATTAAACAAAGCTTTAATAGAAATACTACCAATAATGAAGGATGATTTTGAGAATATTATTTAGCAAATGAATATAAATAATAATAAATTTGAGCTTATGTTTTTTATAGAGTAATATAAGGAAAGATTTGGATAATTATTACATGAAAAAGAGCTTCTTCTAATTGATTTATATAATCTATACGGATTTCATTAAAAGTTATTAAATTTATATCTGAATTAGTTAAAATAGTAACCTAATGATAAATAAGTACTAGAAAAAATAATTCAATGTTATGAATAGCTAAAAAACAAATAAAAAGTAAATGAATATAAATCTCAACTTCAAAAAATGTCAGAATAAACTAACTCAACTCAATGAAAATTATAATTTCAATATAATTAATAAGTCAAAAATGTAAAAAATATAAGCAAAAAAAGCTGTAAAATATCTAAAAAAATGATAAAGTATAGTAAAGATAATTTAAAAATTAATATATTAATTAAAATTCTTTTTTGTTACATTTTAATTTATCCAAAAATTTTACAAAAATTGATATATTTATTAAAAAAAAATATTTTTTTAATCTAATTTTGTGAAATAAAAAATCAAGAATTTATTGATGGTGTTATGATGAAATCAAGTGGATGTATTATTTGTTTTTAAATTTTAAATTAGAGTGAAAAAATTTCTAATTTTTTTATGAATTTTTTGGTTGAAGTTGATTTTGATTTTGATAAGTAAAGAATTATAAAGAGTGGATAGATAGAATATATATAGGACACAAAATTTTGCAAACAAAATTATATTATAAATAAATTGATAGTTATTATAATCAATTATTTGTTGTATTATAAGTTATTTTTTATAGTTATTATTTCTGAGATTTTAATCAATTTTATACATTTAAACATTTTATTTTTTCAGCTCTTTATCTTTATTTATTCTGCAACTTCTGATATTGTTTCGTTTGTACTATTATTACTTTCTTCATTATCAATATTTTCTCCATTAGGATTTTTAGCAAATTATACTTAATCTTAGCCTTCTTAATAACAGCCTGATGTACCATCTGAACTATTATCTTCCTAATCTAGCTCTTCTTATTTAGATTATTTAGCAAGGAAGCAGGATCTGCAAAGGGGTTCATAAAGATCTTCTCCACCAATCAATTCTATTAAGTTACTTTTAATTTTTCTGCTTGAAAAAGATGAATCTTCTTCGCAACTTGAGCATTTACCTCTCAATTTAATTACTTTTTCAGCAACTGGGATCAAATTCAATACTTAATTAAAAGCCTATTTTTATTATATTTGTTTAAAGGTTAAAAATTATAATAAAGGAGAAACTGATAAATTAATTAATTAATTATTTGATTATATAATAATTAATATTGCTAAAATAAGAGAACAAAGAAGAAGATTCTTGATAGTAATCAAATATCTGTTAATGTTTAAATTTTGAAATAGTTGATGAAAAATAAACTGATTTCTTTCATCCAAAAAGAATTTCTTTGTTTCGATTTCAGCTCAAGATGTCAAAAAATAAATATGTTTAAACTTAGTTTTTTACCTTTCTTTAAAAGGTTGCATCGAGAGCAGCAACTATAACAATTTTACCATCGTTAGCGTATTAATCACATTTATCTGCAATCTATTTTTTTTATTTTTTATGAAAAATATTCGTTATTTAAGATTTTTTGCAAAAATAAATCTGGTATTTAACAAGAAAAAGTATTTACATCTAAAAAGAACTATCCTTCATCAATAGCGATAACGTCGTAGTTTTTATATTATTATTCAATTTCTTTTAATTCAAAGCACTTGACTGCATGGTGTTTCTTACTTTAATTATAATAAAGATTTATCAATAAGGGTAAAACTAAAAACTTAGATTCTAAAAAAAAGCAAAAAGTGCTTACTGTTGGTGAGTTACAATTTCAGCTTCGTCGCTATAACGGTTATCATGTGCGAATCCAACAACGAGTACTTTCTTTTATTCACTCTCGTATTTTAAAATATCATTAAGTAGAGAAGTAGATTTTCCACTAAACATAGGTCCAAAATAGACAGAAATAAATCCTCTAGCCTTATTAGAAATGCTCATTTGTATATACTTTTTTTTTGATGATTAAGTTAATTTTTTTTAATTAATTTTATATGAATAATTATGAAAAACTAATCTTTAAATTAAATATTTTATGCGGGAAAAAATAAAGCTAATAATAATTAGCCATTCTTCTACATATGGTTAGCAACTCAAATAAGGCTTAATAATAGATAGTAACATTAAGATCACCATATTAGCTATCATTAACTATATTTAGATATTTATGATAAGTTATTTTAATTGCATAAATATATATAAAAATGGATGTGCTCTTAAGTTTTCAAGAAATTTTGTGCTAACGGCTCATATTGATTTTAAGATATTGTTAGTTTTATATGATCCCCCTCCTGCCTTTATTTAACATTCAGATATTTAAGAAATTATAAAAATTTTTCGTGCTTCTTTTAGAAATTTTGAATTTCAAGAAAAACTCATATTTTTTTGTAGTGATTCGCTCATAATAGAATAAATTAAATCCTAATTCATGTAAGTTCTTTCAGAGGAATATTGTGTACATTCTTTTAATTTTTCATTAAAATATTGCATTTTGTTAGTTTTGAGTTAAAACTTTTTAGACATAATAAAAAGCTTTGTTTTAGATTATCGTCGATATTAGTAAATTGATATTATATTATTAATATAAAACTAGTACTGACATAATTCGATGGTTTTTATATTTTTTTAAATGTCCCTATCATATGCATTATAAACTTATTTTGAAACTTAAAATCCCTCCTCCTTTGTGTATTTTAAATTTTTTAAATTTATTAACGAGCCGCCAAAATATTTTGGTCAATGTAGGGGATTTTTTCCAACATTAGATTAATATATATATTATATTTAATATAATAAGTTAAGCATTATTATGCGGTGTTCGTCTTCTAAATAATAGAGGCGCCATAAAATAAATATGGAGGCAATGTTTTTAAACAAAATATATGAATATGGAAAGAAACTATATTCACTTTACATAATTTGTAATTGTTATCTTTCTAAATTACTAATTATCTAACAGGTATTTTAATTTTTAGTTAATGTTGTTTTTAAAAATATATTTTTCTATGAAAAAGTAAGTAATTTATTATCTTTTGTCAACTAAAAAAGCGGTAGAATTTCAAATAATTTAGATATTTTGGTTTCAATTTTGAATTATTTTCTAAATTTGAAATCTTAATTTTATAATATCTAAATTATTTGGATAAATGAATGAGCGAATAAATGAAAATTTTATTTTATGTTAGCAATAAAAAATGTGCATTTAATTTTTATGTTTTTTATAAATAATAAATTAAATAGTACCACTCTTTTTTTATTTAAAGCTCTAATCTAAAAGTTTAAAATAAGATTAAAATTAATACTATTAGGTATTTAAAAATATGATAAGTATTAAATTTTAATAAAAATTTTCTTTTAAATAATGGTTTTATTATATGTTAACTTTGATTTAGATCTTGAATTTAAATTTGCATAAATGAAGATAATAATTGTTAAAAATAACTTTAATAATTTTGAAGTAACAGAATAGGTATTTTTCTTAGGTTGTTAAAATAGTATAAATCTTTCAGATTTTAGTGAAAAAAAACTAATTTGTATTGTTGAAATTATCTAATATGAAATATGAATGAAAATAATTTGCTTAATATTATAACAAAACAAAAATAGAGCGAATTTAACTGAATAATTAAATATTTTAAAAAATTGATAAGTTTTTTATATCTTAATCTATGTTTTAATAACGATCAATAAGATCTTCCCCAATAAACTCTCTTAAGAGCAGGCTTTCCGCAAGAGAAACACTTAGTGCCTTCAGCGATAGGTTCTTATTCATTAGGAATGCACAAAGTCTTTGCAGATCCAGATAAACCAGATTCCTATTATTTAAAAATATTTTAATATTTTCTATGATTTTGATTTTATATTTATTTATTTACATTTTCTGTTCCCTTAGATTCAAGAGCTGATCTTTCCTTAACAGCCTTTTCACATGAAATTTCATTGCACCTTTTATTAAAAAAGAAAAATTCAATAAATATTCAAATTTAATTATCAGTTTTCATAAATCGATATGAAATGAAAACTGTATTTATTGTCTTTAATAATTACCAAGGAGTATAGACAATGCAACGAGAGTTAAGAGAAGTCATGAATTCAGCCCAGGTACTAGCAGGCTTAATCTTATCGTTAAACTTTTTCTTGGAGTTAGTTAACATTAAATCTTGTATTTCTTTCAATCTTAACTTAGTAGTTTCAATAATACTTTCGTTAGGAATAGCTTCCTTGTGAGAGTTGACTCTCCAAACTGCTGTAATTTAATTCTTATCCATATCCATTTGACCAATTTCAAATCTTAAAGGAATACCCTTGACTTCCCAATGGTTGAATTTCCAACCAGAAGTATAGTTATCTCTGTCATCAACCTAAACTCTGATACCAGCCTTCTTTAATTCAGCCTTTAATTCATGAGCTTTGTTTAAAACTCTTTCGTTATCAGCTCCGGTTTTAATAATTGGAACGATAACAACTTGAGTGCTAGCAACAAGAGGAGGTAAAACAAGACCCTAATTACAAATTGCATAAATATTAAATGTAAATTTATTAACTTTAAAATAAAAATTACCTTATCATCACCGTGATAAAGAATCATAACACCAATAGTACGAGTAGTAAGACCCCAGGAAGTTTGGTAGGCGTATTATTTCTTTTTTTCACCATCTAAGAAGGAAATATCAAACATCTTTGAGAAGTTTTATCCCAAGTGGTGAGAAGTGGCAGCTTAGACAGCACGACCATTAGCAGGAATGCAAGTTTCAATAGTGGAAGAGAAGTAAGCACCAGGGAATTTTTCATTTTCACTCTTGACACCCTTGATAACAGGAACAGCAAGGAGTTCTTCGTAGACTCTTCTGTATTAATCTTAGATAAGGAAAGTAAATTCAGTGGCTTCAGCATCAGTGGCATGAGCGGTGTGACCTTCTTACCATAAGAATTCTCTAAGAAATAAATAAATTTATATTAATTTTTAATAAAATATTGAATTTAAAAATTAAAACTTTCTATAGATTTTAGAATATTTAATAGTTATTTAAAAGCATTTTAATTTATAATAAATACCTTGTTCTAATGAAAGGAGTAGGATCCTTGAATTCCCAACGGACTACGTTAGTCCATTAGTTTAATTTCAAGGGAAGATCTCTGTGAGACTTGATCCACTTGGAGTAAGCAGGATACATAATTGTTTCTGATGTAGGACGAACTGCAATAGGTTCAGGTAAATCAGTGGAACCACTTCTAGTAACCCAAGCAACTTCAGGTGAGAAACCTTCAACGTGTTCCTTTTCTTTGTTTAAAGCCTTATCAGTGACAAACATAGGGAAATAAGCATTTTGTACATCGAATCCCTTGATGATGTCATCAAAGAATCTCTATTATTATTATTTTTAATTGAAATTTAAATTTAACAAAAAAATAAAAAAAGTTCAAAATTTTCAGATTAGACAAATTAAATCTAAATTTTCTATCAATTTTTTTCGCGTTCTTTTAAAAAGATTTATTTTTTCGCTTACTAACTAACTAATATCTATTTATTTTTGATATATTTTAGATATACTATTAACTAACTTCGCAATAATTTAATTTTTTTATGAAGAACGTTTAGAAATATATAAATAATCTTTTTTATTTTTTTCTGATCTAGCTTTTTTAAATGTAGTAAAAATATTGTAAAATGTATTACCTAAATGATTTCCCAGATGGCATAAGCGTGGGGACGAAGAATGTAGCAACCAGAGATATCATAATATTCGATCATTTCAGATTTAGTGATAACTTGCTTGTACCATTCAGATAAATCTTGATCTTTTTTAACATCAATACCTAATTTAGTATGACCAGCTTCTTCAACTTTAGCAGTTTCCTTCTTTGCTTATTCTGCGAGCTTTTTCTCTTCTTCTTCAGATAAGTCGAGTCTCACGTGAACAAAAGTTCTGCCAATAGCATCGATAAACTTTTAGAATTCAGTTTGCTTGAATTCAACGCAAGCAGAATTATCCATAGGATGGAAAGCCCAATATTCTTCTTTCTTCAAATGTTCATCGATAATTAAAGCTTTAACCTTTTTATTAAAAATACATTTTCATAAGTCTTATGCTAAATTACGTATTCACAATGTGATTTTATTAACACTATTTTCGCTCATTTTAAAAAACTTATTGTATAAGTTTGATATTTTTATTAGGTGTTTGATAATTTATGGGTGCAAATAATATGCTTATTCTCATTCATCTTTTTTTGATCATAATAATTCAAATTTTTAACTTTAAAATGGAAAATTGAGCTTTTGAATTGAAATTAAAGAATTTATCCCTACTAACTTTTCAGTATCATTAACTAAGGCGAAAGGATTAACATGTCCTCTCTTGACCTTCAAAACAGCCTCAAGCTTTTCATCAGCAGCTAAACGCATGTTACCAGGAGCAAGATTGACTTACTTCCATAAAGTTTTTTCAACTTTAGTATCATGCTTAGCTACAACTAAATAATAGTTACCCTTCTTGTCTTGATAGAAGAGATTCTTAATTAAAGGAGCCTTTTCGAGCTTTAAGTATTTATGCATATCTTCAACATTAAAGCAAGGTTCGTGATCGTATCTCTTAAATTCGAAATTAATGCTTTTTAAGTAATCGCAAGTTTCGTCCTTTGTGAGGTATAATTTGCTCTCAGCCATTTTCCTTGAAAAGTGATTAAGATATTTTTAATGAATGCTATAGAAATTTTAATTGTTATTAATATTTTTTAAATAATTATTATTAAATTTTTGAATCCTTACGAATCTGTTTAATATTTTTATCATTTACTTTTTTTAATTTTATTTTTCTTTTAATATCTATTTGATAACTATAAATGTCTTTATTTCTCCCCAATTTATAAATAAATCATACATTCCTGTTTATTTCACGAAAATTCTAGTTATTTAATAGATAAATACTTTATAAATAAAAATGAAAAACCCATAACTGTACTACCTCATTTTTATACGACTACTCATCTATTAGCTTGTAGAAATTTCAATATTTTTAAAATTTAAAAGCTAGCTCTTTCTACTAAACAACAAGGGTCTTTAATAAATTTAATACAATATATCCAATCTATTTTATAATTCGAGTAATATTGACTTTAATTTAGTATTTAAATTAAACTGAAATTAAAATTTATTTATAATAGTTAAAGCATCTATATATATTTAGTACTATTTTATTAATTTCCTCTTAATTTATGATACTTAAAGGATTGATAGATTTAATACATCTTTATCTATTACCTTATTTTAATTATAATTTATATCTATCAAAAAATTTCTACTTGATACGAAAAGTGTCTAATCCTTAATACTAACTTTTAATTTGTCTAAAATCTGAAAAATTAGATTTATAAAAGATGTTTTGTGTAAGATATTAATCGTTTTTATTATATTCTTTTCTAAAATAAGTAAACTCATTTCAAAAAATATTCCATAAAAGTTCTAAAAATAAAAGTTAGACTCTTAGTAATTAATCTGTTTGATATAAAATTATTTTTAAAGTATTAATATTTGATAAATTATACATATATATTTACTTTGTGCAAGTATTACATTTTAATCTTGAAAATTTATAAATCTTTTAGAAAATAAAATAACACTTCAATTTTTATTTGTTCTTAAAAAAAATGATTTATTATGTTTTAAAGTAAATAATTTATTCATTAAATTAAAGTTGAATTATTTAAAAATACATCTAATAAAATTTAATTAAAAAATTAAAGTTGATTAAATTGAAAAAAAAAAATAATTTTTCGTACTTAAATTATTTTTATATTTTTTATTTAAACAAGAAAAGAAATATTAAATGTTAAAAATAATACAGTTTATCACACATCAATATTTTGAATTCTAAAACAAAATTAGAAACAAAAATGCAAACAAATAATTTATTAATCAAATATAAGTTTTTAAATTCTTAATAAGATATAAATAAAATATTTTATTTATTACCAAATATCAAATACAAATTTAAATATGAATATATTATCAAAGCAAATTTTTTAAAACTTCTAATGAATCTTTGAAATTTAATAAAGATTTAATATATAAATAGTTTATTCTTTCATTTTTTAAAATTTTTTTATAGATTTAGCTATTTAGTTTATCAAAGAATAGCTATAAATATTGCTAAAAATAATATTTTTTAAAATAAAATATCTTTAAAAGATTTATTTTAAATATTTTATATGTTAGAGGTATTTTAGCTACTTTAATTATTAGTATTTTCAGTGTCATTTTAAGGTTTATTATTGTTTGTTTAGTTATCATCAGTTGGTTTTGGGTTTATTACTTATATTTAAAAATTTTTTAACAAAGTTTATGGAATACCCAACATAGCAGAATAAAATTATGGTTAAGTTTAAGGATCTTAAGATGGATTTACAGAATATGGAGTTATATTCAAGGTTATAGTTGCTGGTTAAGTCTTACATGCATAAGTAATTGTAAGTACACTACCATTTAAAGAGGATGTAATGCATTATGTACATACTGAACTGATCAACTTATAACCAGGAGCACAAATTAAGCATACACCCTAAGTAGTAAAACCAAATTCATGAAGACAGTTAGGATCTTTTTCTATACGTTTAAATTAATTAATTTATTGAATTTATTATAATTTAAATTACAAGGATTTGACATGGAAGTGTAGCATGATTAAGGCGAAAAAAAAAATATATCATTATCTTACTGCTATTAATACGTTAATCCTTAGCAGGTAATGCAAGTCTGAGAAGAGTTCAATAGTGCATAATTTACTTAACATAATGTGCAGTAGTATTAATTATTTGCTGCATTTTATAAGCAGTTAATACAATAATCACCACATGTTGGTTAATTAGAATTTATTAAAGTTGAAATGCACCTTCCATTTAAATTAGTATATCCGTTTCTGCACTGCATTGTTACAGGATTTAAAGGATTTGTTATTGCATATGGGTCGGTTTGTGAGCAATATTTAAATGATGAACCCTTTTATTTAATGATTCATAATAAAATTAAATTATAAAAAATATAGATATAACTACCGTGACTGTAAATAAGCTATCGTTTTAATTAACACATCCAATTATACTAGTGTAACTACTACAATTTGTACCTATAGGACAGCTTGTACACTAGCTGCTACTGTTTAGATAGTATAAATCTTTACACTCTGTACATTGCTATTTTGTACAAGTGTTACATTGAGAACCAAATTTAGTTTCACAAGAAAAACATTAGTTAACACCCTCAAGATTTACCTAAATTATTAGTTTACTCATTATTTTTTTCCAATATAATAAATACTTACATCCATATAGTAACCTTTAAGGCAAGAATTGCAAGTATAAGAAATATTCTACCCTGATTAAGAAGTAGAACATACACAGCCGTTATAAGGACATTTTATACATCCAGATCCATTAGGATCTAAAACAAAGTTGTCACTACAAGCAGTACATTAACAAGGATTTGAAGGGCTTGTTTAAGTACAATAATTTGCTCCATTTTTAATGCATATTTAACAGCCACCTCCTTAAAGAGTATAATCTAATCAAATAAAATTCATTTTGTTTTGCTATTATTTAAAATATATTAATACTGTTTAAACAAGCTTGGCATTGTATCTAAGATGGATTAGAAGCGCTTGTTAATAAAACTTTGCATCCTGTATTGTTTGGTAAGCTTAAACAAAACCCGTTTAGAAGAGCGTAACCAGGTGAACACTCTTAACAAATCAGAGACTAATTTGTAATATCTGCACTATAGTATTTGCAGGATTAGCCTAATTTATAAGAGGTTATTTTTCTGCATCTTGTTACACTATTTTGATCAGTATATTCTGCATACCCATTTAAATAATCACACTAATATGAAAGGTCATAATAATTAATTCCATTTAAATCTAATATTTTCAAAATAATAATTATAAGATTAAACAATTTTTTTTATTTTTAATCATACTGTACTCACATCTTTAGGTTTAGGCATTGTAATATAGGTTATTTGAACAAGCAAAACCATTTGTAGATAAAGGAGTATATGAAGAGTTGATTATCTAAAAGTTAATAGCTGTAACTACAAAAAAAAACAAAAATTTTAACATTTAGTATTATAGTACTTCTAATTTTGTTGTTTTTTCAATCTAATTTAATAAATTTGTGGAAATCAAATATTGCGAAAAAATTAAAAATCACGTATCATAATAAAGCTCTATCAATTTAATATAGAAAGATTGATTAAAAATACATGTTTGAAGGTTTATACTTGATTTAAATCTGATTGCAGATCCAAGAAAATTAAGAGATTTTAATTATGAGGCTAAAAAATAATTTATATTCAATCATACAAAATAAATTTAATTCGATTTCCAATTTATGCAAAAAATTTGAAAAATTTATCATTTATAACTTAAGAATATAATAATGTAAAATATTTAAATAAATCCTTTCTAAAAAATTTGTATTTTTCTCTTTTTAGATTACACTTATAAAACAATTAAAAATAGAATAGAGAGTATCAATTTAATAAACCCTAATAGATTCTTTTCTTTACCACTTACAAACAAATATAAATTTAGGTGCACACCTATCAAACCCACTAATATTTTATGTTACTTTATAAAATTCTGATATAAAATCTAAAGATGCTTCTCAAATATTACACATAAAATAGATAAGTTCAAAAAAAAAATTATAAAATTTTATCAAATTCTAAATAAATTACTTCCAATAGTATAAAATAATTCTAATAAATTTTATGTAATAAAGAAAGTAAAATAATAGATATCTATCTTAAAAAATCAACTCTATAATTGTTTGTTTGCTAGAGATATATATAATCAACAACTTTTAAAGATAAATGAATTTTTATTTATAGGATTAAATATTTTTTAGTATGAAATACAAAATATAAATTTAAGAATTATTTAATACAACATTCCAAATTAATATTGAGCTTGGAAATATTTTAAAATTTATGTAAATTGATGATTTAAATAAATCATAATCATTCTATTATATGATAATGAAATTTAGTGGATGCATCTTTTTACTAAATAAATACTTAGATAAATATTTTAAATGAATCTAAATTGAAATAAATTACAAAAATAAAGAAAATGAATCAAAATTATTTATCCTTTTAGTAATCTAAATATAAAATATCAATACATCTTCAATATTTTACTTAGGTTAAATTACTATTTGAAAATGAATGGATCAATTTTAAGTGAAACATTATTTGGAATACCAAGTTTTAAAATTATAAAAGAATTTGTTAAAATCTAATTTTTTTATTATCTATCTTTTATTGATGAAGATTATATGTTGGATTCTGTGGTTAAATTTATTAAACAAATTATTTATCAATTTTGGTTGAGTCTTAGGTATTTTTAATATTAGAAAGATTAATTAGGAAAATATCTTAAGATTGAAGAATTACCATAATTTACTAATATAAAGTATATATACATGATGAGAAGAATAAGACATTTTAAAGATAATATGAAATATTTTTGAATTAATCATAATTTAAATATAATTTTTTTTTTTAGTATTTAATTTGTTTACTTGTTTTGTTTATTTAGTTTTGGCTTTTTTGGTATCAAATAATAACTAAATAATTGTTGTAGCTTAAAAAACTAGCTAATTCATACTAGAGGATATGAATTTTCGGTACTACTGCTTTCGTTGTATTGATAGCTTTATTATTAAGAATTAGTATTATTTTAATCCTTTGAGAACTGAAGTGTGGAAGGAGTATATAATTAATTAGATTATTTATTATTTAAGGATTTATTTTCTTCTGAAGATTCTTCTTCATTAGAACCATCTTCTTTTTTAATGATAATTTAATTAATTTAAGTGGGTTGCAATTAGAAATTTTCATCTTCAAGATCAATGAAAATACGGTTAATGAGAATTTGCTTGTTGTAAAACTTCTTCATAAAAGACCAACGTTCAGCACGAGTTTCTTCTAAACGTGAAATCTTCTTTTTTCCATTGGTTTTATTACTTTTATTATTATTTTATTTTTTTAAAGATATTTTAGCAGTTTATTTTTCTTCTTTTTAATATATAGGACTTGTAGATTCACTTGATTAAGATGAATAGCATGAAGGGATACTGTCTAAGTTAGGTTACTCTTTTTTAGTGCAATTTGAGCAAGAAGTGCAGCTTTTTTTAATTTTTTTTACAATAGAAGGAACTTATTTGCTTTATTAGCATTCTTCGTGTTAAGATTGTTACAAACAAAAAGAAGTATTTCTGGTAATTTAATTATTTTGAATTGGTAATCTGTATCCTTCTAAAGATTAATTAGAAATTTAACAATAGGAATCTTACAAAGATGAGTGTTCAATTTTAGGTAAAAAATTTAAATGAGAAAAATCAGAAATATGGGATTGAGTAGATTATAACTATGGTGATGAGGAAATAGGTCTTCTTTATTTGAAAGCCATATCATTTGGGTATACTTAATTCATATTGTTGAAATTAATTGGGATATGATTTATATTTTAATTTTATCCCATTTGTTATTAACCATATAAAATTTAATTAGGGCCTAATCCAGCTGTTTAATAATGATTTGGAATTAATAATTAACTATTTTGAGCTTATTAAAATTTTTGAGCATAAAAATTTAACAGTTATTATTCAGCTTCAATTTATTGAGCCTTGAGAAGTTAAGCCTTGAGGTAGCAGATATAATTGTATTATTCATTTTATTAGGATTGAGAAAGCAAATAATTATTTGAAAATTATTCTTAGTATATCATATTGTTGTTATTATTGTTTAGTTCAAAAATGTTTTGTTAGGATATCATAATCTTAATTTTTTATTTGAAAATATTAAATAATTTATAGAGAGATAATCAATTAATTAATTAATCAATCTTCTTAATTTGATTATTAAGGATTTGTTTGTAAAAGATATTTATTTTAAATTAATTAATTATGCGTTCTACTTAGATTTAATTGTTAATGCTTTTAAGTGCTGATTTTTATAAGATTTTGATAAATTTTTCCCCCCCAATCTTGTCATAATTTTTGATTAGTGCTATTGATCAAACAAAAGTTGCTCCTGATAAATTCAAATAAAGAATATATCAAAAATATTAGAAAAGGGATGATCTAATTTTGTTTGATTTCTAAGTGCTGATTTTATTTACTTTCTTTTTATTTTTATCCACACCTTGTTAGTAATTAAAATTTCTCTCATATAAAAGATTTTGTGAATTTATTCACATTCATTTGTAACAATCTGACTTATTTCTTAAAATTAAAACGCAGTGCATTATAAAAAATTCATAAAATATTCCATTCCCTTATCTAAATAGTAAAATTTACACTTTCTCAAAAGGTAAAACTGATTAATTTCGGTCCTAAAATTTTTATCATTTTTTAAATATTTTTAAATTATCAATAGAATACTACTCCTCTTTTTCGTTATTAGTATCTCTCCATGATTTTCTGCTCCAGTACAACCTAAAAGGACACATTATTTTTTAAAAAATTGCCATATTATTATTATTTTATATTTAGTTTTTGAATATGTACAATAATTCAAGTGTAATTAAATTATTTATTTGTAATATTTTCAAAGTAAATTCTTTCTTATTTTTTTCTATAGGAGAAAAAATTACTTATATTTTCTCTTTTAATTTTAAATATCAAAAATAGTAAAGGGATTCTCTTATTAAAAAAGTATAAATTTAATTTACAAAAAACTTAAACATAATTTAATACAAAAAATTCAATTTCTTTATATTGAATCTTTAAAAGTGTATTAAAGGTATTCTTTTTCTTAATTTAAATACCTATGCATACTTAAGTTTAAGTAAAAAGTATTTTCATTTTAAATTATTTTATCATAGAAATAGCAAAGGAGATTTTTTATTTTTTAAAAGTTGCTTAAAAGAAAAATAAAATTATATTTTAATAATTTATGAAAATCATTGATTATTTTATAAAAAATCTAATTTTGATTATTTTTTTCTTTAAAATTAAGAATCCAAATTATCATCAAAACCCAATTAAGGATTAATAATATTAAATTCACAATTATTGAATATTTGCTTTTGTTTTACAAATTTAATAATAAATTCTTAAACATTCCAAAATTAATTAAGCTAAAATAAGTGAAAAATAAAACAAGATATTCTTTTTTACATAAACAATTAACCAAATATAAATTATATAAACAAATTTTATAAACTTAAGTCTTTAAATTATAAAAAACTATATTAAATATATATTTTAAATATTAAATTTTGAATTTTAAAAATAAAAATTTATTTAAAATTAAGGTAAAAATTATAAAACAGAAAAATGGAATACAATTAATTAATTAATCAATCAAAAATGCCTGACCAGGAAAAGAATCAAACAGAAGTTATCAGAATCTTATATCAAACAATACTTGTCCCCTGATTAGTGTCTTTTTTTTAAAACTTGCTTCATCGGGGAAGTAATAAAAGTTAGAGAAGCAGGTGTGATAAGAATTTAGAGTACACATAAGCTATCACCCTTAAGAAAAATATCATTATATTAAACCTATAATAAAACATATTATGAAATTTAAATTTCTACATAATTTGTAAATATTTTAAGTTACTCGTTTATATAACTTAGAATAATTTCTAATGAAAGCCCAACGATAGATATGATAGAAAAATAATATAGAAGATTATATGACTTTTTAAGACTGGCCAGAAATCCGATCAGGTAGTAAACTGATAAATACAGTATATTGGCTTTTAATTATTAAAATAAAATTTTTATTTAAATAACTTTAAAAATGGAAATAGCCATATAAAATCAACAATAAAGTAAGAATTACTATAAAATAGAAACAGGAATATGCTTTCTATTTAGCTCACCTCCAATTTGTCATAAACTACCTACAACTAGCATTTTAAAAAATAAATAAAATTTTTTTTTTCAATTAATATAAAAGAATTTTTAAAGTAAAATTGAATTTTCAATTTTTTATAGATCAAATTTCTTTATCGTCATCTAATCATTAAATATTTATAAAGTTAAATGGATAGAATAATTTCTTCTTTTTATCTATAGTTATATTGGGTTGCTTATTTATTGAGTATTAGCTTATATTTTGCTTTTTTTCATATAATGTTTTCATTTTATCAATCAAAAAATGTTTTACTTTTCAAATTAACGTTGAATAAAAAAATTTTTTTCTCATAGTTTTTCACTCACGAATTGCCAAAATTTTGAAAATCTTTTACAAATAATAGTTCTCTAATTAGCTTATTTTCTCAATTTAAAAAAAATAAAACATTTTTTTGTTTGGTGGATGAATTAATTTATTTTTGGTTCTTCTAAAGGATGGGTATTTACTATCTTAAAATAACTCATAATTATTAAATACTTTTCTTTGTTCAATAGTTAATATTTGCAAAAATCATTTTACTGGATTGGTAAAGTTTAAATTTTATTATTGATTTTCTCTATAATTTTTTCTTAATTTTTATCATATAAATACAGTGAATGTTTAAAACTAATTACTTCTTTTATAGTCTTTTCTCTAAATTTATAAGTCAAATATTAAAAAACGCCTTCAACTATAAGTTAGACTATAAGAAAGAGTAGAAAACAAATGTTGTGTCTGATGTACAAGTCAATGAATTAATCTACAAATTGAGGTAGTGACCCTAATGGGATAAAGAACGGGTGAGCAGGAGAAGAATATAGTGGAAGGAGTACTTAATTTTAAGGCAAAGACATAAGACTTAATTAAGATGTATCTTAAGATAAATTATCATCTTAATCACCATTAATCCCATAATTAAGATTATCCTTTATCTTTTTATAATCAGATGCTTAAACTGGTTTCACTATTATTACGCATAATTGATTTTAAATATCGAATTTGTAGTTCAAAATACTTCTTTCAAGAATCAATTTAATCTAAAAATTTACTTAATTGCAAAGTTCCGTCTGGATTTTGCAATAATCCTCCTTTTGATTTTGAAATGAATGATAATGACTATCTATCAGAATAAATCATTGAAGAATCTGACTTTTAATCTTCTTGAGCATTAATTTCTACTTACTAATTAAGGACGAAGTTACCTTCTTCTCTATTCATTACAATAATTGCAATGTAGAATAAGTAGATATTATTTTTTATACTTTAGTATCCTTATGCTTTTTCAGATTTTAATACTGATAAGTAGTGTAAATACAAAATAGGCTAAATATTCTTTTAATATTAAATTAATATTAATGATTGATTTTGGCATATTATTCAATATTTTTCATAAAATTGTAAGTTTCTTGAATTTTAAAATCGCTTTATCAATAATGGTGTTAAAAACGCATAGTTTTTCAATAATTTTTTTCTAAAAAATATTATTTGAAAACATTTTAGCTAAGAGATCTTCAATATGATATTATTGATTTTTAAGCTAATAAAATATTTCATATTAATTTAGTCATTTTGAATATGAAATTCAATTTAAATATTTAATTTTTCATTTTAAACATTTTTAAATCATAAGTACAGAAAAATAATTTCATATTTGTATTTTAATTTATATTATATATTATATATAAAAGCCTTTACCTTAGTTGTAAAAACATTTATTTGCTAACTTGCTATTAATTAAACAATCAAATAGAAACATTAAAAAATGATATATTTTATGTAAATTTCTATTCTTTGATTTTTTTTTATTAAATGAGTTTAATGTAAAATGTTTTATTTGTTGTAAAACAAATTAATTGTTAAAGATTATATTTTATTATACTTGAATTCGCTAAATATTGCATTAAATCTGAAACTTTTATTATTAATTAATTGAATGGCAGAATCTTTATTTAGAAGAAACAAATATATAGTTAATTTATTCAAAATTTAAAATAATATAAAAAGTAATAAATAAATAGGCTGAAAATTAATATAAAAAGCTAAGATGAATATTTAGTAAAACTAATTGTAAGATCCTCCCCATAACAGCTCTCATTATGGAAAAATAGAATATTGGGAAAAGAGATATTAAACGTAGAATTATTACAAATATATTAGTTTTTAAAAGTTTTTAAAAGAAACTAATCTAATTCCATAACATTACATTATTTCATGAAATTATGTATAAAATCTCAATAATAGAAACACAAAGCCATTTGATTGGTACTAGAATTATGATGGTGTCAAAGATATTATTACCTAATATATAAATAAAAGTACAAGAATTCTAAATGTAGGATGTGGATCATCGCGTAAAGATTTAAAATAGTGATTACTGCAAACTTTTTAATGTTTAATCAATAATTTTAAAAGTATTGAGCGAAGAAATGTACTTTGAAGGGTATAAAAACATTACAAATGTGGACTATTCCAATAATTTAATAAAGCATTTAGTTGAAAGATATTCTGAGGGTTTTGAAAATACATTTAAATGTAAATATTTTAAAAATTTACTACTATTGGTTCTAAATTTCCTTATAAAATAATAGTTGAACACTGTGACGTTAGAAACATGAAAGGCAAATTTGCAAATAATTCTTTTGACTGTGTAATAGATAAGGGCACTCTAGATTCAGTTTTGGTATTAAATAAATAATACCTTTTACATAATATATAAATTAAAATATAAATTAATTATAAAAAATTATCTAAAATCTTTAAATTTTTTAGACATGATGTTTTTATTTTGCACTCAAAATAAATTAAATCTATATGCATAATCAATAGTGTGGAGAATATTCAAGATAAAATTCATTTAAGATGCTTTCTGAAATAAGTAGGGTGCTTACTTAAGATGGTGTTTACATGGTTGTAACATATGGTGAAGAAAAGAAAAGACAACAGCTTTTAGAAAATGTAAATTCATATATAATTATAATTTTAATGAATATGAATTTATCTTAAGGATTAAATTCTAGTTAAAATTCATTTTAGATTGCATATTTTATATATTATTTACTAATAAAATAGCCAGAATTCATGTGGCATGTTAAAAAAGTATATAAAATTTACAAGCCTAATGTTCAATCAATTTCAGAAAATTTATTCGACTATAAAGATCCTGATAATTATCATTACATTTATATATGCAAGAAAGTAAAAACCGTTATTTAAAATTATATTTATATCATTTAATAAAAAATAAAATAATATTTAGGGAGACTAAGTACTAACCCCTAGAGGAAAGCTAGGAAATTTGTTTAAAAATGTTTGATAATATTCTAAAATTAAATTAAGTTAATATATAATTATTATGTTCTTGAAAATATTCTATTAATCAAATATTTGGAATTTAGCAAAAAAATATATTGCCATTAATATTTTTGATGAACAAAGCAATTTTTAATTTAAAAATATTATATAAATTCGTTTTAAAATTTTATTTTTAATAGTAGAATTTTTTATTTGCTATATAAGTGTTAGTTCTTATATTTTTTGAATAGTTGATTAGTAGCTATGATTTTTATTTTTTAATTGTCGATTGTAAATTCCTGATTAATTAAAAAACTATTTTTAAAGAAGAAAAAACACGTCTAATTAATATAAATAAAAAATTATTTAAAATAGAAGAAAAGAAAGGTTTATTTACAAGAAAAAATTATATCCTCAATTTCAAAAGTAGAAGTTGCTTAAATGGATAAACAAATTTAGATAGTAAAAGAAATAGGTAAAACTCCTGAAGAACAAGTACTTATCACAAATGTCACGATAGGCGAAGGAGCTTTTAGCAAAGTTTATATAGCTTTTTATAAGAAAGAATTTTTTGAAAAAAAAGAGAAAGCAACAAAATTATGTGCAAAAATTTTGTAAATATCTAATCCAACTCAATTACCCTACAAATAAATTCAAACAGAGTAATAAATTATGATGAGTATACAGTCTCCATATGTACTAAGGTTGCTGCAGTTTCATTAAACGATAAATAATGTACTTTTTTTAATTTTAGTTTCCTAGCCTTATCGATTAATTAATTTTTTATTGAATATTCTTATTAATTGGATAAGCAAGCATTTTTTAAGATTGTTATTCTCTTTCTCTAGTTTTTTTCTCTAATTAAAAATTTCTAAAAAGATATATTTTATTCTTGAATACTGTGAAGATGGAGACTTGACTAAGCTTTTGAAATATAATGTAAATTAGCTAATTTATTTATATTTTTCAAATATATTTATTTACTTATAATTATCTAAAAATTTTGTAATTAAAATTTTCTATAAATAATTTATTTGTTTAGGAATTAAACGAAGGATAAGTTTTATATTTATTTGGGTAATTAAGTAGAGGCATGCTTGAGTTAAAAAAATAAAATGTATTTCATAGAGACTTAAAGCCTAGTAATATTTTAATTAAGGAGGGTACAATCAAGATAGCAGATTTTGGTTTATCAAAAATATGTGATCCTCTTCATATTAGCAATACTTAAGTAGGTACCCCATATTATATGTCTCCTTAGGCCTTAGAATCAAAAAATTACAATCTAGAAAAGAATGACATTTGGTCAGCTGGTGTTATGCTCTATTAAATGTTATACAGAAAATTTCCTTGGGAGATATAGCAAATCGAAACACACTAAAAGCTGATTGATGTTATTAAGAACACAACAAACATACATTTTTCAAACAATTTCTCAATATCGGAAGACACAAAAGATCTGATAAAAAATATGCTAGAAGTAGAAGAAGCTAACCGCTTTGAATGGGAAGAAATCATAAATATGAATATAATAAAGGAGAGTTAAAAAGAGGAATATAAAAGTTAAATAATTTAAATGATTAAAAAATATAAATGAAAAATATCTTTCAATGTGATGGTTGTTTCATTTATTCACTAATCATAAATAAATTAAAAATAAATAAATTGTTGGCAGTACAATTTTTTTAAACATAAAAAATATGTCATATTTATAATACATAATATAATTACATTAGACTTTTTAATTTATTAATTTTTTTTCATTTAAAAATTAATTTATAAATCAAGCTATTGTTAAAATTAATTTAAATCAAATAAATTCTTGTTCTTGAATTAAAAAGAGCAGATAGAAAAATAAATAATAATATAATTAATTATTAATGAATCATTTAATTTTTTTGCTAATTTTACAAATATTCTAAAAAAAATTTCTTTTCCTAAAAATTTTAAACATACTCTTAATAAAAATATGATAAAAAAAATTTTACTTCTAATTTGTTAATTTATAATTAAATCAATTTAATTAGAATTTAATAAATAAATGTTCAAATAGAAAAAATCTCATTGTAATATTAAAAATAACAAAAATCAATATATTGATTGAGAGATATAAACAAACAAAAAGCCTTTTACATTTTTATTTAAAAATTATTTCAAAAAAAGAAAAAATCAATAAAAAATATTCTAAATAATAATGAATTTTAATAAATATTGAATAATAATTATTATTAATTTTTTTAATTAAAGTTTTAATATTTTTAATTAATTATTTTTTTAATATTTCTATTAAATACCTCAAATATTTTAACCTTAAATTTCACAGTTTGTCTTTTGGATATTTAAAAAATTAAGATAGAGAACTGTATTCATATAAGAAAATAATCTTGATATTTTGAAATTAAATTAAAAAATATATATTTTAATATCAAATAGGTATTAGTAAGTATTGGCTTAAGAAATAAAAATTAATATGTTTTATAATTTATCAAATTAATTAACAAAAATAAAAAATATATAATATTATTTTTATCAATTCTGTTTGTTATCTTCTTTATTTGAAAATTATGTTTTCTTGTCTATTTCATTTTATTCCTCTTTTTCTCCTGACCCTTTGAACAATCCTCTTTGATTAAACTATTCCCAGTTTAGCTTCTTATAAATCAAAAATCTTAATAAATTATCCTAATATTAGCTGAAATCTTTATTTTATTTTTCTTCTAAGGCTTTAATTTTTTCTTAAAACTCTTTTGATTTTGTGTCATTTGATAGAATGTCTAAATTGTATTTTTAGATTTAAAAAAGTTATTATATATTTATTTAATTAAATTAAGATAAATATTCTTTTACCTGCTTGCTATGAGTCTTCAAATTAATCATAATCATTCCATAAATCGCGAGCACTCTAGATATTAGCTTGAGATACAAGATTTTTTTGTGAATCAATTACATTATTTTTTTAATCTTCCTGTTGTTATTATAATTTCTAAAGAGATTGCTTATTGAAATTCTAAAAATCTTATTTGTATATTAATTAATTGATTTCTATGAACACCTTCAACTTTTTGAATAATTCATCATACGAATAATAAGTAATTTTATTTTCATATCTTATTTTTAGAGAATATAATTCCTCCTACATAGAAACAAATTCAAGGTTTTCTTTCATCTGATAGGAGGTAAAGTTGCTGGGCTTAGTGACCCATGCTTAATGCACACAATAGCAGAAACTTAAGATTGAAGTAACAAAAATCTTTAAATAATAAAATAAATTATATAGGAATATAAATTTATTAATTTACTCTTTAATCAGCCCATGAAGCAATATCAAAAGATCCAATACCTGCAATGAATATGTAGAAATAAATAAATATTGTTGGAATATTTGCAAAGAAAATTCTCCACAGCAAGTGCAAGAACTCAAAAGGTACACGGATATTTATATAGCTTAAACCTACAGTTGAAAATTTTTCTAATAGCTTGGAAAAAGCATTCATTTGAATAGAAAGAGCTAAACCTGTAAATAAATTGATGAAATAAGTATTAGGCAACTATTCATAGTCATGTTCACTCCTGTCTCTATAGAGTTATTAGAGATACTGACAAACAATTATGAAATCTTTAAACAAACTGCAAAGTATAAAACACGCCTAAACAATTCCAAATTTTTTAAGATCGTGTTCTTAGCAATTGTATAGGAAAATGGAGAATTGAATATCTGTGTATTAATCGTACTTCAGTATAAATGAGAAAAATAATCTAAGCATAAGCGAAAAGTAACTAATGTTACATATTTTCTTGGAACCTACTAAGTATTAAACATCTAGACAAAGTAGAGTTTCAAGTGTTATTGCAAAAATACAATATATATAAAATGCAACATCCCAGTAAATGTTCAGACTATTGCAACTGTCTGTAAGTGGAGTATAAATTTGCAATATCGTTGAAATTAAAATAAAACCAATCAAATAAACAAAGTAGGTAACTATCAAGATCTAAAATGCATAAGTTAAAGTGTAAAATTATGATTTTCTTTCCTTTTATTTACTAATTAAGTGCTTATTTTGTTAGCAAGGATCTTTTAAGAATTTTTAGATTCTCAACAAGCGCTACCTTTCTTCATTCTTATTTATTAAAAAGTTAAAAATAAAAAAAGGAAAAAAAAGAAATGAAATATTTTTTTTACTTCTTCTATAGTAAAGCTCGTGCAACCAAGTATGTAATTGACCAAAAGAATGTCTATATCAAAATAAAAATCGTCTTATTAAAGAATTAATGGTACCTTTTTTATAACTTTTATTTGCAGTTATCCTTCTTTTGAAAAAGTGAATTAGGACTATTTCTTTAGCTTACGTAGTTCATATTTTTTTACAATATATTCTTCAATCTCAAAGCAAATGAAAAGCGTGAATTATAGAATTGTAAAAACAAAAAAGAAAATTGCTAAAAATATAACCAAAAAGCGTTTGCCTTCTTTCCATTTTCTAGCTATCTACCTATTTACAAACTCATAAAAACCAACATTGACAAGACTCTGAGCTATTACCTCAGAACTTGCAATTTATGCTTATTCTCCTAACTCAGAAACTTCTTTTTGGCATTATTTATATAATTCCATATATTTTTCATATTTCTGCTCCAAGTAATTCAGCTCCTCAGTTAATGGATCTTCTAATGGTTTCCATCCATACAATTTTACGCTATCGATTTTTTTTTCTTGTTATTTTGGGGCAGACTACCTGATGAGTCCAACTTCTTATTTTTCTTCATCTTTCTTTTCTTCTTTATTCTCTTAATTCTCATTTGGTTTAATATCTTAGTTAATTTACGCTTCTTCTTATTATAAATCTTGAGGTGGATGCTAGTCGATCTAATCTTCTATATTTTCTTTTTTATTATCTAATAATTCAAGTTTTTCTAAACTTCCTTTTTTCTAGATTGAAATTGCCTAGAAAATATTTTTTTGTATAGGCGTATTCTGCTTTTGTTCTTAATTTTTTATTTAATAATATATATTGAATGAAATAAAAAATCAATTAATAAGTTAATCAAAATAAAAAATTTAACAAAAAATATATTTCAATTGAAATAGAAATAATTGTACATTCAGCTTATTCTGCTCTTTCACTGATGAATTCTTTGATTAAGTCAATCCTTTCCAAAATATCTTCCAATATAAGCTCAATTGATTCCATTTCTTATTTGTTTGAAGTAAGGATAATGTTTAAACCATTCTAAACCCTATCTACTATAGATGAGTAGATGTACTTCATACCATAAGAAGTTAAACGATTATTGTTTGAAAGATCAAGTAACATCAATTTTTAAAGTTTATAAGAATCTGAGAGAACATTACTTAGTCTCTGAGCGAATAGATCACTAACATTTAAACCTATTAACTCTATAGATCTTAAGTTATTTAAGTCTTACTCTATAATAAAGAGTAAGTGCAAAAGGATTTTATCATCTAAATTATGGTCTGGTGAAATCAATTTAGAATAAGCGCTATCTTTCTATGCAGAACTTTCATCAATAACTTTAGTACTTCTTAAATTTTTACTTTCTTTAATTTTGCTAATACCGCTGTTAAGCTTTAACCAAGGAGTAATATGGTTAGTAATATAATTATTAAGACCTGAATAGTTGAAGAACGAGTTATTTTTTAAGTTTAGATTCTCTATAAAATCAAGCAAAAATATTTATCTTGATTCTTACTTAATTAAATTTTCCATTTTCTTTTTATATTAATCGATCAAATACATTAAATGATTCGAATATCTACTAAATTTTAAAATGAATCTCTCTTTATCTTTTTGATAATCTTTAAAGCTCTTATTTCTTATTACTTCTATAGTGAGTTTATTTGTATTCTTAAGTTCTATCTCATTATACTATTTTTGGTTCTCCAAATCCTCATAATACTTTTTATTTCTTTTTTTAGCTGTGATATATTTTTATTTCGATTCTTCTAATGTTAAAAAATATGTTTATCTATAAAATTCTGACTTGGGAGTTGTTCTTACAGTGTTATCTTTGAGGAAATCCTGTATATATTCAAATATAGTCTCATCATATGATGTGTCTACAAAGACAGGGTCTTTTTGATTCATAAATTTCTATGTTTACTACAAATAATATTCGTTTCTTTCCACGTATATTTTTACTAAATTAAAAAGGTCTTTGTCCATAGACTAAATATAGTCATAAGAGTTTTTAAGCATATTCTAGTCATGTATAAATTAGTATACTTCATAGAACGAGGTACCACTCAAACTTTTCTAGAAACTAGTATTGAGGAAATAAAGTAGCTTTTCATCAAAATCAATGCATTTTTGTTGCAAGAGAAGGTTAAAGCCATATTTAACATTTATAAAGGTATCAGGTGATATATATCCTATATTATCTTTTTGCTTAGTTAATTCAACAATTAAATCATCATCAATCTATGATTAAATATCGTTTTATTATAAAAAGGCACTTGTGTCTAGATTTTGAGACTAAAGGAAAGGTAAAATAATTTGTTTTAATTCACTTGATTGAGCATAGGCATTGAACAAATTTGTTAGTTTCAAGAATTTAATTGTCTAAATAAAATGATTTGATTAGATAAGAGTTTTTATAAATTTAAGATTCATAACAGTGTTAATTTCAAAAGATATACTCTGAATAAATCTCTCAAGTTGGAAATGTCTTCTAAAATTTTTTATTTATAAACAAAATTAACAAAAGAAAATAAATAAATAAATATTAATAATAAACTTACTTTTTCTTTCCCTAACTCTTATTCTGTTGATTTGAGCTTTTCTATCCTTTTATATGACTTTCCTATAAAAATTGAAGAACAGATACCAAATATCCTTCAGGATCTGCAACTTCACACCCTTAAATAACAACACAATTCAAATTTATGTTATTTTTCAAACTTTAAAAGCATATTTAGAAATGCTCTTTAGAAATAGACGATTAAGAAAAATCTAGTTCCTGTAAATTTTAGAATAACCTTAAAAACTTAGAGAGATCTTTTTCGTTGATGAAGACCCTATTTTTATTTTTTCCCTTTTCTTCTTAAAATTTATTTTCTTCTTCATTATCTTTATCCTCTTCCTGTCCTTTTTAATCTTCTTTTTTCTCTTCTTAATTATAATTTTCATTTTACTGATTTTTAGCTACATTCTTTTGAATTTCTTAATCATAATCTTCAAAATCATCCATACTTTTTTTCAGAAGCGGATCACCTTTTTCTGAGGATTTTCTACTCAAAATATCTGATTTTTCGTCACCTGATTTCAAGTTTTGCAAGTTAATATTGTCATCACCTATCTAATTTTGGTTCTCATTTTGATCGACTTCATTATTTTCTTTAACAAACTAACTCTAAACCTTATCTAAAGCCAATTAATTCTCTTCTAAATTATTTATTTTTCTATCCTCCACTCCTTTAATCTAAATATTGTTGTTGTTCTTAAAAGAAATATAAAACACGTTAGATTTGACAAAATCCATACTATTTATTTATTTTAGGTGTTTTTATTACCAGCAAGGAGCTAAGATATTGAATATATTTTAAATAGTAATTGGGTTACGGCAAATCTAAAGCAAACTTAATGTATTTTCTACAAATTTTTCATTAATCTTATTTGATTTTTCATACTTATCAAAAGTTATTTCCAGCAAGCATGGAAAACTATTTAGGAATTCCTATTCCTTTGAATAATCTATAGTATCTAAATACTCAACCTAAGAAACATAAAATTCTATAGACAGAGGCTTTTTCTTTTTTTTAGCAGATATTGGGTGGCTTATAATATTCTACTCTTAGTTATTATTAACTACAACTGCATTATTGTTTTATTAATTTGTATTTTAGTTTTTATTATTAACGGCATTATTATTTTATTTTTAGTTATTATTTTTGTTATTGTTGTTGTTATTATTTGTGTTATTATTATTTGGTGTATTAAACTATTATTTTGTTTAATTTTAAACCTATGCTTAGGTAGGACCGATTTCTTTAATTTCAGTATCTAACCCTGTCCTAAATGCTTTAAAAGCATTAAAAAGAAAATTTGTAAATGGAACTTTACTGTTTTTATCATTTTGATCTAGACGAAGTAAGAAGTACTTAGCACTCTCGTTAGAGACAATAGCCTAAATAATTTATTCTTTTTTCTTTTCTTTGTCATCACTAAAAAGCTATTGAATATACTTTATCTCTTAGCTCCAATCTTTCCCCTCCCTGTTTGTATTTCTTATATATTCAATCATAGGTTTATGATTCCTAGATTCAAATTACACATTTAAGCCTGGGTTGTTAACCATAATCTTTTCATAGAGGTAAACAAAGTCTACCCATTCTAAATTTGCTTTAATTACAAGTTTATTCAACTTTGTCATCCTATGCAATTGGAATTATTGTAAGTACGATTCAGGTGGACCTTATTCTTATGGGGCTTCACTTTAATTTTATTGGGCATTCTATTATTATTATTATTAAGCATCTTATTATTTAATTTATGAGTGGTCACCTTATTTTTAATGACCTTAATCCTTCTACTATTAATTATTTTTTTATTGGTTATTTTTTCCTTGCTATATTTAAGACTGTTATGTGCTTTTATCATGCTAATTTTATTACTGCTGATTATTATTTGCAGGTGCTTAAGAAACAGCATTTGTATTTTGTTGTACAGCTTTTTCTGGTTTCTTCTTTTTTTCTTCCTATTTCATACTTGGAATATACATAGTGTATTAAGAGTAGTAAAATATGTTGTTCTTTCTCATTTCCATAACTTAATTTGGTCTTATTAAGGTTGACAAATCTACTCTTTTTTCAATAAATTCTTAGCGATTGAAACTTTTAGATAAAACATTATTTATTTCAAGATCATAATATTGTTCGAAGCTAATTTTAGAAACTAATTCTAAACTATCGATGTTGTGTTTTAGCTTTAAATACCCTTTAGTTATTATCAAATTAATTATCTTATTTTAAATTTCTTTTTCTTCTTGAGTAATTTGATTTTCATCTCTATCTTTTCCCCTTGCTCTAATCGAAATTGATCTCCAATTTAAGTATGGTAAATTAAAGATATCTTATAATATATTAATAGGACATGTTTAATCAGTGTAAAAGACCATGTCTTAAATTTATTATATAAAAAAAGGACTAGCTACGTAAAACCTAGTCATCAAATATTCACTGCTAATTGAGTCCAAATTGATATTGGTTAGTAAAAGATCTAAAAAGTGTCCACACTCAAATAGCTTAAATTACATAAAAGGTCTGTTAAAGAAATTACATACTTACTAAATACTAGAAGTTGAAATATCTAATCTCTTATATAATTAGAAGCTTATAGTTATTTTTTATAGGTTTAAAAATGCTGGTTTATAACCCCAACTTTCACAATAGATCATGTAATGAAGAGCAAAGGTTGTATTTTACTTAGACTAAAATCTAATTTCTTCAATACAGCTAAAGTCTTCAACTCTTCTAATTACTTAATTTATAGCATCATAAGCACCAAGGAATTATTAAAAGAAATCAAGATAAAGTACTTTTTATCTCTATTAAAACCAGCCATGGAGATCTATTTCTGGATATATAAGGGTGTAAAATGAGTAGAGATCATCTTTCAGTTGGAAAAATAAATCAGTTAGCTGATAAATAAAGAGACCAAAATCAAATTGAGTTGAAAACATTTTATGGAGAGATTTTTTAGATATAAGATATAGGTATCTTTTATTTAATAGTTCTTTAGATAAAAATTGAATTTCTTTTAAATTTTTTAAATTGTTAAACATTAAGAATTTCTCATAAAGTCCCTCTTTCTTTAATTCCGCTTATTCTTCTGTATTATTTTTTGAGTTTTCTTGTGCTTTGTAGATCTAGATATCTATTAATTTGAACTCAGCCTCATTGAATAATTTCTTTTGTTCTCTCAAATATTCAGCAATGTACTCAGTAGCAACAAGATCTTATTCAATACCGATTTTACTCCTATCCTCTAATTTGTCTTCACCCAATATGATTTTCTATATGTTTGTACAGTACTTACTTAAAAACAGTTTGAGTAAAGTTGTGCTTGATATATCTCTTTTGCTTACATTAAGTTTTGATAAATCTATTTCTGTGATATTGATTAAATGGGGTTGCTCTGACAAAATTGCTAAGCATTCATCATCAAGATATTCTTAATTGTCATAAAGGAGTTTATCGATTTAAACTCTTGGTTTCCACTTTTGTTAAATCATGATCTTTAAGTTCTATTATAAATAAAATAATAAATAAATATCATCATAATTAAAAAATGCGATTTCCTTACTGATGTTATAAGTTTTTTAACAGAAAGCTATTCTAACTAAGGAATTTTGTTAGAATCAGCTATACTCGTCCAAAATTGTTAATTGCTTGTACTGTCACGCTAGATATTAATTGAAAGATTCTTTAAATTAAATAGATAGTTAGAGACTTAGAATATCTATTCTAATTAGTTGATATCATGATCAATATTATCTATGGTAAGTGTCTGGATTTATTGCATATAAGTACTGTCAATAATACTAAGCAAGAATGGAGTACAGCTTATGATTCCAGGCTCTTCTACAATATCTTTTATAGAGAATCGTATATTAATATATTTAGCTCTAATCATATAATGGAAGAACTGGTTGCATTTTGAACAATTAGTGAGATCTATTTTGATCAAATTAGGTAACATTTTTGTACTAGCAAGTTTAATAAACACTTACTCATTTAAGAGTTTGTAATTGAGTGAGATTGTTTGAATATTTACAGCATATTTACTATCAAATAATTTACATAGCTTTTTTAATAAATACATAAAAAGGTTTAAATTCCATAATAATTTATATTAATGCACATTTTTCTTAATTTATTATAAGAAACTATTAAAAAATAAATAAAACTGAATTTTACAATATGAGAAACGTAGTCAAAGTTAGATGTGTCTAAATTAGTAATATTTAACAAATATTTGGACTATGAAAGTGCTTCTAAGGTGTAATTTGTAAATGTAAAGTTTTACTCCTTTTGCAAAGACTCTAATAATAGACTTAGTTTAAAATTAATGCTAAATGGTATTTCATTTAAAATGTTGATAAAGCATCTTTCTGTCACCCTTGTTTTAGATAATGTTAAAATTTGTAGATATTCAAAAGGTCTAATTTCCTTAGTGTGCTCTACTGAAACTGTCTTTATTAAATTCTAAAAAAAAATTAAATTATAAAATGGGAGAGAAATGAGACAAGTTTACCTCTATTACAAAATCATCATTTACAAAAGGAAGCTCATCTAAAGCCAGTTTTCTCAATTAATTGCCTTACTATAATAGATTTAGTAAACTTTGTACCTGGTTTTTTGTAATGTTCATTCCTCCAAGACGTAAATCCTAAATCTAGAAAGGTTGGTAAACGAATTCAAAGTAATTTTTTATCGTTTGCTCTTCCTCATTTTTATTGTAGTCACTCTATTTGAAAGGATGGCCTATGAAAGGGAAGCCTTTTGTTATGTTACTATCAATTACGATCTTGTCCCTAATCTTTTTCATGGTTGATTCTTCTACAGTAAAATCTTTATCAAATTTTTTATATTACTAATCTAATAGTATCTTGTCAATTTGTAACTAGAATAATTAATCCTTTTCACATAATCTATATATTGTATCAAGAATATTATTTAACAGCTTAACATGATGCAATTGCCTAAAGTCAATCTTAAGAGATCTTAATTTGTTACATATTTTTTCATTAGATAATAGTGCCTTCATATTTGTGTGACTAATTTATCTGAAATGAGTTAAATCGAGATATTTTATGTCAAACTTTTCTAAAATGTGTATTATCAATTTTGCTCCTTTATTTAGAGAGTAGCTTTTTGAATTTAAAAACTCAGTATATACAAATCTTTCTTAAATTTAATCAAGCATTGGTTAAATTTAAGCTGCGAAATTCTCATCCTTTATGTTAAAAGTCTAGTCAATCCATAAATATTTAGTAAAAGGTAAGAATAATTTTAGGTCAGGATAATCTATATTTGTTTATGCAAGATTAATTATCATGATTTCTTTGGGAATTTACAATTAAGATATGCCTTTTAATTAGCATCCTTCTAAATTCAAGCCATAAATGTGTCTAGATTTTACAACAGAACCCTTTTAATTGGAGAGCTTTAATTAAAATAAAAAAAATATTAATAGTAAAAATAAAATATTTAAATATTTATTTACCTTTTCATCTTGCTTTTACTTCATAGAATGGATTTTTAAGAATAAATTGATAGCTGCAGCATTTAAAAGTGTGCTGTAATACTAAAAAAATCCATAGTAATCAAAATTTAAAAATGTTTCTTCTTTATTTTTTTCTTCATTCTCTTTATTCTTAGATTAATCATTATTTTAATTGTTTTTATTTTGTTGGTTTTTATTGTTAACAGCATTATTATTAGAGGCTTAATTAACTTAATCCATTTATTTGATGTAATTAAAAGAGTTATTATTCTATGAGTTTTTGAGAATCATTTAATTCTTTTTAGAACCTAGTACAATATAAATAAAGGCAGTGCTTATATCTTTTAACTGCTAACAATTATCAAAAAGTAAAGTTTTTAAATTTGTCATTTAATAGCTTGCTGAAATACTCAAAATTACGTCCTCATCAATTTGAGTATTTGACAGATTAATATGCTCAACTATTGAGAGCAACTCGAAATTCATAAAAAGAATGCAGAATGCCTTATTTGAAACCATAGTTGCATTAGATAAATCAAGATACTTCATGTATTTAATTTACCTTAGTTAATTCTTAAAATTTAAATCTTAAGTTTGTTCTTTTTGGGGATTTCTTTCTGGAACTTTATTATCTAAACGAGTTGTTGTATTTTTTTTATGATAGTCACAAAACTTGGATAATCCAAGAGAAAAGATAATGTTATCTTCAAAAAGATGACTGTGCTTGAAAATAAAAAAGTCATATCTGAATTCTCTTATTTTGCTGTTATTAATAAAAATATCCAAGAAAAAGTTGTCTTATCTCAATATTTAAATAATGTTAGTATCTGTAATTTGTTTTGGTTAAACCTTTTCGAAATTGTATAAACTCTTCATTTTCTTTCTTCTTTCTTCATATTCTTCAATTCCATTTGATTGATAAGTAAATTAAAATGGAGGGTATTACAAAAGACTTGTTTTTGAATAAACTATATTGTCTGATTCAATTTGTTGTTGGTTCTACTAGTTTTTATTATCTTTACCTTGCTTTTAATTTGGATTTTCATTAACAGCTAAATTAGCAACTTTTTAAGCTACTGCCTTTTCGCTGCTTGAAATGTTCTATAATTAGAGCTCTGTTTATTATAAAAATCTTAAAATTAATATATTATAAATAAAGTATTTTACATTCAATTTTTTTAACAGCATCTATATATGCTTAAGAAGGAATTAACTTATCATATCTCTAATATTTATTTTTAATAAAAGATTAATTTTGTATTTTTTTAAATTTGTTTTACATAAAAATCTAGTAGAAGAATCTAAAATTAATCTAATTATATTTGATGAACTAGCTTAAGACCTTCATCACCTATATTTGGAGTCCTTCTTAAGTCTAAATATTTAATATTAAACATTTTCGATATGTCATAAAACATATTATTCAGTTCCTTATCTACAAAAAGAGAGTCTTGGAAATTGAGTTCCTTTAATTATATTGAAAAAAATAAAATGAATTTTCTTCATGGAAAATTTAGTTTTTTAAAATATATAAATAAATAAATAAATAAATAAACAATTACTCTGAAAAAGGCCTTTCTGTTTGAATATTTTAGATTATCGAGTACTTTTCCATTAAATTTATCAGGAGATTGTCCTATGAAATGACTAATATCTAATCTTTCAAGAGTACCTGAATCAAGGATGTAAGCTATACCTCTTTCAGTAATTTTTTTGCAATCCGAATAGTAAATTTTTTCTAATTTTCTCAACTTCTAAGTGACGGAAATAATTTAAAGACCTCTGTCACTGGTCCAAGTATTTGATATGTCAAGAATACGGATGTTTAGTAGAACTTCTGAGCTGGAAAGACAAATTTTCATGATTCCATCATCTATGTTAGAAAGCTAGAGATTAGAGAAGTCTAAATAAACAATATTTTTTAGGTAAGGAGACTGAGCTATTGACTACATGACCTCCATATCTATTAAATGCTTAAGTTCTAAAATGCACTCGAGGTCAAATTTAGGAGAGAGCTTCTTCGATTCACTTAAACGAATTAATCCTGCCTTTGTTATGTTATTGCATCCTTTTATGTAAAGACGAGTAATGGTTTTAGCTCCAGAACTAATATTTTCTAAGACGTTATCATCAATTTTGGAATTTTCAAAGTTAATTCTAGTGATGAGATCTTTATAACTGTCAATAAGAGACCTTAATCTTTGTTTTTATATTATTTACTAAAATCTTAAATTGAGAACGATATTTTCATTCTAATATCTAGTGTGTTTCTTCTTAAATTTACTTGAAATAAAATTAATCCAGCTAGTACCTTCTTAAAATTCTAAAGACTTATCGTTCAGTACTTGAGCCATCTATTCAAACCCTACCTAGACTACTTTTTTTGTAGATTTCTACAAATTTTAATAAAATAAATAAATAAATAAATAAATAAATAAATAAATAAATAAATAAATAAATAAATATATTTTATAAAATTAATAGAATATTTATTTACGTTTTCTATGTATCTTTTCATTTTAAAGTTAGGAGTATTTTTGCATGAAATGTGGTAAATGTTACAATGTTATCTTAAAATCATGAATAATAAATCAAAATCTATTCTAGTATCATCAACAATCAAAGCTTCTAGTTTAGAGAATTGGTTAATCTTTTAATCTTAATATCTCATATTATGATTCCAGTAAGTAACATCGATATCACAAAATGCTGCTTCTGTCAAATCTAAGACATGCTGATTTTCAAGTGGAGGATAATTCCTTACAATTTCATACAGCATTTTTTTAGAGATTAAGTGATTATATTGTTTTAGTATATAATTGTAATCAAAGCAGACATTCTTTTTCATCAAGTTAAGCAAATCTTAGAGATGCTAAGAGTCATAAAGGAAACATTAGGATAAAGATAATTTAATGAGATTTTCTTTCAAGTTGTTGTTGAGACTTTATATGCATACTTCATCAACCTTACACTAATTCATATTAATTTCTACTAATGGAATATTGACTTTGCTAAAAAAGACTGAAATTGCTGATCTATTTATTTGACTTTAAGCAAGATTTAAAATTTTTAATTTTTTAAAATAGTTGTTAACATTTTAGGTAAAGGTTAAAAATTGATTATCATAATAGTTAACTTAAACTAATTTTAATACTTCTAAGTTTTCAAAATAAGTATCAAAAAGAATTTCAAAACAGTCTGGATAAATTTGATTACATCCTGTTAAATCAAGGTATTTTAAATAATAATTATCAGGTTCTGTTTTTACCTTCTTTACTTCTGTTTTTTAATTTTTTTATTACTCAGTCATATTAAGAATTTTTCTTTTAATATTTTGCTATTAAAGTCTTCTTTATTCTAAGCTATTATTTACAGTAATTTTCTTTTTATCATCATCTTCTTATTTCTCAACCACTACTTCAGCAGCAGCAGCAACATCATCATTACTTTCTTTTCTAAATATATTTTTAATGGTTAATTATAATATATATATTAAAGTAAGTTTATTAATTTATTTGAAGAAAAAAAAAATTTTCGTTTAAAAATAACACAAATTTCTTAAGTTAAAATTAAATTAATTGACTATTTAGAGCTAAAATAGTTTATTTAGGAAATCTTAATTTCTATTTATTATTTAATGTTTTTAATTAAATATGTTTATTGAAATATAGATAGATTGATATTATTGTTTACTTGATAATTAGCTACTTTTCTGAATCTTCTTTAAAGGGTGTGTTTTGAAGGTTAGTGTTATTAATACCTTCTGCTGCCGAAGCCGTAGATGGTTTTTATGAAGTATGGTCACCTTTTTCATCTTCTATAATTGGTTTTAGATCTCCTTTTTCAGTAAAATTGGGATTGGTTGGAATTATTTCCTATTATACTTATTTATTTATTTGCTTCTATTCTTCTTACTTTTTATTTTCATTATTATTTGATTCTTCTTACACTTTGCTCTCTGTAATTTAAGGTTTTTTTTGCAAGATTTTAAATATATGACCATTAACCATAGTGTCTTATACACTGAGTAGACTTAGGCGATTCAAAAAGCCATAACTATCTAGTAGATCTAAAAATACAGAAGTAACTTTGGTATTCTTATTCAAGTTTAAGTAATTAATTGTAGGCAAATCTTCATAATGAAGCAGTTATTTTATGTTCTTTAAATAGTTTTTTCTTTTTTCTTTAAACTGAAGCTTAATTTCTTCTCTTTTTTGATTATATGTGTCTTTAATTTGCTGTATTTCTTTTTCTTTGATAAGAACTATTTCAGCCTATATAGCTTTCAGCTAAGTAATAGAAAGAGCTTGTGCCTTAGAAGAATCAAGTATAACCATTTAAGCAGTTATCTCTTTTTTTTCTTTTTCTTTTTCTTTATCTTTATCTTTATCACCTTAATCATTTTAAGATTTTTAAGCAGCTACATTTACTAAAGGAGGAGGCTACTGCTCTTTCTTTTCTTCTTAAATTTTTTTATCTAAGATCTTTTAAAGTTCATATATTACATTTTAGTAGTGGTTTGTATTTTGAATTTGATTTTCTCTTTGTTTATCTATTTCTGTTAACATTTAGACTTAGTCATCTTCAATAAAAGTTTCATAGAATTTTTTCTATTTTTCTATTAACCAATAAAAAATTGGTAAAAGGTTAGAAAATTTTGTGGAGCAAAAATATTTTTACTTAAAAGTAAGTCAACAATATAGTAAGAAAAGGAATCTGTAACAGCATTTTCTAAATATTCTATGTTAAGTTGTCTTAGACTTGTGATTAAAGTTAAATACTTTATTCCTTTTTGACTAATCTGTTAATTAAAAAAATAAACTCTATTTAACAAAATTAAAAGAAAAATAGCAAACCTTTGTACATCTGGAGACATCAATTCCTTTCAACTGCATTTTATTTGAGAATTGCTCTGAAATGATAAAGCACACGTCATCTGTTATATTTGTATTCGTTAAATTTAGATACTACAAATTTTCTGTAATCTTAGAATGATAGAGAAAAGTTTTGAAAGCTTTAAGGTCTATCTTACATCTTTCAAAGCTTAGCTACCTAACATTTTGTACACAATCCATCTTGGCAAATATTTAGAAAAATTCGGCTGTCAAATTACACCTCTTAAGTTTTAGTATTTATAAACTGAATAAAGAATAAGAAACCATTTTTGGAAATGTAATATCATGGTATTCATTAGAGTCTTCGCTTCTATTCTCAAAAGATAGCTTTCTTAAAGGGGCCCAATACTCTTCGTGAAGTGGAAGGGAGTCAAAACTGTCACAAACAGTAGTATCTACACTGAGGACTTGTAGTTTTGAGCAATAAGGACCAGCAGCATTTTACTAGCTATATGATTAATTTTCTGCATCAGATTCTTTAAATTTAGGCTAGAATTTACTTGAAAGCATTTCCTTAAGTATAGTTGGCTTAGCGCTTGTAATGTTTTTTAACTTTAAAGAAGCAAGGTACCTATTTTAATTTTCAATTGTTGTTATTAGAATGAGTCATTATATCAATTCATTTATGATTCAATTTAATAAAATAGAAATTACTTGAAATAGATAGTTGTTGAAAATTTTAATAAATCGATATGGCTAAGGTCGTTTTAAATATCTTTAATTGCTAGTTTTGTGTTTTAATTAAAATTTTTAACTCTTTCATAAGTAAAATCTGTCAAATAATTGCTTTATACATTGGTCAAAGCATTTTAAACGATAGTCCAATTTTCAAGATAGCTTAAAAAATAAGAAGTAATATTTGGGCAATTATCAATCAAAATTTCAACATTGCTAAAAGATATTAACTCATCATCTTATTTAGTAGAATCTTGCTTATTTTTTTAACTTGCTGATTCGAATCTCTAAGAATAAAAATAATCAAACCTCTAAATTAGCTTTATAAGCTTAAAATCGTTTATATAGCAGTTTTTAAAAAGAATATATTCTATTCTGTTTACTCTATCAGCTCTCCATTCAGCGCTATAAAAAAATTTAACTACTTCTTCAATAAGCTCTGAAGAGCAGTCTTAGAAAATCAATCTTTACATTCTCATTGAATTTCTCTAGTTAATTTGCTTTTCTGATATTTAAGAACAAATTTCAGCCAAGTAAAACTAAATAGAAATAGATCTCTGTTCAGGTTATTATTGTAAGGCTATTATTTGAGAAAAAGCATCTTCTATCGATCTTACCCTGTTTATCTATTCACTTACTATATATCTTAATTTTCCTATCGACAAGTGCTTTAAAATAAGGTAGAAGTTAACTTAAATGCAATTATAAATATTCTTTCTAATTTAAAATATAAAAAATAGTATTTACTGACTACTATACTCTATCTTCTCTAATATAATCTATATCCTGCTAAATTCTAACAATTTTATCATCTAAATTTTTATTTTTTAAAAAAATATATGATTCCTTCTATAGCATTAGCTAATAGGATTTTTTTTAAATAAAGTATGCTACCATTGTAAGATGGAATTTGAGTGTAAACTACGATTTTATTTTGGATAAGAGTGAGTCTACGAGAAAAATAAAAATTCTTGTTATTGTTCAGGATTGCGGTTTTCATCTAAAACCCTTCTGCTATTTTATTTTATTCCCTTCTATAATTTTTAAAACTGGAAAGTTTTTTCTTTTTTATTAATTAGTTAGATCAAAGCTTGCTCTATCTTTTTAAATATAAACGAAATCTTAAAGTTATTTATTTAATTTTTAAATAGTTGTGAAGATAGAGAGTTAGATTAACCTTCTGAGGTAAGCTAAAGTTTTTTTACACTTACCAATTTTAACAAAGTATATAGTTACCATAAAATATATAATTTAATAATGAATTTTCAGTTTCTACTTTTAAATATTAGGAGAAAAAAATAAAATTTTTGATTGAGGCTTAATACATTTAGAAATATTATTTATTTATTTATTTATGCAAATTTCGAAAAACGATACAGTAAAATTGTTGTTTTTCTAATTAAAAATTAAATTACACTTCAATATTTTGAAAACAAAAATTTGATGTTAAATTTTGATTAAAGATTTAAGCTCAAAAGATTTTTTATAGAAAGAAAAATCCAAAATATTTTTTATAATTATAATACAGTCAGATTAAATAATTTTCAATAAAAGTAAGAAATAGTAAGTAAACAAATAATTATTTATATAAATAAAAAAGCATAAATAAATTGAGTTTATAATATTTTTTTATTTGATTTGAAATTAATTTATTAATTAATTGATTCATTCATTCATTCATTCATTCATTCATTCATTCATTCATTCATTCATTCATTCGTTAATATAAACTTGATATCTACGCAGAAAACTAGAATTGAAAATAATTAATATTTTTTAATTACATAGTTTCAAACTATTATGTAATTAAGAAGTTGGCTAGTTTAAAGCTCATCTAAATTAGAAATTTTGTAACTTCCTCTGTATTCATAATCGTGATAAGCGATAAATTTTATTTTTGAGAGCAAAAGTAGTGTAAAATGCTGCTCTTGCTCACTTTTAGTTTTAATTGTCTCAAGCTCCTTTTATTTGTATTTGAGATAAGTATTTTGTAGGATAGACAAATAATTTTCTTTATTTATGATGACATTTTGTTTGGTAATATTAATTAGCTATTAAAGGTTTTGTTATAGCTCTTTGTATTAATTTCCTTTTTAAATATCTTAAATCAAAAACTAAATTTAATCATAAATATTAGAATCAAGTTTATTTTTTTGTTTTTCAGCTAGAGCAACATATTTTTTGCAAAGAGAAAATTCCTCGTGTTTTAGGCAAATTAAAAAATTAAATTTCTCACTAGACTCTTACAGATTAGCTTATATTTATTTATACAGGGCTCTATGCATTTAAATTATTTTCCATATTTAAGGTGTATCATCCTATATTTTTAAAGATATATTTTCTTGTTAGTAGTCATTGCTTGACTCGAAAATGTCTTCATCTTCGTCTGAGTTTACATTTTCTACATTTGATCCTGCTTTTTTCAACTAAGCCTAACTTTAATTTTCTTATTATTATTAACATTTTTATTATTACTGCTTTTAGGCCATGAGCTGCTATTGTTTTGCTATCTACTCATTTAGAAGCTTTTATCTGTTATTTAAAGCTATTTATTAGATTTAACCCTTAATCGCTTGATCTTATTAGCTCTTTTTGATTATTTCTTTATTAATTATATCATCCCAATCTAGTCTTCCTTCTTCATCAACTTCCAACATTAAATTAATTAATTCTTTTAATTCTTGAGATACATTCACTTCTTTTGGAAAATTAATATTTCCAGTACTGATTATTTAGAATAACCCTCCAACACTAGTATCTATATTCACTTTCCATGGAAGTTTCTTATAAACCATCTCATACAATAAACATCCTGCACTCCAAACGTCATTTTTTTCTAAATCATAGTAGCTTGATGATAATGCTTAAGGAGACATGTATAATGGAGTTCCTACCTAGGTATTGTTTTTTGTAAATTCTGTTACGATTTTAGAAAATCCAAAATCTGCTATCTTAATACCACCATCTTTTATGAGAATATTTTCTGGCTTTAAATCTCTATGGTAAACTCGTTCGTCTTTTAATTCATTAAGAGCTTATGCTATTTGTCCAAATAGATAGATAATTTACTTCTCTGTAAGATTCTTGATATTTAAATATTAATTAAATTATATATTATAAAGAGTGTTTATTTATTATAATAGATTCATCGTTATTTTTTTCTTTAGAACTCTTTAAAAAATATTTCAAAATTTCATTTTTTTATATTTTTAAAATGGTAGAAGCATATTAGATATTTTTTAAAGGACAACATAAGCTAGAAAAAGATGAATAATTTCATAAAAAAATTTACACTATTGTAGATAAGTTATTTAAGGTCACCATCAGGGCAATATTCTAAAAAGAAATAAACCTATTAAAATTAGAATTAAATATTAGTATTATTTGAAAAATTTGTTTGTTGCATACATTTGATTTAGTCTATTTAAAAGAATACATTTTAAGAACTCTAGGAGACTTGCTAGACATTTGAATTTATGCCTCATTTCTTATGGACTTAACTATTTTATCTGATATTAGTCCTCTAGGTATCTCTTTAGCGCAAATAGGATTATTAAGCTATTAGTTTTAATAATCTTCACAGTTATATGCAAGATAGACTTTTCCATATGATCCTTTACCTACCATGTTATCTAAATTTATTAAGAACTGATCCTTGAGAGAATCACTTTCTGAGCCTACATGTTTTAAATTGATCATTTATTGTATAGTTTGCTACTATTTGAAAAATAGAAAAGTTGATTTGTGATAATTTTTTATAATAATTAATTTAATAAATTATCTTATTAACAACTATTTATAAGTGTTTGTGGAAGTGATAAATATGAATACAGTATCATGTAAAGATTTTAATTAATAACTTAATTACCTATTTATTATTGATTAATTTTATTTAGCTCACAAAGCTCAAAATTATTGGAATAAATTTGCATTATCAGTAAAGATTAGTAGACTTTTCTAAATATATTATAAACAATATCATAATTAGTAATATAACTGTCCAGAAATCTGATAGTGATAAAAATATTTCAGTTATATCATATCATTCAAGAAAGATATCTATTAATATTAATATACAAATTAGTGTTTGTTTATTTATTATTTCGCTGGTAATTGTACCTACCTTAATAGAGTGTTTACAACGTACTTGTTTAAATTTTTTTATCAGATATTTATATAAATAATTGAGGATACTCTTAAGACATTCTATTTTTCTATTTTATTAATAACTGAACATTTACGCCAAAAAATATTTAGTTGAATTAAATAATATTTTCAAGAAAAATTTTATATTTAAATTTTCAAATAATTTCAATTAATTTTTTAACAAATAAGCAAAATAGCAAACATAAATACATACATTTATACTTGAAACTAACACTAAAGATCAATAGCTAGCTAAGCATATATAAACTAAGATTAGAGATGAGTAAGAGCGATTAGGATTATTAAGAAATACCCTTATAAAAGGATATAATACTGTAAAAAAAGAAAGCTGCTGATTAAAATTAATATGAGTTTAAGCTTATTAACAGAAGACTAAATATAATAGAATTTATAGCTGATTTTAGTGAGTCTAGAGGCATAGAATTGAAAGAGTCTGTTCCTATTAAAGCTGGCTCCAATGGGTAGGATAATGTAAAAGATATATAAAGATAATCAAAAATACAAAAAACAATTATTTAACCTCGCACAGATGAAATAGTTTGTATAGTTAAAATAATAGATTCTGCATAATGGGAGCTCAAAAGTAAATTTAAGTAAATCAATAATTAACATTTACTATTATTAAATAATTTAAAAAAATTAACTATTTTTATATAAACCAGGTATATAATTAAGCCAGCTCCAAAAGAAAAGTAGAAAGATACAATTAAGGAACATGACGAAGAAAAAAAGAGAATATAAGAAGAAGAAAGATTAGCTCCGAAATTAAAAATTTTACCTTTATCAATACTAACAACAGGGGAGTGCTTACATTATTTAAAGTAAATATTAGAGAAAGAAAAGAAAAAGAATGATGGTTTTTCGAAATACATAGATCCTTACTTTTTGCCAATTAATGTAAGTTTATTTAGGTAGAATCCTGATAAAAAGATTTTATTTAAATTAGGATAGTATTTTTGGAGAAAATGATGGAAGTGCATTTGATACACTTATTTAATGGAGGAGACCTGAAAATATCTTTGAAAATACTAAAGAAATAAGAGTTTTCCCTTCAAAAATTAATGTTTGTGATATAATACCTGGATAACTGTCAAATTTTTGGTTTCTTTCTTCAGTAGCTTTATTAGCTGAAAAGCAGGAATGTGTAATTAATTTTAAATTAGTATTTATTCATATATGAAGTAGAAATTGTATCTTAAAAAATAAATAGATCAAAAGGCTTTTTCTAACTTAAGATATAAATGAATAAGGCTTTTATAGAGTTAAAATATGTAAAAATGGAGAGTGGCAATCTGTAAATGTAGATGATTATTTTCCTTGCTATCCTTTAGATGGTCCAATATTTTCCCACATTGATAGTCAACAAGATGAAGATTAGAGCGATATTTCTAAATCTTCAAATAACAATTGTCATTAAACATGGCTACTTATATTAGAAAAAGTATATTTAAATATAAATTTACAATAATTACTAAAGTAAGAAGATATTAACTAAAATTGAATTTAAAAATAGGCATATGCTAAGATTCATGGAGATTACTTTAAACTTAAAAATGGATCATAAAAAAAATGTGAAAATGCCTTAATTGACCTTACAGGATGCCCTGTTGAAAAAATAAAGATCGATTCAAATTCAGAAATTTAAACCATTGAAAATTATAAAAATAAAAGAGGGTACTTGATGAACCTTTAGAAAGAAGATAAATAAAAAGATACAACTGGCTATGCATATTATATTATTAGGTTAGAAAACTATGATGGTACCTGGCTTTTTAACATAAGAGGTGAGAATTATTCAATTTTTTCAAGTTTAACTTTTTGTTTTAAAATAGACATTTGGGAAAATCTTTAATGGGAAGGAGACTGGAGTAATCATAGCGAATTATGGGATGATAAAGCTAGAAAATAGCTTAATCCAGACCTTAATGATCCTAAACAAACATGGATGAAATTCGAAAATGTGAAGTAAAATCAAAGTTTATTTGTTTAATTTCAAATTTTATCAAAATCAATAAAATCTTAGTAAAAGCAATTAATTTACTTTTAAACTAAAATTTTATGAGTAATATGAATTCATTCATTTAATTGATATTGAAGTATAAATGAAAGACTATTTGTGATATTTAATAATTATTTTAAAGGGAATAATTTAAGTTTGTAAATATTTGTAAAATCTAAGACTGGAATGAAGTGAGAATAAAAGGAAAATTTGTGAAAGTTGTTGACACTAATGACTCCTCTATTGAAACTTTTATGTCAAAATGGTACTATTAGTTCGAAGTTACAGAAAATTGCTTGTAAAAAGCAAATAATAACATAGAAGTAATTATCACTCTTCACTAAGAAGATGAATTAATAATGGGTGTTGAAGATGGTCGTCCATATTTAGATGTTTAATTAGCATTATTCTAGTTAGTAAGCAAAAAAGGCTATCAAAATGAAAATGATTATAAAAAGAAATAAGGAAATGATAATGATTATTATAAGAGGCTACATCACACTAAATTTACATTGATAAAAGTTTCGGATAATTAATTTTAGCATGAGAGACAAATTTAACTTTCATTTTAAATCGAAGAAAAAGGAATTTACATAATTCTACCCAGAACTAACGGACTAGGCTTTAGAGAATCTAGTAAATAAATAAATAAATTTATTTTTTTGGAAAAAATATCAAATTAAAATTTTTAATAGAAAAAAGTAAAATGAAAAGTTTTCTTAGAAAAAAAAATGATAAACAAAGCAATAAGTCAGGTTAAAATCAAGAAAATAAAGCTGAAAATCAAAGATTAGCTCAATTAGTTGAATCTACTCTTTTAGATATATTTAGAAAATTTGATATGAGACTTACTAGAAAGATGTCTGAATAGTAATTTGTGGCATTTAAATATTGCATGGAGGAAAATCAAGCTGATGAATAGGAGTTCAGAAAAGAATTTTATGATTTATTAGAAGAATATCCAAGCCCTGATAAATGTTTGTCATAGGAAGGGTTCATTTAATATATGACAGAAAAAATAAAAAATGATTAAAATTAAAATATTGATTCATTCTTAGCTAAATTTAAAAAAATTGGGTATGACGAGAGCTTATATAGTATTAGATCTAGGTGCTTTATTATTAGTCTACATAGCGATGTTCCCCTAGAAGTAATGCAATTTAATTTAACTCAAATTTTATTGGATAATAAATTAATAATTCAACAAAAAACAGGTGATAGTTAGAGATGCTATAGAAACTGATTTAGATTAAAGAGCTGCTAGACACATATTCCATAATACTGAAAAAGAAACGGATCAAATTATTACTCAATTTAATAAAGATTTTAAATACTAAGGAGGAGATTAATCTAATATGTAAGCATATGTTTATGCTTAGTACTATAAGTAAATTTTTATATTTAATATTGTTAAATTATTAATTTTATTTTTTTTTAAAGAGAAGCAAATTATACTACGTTCATAGCTAAAAATTAAATGAGGGATAAAGCCATTGAGGTTATATTTGACTTGTAAAAAGCTAAAAATGATTTAATTTTAAGTACAGGAAGATCAAACCTTAAAAAGGTGACTTATTGAAATAAATAAATTGCATTTTTTACTTATAATTTTATATTTTAATAGAAAGTAGAATTTAAACCACCAAAGTAAAAAGAAATTAAAGATCCAAATAAAAAAGCATAAGGTAATCAGGATGTTAAAAAAAGATTATCGAAAAATTCAAACAATATTAGTATAGAAGTTTTATTCCACATGAGAGGACCATATAAGCCAGAGTTAGAAACATTTAGGAGAATATGTCAAATAAAAGAGTGTGAGGATTGATTAATTGAATCAACCAATAAAGATAGATATAGTTGAGTTTTATGTTTAATCTACCATTAAAACTATAATAAAATAATTAAAAAGTAAAAAAAATATATAAATGAATAAAAAACAAATATTTATTTTTATTTTCTTGATATGTTTTTCATTAGTTTTAAATAATAATAATAAAAATATAATAATAAAATTTTTTATATATACATGAAATTTTTATCATAGTGCATCTCTTTCTTAGTTTACTAAACTCTTTTAAGGGTTTTATTTGTATTTAAAGTAGTATTTATCATCAAAACTAATTTGCTAAACTTTATTATTTTTACTAAGGAGTAACACTTAATCCTCTAATTGTATATTTATCGTAGATAAAGCTATCGTTTTCTTGCTTTAATTTTATCTAATTTTTTACAAAATATTATCTCATTTTATCTTATATTTCTTTCTACCTCAATTCTCGTTTTTATTTATCAATTTTAATCTAAGGAAGATAAGATTTAGACAAATCTTAATTTTATAGTAAAAAGGTATTTTTTTATAGAATTTCATTTTAAAATATAATCACTTCCTGTTTATCTTTATTATATTTATTAGGTGATTTTAATTAAGGTTTCAAGAATTTATTTGGTGTCTATATTCTTCTTACAAATATCAAATTTTCATTATTAGATTTATTTTGATGCTATGAATGCAATTAGGTATTATTATCCAATTCAGGTGAAGGCGATAAACTTTATTTTTAAAAACCATTACCTTAATTTATGCTATTTATGGATAAATTAAGATGTTAATCATTATATTGTTCTAAAGATTTATTAAAAGTTTAAAAACCATGAAAACGAGTTACTCTCCATTAAGGAGTTTTTATTCTATTTTATATTCTACTTGATTCATTTCCATTTATATTCAAAGAAAGATTTAGTAAATCTTTCCAAATTATATTTTTTTAGTTCTTTCTTAAACTGTTAGAATCTTCTTCTGCGAATTATTTTTAATTTTGTTATTAAACCTTCTCAAGATTAAGGACTTTCATTTCCTCAAATTTATGGTTTTTGTGCTGGTTTTTAGTTGACTTTATTTTTTCTTGTGATAAATTATTGGCTATGGTTTTTTAATCTTATAATGTTTTTTCTTCAAGAAAAGCATCCTTACTTTTATATCTATAGTTAGAGCCTTCAAGGACTATAGAGCTTGGTTATTTTTGTTTCAAAGTATTATCTACTGAATTTCTTTTCAGCTACTTTTACTTTTAAATTTTTTAAAATGCTATCATGCTTTATATATGTTATATTTGAATTTATTGTCATTAAAGCCTAAAATTTTAAGTTATTTTTACCACAAATTTGTTTCAAACAAAAATACCAAAGCTATTTTTGATGTTTTCTAATAAGATTGATCACACATCAGAAATAGTTTTTTTAACAAAAAAATATTTTTTTTTTGAATAATTTGTTAAAATTAATTTAATAAATTATTTTAAATTAAATAGATAATTTTATAAAAATAAACAGAAAAATTAATAAATTAAAAAACAAAAACAATTTTTTTTATTTTTAACATTTTTGAAATTTATTATTTTAAAATAAAATAGAGTAGCACTTAACTGACTTTTTGTTAAGGTTGATAAATATGTGTTATAATTTTTTATAAGCATAGAATGGGTTCAGTTTGCTAGTATCTGAAAAATAAATTATTTTGAGAGTATTTACTAATATTTATGATTTTCAAATTTAATAATTAACAATAAGTTTTTCATAAATTTTATAAGTTGTAAAAGCAAACAAATTTTAAATAAATAAATACAAAGCAGCTAATTGTTAATTTATTTATTTATTTATTTAATAGTTTGCTTGATAATTTGATTGATTGATTGATCATTTGTTTATTAATTTGAAAATAAAACAAAATAAAAAAGTGATATTATTAGATATATTTTTTTTTTGGATAGTATTTTCTTCTTGAAATTAAGATATCAATAACAAAAAATCATATTTTAGGTATTAAAGAGACTTAGAAAAAATAAAATCAGAAGCTAATTTTAACATGGCGTCAAGTTTTAACCCAAGTTCTTATTTTTAGGTTAATTAGTATGATAAAAATACTCCAGCTATTAGAAGTTATGGTGCACCAAATAATATTAATAATATTACACCGATATCTCATTAACTGAATGTTTCTCCACCAAAGCAATATGGTGGTTACGGAGCAGGTCTAAATATTCTGAGTCCTTAGTCTACTTACAAGCAATATTAGTTTGGTGATTTCCAATCAGGAGTTGGATAAAAAGATATTTATCCATCTACTTCTTCATTTATATCTAATAATGCCTATTCTTATAACAAACCCTTTGCTCCTCCCTCATCTCAAAATGGACCAGTTAATTAATATTTAGGATCAAACAAATATGTGAGCGGTTCAGTTGAAGGCTAATTTAATTAATTTTAAGGAAATGCAGGCCCAAAACCATTTAATGATTTAGATTTCGAATTAAATAAGCTAAATGCACCCAATAAATTCTCATCTTCTAATAACCCTATTGGCTCTTTAAATTAAAAGAAATATGCTTTTGAATAATCTCCTAAAAGATCTAACTATTTTGATGTTGATAAATATTTCGAAAACTTTAAAGATCCTTTAGAAAATTTTGATGTTAATGCTAAAACATTGCCTAAAAACTATCCTGTTGATAAATCTGCACCTGTCTACTCAAATTCCACAACGCTAAATTAAGCAAATCAAGTTTTAAGCTATTAAGCACAACCAAACCCATAAGTTATACCAGTTAGCAAATATTCATAAGATCCTGTAGTTTCTGGACCTATGTATAACAAAGATAAATTCGATGAAAGACCTGAAGTTCAAAGTAGAGTAATTTTTGATTAGAAGTCTAATGTGCCTGCTTTCACTTAGCATGTTGGAGAAAGTATATATATAAAAAGAGACAAAAACAGATCTCTTGTAGATTTTTAAATTAAAAATCCATCATATAATTAACCAGAAGCTAACTATGAAAATATCAATAAAAGTACAAGCTATTTACCTTAACCTTCATTTAATTTTTCTATTGAAAATAACTAAGTTAAACAGGCAAATAGATATGATTAAGTCTTAGAAAAACCATAGTAATCCCCAGTAAACTTTGACTTAACTTTACCATTTGCTGAAGTAAAAAAATAGGAAACTAAAAAACAGCAATTATAACAATAACCTCAGTAATAGTAGAATTTCTTTAAAGAATATAACGAACAGAAAAAATAGAGAACTGAGCCCACACCTACTGATGATCCATCTTTATTTAAAAGCAAAGAATATTATGATTTATTCATCTCTCATCAAAGGTAGCAAAAAGAAATAGGATTTTAGTAATTCTAATAGAATCTCTAAGAATAAGAATTCAACAAATAGTTGAAATAATACTTAAAACAATAGTCTCCTTAAAAGAATAACATTCTTGAAAAACTAGAGCAAAAAAATAATAAATCAGATTCTATCAATCATTATAAATCTAAGTAAGTTGCTATGATTGAAAAGATAAGATCAAAAGTATAATCATAGAATTTTTTAAACAAAATAACTACCGAACTTGATGCAGAATAGGTTTATTTTATCAAATTTCTAGTAGAATAAATAACAATTGACAGTGAAATAGATAAAGTTAAAGATGAAATATTAAAGTCGACAGAATTTTCAATCTAGATTATGTTCAACTTCTTTGATAAAAAGAAAAAGAAAAGTATCGACATTAATAGCTTTTTAGAAGGACTAGAAAATCTATCTATTCCTTATATTAAAGTTTATGTTTAGAAGATATTTTCTCGTTATTTACAAGATGAAAATAAACAACTAAGGTATATTTTAAATATTAGTTAAAGAATTTCAATAAATTATTTTATTTATAGGTATTGTGACTTCGCCGAGATTTTTGCATAGAATAAAAAGTAATAAATATAATTTAATTTTATTTTGAGCAAATTAAACTAATTCTTAAAATATTATTTAAAGATAAGGCACAATGATAAATCAAATATTTTCTTTTGTAGGACCAAAAAATGGAGTTATTAAAGAACAAAAAAAATCATTCTAATTCATCAAAAACCTAAGCGTATTATTTAACCAATTTATTTATTTACTATTCTGCTTTTTATACAAGATTATTTAAATAAATAGTCAAATATCAGCGAAGAATAAAAAAAACTTATTTAATAATTGTTTACTCACTTGATTAATATAGAAAAGTCTATTCAAAGCTTTAAAGACATGTAAGGGGATGAAGAAATTCTTTTTAAGATATTTAAATCTCTAGATAAAAGCTAAAAAGGTTTTTTAGTTATCAATGATTTAGTAGATTACTTAAATTAAAAAGGAGGAGATTATGAAAAAGAAGAATTTATAGGAATATTTAAAAGATTAAGCTTCACAGCTAATTCAGGCAGAATTAATTTTCATGAATTTTTAACTTAGCTATAGAGAGATGTTATAGTATAGCCTGCACCTTCTGAATAATAAAAGGCTGTGGTATAAAATTAAAAGGAAGAAGATTTAAAACCAATTAAAATATTAAAAGAACCTAATATGCCAGGATTTAAAAAAGTTTAATTTAAGGGAAAATAAAGAAAAAATTGATATTTTTAGTTAATTTAAATTTATTTTTAATTGTTAAAATTCATTAATATAATTTATAAATCAAACATTGTAAATAAAGCTTGGTTGTTTGTTAATATATTTCCATTTGTTCGTTTCCTTTTTTTTAAATTCAATAAATAGCTATAAGTTGAAATTAAAATTTCTTTTTTATTATTATTTATTTCTTCTATGATTTTTGAAAATAGTTTTTACATTTTCATTAAATTAGAAGGAATAATTTGTTCCTAAAATATTATTCTTTCTTCTTATTAAGTTCTAAGATATTTTAAAGTATAACTATCAAAATAACTTTCATCACATTTACTAAAGTCAGGTTTTATCAAAATTATTTACTTACAAGGAATAATTAAAAATTTGTAGTAAGTCATAAGAATTTATCATTTCTAATTTATATAGAATTACTATTCCTCACAATAAATTCATAAAAAGAAAAGGATAGAATATCTAAGATTACTTCAATCTAATTCAAAACAAATGTAAAAATACCAGAGTTTTACAATTAGCATTGTAATTTTTTGGAAACCTTCTTTAATTATCTTTTTATCTTCTACACTTCTATTTTATATCTGAAATAAAAAAAATTTGATATTTATTTTTAAATAAATTAAAGATTTAAAAAATTAAAAAAAGATAAATAAAAATGAACAATTAAATTATTTATATAGCAGGAGGTATATTATTATTAAATGGTGTATTGAAGAAATATGCAAAGGACTACATTAAAGATTTTTTCAAGGGAAGAGCAGAAGATTAGGATCAACAAATGGATTTGTTAATTGATTTATTAATTACCTGCTTCGTTACTATTTTGAGTTGCTCTTATTATATTCTAACCTAATCAAATAAAGATACCCCATAATAGCAATAATAACCAAAGATTGATGAACCTAAGATTCTTGAAAGCATAATGAAAAAAAGAAGATCTATCACTCCTAAAGATTACAATGATTAACTGATTGATGATTAAGATATTCACCATATTTTAGAATGTGCAAATACTGCTCCTACTCATGGTAAAAATGAGCCTTGGAGATTTGTTGTTTACAAGAGAGAAACCCTTAATCAATTTTTCACTTTTGTTAAGGATTGGTATAAATAAAATGGTTAAAAGATTTTTAGTAACGATGAAGAAAGAGAAAAAACACTTAAATAAATTGAAAATAAATTCTCAGAAATTTCAAAAGCTTCTCATATTATTTTACTCTGCATGAAAAGATATGCAAGTGAAAAAAATGTTATGCCAGAATGGGAAGAAATAGCAGCAGTTGCAACATCTGTATAAAATATCTACCTATAAACTGCAGCAAAAGGATTTGGTGGTTATTGGTCAAGTATGACATTTGCTAGACACGCTAGAGATAGCAAAGAAATGCGTTAATTCTTAAACTTAAATCATGATGAAGACAGAGTTTTTGGCAGCTTTGTTATTGGTAAAGTAGATGATTTATCAAAGTTCACAAGAATTCCTGGTGATTACAAAAAGAAGGTTGAATTTAGATGAAAAACTGTTAGTTAAAATAACCTATTTTATGGTGATTTTAAATAAAAACATGAATACAATGCATTAAATAAAAAAATAAATAATATATTTATGAAAATACATATTGTTAACTGCATACATATTCTAATCAACTAAGATATTTTTTAGAGAATCTTTTAGATAAATTTGTTTATTTATTTATTTATTTTGTTATTTTATTAAATTGAATTAATATTTATTCACAAATTAGATTTTTTAAAAAATAATGGTGAAAAAATAGTATCAGATTTAGGTAAGATAAATTTAAGAAAGTTGTTTTTTTATATATTTATAATTATGTTAAAAGAAAAGAAATTTTATTTCCAGATAAATATGAATCAATATTAGTATTTCAAAATATAAAGAGAGAGTAATATAAATATATTTAATACGATAATTTAAGAAAGGACTTTTCTCAAAATGTTATGACTTAATCTTTAGTTAGATCTATTGAGATCCATAATGGTTTATACTGTACATCATATATCAGATTGAATAAATTACTTAAAGCAATCAATCAAATGAATGTAAATAAATTTTTAATTGTGCCTTTCATTCCCTTTTAAAATTTTATTTTTTTGTCTTCCAAAATTAATTTTATTATAAGAAACGCTATTCTGATTGTTTGTTTAATATTATTTGGTAATTTTTATACAGATATTTATATTAGTAGAAATTAGTATAACTTATTTATTGATTTAAGTTAAATGTTCATACTAGCAATTCTCACTAAGAGTGTCAACAGAACAGGTATGGTAGGTAATAATTTAGATAGATAGGTAAGTAGGTTATTAGAATACAATTTTAGGCTTATTAATTTTATATAAATGTAGGATTTTAGATGAGATTTATTTTACTTTTGAAGAAGAACTTTATTTATCTAGATAATTATTTAAAGAAGCCGAAAATTATATTGAATTGGGTTTTGGAAAAAATAATATAAATTAATTTCAAATTAATTCTTATTCATCTATGTAATACCATCCAGGTATTAATTAGTTAGTACTTAAATTATTTTTATTTATTTTTATGTCTACTTTAAAGTCTTTGATAGGATTAGGAGCTGGAGGCTTAGGCATGTCAAATATTCTTTATCAATTTTATATTTAAAAATGTTAAAATAATTTAATAAGAAATTTTAATTTCAAATTTTACTTTTATTTAACATCAAACCAGTTTATTTAATCGAAAAATGGATGATCCTTTATTTGTTAGGCATCAGCACGACCTGATCCTAATCTTTCTTCAGGATTCTTATTTAAAAGCTTTATATAAAATATAATAATTGAATAAATTATGAAGTATATTTTAGATAATATTACTGCTGATATTAAAGATTTAGCTTTAAAAGATAAGTAAGGAGGATATTCGACTTTTTTATTTTATATATTGAAGTATAATTCTTTGCGATTTAATTGATTGAAAGGAGGTTAGCCAACCATTAATTCATAAGCAAGCACACCAAATTAATACCAATCAACTGATTTGTTATGACCTTTTTTGCTAATTATTTCTGGAGCTAAATATACTGCTGACCCACAAAATGATTAAGCAACTCCTTCTCCCATATTTTCTCTTGAAAGTCCAAAATCAATTAATTTAACATGTCCATCGCTACCAAGCACAATATTCTCTGGCTTCATGTCACGATAAATTACATCATGGTAGTGAAGTTCTTCAACGGCCAGCAATATTTCGCTTAAATATTTCACAGCTAATTCCTCTTCAAACCTTTTATTTATTGCCAGATTCAATAAAAATTCAATTTAAATAAAATTCTTACCTCTTTTTCTATAACAAATAAGTGTAAAGATCTCCTCCTGGACAGTAATCCATAGTAATTATCAGATGTGTATCGGTTTAAAATGAATGATACATTTTTACAATAAATGGAGAATTGCACTTTTGCATTACATTTCTTTCTGCAATTGCATATTTCATCATATTTTTTTCTATTTTTAATATTTAAAATTTAAAATTTACTTTGATTTTTATTGAATTAATTTTTACATATGAGTTTTTCTTTGTCAAGCAGTTTCATTGCGTACTTTTTCTTATTTTTATTATGCTCAACTAAATAAACATCACCATAATTACCACTACCTAAATGTGCATAAACTGAGTATATTTCTATACCGTACAGTTAAGATTAATTAGAAGACAGTTGGAAATTTTGTTATGGTTGAATTTGAGAAATATTTTAACTTTATTAGTTTGGTGTAGATTATTTGTTATGTGGCAAATATTTAAGTAAAGCTTGCTGATTCTACTATAAATTGTTTTGATTATTTGTTTGAGAATTTAAGAATATTTAGTCAATATGACCTATTTAATTATTAAATTGTTATAATGAGGATGACTGTAGTTGTGGAGATGTGTAGGCAGATTAAAATGCATATTAACCTCCTGCTCCTAAAACATTTTATTGTGAGTTTTATTTATTTTTTGTTGATTAATTCTAAGAATTAAAAAAATTAGCTTTTGAGGTGGCAGAAAGAGGTCCACATGAATTATTGGTGAGGATGTTAGTTTAACTAACATTATTTGAACCTTGAATCTTTAGTGATACACTTTAATGAAATGCTTACTAAGAAGCTGTTTGCAAAGTATTATTTGTACTCTCATTAGAATCAGAACTGTTTTTATTTTCTTAAGCTTAATCTTTATTCATTGGAGTTGATGCAGCAGCATTTGTACCAAAAGTTGAAATTTTTGCTTATGCATTCGAAGGCGCTTAAGATTGTTGACTGTTTGTATTGTTATTATTTTAATTAACAGCTATTGGTCCAACTTAAGATTTGGCTTTGGAAAATTAATTTTGGCTTCTGCTACGTTATTTTTTTTCAATAATTTTATTTATCGTATTTAAGTGATGCTACATTTATGCACTCTACAAAAGTGGTGAGTTACACTATGTTTTGGCTGTGCTGTTATGATTTTGAGAACCATTGTTCAAATTATTATTGATAGTCTAGCTGGGTGTTTTATAATTGAAATATTATGTATTATTTGAAATGCTTTTCGAAGGAGATACTAAAGAAATATTATTGATAGCACTACCTTCATTTTCATAGCCATTAGAGAGTAATTAAGTTTATTCCGCCTTTTAGTTACCATTTAGATTACTGCTGTTATTTATTACATAACTTAAATTTGGTTAACTGCTTTTCTTTCCATTTATTGGTTCTCCTATATTATTTTGTGTTGTTATATTTGATTACAATTATGATGGGGTGAAATTATTTGTGCTAACATTCACACTCTCTAGCATACCATAGTTTATTGGAATATAATTTAAGGAACCACTTTCGTTATCCATTTAGTTACAACCTTAAGTCATTTATCTCGAAGTTTAGCTCATCTAAGTTAAGGTATTAGGGTTATGAATTTAGTTAGCTATGCTGTTTAGACTTTAAGTATTTGATTAAAGAAAGTTATTCATACTCTTGCTTTAAGAGAAAGGTTGTAAATTAAATAATGCATTCATGCTTTGGTTAAATTATTGATTTTATTATTACAGTGTGGAATAATTTAATTGTTAAGATGGTTAATTTTTATTGCTTCCTTCAGCAGAAGATAAATAAGAATTAGGATTATTTTAATTGTTGTTGTTATTATTATTTGGAGTCATGAAATTCTTATCGAAATAATTCATGCTTATAGAGTTATTTAAAACTTAAGAAGCTGTCTAATTTGTTTAATTATTTGGATTATTGTTAACATAATTATTACTGGTACCTAAATTGACTTGTGATTCGTTAAGTTAATTTAATCCTTTTAGTATAAAATCAGTTGGACTATTTGCTTACTATTAAGTTTGTGTAAAAAATGTAGATACAGCAGGAGGATGTATAGCAGATTTAGCTTTCTATAGATGTATGTTTGGAGAATGGTGGCGCTTTATAATTGGACTATTTACAGATGATCCTTTGTTTGAATTTGGATTGCTATCATTTTTTTAACCTGAAATAGTAGTTTAGTTTTATGAATTAAGAGCTTATTTCAGAGTGAGAAATGTATTTTTAGTGGTAGATTTATTTAATTTGCTGACAAAATTATAGTGCAAACTTTAAAGATTAGAAGAATGAGATGAATTAGAGTGAGATCTTTAGAGTTAGTTGTTATGATGCTAAGAATTAGATGCAGAGTTTTAAATGTTATTTTGTCTAGACCTTGAATTTGTTCTTGGAGAATCTTTATATTGGCTTGTGTTGGTTAAATCTTACTTATTTATGTAGCTTAAAGTTATGTTCATAGCAGCAGAACCACTGCTATAACTTTAATCAAGATTCACTTTTCTAAATTTATTAAATAGCTGTAATATTTTTGAATCTTATGTCATATCTTTTGGCTACTTTTCATCATTATTTTTTATATAAGACTGTACCTGTTTTTACCCTAATAACATCTCAACAATTTTTCTTTATCCATACATGCAGGCGTAGTGAAGAGATGAGTTACCTGCGAGATCTTAGGAATTTATATCTACACTTTTATGCGAAACTAAAAATCTAGCGACATCATAATTTCCTCTTTTTACAAATAAAAAAAGTTTAATTTTATTTATCAATGAATTAATAAATAAAAATTTTTTCTATTTAGAATTAAAAAAATTGAAATTGAGCTAGAAAATATACTGAACAAATATTAATCAAATTGCTTGATTGATTAATTACTTATTTCTTAAATAAAAATAAAAATTCTGAAAATAGATATAGATGAATAGTAATCTAGTTTGTTTCTACCCAAGGATTAAAATTTGTAATTATAAATTTAAAATAAAGTAAAAGTGTTGCTTTCAAAATGAAGTTGAAGAAGGGATTCACTATTGAAATCAAGAATTTTATTTTTTGTTTTTGTTCTTTTAGTAATTTTAAATTCACAAGTTAAATTTATTAGAGCATTATTCATATTATGATTTTTAATTTAAAATAGATAAAGAAAAAAAAAATTAGCATTTTATAACAAGTTTAATTCTTTTATTTATTACTTCATGCAAGCAAGCATTAAAGGAGTTTATCCTGAGCTATTTACTTAATTAAATTCTATTGTCATGTGGGTATCTAGATATTTTAAAAATACACTTGAATCCTAGCGCAGTGCCAAGCTATGTAAAATTATATTTTCGTTAGACCTTTCTTTAAATGAATAAATTTCCTCAGCAGTGATGTTATTTGATTCTATAATTTTCTAAGCTTCCTTATAACTACTGAGTTATATGCATTTGTTCATTTGCTCTAATGCTAAAATTTGTAGCTTTTATTAGCTGTATATATTAAACCCTTGACTTGTTTAGGCTTAAGAAGATACCTATCCATTGTTTACACTGTAAAGAGAGCTATTCATTTAAGAATTTAAAGATATTGGAGTAATTTATTATTAGTTTTAAATCATAGAAGTGTTATTTATTGTAAAAGGGTTAGGACTTATTGGGTTTTAAATGCTATTATTCAAGGCTGTAAATCCATTTTAAAATGACATTTGTAAATTCATAAAATTGCTAGGACTATTGCAACTCATATTAGCTGTATTTATTGAAGATAAATTCAACTAACTCATATTATTGTTATTATTCGAACTGCTCGCTGCAGTGTTTAAACTAGAGCTATGCTACAACTAACTATTATTAATAACATTTCCTTAATTAGCACTCTAATTACAAAGAGAATTAAATATTTGATCGCTAGGATTATTTATGTTGTTGCTTAAACTATTTTCTAGTGTCCTTAATATTTTAGAAGATGAGTGAGATCTATATTTTTAATGTGAATTTGAACTCGATATTGCAAAAGAAGAAGGGCTTGAATAATTATTATTTTAGTATTATAAACCAAAATTTTATGAAGATATGTTTCCGTATGATTGCTAATGCTATTGTTAAATCTATAAATACTCCTTATTTCCCTACTATTAGCTCGATAAATCTAAATTTGCCCTTGGTACTTAGAATTCTATAAGTTTTTACTTACTTTTACCACCCATTTTGCTAGGACCTGTATGTAATAATTTAAATATAAAATTTAGAATTAAAGAGAATAAATTGACATTAAATTTTATTCCATTTATTTGAATTGTAAAACTTTCTTTTGACATCAATCTATCAATCATTTATTTTTCTTAAAATTTATTTATTTATTTTACATGTATTTTTTTAATGATTTAAGAGATAATCAAGCAAAATTTATCAAATAAGCCACCATAAGCAAGCTAAAAATATATGCATATGGTGAATTTCGCTTGCCCTAATAAAGTTAAAGAATAATAGATAATTGATAATTGAATTGTGGAATGATGCATTTTTTATTATCTGAATAACTTTGATTTTAAACGCTGTCACATTGATGAAAGTTAAAATTAATTACTGAACTTATTCAAATCTTAAATGCTATACTAATCAGATTTAAGATTTTTGCATGATACCGAATTTATTGGCTACTACTACTACTGCCTACTAAAGAGAGCTTAATTTTATTAATTTGTATAGGAATTTCTTTTTTAATTCACCTTCATAAGGAATTAGTTTATTACTCTCTATAAAGATAAATTTTGTGAATGCTATTTATTTATTTGTTTGTTTTGTCTTTTAAGCTTTTGCTTCCTTTGCTTTGAAATTATAATTAAAATAAGTAGATGGAGTGTTAAGCTATTTACGAATTCTTTCCTTTTATTATTATAATAATTTATTATTTTTTTTGTTTTGATTATTATATGAAATCTTAACTTTTATTTTTTCGTAAGTTTCTTTCTTTTTCTTGTTTCAATTAATTTTTACGCTAACTTCTTTATTATTTAAGTAATTATCAATCGTTCAATTTAGTTAAAGCTTATCACGAAAAGAGATATTTACGATCTTGTTTTGATTAGACTAAGAAAATAAAAAGAGGAAGGATTTATATATTGCAAGTGAGTGATTAGCATTTAAAACAAGCAAACAAACAAAAAATACTATTAATTACATCGTTATTGCAAAAAGTTAAAGATAAAAAAATATTTGTTTTAATATTTTTATTCTATAAAAAGTACATATTATACTAATTAAAGGGATAGACAAATATCTAACTAACTCCTTAACTATCTTTAAAAATTTACTTAAATATTTAAAATTCATCACTTATTTTTTTTGTTGTTGTTGTTTTTATTTTATTTCAAAAATATTCTTTTAATATTTTTATCCTTAATATAATTTATTGCAATCTATTCTATAAACTCAAATATTTGCTACTTGCATAAATTTATTTCTTTTTTTATAGCTAAATATTTTTCCTTATCTTAAATTAGTGCATCTTTTATATAATCTACCCTCAAATTTACACTTATAAAATTTTATACAAAATTCTTCATACAGTTTTAATTAAATTTAACTAAAAATAATTTTACTCTTTAAAAGTTCAACATTGTTACTTTATTAAAATAATAATCCTAATATTGATTTGCTTATGAGCTGTATCACTCACTCTAACTAATTTTATAATTCCCTTGAGATGATAAGTGCCTTTTCAAAAGAAAGTAATTATAGTATTTACAATATTAGAATTAAGGAAACAATAATAGAGATAAAATATAAAATGTTTGTTTTTGCTGTTTGAAGTAGCAAGTTTATTTAGTGAAATTTTAACTGCAAACTATTAATTTTATTTTATTAATTGCTATTATTTTCAAAGCAATATCAAAAATTATATGATAAAAAATAGAAAAATAAGATTGAAGTAAATTAATTAAATAATAATATTGATTGAGAGTAAATCAAAATGGTACTACAAAATAAATTTCTATTACTAAAATTTGATTGTATGTGAAAATTAAAAATTAATTATTTTTTCATTATTTCTTTGTCTGGACTCTTTAATTTATTTACATTTAGATACCATCTAATATCTATGGTAATTATTTTGATGAGTGCTTTAATGATTCATAGCTTTTCCTTTTATTATATTCCAATTTTTTTATCTAGTTACTGCTTTTTGTGTTTAATTTTAACTCTTCAATTATATTTTATTGGTTAAAAGAAGTTAAATCATTATTTAACAAATTACTTTTTAATTCTTTGTTTTTGTTAATTTTTTGCTCTGAAAGCTGGTGTGGTTCTTTTATTGTTTCTAAAATGAATTTGCTTGATGCTTATTTTTGCTATTCAGATGAGTTTTAGTTTTCAATATCATTATTATCAAATGATGAAGCACTTATTGCTTTTTCATTCAATTAATTAATTTAAGTCTATTAATCTATTTATTTTGATTAAATATTGGATTCTAATTTTATTTTGCTATCTGAGCTAATTGGCTGTTGCTTGTTTGTCTAGTAACTTAAAATTTTCAAGATAGTTTTATTGCTGTGATTTGAAGCATCTTATTATTATTAAGATTTCTTTTCAGTTTAATTAATTTATGATTTTTAAATATCTCTGCTTATTGAGTTTCTAGCTTTCGTTTGTTTTTCATATTAGATAACATGTCTTTAATTTTATTAAAAGTTTTGAGATTTCAAAAAAAAATTTAATTCACCTTCATCTTCATCCTCTCCTTCAAGTATGTTATTATTATTACTGCTATTATTAGTATTTTATTTTGGTTCTATTTCTAAGCCTTATAACCCATTTACCCATTCATTTAGATATTCATCCTTTGTTATGAATTTTTATGGTTTAACGTTCTTATCACTGCTGCTATAGACGATGAGTTTGTCAATGTTACTTATTGGAGCTACTTAATTTATTTGGTTGCTATTTTCTAATTTAGCAGCTTATGACTGAATAGGTTGTTAGTTGCTTTTAATGTTAAATAAAGTGGAATTGCTTTGCTGAGCTTAAGTAAGAATGAGCAATCCAATTTTTTTAGGAGTTGATAAATCTTAAAAACAATTCTAAGCCTTATTTTTTGTCGAAATTGATTGCTCTTTAATGTGCTAAGATATATTTCGCTCACTCGTATTTTCTCTTTCATCATAAATGTTTAGAAGTTTATAAATTTAGCTATACTCTTAGGGGTTTTTTAATTATGTTAATTTAGCAACTTACTCTTAAATATCTTTTTGTAATATAACTTTCTTTCTGGACTCTAGAAAATCTTTCCTTAAGTACTGCTTCCTTTCCAACTCCTCTTTTTCTTTATTTAACTTATTTTTGTTAACTAAATATTTTTCATCAACAGATGAGTGCTAAGCATTAGGTTAATACTTATTTAAATAAGATTCCTAGAAAGGTTATATATTAATTTTGTGATTGCTTTTATTACTTTTGTTTGTTTACTAGTTTGCTAGCATGCTCTCTTAAATAATTTTTTATTTTTCAAAATTCTCTTTGAAAATTACTTGATTTTAGCTTATTTAACTTTTTTAGTCACCTGTTAGGTCATTGCTCAGTTTCGTATAATTTGAATTCTTCTAATTAAGCAATATTTCTTTATAATATATTTTCTTTTATGTGAAAGTCATTTTATGAAAATCATCATTTATATTTCCCATTTTTTATGTTTTCACTGAAGGTAAAATTGATTCTAAGCTTATTAATTTATAGTCTTCATTTATAGTGTTTCTAGAAGTAAATTTGGATTCTATCAAACTCTTTTCCAAGAATTTAGATCTAAAGGTTCCAAATTTTTCATTTTAATTTCTTTATCCTCCATTGAGACTATTTTAGTAAGCAGCTAAACCATTCAGCAAACTTTGATTTAAGTTATTTGTAAATTTCAATTATCTTATCTTATTTCTCTCTTTTATATGATCATTTTTTTTGATTGACATCAATTCCGTTTCGTTATAGTGAAGTCTTTCTGATAAAAACCCACTTTACTTCTCTGATCTTATATCTTTATAAATTGAATCTCCTTCTTCTTTGTAAGCATTAGGTAATTATAAATTATTTTTTCTTATGGTAGCTCTTAAAATATTCTAGTCTTAGCTTTTTTAGCTCATATATAAATCTTAATCTTATTTGATCTACTTCTATCTTTACAAAATAAATTTATTATCATAAATATGTGTATTTAAATATTTATCATATTATAAAATTAATTTATTTTCATTGTGATTGCTAAGCATTTATAAAGTCTGTTTTCTTCTCATAATATCTGAGTACTTGCTTCCTAAATTACTTTAAATATTTTATTAATTATTCTATTTTAATGGTATTTATTATTTTTATCTTTCTCCCACTATTAAAAGTTAATTTGTATGCACATTATTTTATTTATTTTTTGTATTGAAATTTTCTGATTCTTAAGCTACATTTTCATCTAAATTTCTTACTACATTATCATCTTTAAGAAATGAAGCTATATTTGGTGAGCTATTTCTTTATAAGTTAAAATCCAATTGTTTTCTCTATATATTACTATTTAAATTATTTAATTAACCCTTAAAAATCTTATATTCATTGCTTGCTTCCTAATTTACTAACATTAATTTAGATTGATCGTTTATTTTATTCATATTTTAATCTTATTTTAATAATTTTGCAGTTTACTCCTCATCTTATTGCTTATCGTTAACTTTATTAGATAAAAAAGACTTATCACTTTCATAACTGTATTTCTATAAGGATTATTAATCTATTGAATCTGCATATAATTACATAAGGTTTATCTTATTTAAAGAATTATCAATCATATTTACATATTTAGATTTTTTAATTAATTATCTGAAAAAGTAATTCTAAATTTTTAATATTTCTTAAAATCAAAGCAAATTATTATTGAAAGAAATCAATAAATCAATCAAATCAAGTTGGCCAATAAAAATTGAATAATTTTTAACAAGAGTTACAAATTACCATCATTTACATTTAAAATAAATACTAGCATACATTTTTAATTTTTAATATATATTTAAAAAAATATTTTTTCCTTGATTAAAAAATGAAAATACAAACAACACGAAAACACTTTTAAATAAAATTAAAAAAAAATAAAATATAAAAACCAGTAATTTTTAAATTACTCAAAATATTAGTTGATAAGAGTAAAAATAGTTTTATTGATTAATTAAAAATTAGCATATGCAAATTAATTTAGACAATTAATTGGATTCCTCAATTAGTTATATGATAATATAGAAAACAATATAATATTGAATAAATTTCACTGATGTTAATTTTTATATGAAGGTGATTCTGGTTGAGTAGGAAATTTAGCTGAAACTGAGGGCTTAAAATGATTTGCTTTACACTATGTAGAAAAAGAAATACTTTTTTTTTATTGAGTATCTTCAGTCATCAAAGAAACACCATAATCATTTTTCTAATTATATGAAGTTTGATTATAATATTTCTATGTTAAATTTTAAGGCAAATGAGTTTGATTAGTCTTGAAGTTGTTTGTACTACTTTTATAAAATATAGATTAAGATGTATTTTAAAATTGTTCAGAAGAGCTGTCTTCTTTTTGGGTAGGACTTCCTATAGAATTAAGACGTGATATTTTAGTTGAAACTTTAAAATTACTCTAACTTTATTTTTCTGATTTAAATTAAGTGCACAAAGAAATACTATTTAACTAATGACTTAAATTTTTAAATCTATCACCATAATTTACAAATATGTTGCTGGATAATTGGGATTCGTTTTGATAATTATTTTAAATGGCTCTTTTTATGAGGCTTCTTAAGTTAGGAGATGTTTAAAAGTTTGATAAATTTGCTGCATCAAGATCATTAAATTAATTCGGCTCTGAAGATTAGCTGTAAAAAGTACTAGAAAATTCAGACTGAGGATTGCTGCTTTTGATTTTCCTATTTTTAATAAAAAACTCTAATGAGTTTGATGACCCACTCTAACGAAATAAATTGCTATCACTAGTATTACAATAATACTAAAACCCTTAATCAGAGCTTTAATTTTATAAAAAGCTATTTTTGAGTAAATTAATTGGACTAGAATATATTTGACTGTATTAAGATTAGCTACGAGATTCAACAAAGTTGTTAAAATTTGTGCCACAGTGTTATTTATCATTTTACATTTTTCTTAAAATTTTATTGTTCTTTTTTTTGAGGGCTTCTTACATTGGCTAAATAACTTTCTAATTAAAGAAATTTATTTTGTAATTTTTAAAGCCTTTACTTTTAAAAAATAATGATTAATCACTAATCAAACATACTCATGAATAAATAAATAAATAAATAAATAAATAAATAAATAAATAAATAAATAAATAAATCAATAAACTATTTTTAAGTTAAATTTACCTTGATTATTTTTACTTTTATGTGCTAAATTAGTCTTCTATCATTTTTCTATAAAAATTCAGAAGCTCTTACTTTTATTTTAGAGTATCATTTCTCAGAATTTTATCATTTTTTAATGCTTTTTTAAAATTTTCATTGTAAATCCTTTTGTTTTATTCCTGTGCTTATGTTGGTTATTGGTGAGTACTCAATGAATTAAAGCCTTTAAGCTTAAGGAATTTCTGAATCTCGATTTATTCATCTAAATCTTCAGATGCCTAAAATGTTCCATTTGTGGTATGGATCTTCGAGTATTATTCTTATATTTACAGCATATCCTCAACTTGCTAGATCTTTTCCATATTATCTTTAGATTAGTTAACAGTAGAAACTTGATTTTAAGTTGAAATATTCTTGCTTCTTATTTCTATTTTTTTAATCTATGACTAAATTAATTATTATTCTATTTGATTTATTCTTTCTTAAATGAAGTTGGTTTTTTCTGAGAAAATTCTTTGAATATCTATTTGTATTAAAATATTTCTATTCATAAGTTTGACTATTTCTTTGGATGAAATTACTGATAGTACTCCTTACTCGCTTAGACATTTTACGGAATACTATCTTTTTTTATTTGATAATATATCTTCAATTCCAAAGAATTCATTTTATTACAATATAGAAATCGATTATGTTTATGTAAAACTCTTTGCTTATTTAAACTATACCATCATATCATTTTACTACTACCTCTTGGATGTTTCAATTTCAAAGCATCTCTATAAACTAAATTCGCCTTATCTAATTATATACCTTTATTTTATGTAATTTAAAAGAAAGCATATTTTTCATGAAAAGTAACCAAAATGTTTATTAAATTAAATTATTAATTCTAATCTAATTTTACCAGTAATCAGGAGCAGATTCTTAGTCAAAAACTATTTAATTTATTTTAAATTATTTTTTAAAAGAATTTTATACTAAAAACTTGATAGTATTAAAATTCCATTTACTGAAAAAACTTATTCTAGAATAGTACGAAATTTCATAAAGCAGGTCTTTACTTTTAGTTTTGCTCATTATTTACTCAAATTCTTTATATGAAATTGTAGCAAAGTAGCAGTCTTCCAGAGTTTCGTATTTTGATTTGCAAATATTATGTGTAATAAATTCAACATTAGGAAAAGAGTAAATAACTTAATCTTTTTATTGATTTGAATCAAAAATGATAAATTTATCTATAATTTCTTCATTTTTAAATCGCATAATTTAATTATTTTTTTTTAGTTTTTTTTCTGATTCAGTTTACTTCACTCTACCACATATTAAAAAGAAAAGGCTTTCGACCCTATTATCTTTAGTTTAAAGATTTTAATTTAAAATGAAAGCTTAAACAAAAAATAATTTACTGAAATTTTATATTATCTATCCTTTATCTATTTTAACATATCTTAAGAATTTGCAAAACTCCATCCTTATTTCAGAAGTTAATGTTTCTGAGTATTCATTAAATATTTATGAGTTGCAAATAAATTTGTCAATCATTTTAATATCATAAGCACTTCTCTCCTTGCTACTTTTTTAAAGTAGCTCAGCAGTACACTAATTAAATTATTTTATTATTTTTTAATAAACTAATTGTTGAATAAATGGATATACTTTGGAAACCAAATTTTTGAATAAGTACCCAAATAAATGAGATTTTCGCTTAGGCTAAATTATCTTTGAAGGAGAAATTAAATTCTACACATTTTTTGATGAAGATTAATTTGTATTATGAGAAGATGAGAAGGGCTCTGCTGAATTGCATCTTTCCTAATTATTGATTTCTTTATGTACATTTATTTATAGTTTCTCTTTCATTTTTAAACAACTAATTATAATCAAAAATTTTGTATCTATCTACTTTTAATTCTACTTAAAAGTCTATTTTGGTATGAGATATCTAATTTTAATATAGTAAAAATAATTGAATAATAATTAACCATAAAAAAATAATTACTTGTTAATTATATAAATAAAAACTTAAAAACTAAAGAGGAACCAAATTCAGTTTGAAAGCTCCTGACTTGTGTGCTTTATTCTTAATATTAATTTTTTACAAAACATATCAGCCTTATTATAACTACTTGCAAATTGCATAAATGAAATCATGAATGTATTCTATTTTTTATGTTAAATATTCTGATTCTTTTGTTTAAAAAGATTTTTATGTAAAATTTTAGCAATATTTAATAAAATTCATTTTATTTCTTCATTAAAAAAAATTAAATAAATCAGAAATATATTAAGTAATAAAAAAGGATTTATTGAAATTATTTCTAAACAATACAAATATTTTATTTTCATTAGACAATTAAATTTCTTTTTATTAAAGAAAAAAATGAAAAAAATATTAATGAATCAATAAATTAATTAATTAACTAATAAATTTAAAAGAAAAGTGTATGTACCTATCAGAAAAAATAATTAATTAAATAATGAATTAACTTACTTAAGCTCATGCAAATAAACATCGGTCAGTCAGTCAATCAATCAATTAAAATCAAGAATAAATTAAAATTAAAATAAGAGAATCGAAGAGTCATGTTTTAGATGGAGAGGTAGAAACTATTATATATTGAATATTAAATTAAGGTAAAAAGTTAATTGTTTTTCTGATTTTAAAATAAAATAAAATAATCAAATAAGACAGTCACTTTTATTCTTTTTCTTATTTTTATATTAATTAAATGGAAATTAGCTAAAAACTTTAAGTTTTTACAAAGGAACTTTATTAAAATCAAGAGAACACAAAATCAAAACAAGAAAAAAAAATTTGTGATAAAATTTGTATTACTTGACAATATTTGATAAAAAAGTTTATTTTTTAATTTCGATTTATAAAAAAAAACAAGAACCCGCGTACTATGAAACGATTGGAAAAGCCGTCGTTAAGCGAAATCAGCCCTATTCACAATAATAGTCTATAATATAGTAAGAACTTTTAAAATTTAAATTTATAATTTCTCTGCAATGTATTGAGAGAAACAAACAAAATGTTTCTTTCTTATTAAGCAATAATTTTTATGAAATGGATAATCCATATCTACAGATGAAAAAAGAAGAAGGAATGGAGGAAAGAACTTTTTAACATTATTTATTTTTAAAAATTAGAAAATAATTACGACTTTAACTATTGTGCTGAATACGCTAACAATCAATAGCATTACGCAGATGATTTCATGAGTAAAATATTATCAAATACATAACTATTAGCTGATTTGTTAAAACAGCTCCAACAATTAAATAATCATTTTTTTTACATTTTTTTTTCTTTTCCACATTTGATGATATCTACTTGTTGGCTGTAAATGAAATAAATAAATTAATTATCTTAAACTTATAGATTAGCAACAAGAAATGATAAATGAAATGAGCCTTCATGAAAGATTATAGCATAATCGCAAATGTTTTCATCAATTCTCTGAATAGATAGGAAATTTGAAGGACACAAAACTAAATGTAAAAGATACCATTATAGCCAAGCAATGCCCAATGGATTTCCCTCCTTATGTTGAGTTACTCAAAATGTATGAGAAGGACATTTAAAAGTAATTAATTATTAGTTTATAAATGATAAAAATTATTTTTAAATCGTGTATTATTTGTTCATCTACAACTAATACTACTACTACTAATTATAGAGATGATAAAAAATCATCTATTTTCTCTAATTGTAATAAAAGTTTTTTGTAGTTTTTAAAGTCTAAATTGAAAGTTTTTTTCAATTTTTCATTTACTAATCTCTTTGAAAGAATTAAAAATATTAAGCTTTTTCTCATAATATTAATATTTTTTTAAACAAGGATGCAAGTAACCAAAACACTCAAAAAGAATTGGAATGAAGATGATATCATAATTTTGATTTGGTGTGTCATGAAATATTGTGCTCACCATAATGTCTCCTCCCATAAAAACCTGGTAAGAATAGTTTTTTAAACATAGATAAAAATTAGGAGTTTTCTAAAAATATTAAGTTTGTGAATGAGAAAAAGAAAATCATCAAAAATAAATAATTTTAAAAATAAATTTTTTTATGAACAAACACCATTAATTCTTATGTTAAATTAGAGGACACTAAATTTTTATTTAAATTTGATTGATAATTTATTTTTAATACTCAACCTAACATATTCGTTTATTTAAATAGACTGAAAGTGATTGGTAATTCATAGCTAATATGGTACCCGGAAAAGATAAAGAAAGTTGTAGATTTAAATGGTTAAAAATGTGTAAAGTCAACATACAAGATGAACCATGGACAAAAGAAGAAAATGAAATTCTTCCCACTATTGTAAATCAAGTTTAGTAAAATAATAACTTTTTAATTTTTAAAAACATATTTCATAAAAATTAAATTGTAAAAATTAGAGAAAAGGGTAAAAAAGATTGGGTAGAAGTATCCACAAGACTCTTCTATGAAACAAACTAAAAAATTTATAGAACACCAAAATAATGTAGAGAGCACTTTAATAACTATCATGATCCTGATATTAAGAAGTACTAACTAACTTATAGAAGAAGTATGTTTATTAAATTATATAAAATAAATAGGGGTAGCTGGACATAAGAAGAAGATTTAGAATTATTAAAGTTGGCGAAAGAACTTGGTAAAAAATGGTCAATTATAGCAAAAAAATTAAAAGGTAGGACTGAAAATGCAGTGAAGAATAGATTTCATGCCATTTTTAGAAAGCACATTGAGAAAAATGAAAAAGCAGGAATACAAGATTCCTTTGAAGATTCCTAAATTTATGAATCAGAAGAAGTAAGCAGCGAATAAAACCAAAATAGCGGCGGTAATGGCGGAACAATGGATTCACCATTAGGAAAAGATATGGTCAATGAGAAAAAATTGATAAACAAGCTTATAAAAAATATCGAAAACAATCTTAAAATAAACTCCAGTGAGTGCTATTCTAGTGACAATAATTCTGTTTATTCTGATTCAAGCCGCAATTCTAAAGCATTTAAAAAATAAAAACACAAAATGCTATAATTTATTCACAAAAACTACGAATCTATGTCTTCTGATGATGATACTTCAAGGCACTCTCCTTCTCCCCATACAGCCTAAAGTAATAAATATGAAAATTACAAAAAGCAATAAATTTAAAATAAAAAATTATTTATTAAAATAGAATCCATTTTTAGCAAAGCCTACTCAGATTAAATAAAATGCAAGCAAGATGAAGATGGCGAAATGGAAAATACAAATACCAACAATGCTTTAGGTTACTAAAGCAGTAATTCTAATCTTCAGCATTAGACTCATCCTCGCTAACAAATTCATCAAGAAAGTTAGTTTAAATAAAATAGTAGAAATAACTCTGAGAACCCTAAAGCTATTGATTCAAACAGTCCATACAAGGCTCCAAACTATCAAAAATAGAATAATTATCAACCTAGTTAATATTAATAGTAGCTTTAAGGTAGCGATGAAAAGATGAAGAATGGATTGTATTAATAGTAATAAGGTATCTACTAATAAAATGGCGTTAACTAATAGCAACATCCTCCATAACAACAGTAATAAGGTATTCAACCAAGCTAGGGAAATATAGCCAGTAACCCTCATATAGGAAGCTAAAACTTTGATTTCTTTAATTAATAAATAGTCCTCGGAGGTTAAATTACTTAGTAAATTAAATATTTTAGAAAATTACAAAAGTAAATTGTATTTTTAATATTATAAACAGATCTAAAGCAGATAGCATTGAAGAATTTGTGAGTCACTCATACTAAGATATTCCAAATTAAAATAACCAGCAAAACCAAAACTAAGGTGGATTCGTTTAGCAGAAGATACCTTCTTTGGAACACATTGACATGAAAGATGAAATTAAGCTTAAAGTAATGAACTACCAAGATTTGTAGTACAATGAGTAAGATTAATACTCCTATGCTGTAGTTAATTTAACTAAAAATGAAATATTTTTGACTCCTCCATCTCAATAGCAATAAATGTAAAAAATATGGGCTTAGGCTTCTTAAAATAACAGCAATAATAACACCAAAGTGTAGAATAATAAAAGTATGTAGATGCAACAAGAAGTTGACTAGATCAATTTTACAAGCAACAACAACAACAATAACAACGGATTGTAATTTATTAATTTATTTTTTAAATCCTTCTTTAAATTAAGAATATTTATTTTAATAAAATTAGCGATAACTCAAATAATATTAAAGTTCAAAATAAAGCAATTGTTAATACAAATTCTATCCCACAATACTAAAATACCTAAAATAATTAAAACATAATGATGTAATAATAGCATAAATAAAATAGTAATCAACAGCAATAAATAGGAATACCTCAGCAAGATACAACTCTTAGCTTTTAGAGTACTCACCCTTAGTAAATACTTCCAGCAACTACTAATATATTAGGTGGAGCTCATAATACTTAAATTCTAACTTAATCAGCAATTAACTAAAACTAAGCTCACGTTCAGTAGACATAACCAAATAACTTATATTAGAGCTAACCTGCTTACTATAATGATTATAATACTGGATAAAATACTGGCCAGCACTTTTCAGCTGGAATTTAGAATACTGCAGGACCAACTCATGTCGCAGGTATGAGTGCAAATATGATGGGTATTCCCTAATTTTCTACAAATAATACCTCATTCTAAGTAATAGGCAATATGGGCAATATGGCATAGTCTATAAATTAAATAAATCCAATGAAAATAGAAGATGGATAATAATTTTTATTTATGCAACGAAATAGCTTTGACTTATCAAATAACAACTAAGCATTTATCCCATATACTGATAATAGTTAATATAATCCTAACTTCGGAGGATAAAGCAACCCTAACAACTTAAATTATATTTATCCTACAGGATAAATGGGTAACCAATATTAGTAAACAATAAATACTATGAATAAATAATGATGAAAGTAAAATAATGAATAACTAAATAAGTAAGTAAGTAAGTTCAAAAAGTTTTTATCTAATTATCTTTAAACTAATTAACTAACTAACTCACTCACTCACTAATCATTGCAAGTTATTCGATTTAAAAATCCCAAACAAATTTTTAATTTTAATATATGTCAAATTTTTTATAATGAGGAGAGTTTCAAAGAAATTACTAATTTATGAGCAACATTTTGAAGATAAAAATGTTGTAACTTAAATAAATATTAATGTTTCACTTTAATTATTCAGAATAGCAAAGATTTATTGATAGCGAAACTTATAAAGCCAACAGTGCTGCTTTCAAATACATATATAAAACTAATCTATATCTATCTAAACATAATCTACCTCAACCTAATAAACCTAACAATAATTATTAATATACTTAGTTCTTCTCTAACCTAAATATTTTTTTTAACACAAGAAAATTGTCTCCCATCTAGCTACTTACATACATACATTCATACCTACCTACTTACCTATTGACAAACAAATAAATCTACTTTCTTTCTTTCTAAATATTTTTGTATTTCAAAAATTATATTCATATTTATTTCGTATAGGAATATTTTATTTTACTTTCTTCATAAAATTTATTTTTCCTATTTTTTAGTTAATTAAATTTAAAAAAAAAAATAATATCATTTTTCCATTACAAATTATTATATGTCATATAAATGAAAATTATTAATTTTTAGCCATAAATAATGCTAATTATTTATTTTTATAATGAATTGAATACTTTTGTTCGAAAATTTCAATAGCTTCTACTTTTTGATGAAATTTAATAATATTTAAACATATTATCATAATACAAAATTTATCAATTAAATTCATATTTTCTGTTACTTGTTTGCCATTAAATATAATTTTATTATAAATAAAAGAACAAATCAATCCATTTAAAAATCATCTGAAGCAATAATTTATTGAATTAGTAGAAATTTCAAAGAAATTTGAATAAAAGTATGCAAATTATTATTAAATAAAGTTAGAGGGAGACTATTATTTTATGTTATAATAAAGCAAACTCTAAACAATCAATATAAACAAATAACCAAAAAGCAAAAGAAATTAAAAATTTATCATTTCCTCAATTACTGATTAAAAAAATAAAATTTTTGTAAGATAAGTAGTATTGTGATTTTTACTATAAAATCAAATTAAATAACAAATTAAGAAAATAAATAGATAGGTTGCGGATATTCAGTAAGAAAGAAAACTCATCTTACTTTGAAGTTAGCGTTAATTATTTTTTATATTGTGATACTATTTAAGTTAGAATCATTTTATGCAATCTGTTGCATTAGCTGAACCTAATTTAAAACCAAATAATGCTACTGGTTAAAGAAAAAGCATTTTAAAGAATACGTTGGGTCCAACATAATAATTTGACTCAAACCTGAATAATATAACAGATGTAAAAATTTGATCAAATTAAGCAATTATGTTAACAAACATATTTAAATAACAGATTTAGGTATTAAATAACAATATTAGAAGACCTTCAAAATTTAGTCAAAAGTCAGATGAAAAGATTAGAAACATAGCATCATAGCAAAATATGTCTAGAATTAATTTATCACAACAGCCATCTTCTAAAGGAAAAGAAAGATTATCAAACAAAGATGGAAAGAAGATAGATGTGTTTAATTTGAATGAAAATTAAAAATACCCAAAACTAGCTGAACTTCATGATTCAATATACTTTCAACTAATATTAGCTATATTTACTATATATGCTCTATTTGGAGACGATATAAGAGTAGCTGCAACTACAAAAGTAAAAAGATTATATAAGTAGAATATCATAAATGAAATGAATATACAATTATCCTCTATTTATATTGGATAAATTATATCCTTATTAGCAAGGATAATCTTTTAATAAATAAATAAATAACATACTTTACTCATTAACAAAATTAGTTTTAAATTTTTTTACTTTTAATTATTTTACTAATTGGTCATAAATTATAGGGAGCCGATCCTTACTTTGATGCCATAACTATTACTTGCATTTCAGCGTTTGCATTTTAAATAATAATATAGTCTATATCCTATCCTCAGTACAGATATTCATTCTTTTTTTGGCTAGATATTGTATCTACATCAACTATGCTACTTGATATTTAGTCTCTAAATAGAGTGATATTCTTTTAAAATAATATAAGAAACACTATTTAGTTAACAAGAGCAAGTAGAGCTTCTCGTGTTGGAACCAGGTATTTAAATAATAAATTAAATATTTTATTTATTCTTATAGCTTTTTGCATAAGTATTTGATTAAATTTAAAAACTATTTTACCACATTTTAATAAATTATAAATCTGATTTAACTTATTTAACTAACATTTTTAACAATATTTTAAAGTTTTAAAAAATTTGTAACTCAATAAGCATTTTCAAGGCTTCAATAAATATTAAATTTTATGGAATAAATTTAGTTAATCTCCTCCTCTACAACTTTTATACAAAAAAATTTTATCTTAGAATTAAAATCTATTTTATAGAATTTATAATTTGCTAGTTAGATAGATGGAGACTTATGTTATTTGAAGTTAATCAATAAATTATATTTTCTCAATAATTCAAGTTAAAGTTAGTTTTAATGAGCTAAAAATTTTTAAATGATAATATTATTAGAGCTGGTAGGGTTGTACGTCTTATAAGGCTCATAAGAATTACAAGAATATATAAGTAAGCTGTTGAGTAAAAATAGAGATTGGAGAAAAAAAAATTAGAAAACTTAAATTGTTAAAATAAATCAGGTAAAAAGTCATTAAAAAACAAATAAAAAAATAAGAATCCTGATGGAACTGTAACAAATTCATAAAATAATTCAAACAAAGATGGTAATCATGGTGAAAGGGGTAGTATAGAATTACCAAAAAGTAAGGAAAATAGAAATAGTGATAGAAAAAACAACTAAACAAATCAAAATATAGATAGTTAATTGAATATCAGTAAGAATGAATCTGAAAATGTAATTTATGTTTTGGAGCTTATTTTATTTTATTTATTGATTGATTTTTTCCATTTTTTTTTTGTATTTTATAAATTTTTAATTGATAAAAAGTTAGAGGAATTACAATAAGCCAAACTTAAAGAATCCAAGGTAAGTAAGCGTTTGTCAGATTTAACAACTAAGAAAGTTGTTATTGTGATCTTGCTGCTTCTTTTTCTTTTACCTATGTTTTAAAAGAGTTTTTACTTTGATTTACCTTATTCAAGTGACTTTCATCTTATTGCCCTTGCTAGATATTGTTAACTATCAACCTCTTCTATTTAAAACATATATTCAAGCATTTCAAATACATTAACTACATTGTAAGGTTTGAAATCTCCGTGTGTTTATTTCACCTAACCTTTTAGCTAAACTAGCCTTGATTGGGTTTCGGACTCATATGATAATTATAGAGACTCAGAATTATTACCTTCTGTATCATATTTAGATAGAAATATATTTTTATAGAACCATCCTGACTTAATATCTTCATAAGGTACAATACTAAAAAGTGATGATCCACTTGTTTTTATATCAGTTGTTAATGTTAGAGATTTGTCAGTATTAGATGCTATCCTTTCTATTTGTAGAACAATTTTCGTTTCTATAGTACTTTTGCTTGCAGCCTTCTTTTTTTCATAGGATGCATAAAAGTTAGCTCTTGGACCTATTGAACGTATGATTAATAAAGTAAAAAAATTAAATAATTGGGATTATATCAATAATAAATTTCTAAATAATGATAAAAGGTCAATTAAATTGCAAATGATCCACTTTCAGCTAAAGATTAAGAGCTTATAGATGAGTCTTAGGATTAGTATGAAACAAGAATTATTGAAAATGCTATTGTAAAGATTGGAGCGCTGCTTGCTCTCGGTTTTGGTGAAGCAGGAAGTGAAATTATAGGAAGCAACATAGCCAAACACGGTGAAGTAGATCCTATGATTTCAGGTAAGAAAAAGTGTTGTATTTATGGATTTTGTGATATCAGAAATTTCACAGATGCTACAGAAGTGTTACAGGTAATAAATTAATTATAATTCACTTTATTTTTAGTTATAATTTAAATAAATTCATTTTGAAAATAGGAAGACGTTATGATCTTTGTAAACAATATAGGAGATATTGTTCATACTATGGTAGACAGATTTATGGGAGCTGCAAATAAGGTAATTAATTCATTATCTCTATTTTATTTTAAATTTAAAGATATCATTTTAAAATAGAATATTGGTGATGCTTTCTTGCTTGTTTGGAAATTTTAGGAGGATAAATATGAAGTTAATGAAGATAATACTATTGATTTCAAAGACCCTAATTATGCATGCATCATGGCAGAATTTGCTCTTCTTTCGTTTATGAAAATATAAGCCAAAATTAACAGAGAACCTATCATTTTAGAATATAGAAAAGATCAAAGGCTTAATTAACGTATGGCTAATTATAAAGTAAGTTCCTTATCAAACTATAATATTAACTTTCAAATTATATAAATAGAAATTTTAATATTTCAAAACTCATATCATTTTTTAATAATAATTTGTTTAATCTAGAATTTACAAAAGAGTTAAAACATATCTTTTTAGTAATTTTTATGATATTTTTTATAAGATTATATGAACTTAAATAAAAAAATTCAAACAATAAATGAGCTAGTTAAATTTAAACAATAAATTTCATAATATGTATTTAGCTATTCAAATAAAAACATAATAAGTTTTTCAAATTAAAAACAAAATTTATTTCTTTAGACATCAAATAAATATAAAAGATAAAAAATCATTTAAATTTAAAATTTTTAAAATAAAGGTAAAAATTGGATATGGTTTACACATTGGTTGGAGTATAGAGGGTGCTATAGGCTCAGAATTTAAGATCGATGCCTCATATTTGTCACCAAATGTCTCAATGTCATCTCGTTTAGAAGGTGCAACTAAAGGATATGGAGTCCCACTATTATTTTCTTCTGATATATATAACTTACTGACTCCAAACTTCCATGAATATATTAGATAGGTAGATTATGTAAAAATTAAAGGCTAAGCTAAAGTAATCACACTTTTATATATATTTATTGTATTTATAAAATATTTTCCATAAAATAGCCTATTGGATTTTACACTATAGATATGTAAGTTGATAAGTTGCCTCCTTCAAAATTACAGGATTTAACTATCTAAGAAAAAATGTCAATAGAAAAGTAGAAAAAATCAATAAATTTACAGTTTTTGGATTCAAATGTATTTGATGTAAAGGAATATTTAACTACTGACAAAGATATGAAACTTATTTTAAAAGATTTTGATTTTGAATTTGTTAAAATCTATAAAAAAGCATTTGATCTATATCTTTAAGGAAATTGGAGTCAATCAAAAGAAATTTTTGATACAATTTTGATTGATAAAAAAGATGATGGACCTACTAAAGCTACTCTTGAATTTATGAGCGAATCTGACTATTAAGCACCATAAGATTGGTCAGGTTTTAAGCCATATTATGATTGAAATGAAATATATTAAAGAAACAATAAATAGGCTATATTATATAAATAATAAGTAAGAAAATATTCAAGTATAGAATAGCTTATTATAAGCGATTTATTTATTAGGTTAATTAGCTTTTAACTATTCACAGTTGTATAAAAATTAAAAGTATTTTAATCCTGAGTAATTTATATTAATTTAAAGACTTAATTCTTTTGCTTTTAGAAGAAACTAAGTACGTAAAAATAGTAAATAGTAAAGTAATTTATATATGTGTGTCATAAACACCCCATAAAAATTATTTGTTTTGTATAGAATTTAACATAAAAACTATTATCAAATCTTAAAAATTGTTTAATCAAATAAATGTGACTAAAAAAATAACATATAAATTATATTATTTAAACCAAATAAAGGTAAAATACAAAAAAATTAAAATAACTTTGATATTAATATAATTTGATAGATTGTACCAACAAAACCAACAAATAGATACAATCGGGTAAGATTAATAAAAAAACAATGAATGCAAAATTTTTTTCAATTTATCCCTAAAATAAAATTTTGCAAAAAGAATTAGTAAATGTGATATATTCTTTATCTTGTATTATAATTACTTTTCTTAGTTATTTTTATTTGGAATAATAAATAATTCTTTTAGAAACAAACTAATTTTACAGTGACAAGTTTTATGTTTTTTCATTTTGATTCTATCTTAAAATAGTATCCTAATCACTAATATTACATTAATGTTTTTTATTATTTTTTCGTTGTTTAAAAATAATAACCCTGAGTAAAAAGCTAAACCTTAGGTTCATTTTTTAATTTAATAAAATAATTATTATTTCATAAATTAAATTTAATATTTTTTTATGAATTTCTTTCTTTTAACTAGATCAAAGATGTTATAAATATAATAATTTTTTTTGTTAAATTTAATATTATTTTTTATATTTAACTGTGAATTAAAGATTAAAATTTCAAATTTATAAATATGTGTTAATAGCATTAAAAATTTCAGGTAAAAATTGGTTGCTTTTGTTTTAACAATTCTTACTAAAAAGTATCATTGAATATATAGACAAAACACTGATGCTATTTTTAAAATCATTATATTTTACCTTTTTATTGATAGGGATATAATATTTTTTTCACAAAAATCAAAACATTTAGGTATTTTAACTATGAAATATTGCTTGGCTAAAAGATTAAATTTTAAAAATTAACTGATAGGCTAACTGATAAAAGTTAAAAATTAGTTTTTTATTTAATTTATCAATAGAATATTAGACCATCGAAGTTCTAATAAATCAAATTTTATCATAATTTTTCAACTAATTTTTTGATAAATTGAAACGCTAAGTGCTATTAAGTTATTATTAAAAGGTAAAAGTTAATTTTTACAAATAAACTTTATTATTTGATTATTTTGTATAGAAGAATTAAAAATAAAATAGATTTTTATAATTTAAACCTATCAATTAAGTATTTTAATATTTGAGTTCAAGAATTAATAAAAATTAATTAGCTGTCTTGATTGTAGTTAATATATGATCAAAATGATGATAATAATAGAAAACAAATTTACAGCCAATGTAATAATACACATAATTTATAAAAATAGAGTATCATAAAAGCTTAATAATGATTATTATTTTTTTGTGACTGTTAAATTACGATTTCATCAAAAATTAATCATCACTCTATAAATATAATTACAATCAAGATTATGATTAGCAGTGAATTGTTTTCTAACCGATTATCTTAGCAGGAATAAAAGGATTAAGAGTTTTTTGATTCAAATTCAAAGTAAAAATATTGAGAAATTTTAAATCAAAGGGAGTGTTAGAGTAGTAAACAAATATAACATATTGATTAATAATTATTACATATTTTCTTCTACACTCTATGAAATTAAATTCTACAAAATCAATTGCCAAATAATATTTGATAAGTTTTAGATTGAATTGAGATAAGTAAAATTCAAAAATATTTTATAAAGTTTTGGTATACTTAAATTAGTGTAATCTTGATTTTTAAATTATATAAGATAAATTGGTTAATAGGAATTTTTTAATAAAATTTTATATAAAAATTTACTTAGCTGCTTAAGAAGACAATCTTAGCTTTTTTTGGGGTTCGTATTTCAAACTATTTAAATAAATCTTAAAAATATTCTATTATTTGTCTATTTTTAATGAATGAACAAAGAATGAAAAATATCTATAGTAGTAAATAATAATTACTATGGCTTCATAATTTTGAATGAAGCTTAAAGAAATATATTTTTTATCACTTATTGGTATTAATTTACAGAGCATTTTAATTTAATAAAAGAAATTTGAAGAATCATAAATGCTTTTTATAAGTTTTAAATTTTAAGAACAAACATATAATGTAAAATTTCTTATAGAAAATTTCTAACTTTATTAATAATGAATTTTTAAATTTAAGGAACATGAATTTTTCTTTTTCCTCTCTTAATAATTACTAAAATAAGACTTACTGACCGCTTAAAAAAGTTAATATTAAAATCTATTTAGTGTACTTACTTGCATTCACAAAAGATTATCTGACATTTATATTAAATATATTATCAAGAAAGGTATTTGAAAATATTTAAAAAATTATCACTTAAGATTTAGTAGCATCTAACTTAATCAAATAAGGTCTTCCTTTTGCTAATTATTTTTTAATATCTAAGAATATAATAAAAGAAAGTAGAAGAATTTCTAAGTTTTTGTTCAAGATTTTTTTGTTTATAAAAGCATCTTGTAATGCTAATAAGCTAGCAATATTTTGATAAAGATTAGATTTTATTCTAAAAATAAATATTTTATCTAAAAAATTTATTATGGATTAGACTATTTGTTTTTATGATTGTAATTCAAAAGTATTTAATCTAAAATTTTTTAATATACTATGAAATAAGTAAATAAACAAAATATTAATCATTAATTCATTCATATATGCAATGCACAAACGATTATGTTTACATCTTTTTTAATTTATCTATTTATTTACTTATTTTGTGTAAGTATTTTTTTAAAGAAATTACATTAAACAAAAAATGGAACAAATAAATGTACAAAAATGTCTCATAAGTGTTAGATACATCAAAAGCTTTATATTTTTTATATTTTCAAATTCAGTATTTTGTATTTATGTGCTTTTTTAGTTATCTCTTCCTTCATTCATTTTTACTAGTAGAAAAATATTCATTTATTCTTTATTATAATAAAGGTTTATAAGCTTGATCAAAAATCATGTTAGATGATCTAACTAAAAGAGATTTAAATTCATCTTCTGATAGGTTAAAGGCCTGTATCATCTTGAAATGCTCTTAGGTAATATCTGTATCAAATACACATGTATCATCGGTGTTCAGATTGATTGTATGACCCTGGTAAAAAAATTCTTTAAAATGATGCTCGCTGAGAGATTTCATGTTCACAGTGTAAAAATTGCTAGTAGGGCACATTTCAATAGGGATATTAAGTTATCTAACTTTGCTGTACAGGTCTTAGTTGTAAAAATTGAAGTGACCTAATCTATCTGGTTTAAAATTAACAATATCAAATGATTCTTATAAATATTCTTCGCCTTCTAATTCAGCCACATGAATTGTTATTTTGAAACCTTCTTTACGAGCCTATTCAAGTAATTATTCATATTCTTTAAAGGTACTTTTAGAAGGATTTCCTGAGAAATCGAGGCCAACAATTATATTATTATTTTTTAATTTTAAAATATGATTTAAAGTTGATTGAGCATCCTCCAAAGGACGTCCTCTGTCAATGCTTACCAATAATCTGGCTTGCATTTTGTCTCCATACTATTACTAAAACTTTTGAATCTCATCTATAACTGTATTAAGGTACTGCTCTTTAGTGTAAGTACCTAACTCACAAGATTTAGGGGTGGTTCTGAGTTCTAAATAAGCTACATTTTAGTCTCTAAAATCTTCCAGAACTTCCCTGCTAACTCTACGAATGTCCTATAAATCTCGAAGCACCTAATGGATGAGTGAAAAGATTGAAAAGGCCCCTTTTATATTTCTCAAATCGAAGATAGAAAGGTCTACATTAATTTACTTTCTTTGGGCTATTTCAAATAAAGTCTATCTTCTAACACAGCCGTTTAAGTGAGCATGTAGTTCTATTTTTGGTGCCTTCCTTACAAAATCTTGAGTTAGAGCCTTTGTTATACCAATCATACTAAGAATATTTTTATATAGATAAATTAAGTATTTTTGTTATTTAAGATAATGCTTAACTTTTAACTTTTACTCCTAGAAAACACTACGCTAAGTAAAATAAAGTTTTTAAATCTACATTTTAATAGTACCTATAAAATGCAATAAAATTCATGGTTAAATTCATAGAAAATAGAAAGAAAAAAAAATAATGAGTAAAGTAAGATATAATAAAAATTTATTAAAGAAGGCATGTAAGACTATTTTTATTATTGTAATTTACTGAGAAAAAAATAAGAAGGGAGAATCAATCACAATTTAATTGAATTGTAAGATTATCTATTTATTACAAAAGATATATAGTGCCAATGCTTTTGAAAATATAATAATTGGTGGGAATAAAACTTTATAAAAGGAATATTATAACTATAAGATTTATATCTTTTGTTCCTTTTTTTTATAATAAATTAAAATTAAATTTTGATCAATTATAATTCATTTATATAACTTGTAATCAGTCAGTCAGTCATTCGGTCTGTGTTTGTCTTTTGTGTTATTTATTGTTTGTATTATTATGAATTGTAAAGCTAAAAACCTAATTCTTTACATTAATTAATCAATTTCTATAAAAATAAAAAATTTAAATATTTTGTGTGGTTTTAAAACGATAAATCTAATTCCTTTGTTTTTTTTTCTGTTGGCATAAAATTTAAATATTTATTACTCTGCAGATAAAATAGAGTGTTGAGTTAATAATACACACTACCACATAATTTCAATTAGAAAAAAAGAAAAAATATCAATACACTTTTTAAATAATTGTAAATTTAATAGAGTTTTCTGTATATAAATTAGTTGAAATCAAAACAAGAGAGTTTAAATTACTTTAGTGCTAGAAATATTAAATGTTATTATTTTATAGAAATATTATATTTATTATATTCGAAATCTAATATTAAAGTATGTCAAATTCAATACATCTTTTTATCATAAAAAGTTTCACACTTATATAAAGGTTTTTTAAAGTAAAGAGATTTTTATCCCTAAGAAATTTTATGAAAGTATGGAAAAAAGAAAGAAACATAAGTAATTTTTTATGATTATGAAGTAAAAATATATTAAAAGGAAAGTAAATAACTCTTCGTTTTAAAAGAAATATTAGTTAAATGAGGAATACAAATATTTGTATGTTGATTTTAATTTATAAAAAGATGAACAAAGTTTCAAAAGATGAAATAACTATATCTATTTATTTATTTATTTTTATATATGTATATTGTTATGGACTCCAAAAAAATTGGAAATTGATGTTATAAGCTTACTTATATTAATGGATAAGATTTTTAGTTAAGAAGATTATTATAGATGAGGTAAGATAAAATATCTTATTAGTTATTATTATTATTTTTTTTATTTTTATAATTATTATTATTAATATTATTATCATTTATTTTTTTTTCACTATGGTATTTTTATTTTAGTCAGGATGTAATCCTCTGATTCTAAGTATCTGTACTGGCTACTCTAAACAATAATAACTTTCAATTTATAGGTTATGTAATGTCTTGGATTTTTTTTGTTTGAGGCAATAAGAAGATAAGTAATAAGCCACCTCAGTCAATTTCGTTTGGCCTAAGTTTTTGTTAGGATGGGAGTAGAAGAATTAATTTTATTAAGAAAATAAAAAGATTTAAAGTAAAACTAAATTTTTATCTATCTTAATGAAAATGTTTCTCTATTCCAATGATCTAACAAGGAATAAATAATGTTAGTTGGCAGCTTAGTATATATGTTAGGCTTAATACTGACTTGATTAATCATTATATATTTTTCGCGCAATTTGCTTGTCAATTAGTAGTTATTATTGATTTAATTAGCTTATATTATTTGTAAGTGGGGACAGAGTTTGCTTTGTTTATTGATTGATCTTTATTAAGGGGAGAAATTAGTTATTAACTTTTTTTCATTGTAAATTTTTAAATTTTTGCTTTTAATAATTTATTACTTTTCCCCTTTCTAAAAGAAAAGAATACAGACAGTAGTTTGCGAGCAAAGACTTGATAATTATATTTAAAAATTAAAAGGAAATATTTTCCAAACCTGTATTCATCACCAACTTTTTCTATTGTCTGCATTTATAAATATATAGAAAAAAATCCTACCATACAAAACTTCACTATTTTTTTTGTTTGTGAGCTATGGAGAGAAATTTTATTAAAAACTATTTTAATTGATTACTATAATTGTGCTTGCAATTATTAAGTATATACCCAATTTAGCTTAAGTAAGTTGGTGCTATCTTTATTGAGCAAATTTTGATTTGAGTAGTCTAAAATTGACATTTACGCGATTTTTTAATCTCTTGAAGTAAATCCCATTTCGAGTAACTATAATAGTTTGATTGTTTGTTTTTTAGTAAGTAAGTAAAGAAGTAGGTGCATTGGAAGTTGCTAATATTTCTTAGCTATATTTTTTAATTTAAAATGATATCAAATAGATATCAGCTTAGAAATCTTAGCTAACTTGTGAGCACTATTTCAATAATTAGTTCATTAAGCTAGGTGATACGAACTGAAGTTAGTTATTTAGTTAGTTATTTTATTTAAAAAATCTTTTTCAAGATCTCTTATTTTTCGTTATTAAAGTAGAATAGAGGATTTGTTAATAAAAAGAAAATACCAAATGGATATTTTTTAGGAATTTATAATAAATTTTTGATAGTTAATCAAAATAATTAATTGGTTTATTGATTGATTGTATTATTATATAGAATGTTTGGTTTTTATTATAGAGAAGATTTAAGTGAGAGAGAAAGAATTCTTCAATAGAAGTATATGTGTGAGTTGTTAGTTTTTGAGTTTTTTAACATCTGAAAGTCTCTGTACTGCAGGTAGGAGGCTGCAAAAGGAGATTTGATGTTTTAGTCTTTCAATTGATTCATAAGCTGAAATCACTAATATCACTTTTTAATTATAAAGAAAAATTAATTAATGAGCATGTTATTTTTTAATTAAAATGATAGAAAATAATAATTTATTCCTTTTTTAGAATCAAACAATAATAAAATTTTTTATTTTTTATTGATTTTTTAACGAGCGGTTAAAAGCTAACTTTTTATTTTATTAATTATTATTGTTTATTTTTTCTACTCTAAATTCATTTTCGATATTATTTGGAATTAAAAATCCCCAGTCAATTTCGAAATTTTATAATGAAAAAAGATTCTAAATAGGAAATCATAAATAAATTTATTAGGATATGCTTATTGGTTGATTGAATCATTGATTGATGAGATAGAAAAGAAATATTGAATTAAAAAAATTACATTGAACTTTAACTAGAGTTAGCTGTGTATTAAATATTGTCGTTTGCGTTGAGATTTAATTCACATGAATTAGCTTCTTCTCTAATTGAGAATTCAGAAACATCGATTTCTTTTGAATTAAGTATGCTGCTACTCTTTTTTATAAGAGGAGCATTTAAGCAAAAATCAAAACCGATGAAGTCTGATTCATCAATCATTTCAGAAGGACAAGCCTATTGAGTTTTAGTGCAAGTAGGACTTTCAATCTTATGACAGGCAGCAGCTACTTGATAGAAGTTGGTGCTTGAGTTTGCATAAAGCATGTTGGATGTCTTTGGTGAAGCAGCGTGAGCACTTCCAGATTCTTCTTTAAGATTAGAAACAGCTTCGTTAGAAGTGAAAAAGTCATTTCTGGAAACGGTTATATTACCAAAGAAAAATGCTGACATTTTTTGTCGACTTAATATTTATTATTTTTTATTGGTTTTTATTTGTGAATTATTTCACCTTCTTTTTTTTTAATAGGTAAAAATTGCTTTTATTTTTTAAATTATTAATTATTACTTTTAATAAATAACTTTTACCAATCTTTATAAGCAATATCAATCTATATACTCTCTCCCTCTCGCTCTTTTTTTGATACATAGTTAATTATCAGATTAATTATTTTTAATACTGAAAACTAGCATTACTAAAGGGGTAGGTATGTAGGTTTTAGAAAAGTATATAGGAATTCTATTTACCTAATACCCTTGTTTGCTAACCCTTCAAAAATTAAATATAATAAATGGTTGAAAATAATCAACTCCATTTATTGACCCCAGCTAAATAAATAAATTTAAATCTATTATTTTTGTTTATTTGTTCATAAATTTTAGAAATTCGACTCCATCATATTTTATTTCGTTTGTTTAGCTCATCCAAAATCCGAAATTCATAATAAATCTACTAGTTTTCTCATTTAAGCAAAACTTATAGGCTAAAAAAGCTAATATAAAAAAACTAGTTATAATATTTAAAGGAAAGTAGAATTGTACATATGGTAGATGAGGGATTGTCTGAAAAAATTTTATCCTTTTTGAATAGCTCTCCTTTCTGTTCTCTTTGTAAAAATTAGTGGTTTAAGCATAAACAAATATTTCTTATGCAAAATTTTAAAAAATAAGAAGGAGAAATCGATTAATTAATTAAGAAAAAGTTAATATTTCTTTACATGTGAATCTTCCACAAAAAAAAAGGACAAAAAAGTATAAAAGAAAAATATACTTAATCTGCATTTTGATATTAAATTTTGCATTGTAAAAAATTAAAAAATTGATAAATTTAAAAATAAACCAGCTATTATATTATTTCATGACATAGGATTTGAAATTTAAAAAACCCACCAAATCTAAATTTTAAAAACATAAACAAGTGTCGGTTATTAATTTTTTAAATTTTATTTGCACTTTTTATTTACTACTCCTTTAGAGTAGAATTTTAAAATAACTTCTAGAAAATGAATAGACAAACGTAAAGATCAACGATGTATCTGTTGAATAAAAAAAGTTTAAAAATATCTATTCAGTTATTCTTCTAATTTAATGGTCAGGATTAAAAAAACTTTATTTATTTACATAATTTATATATCCAATTTATGGTAATTAATTAAATTTATCAAGCTCTATACACAAATACTATTAATCAAAATAAGATAGAATTTGTATGTAAATTTTTAAATTATGCAATCCAATTTAATTTTTTGTTTGCTTGTTTTTCTCTCTTTTCAGAATCAAAAATCAATTTTAATTCATTTAATGTAATGTGCCTTTTTTAATTTTAGATTTCACAATTATTTAGCGCGAATACAACTCGAGCTAAAAATGAATTATAAATTTGATTTTATGTTTTTATTTCTCCTTAACTCAATTTCTGTGTCCACTGCCACCATAGTGTGATCCTTAACCTCCGTGCCTTTATCCACCTCCATAATTGCGGTTACCGTTATTGTTGTTATAATTGCTTCTATTTTGGCCTTAACCACCTCTCTACCCTTAACTTTAATAGTTTTTGTTTTAGTATTATTGACGGCCATGCTAGTGACGATTATAATGCCTGTTATTATCACGACTGTGCTAAGAGTTTCTTCTTTCTTAGCTTCTAGATCTACTGCGGCTATCGTTTTTTCTTCTATCTTAGTTTCTATAGCGATCCCTATGACGATTATGCTAAGTCGAATCTCTTCTTGAAGAACTTTTTTTATCTTCTCCTTAACTATTACTCCTACTACGACTTTAGCTCTAGCTACCGCTGTTACTACTACGACTTCTACTGCTACTTCTGCTGCTACTACGTTTGCTAGAACTACTTCTACTTCTACTTCTGCTTCTACTATAGCTGTCTTCATTACTCTTACTTCTACTACTTTTCTTTTCCCTACTTTTACTTCTTGATTTTAGTAGCTTTGATTAGTGCTTGCTGCCCTTATTTTACATGAAAGGTCTAATATTTATTTTAATTAAAAAATGTCTAAGACTTATATCATATAAGAAATCAATACACTTTTTTGTTCATATTCACTCCTGATTAAAGACCCAAGTTGATTTCAAGTGGACGGCCTTTGAACAATTCACCATTTTTTTAAGCTGCCTTTTTATATCCATAAATAATATGCATGTTAATAAAAATAAATAAAGTAACTGTTAAAAAAATTTGCATTTTTAATATTTAAAAAAAGTTTAATTTAAAAATAAATGAAAAAATTTAAATCATGGAGGGAAATTTTGAATTATTTTCTATTTTATATTAAATCTAAATAAATCTGTAAAGCTGCTAATTTAATCACTCAAATATGAAGTCAATTTAATTTTAATCATTTATTTAAAATACCCTGCTTTACAATTTAATATAAAGGGAATTCTTTTTCAGAACTTTAAGAGTAATTCATATGTATGCAAATTATTTGGTAGTAATAAATACAATAGATGTATCATGCATGATCTTATTAGAATATGGAAAAAGGGATAAAAAATTTTTAAATATTACGACACTCAATTAAAAAAGAATTTAGATTAATTATTTTTTTTGGATAATCTATTTTATCAACTTCATGATAATTTGAAAAAACGAATATGAGGTGAAAAATATTTTTTTTTGTTTTAATTGAATAAAATGGCTTTAGTTGAAGAGATTATCGCGGGAAAATAATATGAATTTATTTATAAAAAAATGCTCTCAAACATTTCTAGTGTATATTATATTAGGAATAAATTGCCATATTTGTTGATATCTAAAGATAAATTCCTACCCCTTTAATTAAATTGATTTCAATTAAAAGTAGCAAGATACTTAAATTTAGGGTACTATTCATTATTTAAAAATTTTTGGTATCTTTTAGTGGGTTTTTAATTTTGTTTTTTTCTTTTTAATCAAAATCTGTCTTCAACAAAAAGTAATTAAAATAATAATAGCTGATTGATGATGGTATTTATTTAGAGCAGTAAAGCAGAGAGAGGAAATATTGATTAATCTTTCAAATATTAATAAATAAGTTAATTTAAATATTAAAGGATCTGCTAGTTAGTATATGAAAATTTAGAATAGATTCTAAAAATATTGTTTCAATAATATACTCAAACAAACAAGCTCCAAAAACCAAAATTTAATTCCCTCATGATGATTTGGATTTAGAACAAAATTTTACATCCAAGTTAATGAGATAATAAATTCATGTTTTTTTTATCATTTATGTAATTGTAGATGCAACAAATATTTTAAAAGAATATTTAAATTTAAATCTTTTTTGCTGTCTAATTTAATTTGAAGAATATCTCAAAAATTAATTAAATCATTTAAATATCAAGTTAAGCTCTATAATATGAAATTCTTACCAATTACGCCATAGCAACTGTAGAATATTAAACAAACGCTCTTCCTTTGTTAAATAGTTATCCTTCATTTCTGGGTACAATTAAATCTCTTTTCATATTAATTTAAAATATATGTAATAGATAGTTAAAAATCATTTAAAAAAATTTAAACTTAATAATTCAAAAATGGCTTTATGCCTCTCAAAAAATTATTTTAGATATTCTTATTAATTAGTTTGCAGCTATTTTTGTTTGTTTGAAACAAAAACTTTTACTATGCTTTAGATTTGACTCTACTGCAAGCTTAATAATTTATTATTTTGTTTACATTCATTTGAAAAAAATTCTAAATAAAAATAATTAATAATCTGTAAAAGAATTCTTGATTATTTTAAAATTTGCTTTTGAAAAAGAAATTCTAAAATTTTATATTTTTTATTATTCTTGTTGAATATAAGCATAATATCCCAGCCAATACCAGTATTATTTTATTAAATAAATTTTGTTTTTCTTTCAATAAATAATCGAGAATATTTTATTTGTAGCTTTATTTCTAAATAAAATTATCTGCTAATTTAAAATACTTCTAATAAAACTCATTTTCTCAAACAAATTAACTGCTTTATTATAGTTTTTCTATTTTATTCGAAATATGCATGAATCCAAAAGTAAATTTATTTATTTATTTGTTTCTTTTTTATTTTATTTCGATAGATATTGAGACTGATATTAAATAAAATGATATTTAATCCTTACTCAATGTTACCGAATTGTTAGAAGTAATTTCTTATTTCTTTATCTGAAAGCTCAAAATTTAAGTTTGTCACAACTATGGTTCTCTACTCAGGCTTTTTTAATAACAAATTTATTAAAATAAATTTTAAAAGAATAAATATGACAAAATGGGGTATTCATTTAGATAATTAATAAATTTGATTATAATAGCTAATTTTCTATTAAGTATAAAAGAAAAGTAAATAAAGTAGAATAACGAAAGATACTTCTTCTTTGTTTAAAGGAATTTACATATTGTTCTAGCTTTTTCTGTTCCCTTTTAATGATTAGATTCAAACGATAAATATGACATATTAATATTTATTTATTCTTTAATGTATGGATATTTTTTAATTGATTAATTAATTCATTTTTTAGATTTATGAAATCTCATATCTAAAAAATATATTTTTATTCATTTCCAAATATAATTAATTTTTCTATCAAATAAGATAGCGTTTGTGTAATAGCCATAAGCAATCTCAATTAAATTTCAAATAGTAAAAATGATATTTGATATTAATCTAAAACATCTTTTCCATTTTTAAAAATATTATTTAATTCTTGAATATCATTTTAATCATGATTTAAACATTTACTTTAATTAGGAGAGCTATTGCTATCGTTTTTATCATGGTCATTTTTTTAATCATCTCCATCTTCCTCGTCATCGGAATCCATCCAATCATATTTTTTATCATCGTTTTCACCTTCCGCTTCTTCTTCACCTAAAAATTCTGGCTCTTCATAATCACCTCCTACTACTTTTTCTTCAATATCACTTTCATTATTATTATTTTCCTTAGATGGATTGTTTTCTTATTGCTGATTGTTTTATTTATCAGATCTTTCCTATAACTAAACTTTTTCATCTTTATCATCATCAACTAAGTCTTCTCCAATATCTAATTCAATATCTTCTTCTTCGATAGATTCTTTGTAATCAGTTTTGCTTTTTTCGGTTCTGTCAGATCCCAATACTGGTTTTATTTTATTTTTTCTAACACTTGTAAACATTTATCCTTTAAAATAAAATCTTTTGTGTCTATGTTTTTTTTAGAATGTGCTTTGTTTGTATTTGTCAATCAACTTAATATTTATATATTAATAATTATTGATTTTACAAAGCAAAAAAACAATCAAGTGCAAATAATTAATTATACTATTTATTTATGTATACAAATTAAATAAGATTAAGAGGGTCTAATATATATTTTAAATGTTTTAATGGTTTGCACTCTAATAAAATATCTTAACATTTAGTCTGATTTGTTAAATAAGTTGACAAATTCTCTAAAAAAAGCTCCATAAATAAAAATAGATTAATAAATATTTAAAATTTTTAATAAATAAATTTGATATTTTTTTTAAAATATTAAAAAATAAATATTTTTTTATACATATAATTCATATAAATTAACAATACAAATCTGATTTAAAAATTATTAATTATTTTATATCTAAAATTATCAAAAATAAATAAAACATAATTAATAGTAAAGTAAGAAGATCTAATATCACTTAAATGATTAACAAAGATATAGTTTAAAATAATTTCAGTGCAAGAAATAAAAATAAATTTGCATAATATTTATGATAAAAAAAATTTAATTTGAGATTTTAATTGATTATTTATTATAAAATATTAAAATCTTATTTACATTATTTTATGTGTAATATGATAAATAATTTTAATTTAATAAATAGTCAAGCATATATTTTCAATTTAGCAACTTTTTTATTCCAAAACAAATTAATAATATTGGCATTAAAAATATTCTGTGTGTGACAACATAATAAATAAAATATATATGAGCATCTATTAAAGTAGTTAATTTTTAAGAAAATTTATGTTTTAAATAAATTCTATCTTAACTTATTTGAAGTATTCTTAAATAAATATTAATTTGTTTGTTAAAATAATAATTATATAAATAAATGATAAATCATTATTAAAAAAATTGATTTAGAAAAATATTTAATTAATTCTTAATTATATTAGTATTTATAAATAAAAAAACTAGGTTTACTTTATTTTTTAAGTAAGTATATTCTTTTATTTAAATATAAGTAATTTATAAATAGAAAATTTGTTCTAATATTAAATTAATTAAAATTTAATATAAAAACTTACTTCTAATACTAAATCATGGAATATTAGTGTCTAAAAAGCTTAGAAGTTAACATATATTAAATTATAATTGAGTATTATTCTATTAAGGAGAATATTTTGTGATAAAATTTTTTTTTGGTATGATATGTTACTTTTAAAGAGATTTATGAATATTACTCTTTATTAAAAAAAAGTTTAGAACAATTTGCATTAAAAGATATCATATGAAAGTATTACATAGTTAATTAAGTAACCTATTAATTTGAGAGGTGTTCATATATCCAATTACTTTTACTTACAAAAAATGTACATATTAGTAATAGTGAAATTAAAATAGAAAGAAAACAAACATGATTTATTTTTAAATACAATTTCAAATAAGCACATCTCTGCTGTGTCTTTTTCTGAACTAAACTTCTAAATTATTTGGGTCATACATCTTATAGGGGTAATATGAAGGAAAAGGAGGATACTCTTTCTTATCTATTTTTTCAAGCACTAAAAATTATATTTATTTTATTAATTTTAAATTACTAAGAATAATCTAACCCATTCTAAATTTAAAACCAAAACAAATTAAATAGTGAATTCTTTTTTTAATTATTTTCTCAAAATTGTAATAAAAATGTGGTATTTTAGATGTTTTGAGCATACAAAGTTCATTTATTTAGTTGATAAATAATATTTATTCCATAAATAAACCATTTTAAAAAAAAATCAATTAACTTTCTTAAATTTTTATTTTTATTTTTAATTGAAATTGATAATGATAATTTATGTTTTTTTACCTTCGTTTGCAATTATTTTGTATTGTTCTATGTTTGAAATGAATTGCTCATTCTTATTTTCATGGAAGAGATATTTTAATTCCTATTTTAATATCAAATGAAATATATAATACATCTTTGGAGTTTGATTTACTTCTATTTTCGCAGCCTTTTCTATTTTTCTAGTGAAGAGTTTTGGGATAGTTTTGTGGAATTTGCGATATAACTCTAACACATCTTTTTTATTTCTTCTTAAATATTCTTCATTTTTCAGCAAGTAGCTTTGATATTGATCATTGACTACAGGGACTCTTCTAAAAATTCTTCTGAGATATTCCATTTTAAAAACTTTGGGTGGATATTAAATGAACAAAGAAAGCTTTTAAGAATAAATAGCAAGATATTTGTGAAAGTAGAAGAAAAATACAAATTAAAAAGAGGATATATCAATATCTTTATATATCTTTCTTTGTATGGGAAAACTAAAAAAAGCAAGTCAATTTAATTTAAGGAAGAACGAAGAATTTACAAAAACTTAAAGATTTTATTTACACATAAAGTTTATTCAATCTATTACAAAACTACTTTGCTTTCTAATTTCAATTAAAGATATTTTATAAACTTAAGAGTACAAAAATTAAATTAGGACACAATTTTAAATTCAAACGTTCTTTTTTCATTTAAATCCATATTTGTCTTGATTTGTATTCCTATTTTTGCAAGAACTGAATCTGTTGAAAATATTTATTTTAATTGGGAAAAACAATATTACAAGTATATTAATTTAGCTAACAATAAGTAGATACAATATTTCTACAAATTTGATAAAAAGTGCGCTCGCGCAATAATTAAGAAGTAAAAAGGGAAACAGTAGATAAAGCTAAAGTAATAGAAATGAAAGTTTTTTGCCACTTATAAACTTAGTTCGCTGATAATAGATATTACTATTAGGCATTTTAAATAAAAAAATTACAAAAAAAATGAATTTTCCATCTATTTGTAACCAAAATCACACAAACTTTGTTTTCTTATTGTAGCTGCTCTATTTTAGACATAAATTATGTTTCAAATACTATGAATTTTGTAAATCCTATTTTTCAATTACAATTTCTTCAAATTTTCATCCTAAATTATATTTTTGTCAGGTAAATAAGTAACCATTTTTTAATTTTAGAGAATTTGAATTGTTTTTAAATGATTTAGTCATCTTTTCCTTGATATAAACTGCAAAAAAATGGATTCTTTTTCAAAATCCGATTTACTTTTTTTTTGTTTTTGAAGATCTTTTTAATTGTAAAAAAAGTGGTATTAAGGGATAATATATATTTTTATATGTTATTCATCAATATTTAAACTAAGTTATAAGACGTCATTTCTTTGCAATATTTTTTATTGTTTGATTATAACCTAAAAGATAGATAAGGTTTTACTATTTTTAATTGAATTAATAATTGTATGATTTTTAATTATCCCCCACTCAAAACTTAACTTTTTGATAAAAATTAAAATGCTGGCAATACCGATTATAAAATTTAGGATTTGCATTAGAAATTTGGGTTTAAATACGATTTGATTTCAACCCAGTTTTTTTATATTATCTGCGAACTCGAAAAAAATAAATATCTCTGTACTATTTAGCAAAACTAAATAAACACCCTCTTTACTTACACCTTAGTAAACTCTAACTATATAGCTAGCAAAATGATATCTAACACCTAAGAATCCTTCTAGCCTAAGACTCTCCTTACTCCTAATCTTCAAATGGGATTGACCTTCAACGATGTTTTGATGGTTCCTTAATATAGCGACATCAATAGTAGAAGTGAATGTATCGTTAAGACAAAATTCTCCAAGAATATTCCTTTAAATATTCCCATCGTCTCCTCTCCTATGGACACCGTTACTGAATTCAAAATGGCTAAAGAAATGGCAAAGTGTGGTGGTTTAGGTATTATCCATCGTTTCATGCCTATGACTGAATAATGCAAGCAAGTAGAAAAAGTCAAGAGAGCTCAAGCTCACATTCTTTTTGAACCTATTATGGTTTCTAAAAATAGCACATATAAGGAAATTAAGTTAGTTGCAGAGTAATATACTTTCTAAACCTTCTTAGTTACTAACGAAGATCAAGTTATTAATCAAGAAGATCTTTTAAAATCACCCATGCTTTCAAAGAGAAAAGATGATTGTAATGGACAATACACACTTGCTGGTATTCTCACTCGTAGAGATATTAAAAACATGAGATTTGACACTGATAAAGTTGCTGATTTCATGACTCCAAGAGAAAAGGTTGTTGCCCACGTAATGAACAAGCCAGATGAAGGCTAGTTCCCTGAACCTGAATTCCTCAAGGAACTCATGCACTCCAAAAGAATTGAAAAAATCCCTATTGTTACTCCTGATAACAAGATTCTTGCTCTTGTAACTCTCAAGGTAAACAAATAATTATGATTTATATAAATGTTCACATGTGAAGAATTCTTTACATTAAAATCCAGCTCATGGCAAATCATTTTATTTAAAACATTATCTTACAATAAAAACAACAAAAGGTTTGTCTGGTTTTAATGATTTAAGTTAAAATTTTAAATCAATAAATAAAATCTAAGAGTGTTATTTTATTGATTTATTTTATTCTAAATGATAAGATTTAATTAGAATTTTTAACAAATCAGTCAATAACTATTTATTTTTTTTATTAATTTTAGGATCTTTACAGATTAGATGGATTCCCTATTGCTAACAGAGATTCTGAAGGTAAATTATATGTTGGTGCTGCTATTGGTGCAAAGGATGACTACATTGAAAGAGCTAAAGCCTTAATTGAAGCTGGTGTCGATGTCCTTGTTGTTGATATTGCTAATGGCCACTCATAAATTTGCATTGATGCTATTAAAAAATTAAAAGAAAACTTCGAAGATATTGATATTGTTGCAGGATCAGTTGCTACAGGATAAGGTGCTGAACTTTTAATTAAAGCTGGTGCTGATGGTATTCGTTGTGGTATTGGTAATGGAAGTATCTGTATTACTAGAATCGTCTCTGGATGCGGTGTTCCTTAAGTAATTAATATATATTCTCACTAAAATATCATTTTAATAAATAAAATTTCTTACATATGAAAATAGTTCTCTGCTTTAAGTGATGTTGCTCCTATTTGCAAGTAATACTAAGTTCCCTTGATTTCAGATGGTGGTAACAAAAACTCTGGTAATATGTGCAAAGCACTTGCTATTGGTGCTGATTGTGTTATGCTTGGAAGACTTGTTGGTGGTTGTGAAGAATCTCCCTCTAAAATTATTTACAGAGATGGAAAACTCTAAAAGGTATACAGAGGTATGGCTGGTTACGGTGCTAATTTATCTAAAGCTCAACGTATTGGTGCTGATGAACCTTCATCTACAAACTTCACCCCTGAAGGTGTTGAAGGTTATATTCCTTATGCTGGTCCTCTCGCTGGTGTCTTAAATCAATTTGTCCAAGGTATTAAATCAGGTATGAGCTATAATGGCGCTCACAATATTTAAGAACTCTAAAAGAAAGTTCAATTCATAAGAATGACTTAATCAGGTTTCTAAGAATCCGGTGTTCACTCTATTAACTAATTCTAATGATCAACAATCCAAACAATCAAAAAAAATTAAATATATAAAATAAATTTAATTTTTTTATTACTTAATTATTTAAACCTATACTAACTAAATAAACTATTTTAATTTAAATAGATTAAAGCTTTTGATAATATTGGCTTATTATTTCATAGCATATTTAAACATATACACTTAAATTTATCAATCTATAAAAGTATTTTTTTATTTACATATCATATATATTTGTCTGACTTTATTCACTATTCTTTTAAAGGATCATCTAATAAAAACTTTCATTCAATTTTGTAATTATTCGAAAAAAATAATGTTATACAATTTTAAATAAAATAAATCAATATTAATCCTGTTTTATAGAGTAAATAAATATATTAAGTGTAATAAACCTTACTTAAGCATTTAAAATATTTTACTTTTTTGTCAAATAAATATAAAAAGATTCAAAAAAATTAATTTATATAATATCAACTTTACAAAATTGAGCTTAATTAAATCAAATTTCTAATGATTTCTTAAAAATATGGTTAAAATGTCAATCAATTCTTATCATATTTATAAATAATTTTAATTAATTTGGTTTTAGTATTTAACTGTTTTATAAAATTCTAAATAAATAGTAACCAAAGTTATTTATTAAGAGTGTATTTAAAGCATAATAAACCTCGTTTATTATTTAAAATAATTTTACATTTTATTAAATTAATAAAATAGAGATTAATTATAAAAAAAAATATATATAGTACCCTAGGGTGCTGCCTTTTTCAAGGCTACATAAACGAACAATAACTGAATAATTTAATTAATTTATTTATTTCATAGTTTTTATTTTTTAAAAACAAATAAACATATAATATTATAAAATTTTATTTCATTTCTTCATAAATAATATATTTTAGATTAATAAGCAACATTTTTTAAATAAAATTTTAATTGGTTTGATAAATTTGTTGAAAAATAAAAATAAATAGTTTTTAAAAATATTTTTTAAGAATTTCTGACAATAAAAGCTAATAAATCTTGAAAATGATATAATTATCATAAAGGTAATTTGAAAGAATATCTAATTTATAAATTTAATAAATTTTGAATAATTTTTTCAGGCCATCAATTGCTATAAAATTGAAACATTTAAAAAGAAATTATATATTGAAAAACTCCTATTTACCTAGTAATATATATATATGGTTTTAAATAAGATTAATCAAAATTTAGATTTTTAGAAAAAAAATTTTAAATTAACAATCTGAAGATTTTCAAAAAATCAAAAAAGAAAGTAGATAAAAATTTTAAACTTATAAGCACAGATAGTTAAAAATGGATAAGCACAAACCTCTTGGATATCAATACTAAAAGAAAGATGTAAATAAATAATTAGATATTTAAAAACTTATTTAAAAGACCTATGAGCTTAACCAGTTATAAACTCAAATGTAATTTGATTAAAGAAAGTTTAGATTAGGCCTTTTGTTTCTTTTCTAATTTAAAACAAATATAATAATTACTCTCTTTTACTAAATAAATAGCCTCTTTAAGTGAAAACAAAGCCTTCAACTAAATACGAACATGTTTAAAAAACAATTAATAGCGGTACAACTGCAAGAGATGTTGAAGTCAAAAGTAAAGATTTCATATTCTTAAATATGTTTTTTAATTTAAAATTATGCATGAAAAGGTGATAAGTTTATTGCTAAGAAGAAAAATGAAAATTTTGGAAGAATTTCTGCTAGATATTTGTTCACTTTACTTTGTTTGGATAAGAATCATGAAAGTATTTATGATCTTATAAATTAGAATGATCAACAAGATGAACAAATAGGTAAATTTAATTATGATAATGTCTCACAAGCATCATACAATAGCAGATAGTCAGGAATTACTTAAACTCATGAACCTGAACAGAAAGAGGGATATATTGTATATCTTTTTATTTTTATAATATTTTCTAACTTTTTTATATGTATAAATTAGGATTAAAATTCATTTTTACTGCTTGATGTAAGAGACGAAACCGAACAATAGACCTACAGAATCAAAGAATCTGTATCATATCCAATCACTAATTTTAAAAGAGACAAAGTGATTCCTATCCTATACAAATTTGTAAATTAATTTCCTTTGAATAAGTAACTAAATGAACCAATTATTTATTTTTGATATAGAAAAATGCTTCTGACAAAGTTATTATTGTTTATTCAAGTGATGAAAAATAAACTATAACAGCTGGATAAACATTTTTTGAGAAGGGATATGATAATATTTACATTTTAAACAAAGGAATTGAATCTTTTGCTTTAGAATATCCTGATCATATTGAAGGTGTGATCCCAGATGCTATCAAAAAATAGATTGTCTAAACTGAAAAGAAAATTGTAAGCAGATAAGCATCAGATAATAAAACAACTATGGGTATCACTAAAACTTCTACAATTAACTCCAAACCAACTACTGCAAATAAAACCAATAGAACACCAATAAATAATATTTTGAATGATGGAAAAGAAAACAAACCTTCATAATAAAAATATTGAATATTTGATTTAAACTCAAAATAATATAAAATAAATTTAATTTTAAAAAAATAAATAAAACTAATTAATAATTATTCTGATCCATTACTACTTATCTAATAATTTTGTATTGTTTACTTTATTCTTATAAATACTTTTAACATCTTTGAAATTTTTGCCATAAATTTTAATTTTATAATATGTTTTTTTTTAATGTATCAATTTTATTATTATTTAACATAATTTAAAATTTGTAATTTCAATTTTATAATATTTCTAAATTGCTTAATTAAAATTAAAAAATTTAACATTTTATCTGTTATTTATTTACTTATAAAGTAAAATTAAAAAAATGAATTATTAGTTGATTGGTTGATTGTTATAAATTTAAACAAATTCAATTGAAATTGAAAAAAAAAAAAATTTTATTTACTTTTATTTTAGAATTTAAGCAAGATATTTCAATAAACTTTTTGTAAAAATTGAATGCAACTAATCGTTTTTTAAATGAAATAAAGTAAATTTAAGAAATATTTTTTAATAAATAAATTAATTTAAGAGAGATGTTTTGATATGGAAAAGCTTGTACATTTATAGATATTGCTGGGATACATATTTGACATGGAAATACACTAAATGTACTGATTTAAGTTAACATATTATATTTAAGACAGATATTCTTGAGCAAACGATTTAACAAAATTAAATTTAACTAGAGATATTGCTTATTTATTCTATATTTTATTATTTGGATTTTTATTTTATAATTTAGATTTTTAGTTTTGGTAATTATTTTAGAAATATTAAAATCCTCATTGAATAATCATATTCTTCAAACAACTTGCTTTTAAGGATTCTATCCATCATATCTGGGTTGAAGACTATTTAAAAAAAAATATTTATTTAAACAATTACATTTTTGAAATAAAATTACTCAGGATCTCTCTTAATAACTCTATGAGCCTTTTGAAGAACTTCGATAGTTTTATTGAGTGTATCTCTTTCTTCTGCGATGTTGGCAGGCTAGATTGAAGAAAAAAATAAGATTAAATTTGGTTTTAACTATTTGAAAAAAAAAACATACTTCTGCAATGCTACCAAGAGAATCTTCACTTCTCATAATTTCATTATATAATTAATATTACAATTATTCTTAAGCAGCCTTAACTAAGAAGAAACCAATAGCCTTAGGAATAGAGTCTCTTACATTTCTGACAACGATATTGAAGTAAACGTCTACTCTAGATCTCAATTCATTAATAAAAGCTTTTTCAGCATCTATCTATTGTTAACCTTCTTTACCAGATTCTTGAGCCTTTTTTTTTAATTAAAATTATTTATAAAAAGTTTGAGAATATTAAAATATACTGGAATCAAATGAGTTCTGTGAGCAAGATAGCCTAAATCATTAGTGAAAAGGTAACCTTATTCAGATTCAATAATATTGTTAACAACTTCTTTTGCTTAATCTCTTTACTATTTTAATTTTAAATATTGAGCTAAATATCTTTTTAAATAAAAATTAAAGTAAATTTACAGCTTGAAGCACTCTGCTTGTAATATCTGCAATTTCGTCCATAACAGTGGGGAATCTTGAGAATATTTTCTTCAAAATCTTATTAGCTAAACCTTCCAAATAATTGTAGCATTAAGTTAAGCATTCAAAGGCAGGGTCTTTTAGCTTTTCTAATTGAGGATTAATTAAATATAAGAAAGCATCTATTGAGGGGAAACCTGGAATAGAATCACCTTAATGCAATTAAATAGCTGTTTAAATATCTTTATCGCTATATTCTCTAGTTGCTCTAAAGGTTTTTTAAATGAAATCTTCATAAAGCTCATTGAACTATTTAATTAATTATATAAAAATGTATGATTAATAATTAATGATAAGGTAAATTTATTTACCATCATCTTAATAACTGCACCACCAGATAATTCTGTATTAATATTAGAACGTCTTTGATCGTATTTACCCTTAATTGTATTTTTAAAGTTTTCAGTAAAATCAGTAATCATGGTCCAGATAAGTTGCATTTTATCTTTTTGTTCTCTTGGAAGAGAGGGACCCAAGTCTTTAAGTCTATCTTCACATTCTTTCAATTTATCTTTAATTTCCTTGACGATAGCAGGTAAAATATTTCTAATGTGATAGAAAAGCACACTTGATAACTTATTAGTCAAAGCTTTAGTACCTAAGAACTTAGGATCCATAGTTGAGTATACTTTATGCTAAGCAAAGAAAAGTCTTTCTTCGTCAAGAGCTTTAGAAACTCTCTTATTGTCATTAATATCCTTTTGAGATCTACCCTTGACACCAACATATCCTAATTTCAAAGGAATTTCAAGACCCATGATCATTTTTCTTGCATCAGTATCAGCATCCATGATATCAAGCTTTTTTAATTAAATAAAGCAAATTTAGAATAAATAGCCTCTAAAATATTTATTTATTTTTTATATTTAAGAAATAAATGCTGCATACTTTTGTAACAACACCAATTGTTCTATTGCCTTCTCTGTCTACTTCTCTAGCTAATTAGAGACCATCGGAGTTAGAAATATCCTAGTTACCAGGAACAACACACAAAATAATTGTTCTTTCATCTTTTATGTATCTATTTTTATAATAATTTTTGTTTAAAATGTGTGCATGATTAAGTATTTTTTATTGATGTATTGCTTTTAATTTGGATAATTTTAACAAAATCGCCTCATAACTTAAGTTAAAAAACTCCTTTAATTTTTTTCAAAGAAGGTTGCTTTGATGGAAGCTTTTGGCTATAATTTACTATTAAAACATTTGTAATTATATAAAAAATAAGTTACGAGTAAGCCATATCTTTAGTAACTTTTTCGATATCTTCTTATTGGTCTGAATCTTTTAAGGGAATTCTTGTAATACCAGGCAAATCAATAATTGTCAAATCGATAACATCATTTGAGTAAATAGTCAATACGATAGGGTCATTGATAATTTTCTTTCTCTTACCTGCAACTTGGTCAGTTAAGAAATCGATTTGTTATCTAACCTAATCAAAGTTTTCCCACTTCTTTGATTTATCAACATCGAAAATAGCATATGGCTTGATTTATCTTTCATCTAATTTTTATAGTTTGAAATTAATAAAATGTTTCATATTTTAGATTCAATTTATTTTGATATTCTATTCTAGCGCAATCAAATTCTATCTAATCAGTAAATTTTTTTTCATTTAAGTTAGAAAAAGATTGTTTTATGTTCACTGTTTTCAAATATTCATAAAAATATGTAAAAACAAAAATGCTTTTTTATTACTGGGAGGCACATGAACTAATCTGAGTTCTAAAGGTCTACGAGTAACTACACCCTATTTTGTTATAGGTAGATTAAATTTAAATAACTTATTAAGAGTATTTTAATTTTAAAGCTTACAGAACCTCTTGGCAAGAAATCGATACCAACGATACTTTCGAGAAGAGATGATTTACCAGATGATTAAGAACCAATAACTGCGATTCTAGGCAATCTAATATATTGTTGTAAACCGACATCTCTTAATTCATCGATGACGTTAATTAACTTTCTAAGGTTATCAAAAAGACCTGATCCCTAAAATGAACTTTCTTGCTCAGCCATTTATCTTTATTTCTAAATTTTGCTTTACTTTTTTATTTGATGAAATTGTTTAGCTTTTATTTAATTTTTTATATTTTATTTTTGCTTTTTTGATGAATCTATGCTTTTTCAATATAATTTATTTTTATTTACTTTGATTTCTTCAAGCTTTTCCACTCTTTTTCAAATGATTTTCTTCAGCAATAATTTCTTGATGAATTCATTAATTTAAGACTTTAATTTCCAAACAAAAAGAGAAAGCAATTAAAATAATTCACACTTGTTTTGATTGATTTCTCATGAATTTGATTAATTTCAATTTTTAAAAATAATACAAGATAAAAAGTATATTGTTTATTGTATTCCTAATATATTCTTAGCACACTGTCTTTTGAAAAAATGTATGAATTTACTCTATTACATTCAATCAGTACACTTTTCCATAAATATTTTCATGTCAAATTTCTTCAAATTAAGGCGTAGCTTCTGCAAATTTATTTTAAAAATTCTATGAAAGGTTAAATTGAAAATTATATTTTAAAAAACAACAAGCAAGTATTGGCTTTGATCATTTTTTTTGATAACACTTAAAAATATGTTAGCTAAAATATAATTATCCTTTATCAGTAAACTTATTTAAATAATATAAATTTAAGAATTTTATCTGTTTGATAATGCTTAAATAATAATTTATTAGTTACCAGCATACAAAAGTGTAAAAGAATAATTTATAAAAATTTTAAATGTTAAGATACAAAAAAAATATTTTATTAGAATCAGTCAGTATTATTTAAATAACAATATTAATTAATCTTTGTTTTTATGATTTCGAAAATAAATATTAAATAAAATATAATCATTCTTCATCAGTAATTAGATAAAAGAAAAATAAAAATAAAACTAAATGAATTGTTTTTCTGATTATTTATGAAAAATAATTTATTTGAAATGTTTGTTCAAAATTATGATAAAATATTTCAAATAACTAAAAAAGGAACAAAAAAAATTTGTATGATAATAAAATAAAACATCCTATTTTAAGGTATCATCTGAATTTATTATCTAAAAAAATAATTTTCTTATAAATGTATTTCAACTTGTTTAAAATTCAGAAAATCATAATTAATTGATTTATCTGATAAAAGAAATTTTATTAAAATCTGATTTGAAAATTTTAAAAATTAACACAAAAAAGATAAAAATATTATAATAAACGTAACTAAAATTTTATAATTAGAAGTTAAGTTAATATAAATATAGATTAATTCCAATTTAGCTGATTAAAACATTTTTTATTCTGATTAAACAATAAATGTTTTTATAATTATTAGAAATATAGTAATAATTAAAAAAAAAAATTAATAAAAATGAGAGTATGTTAAATAATTTCTTTTAGTAAAATTTATTAATAAAAAATAGATAAATAAAAATAAAATTTTATAGTAGAAAATGTAAAAAACTATGGTAATATTTATGAATTTGAGTATATAAAAAGTTCAATGAATTATACTAACCAAATATTTTCAATAAGCAACTGTATTTTTTAAAAAGGAAACATCAAAACATGTAACTTAAATATATAGTTAGCCAAATAATTTTATATTGTGAAATATTAATTAATAGATTAATATTTTTCATTTATTTTTATAATAGCAATTTTAAGTATTTTAATTTTATAAAAATATCTTATTATAACCAGTTTACCATTTTTTGTATTATTTTTTGTTTTAAAGGTATCTAAAAAACAAAAAGAATTTTTTTAACCTATGATTAAAACTAAAGAAAAAATACTAACAAATTACAAAATAGTTTAATAAAAATAGTGTAAAATATATGCATAATAACTTATTAATGATAAGTTTATTTAAAAAATTATAATAATTGAATTCATTAGAAAAATTAATTTCCTCAGATAGGATAAATTACATTTTATCTTAAGAAAGATGGAACAAAAAGAAGAGAAATGAGTGATATCAAGTTGTGTTTTTTTGCAAAGGTAAAAAAGAAAGATATTTTTTACTTTTTTGTGGTTTCAATAACTCTGATAAGAATAAAAAATTGGCATAATTTAATACTAAAATAGAAATTTAGTTAGTTAAACAGATTTTAAAATACCCTAATATTTATTATAATTTATATTTAATTATTGAATTATATATTTTATTGTATTTATCAAAGTTTTTTTATCAAAAATAACTTAAAAACTCTTTTGGATTAAAAAAACTAGATAACAAGAAAATAAAATGAAGGGTTATGCTCTTAAATCAAAAAATATAAATAATAAATTATCCAAATTAAAATAAGTTGTACTAAAAGTAATATATATGTAATTAAAATTCTCATTTATTGCTTTTTTCTTTTAAATTATATTGATATTATTTACAAACCACTTTCTTTCATAGTCCATAAAAAATATTTTGTTAAAAGCATAAATTATTGAGATTATATGTGTTACATGCAATATTAGAAATAAACAAATTATAAAATTTTATTTTTATTAGAAATAAATTAAGGATTGAAAATTAATTTTATGAAATAATTTTTATTTTTTAAATTAAATATTTCAAGATAAAAAAATTTTTTATTACATACAAATTATTGATAAATACACTAAAATATTATGATGTAAGTTTGTGATGCAGAATTTATTATTTATTGACTATAACTAAACGTATTAAATATCTTTGATACTATGAAAATGCTATCTTGTATCATTTATCACATTAAAAGAGGATTTTAACTCATATATTTTTATAATCAATACTAAATAAAATAAGATAAATAGATTGATTGATATAATTTAGAAAATATAAAAAGCTAAAAGTATATTATTTTAAACAATGAGTCTTGAATAGTAAATTACAGGAAGCATTTTGATGATTCGTCCTATTGACTTTATCTATAACGAATAGACTGCAGTCGATAACGAATTCATGAACAAAAATAGCGAAGCTGAGACAACTGAATAAATTCGTTAAGCAGCTATCTCTGAATTCGATAACTCTGTTGAGCTACTTAAGAAACATGGTGTTAATGTCATTGTATTCGATAAATCAAGAACTAATGAACTTGATGCTAATATCACTCCTGATGCCGTTTTCCCTAACAATTGGATCAGCACAGAACCTAATGGAAAAGTTATCCTTTACCCTATGTTTGCAAAGAATAGAGATGCCGAAAAAAATTAATTTAGATTCATTATTGAATAGCTCTTAGAGTAGTTTTAGGTTAATTAAGTATAAAATTTCTAGCATAACGGTTAAATTTTAGAAGGTACAGGATCTTTGATCATTGATAGAGTAAAAAGAAGAGCTTATTGCAATATTAGTTAACGTGCTAACCCTGAAATCTTTTAAAAATGGGCCTAAGAAAATGGATACGAAGCTATTATGTTCGAAAGCAGAAGCTCAGTCTCAGGTAAACCCTTCTATCACACAAACATTCTTATGAGTATTGCTTAAAAGTTTGCCGTTGTTTGCAAAAGCTGCATTGTTGGTGAAAAAGCAGAAGAAGTTGTTGCTAAACTTTCTGAAGATAGAGAAGTTATTATTATCTCAGAATAATAAACTGAAAAAAGTTTATGTGGTAACATTTTACAAGTAAGAAACCAAACAGGTGATAAAACTTTTACTGTAATGTCAGAAACCGCTTTCAAAGGATATACTGAAGAATAATTGGCTATTTTCAGAAAATATGGTGAAATTATTGCTCTTCCTATTCCTACTATTGAAAGAATTGGTGGTGGTAGTGCTAGATGCATGTTAGCAGAAATTAATTTACCTCAAAAGAAAAATTGATTATAAGTAAGTAAATAAATAAATAAGTAAAGCAAGTAAAATTGTTAAATTAAAATGTTAACAAATAAGCTGATATATTTTTGTGTTAAGTAGTACCAAATTTATAGTAATATTGAATTTATATTTCTAGAAAAAATTTTATTTTTACAAGAAAACAAATTTTATTTTACGATTATCAGTAAAAAAAATATCTGATACAAAATAGGATCTAAATTATTATCATGTTTTTTGCCTTGAAAATAAATGTGAACACTTAAATTAATTCCAAGTGCATAAAATTAAATTATTTATGTAAAATAAAAAAAAATAATCTTAAATAAAATATATTTTAGTAATATTTAAAGCTAAAACAAAAATAAATAATTGGGAACCATTAATAAAACAGTAGATAGATTTAATAAATATTTAAACAACTAATAAATAAGCATTTTTATTTTAACAAAATTCATAGCCAATTTAAAGTTAGTCAATCAATCAATGAAAAATACTAAATGAAGCAGCATAGATGAATAGCAAAGGTTATGTCTTAATTGGTTTGATTTAATGTTAATTTTTATTTTTGTATTTATTTTATTTATCTGATTCATTCTTTTGCTATTTGTATTCTTTTTATTTTGCTTTTAGTTTCATCTATTTATTTTTATTAGGTTTTTCTTGTTTTATTTGTTTTGTTTATTTATTTCTTTTTTCTTTGTTGGTTTGTGTTTTTTTTGCTTAATTGCCTTTTTTTAAGGTCTTTTATTTATCTGAATTGTTTTATTCAATTTTTTTAGTTTTTTTATTATTTTTATGAGTTAATTTTTATCTTTTTAAAAATTTGTTGTAAATTTAAAGCTATTTTTTATTAAGTTAATATATTAAAATGGTTGTGCCTCCTATTTTTTATTTTAAAAAATACTTTTTATATATTTATTGCCTCCTAAAATATATTTTTTTAAGTTTGAAAGAGAATTTTGGAAAGAGAATTTTTGCCACGATTTGATTTAAGATGAAAAACTTAGCCGGGGTCGTAGAAGGATAGAAGCGTATAATTTGAGCAAAGAGTAAATGAATACTCTTAATTATACATAAAAGGACCTAGCTAAATAGCACAATTCTTCCAGATTATCTGTTCATTTCAAGAAACTACTAATATAATCTTTCCAAAAGCACTAATTAATTAAGTGACTATCAAACTATAGCTAACCATCTTGTCCATCATATTTCAATTGAAATATACCTATTTATATAGCAAAAGACGTTCTTTTGTATATAAAGGGAGTCGCCAATGCTTTTTTTATATAGGGGATCTTATTAAGAAGTGGTTTTAAGATAGAGAAACCCCTAAAACTTGATTAAAATTTTAATCGAAGCGCATTGGTGGCTTATACAAGAGAGGATATGAAGAAATCTAATAGCAAGAGTTTCTATAATATCCTAAGAAAGTCAATTTATTTATATTGAAATATAAAGTATTGTCATTCTGTAGCTCTTTTAACTTAAATCAGATGCACACATCTAATGTTAAGAATATAAGCCTATCTGGATTGGGATCATGGAAGTTGAGACGTTTGAGCTTTTAAATTTTATGATTCTTAAAATAACATTATGGTAGACCTCAAAAACTTATAGCTTTCTCTTTCGATAAAAGCTTCCCATTTATTGTATTTGTTTCCTTTGGATCTCAAAAATAAACTTGTTTAAAGCAAATTCACTCTTTAGTCTGTCAACTGAGATGAAAGCATTAAACAAAGTATTTAAGAAATACTAGGGAGAAAACTTTTAAAAACTTAGCTCTTAGTGCTTTTACGGGAGGATAAGCACTATTTAGCTAACCGTTCTCCTCGCTAACTTTCATTATTATCCCTTTCTTTTAATAATCGACTCCCACTTTTGCGAGTTTTAGAGAAGATTGATTAATAGATAGAGAATGAGGTGTTTCAAAAACAAGAATGAAAGTTAGATTCCTTTAAAAATTTTCCATAATGTCATAAAGATATCTTAAAATTTGAAAAGTGGTCAAAGTCGCCGGGAGTTTTTGCCGAAGACTCTCCGAAAAAAATTTGGTTTATGTTAAAAACTTATGGTTGATGGATGTTAGTCTATAGTAAGATAGTTTGCCTTTCTGCTCCAGTCCTAGCTTGATAATTTTTTTTTATTAAATAATTATAAGAAAAAACAAAATAAAATCCCCTTTTAATAAAATTAAAATTTGAAAATTTTTTCCCCGCTCCAAACTATTTAATATCATTCAGAAAAGTTATCTTATTAAAAAAATGATTAGAAATCAAAACTGAATGATTAATTGCTATATTATTTTAAAGAAATTCAAATAAATATGTTTTAATTTTTATTAAAGCAAATTATTTTAATTTATTCAAATATTTTTTATAGAAAAATAAAATAATTTATTTATATTAAAAAAAAAGCCTTCATTTTGATTTAAAAGTGTTGATACTTGAAAATTTTAATTATCATTTCTCAAAAAAAACTATTTAAACTGTTTATTGATGATGAATTATAAATTTGCACAAGAAATCTGAAAGCAAATGAATATTGATTAAATTTCTTTATTCTTTTGAAGAAGTTAAATAAATATTTTTAGTTAATTTAAATAAATAAATTATTTTTATTTCAGCGAGTTATATCTTTTTCAACTTTTTTGAGAAAAACTATAAAAAATAATTTATTAAGTTTTAATTTGAATATAAAAATAACCTTGCATATTATTCAATAATAAAAATTTTATAGGATATGGAGAATTGATAATTTCATTTCAAATGATGAATTCTTATTTCTTTTTAAAATTTATTATTTATCATAAAATAAATTACTTAAACTATTTATTAATGAATAATTAATAAGTCTTAAATAAACTACTATTTTATCACTCTAAAATAATTTAATTTTTATTTAAATCGAAAAATATTATACTTATTACTATTATGTAATTATCCTCTTTAATAATTTAAAAAGAAATAAATTTCATAACAATAGCTTTACATAACTTTAATTTTAATTTTTCTCAAATATTTTGATGTTTAATTTTATGAAATAAGTGATTTTTAATAATTTAAAATTTATTTAAATACTCACAATTCAAATATTTAATTTTAAAAAAATTATTTGTTTAAATTAATCTAATTTTTATTAAAATTTACATGTAGATCAAGGAAATGCTTTTTTATATTACTTTTCAATATCCATGTTTCTAAAATTACTTCAACAGCTTAGTTTTTTTAAATATATGCTTGTTTATTTAATTTAGTTTACATAAGCTTCTAGATAGTTAGAATAAAGTATTTTACTTTATCAATATTAATTGAAAATTTACTGGTTACTCAGCTACTATCAAAGATTTTAAACTACCAAAAATATTAATAAATCAATATTCTTTATACTAATAATTTTTACTTTTTAAATATAAAGAATGAGTTCAGAATAATTAAATTTAAAATTAAACTGGAAGCTAAATGAACTTTTAGATTTACTTTTTAAAGAAGAGCTTGAAAATGATTGTGTGAGAGTTTCTCAAAGCTAAGAAATATACTCAAATAAATAAAACTAATTCACTTCAAGTGGCAGTAATTTCATATATTCTTAGTATACAGCAAATATCAAAAATATCTATGACTACTTCATTTTTTGTTACATAACTGTATTTTCAGAAGAAGAAATGTTCAATAAAATACTTGAGTATTTCAAGCAGAATGGGACTAAAGTTCATATCAGAATAATTGTGTTTTTAGAACTATGGATTACGGTATTTATATTTTATAAAAATGAGCAACGAATAACTTTATTTCTAAATTAAAAAACATGAAAATTATATAAAAAGAATAATTAAATTTTGATTAGCTTTTGGGTAATATAAATTATTTAAGCACAATAGTACAGTTATCAAATACGATGAAGGAGTTTAGGGAAGTTTTCTAAATATGCTGATTGAAATTTGCAAATCAGAGTGCATAAAAACAAAATGGATTTAAATATAGCTAGAGAATATTTTAAAAAGGTTTGAAGAGGTTTTAGCAAGCAATATTGATGACGAGGAGAATTTTTAGTACAATTTAGTGATAAAAAAAATTAAATCAGACTGCGTGCTTGATAGATATGTTGAAAAAGTTTATGAAATAATGCAAAAAGATTAAATTATCATCTTGGCTTAGTAAATATGCTTGTATGAATAATTTTTGCTTTTTTAGTTGGATAATCGCACTATTTTAAACCACAAAAAATATCCTAATAAATTTACTGCTCCTCTTATATAATTTTTTGACTGCTTAAGCAATTTTAGTTGTGTTTTAGTATATTTTTCTTCCTTGTACGAGCCAGGATAATCTCCCTTTAAAAGTAGGGTGACAATAATCGAATAAATCATAAGTTTAGCATTTTAACTTAAGTTATACAATAATTTTTCTAGCTCATATTCGTTATATCTTAGTATCTAAACAACAAAATTTCTATTTCCTGGAATGATTGATTACATAAATATTATCTCTCAAAGAAAATTAAAAAAATTGGATGTTTGCTTTTCTAATTAAGTAAACTTAGCACTTCAATAAAATAATTCTCCTTTACCTGCAGTTCCTTATATTGGTGAATATTTATTTCTATTACTTACAAATTTATTTTTTTAAAAATTATTTTTAATAAATATTAATATAGGTATTAGTCTTTCATAGATTGCAAGAATGAATGAATTTCATAGAGATTATAATGGGACATTTAACTTTAAAAGATTAGAAGAATAAACAACGATTTTAAAAAATTTAGATTAATTCAAACATTTTAAATATGATTTTGAATTCTAACCATAAATTTATTAATATTTATAATGCATTCCTAAAATTGATGCAACTAAAGTTATCTCTTCTTTAAAGTGAGTGGATTTATTTATTTAATAATTAAATATTAGAAATTTTAAGAATCTAAATATTTTAAATTAAATTTTATTAAATATATTAAACAGGCATTTTAAAATTAATTCTAATTAGCAAAACAGAAGTTATTTTAAGAAAAAATATCTATAAAATTTTCTAAAACAGTTTATTTTCAAAATTCTCACCCTATAAAAGACTTTCCAAAATTTTTGTTTAATATATGCAACCTAAGTTAATAATTAATTGAATTGTTAGCATCTATAATACAAATTATTAGTATTAGAAAACAATTGTTACAAGCAAATATATTTTTGATTTATATTAAGTTAAAAAGAGATAGAATAAAGAGTTAAATATTAAAAACATTAGAATAAAAAATATTATTTATTAATAATATTATTAATAAATTGAAATAGCTAAAATAATATATACACAATCCTCGAAGAATCAATGAAAATAATGAATTTTTAAATAGAAGTAAAAGTTATTTCAACTAAGCTTTTTGAGGAATTGTCATAGTAAGAAATTTTATTTCACTAAATTTTATATATAGAAGTATTCTTAAATTATTAGTAGATAAAATTTTTATTAAAAATATTAATAAATTAATTATTTAGTAAAAACCAAGCAAAGAAATCTGCAAAAAAATTTCTTTAGAATTTTTTGATATTTTATACAAACTTGTTAATGTAGAATTAATTTATATTTGCCATTCAAGCTACAACTTCAGAAACATCATCTTAGGATAAAATAATAGTTTCCATAGTATCAACTATCTGAACCACAACTTCATTTTTCCTTTTATTTCTTTCCAATAAAGTAGCTACATGACCTTTATTTTCACCTGTTAGTACTTTAACTTTTTTTCCAATATCAGGAATGATAGTTTCTATATCCTTTTCTCTTAAATCTTCTAATGTGTTTTTTGAAGGAGTAATTACTGTGAATGTATAGCAATCTATTATATCTGATATAATTGCCTTCACATTGTAGAACTGCCCATCCTTATATTTTTTACTAATAATACGTATTCTAATAAGAGGCTCTACCCATTTTAGTCTTTTCTTTTTTGAGTCTTTTTTCTTCTTTTTATCTTTCTTGCTTTTCTTATCTTTTTTACTCTTCTTGTCTTTTTTATCTTTGTCTTTTTTAATCTTTTTAGATTTCTTGGCTTTCTTCTCATGATCGCTGCTACTTTTTTCATCATCACTTGATTCACTTTAATCAGATTCAGCATTACCTTAACTACTTGCTTCACTTTCGCTATCACTTTATTCTTTATGTTTAGTTTCTTCCTACATCTTTTCCAGCTCAGGTATTATCAACTTTACTTATTTTTTATCTACTTTGACAACTTGCCCGTTTTTTAACTCAACTAAATATTCTTCTTTTTCTTTGTCAACTTTTGTTATAAAACCTTGCAATCCTTCATGCTTTCCAGCTATAATATTTACCTTATCATTTATATCTATTTATTTATTCTTATCTATAAGTTTATCTCCAATATAATTATAACTCTTTCCCGTTTTGCTAACTAAATTTTGTAACCCCTTTGGGATTTCTTTTCCATCTTTTTACTTTTATAAAAATGAAGGCATGGGATCAGCTCCTAAACCTTGTCTATGATTTCTAGGTACAAATTCTATCGGTCTAACTATTTGCTACTTTCTACCAATGCCTTATTTTTCATCATATCCCATTTTTTTAATTAAAAAGCTACCAAAACTCTCTACAGGCATGTAATCATAAGCTTCCTTAGAAATATCTTCGGCTACTTTTTCTTACATCAAGTGTCTTTCTTATAAAGGCACATTTTATATAGTAGGACTATCAGGTTGTTAACTACTCATTAATATATATACTTGTTTAGATTTTTGTAAATATAAAATTTTTGTCTATCTATTAATATTTAATTTATAATTAACAAATTAAATTATTCAGATTTATAATAAACTTTCATTTTACCAATAAAAAAGATATAAAAATTAATAAATAAGTGTTAATTCTATTTAATTTTAATTTATTTTGTAACAAACATAATAGACACACATTTTTCATTACATTTCTTAAAAAAATAGCTTGCTAGTTCCCTTTAATATCAGACTTAGGAGTATTTTGAAATAATTTTATTTATGGAGTCAAGATTATTTATGTTTTAATTGTAACTTGTTTAATAAAGAGATGTGCCATTGTTAATTGGTGTAATAGGATTTGTATAAGGAGTACTTGTATAATTATAGTCCTTCACTAGCATAGGTACGTATGCACTTGGTACTGTTCCTACTGAAGATATGCCTGCAGCTCCAGATCCGAGACTTGGATTATAATCAGGAACTTTTATTGAACTATACTGATTTATGTTGTAATCGTTGTTCTTTTGTAAGCTTGTTTAAAATATAGGATCATAAGAAGCTGAAGGAGTGTATTGATCAAGAAGAGTTTGTGTTGTTTTGTAATTTCCATTTGTTTGAGATCCAAATGTTATTTATTTGCTCATACTATTTCCTGCATCAGAAAAAGTATATAATTTATTTAAATTAGTATTAGGGTCATAATTTTAGTTAATTTATGCAGAAGTACTTCCGAGATATAAATTATTTTCAGGATTTTCTTCTAATGTCCACTTACTTCTTCTAACTATTTCTTAACGATAGATGACAGCTTATTTTTAATCACTTTAGTAGTCTTTTACTTAATCATCGTAACCATTTTCTTTAACAGGAGTAAAAAAATTATTGTTTGCATTCTTTTTGACTGATTCATAATCGTTACTGTTGCTATTTTACATTTCATTAAACTATTAGTTTATGTATTGCTCATCTTCGTTTTCATGAGTGTAGTTATAAGTTGGTTGTCTGTCTTTTAATCCTAAAGAGAAAATACGATCTGCCATTTGAATACCCTATCTGCACAATTCCTCAATATAAGCAAACAAAATATCTACATCAGGTCTTTCCAGCTCATCGAATATTAACATTTATTAAATAAATTATGCTAGCTAAATGCTATACTTCTCTTGAACCTTTAATTAAAAAAATTTTTTATAAATTTAAACAATCAATCTTTTTAAAATATGTTTTACGAATTCAATCTTTGAGTTTAGGACCTATTAGTTTATATCAAAGTTTACGAAATCGTAAATATCATCCTACTCCATCAATAGAGCTGCTTCAAGGATAACTAAACCTAGTGAGAATATATCACTTTTTGTGCAATTATGTTGAGGTCTTTAACTTTATAACTCGAGAGATTTCATAAGAACAGGAGAAAGATACTTCGCTTTTCTCATTCCCATAAATGCCTGCATGTAATTATTTAAATTACCAGAGCTCACAATAGGGCTCGGTAAAAGTTTGATTCTACCTTAATCGCTAAGTAAGATGGAAGAAGGCTTAATATCTCCATGTTCGTAACCACGAGAGCGCAGATATGCTAAAGCAGCAATTGTTGAAACAATAATATGCCAAAGTTCACTCTCATCATAAAAAACTTCTTCTTTTTTTCTTCTCTGCATATCAGATTCTAAATCATTGCTAATATACCTAATTTTATTTTTTTTACATTTTTGCTAATTCATTGATTAATTTTATCATAAATCAAAGAATAATATTTTATCAATTATGTATAATCTTTGAATGAATTCATATTTAAATTTACTCATAAAAAAGATCTATATTCCAATACGATGAGCATAGCTCGCTTTTCTTAGATGTCTTGAATCTCAAGAGCTTAACTACCGAATCATGATTTAAATTATTAAGAGAATGGGCAGTATCTTAGATACTTTTCAATTCTACCTCAGAATCTCTTTGTAAAATTTTTCTAACCAGTGCTATAAGATGGTCAAACTTATCCGACTTAAAAATTTTGCATTTACCATATCGAGCATCTTCTACTTATTTAACGAATTGTAAATTTTCTATATCGATAGAGAAATCTAGCTCTGCTGTCTAATCCTATTAATCCTTTGATTTGCTTGCACCCATTTTTAAGCTTATATAATTTATTTAAAATTTATCTTTTGAAGTAGATTGTAAAGATAATCTGTATTATTTATTGATTAAATTATTGATTTATTTATATTATTCTATTTATATTTATGCAAATAAAATTTAGGTAAATGCAAACAAATATTTTTATAAATTAATTAATATTTATTTGGATATTAAAATTTGATAAAGATAAACGTTATAAATGTTTATTAGTAATCAAATTTTATTGGCTATTTTTGACTACTTAATTATTTTTCAAAGTATATTATATTAAAATTATTTTGAATAAAATCTCAAAAATAAAAAATGCTTGAAGAAACTTCAAATTTATTTAATTAAACTTATAATTTTTTTTATTTATTAGAATAAATTAATAAAGCTTAAAAAATGAGATTACTAATATCAAACTATACTTACATCAAAATAAATCCGTTTTATATTTAAAAAATGTATTTCAACTCATACTCAATATTAATAAATTAATAATTATTTAACACTTAAAACATATTTTCATTATTAGTTTAGTTTTTTATAATAATTACAATGATTTACATACATATAAATATTCTGATAACTTTGAATAAATAATAAGTTAATTGAATGAATAAAATATATAAAAATATCATCATATAATTTACTTGTAAAATCCTAAAACATATCAATTGCTCAGATTAAAACATATTTATACATAAAGCATATAAAATGTTGGATAAATACTTAATGAATTACTTAGTTACTAAGTTATTTTTATAAAAATGAATAAATGACTGAATGCAAGCAAACTAATAAACATTTCAATTAGAAAGATATAGAACTTTCTCTTGTTTAAAGAAATAGTTAATAGAATCATTTGAAAGTTATTAGTGCAAATGCATAAATAATGAAGCATAAATAGATAGATATACACATATTCTTGTTAAAAAAGCAAATTTTATTTGATTTTAATTTGGGGCAATATTAAGCTTTAAATTTTGTGGAAAGAAATCTTAGTAAATAGAATGAAATTTCTTTGTAAAGTGTTTTTGCTTCTAAATGATGAATGTATAAAATCTAAATTAATTTGATAATTATTATATTTTCAAAGATAATAAAACAAACTTAAATAAAAAGGAAAAGAATACAAATATTTCATATATATAAATTATAAAAAAATGATGAGATAATCCAACTAATCTTTTAATTCATCTTATGGTTCTAGATCAGCTTTAGCTACCTCTGGAAGCGGTAAAGTCGGATTATTAGGTAGATTATAAAGAGTCTACGCAGTTGTAGCTAGCAAGTTAATGTTCCTTTACAGAAAGATGGGCAAATGCTTATGGGTTGGAACTACTTGTAAGCTTTTTTAATTTTTATTAAGGATTGAAAGCGAAAAAATTAATTATTTTCATTATGGATTATATATACATTTTAGATTAGCTTCTATGATAAAATAATATTTTCTTCAAATTATTAGATAAAATTAATATCAATTTTTAACTTCTAAAAATTAATTTCTATTTATGAATATTAAATAGCCTTCATCTTTTTAGTCATTCCTACATACTTCTCAATCTTAATGGACTAATAAAATGCTTTGATGAAAATGCACGAAATGACTAAAGCTGGCAGCAGTAATTTATTAATTTTAAAAATATTTTAAATTAAAGAATAGGAAATAAATAAAAAAATTTTCATATATTCCAAATCAGATTAAGCTGAAAAAAGAGATTTTACAAATAAATTTTTTCAATATTAAAAATATTTTTGCATATAAAAAAAGATATTTGAGAAAAAGAGTTGATTTAAAAAATGTAAATCTAAGCAGCCCTAAGCAATCAATCATAGTGATTTATAAATAAAGTAAATGTAAAATGAACAAAATAAATTATAATAATTAATTACCTTATTGAGAATAATACTAAATAAACTTAAATAATTGGCAAAATAAATGTTTCTATCTATGTATATTTTTGCATACTATTATTATCATATTTGAGGAGATAATCAATTTTTTTTATCAAATAATATATTCAGATTAATATTATTGTTTGTAAAAATATAGTATTTATATTGTTTACCTTAATATATTTGTTCTATGGTATTCATTGCTACTATTATATAATATTGAAATAACATCACACCAATCAAGTGATGAATAAGTTCTAAAAGTATTTGCCTTTTATATATTAAATTATTATCAAATTTATGTTATAATGTTAATTACTTATTACAAAATAATATTCAATAAAGTAATTAAAAGATAATATTTGAGTATTTTTTTCTTTTGATCAATCTAAAATTTTACATTTTTTATTAGTTGAATCATCAAAAAATATTAAACATTTAAATTAATCAAAATTTTACTAAAATATTTAACAATATTTTTCTGAAAATAAATATTGATTTTTTAAATATCACAAATAAAACATCAATTTATTACAACTTTTAGTATAATCTTTTAAATTTTATATTCTATTCTATTTAAATTATTTTTCTGAAATTATTTCTTCAATCTTTAAAATAAATTTTTATAATAGATGATTATAGATAGTTTGTTTTAAAAATAAAAACCCTAAATTATTTATTTTATAATAAAGATATTGTTTTATTCCCAAATTTTAAATAATTTTGAATTATTATTTTAGATTATCAAATATAAACATAACTAAATGTTTGACTATAATATTTATTGTTTAATCAATATTTTTTACTATCATTATAAACTAAATTTTTTTATCTATTTAAAAGTTTATGATTTTGAAATTAAACTGTTTTTAATAAATTAATTCTTTGATAAATTTAATTTATTGAATAATTCATTTATTTATAAAAATATGCTATGATATAAATACATAAAAGATAGTAAGCTTTCTAACTTAAAGGCGAAAAAAATTATTATCCTTACACCCATTTTAAGACAATTATCCTTTAAAATATAAATTTTTGTAAAAATTTAAGGTGCTTATATTATTAATTAAAATTTCTGATTATTTCAAAAAACCAAATCTAAGTTTATAAAAGCTTTTTATTTTGCTCGAATGTTTTAATTGATTTAACTACAAAGAAATAAATTTTAGTAATATAATTATCTAATTTAGAAAAAATATATAAATTTAGAGAGTTTTGTGCGTTTTATAAACTAAGAAATGTAAAAAAAAATATTTTTCAAAAAAATTTGAGTATTTTTCTTTTATTTAAAACATATTAAAAAATAAAAATATCTTTTAGAGGAAATAAATTTATTATCTAATTTAATTAATTATTTAAATAATTTACATTACTCTAATACAAAGCATAAATCAAACATATTTTATTATAATTTTTAATGTATTTAGATTATTATTTAATAATTTATTTAAAACATAAATTTTGACATTTAACTAAAAAAAAAAATTATTAAACATCAAATGTAAAAAAAATATAAAAAAATTTATATTTAATCTATTATTTATTTTTAACAGTACAATTTATTATTTTGTAGTTTTTCTTTTTAATTATTTATTTTGTGTCCAATAGAATATTAACTATAATTTTTATGATATGTAAAATTATAAATTTCTATTTTTTAAAATTTAAGAATATTTAAGGCATAGAATTATTTTTTATTTATTACATTTAATTAGTATTTAGGAAATTAAAAATAAGTCTTTTAAGAAAAATACATAATTAATATTAAATTTAAGATGCGATTACATTAATTTAAATAAAAATGAAATAATTATTGATTCCTACTAAATTTCACAAATTTATTAAAATGAAAAAATATATTCAAGATAAAAATTAATCTTAAAATTTATATTTAGAAATGCTTGTTTGAGCTAAATAAGAATCACTATTAAAAATTAAGATTAAAATTTTAAAATTGAGATTTTCAATTTACTGTTTATTAATTTACATTAAAATTGTTTATAATTCATGAATTGAATGAATGATACATCAAATTATTATTTTTAATCAAGAAAAACTAATTAATTGGTTTGTAAAAAATTAAGGAAAACAAAAAAGAGTAAAAAGCTTTATATTATTATTAATATAATCACTATACAGAAAATCCCTATTAAATACATACATAAATACACATTTCTTGTAAGTAGAATTTCCGCAAAAATGTTTTCCCATTCTCCTTCTTCTAAAAAAAATAACTTTAAATCTTCAAAGTCATTAAATCATGATAAGCTTCAATTATAAACTGAAGAGCATGTCCTTTTTAACTATATTCCATGCATTCCTAGCATTACATAAGATATAAATATTTAGGAAGTTATAAATAAGAGCTAGATACAGTATTAGCAACAATAGCAGCAATATCTCCTGTCATTAAAGAGATCGTCAGAGCATTTAGACTAAGAAAAGGAAAAGTAGAATAATAGCTCCTACTCAACTAATAATTAACAAACTCTTCTTAATACACCTTTATATACTAAAATAGTTATTGATAAAATAGTAAATCAATTAACCTGTCCTTCAGATGATCTTGAAGTTGAGTTGCACATACTGCATATGAAATAACTTGTTTAGGAATAGGAAAAGACTATTCAAAGAGCTATGATAGAAGGAGAAAAGACTAGATTTAATAGAAAAGCTTGTGAATTTTCTTCTGTTGAGAGAGAAAACCCTCAAAAATACGATGCAGGATACTATGAACAACAACTATAATTGCAATAATAATATCTAAAAGGCTCTTGGTCACATAATAAGAATAATGCTGATATCTCTTCTACCTAGTAGCAACCCTAATTTGTTTATCCCTAGTCAAATAGAGACCAAGGAGCATTTGACTAAAGCTAAAGATTCTTGAGTGATAATAGCCATAATATTCTTTAGTCTAGGTGTTCAAACATAGCATATACCTCATCTAGTAACAATGTAGTTGCATCAAACTCCAAAGCTCCTTTAAGTAATGCATTAATTTTATTTTTTAAATAAGCAATAATAAAATTATATTTGATCAGAAGTTATTTTTGCTCAACAAACACTTACTCATTTTAACTTTTCAACAATTTTAAGAGCTTTATGAAATCAAATTTACTTGATTGCTTGGCATTTATTTACCACTATTTTAATTAAATTTACTTAACAAATTTTATTTCTACTCAATAAAAGCTTTATTGATAAAAGCAAAATATATTTTTATTTATTAAGGCTAATACAAAAATGCTTGTTCTCAAATATTATTATTAAATTAATTATTTGATGATATAAACTCTTTTTATTCTACTTTCTTAGTTAATTTACAAATTCGTTTTTAAATATTTGAGTTTTTATAATATTTTAAAAAAAGTATTTAATTAAAAATACTAATTTATTTTTTTCTTAATTTATATTAGGTAATGCAAATAATCTTGGCCAATAAAATATTTATAATGACAATCTAAAGCAAAATTCTAACTAGTAAAATTCTTAAGTTTCCTACTAACAATAGTAACAAACAAATTTAGTTTCTTAATAAGAAAATAACTAAGAAAGCAAATACAAAACTAGCAGTAAAAATAATAAAGAAAATAAGTCTTCATCAGCAGGAAAAGAAAATTCAGGCTCTTCTGTTGGAATTATAAATAGTAAAATCTCAAAAGATAATAAAAATAAAAAGAGGGCTTAAACTCAAACTAAAATCCAATAAAATTAAAATATTTCTTCAATGGAAAACAATGCTACTTCAAGTAACCTACCTTAGTTACATTAACAAATGAGTGCTCCTCCTCAAATAGGATAATAATAAGTACCAATTAATTAATAATAAAGTACTCCAATCCATTACAATAGGTATCCTGTCCATTAATAATAAAATTAACAATTTTATGGAACAGCTTATGGATTTAAGAATATGTATTAACTTCCCCATTAAAATCCTATATACTACAATTAATCTTCTTACACAACTCCAAATTATTAACCTTACTTATATCCTTAAAATTAATAAAATGCTTATTACTATCCATAGGTTCCTGCACAGAGAATAACAACAAATTTCTAAAACTAATATTGCATCTAAAGTACTAATAATAATAATAATAATAATAATAACAGTAATAGTAATTAGCCTTTATTCCCTAAATAAGAACCATATATTGAAGAAAATGGAGATATAGCAAGCTAAATAGAAATTCCTTTAATGGAAATTAATAATAACATAAATAATAGTAGTAGTAGTAATAATAATAATAATAACAACAACAATAACCATTCCTTAAATTAATCTAATTATGAAGATTTCTTTAGAAATTAAGATTAAGACTAATAATTACCACTCTAGCCTCACATCTCAAGACAAATGTCTCTTTAATAATCAAGCTTAGAAGATTAATTAGATTAAGGTGAAGATGATGATATGATAAATAACTATCTTTCATGAAAGAAAATTAAAAAAATTTAATTTTTAGTAAATCTAAATATAAAAGAGTTAATAAAATTAATAAACTTAAAATGTTTAATAATGAGAGTTATCAAATTAAATATTATATGAATAAACCTATACTATTTAAAAACTATTTATTACTTTATATCCAAATCTATATTAAGTTTTATAAAATTATATTAAATATATTATTACTCTAGAAGTTAATTTCTTTTAATAAAGCTATTTATAAAAAAGGAAAAATTATTTTTATGTTCTACATATTTCAAAGGTAGAAAATTTTTATCATTCCTTATCATTTTTAAAATTCAAATATAAATATAAATATCATAAATACTCTGTATTAAAATCAAATATTAAAAAATATAAGTTATAAAATAAAATTTATTTAAAAATAAAAATTTCTTTAAAAAAAAAAATAATTTTAAAGATTCGATAGATAAAATAAACAGTATCATCCATCTATTTTTTTATTCAGTCATTCAAATTATTGATTACTTAGTTTTAATAAATTTTTGACAATATATATTTGGTAAATTATATAATTATTTGGTTCTAAATATTATTATCTTAAATAATTAATTTTTAACTTGTTTTAGAGTAAAAACTATAAAAATGTAATTATCTTATAAAATTTCTATTGGAGAAAAAAAAGATTTTTTAATCAAGCATCAATTTATTCAATAGGCATTTCTTATAAAAAAGCTTTATTAGGATCATGACTAACAACATGGACAATATCTCCAACTCTTAATTTTTGTCTGTTTTCGATGTTCATAATGATGCAACCAGCAGAGCATCCACCAACTGGAGGTTAAGTAGTATCACCTTCAGTGCAGCATTAGCAACCATGAATAAAGAAATCGTTTCTTCCACACATTTTACTTTCATCTTAAGGATCTAAGTAGAAAGAACAAGGTCTGGTTGTAGTTTCATGCATGAGATCTTTGCAATAACCAAGTTTGTATGTATTAGCAGGTAAAACACCTACATTAACCACACATTATTTTGCAGGATTCAAGTAGCCTTCTCCTTGTCCAGAATAAGCTTTTAGTATAATTTTGTATTAAAATTAAAAATTCATTTTAAGTTAACATCAATTTTAGGGAAAGAATGATATGTAATATACTTCTAGTTTCAATTGCCCATTTTCCAGTACCACCAGTAAAGCGACCTGTATCTTAGTAAAAGGTGTAAGAAAGGGCAGGTCTTTCAGCTAAAGTTTTGCAACATTCTTTTAAGCATTCACATCTAATTGTAGATATGGATAAAACAATACATAATAGTACTATAAATTTCATTTCTTAGAAACTTTGTAAAAACCTTTAATTAATTCTTTAAAAATTAATTAATTATTAAAGCGACAAAATACGCATATAAATTAATCTTTTTGTTTAATAAAAGAATACTAGAAATTAGAGAGTAAGTAATAGAGCTTACAAACCCAACTTTAGATGACCAATTAACATTTCAGTTTAACAATTGTAAAATAAAAATTATAACTTATTACTAAAGTGCTTTTAAATAAGAATTTTTTCTAAAAAATTATCTAAACTTTAAAATATGCCTCTGAAAATAAACTACTTTAACTGCATATAACACATTTTAAATTATTAATTAATTGGTTAAATTAAAATAAAAAAGCCTAAACTATTTTTTTGATATAATAAAAAATGCAAAAAAAGAAAGATTTTTTAATAATGCTTTTATAATATCTTAAAATTTTTTCTTATTTCTTTTTAAATAATGATGATATTTAAGATAAAAATGAATGATAACTTATTTATTTTAAAATCTAATTTCCTAAAAGTTAATGCAAAAAGATTTAAATTCTTAAATTTAATACTAGGTATCTAAAATAAATAATAAACATCTTTTATTAAATTAAAAAAACTTAATTATTCATATTAAATTTACTGATTTAACATATTTTGATATAAATTAAGAGTTGATTTATACTCATATTTAAATATTTAATTAAGAACTATCTAAAAAATAACTGAAAATAAGAATAAAAAATATGTTTTTAATTTTTTTTATTCAAAAAATCTAAATATCTACCTTTTCAATACTTAAAATAAATGTAAAAATATTTTAAGGATTTTAATTAATCTCATAAATTAAAACCAGTTTTTAAAAAAATACAAATCTTTGTAATTTGATGAAAAAACTTAAGCATTTTAATTAAATTGATCAATTTAAAATGTTGATACATATATTTTTAGTTATATTTAAATTTTAATTTTTTTAGATTTATCTAAAAAATAATAAAAAATAATAAAAAATCTTATATTTTTTTATTTTTTATTACAAAATATCTTCGTGCCACTTAAAATAAATATATTAATCTTACAAGGATTTTAGAAGTTTTTAAGTAGTTATGTACCTACTCTTTTTTTGCCTTATTTGCTTATTGATTTATTAGATTTATTATTGGTATTTTTAGTAAACATATTAAAAATTATTGATGGGTTTTATAATTTATTAACAGGTATGTAAATGAATCAATTTACTAAAAATTAAATAAATTCTTTTATACTTTTTTTACTTTATGTTTTTTACAGATTAATTGGATTTATTTTGAAAGAAGCTATTTTTTAAAGCAAAAAAAAGAGTTATCAACAATTAAAATAAAGAATAGTGAAAATTTATCATATTTTTAAATCACTTAAAAGCTTTAAGCAATATTTTATAAATTAAAATTAACATTTTATGTATTTGGATAGAATTATTTATATTTTTTTAATAATTTTTTAGCAATATAATTAACAAATATTATGTAATATATAAATAATTAACATATTTTAGATATTCATAATTTTGTTAGTAGTATTTATTTATTATTGCTCAGAGGGATCTGAGGAAAGCGATGAATTGACCGCAGTCACCATAAGCTTACTTACCCATAAGGAGGGAGAAGATGGTGGCGAAGATATCGTTGGTGAGGTCCTTGGGGTCTTCAACGATGGTGTCAGCGATCAAGAAGAGACCACCGAGGTCTTGAGTGCATTGAGAGAGTAAGAGGTTACCTTCACCTAAGTTTTAGAGGATGTTATCGAGGGAGGAGAAACCCTTGTTGGCTTGACCTTAGATGTTGCAGTGGAGGTAAGCAGCCTTTAAGTTAGCAACTTGGGTCATGATGTCTTCGTATTAGTCTAAGCTTTCAATGGTGGTCATTTCCTTGATGGTGTTGGCAATGGTGAAGACGGTAGAACCGGCAGCATCCATGAAGCACTTGTTGTCTCTCAAGGAAGCAGTGGCAGTGATGGCCAAGAGGGCGAGGATGAGGATAGCTTTCATTTATTTGTTTTTCTTTTTAAAGTAATCTTTTTTTGAATATTTTAATTTAATTATAATTTTTCAGAAACTCAAAGGATGTATTTATAATATTACCAAAAACTGAACTAAGTTTTAGGACCTACATTCACTGTAAATAACTTTTAATACAAGAAAAATAATCACATAAAATCCCTCAAATTAGGCAAATGATTGGGGATTTTGATTGAAATTTTATTAAATCTGTTTAGATATTAGATTGGATATCTTTAATAATTAGAGATAGCAAAAAGCGAAGGCTGCGAATGAATTAGATTGAATGAATCTAATAATCTAATTTTTTTTTTGTGATTAAATTCTGATCACTCACACTTGAAGAAATTTAGTTTTAATATATATACTTTTTCTGCTATAGAGATAAAGCGTCAATAAAAAACAAAGTGACATAGATATGAAATTTATTGCATCTTTCAATCATTCAAGATAATTCTTATACATAAAGTTAACTAAAAGAAAAATTTTTTTTTCTTATTATCGCTGGCGATTTTTCAACTTCAATCTGTTTATCAAAATATTTCGAATTAAATCTTGCTATTGTAAAAAGTTATGAAAGAAGGTGTATAAAAGAAATTCAACTTGAGTGGTACTTAGATTAAATAAATTAATCGAAGTGAGACAAAATACATAACAAATGTGATAAATGGTTGAATTTACAAGACTTATTAATGATGATAAATAGAAATTATTTTGAATGAAACCAAATTAAATTGTCTAAAATCTAATTTTGAAGAGGACTTCAATTAATTGTCAAAATTATCTGAGAAGATCTGAATTTTATTTTATTAATTATATATATTTATGGGAAATCATCATTCAAAGTCAAAATAAACTCTTTTGTACTAGACATAAAGTATAAACATATTCTTTAGAATACCCACAAAAAAAATTATTTAGATTACTGCAATTAAATTTAGATCACCCAACTTACAAAAATTAATGAAATGAAAATCACATCTCTATAAGCTCGACATTTTATTACCAAAAAATGTATTTTTTTTTTATTCTTTAAAAACGGAATTTGTAATCCAATTGCGATTTAAACTATAGATTAGAATACATTCAAATGCTTTTTTATTCCAATTTGAACTTTATAAAAGAATTTTTAATTTAAAACAAGAGATCCATTTTTTTCTCCAATTTTTTCTTAAATACGGAGGATTTATGCTATTAATCCTATTTTTGTAAGTATCGTTTGAGTTTTAGAAATGGAATCAAATAATAAAAAAGCTGAATTTATAGTTAATTTATTGAATTATTTTTTTGTGAGATTAAGATATTATATTTAGTTTAAATATTGCGCTTTAAAAAGTACTCTAAAGCGTACTAAAAATCTCCTCTGACATTATTAAAAGTGGAATAATAATTTCAACTATACTTAATTTCGGTTACTAAATAGCAAAAATACCCTTGAAAGTACATTAGAAGAATTAAATATCTTTTTGTTTAAGTTTTCCTCTAAAACTTCCAAATCATCATGCTTTCATTAAATAAACCTTGATTTATATGTAAAGGTGAAATATAAATCATAATAAAATGAGATTCAACAATATATAGTATATATCTAATTTGTTGGATTTTCTACAGTTTTCTTTTTTTACAAAACAATTTCAACATTTTTACTGTAAATGTCTGATATGAAGAAAAATAAATTATGTTTAATAAGTATTATGTAAAAGTTTAATATCATAATTAATTAGAGTTAATTTTACACAAATTGCTTAAGATTTTTGTAGATACTAATGATAGTAAGTTATTACCACAAACTACATGTAAGAGCGTCCACCACCTTAAGCCCATTTAATTTTATCTTATTTCTTAAATAACTAAATAAAGTTTCTTGCAATTAATAAAGGTTCATCAAAAAAGATACATTTAATTTTATTTGATTTCTTCATTTAATTTTTTAAATCAAAAGAATGTAAATCCTATTGAAATATAATTTAAAAATTTTATCAAAGGAAAAAAAGTAACTCAAAATGAAAAATACAAATTTACCAAAGTAAAAAACACAAAAATATATTTATCAATCTAAAAGTTTATGTGTTTCCACAATAATTAACCTATCTGTGTAATTTTACTTAAGCAAACAACAAATGTTTTAAATGTTGTTTTTCGAAACCAATTAATCAAGTAAAAAATAAAATTTTTCCCTCAAGATATTCTTTTAAAATACAACTAAACAGCTTATCTAATACAATTTTCTCAATAGAAAAAATTTATTTTAGAAATATTAACTTATTATTATTCATAAAAAATTTAGCACTATATTTTAAAAATTAAAATATTAATTATTTAATGAAGGGAAATAAAATACATATTATTGATTTTTAAATATTTGTATAAATCTATTTAGCAACATATTAATAGTAACATTTGGATTTTATTTAATGTTTTTGAATAAAGCATGTATTAGCCTATATTTTTTGAAAAGTAAAAATTAATTAAAAGTTAATAATAAAATATTTATTATAATTATTTTATATTTGAAAAATGAAAATTAAAATCAAACAGGTAGATAGAGTTTTATTTTTTGAATTATTTTCCATGATTATTGATTGTAAAACTTATTCACTTATCATAAAATATTAAAACTTAAATTTCATTAAAAAGTTCAAAAAAACTAATTATACTAATCTTTATAACAATTTATAAGATGTTTGATATAGATTAAATGGATAAAAGCAATTTTGTTTGCTTTTAGCTTAAGGACGAATCAGTATATTTTGGAGAAGTAGTTTACTAAAATGAGTAGGGTTAGGTTTTTGATCCTAAATAGGATTAGGAAGCTGTTAATAAAGGAAAAGCTGTTAGACATGGATTTGGTATACAATTATTTGGAACCACAAGCGATGAATTTCTTTGCAAGTATGAAGGGTATTGGGATAAAGATAGAATGCATGGTATTTGTAGATGTTGGTTTCCTGATAAATCTACTTATGAAGGAAATATGAAATATAATGTTAAGGAAGGAGCTGGAAAATTTAAGTGGTCAAATGGAGATGAATATGATGGTATATGGAGAAATAATAGATTTGAAGGTGCTGGTACTTTTAGACATCATTCTGTAAATAATATTAGCAGTTAAAAAAATTCAAAACAGCCAATTAATAAATATTTAATTTAATGAAGGGAAATGTCTTAAGCGGTATTTTCAAAAACAATTATTTTATGAAGACGAACGACTAGTTTATCAATCCATTCTTATCAGGAGAAGAAATTGATTAGTTTATAAAAAGAAAAAATGAAATAAACTTACTTAAAGAAAAGAATAAAAAGCAGAAACTTTTCTTCTTTGAAAAGGTAAATTGATTTTAAAACATTAAAAGATGGTTTTGACAAATGAATGATAAACTAACATGTATAATAAAGAATATTAAATTTTTATAGGGTTCACTAAATAATTAGTTATATTTTTTTGTATTTTAAATAAAGGTAAATAAAATAGAAGATTTAGCTTAGTTGATAAAGAAATCCAATTAGAATAATAGAATTCCTTTAATTTTTAGCTCAAAGCAGTAAATATTTAAGTGAAACCTATTAATTAAATGAATTATTTATTAAAAAAAGACTAGGAGCTAACATTAGCGAGATATTCAATTAGATTTAGCAACTTGATAAAAGAAGTTGGTATGATTTTGACTTAAGATAAGCCTTTTAGTTGAAAAAATAAAATGTCTAACAATTAAAATAATATATGGTAATTGAACAATTCAAATATTTGTATTCAAATCTCAAACGTTTTTAAATATTTATTAGGCTAAAACAAAAAAGAATCTTAGTAATGTCTTGGTAAAAGGAGAGACTTTTGTTGTTAATCTAGATGATTCTGCATCTGCTTAATATGATGAAATATTTTATCCTGATATCAGAGAATTTTATAATTCATCAAGCTTCCCAAGCTAAATTTGGAATATAGAATATTTGAATCGTCATGAAGTCTTTGAAAAAATAATTGCAGACACTGAAAATTTTTTGAAAATGGTTGTCTCAAAAGACTTCACCCTTGCAGTTTGGTCTAAATATAAAATAGATGATAGTGTCGACAACAAAAAGATTATTGAGAAAATTGAAAGACGCTTCAGCTCTATTATTCCGATGATTAAAATTGATTTGATAATGATAACTTAATGAAAAAAATTATGCATTTAATAAAATTATTTTATTTATGTATAAACTGAAAATTACCATTTTTTTAGTTTTACCATTTGAAATTTTGAAGTGAATTATTTCAGTAAAAAGAATATATTTTCTATCAACCCATAATTTTTTAACTTAACCTTGAAGCTGCTATTAAAATTTTTGGAAAAATAAAAAGTAAATAATCATGTATAAAATATTTGTTTCTTATTAAAAATTTCATACAATTAATATAAAAATAAATTGATGACTTTTAATGAGTACGAAGTAGTTTGGGTCAAACCAAGCTGCTGATGAACTTATTTCGCAGCCTGAAAAATATTTCTTTTTTCTTACTTTTTACTACTTTATTATTGTATAGACTTATTTCAGTTTGAACTGATTATAAAAAAATTAATACTATTTTAAGTAAAGTTATATCTTAAATAAATATTATTTTAATCTCTAAAGAAATACACTGCTTTGAGCCATTTTTTATATAAAAATATTTTCTTTTTTACAGTTAAATTGATATAAAGTAAGATAAAATATTTAAATTACAGATATTGATTTTTATTAGATATTTTAAGAATTTGAAATCTTAGATAAATTGATAGTATAAATTTAAATCAATTATATTTTTTTTGTTTGGTTTGTTGCTCAAAAATTCATTATAGCTTTAAATTTTATTAATTTGATTATTAATTAATTTCACTTATTTCAGTTATCATTTGAGAAATAGTTTTTATATTTTCGTTTTTATTGCATGTGAGAGAGTTTTAATAGGTTAATTATTATTAAGCGAATATATTTTTATTTGAATTTTGAGATTATTTCTGATTATATTGACTGATTTAAAAAATATTATTTTAATAATTTTATTATTTAGCTTCTTCTGAAATTTATTATTAATTTTTTTCCTCCTCTTATTCTTGTAATATTTCTTCTCTTTATACTGTAGAATTACATTTATCGTTATACTTTTAGTTGCTTTAGATAATTTAATTACTTTACTATTATTAAGCACTTGGATTAATATCCAAATTATTTTAATAATTTTATTCACCTAAAGATTCTTTTTATTTCTTTTCTTTTTCTAATTATTCTAAATATTCTTGCAGCTAGTCCTCTATTTAAATTAATTATATAATGCTTATAATATACCTGAGTATGAAAATAAGTTACTTGGAATGAATCTACCTTTTGAGTCTCTTATTCTATTTGTCGCATGTTTATGCCTGCTTTCATATTTATACTTTTTTGACTTTTAAAATAAATTAAGTTATATTGACTCTAAACATAGAAATGGTTTACCTTTTATGGGTTTTACTATTACTACTAAAACTCTGTAGTTTCTTTTGATCTTATTTCTCTTTGAGGTACAATTTTATTTTGCTTTAAGTCTCTTGCAGCTCTTTTTATTCTCATAATCATCATTCTCTTGAATTATGCAGCATTTACATATCTAGGTTCTTCATCAGTGAAAATAACTGGAGGAAGAGCAAATGTTTGGCTTACTATTTCTTGTTATAGCTTTTAAATTATAAATAATAAAAAAATTAAAATATATTTGCTATTATTTTATAAATACTTGATTAAACGGACATATTTCTTTTTCAATTTATCCTTTATTATCATTAACAACATGAGAACTACTATGATTAAAAATAGTATTGTTTATATATGGATTGATGGAGTTGGTATTATTTATTTTGTTTGGATTAAAAGAAAATTTAGTATCTGATTATTAAGCTTCTATACTGATAACATTATTATTATTGTTATTATTCAAAAGATTATTTTCATCAAAGTATTGCTAATTTAATTTTTTTTACATATTTGAAGGAATATAATCGTTTTCAAATAAATATTATTATTATTATTATTGTTATTATTACTCATTACTTATTTAGGAATATTTATGCAAACTATCCCCTTAATATTTTGAAATTATATTCTATTTTTTATCTTTATTAAACTATTATATCTTCTACTATTCGTTTTAAGAGTTAGAATAGTTTTAAATACTCTAAGAATTTGGTTAAAAGGTATTAGATTTATTCAAAATTCTCTCATTTTAGTACTCTGAGTAATTTTGAGATGGCAGTACTTCTTTTTCGTAAACATTGTTGTTTTAGTTTACAAGTTAGTTGCTTTGTTTAACTTTATGATGTTTCTAAATGGCAAATGTGGTACTTATTTAGTTCTGTAAATCTGCAAAACCCTGAAGAGAGCTTTCTTCTTTGATACGATCAGCTGTATTCAAAAACTCGAATTTTAGATTTTGCTAAAATGCTGTTTATTAATTTAGTTAGCTTAATTGTAAGTTCTCATTTTATTTCATAGCATTTGGATTTAAAAAATCTAACTCTCTAATTTTATTTTTCTAATTCATTGATTGAATCGACTCAGATAGTTTCTTCTTCCTAATAGACTGTTTAGAAGATTGGTTAGAATTTTCGTTTTTCACAATATCATAGCCTTTCTGTCTAATTGAATCTTAATTTATATTAGAAAATTCTTTAGGCATTCTAATTATTTACTAAGCCTCTAAGCTCATTTCTCTAATAGTAAATTTTTAATATATCTAAAAAGCTATAAATAAATTAATTGGATGTCCTTTGCTAAATCTAAATGATGTCTTTTAATTTAAGAGATAGATAACTTTTTTAATCAATTTAAGCTAGCAATATTCTGATAAACAAGTAGAATTAATTATTTCAACTAATGTGCAAAAGATTTTAAATAACAATTCTTTATTAATATTTTACTGCTTTTAATATTTTTGTTCACTTAAAGAAATCAGATTTCTTTTGTACCTCTCTTAATAACCACTATAATTTGAAAAATTTAGCGATTCCGCAAAAAATTGATATATATGCTTTATACATATATAAATTTCATTTACAAATATACAATAAAAGTACTTTCTTTTTTTAATAGTTAATAAATTCTTTATTTTATACATATTCATTTTTTTTTAAAAAGTTACTGTTTTTAGCAACAAAATCTTTACTAAGTAATTACTTAATAGATAAATTTTTAAAATCAAAAAATTTAACGTTAAAAAAATAGGAATAACTTAAATAATAATAAAATAAATAACTATGATTACATATTACTTAATCTAATGTTAATACAAAAATATAAACATTTAAAAACTATAATATTAAATAAATTCATAAATTTTCATCTGCAATCTTTCTCATTTTTTAAAATATTTGATCTGCTCTACTTTTAGAAATTTCAGGGCTTTCACTGTAATCCTAACTCAAAGTTTATTCTTAAAAATCTTTATAAAAATTTATAACTTATTGCATCCATTCTAAAAAGGATGAGTCAATATTTTCCAACTCTCCCTTACGTGCTTCTTTTTTAAGTTCATAGAGTTCTAAGGCATATTTTTAAATATGCTCAATATTTTTTAATGGCAAAGGTACTTCTTTACTCTAATCCCTTAAATTATCAACATATTTCTTTAAATAATTCTACTATTTCCAAGTCTAATAAATAGGATTTTCCTTAAATATTATCATGTGTAAGAGTTAGAAACCAACTATAATAGAAGTAAGTATTTCTTTTACTTTTAATGTTGGATTTTATTTTGAAAATATTTTTAAATATGTTTTCATGTGACCATTTAATGCTGTATATGGCAGCTTAAGCTCTTTCTAAAAAAACTTTAGTGTATCTTCATCAAATTTATTCAAGTAGACGCTTTCACTCATAACCCATAAGTTCATTTAATCTATTTTGTTTGGTCTAAGCTTTCTTTTCAAAAATTTTCTTATATCAAGGAAAGTATAATCAAATTCAACTTCAGACCCATCTTCTAATTTAAGAAAGTGATGAGTCTTTTATAAGATTTTCTTTTTATCATTAGTTATCAAATAATCTTCTGTTTTACTAGCATAAAAGCCCTTTACGTCTAAATCAGATTGAGATGTATGAGTATGATATCCTCTGCTTCCAGTCTCTGCGCAAAATAAAACTTTTACATTATATTTACTCTCTACATCTTGGATAACAAACTTAAGGACAGATTATTTTAGGTCTTCTCTAATTTAAATATTTTCCATTTAAAGAGATTATAAATATCTTATTCTTTTGTGTGTTTAAATTCGCTTTTAAAAATAAAAAATATTTTGATAAAATATCAAATTCACAATATTTTATTTAACTTTAAGATTTTGATTTTGATATTATAAAATAGAAGGATTTACTTTAAAAACTAAATAAAGCCTCTATTAAAAAAAGATTTAAAGTTTCTACACCATAAATTTTATAAGCGAAAAAACATTAACTACAACTAATCTTTAAAATAAATAAGAATATTAGATATTTATTGAATTTCTTTTTAAAAATAATAAACAAAGTAAAAATGGAAGAATAAAAGTTGCCTTTTGAAGAAGAAGTGAAAAAGCTAATTGCATCTCTCGAATAGGAGTTTGCAGAGCATAATATTAGGTTCATATTTGTAGTAGCAGTTGGAAGCAGATTAAATTAAACATATCATGAAAATTCAAATCTAAATATCAGAGGATTTTATGTTGGTAATAAAGATTCCTACTTAAGTGTAATGAGACCACCAAAGGAAATAAAAATAAATAAAGACATTAAAAAACAAAATTAAGATAGCTTTTATATTGATTACGAGTTTATGGATATTAAAAGATTACTATTTGGAGCAAGTTAACCAGATAAGTAGGTTCATGATTCCAATTTATGGTTTTACAGTAATATTGTATACATTAACTAAATTGAACCTTAAGTCTTTTAGTAAATAAGGGGTAAACTATCATTTCCTCAAGCCTCTATAATAGGAAGGCTTATTCAATATTCAAAAGTTTTTCCTAACCTAACTGAGCTGAATGTAAAAGAAGTTTACTATTCTTTAATTTCTACAATCCAAGCTTATTTCTATATTGTAAATGGAAAATAAAAGCTACTATTTCCTGATAATAATTTATACACAGTATTAAATAATATTAAAACTAACTTCAGTGAAGAAGAAAAGCTGGCAACAACCCTGGAAAATTTGCTAAAAAAATATACTAATTTAAAACAGCAATAAATAAAAGCAACGAATAAAGAAGCTGATGAGAACTTTTTCATTGAATACCTTAAATAAATTGTTGAAAAGAATAAACCTCTTCAGAAAAAATAAGCAGAGCTTGTTGAAAAAGATCTTAAACCCTAAATAGAAGAATAAGAATGTAACAATTTATTCAAAATGATATTTTCAAGACATGATGATTATAAATTGATTTCTTCTAATTGATTATTTTACTCTTAAAATTTCAATTTAAATAAATTTTAAGTATTTTAAAATTAAATTAGCTAATTAATGTATGTATTTAACTTTATATTTTATAAAATAATTATTAACAACTGATTTTTTTTATTTCTTAATATGAATTCTTTTTAATATTACTTTCTAAATATGAATGATTTAATAAATAAAAATAAAAACATAAAATCTTAAAATTTTGTAAATTATTAAAATTATTTAATTTTCCTTTTAAAATTTTAATAAAGTAAATAGTTTTTAAATATTATAAATTAAATATACCTAAAATAATGAGGATTGATAGTATATGCAAATATTTTCATTTATATTTAAAATTATTACCAAAAATATTATCTAAGCTTAAAAAAAACTAAATTAGTTTTGTGATTGATTATGTTTTTATTTAATTATAAAACAAATTTAAGGATTTTCTAAGCTTAAGAATTAAAATTTACACAAACAAACACTTTAGATATGAATATATACAAAAAACAAAAAAAATAGATATAGATTCTTTAGAAAGTATGTATTTATAAATTACTCATTTGTTTTTATTTTTTTTTATATAAACAGGTTTGAAATTCTCATTAATTATGTATTTCAATTAATTATTTTACTTAATTAGTAACATATCTGGGAGTTAAAGTTATCCATCAGGAATTGCAGGATATCCTAATTTCTTAGGACTTTAGTTTTCTTATCCTAAATAAATATAACAGGAAAAAGCATTACACACTTTCCACCAAAATTCTTTCTAATCCTAAATACAAGGTTTAGAATTAAGTTCAGAAAAAATATCCAATAGTTCAAGATAAGGAGGCGTGCTATCTTCTTTTGCGTTAAAAATAATTGATCTCATTAGAGCTACTACACACAAATCATTGATTTTATTTTAGATCTTTTTTATCAAGCTATAGCATAATGACAAAAAGTTTTTGGTTTTAGATTCTTAAGCTAGCTCTCTAATTATTTACATTACAACTTATTTAGCTTGTTCTGATGTAATAAATTTATCTTCTATTTAAATTTTAATAGGTTCTTTTTAGAATAAAATCTATTCCACATATTCTAACTTTTCATTCATATTTTATGAATTGAAGGGTGAGTCATCTTATATCGAATCAAAAGGTAAATTCAAAGCAAATGAAGTAAATATTAGTCTAAATACATCATTTTTGTCCTAATTTTAGAATTCTATGAATAGGTTATTTACAATTCTAGCATCAATTTTTTAATTGTAGACTAAACTAGGTAAGTCAAACACATCATTCTTTTTTTTAATAGCTAATTCTGCTTCCTTAATTTTTTTTAGAGAGTCTATGACACTTTATTAAAATGGATCAAGTAAATTTGCACTTTATAAGCTCAATTTCTAGATACTATCTAGTAGATCTATTAGCTAAGATAAGTCTTGTGATTCCTAATTTTGCTTTAGTTTATCCATTGATGAATTATTTTTTTAATATTTATTTAGTTAGTAATTAAATTAAATAATTTAATATTGATTGATCAAAGTATTCTTTAATTTAATAATAAGAATAAAAGTATTTTATTAATTTAATTCTTTTTTATTTTTCTCCTTAATAAAAATATTTTATTATACCAACAAAAATACTTTTTAAATATCATTAATTTATTTTGGTAATTTAATCTACTTTTATTGATTTAAATATAAAAAATGAAAATTAATTTATTTATAAAAAAAAATAAAAGAAAGCCAAAGGTTTCACCAGTCTTTTTTCGTTTAAATTTACATTTTAATTATAAATAAATTAATTTCAAAAAATAGCAGAAAGTAAATACTTTTTTGCTTAGTTTACTGTTAAATTTATGGATAATTAGCTTTGATTAAAACATACAAAATAAGCAATTATAATCTACTTATTTTTGAAAATGTGTCTAAAAATTACTATGTAAATAAATAAGCAGTTGATTATTAATTGTGTCTATAACTATTATTTAATTTAGTTAAATATTATCTTTTTTTAACTTCGAATTTTAAATCAGAATGTTAAATAAATTAGAATGAATGAGATGTTTATTTTTTAACTAAATTTTGGATAAATTGAAAAATATACTTTTATAGATTGAATGAATAAATCTAAATACAAAATTCTATTAAGATTTGCATTATTTTGATATAAATTATTTTATTATAGTTTTTATAAATCAAAACTTAAATTCGTTTTTTTGTTTTTATTTTTAACTCAAAAAGCTGAGGCAGTAGTGTTTTTAGCAATAGGATAACGAACTTCAGCAACAACGAAGCACTTACCAGGACCCTTATGATCATTATCATCTCTAATAATTCTAACGTAACCCTAATTTTTCATTTTAATTTTTAATTATTTATTTATAAAATATATTAAAATTTACTTCTTCACCCCAAGTTGTACCCCATTGATTTTTAATTAACCAATAATCAACTTTCAATTCTTCATCATGACCATAACCTACAAGTAAAAGGCAGTGATCGGGACCATCATAAGGACCATCTTCGCACTCAGTAATGACACCTGATTTGTAATATTTGAATGAGGTATCAGAACTATTCAAACAAATTGAAAGAGGTTGGATAAGGAGTGCAGCCTTAACTTAAGATTAATCAGAAGGGACATCAATATATCCTCCGATTTAGAAGGTAGGCTTGTCTTCATCAAATTTGCAAGATTGTTGCTTGGCAATATAAGGATATTCTGTTTCAGTCATGATACCACCATTATTTTAAATACATCTGAAAGCAGGTTCAGGATCACCACCAAGACAGCCACTTTCATCGATTCTGCAACAATCAATTACTTATTAGGTAGAAAGGGATTCTAATTTACCTTAATTTTATAAAAGAAATTATTAAGTTAATATTGATGAAATTTAAATGAAAAAATAATTTGTAAAAGATTTTTGGATGAATCATCTGCTGTATACAATTTACAAATATGAATTTATTTAATAATCGATTCATTTAATTAATTAAAAATAACTCAAATATTTTACCAGTTTTCAAAAAGTAAAGACCTTCGATACTTTGTACAGTGGAAAAGGCCCAGCAGCCACCACATCCGTCTATTTTGATAAATTAAAAAGAAATTAATTAACATTAATTTTAAAATCTTAAAATTTATGAGTTGAAATTTCTTTCATATATTATTCAATCGAAAGAAATTTTTTTTTTTTTTAGTTTCCAAACAAATAAGTTTAGTAATGCAATTATTTTATGTATAATGTTAAGATAGGTACTTTGGACTTTAACTGGAGTAATAGCACCCTTATCTCTCCAATCGAAAGAGGCAGGTAAGTTATCAGTTGGGAGATGAGGTTGTTTATTTTTATTATCATCATCGTCATCATCTTTTGAGTGTTTATGACCAGTATATAAAGCTTTGAATTCTTCATGGGTAAGATCAGCGAATTAATTGACGCCTACCTTAGAAAAGACTAAAAATTTATTGTGTCTATAGATTTCTACGTAGTTGTTTGTAAAGACAGAGAATCTGTATTATTCTTCAGTATCATCTTTATAAGTTTTAGCGTATTTAACCTTGAAATTCTTAAAAGCTCTTTCAATAGACTTTCTAAGCATAAATTTAATTTCATCATCAGTTTTATGATCAATAACATAGTTTAAGGTGAGCAAGAAAACACCTAAAACTGCTACACTAACAAGAATTTTTTAAGTTAAATTCATCTCTTTATATTCTCAATATAATTTAAGTTTATTTAATTTTTTGTATTAAAAATTATGTCTAAATCAAAAATCTATATATGCATATCAATATCAATACTAAATCAAATAAGCATAAATTCTTTTATAAAAGCTCCAAAGAAGGTTTATAAAAGAATATTTTTTCTAAGAATAAACTTATGGCTTATACATGTATCAATATTGAAAAAAGTAAGACTTTATAAGAGGATAAAAATGTAAAAAGCAATGAATAAATAAATTTTTATTTGCCCCCCTATCAATAAATAAGCTTGCTTAAGATATTCATCAAGGATGTAGGGATGAGTATCTTTTAAAATTCGAAACGTTCATGATAAATTTAGTCTTTGAATTTGGTTTGAAAAAAAAACTAAGGAGTCACTGAATAATTCAAGGTTAACTAATAAAAGAAGAAGGTACTTATTTTCCAAATACTTTCAAATTTTATTTTTTCAATAAAAATACACTATAGAACCTTTTGATGATAGTATCTTTTTTTCTATTCTAAATAGGATAGTTGATTATTTGATGCCTAGCAAAGATTAAAATGTAAAATAATTTATTTTTACATCCTTTTTTTTAATTTTAATGAAAAAATGTCATAGGATTTTTCTAATAATTTAAAATCATTTAATTTTTTCTAAATTTAACCCTTATCACTCCAAAAAGTTTGTTCTTTCATCAAAGCTATGCCAAAAATTAAACCGTTGATAATAAAAGTTTTGCAGTTAAAATTCATTAAATTTTTAGTTTTACATATAATAAATTAAAACTTAAAAGATATCTGCACTCAATTAATATTTTAAGTAATTTATAGAACTATTTTATATGGTAGATTATTAACAAAAATCTAGTTAATTTTATTAATTAATTAAAATAAACTATATTAATAGGGTTTCCAATCATACCATAAAGAAATTAAGATTTTAATTTTTTTAGAATTACGTTAATAAAACATTTATTTAAAAGGAAAATAATTTAAAAAATATATTACAAATTAAATAATAAATATCCAATTAAGCTAAGCAATGCAATTTATTAAGATTTTTTAAAATTTTGGCCAAAGAAATTAATTAGATTATTTTTTCGTAATAAATTTCAAAAAAAAAATTTTAAAACAGTAGAATCACTTTTTATATTCAATTCTAAATTAAATAAATTAGAATTCGTACAGTTATCTTAAATTCAAATAAGTTTTACACTAATTAAATATAAAATTAAAACTAGTTTGGATTATTTTTTAAAGAAAAGTATAAAATTAGAGTTAAATAAAATTTAAAAAAACAAAATATAATATTTTATATTTACTTTTGAACTTCATAAAAAGTAAAAAAAATATATATTAAAAATTTAACTTCCTTTTATTTTATATTTTAAAAAGAAAATCTTAATTAACAATTTTTTATATTTCTCTAAATAAATCAAGGATATTACATAATTAAATAATAATTATTTAATTTATTTTACTTAAGATTTTAAATAAAAATCAAATAATACTAAATTTAAAATTATTTCTTTTAATTGCACTTTTATTTATTAAAATAGTAATAATTTAATTTTGTAAATCTATTAATTACAGTCAGTATATTTATTCAATTTGTCAAAACATCTGATTATTTATTTAATTAAACTGAGGGAACAAATAATTTCTTTTAAGTAATAAGTAGATCATAGAATCAAATATTATTGATTGAATTTGATTATAGTTTGCAAAAGTTACGAAAAATAATAATTAGCCAAATAATATTTTTAACTCATTAAACAATAATTATTTTATATAATTGATTAGTGAAAATAATTATATTTGTATTAAATGAGCACTAAATAAGTAGAAGTTCCTATTTAGAAAGGTAAGAAAGATAACGCTCAACTTAAATCAACTAAAAAGTAGTAGTAATAATAGTTACAAGAATCTAAAAAGACTGATAATTAATAGCAATAGAATACTTAAGAGACTGTTAAAGGTGGTAAAAAAACAGGAATTCCTAGGAATGTAAACACATATTCTCATTTTTTAAAGCATGAGTATATAACTGAATAAGATATTGAATGGGTTCTTAAATTGAGAAACTAAGATGATAGTTTAAAAGAAAAATTAAGTCACATCCCAAATGCACCATTTAGTGTATATGATAAGAAAATAAAAACAATGGAAAAAGCTCATAGTTGCAAAGATGTTGGGCTAAAAGGGAATTTAAGTGGTGTCGAACACTTATTAAGACATAGACTTGGACCTACTCCAACTCTTGGAACAGTATAGTTTGAAACTAGCTTAAGAGATGGTGAAAAGAAAGAATAAAAAATAGTTGAATTAGAAAAGGGATGGAATAACATACCTAAAAAAGATAAAAAAGAATTTCCTAAGTTTTTACCAAAATTAAAAGAAGAATTGGAATTACGAAAAACGTTTAAGAAAACCGGAAAACTAGGGAATCTCTACCATGACGGATTTGACAGATATCTAAGTTTACCTAAGTTTTCTGAAGCTTTTAGAGAGAAAAATATAGCTCCTCATATACATTTATGCAGACCTGATGCATTTACTTCAACAATAAATTGGGAAACATCCCTTAGATGAGCTCTTTAAAAAAAATATCCAGAAAAACTAAAAACATTTTACTTAAAATTTTATATTTTTTGAGATGTTTATTTTATGTTTTTTTAATTTTATATTCATTATGATATTAACTTTCTAATAAAAATATTTTGATAAATTGCGAATATATAAATTATTTCAAGTTTGAACAAATAATATTTCAAACAAATAAGCAATCAATCAATATTTTGTACAATTTAAATCATTTTTATTTGTATGCTTTTTGATCCAATCAATATCAAAAAAATGAAAGATTTAACTAAAAATAGTTAATGAAATTATGAATGAATGAATTAATTGAATATAATTATATTTATAAAATTATACTATATAAAGAGAATATATATGGGTTAAAGATATTTAATGTTTTTTGTAATGAATGAATTACAAAAATATTGTTAATTGATATAATTTGTTTTGTGAGTTAAAGTTAAAATTAGAAAAATTAATTTTTATTTATTTATATTTATTTTATAGAAGTCAGTGAGTAATTTTCTGCTTAGAAATGGAATAGTCAATCAATCATCACTCATAAGCATGCAAGTACCTGAGAGAATCCACTTATTAGGGTCAGAATCATCACTTTCCATATTTAAGTTAGCAGTGAATACAAATGTTTGACCTCTGGCAGAAGTAACATAAGTTGGGCAGTCATATTAACCATTCTTCTTCTTTTTATCAAGAGGAACTGCAACTGCATTTATAACTGGCATCTTAGGATGTAACTCTTTTGGTTTTTGTTCAATTAAGTAACCATCTTGTCCTTAACCACCAATTTCCCAAGCAGCTCCTTCTAAGAAGAGACCGTGAATGTAAGCACCATTTTCAGCTGGATTTACAACATCTTCAGGACCCTTCATAGCAGTAACGTTAGTTTAGATAGTGATCTATATTATTAAATATTAAAATGATATTTAAATGATAACCAAAAAACTATTTTTGAATAAAAATAAAAATTTTATTTACACCATCGAGAGGTAATCCCTAAGCTCTTGCTGTGAACTGCATAATAGCAGTAAGATAAGACATAGGATTGAATAGATATGAAATACATAAAGAGGTAGGAGTAACCAATTCTTTACACCATTCTTAGAGTTATATATTTCTTTCAATAAGATCAGCAAACCAAGAAGATAATGGTTTTTTAGAGAAATAAGCCTTCTTTTCCCAAGTGTCTGGAACCTTGTTGAAAGAAAGTGATTATTGTAAGCTTTCCATAGCATCTGTCATGTTAAGTGCACCTGTTAAACCAAGACGGAGATCTTCCAATGAAGTCTTTATTTCTTTAAGTAGTCCATTCATACGTTCGCATTCTTGTAAGCAAACAACAATATAAGGAGTTTTTTCTTTAACCTTTTCTTCAATAAGAAGCATATTGAAATCGTGAGGGCATCTTGTCTTAAAGTCAGTTAAAGTAACCATGACACCATCATCCTTTTTAGAAGCACCACCACCTGAAGAACCACCTTGGACTTCTAGGATGGTATTAAAGACCTAGTCGCAAGTCTATGTTAAGTAACCAATTTCAGCGTTAGGATGCATACCAAACATTTAAGGAGATTCAATTGGTAATTTTTCTTCTATGTATTTTCTATATGCTTCATAATCAAATTTACTGGGATCAGGTGACTTGAATTGAGGAGCTAAGTTGAAGTTTTATTGAAGCAATTCAGATCTAATCAATACCTTCAAATATGTTCTATTTGTTCTTCTATCCCAATCCTTTTTAAAAAAATATTAAAATTAATAAACATTGCTTCAAAAATAAATAAAATTAATTTTACATCTGTAATATGACCACCATACATAATTTCACCGAAAATGTAACGTAAATCATCCCAAGGTACTTAGTCATACTTAGAAAGATAATTGTAGAGTACGTCTGCACAAATTGTAAGATCACCATCATTGAAGTTATATACTCTTGACCAACCTTAAGTACCGAATTTCTTACGTCCAAGCATAAGACTGTGGAAGAAGCAAAGAGCGAAGAGACAAGACTTAAATTCAGTTGGTTTCTTATCACATTTATCTAAGAATTCTTGATCGAATTTATTATAGGCACGACGGAGGTTAGCCTTTAAATATTAAGGAGCTTCATTTGCAATCTTGAGAGATCCTTGTAAAATAGATTCAGGAATAATTTACATAAGAGGAAGTAAGACATTAGGAGGTTCGGAAGAAATGAAGACACGGAAATTAGGATGAGTTTTAGGTGAAGCAAACACACTCTCAAGGAAACCTTCAAGACCATTAAGTCCATACAACCAACTTTGCATAAGATGTACATTTTAAAGCATAATCCAGTGTCCTTTTTAAGCACAATCAAAGAGAGCCTTTTTAGCTCTATCTTCTTAACCTTGACCCATAGAAATATTAATGAAACGGCCGTTATTTGCGGAAACATCAAAAGTAGCTGCGACTCTTTCAACATCAGGTGTAGGATCAACACCAGGGAAAAGTACGAAGAAAATGGGTACTGTTTTGGAAGTTTCTTAGAATGTTTCAAAGATATTGAAAGGAGGTTATTCAATATATCTTTCACCCATCTTATCATGAACGAATTAGCTCAAAGCAGATGGAAGTCTGTCAGGACGTAAAGCACGTAAAAGAAGTAATCTGTGGAACTTTGATAATTCCTTAAAGGCCTTAGGTAAATCAGCTGTTTCTGCCTTTTCTTCACTGTACCACTTCTTCCATTACAAAACATCAGTTTCAAGAGATTAGCAGAAACCTTAGAATTGATGAATAGTTTCAAGAGCCTTGCAAGCAGCCCAAATATTATCGTTCAAGAATGATTTAAGAGCATCAGGCATAGGAGTAGGATTGACATCGACTTTACCAATGATGAGGTGATCAACTTCATCTGAATTAAGTTCTTCTGAACGCAATAAAACTCTAAGACAAAGCATAGCTGCAACAATGAGCTTATGGCTTTCAAATAGACCACGACGAGTGGTTTGATATGCAGTGTAAGTAAGTGATTCAATTAGTTCGTCAACACGCTTCTTCAAAGATCTGGGACTCATAGGCTCATCAGAATCTTTTGCCTTTTGTTGTTTTTCTCCTTCTTCTTCACCTTCTCCTTCTTAGTTTTCAGCATTTTCTTCTTCTACAGGACCTTCGTTTTAACCTTCAGCTCCTTCTTCTTCTACTGGCCCTTTATTTTCTCCTTCAGGCTATTCTTCTTCAACTGGTCCTTTGTTTTCTTCATCCTTTTATTCTTATTATTCTTCTTAATTCTATTATTATTGAGCTTATTAATGTTCTTCTTCCTCTTCTTCTTCTTCTTTTTCATGTTAATTTGAGGCATAGGTTTCATCACCATATGGAACCATTGTAGTTTTACCGTAAATCTTATTTTCAGAAATAGCATCAATAGCACGATTGATGACAACGATGAAAGATTCTAATGAGTATTTGTAGAAAGAGTGAACCTTTGACAAATCTGAAAGTAAGAAATAGAAAAGAGCACCACGTGAAGCTGCGGGTCTGTAATTTTCAGAAGTTTCATTGATCTTAGCTTCAGTAATCTTTGCAGCTGCAACTTTTTCAGCAATTTCTACTGAAAGCTTCTTAGAATATTCAAGATTTTCAATCAATTCAATATCATCAAGAATATCACCCTTAGCATTAGCAAGCTTGTATAATAATTCATCTTCAAGATCTTTCAATTTAATCTTGAAATCATTTTGTTGAGTGATAAGTTCAATCTTCATTTTAGCTAAATCAGGACGTTCACGAGCTACGACCAAAGAAAGAAGTTAATCTCCTAAACCAGCTTCTGTGACAGTGAAGTTAATAAGAGCAGCTTCTGCTTAAATTTCAGGAGGATAGTGAGGATTTGAAAGTTTGGTATGGAGGAAAAGTTTGAAGTTGGGGTGAAGGATCAAATCTTTACCAGCGAATTTAATAATTTTATTTTTACCTCTCTTAATGAAAGAACGTGCAATAATAGGCATCAATATAGCATCAATACGTTCATTCATATTTTCGATGATGGCAGAGTAACCATTTTCAATGGATAATTCAAGATCTCTGTTAATATTCTTTGAGCCAAGACGAAGGATCTTCAAGTTGTTTGCTTTTTCCTTTTCACGAATCCAAGTAATACCCTATAATTGAGGATCAATCATCAAAGGATATCTTGCAGAGTTTGTGAGAATTGTACCATTTTCTATAGAGACAGAGTCACTTGGAAGTTTTTATTTGTTCCAAAGAGCGATGGTTGATTCATCAGTTAAAATTTTAATAGGATTTGGATCAGGAGACATAGGAATGGTATGCTCTTTCATGAATTTCATGAAGTTCTGGTTAATCATAATATTACGGAATTTCTTGTTGAAAGGACCAGAATAACTGACGAAAGAAGAGGCAACGAGGACATCACCAACCATAAGTTTGAGTTAATCTTCTAATTGAATGATAGATTTACCCCAACGTTCATTTTCACTGGAAAGAGCTGTTACTAATCTTTATGCTAAATTAAGTCTTCTGGCACATCTTTCAGCTTCTGAAATAGCTGCATTTCTTTCAGCAATAGCCTTATCGTTTTCAGCTTTAAGCTTATTCAATTCTTCATTAAGCTTTCTAACAACTTCTTCGACTTCATTAAGCTTAACAGTAGCTTCTTCAAGTTATTCTGTAGCTTCCTTAAGAGCTTTACGCTTAGGTTCAACATCTTAAATAACATCGTAATATTTAACAATATTAACGACCCAAGAACAAATACCCTTGGCAGCAGCTGACTTTGAAGCCATCTATTCAGGAGTGAAAGAAGGCATATTGAGATATTGATTCTTTACAATATTGACATTAGCTGCAGGAACTTAGTTTGCATCTACGACATCCTTGAAATTGAGTAATTTTTCCATAAATTCTTCAGGGGACTTCATCAGCTTTAAGGAACTCTTCCATGAGACATCCTTAGGCTTTTTGTTCTTATCAATTTCAATAGCTTCATTGAAATAACCAGCAAGGAGATAAATTGTAGCAGCAAACACTTCTGGCACACCTGCAGGAGGACTTGCAAAAGATTTAGCTTATTAGAAATCTTTTTTAGAAATAGAGTTAAGAGCAGACTTGGCTTATTCGACAAGAGGTTGGGCTGCATCTAGATCCTATTAGGTAGAGGATTTTTGAGCTTCTACATTTTATTTAATGAGACCACACTTATCTGCTTCAATTGTGGCTTTAGAATTTTCTTTTTCTACTTTATCTTTTTCACGACCTACAACTTCTGCGAAGGCATCAGCTTCTTTCTTCTTAGCTTCAGCTTCTACTTACTTTTCTTTGACTTCAACTTCAATAATAGCGACTTATTCAGCAGTTTCTTTGAGTTTTACAAGACCTGTTTCATAACGTTCCTTGTTTCTTTCTAGAGACTCACGTTTTTAAGCAAGCATATTTGTGAATAAGGAAATAAGTTCAAGGAAAGATTTAGGAGTGGTATAGGCATAACGACGTTCTTATTCAAGAAGTTTAAGACCCAAATCATTGACTAGAGTGAAAGAGAAAGGCATGAATTTAACGACGGCTTCACGTACCTTATCATCACCTAAATCAACTGGTTCAAGGAAAGATTTAGCGACATTGAAAAGTGCCTCATAAGGCCAAGGTTAGAACCAATCGATAACAGTACAATTAACAAGAGCAGGGAATTAACGAGCACGACGACGCATATCACCAACAGGAGAGAAACAAATAGCCATGTGGAGATTCTTTTTAACTTGATCAATAAACCAATTCCAACAGTTTTCACGAGTATCAGGTTTACCCTCACCCTTAACCTTTGCACGGACTTAGTTGATCATGGCTTCTTTTTCATCAAGTGTGTAAAGTTCAGCAATTTCACCAGAGGAAAGAAGATCGTTAATGTACACAAGGAAACGTTCATTAGTAATTTAACCTTCAGTAAAGAGGAAAAGAATACCTTCTTCTTTAGGACCACACTTGAAGTATAATTATTATAAATCATTACGAAGATCAACCATGGAGTAGGTAGCAGAAATTGTGATAGAGAAAGTTGTATAACCCATAATGAATGAAGCTAATTTAGATAGAGATTACTTACCAGAACCACCAACACCTACAAGTAAAGCATGTCCTGAAGAAGGAAGAACAATACGGCATATTCTGCAAACATGCTTCATAGCATCTTCGAAAAGGACAAGACCCATAAAAGCATTGTTATCATTGTATTCCTTTAGAGCTTCAGAAATGTGCTTTTCCATTTCATTGTTAGGCATTTAGTCGTAGAAACGATCAGAGTTTATACCTGCTATAAAGTTGCAATAAATGAGATTTTCTGGGTTATTACCAAAGTAACGTGAGAAGTTGAATTTAGAAAAGGACTTTTTAACAATATCAAAAATATTTTCTTTATAAGTCTTAAGGTTATCAGTAGAAACCAAACGATCACCATATGTACGTTCACACTCATGGATCCAAAGCTTAATTAATTTATCAGGTTCAGTAAATTTGTTAGGATCAGAAAGAAGAAGACCCTAGAATACATTGGACATATGACGAAGGTTGAATTCATAGTGGAAATTGATAGCTGTTTTACGGAAATTTTAGGTAACAGCTTAGTGAAGCATCAATGAGGCACGGACTATGATATTGGAGTATTCTTAAATGGTAGATTTGAATCTCTTTAAGTGACCATTAAGGAATGTAATATAAATTAGTGAAAGTGATTCATTGTCTGGGAATGGAATAGAAATAGTCCAGAAATGACGCTAATAACGAGGATTAACAAAGAAAGAACCAGCTGAAGGATTCATAGCAGCAAGTACTTATGTATTAATGATATCCTTAAGAGCAAGCTTACTAACATCATAGAAGTGGCCATAATCAGCTAATTAACGAAGAAGTGCAATAGCAGTTTGAGTATCATAGGCATCAAGTTAAGGCATATTCAAGTCATCAATGAAGTAAATTAATTGGACTTTACCTGGGGGACCATATTGACGACCAGCTTTCTTTTCTAAAGTTTGTTCAATTTAACCCTAAAGATAAGTTGAATCTGTGTAATAGTTGAAATTGATTAACTAATAAGCATAGTTTTCAGGCTTTGCTTGCACAATTTCTTTGAGAATACCCTTAGCAAGTTGAGTCTTACCACAACCAGAGTTACCTATAAGAAGAGAAGGGTGTTTTACCATCAAGTAAGACTTAATAAATTCTGTAGTAGCAAGAGTTTCGATAGTGTTAACTGTTATATTACCCATAGTTTCGACTTAAGGATCAAATTCCTTATTTTCTAATCTCTTACTCCATTCAACGAATTTAGAAGAATCTCCAGATTAGTCAACATAGTAATCGAAAATAGTACCTTTACTTGGGAATTTTACTGCAGTTTTCCATGCACCTTTCCACCAAGTAGAGAAATCTTTACGATAATCAATAGAATCCTTTTCAGCAAGAGCACCACCAATAGCCCAAATAAGAGCATATACAAAAAGATATTCAAGATTTTTAACATCTCCTTTAAGTAAAGTTTGAAGAGACTTACAAATTGAAATGACTTAGGAGATAGGTGAGACTGGAACTAAGAATCTGCAGTGTTTTTTAATGTGGTCAAGAGTATCAGGAACATATTTGCCAAAAAGAGTATCAAGGTTCTTGGACATTTCCTAATCTTAGCTAAATTCTTACTTAATCCAAGATTTAACATATGAACGCCATTAGTATCCAACTTCATCAGAAATATAAAGAATACCAGCACGAGAGACAGTAGCAGGAGTGGCAAAACGTAAATCACGAATTTCGAAAAGAGCTCTCATGTGAGGCTTAAGAGGAATACGCTCGTTATTGGCAAGTGTCAAAATCTTATTGTCATCCATAACAGAGTTCATAGATTCGATCCAATTAGCATCAAGATCACCATCTAGGCAAATCCATTTAGGATTGGTATCAGGCTATTCAGCTAATGAACGTAACATTTTTGAGAATAAACCATCCTTCCATTCTTTTGAAGGTAAGTTATATCCATAAAAGTCCTTTGTTGAGACGACTTTAGGATCAATATCAATTAAAGTAGTCTTCTTGTTGGTCTTATCTTAAGCCTTAGCAAGAATCTTCCAAGTAGTAGATTTACCAGCTCCAGGAGGGCCCATAACGAAGACACAGTGACGAATAGCAAGTAATTCACTAAGCTAAACAACCTTCAATACAAATTCTGGATCAGGGTCAAGCTTATTTTCAATGCAAACATCTGTAATAATTTTTTCAAAATCAAGATCTTTCTTAGGCTTAATATTGATACCAGGGAAGAGATCACCTAAAAGGCCGTGGAAGACATACAAATCTTAGAAAGCAATTTTAGGAATATTGAAATCTCTTAAAGCTCTCATAAGCAAGGCTTATTCAGCAATTTCAGGTTCAGAACGTTTGAAACCACCAGCGACGACCAAGACAGACTTAATGGCACGGAGACCCCAATCATAGTGAAGTTATTTAGAGAGTAAATCACGGCAAAGCATATAAAGGGTAACGAATTTTTTGGCAAGAATTTTAGCTTCAATAAAACCTTCAGCCATAAGCATATTTTCGCAAATTAATTCCAAATCAGGAACAACGACAGTAATAGGACGGAAAAGTGCCTTCAAACCTTCAGGCAATTCTGCACGACCTAAATAACCAGGATTCATTGTAATGAAGACACCACAAGTGGGATCTAAAGAAATTTCATCACCTTCGATAATAAAACGTTCAACATTTTGCTTAATAGCATCAGTGACAGCCTTGAACTAAACAGAGCACACAGAAAGCACTTCTGGTAATAATCTATTGAATTCATCAAAACAACCCCAACATCCTGAAGAAGCGAGACCTTTATAAATATTACCCATAGATTCATAGTTCATTTCTGATGAACAATTGAATACATAACATGCCTTAGCAAGTGCATTAGCGAGATCTTTAGTAGTTTCTGTCTTACCAGTACCTGCAGGACCAGCAGGAGCGCAACCCATCTTTAAGTGAAGAGCCTAAGTGGCTGTGACATAAATACGATCTGTCAAAGGAGTAATAACCAAACGTGGACCATTACCAAGATATTCATAATTGTAAACAAAACGAGCATCAGCAATCTTAATCTTAGCATCATTATCAACCCAATAAAATTTAAGTTATGATTACCATTAAAATTCTTCAGCCTTACGGACATGCTCATTTATCAAACGATGAACGACATCACGAGAGTGGGTATCAATAGTGATTAAACACATAATCTTTTGACGAAGGGGCTTTGACAAGTCACCTTAGACCATACCAATAAGCTCAGTTAATTATTTGATAGATTCATCTAAAAATAGCTTCATTGCATTGATATCACCGCTCTAGAGCTTTAAGAAACAATCTTCAACAGCCTTTGACCATATGATGTTGTTGACCAATAAAGTAATTTATGAAGGATCTGACTTCAACCATTCCTTACGAGTCATGGATTAGAAATTCTTGAAAGAGGAGTTGGCAACTGACTTAAGAGTTCCAATCATGGTGTCAATAACATCCTTGAGATAGCTTTCTACCTTACCCTATAGTAAACGGGGTGATGAGAAATCAACTTCTTCAGTACCAACACAAGAAATCATCTTTAAAGCAGTTGGACGACCACCAGAGCTGTCTTCCTTTAATTACAAATTATCAATAGCTTAGAAGATTTTACTCATGTGACGATTAATCTTGGCAGGAGAATTACCATTAGATAAAATATCTAACAAGTCATTAACTGAAACGAAGTAGAAACGAGGGAAAGCACGACGCTTGCTATCCAAGAATTCATTTAAAGCCTTTTCGCAAACTTTCAATTGGGCTTGAATATTTTCTAATCTCTTAAGCATACCTTCAATTGTACAGAACTTTAAACAATTCTTGATATCACAACCCTTTTGCATAATTTCTTTCATATCTTTATCAATACCAACAAATTGAGCTGATTCATTAGGTAATTCACGCTTAACTTCTTCTGATTAGATGAATAGATTTTCTAAGAAAGACCATGTCTTTTAGACTTCAAGTAATAATTAAACAACATCATAAACGCTACCCAAATCATACTTCCATTTTTCAACTTCCTTTTCGAAGTAAGCTACATACTTACTTAAAAGCATATTGTTAATTTGTAATTGATGGTCTTCTAAAGTTTCAAAGTTTTCTTCGCTCATCTTCAAAGTGTGAATATCGGTGTTCTTATGTTGAACAAGTTCAAATTCAATATCTCTCCAGAAATCAATAATCTTCTTTAATGCTTTTTCCATTTTTAATTCTTGCTTAGCTTAATCAGTAATTTCTTCAATACCATCTTTATAATCGAACAATTTCAAATCCCAAATGATTTCAAGCATAAGTTCTTAGCTGACATCGAATTCCTTCTTAACTAAGTCCTTAAGCTTTTTCCAGTGACGGCCATCTTCTGAGTTCATAGAAGGATCTTTAAGTTCACCGAGAAGAGGTAAGAAAGTGGCCCACTTCTTAAGTTCTTCAGTTATTCCAATAAATGCATTAGATCTCTTATCGATACCACGCAAATCTGTAAGCGCTTTTCTGAGCTTTTTGATTTCATCTTCCATATCCATAGAGTTGATTGAGCCCCACTTCATTTTTTTATATTCATCCATGGTTTTTTCAGAAATTTCAATTCTGACCCACAACTTTTCAACAGAGCTGACATCAGTACGGATTTATTCCATCAATTTCTTGCTTCCGATAACTGCATCAGGGAATTCAAACATACGGGCGAAATCTTCATATTGGTTGAGTTGAACTTCGAATTCGTCAACCTTTTACTTAACTTCACCAATTCTCTTAAAAGACTCTGAAACTCCAGTCTTATAGATGAAGAAACTTTCTTTCTTTAAGCTGTTAGCATATTCTTTAAGGGTAATTTCTTCGAATTTCTTAATATTTTCCTTTGTTTTATCTGATTCAGTTTTAACTGGATTTTGGATATCTTTTTTGACTGCTTGAGCCATTTTAGCAAGATTTTTCCATTCTTCTTGTAATTTCTTACATTTTTTGATATCAGAATCCTTACCAAAATCTTTTTTCTTTAGGAAATTGAGCATTTCTTCAACTGTATCAAGAGTAAGGACATCATCGTCATTCTTTACACGAACTTTTTCCAAATTAATCATAACGTTGATAAGCTCAGAAACATTTTCTCTAATATTCTTATTTCTGATTTCAATATTTTCTTTGGTGTTTTCAATAAATTCTTAGATGTCTTTGAGTTACTTAGAGATATAATTCATGACAGCAGAACCAGTCAAGTCATTATTGTTAGGCTTAGATCCTTTGACGAATCCACATCTGAAAGGATTACCTCTGATAGAATGAAGTTCATTATTCTCATCCTTGAATTTAATATCAATTTCTAAAACAGCTTCCTCTTCACTCTTTATTTAAAAATATTTTTTATTAGTTAATTAAAATAAAAAAATTGATTTTATTATTTACAGTAAATTGTATGAAGTAAGAACCATCATCATTATCAACTATATTGAAGGGAACAAGAGATGGATCTACAGCTTCACCTTGCTCTTCTTCAGCAGCTTTTTCTGCAGCAGCTTTTTCAGCAGCAGCCTTTTCAGCTTCTTTCTTTTTTTTATTTTCTTCTTCATCTTCACCTTCTTCTTCTTCATCTTCCTTGATAGTGTTTTTAGTATTTGCCTTATCACCTTCTTTAACTTCTTCTTCCTTTTTAATTTTAGCAGGATTGCGAATAGTAACAACAAATTCATCAGAGCCAGATTCACGATTTTAATCATTCTTATTACGAGCCTAGATGACAATAGTTGTTTGAACACCAATTAAGTTCTCTGTAAGAAGACCAGGACCATAAGCAATAGTTTTGTCAGCCTTTGTATTCAAATAATAAGTAAAAGCACTCTTTGTGATAGTATAATCACCCTTGTTCATGCAAACAGTTACTTCTACAGATCTTGGATAGTCGAAGGTAGGAGTTTCACAAGAAATTTCTTTCTCATTAACAAAAGTACCATTAACTTCCTTTTCTAACTTACCGCCTGAAAATTTAACTGAAATATTTTAAGTATCCTTAAAGCCATCACCTTCAATAAGAACTTTAGTTTTACCAGTGAGTGGTCCTAAAGCTGGCTTAATACTGAAAATAGCATAAGGAGGACCAGTAATTGTTGAAACATTCAAAGCCCATAAGTCATTCAACCAGTTGTTGGCCCAACCACCGAAAACTATAGCTCTAGATTCTCCAGAATCATAGAAAATAGAAGCACTTTCTCTTGGTCTTGGTTTGCAGACAGCCTATTAAGTTAAAAAGAATAAATTTAGCATAAACCAATATTTAAAATAGATTTCTTACTTTTGAAGTTTCATCAGCTTCCAAATTAATGGAACTCCAGCTGAGAGTGTCTATATCTAAAACAAAAGAGTCATCAACAAAACGAGAATTAGTTCTATTACCACCTTCTTCAAATGAACCAACGCTACCACCGAAGATAAAATACTTCCATGAAGGAATGGAGGGAGCCATGATACCTGAAAGATTCCATTTAGGAATTTCATGAGCAATTTCGGGATCAACCCATTCATCTTTTTCAATATCATAAATCATAATATTTGAATATTATGAAGTAAAACTCCAACCACCGAAAATCATTAACTAAGGCTTGTTAGCCATCATAGCAGCAGAGTGACCACCTCTTGGATCAGGAGGATTACCCTTAGGTTCAAGTCTAGTCCATTCAAAGTTTTCAGTTTCTAGAACATATAAGTCATTAAAAGCAAGTCTTTAATAATTAATACCACCATGTCCACCAAAAATATAAACCTTTCCTTCAAAGAAAGTTGCACTATGACCATATCTAGGCTAAGGTGCACCAATTTTTGATTCAGCATTTTTTGGTTCTCCTCCGCTAATTTAGTTAGCAGGCTTACTCCATTAATATGAAGCTTTTTTAATAAATATTATTTTTTAATAAACATTAAAAATAAATATTTATTAGAGAAAATTGAAAATTTGTTTAATTCAAATTAAAAAAAATTTTAAAGCCATTTTTAACATTCGTTGCTAATCAATAAATATTAATTCAAATTAATAATAAATTATTCAGCTTTAATTAAAATTGGAGGTTTTATTTTTATTGTTATAATTAAATTAGATTCGTTTTGAAACAATTATTGGAATCTTAAAATTTTCATTCATTATTGAATGAAAACACTTTAAGATATCAATTAAATTCAACAAGAAAAAGAAAAAACAATATTTATTTGTTTATTCCTCATTTTTTTAAAATTGCAAATTTCCAACTAAAACTCAAATAAAATGTCAAACCGATTTAAATTAATCAAAAAAATTACTTGTCTTGAGGATGTATGTGTCATTAAAACGCAAATTAGAAGTGTAACTACCACCAAAAACTAACATTTTATCAGCCGAAATAGCGCAAGATGCATGATAACATCTGGGCAAAGGTACATCACCTTAGCATGCAATTTAACGCCATTCGCAGTTATTTTAAGTTAACTTCAAGGTAAATACTTAGTTATTGGGAGCTATTTTACCGTCCTTGTAGTTATTCTTGTCATTGTCTAAACCACCGAACATGATATGAGTCTTACCTACAGTTATGATGGTATGACCAGATCTAGCGGTTGGCTATGTTGTACCAGTTTATTTTAATTATGTCCAAACGAGAGGCTAAGGCTATAACAAATATAAAAAAAATTAATTTTCTCTTTTAATAGCTTTCAGTTAAAGTTACCATTTTTTCTTCTTATCACTTAGCTTATGATTTCCTTTACTTTTCTTTTCCTTTCGCGCGATTAGACTATTTAAAATGTTTACTTCGTCTTTCTTTGATTATGAAAAGAAAAAAATATATATTGTATTTTTATTTAATATTTAATTTTATTGAAGGTCTATTTATTTTTATTAAACAAGCAAAACAAAACCTTCCACTTTTTAAAAGATTTAAATTTTTCATCACAGTTTTCTAAAAGCAATTAATTAATATCTAAGACAACAAATATATTTCTTCTATTTTTTACAAATTAAATTTTCATTCATTTTTATTTGCACTTTTCTTCCTCCTATCCACATTACCAATTTTCATTTTTCATGCAAATAGGAGATATTAATAAATAATTATATACAATTTTCAGAAGTTTTATTTTTATATATTTAAATATTTTTTAATTTAATAAGTATACAATTTTATTAATGCAATAATAAACGATTATTAAATTTACATAAAACTATTATTATTATCCTCTATATGTTATATAGAAAAAAATATAATTAGAATTTATCATATTATTATTTAATTAATTATAAAATTAAAAAATTAATATTTTTACCTTACTCATATCACTAAATTCCTCATATTCTTTTGGCTCTAAATCAAAGTTTAATTTTTATAATAAGTTGAATAGAGAAAATTAGTACTTAATAAATATTGCTTCTTTTTCTGATCTAAAAATAACTTAAACAAATAATTTAACATTTATTACTATAATTTTTTTATTTCAAATTATTTTCTTGAATAAATAATAAATATGTACAAATTTTATAAATTAATAAGGATTAAATAATTTCATTTAAATAATCTTAAGTTTCTAATATATATTTTGTATTTTTTAAAAGTTTTGGATTTAAGATTAAAATGTCTGATCAAGAACTATTTGCTTTATAAAAATTTAAAAATAAAATCGTGAATTAATTAATGATTAATGAATTATGATCACAAATTCTTTCAATTAATTTTTCACTCTTTTATTCTACTTCATGTAAAAGCATTAAGATACTTAATATATTATATATATATATCTTAAAATAATTATCAAACTTAATTTTTTTAATATTTTGGAAAATAATTTAATATTTGAGGAAAAAGAGAAAACTATTTTAACTTTCAAATACTTATTTTCGGTTTAAAAACTAATTCAAAAATTATTATTACATGATTTTAATTAAAATAATTAATTTTGGTTGTCCATTTTTACTCATTATTAAAATTAGTAAATTCATTTGATTTTTAGGTTGTTGTTTTCAAAAAGCTTATAATTAACTTTAGTTTAATAAATTAAGATAATTATTTGTCTATTTATTTATCTATTGTTTTGTTTATTTAAAATAATTTTTTTTGTAAATATCTAATTTTATGTAATAGTTAATCAAAATAAAAACACATTAACAAAAAATAAATTTATCATCTTTTAAATTGTAAAATAATATTTAAAAAATACTAGAACTATTTGTGAAATTTATTTTGAATAAAAGTGCTTATCTATATTTGTATAATCAATCATAGGAATTAATTATAAGTTATAAGACTTAATATTAATTTTAATAAATTGTAATTACGAATTGTAATTTGTATATTTAATACTGTTTAAAGCAAAAAATGGATTAATTGCACTCATACAAATATAATAAAGACTACAATGGAATATAATAATTTCGCAGGAGTTTGCTAATGAAAAATTTAGAACTACAATAAAGTCCATATAGAGCTAAGAAATCTAATAACTTTGAAAGGCAATAATCTTCAATTTAATTGCAAACTTTAAGCAACTTGGATTAATTAAAAGATGTAAGTAACGGTTTTATAAACAATCCACAGTTTAATAATGGAGAAGTAGAAGAAAAAACTTAATAGATTTAGAGCTAGTAAAATCAAAATATCTCAAAGCAAATTCATTAAAAGCGCTTTTTACCTTTTATTTAGGAAAGAGATAGTATAGGAAGACTCATTTCAAAGGTTTTAATTTATTTATTAATGAAAAGGATTGATTTCTATTATTTGTTTAATCTAAAATGATTCAATTTAAATAAAAAATAATTTATTATTAGAGCATAATGTTAGGTCCAGGAGATGGAAGCTAGTCAGAAAAACTAAGACATGAATCTTATAAATATCTATTAAAAAAATCAATAAATGAAAATATAAGTAAAAGTCCCAAGCAAAAAGGAAACAAGTAATAAATGGGACTTCTAGTAAATTAACTATTTTAAAAAAAAAATATATCTATTTCTTAACCTTAAAGTTCAAATAATCTTCAAGATTAGTCTCCTATAAATTTTTAAAAAGGATTTACAATAAATTAGGATAAAATAAAAGGATATTGCAATGTGATAGATAAAGTATCTCCTTTGTCTAAATAAATAGCAACTAAAAGAGGTTCTTTATAAAATGGTAATACTATAGATATTAGCTAAATAGCAAGCAAATAATCTATAAGTAGTCAACCAAATACTCACAAAAGACATTCGAGTGAGTTAAATCTTGCTTCTATGATTTTTAGAAATTTAAGTATCAATAATAATTCTTAACAGAAGTACCTTTCACATTTGTAATATAATTATTAATAGTAGAACTATGAAAGGAAACATTAAAAATAATAATTAGAAAACGACTTTTCTGCAATTGAAATTACATAAATATAAGATAAAAGTTAAGCTGATTAAAAATCATTAACCCCTATGAATAATTCAAGTATATTGAGTGAACTTAAAAACCATTTTAAAGATAAAAAAAATAATAATTAAATTTGTTAATCTCTAGACCGATAAGATAAATCGTAATAAAATACATCTAAATCATTATTAAAATTGTAAAACTCAGATAATGGTTAGTCTGTTATAAATCTAAGCAAATATAAATTTATTAAAGTTGACCCTAAAATACATATGAAAAAATAGATAACACAATAAAAGGCTAAATAACAAATTAATATGCACTCTAATTACTTCTTTAATGGAAATAAGCAACCTTTACATAATAACCATAGCTAATCAAATAAAATGAATCAATTTTAAAAGGAAAATGAAGAAAATTTTACAGAACTTTTTAAAGGGGTAAAAGTTTCATAGCAATATATAGACAGATTTGTAAAAAATGAACTGTCTTATTTTGAAAACATTTAAAAAAATGATGAGGAAAAAATAGCAAACTTTGAGTAAGAAAGTGTAACGAAATTTGTTAGTGGTATTAATATTCTTAAAAATAGAGCTAGAAAATTAAAAAAGAATATTAATCAGATGTCAGAAAACGCTATGAATAATTTAAATGAAATTGATTCATAATACAATTATAAATATAGTATACCAATTCAGTTTTGAATTTTCATTTTTATCAGTTGTTATCAGCCATTAATTTGGTAATTTTTTATTTTTTTGTCAAAAATGTAATACCTATTAATTTATTTATTAAGTAAACTAAATTATTTGAGTGGCTGAAAATTGAATATTTATTAATTCTTCAGCTGAAATTAAAAAGTTAATAAAAATTTCTTTCTAATTATTGATCTTTATTTTAACTTAATAATAATATAAATTTTGATGTGAATTTCACTTTACAAAGTAACTACACAAAAAATAACGTATCAACTTATATGATTTTTTTGTAGCTATTTTTACTAAATTTCAAAATTCACATCAGTACCATATCATGATACAAACCCCTAAAACGGCTAATAGAGCTCCATAAATGTATCTCATTTTTAATTATTCTCCTTTGAAATAGGTAAAAACAATGCCAAAAATTGGAGTGGTTGATATGATAGTTTAGGATATTTCTGGTTTTGTAAACATCAAAGATACCTATTGAGACCAAATACCCAGAATAGGTCCTATCAAAATACCTAAAAAGAATATTTTATTATCTTAGTATGATAAAAATGGCCAATGAAATTTCTCATTGCTTTTGAGTAAAATAATTAGAGCAACGCATAGAAGACCAGCTAATAGTCTTAATAATGCACTCTATAAAGGATTTAATGAACCTGAGTGAGCAGCATCATGAGATAGAACCATGCTTAAACCCCAGCAAAAGGTATAACCAACTCCATTCAACAATCCTACAAATTCTTTTTGCATATTATAGAAAGGAGAAATAAGAAAATCTTTTAAACTGCTTAGAATTCCTCTTAATTTGCTTTAATATTTTACTTTAGGCTCTTCATCGTTAGTTGTTTATTAGCTTAGTGAAATTAATGGTAATTCATTCATGTTTTATTCCTAAATTATTAATTCTGTTTGAAATTACTCTGCTTAATTATTCTCTTCATTTTTAAAAACTAAGTAAACACCTGACATTGTAATAACTATTCCAATCCATCCTCCAATAGAAAGGGTTTTTCCATAATATACCCATGAAATAAAACCTGTAAAGGGAGGTGCCATAGTTTCCAATAGAATAGTCTTTCTTGCACCAATACACCCTAAAGTTTTAAAGTAAAAAATATCACCTAAACCAATTCCACTAATCCCAGATATTATTAGCTTCAAGTAAACGTAAAATTCGTCTTACGGTAAAATGGAGTCACAAAAGTTAAAAACAACTATGTAAGTAAAAGCTGCAGAGACTAACATTCTCAAAAAGTTTAATATTACAGGAGAAGTAGTTTTAGCAATATCTGATAGAATAGTTGCGGATGCTGCATAGCTTATAGCTGAATATAAAGCAGTCAGCTCACCTGTTAGTACCATAATATTCTATTTAAGATTTATATTTCACTTACTTTTATTGCTTATTTTTAAAAGATATCAACCAATTATTGAAGAAAGATTTAAAATTTAATCAACTTTTAAAAAAATACATCAATAGAGTCTAATTATTTTCAATTAAGTATACTTAATTTTACTTTTATTTAAATCGGAATTGAAAAAAAATAATATTTCATTTATATTGCTTTCATGTAATTTAGTGATCAAGTTCTGTTTTTTAACATTGATTACAGCTGTAAGTAAATGAACTTAGATACTTAGATTTTTAAATGCATTTATTTAGAAAAAAAAACAATTAAATTATGTAAAAAGGATTCCAAATTAATCTACTATTTATTTAAATATTAGATTCATGGCTAATATAGACATGCAAGTATTGTAAAATTTCACATATAAAAGCACTTATTTGTAATTTCTAAAAAATTTTTAATAAAGATAAGGAGTTTTTATTTTAAGTATTTAAATATTAAAATATAATTCATAAACTGTTTTTTAAGGTATTTAAATTATAGTATATTATGATTATTATTTGATTTTCTGGCTTAAATTAAATAAATCCCTTATTAATTTTAAAAATTAGGAATAGTTGGGTATATGATACTTTAGTCTTTATGGTATTATTAAAAAGTTATTTTATATTTTAATAATTCTTACTCTAGTTCTTCACTCAAATAACAAGATATTTTATTGCATAATAAACTTTTTTGTTTAAAATAGTTAAGTAGTCTATCATTTTTTTAATTTAGATATATTTTAATAATTATACTTAAAAAAGTAAAAATATATATTATTTTTTTGTTAAATTGGTTTATCTTAAATTTTTTATTTAATTTAAAAAAGAATATTAAATAAATTGTTAAATCAAATAAAATATTTAATTTTTAAATGATTATATTACTAATTAAACTTACATAAAATTATGACAGTTTTATGCTTAAAAAAGTAAAATCATTATCTATTTTTCTGTTAAAAATTAATTTTAATATTAGAAATTAAATTTTAAATCAAAGCATAACGTTTAATTTTAAAATAATATAACTATAAATTACCAAAGAAAAACAATATAAAATCCTTAAGATATAAAATAAAATTTTAAACTAAAATTATCAAATATCTCATATATATGTTATAGCAGAGGCATAGCTCACTGAACTGTCATCTTCATCAACTACTTAACTTGATTAAGCATATTAAACAAATTTTGTCTTTAAAGTTTTAGAAAGAGCACTCTATTCAATTATCTAATAAAGTTAAAAAATAAATGAGTGAGTAATAGCATTTTTGAAAATTTGGTTATACATGCAATAATATTCCAATTCCTCGCCTTCCACATATAGTATTTGAGGTCTCATTTAGATATTAAGCAAATTTTCTTTTTTATTTTTATAAATAAAATATTTTTCTAGCTAAATTAAATCTAAAATACTTAGAACTGTGAGATTCAATTGAATCCATTCCTTCCTTATCTAATTTTTATATGGATTGATATATTTTTCCTGCTTGAGGGTCATGATATTAATAGTTGAACCTGTTAAATATATTTATTTCTAAGCACTAAATTTGTTTATTTCAATTAATCATACCTTTCTCCCCAATGACAAAAGTCGCTTGAGATTATAAATAAAGTCTTTTCATCATCAAAGTATTTACTTAATATACCTCCATATTTCTGTTCTAAATCATAAGATGTTTATCCGACCATAATAGGTACTATTGTGAATGGTTTACTATAAAAATTCTTAAAAAAATGAAACAAATCTTAATGAAATACTCTCCCATAATTTTTTTGATGTAAGGCAAGTGCATTTCTAAACTATGTTCCGCTTCTTCTGTTTATTTATCTGTTTGTACAAAAGAGCCTGTCTTTATCAGTTCCTAAATTACTTAAAAAAATAATAATAACAATAATAATATTGCCAAAATTAAAACTTACCATCTGTATCAACTTATATCTATCCAAATGGAGTATCTAAACTATTGCATGAAGACAATCCACATCCTTAAAATCTTTATCTATGCGATGGTCCAAGAAGAAAAATTCTTTAACTATAAATATTATGTTTTTATTTAATTTTATAAATTTTATTCAATATTTACTGTTCTTAAGGATTTATGTACTTATAAGACCATGCTTGAGTTGGTCCACTATACCTATATCCTGCATGGCTTTAATTTAATAATAATAATTTTAGTTTAATATGATAATCCATTTATATTATATTTATACGGTCCTATCATAGCTTTGATCTTTTAGATTGGAGAGATTTACAGTTAAGCATTTTATAAATAATTATTTAATTCTTAATTCAACTTAGCTTCTATTAAAACATAATGAGTAATGAAAACATAATAAATTGAATTATTTACGATTTCCCTCATACCATGATCCTGCAAATGCAGCTTTCCTTGTTTATTATTTAGAGTTCATCTTTTTTCCAAATTAAAATAATGTTATAATAGTATTATTTATGTATTCGGAAGTATTTAATTTTTTAATTAAGTTAATTTGTTTTTTTTAATGTAAATATATAAATATATAATTAGATATCAGAAATGTAAAAAGTGTTTTCTTAAAAAATTTTTGATCAAATATATAAGTTTTAGAAAAAAATATCTATATAGTTTATTCATTTATCTAAAAGACATTAATTGTTGATTGAAATTGAAATAGTAAAATAATTTATTTTAACATAATAAATAAAGAATTTTCAAAACCAAATAATGATAGCTACTCCTAATACAGCTATAAAAGATCCAATATAGTATTCTAATTTCATTTCTTCTCCTTTATATTTACTAATAAATAAACCAAATACTGGGGTTGTTGCAAGAAGTGTTTATACTACTTCAGGACGAGTGTATATTAGCGAAAATTGCTAAGACCAAATTCCTATAATTGGACCTATCAAGATACTAATAAAAAAAATTCGATTATCTTATTAAGATTTAATAGGCCAAATTATATTTTAGCCTTTTATTTTCACTATAATAACGATGCATAAAATTCCTGCTGCTAATCTTATAAATGTGCTGTTAATAGAGTCAAAATATCCTGAAATCATAGCATCATGTGAGAGAACCATGCCTAATGCTTAACAAAAATTAGCAGCTATTCCAAAACTTAAACCCATATATAATTTAGAGTTTATAGATTATTCTTTAATTTATTAGCAATTATTATTGCTTTAAATTTATTAAAAATTATTTAACTCCATTTCATTTTTAACTTAATCTTCTAAATATTACTAATTTTATTATAATATTGGTAAATCTAATTTATTTTATCCCTTTTTTTAACTGTATTCTGCATTTACAACTATGTATATTCCATATATAGTTAAGGATACTCCAATCCATCCTATTAAAGAAAGAGTTGAGTCAAGATAAAAATATGATATTAAACCTGTAAACGGAGGAGCAAGAGTTTCTAATAAAATAGCTTTTCTTGCCCCTAAGTAGTATAAAGTGTAAAGATACAAGGCATCTGCAAGTGTAACTCCTGAAATACCAGAAATAATTAAATATCCATATAATTTAAGATCTGCATCAGGAAAAACATTTTAGCTGAATATTAGCATAACTAAAAATGATAGAATCATTGAGATGGTATTTCTAATTAAACATACTAACATAGGAGACGATTTGGTGACTATTGAAGAAACTAAATGTGATTATATTGAATAGCTCATAGCTGCTACTAAGCCTGCTACCTCTCCTAAAACCATTAATTTTATTTGTATTTTAAAAGTCAATTTTCTTATTTATTATTCAAAACATAAATGAGATATTTCAAAACTAACTAAGATATAATGCTAAGTAAAATTAATTTTAGGATTTCAAATTGGCGATTCTTGAAAAAATTAATTTGATAGTTAAAACTTAAATTTCTAAAGCTGTTTATTTATTTATTTATCTATCTACTATTTTTAAAAATATTTTAGAAAATCAATTAAATTAAATTTGTTGAAAATAAAAAATCTTTTGTTTAAAAAAATTAAATTTAGAGTAGAAATAATTAAAGTAATTTTAATTGATTATATTTTTAAATAAAAATTTATTTAAAATTAATTTTAAAGAGGAACAATATTTAAGGTATGATTTTATTTTCTTAAAAAATAATTTTTAATTAGGTAAATCAATTTATGAATTAGATTTGTATTAGAGTTATTTATCTTTTTTTTTCATAATAAATTAGCTTATTAAAATAAAATTTGGTTAAATGATATAAATATAAAATTGAGATTAACTCAACTTCTAATAAAAAATATAAAAGAAATTAATTAAGATTTTTAAATAAGATTAGGCCGATTTTATAAATTATTTGAAAAAGTATTTTTTAATTCAGGATGATCGATTTATTTATTTATACTTCTAGTATCTTATCTTAGATTTAATTTGATTTTTCAGCACCAGACAATAACTCCTACTCCAATAAAAGCAATAATAGAACCGAAATACTATTTATTAGAAATGTTTTCTCCTCTAAATTTGCCATATAAAAGACCAAAGATAGTAGATGTTGCTAAAAGTGTCTATGATATTTCAGGACGAGTGTAAACAAGTGATAACTACTAGAAGTAAATACAAATCAAAGTACTTATTAAAACTACTGCTAACAATGATGAAGTTTCTGAAACAGAAAGCTTTGGAATAGTGAAAGTTTCTTTTTTCCAAAATTTAAGCATAGGTATTAGCATAAAAACTGCTGCAAGTAATCTAATAAATGTAGCTAATAAAGTATCAAACTCTCCATATTAAAGGGCAGCAGAAGATAAAACCATACCCAAGCTCTAGCAAAACATAGCTGCCATAGCATTAAGAACTCCTTGATTGAAAATAAACTATTTAACTTCTTCTACAAGCTTTTTCACTTGCATAGTAAGATTTTATTACTAATTTGTCTAATTATTAGGTTTTTATTATAATAAAGGTACATTCTTAGAATGAAAACTTTCTAATTCATTTGGTAGAGATGAAGTTGAGTTAGTCTCATCTTTTTGTTCATTGATTACAATATATAAACCATAAATAATAGCAGCTATTCCAATCCACCCAAATATGCTTATAGTTGTACCAAAATAAATAAATGCAATAAGTCCAGTAAAAGGAGGAGCCAGAGTCTCCATCAAAAGTGTTTTTCTTGCTCCAAGAGACTATAAAGCATTTAAATAGAATGTATCACCTATTGCAATTCCGCAAAGACCAGATATTGCAAGATATGCATATGGGTTAAAAGACTCCGCAGGTAACTCAATTTGAAGCAAAAATAAAAGCAATAGGATGACAATAGAGGTTACGAAGCATTTAATAAAATTGAACATCATTGGGGAAAATACTTCCATTTTTGAAGCAAAAGCAAAGTTACAAGCTGCCCATATTCCAGCACATAACAATGCGTAGAACTCTCCTAATAACTGCATTTTTAAATATTTATTTGATATATTATTGTTTGGTTATTTAATCAATTAATATTTTACAATTTTTATTATGATTTCTAAAAAATTTTGATATAATTTGTAATTAATTATTTAATCCTTTAGAAAAGTTAAATCTAAATGAGTGGATATTCATGGTAATTTTCGCGAATTAGGTTTTATTTTTTTGATAGAAATATGCAAATGGATTATCATTTTTTCTAAATTTAATAATCCTTTAAATTATAAAGATAAAAAGTATGTAAGATAGATAGATTAATTACACTTTTTATTTTATATTTATGAATGTATTTTCCTGAATGTGATAGTTAGTTAATAAATATACTGGCTAAATAGATACATAATTTATAAAAATAAATACAATAAAATATTACAATTTTATTTAAATAGTTTGTAATCAAACAAATGGAAAGTTATTAATTTAAAATTTATAAATAATTTTACTTATTTCTTTTGACTCGATTTTGTAAATGATTGATTAATATCATATTAATTATTAAGTTGAAATGTTTTTTATTTTTTTGTTAGTAAATATTTTTGGAAGAGACAATATATCTCTTTTCTTTTTATCATACATATAAGTGATAATAGATACTATGACTAAACAAATTAATGTAGAGAAAAGAAAAAAAAGAAGATGATTGAAGTGTTAGTCATTTTCACCTAGGGCAAACCCTCCTATTAATGAGTAAGTAAATGTTCCTTTATAATTTTAACAAATATAATTAGATTATTAAATAAATAAATTTATTTATTTATTTATTATTTACCTGCATTTTTAGCTGCATAAGATATTCCAAACGCTGTACCAAGATAATTAGGATCAACTATTAGAGGTATACTAGGGAAAATATATGCATTTCCAATACTTATAGCTGTTCCAAATAAAACTAAAAATATGTAAACTATTGGCTTCATATCTTCATTTCTAGAAGGAGCAACAAGTACAAGTAAAAAAGAAAATACACACATTACACTAAGTATGATCATAACTTGAGCTCTATTTCCATATTTATCTGAAATAAACCCAAACAAGGGTGAACTCATTCCAACAAAAAATAAAATTGATAAAGAAGAACTAGCTTCTGTCTACTCAAATTGAAACTTGTTTATAAGCACAGATTATCCATAATTTTAAAAGGAGTAAAAACTTCCCCATATCATAAAAATCTATAAGCAAATTAACCAAAACAAGCCATCAAATTACTTGATGTCTTTTAATTAAAATTAGTGTTTTTTAGATATAATAACTATATTTTCTTCAATTAAACAAGGGCAATCATACTATTCAGATTTTTTATCCATAATAATAATAAGTACTGTTGCTAAAAGACTTAATACGACAAATCCAAAACCAACCATAAGAGGAAGGAGCAAACTATTGTTTTTTTCATAAAGGTATGGATATCCTATACCCGATAAACTGCTTGAAAGCTTTATCATAAAAGAACAAATAGCAAGAGCTAGAGCAAGATTAGAAGATTTAAACCATTTTGAAACAATTGTGCCTAATTTTTAACAGAAAAATTAGTCTTATATAAATTAATAACAAAGTAAATTAAATTTATGTTTTAAATAAATTTTATTTGTAAATATCAATTGAAGTATTATTGGTGGGTGAAACAAAGTTGCTTTCATAAATTAAAGGATAAGTATCATTTAACGATTATTTTTTTTTGAAAGCTAATATTTAACAAAATACTTCAAAAATTAGGAAACAAATAATAAATTATTCCTTTATCTGATTTTAATTTTTAGTATTTCTGATAAGAGATTGAGAATTGAGAAGTAAATTTTATATCATTTTAATAGGTAGGTAATAAAAAATTACACATTTTATGCTTTTATTGTATAAACATTAAAATATGAATGCGATTAATAATTAAACCATACTTTAGCATAGATGAGTGTTTTCTGTACCTACTTAGTGTAATATTTTTCCTATAAGAATTAATGCAAAGCTCTTAGGAATTATAGAAATAACTATAAAAAAGAACCCTAAAAACATTACAAAACAGCAAATAAATGTTCCTCTCCTAATACCAATAATATCAACTAGAGGCCCTATTAATATAGGAACAATTATATTTGGAAAATGAGGCACTGTAACTATTGTAGAATATTAATTATTAGTAAAATTCATTGACTCTAGAAATTAATTCTTTATAAATCCCTAAAAGAGACAATTATAATACCCGCCTATCATAATAAGAGAAGCTGCAATTAAAAAATAATTTTTATATTATTAAATAAAACTATTTTTTGGAGTATTATCAACTGATAAAAGAGAATCAGTTGATTATTATATTTCTGTATTATAATCCGATTAGCTTTCAACTTAAAGGTTTATTGTATCTTATACTTTTTTGTAATTCATCTTGTACTTATAATTCTCTTTGTATAACCAATCTTTAATCAAATACTATTTCTAAAATTAAAATTTTTGATAATTAATAATTTAATTAATTTATATATTACTGATATTTACTTTTTATCTAATTATTTTTTTGACATATATATAATTTAAAACTATTTTACTATTTCTTAAAATCTTATTAGTTTATTTTTAAATATAATTTTGAATAAACTATTCTAGTAAAAAATTCTCATACTGCAACTATTCTAAGAAATATTTAATTTTTAAAGTTTTTAAAAATTCTAATTTATTTACCTAAAAAGTGTAAAATTAGCTTAAAATCATAAAAATTATATTTTAATTAAAGGATTAGCAATAATTAATAAAACTTTCAGTATAAATTATTTCTATATTAATATTTTTAACAAAAGTAGTTATTTATTTTAAGTATCAAATATCATTTGTTAATGTAGTTTTTAAAGAGTAAATTATTGTTCACTAATATTTCTTTATAAAGGTATTTTTTTGAAGTTCTTTTCATAATTTTAATTAAATTAAAAAGCTTTTTAACTTCTTTAAAATTAAGATAAGAATTCAAGAATTGATTGAATACAAAGAAGATTAATTAATCAAAATATATTTTATTTAAAAACTTAAATTTAATTATTAACTTTTTTATTCCAGCTAACAAAATTTTAATATATGAATATTTAACAATATAAATGAATAAATTAACATAAAATTTACCACATTAATTTTCATATATTTGCATTAAATTATATGTATATTTAATTTCTATTTATTTAGCTTAAAATAATTAAAAAAAAACATAATTAGTAAGCAATTTTAATAATAAAAACGTTAAAATTTTAATCATTTTTAATAAAATATAAATAGTTAATATGATAACTTAAATATTATAAAAAATAAACTAAATATAAATTTAATAAATATAAGTATTTCTATTTAAATTTTTTATACTATTATTATCTTGAACATCTATATGTCGTAAAATATCGTTTTTGTTTTTTGGATTGGTTTAAGAATTTATTTTTGAAGATTAAGTTTTAATATTTAAAATAGATGCTTAACTAAATACCTAATTTTCCTGAAATAAATTTCAATAATAATTGTAAAGCAAAACAAAAATGGGAAGATAATAAGGTATTCAAATTATCTTATATCAAAGGAAAATGCTTTTAAAGATGGCATATTAAAAAGACACAACTTTTGTAAATAATTAATCTAAATAATAATTTAAATTAATTTTTACTTTTTAATTAATGTATTTGAAAATGAGTAAGCAAAAAATCAGATGAAAGAAAAAATATTAATTTTAAATAGAGTAAGTAAATATTGTATATGAGCAAATTTACATAATTTGATGTAAAAATGATTAAAGATTTAAGAAGAGGAAATATTAAAAGATTAAATCAGTAATTAAATATTTAAATAGCTAAGCAAATAAGATTTAGAAAAATTAAATATCTTGTAAGATAAATATATAAGAAAACAACTATTGATAATGTGAATTTCTAATAACTTATTTGTGAGTTAGTTAGTTAATTAGTAATATCTAAATATAAAAAGTTAAAGATTTATCAAAATTATAAAATTTTCTTCTCCTAATTTTAATATGTGAAAGAGCTAGTTATTTAGTATCTTTTAATTTATTTATACTTGAATTTTCTTATTGATTGAATAATTGTATATTTTTTTAAGATTACTAACTAATTTTTAAAGAGTGTAAAATTGAAATTTAAATAAGAAGGACTAAAAACATTTTCATTTATGAAACTAAAATAAATTTGTTATGTTAATAAAATTTGTTTATACAAAAGAAAATAGTACACAGAAAAATGTAAGTTTACAACAATAACTTAACTTGGAATCATAAAGAACTTCTATAAAATGGATAGGCTACTACACTTGCTGCTATTAGACTAGCAATTGATAGGCAAATTATTTTTTTATTTGAGTTCTTCTGTAATTCTTAAGGTGTTTAGTAAGTGAATTATTAGACCCGAGATTGCTAATGAATTCTCCTTGAAATTAAATTAATAATCCAACCTAAATTATAGTTTTATTCAAAAACAAGATTATAGTGCTCACTTAATTTAATCAATTTTGATATTTAATTTAGATCAGGCGCATCTGGTCCTCCTATATAACTTTTTTAAATTAAAGATAAAATATAGACCATAAAATGAAATGTAAGTCCCCATAACACGTTATCCATACCAATTTCTATTGAACAAAATTCTCCATATTTAAAGTTAAGTGAAGCTGTTTTTGCCTAGCCTCTCATAAATTTGGGTAATAGATTTACATTAAAAGAGCCTTAAAACTTGTAAATCTATATGGATGACTATTTTATATTAAAGAAGAGATCCATATTGATCCACTTTACATCTCTAACTTCACTTTCTTATTTGATAAATTCTATTTTTAAGTAGAAGAGTAAAACACATATAAACAAAAAATAGTTATTTTAAAGTAAAAATTTGTTTTAAAATGTAGAATTTACGAGTTTCTTTTTCCAAAGATGTATACAAGAAGATATTAAGGCTAGTGTATAAATTTTCCCCACTTCTCGCCTTTCTCGCATAGAAATTTTTTGGCAGTTTTCCTAAATAAAGGCTATTTCTATTTAATTACATCCCTATTTCTTCTTATACTTCTCTAACAGCTGATTAAAAATCTGTTTCTTATTCATCTACATGACCACCAGGTAAAGCAAGCTATCCGCTATGTATGTCTTTAGGGTCTATTTACCTTTGGATTATCACACACTAAAATTGAACTGTGTTATGCTTATCAAGGATTTATTCTAACTCTTAGTAAGATAATAAATTGCTCTAAGGATTAGAAAATTCGAAAGGTTTAATTTTATTTTAAAGGATAGTGTTTAACTCTGCGAATTTCTGATAGCTGGGGGATACACGAAGGACTAGAGCAACGCTTGACTACTTGACCTTTCCTGGAATGTTAAAATAATTTTTAAACTTATGGATCAATTATATTTCGCGGACTAAAGTCAGCAAGCATCCTTTTTCCATTTAATAAGATATTAGGAGTATTTAAATAAGAGAAGCAATAAAATAGCAAAAATAGATGCAGGAAATGATCTTTTTGTTTTTCTTGAATTCAAATGTTTTGTAATTTTTCTTTTGCGTCAATTAGCAGTCAAGTTGGTATATATTTTTTAGAATCAAATAAGTAAACTTATTATTTAATATTTCGAAAATCTCGTTTTTGATTAATAATATAAGGAGGAATGGAAATGTATTTTACGGTAGATTTTTAATAATTAAAAAAAGATCAAAAAGTTTTTAGGAAGTACAAAAAAAAAGAAAAAATAATAATATTATAAGAAAAGCATTTAATTAGGCATGAATATGGATATTGAAGATGACTTTATTGATTATCCAAAAAACTAATTAACTTTCAATATGAATTCAAATATATAGAATGGTGTATCCAATCATGACTATCATTATCATAGCATGTATTTAAATTAGAATGTTTAGAGCTAATAAGCTAGTTATAATGGACACTATTTAGGCTAGAATGTTAATTATTATGACAACGAAAATAACAATATGATAAATCCATAGTATGAAGAAAGCAATTTAATTTAACACTAGGGCGATAGCTTATATTATTAGCATCTCAATGATTATCCACAGCATATGAACTCCAATTAAAAGGAGAAGCCGCTTCAGGCTATGAGTATCCATGAACCTAATGATAGCAAGTTTAATTCTGATAAAACTATTGATTCTTAAAATTAGACTAGTAGTCCCAATAATGAAGAAAATACAAGTAAAAATGAAAAGGTAGCAAAGAAGAAGAAAAAGAAGAAATTGCGCACTCAAGTGTTAGATGTAAGCCCAAAACCTAGTCTGTATGAATACCAAGCATACCTCCTAAAGGGTAATGTACTTCTTGAATTAAATAGAAATGAAGATTCTAGAGACTATTTGCCTATCGGATTTAAGACAAATCCTTATAATGCCTGGAAACCAATACAAAGGGTTGTGGTCCATCATAATTATAATTGCATAGAAATATAAGTAGCAAATGTAATTAAGCCGTAAGAGGATTTCTCTTTCATTATTGATGTCTTAAAAAGTTATGGAGATAGTAAATATAAAGATTTATCTTTAAGTTTATCAAAATACTAAAGTATAATTAAGTAAACAAAGCTTTTAGAGTAGTAATTTGCCTCAATGTCTTTAAATCCACAAGAAATACCAAAATAAAATACTAATTAAAAACTACCTGATAAAAGTAAATAAATTGTCAATTAAGAGGAATATGAAAGGGCTTTCTTCAAATAGTTTTATGAACGTGCAATGGAGGTATTGGGATCTATGAATAAGAAAGGCGAGAATATCTTCTTCGCCTTTACAATGGGGAAATTTGATAAATTTGGTTTTTATGAAGATATGTTTAACTTTGGAGTAAATAAAAATTTTTTATTGCTGCTAGGTAGTGAAATGGACTCGATGTCCAACGCTTTCCTTAGAAATGGATGGCTCGAAATATTTGACTATTAAACAAGAATTAGTAATGCTTTTTAGTTTATAAATTTGATAAACGACTAATATGAAAAAGAAATGCAATAGTAATAAAGTTAAAGTGCTAATTTTCCAAATAGCAAATAACAATATCCTACCCAGCAATAAGCGTAATAGTAATCTAACACCATGAAAGAGACTGTATCTGAAACAGTAGATATTGTAATAAACACATTTGATTAAATAAAAGTTCCTGCTAAAATGAAAATCCATGATATAAAAATTAAAGATTTTGCCCTCAGAATTAATTTATTCGATATAAGTCCTAATATGCTGTAATAAGTACATGCTATCAGACAAAAATACATAAATGAAAAAAAATCTGTCAATTACATATAAATGTTTGATGAGAATTTTATTTATACCACAGAATCATAAAACTTCTTGTAGAAATTCTATCCCAATCATAGATCCATTTAATAAAATAAAAATAAAAATGATCCTTTTGAAGTTCTATAATCCTAAGAAGTTAGATAGTAAATAGAAGAACTTCGCTGTGGATATAGATTTTTATAATGATATGAGGAGTGAGTGAAATATTTACTAAAACTTAGGAATCTTGCAAATTTTAATTAAACTTAATTAAATCTTACTTAATTTCAAAAATAAACTTTATTAATAAATGAACGTTCTCATTTTATCTATTAAAGACACTTTATTAACTAAAAAAAATAAAAAATATCAAGTTAAAATGAATGAGAATATGTAACTCTAGTAAAATCACTAATCAAAAAACCAATTCTATCTAATTTTACACTACATTTTTATTTAGAACTAATTATATAGCTCTTTCTAATTATAGTTTATATCATTTATATATCAAAATACTGTTCAAAGTTATTAATGTCTTCTCTCTGTTTGCCTTTTCACAATTTACTATCTATACCTGATAAATAAATCTTCACTAAAAATCTCAAAAAAACTCTTTCAACTTAAATTTATTTTATTTTCTATTTAAAAATCCAGTTTATTTGATAAAAAAAATACTTTTTGTTTGATGAAAGTTTTTTTCTTAAATTCATAAAGATTCTGCTCTCTTAAACAATACTTAAATGTAAAAAGCAATTATTATCTTCTCCCTGCTTAACTTTTTAAACTTTAAAATTTACTAAATTCATGAATTACTAACTAAAACCTTAAAAAAAATCTTTCACCTTTATTTTTTAATTTCATTTTTCACTATTTTTAAAAAAATCAGTTAATTTTATAAAAATAATATAATTTGTTTTAATAGTAAAATTTTAAAATGAATAATAAATTTATTCACTTATACAATATTTAAATATAAAAACTTCCTCTACACTTATTTATTATAATTTATTATATTCTTTATGCATAAATTTTAAACTAAAATCATTAAAAAAAAATTATAAAATTGAATTTATTTTATTTTAATTTCACGTTATTTTCTCACAGTCAAATTTTATAATTCAAAATAGATTTTTTTTCATATGAATAATAGACAATATTAAATGTAGAGAATTAAAAAGAATAATTTATATTAGTTGTTTAATCAATTAATATATTAATAATATATTTTATTTTTTTTTAAAAAGATATTCTTGATTGATTTTCTAACATTTCATATAAATTTTATAAAAGAATTATCAAAAATTTTATTAATTAATTTGAAAATATTTGATTATAATAAATAAATTTAATTTATGAATTAAAATATTTTTAATAAATACTCTTATTACTCTGACTATTCAAGCCTAATCCCAATCCTAAGATTTTCGAGATTTGCTATCATTATACTATACATCTTTAAGATATATAAATTTCAAAGCAATAAGAGAATTTTTAAGTAAAATCAAGCTCAGCATGAGTCTTTATCAAAATCCTCACCAGAGCTTTTTGTAACTTTAAGATTGAGCAGTTCTTCTGCACATGTTGGATGTATACCAACACTACTATCTAATTGATGCTTAAATAGATTCATTTTAAATGCTACAGCATAGCCTTACATTACTTCACCTGCATTAGGGCCAAAATAATGCATACCTAGAATTCTATTATTATCAAATTTATCACAAATCAATTTACAATAACTTTTTCTTTTGATGATATTGCCCTGGTCATCATAAGAAAAAGTAAGTTATTCTTCTAAAGGAGTGAATCTAGAGTGATAAATTTCTACCCTATCTTTACCATATTGCTGAAGAGCTTATTCTTCATTTAACCCTACAAAGCTGTATTCTTAAGGTGTAAACAGAGTAGTAGGAATACAATTATAATCCATTTTATGTCTGTTGTAATATTTCATATTATCATTCATTTTTAAACCAAATATTCTATGTGCTAAAAGCTTTCCAGACATTTAAGCAATAGGATTGAGTTCAGGTACTCCTTTAATAAAAATGCATAAAATAAATATATTAAATTTTTAATTTAATAAATACCATGTAGCACATCACCTACAGAAAATATATTATCCACAGAAGTTCTCTCACTATCTTCATTATAACCTCCAATAATCTAGCGTTAAATTATATTTAAATTAAATAATTAAAAAGGATTCTATAAATCATCACTAATTAAGACCTAGTTTAGTATTTATATAATCAAAAATCAGAGTTCTTTCAAAAAAAATTTTTATAAAAATAGGTAGAAATTAATTTAATTTTTGAGATTTTGGAGGTTATTATTTGTAAAATTATAAAATAAAGAAAAACCATATTTTTGCATTTTCAATTAAATTTTAGTCTATATATAAAAATTGAATTCAGTTCGTCCCTCCCTCTACCCTTTAAATGTAATAATGTGTTTTTTTATTGTTTTCATTATTTTATTTTAAATTTTATTATTAAACAAACTAGGTCTTAATTTTGATAAGTCTGTCTAGAGTAAATAAATTATTTAAACTAAAAATATTTTAGAAAACAAATAAAACAAAATACTTTTTTTGTCTCAGAATGGACTTAAACTCCTATTTGATCTAAATTTAATAATGAAACATTTGGCTATCTTCCAACAGCTTGCAATACAGTTTAGAATTTATCACATTATTCGTCATTATTTTTGATACTCTTGTAGCATACAACATAATCTTTATCATCTTTTTCAATTTTATAAGGAACTGAATGCTATATGAATCGTACACCATTAAATTATTTCATGTCCTCAACTATCATCTAAGCAATATCTTGATCGAATTCACGAAGATATTAACCTCTTGCCATTAACGTTGTATTCATCCCTAAATTACTCAAAAATCCTGCACTTTCAAAAGCTATATACCCACTACCTAAAACTAGAGTTTTTCCAGGAGGGTTTTTTAAAGAAAAAATGTCATCACTCGTTATAGAATATTTTTCACTGTTTTCACATTCTTTAATATATTTTGGTCTTCCCCCAACTGCTATGACTATGTAATCTGCCTTAATTTGCTAGCTAATTAATTTAGAAAAATCTCTTCTTTAAATAGCATCATATAAATCATATTTATTAGTTGTATAGTATATAGTATTTTTATCGCCTAAAGTAGCTAAGGCATTCACATAAGGGATACTCCTATTAATGAGTTGAGCTTCGAATCCCAAGTTCAAATCAGAGATATAATTTTGTACATTAGAAACAAGTTGTCTCCATCTAAAATTTAAGAGTTGCTTGTTTTTAGGCTCATTATTATGATCTAGATCAATTTAAAATTGCTACCTATCTCCACCAAATCCGAAATCTGCTGATTTTAATAAGCTATCCTTAATAATAGATGCAGTATGGAATAACTTTTTCGGTATGCATCCAACATTTACACAAGTCCCACCTAAACCCCATTTATTACCTCTATTAATTATTTAAAAATCGATTGAATATAACGAAACAAATAGTGTCTTAAACTAAAGAAAAAACATTTGGGTACCTGAATGTAGGTTCTACAAAATTAAATAAAATTGTTTTCATTCCCAATTTATGAGCTTCTAAAGCAAAAGACAAACCTGCAGATCCACCACCAATTATGGCAACATCATATTTTTGATGCAAAATATCATTTTTTTCTTGGGATAAATACTAAATTTTATTTTCATCCTGCTTTTCATCTTCATCTTGCTAATCTGAAAAGGGTGGTAATTCAATTTCATCAAACTAAGAATTTTATGAACCTTAGTTATCATTCTTTTGATAATTTTCTTCATTTTTAAATTCAAAATTGTTTGCAGACTGCTGTGATGTAGAATTATTATCTTAATTTTAAAAATTAAAATAATTCTGATGTTAATTCTACTACTAGTTAGATGAAAAGTAGTATCTTAACCCAGAATTTATTCTCTTTAACTTACAAAACATAAAGTGTATAGATATATATATTTATGCTTTATATAGATTGTAAAATTAGAACAAAAATCTTTTCTAGAAGTTATAGGTATAAAATAATCATTTACATAGAAAATTTTAAATTAATTTAAGGATTCGGATAAATAAAAAGTAAGCTAGCTAATAGTCATTGTAAATAGAGCTATGTATATTTACTATTTTTAAATTTCTTAATTCAAATAAATTGTTATCAGTATTTTTTAAATTACAATTTTATGAAAGCTTTCTAATTTCAAATTTATGGATAAAAAACTACGCAAGAAACATAATTACATTAAATTTCATTTTCAAAACCCTTTACCTTTTATATAAAAATATAGAATTTTATAAATAAACAAAAACAATTATTAATACTTGTCGAATACTAAAAAATAGCTTAGAATAATTTAAAATTTAAGAAAAACTTAAAAAGCGAATTAAGCTTTTTTTTTATTATTTTAAAAAATGCTCAGATGAAAATAATTTTGTAAATTTTTATTCTTATATTCTTAAGGTTATGATACAATTATATTTACTTATGTATTTAAATTAATTAGGGAAACCTCACCTTACAAACTCTTTATTTAATTATTTTTGACTAATACAATTTTAAATGAATTAAAAGGCCAATACCACACTACTGAAGAGATTTTAAATAAAATAAGAAATAATTTCTAACTTAAAATAGGTCTATTGTGTATTTAAGTAATTTAGCCAAGATTTTTAATTTTATATACAAGAAAATTTGAGGTAATAATCTTATTTAGATATAAGGTACTGAATTTACACAATTTATGGAAAAAAATATAAATTAAATATAATGCTTGTGTATTTTAGTTTACAATTTATTCATCCTCTATTCTTGATCATTTATTAAATACTGTAATCTTGTTAAAAACCAAATATTAAATATTTGGTTAATTAAACATAAGAATTCGAGTAACATGAAATATTTATTTTCTTTAGCTTTTAAAAACTAATAAATGCAACATCTTTAACTTTAAAAACTTATTAAACCCAACTAAATATGCTAGATTAATCTTAACTAATTTTACAATCTCATACTTAGTGCATTTTAGAGAAACAATTGTCAAAATTTTAATTTTTTCTTCATAGTTTTATAAAAGAAATAAAATCCTAAAATCAATAACTAAAATATAAATACTATATTACATCAGAGATAACTAGCATGTAATTTCGTATAAATGTAGTCTTTTAATTTGTAATTTCTTAGAATCATTTATTTTACATTTAACTTTCTTTTATTTTATTTATTTATTTTTAAGTAAATTTATCAAATTATTATTTTATTTTTATCCTTTTTATACTAAAAAAGAGATTATTATATCATATGTTAATAAATGGTTAGAAGAAATGACACGCTTATTTTACAGCTAGCAAGTATCAAATATTAATAACAAGATTAATTAATTTTCAATTAAATACTATCAAAAAATGTAAGCAGTTTGTTTTTAAAAATAATGCACACATTTATTTTTGTTTTTTTCATTTTTAAAAATGGTAAAAATTTAATTTAATTTACAAATCAGGAAAACTTAGAAGCAGGTGAAAAAATGTAATTTGTAAATAGAGTCTGAAAAATTCCTAGTTGTACAAAATAAATGAATAAACTAAATTAATTAGTTAATAATCATAAATCATATCGATCAAATGAATAAAATAGATAGATTAAATTTCTGAAAGAAAGAAAATACCTATATTAATATCTAGATTTAATCTATGGCCATGAATTATAGGCATTTAATTATTATTTGTTCGATTAATATCTCTCGTGAGTAAAGTAATCAAATATTGACCTTTGAAACATTATTTTCAACAAAGATTTATACTCATAATTTATTTAATAATTAAAGTACGCTAGAAGAGAGAATAAGTAAGAGTTAATTAATAGAAACATTTATTTTCAATTAATTAATAATTTGACAAAGCATACAAGAAAAGCAAAATGTCAGCTTTTAAATAAATGACTATTCAAAAATAAAATTCGTAGAAACCTTTAGAGTCAGCAAAATAAAGAAATTAAGAAATAAAAGAGTGCGTATATAATTCTTAAGAAATCCTAAATAATTAACAATCTGATTGTTAGTAGATTCAGCTTAAATGTAGAGTTCATACCATGAAGTTAATAAAATATGTTTGCCTTGATTAAAATTGCGATCATTAAAGATTTATGTGCCCAGAATGTGAAAACACAGATCATTTTGTGCGCCATCGTAATAAATGCATTTTGATATCTGAGTTAAGTGATAAGGCAGATACAAAACTCAGCATGCAAAATTGGCCTTAAGATTCTTACCTACGTATTTTTTAAGATTACCTCAAAGGATAAAATAATGAGTATGAAAATGTTATAGTAGAAATGTGTAACAGATTGCTTAAATTTATGAAAGATAAAATTGAAGAATTAGCCTAGGTAATGGTAAATTTATGCGATGAACAATAAAAAAGAAATCAAGAAAAAAATCGTAAATTATTGTATAGCTTTGTAGATGAATGCAATAATTTAGACTCGATTCGTGAAATAGTATATCAAGTGAATACTGAATAGAATGAAAATAACTTTAAATATTTGTAAATATCAGCTGAGAAGTAAATAACATAAATTGTTAATCAAATTTTAATCCACCACACACAATATAAATAGTAATTAAATTAGTAGTTTGGTTTCGGATATTTCGAAAGCAAGAACGCAAATAAATCTCTTTTAGATTTCAATCTAATTTAATAAGAATTTGACTAAGTTAAAGAGTATGTTGAGTAAATGAGTATTTTTATTGAAAAAAATGCAACAAATAGCAAACAGATAGTTTCCCCACGCTCTTCTATACAAAACTTAAATGGATCTTCTGATATTTCTAATCTAAGTACAGATAATGATTCTATTTCATCAGTTCCAAGTGCAAACCCATACAGTTTTTCTCTTTCTACCATTGAAAGTGAATTAGATAAAATCAGTTTCCGCTTAGATGATAAATCAGCGACTGTAAAAAAGGTTAACAGACCAACCTTCTTTTTTAGTAACATAATACCTTAACAGTCATACTTTTAATTAAGAATTACTGGATTATTAAATTGCGGTACATACATAGGTCTGGTAGATGAAGGTTAGAAGAATGTAAAAGTCAACCCATAGATATAATAAAATCACTTTGTTGGAATTTGTCTTGCTTGCTAAGGTGAGCACTATGGAAATTGTAAAACAAATGGTACAGGCTTCAATTTTAATGCTAAAGACGAAGAAGAAGATATAAATTATTACTATTAAGATGAAAATTAGTTATAAAAGGATAACGAACCTTAAGTGAAAACAATAATTTTAAACATATTTATAAACCTAACCAAAAAGGTCATTTCTTTTTCTGATATTTCAAATGAATAGTACTTAAAATTTGACTTAGACAATAAAAACTATTTTTATAATAGGGATATTCGTTTATTTGTTTAAACTCAAGAATAGATAAAATTTGAAGTACTTTAATATAACTAAGCATGACTCTGTATTAAAAAAAGAAAATAGAGTCTATGATAATAACTCAACACATAATCAAATAAGCCGCTAATAACATCAATAATAGAAATAACAAATATAAATAAAAAAATAATGAGTAATAAAGATGAATAAATTGCAACTATAGGATGCTTTTATTTAATTAGATCATATTCAGATATTCTTATACAAAAATTGCATCATATTCATTCAAAAATCAATCAAAGAACTTATTTTAATTAATATACTTTCAATTTTAATAAATAAAAATTAAATAAATTTCATATTTATTGTAAATTCAAGCTAAAACTGTATAAATTACTAACTATTACTGCTTACCAAAGAATGTAAGAAAAACTCTATTATACTATTTACTTACTTTCGATTGATTTTTTAGAGATAATATAAATATAAATTAATTAATTTATTGATTAAATTTATTCCAAAATTTATTTCATCAAATTAAAAAATTCGCTAATTTGATTCAACCTCTTTATATCATATTCTTCGTAGTTTAAAAAAAAAATTACACTTTTTTGATATCTATTTACATTTTTTTGCAAATTCAAATGCATTCAGCTAAAAATAATTATTTTTAATGATGATATTTGATAGCAGATTATTTGAAATTTTAAAAAAATTAATTATTATTTTGCCACCTTAATTTTGAAAAGAGTTACACTTTGTAAATTACTATAATAAACAATATAATCAACTCTTTACCTTTTGTTATTTATTTTGTTCATTTTTAAATTACATTTCACAAATTTTTTTAGAAATATTAATAAAATGATTTATCGAGGTTCTATTGAAGTTTAAGTATCTTTAATCGCTAATAAAAACTGAAAGAAAAATCAAAATATTTTAATGGTAATCAACAACTGTAATATGATAATATACTGTCTATTATTAATTAAGATCACTCCTTTTTCATATATTTGAAATTGGTCTTAGATTCACTAAAAAAAGATGAAAAACATTGATTATTAATTAAAATATCAGTCCTTTTTGTATTTTTAGGGTATATCATTTATGTTCTAATTTTTTAGGAAATCGTACAATAACCTTTAAAAAAATATTGTATCTATTTTAAAATATATTTATTTTTGCTGATTAACTATTATTATAAAGAATTATTTTTAAATCACCTAACTTTTAGTACTAGATACTAATAACTTTCTATATGGATGCTTGCCCTTTTCTTCTAATTTTTATCTGAATTCATGAAATCAGTACCTAATTTAAGAGAATATACTATCAAATAATTTAAAAAATAAGATACAATGTTTTTATTAATGCTTAAAGTAAAGTAAAAATGTTATAAAATAATGCAATTAGCTTAACCAAAGAAAATAAAATAAAATTTTTGAAATAAATGATATTCATATATCTACTAGGACTATTGTTAATAGGTAGTTGAATATTTTATTAAATTTTTTATTTTACGCTTATTTAGAAATTTCTTATTAGTTAATTTTTATAACATGAAATACTTACATCATTTTCATATTTATATTATAAGAAGATTGACATAGTTATTAATTATTATACAATTTTAGTCACTTATCTGCTATTAAGATATATACTTTTATTTATTTCAAATAAAAACATTATTTTCATAAAAAATAAAAATTATAAAACACAAAGTAGAAAAAAAATAAATAGAATTTTTAAGATAAGTATTATAACAACCTGCTCTTCTTCCAAATAAAATGGCTACTATTAAAGATATCAAAGCTAGAGAAATACTAGATTCTAGAGGTAATCCTACTGTTGAAGTTGATTTGACAGTAGATAATGGTCAAGTTTTTAGAGCTGCTGTTCCTTCTGGTGCTTCAACAGGTATCTATGAAGCCTGTGAACTTAGAGACGGGGATAATCACAGATATTTAGGGAAAGGTGTTTTGAAGGCTGTAAACAATGTGAACACCATCATTAAACCTCATTTAATTGGTAAAAATGTTACTGAATAAGAATAATTAGATAAGTTAATGGTAGAATAGCTTGATGGAACTAAAAATGAATGGGGTTGGTGCAAAAGCAAATTAGGAGCAAATGCTATTTTAGCAGTTTCTATGGCTGTTGCCAGAGCTGCCGCAGCTCATAAGAACCTTCCTTTATACAAGTAAATATTTTTAAAATTCTATTTCAAATTATAAAAAGCCTCTTTACTTTATTTAAAAACCAAATCTTATCATCTTTGCATTAACATTTTTTATGGAAGATTTTAAAACTTTGCAGCAATAAATACTTAGGTTAAAAGCTTCATATAAACAAAAAAACATGAAATTATTTATTCCTAACTTAATATAAATAAAATTAAACTAGATACTTGTCTCATTTGAATGGATAAGACAACCTAACCCAATTCAATTTACCTCTTCCATTCTTCAATGTCATTAATGGTGGAAAGCATGCAGGAAACAAATTAGCTTTCTAAGAGTTTATGTTCACACCATGCGGTGCATCTAACTTTGCAGAAGGTCTAAGAATGGGTGCTGAGGTTTATCACAACTTAAAGAAAGTAATTGAAAAAAAGTACGGACAAACAGCTACTAATGTAGGTGATGAAGGAGGTTTTGCCCCAGATACTAGTAATCCAGATGAAGCATTAGAATTACTAGTTGAAGCTATCAAGAAGGCAGGTCATGAAGGAAAGATTAAAATATCTATGGATGTTGCAGCTTCTGAATTCTACGACGCTAAAACTAAGCTTTATGATTTAGATTTTAAGAATAGTAACTCAGATGGTAAGCATAAGTTAACTTCTGAATAGTTAGTTGAATACTTTGCCAATTTAGTTTCAAAATATCCAATTTTTTCAATTGAAGATCCTTTCGACTAGGATGACTGGGCTGCTTATGCTCAATTGACTGCTCGTATTGGTAATTAAGTCAAGATTGTTGGTGATGACTTACTTGTTACTAACCCTTTACGTGCAGAAAAAGCTATTTAAGAAAAAGCCTGTAATTATCTTCTACTTAAAGTCAATCAAATTGGAACAGTAACAGAAGCAATTTAAACATATCAAATTGTCTCTAAAGCCAACTTTGGAACTATGGTCTCACATAGATCAGGTGAAACTGAAGATACTTTCATAGCTGATTTAGTTGTAGGAATAGGTGCTGCTACAATTAAAACTGGTGCTCCCTGCAGATCTGAAAGATTAGCTAAATATAATTAGCTTATCAGAATTGAAGAAGAGCTTGGTCAAAATTCTACTTATGGAAAAAATCACTGAACTACGATTTATTTATTTATTAAAGGTTAATTTATGGAAAATAAAATAAATTATATCTATTGTATTTTTGTTTTTCATTTCATTTCTCTTGTTGCTTGAAGCCAAAAATATTGATTATCATTAAAAGAATTTTAATTCATCTAAATATAAACAAAAAAATGTTTGTTCATCTTTAATTCTAATTGTTTTTATAATTGTAAAACAAATTTTAATATAATAAACTTTAAGATATATATATAAAATTTGCATGAAAAATTTAAAGGATTCATAAATAGATGATTATCTTTATTAAAAAGTGATTGAGTAAAATAGAAGACTAAAATTATAAATATTATAAAACTAATAAATAAGATCAAATATTTATTTTTTAAATTTATTTATTTAATATCAAAATAAATTTAATTATTTTATTATCCCTATTCGCAAACATAAAATATCGATAATTAATTAATAAATTAATATTATTTAATGTCTTAGCTTACTATATTTAACAAAAATAAATAATATATTAATTTAGATAAAATTAATCTAAAAAATAAATAAAAAAAATTAGTAGTAAATATTTAATTTTATCCAAGTTTGTTTTAAGTTTTGATTTAATTAAAAAGAGTGTTTTCATATCTTTTATTCATGAAATGAAATTTGGTATAAAACATATTTTGAGAATTAATATATTGAATTTATTAATAAGTAATATATAAAAAGAAAGAAAATAAATTGTATTATATAAAATAGCACAATGTTAGAGTAATATAATAAATGTATGATAATAAATTTATGAAGTTTGAATAAGTTAATAAAGACTTGCACCAATTGATATTATAAGAATAAAATAAGTTATCATTAGATAGTGTACCTTTATATAATTTCTTCTATTTCTATTTTTGCTAATATGAAGCTATGGTCTATTAATTCTAGATTTGATTTAGATCTTAAAGGAATCATTCTATATCCAGGACGCATACAATCTACAGATATTGCATAAATGCCTAATTGGGTGTCTATACCAACATCACTGTCCATAACTCTAAAAACTATCATTGCAAGCTCAGGACATGCAAATCTAAATTCAAAAACATGAGAATTCCATATAGGATGAAATCCATTATCATAAACCACATCTGTCACACAGGGTTTGTTATTGTTCTCATCAAAATCAGTTCCTTTCACAAAAACTTAAACATAAGGATCAACAACATCAAAAGTATCTTGCTCATAATCTTCAGGTCTTAGCTACTGGCCGCTTATAATTTGGATGCGGACAACTTTTACTGTCTTTGTCATCAATGTAGGAATATAGTCTTTTTTCGAATGGTGAAGCATATAATTTGGCTTTAGTACATACCCAGAATGTATTCCACCATTTTCTTAAAACTTTGAAAGGTTGAAAACCATAGGCAAATCAGGAGTTTAAAAGTTAAGAGCTACAATCTAAGCTCCACTTAAGAAACCTTTAATAGGATCGTAATTTGATGAATCAACTCTCATTCCTCCTGGATACAATCTTATAAATGATTTTTTAAACATTTAAATTAGTACTCCAGGGCATTTTTTAATAAGCTTAAGATACTTAACTTCACTTATTGAACTTATATACCAGCATTGTCTATTAACATCTTTTAAATCCATTTTACACCCAAACATTGAAGTGATTTCCAGCAGTTCTTTGCAAATTTTGGATGGTTTTTGTTTTTTAGATTTTTTATTTTTTTTATCAGATTGCTCTTTAATGTTTGTATCAGAAATCTAATCAGGATTAGTATTCAAAATTTTTTTTTATGGTTGTTGAGCTATTTCACCGTTATTTTCTTTTTGTGCAAAACCATTCTTAATCTTTTCATTAAATATTTCTAATTATGACAAATTTATCAGTTTTTCTAAGGATTCTCCTTTTTGTTCAACGTTTGCTGGTATTTCACCAATAGATTATGTATCTCCATTAGTTTTTTGAACTTGATAAGTATGCTTTGAAATCAAGTTAGGTCTTTAAGTAAACTATTCTTTTGATGCCCTTAAGATGATATTAGAAGATTCAGAATAATTATCTTCATCTTTGTGCACATTATGATAGTCATCATTTCTCTCTTATTTTTCCCAAAGTACTTAAAAATTGGAGGGATGCTTCATATGATTGTTTTAATTTGTTTTTTGGTGGTCATTATTAATAAAACTTTATTCACGACTTTGGCAAGGAGACATTCCTTATCTTGACATTTTTTCATGTAATATTTGAGTTTACTCTTCTTTATTTTTTTGCATAAATATTGTCACTTTTTTGCCTTAAGTTTTTTAAGTTTTCTGATGTATCTCTGAATAATCAGGGATAATTTAATTATCAATTAATTAAATATCCGTTTTGCTCTATCCTTCTTCTTCGTCAGATTCGCTACTGTGACATTCATGTATTTCCTGTTAACTTATAACCTATTCTACTTTACCTTTACTTTTCACAATTATTTTCCCCTTCAACTCATTAGGTGACTTAAAGTAAATATTCTTTTCATAATCTTTAGGTACTGTAAAGAGTTTGTCTTTAAATATTGTTTTCAAGTAGTAAGCTATTTTTTTGCTCTGCTCTACTGAGCAGTGATTTTCAAAAGATAAAATAACTGGAAATGGGGAAGTCATGAAAGCATACTTCTCAATAGTTTATAATACATCTTTAAATAGAATTCTAGATGTCAGTGTATGTCCATGATAAACTAAAGGTTCATTATTTTCTCCATCCTTTAAATATTTAATTATGAAAAAATAATAGATTTAAAAATATCTCTTTCGGATTATAGAAACTTGTTAAGTTATTTAAATTAAATAATTAGCTTTTCAATTGATTTAATTAAAAGTAATGAGTACTATTATCTAATGTTGAAAATAAATAGATTTTTAAATCTAATAGCCAAAGAAAGCAGATTTGAAATAAAAAAATTCTTTTAAATTTTGTATATATCCTTCATTTACAGTTATAATAATATATTTTTTTTAATAAAATGTTTATAAAATAATGTTTACCCAACAATCTAATTCTACACAGCGACATCCTCTTAAAAATGCATTTATATATGCCTAGCATGAAGAATCACCTGTCAATTAATTTGCCATTAAGTAAGTATTATGAGAAGAATTGATAAAGTAATCTGACAAAGGTAAATTCATATTCTATTTATTTTTAATTATGTTAATATTAATGAATAAAACAAAAATATTTTTATTAATAAGAATTACTTAATGAACTTCTTAGTGTTTAATGTCCAAGACACTATTTTCTTAAGTAAATATCAAATTAGAGAACTGATAAAATGAAATCTTTAAATCTTTTGAAGTTTTTGCTGATTCAATTACATTTATTTGCACGTTATTTATATTTCTAAATAGTTCTAGTAATTCATGAATAGGCACATTTTATTTTTACTGTTCTTACAGAAAAAGCTAATACTCTTCTATAGTCATTAAACCTTCTTAATCTAAACTGACTTATTGGTTATAGCTTTAACAATATTATTTAAATATAGTTAAAAGTTCATCTTTTTTACTTATATCTCTAATAATATTTATAAACTCTCCTTGGTCTATTTAATTATTTTGATTATAATCATAAGTCTAAAACAGCTATTTCAGATACTTCTTGTTCACGCTTACATGAAGTTCTTAAAGTAATTTCTTTACTTCTTCTAAATCTAACTATTTATTACCATCTTTATCTGCACTAATAAATAAAATATTAGCTAGATGCTTTACTTAGTCTTATCTCTTTTCCCTTGATGTAAAATAATAGTTTAAGAATATTAATTTGGCAATTTTTTAGAAAAATATAAGATGTAAATTTGCTAGAAAAAATTATAATAAAAATTATCTTAATAGGTTCTTTTAACAGATCTGTTATTTAATGAGATTTAATTTAGAAATCAAAATCAAAATATTTTATTTACAAAAATTCATGGTGCTAAGCTTTGATTAAAAAATGTTGCAAACCACACTAGAATTAATCTCTTTCTTTCTCATTGAAAAACTAAATAACAAGCTCATAATTATGAGTTTAAATCCTTAAAAAATGTTGATCATTTTTATTTTTGACTTTGTAATGAATTTCACGGCTTATGTCTTTTATATCATTAAGATATATCCTAGATTTTGTGTAGTTTTTTTATGGTGATATCCACTAAAGAAACCTATAATCATCATCAAGTAAGAAAAATATTCTTGAATGCTTCTTTTATCCCTGCTTGAATAGCTTTTCGGCTTTTGTTCCATACACTAATCTATTAATTGAATCAAGTAAAATAGAGTCATCAAATTTTTCCAACTTGAAATTGACATCTTGTGTTTTTGTCATAAAATTTATCATACTTATTAGAAAAACCTAAATTATTTAACTCCTTATCTTTTATCAATTTAATTAATATACAAACAAAAAAACATAAATTTAATTAAAATATTGATAACCTTCACCAATCTTTAAATATAAATAAATATATTTACTGATACTTTTATAAATAATTGCTGATTGATTTAATTATTATGAAATCAAAAAATTTTTACTAATTTTAATTTTTTTATTTTGATAGATAAAGAATATTTTTGTGAAGTTGCTATTAAAATATAAAATATATTTGAAATAGCTTTATAAATAATTACAAAGACAAAGCAGTTCATTCTTAAATCCTAAAAAAATTCAAATACTTTAAAATTATTGATAAAATGAAGCTAAAATGTTTTATTTCTGTAAATATTAACATAAATTAAAATTTTACTGAAAGTTTTTGTGACAAAATAAACTCAAATTCACTTACTAGAAAGAAATCAAAAAACCTTGTAATATAAAAATTATTGCTTTTAATTGAATAAAAACCATAAATTATTTTGAATATCTTTTTTAAAGTATGAATTTTATTAAAAAAATTCATGATAAATATATCTTATTAATATAATATCGCAATAGCTTTCGAGAATGTGATAATTAATAATTTATTTAATATTGTTAAAAAGATTTGAAGTTTTTTTAATTAATTTATTATTATAAGTCATTTTCTGTTTTTTTTAGTGCATTAACTTTTTAGAAAAAAAATTATTTTTATTTTGAAAAAATGATCAAATAAGATAATCATTTTTATTAAAAATAACAAATTGACTTTTAAAATTATAATACGTAAGTAAAAAAAAAATTTCATCTATTTAACTTTAAATAGACATTACAATAATAGGATAGATAATTCAAATATATGTAAAAATATTAAATTAATTTTTTTTAATGAGCTAAAATCCTAAAATGGAAACATTAACTGATTAGACTTTTGTCAGAAAGTGCATTATAAAATTTATATAAGATCTTGAAAATAAATTCTCAATAAAAGTAATATTTGCTTGTGAAGGTGGGAGTCGTGGGTGGGGCACGCATACTGATGATTCTGATTATGATGTTAGAGGAATTTATATCTTAAGCGAAGATTAATATATGTCAGTAACAAAAAGTAAAGGTATAATAAGTGGTTTTTCATAAAAGATACCTGAGACTAATGTCTTATTTGACTATATTTTTATAGATTTTAGAAAATTCTTGAAAAGAAATATTATTAATGAAAAAAATCAGCTAAATTTTATACTTTAAAGCAAAACTTGGTATATAAATAAGTTCCCTGAAGACATTTTAAGTGAACTAAAAATTAAACTTCCAGTTCCATTAAGAGGTATTAAAGGACACTTAAATGATTTAACAAAATAAGTGAAAAATGCATAAAAAATTTCACCAAAATAGGCATTAAACTGTTTTATATATGGACTTTAGTTGATTCACATTTATGTTTTTGATAGTTTTCCTTTTTATAGTAGTTAAGATCAAATAGAATTTCTTTAAAATTAAATCTCTCAAAATAAAGATAATCTTAATATAGGACAGTAGCAGAATGTGCAATTAGAACGAATTTTTGAAGAATTTAAAATAGATTTGATTTTGGAAAAGTTTAAGTAATATTTAGAGCTGAAAAAACACAATTAATAATCGATACCTGAATAAGATAATTTAATCATATAAAATTTTAGTTAAGATGTTATGAATTATAAATATGACATAAAAATGTAATCTATAACATCTTCTTAACTTGATTAAATATTCAGAAAAATGGTAAGTTATAATGAACAATATGAAGAATGAAAATTTTTTGAAATAATTAACAAATGAAATCTAATTACAAAAAATAAATAGTAAGATATTAAATAATTTGTATTCTTATTTTGATACATTTTTTATTAGTGTCTATAATAAAATTCCAAATTTATTACTCAAAATAAGAAAATTTAAAATACTTTTTAATAAATAAATAAATTATTATGGAATATTTCTAAGGTTTTATGGATTAAAAAAAATAATTTCTATACTTATTTTGTTTTAGCTTTATTATTTGACGCCCAATCAATATTTTTCATATCAAATTTGAGCATTTTGTAAAAATATGTTAATTAGGATTAGTAACTATAAATTATTTAGTATAATATGGTTTATTTTATATGTAATTAACAATAATCTTTTAAATTTTTAATAGAGTGTCTAAGTAAACTTAAATAGACATTTAAATGCCTATTTCATTTAATTATAAAAAAAATAATACTTTGTCTAATAACTCATCCAAATAATCACTCATTCAAAGGAATTAAAGATTTATCAAAATATTAATTGCTTTTTCTTGATTAATATTAAATTTTACTAATCAAATTAATTAAAAATTTTCAACAAAAGTAGAAGGATTAAGTCAAAAAATATTTATAAAAACTCAAAGCTATTTAAGGGTGTACAACAAGCAATTTACTTTAGAATTTGTAATATTTATTAATAGAATATTGATAGTTTTACAGATGAGCTCATTTAAAAGACCTTTTGGTTTGCCAACTTATGGCTAAAGTGAAAGACCATCTTAGATTCCTACAATTTAATTATCCTCTCCTGCTTAAAGTACTTACAATGAATATAAAAATGTATCATAAAATTCTGAAAAATCTGAATAGTTAAAAGAAGATCCTTATTTTTTAGAAGAAGAAGAATATTTAGATATGATGGGAAAAATTATTAAGCGTGATTTTTATCCAGAAAGAATTAGCGAAGAAGAGAAACAATAAATTGAAATGGATTCTAAAATACAAAATTTATCATTAAATTAATTTATCACAAAATATAAAAGTGAGGATAATGAAACATTTAAGTAAATAATGGAAAAAGAAGAATAAAAATGGCGTGATAAATATTGGTGGATGTTTTTAGCTGAAAAAAAAGATAGAATAAATTAACTCGCTTTAGAAAATGGAGATAATTAAGAAAAAGACACGATTAAGAGAATGATTATGCCTTAAGTTGAAAATAAACTTGCAATTACAAGTGTTGAGTCATAAAACTCTATGTTTTTTACACCAAAATATATGTCTCCTGCAGTAATATAAAAGACTAATTTAGACATTAAAGAAAGAGAAGAGAAAATAAATTATGAAAATACAAGATTTAATTAAGAGAAAATTGAAGTTGAACAGGAATAAAATTTAAAAAAATTTATAACTAGAATGGTCTCTGACTTAGAAATGAAAAAACTCTCTACTCCTTATCTTCTTGGTATGGGCTATTATGATGATAAAAATTCAGAAAAAACTAAGCATTACAAATACGACTTAGAGGAGCTTATGCATGGAAGAAATAGCTCAGAAAATGAAAAAGAACCAAAGATTATAAATGGATATTAAATACAAACAATGCCATCACCAGCACCAAGTAAATACTTTAAATGATTGAGATTCTTTATATTCTAATTTCTTAATATTAGCTTTAATTTCTAATTTAATTTTTTAAAATTAAAAGATTAATTGGCCTCTCCTTTTATAACTTGGGGTGAAATAGAAGATACGCCTATAAAACTAAATGAAAGAGTCTCATTTCAAATAAAAGAAGTTTCCGATCGTGAAAAGATTGCAAATAATATGGCTAATAATATTTAAAAGACAAAAGCAATTTAAAAAAAATAAAACTAAGATATGTAATTAATTAAGGAATTGCTAACATGTATTTATCTTGTTTAATTAAATAGATTAAAAAGAGCTGTTAATTCAGGGACACCTTTAAAAGTGGCGACAGTACTCTCAAATTCACATGGAAATAGCTTAGTTAAATCTATCTTACAAAGTAAGTTATTTATTATTTCTTTTTGTAAAATGATAAAAATTATATTTTTACAACTTAATAGGAAAGTTCACAGGTACTTCGGGTTTAGGTTTAAATTCTTCTAAAACTCCCTAAGTTACTAAATTCAACAACCAAACACCTTTATCTAATAATTAAAACAAAAAATCTAACAGCTAAAAAACAAATACTACAAATTCTAATTAACAAAATTAAAAAATATAAATTTAAGAAGATACTCCTCTTTTAAAATTTTGAAAACAAACTATCATTTCATAACTAACAAATAAAACATCAAATCTTTTAATCTATTTTTATGTCAATAAATTATGTTTAATAATAACTATTATATTTTTTTTTTGGTAAAAATTACTTAATTCTATATTGTATATGCTAATCAAATTGTATTTATTAAATTTTAAAGGAAAATATTTAAAAAATCAAACATCCAACAAATTTTATAATTTATTTTTACATCAATTAGTTATGTTTAATTATAAATGTAATAAAGTATTTTTGTAAAAATAATATAGTTTTTTTCTTTAATCAATTTTTTACTAATTAAATTTTAAAACATAAGTGTTTTCAAATAAATTAAATGATTCTACTTTTTATTACTTAATTTAATAAAATTATTAATGTTTTAAAATAAATAATATGATTACTTTAACATCAGAATCAATTTTTACCTAGTCCAAATAAATTTTAATAAATAAAATTTGTTTAAATCTAATTTATGAATTTTATACTTATTTTTCTGTTTAATATAAACTAATAAAAAATATTTTATCAATTTAAACTTTCAATATGGTTTTGTTCTTTAAAAAAATATTTATTAAATCCATCATTTGATTAGGGGTTTAAAAAAAGCAAGTAGTAATAATATCCAATAGATAATTAAATTTTAAGAATAAAATCTTAGCGCAAATATTAAGTTTTCAAAGAAAAAAAACTAGGCTCGATATTCTTATATTTAAATATAGTGAAATATATATAACAAAAGATTTTTATTAGCAAAGATTAGTATTATAGATTTTTTAAATATTAAGTTGGATGGAATAGTAATAAAAAATTGAAGATTCTCAAGTTTAAGAAGAGATAGAGAACCATCCTACTGATAACTAGCATTAAGGTAAGTTAAAATTATAAATACTTATAAACATATTGTAAAATTTAAATATTTCTAACCATCTTTGTTTCATATATTTTTTTATTTTATCAACAAAAAAAAGAAAGCCTTATTTAAGAAAATAATAATTCGAACGCGGCTATAGAAATAAAAACAGATATCGAAATAGAAGAACAATAGAGATAAAAGTAAAATAATATATTTTAATAATATAATTAATGATTATTAATAGAATATTATAAATTTTTATTACAAAGATATAGATAATTATCTAATCTTTACTAATATATAATATGTGTTAATATGATAGCTCAAACTTAACTTATAGAAAATATAAATATTTTTTTAAATAAAAGTAATTAGCTAGTTGAAGAATCAGTTTAGAATGCAGTTTAAAGATATGATGAATAAAGTAGATAGAATATTTATTTATATTGCATTATTTTTATTAAAAAGTTTTATTTTGGCTTCATTTACAAATTTAGTTTAATTTTAGCAAATCTAGGTTTTTACAAATTAAGCCTGATGAAGGCTAGTGAATAATACAGCATAATAATAATTTAATTTTTTACCAAGTATGATAAGAGAGATTTTCATATTGCTCCTTCTAAATAATTTAGTTTTGTTAAACTAAAGAAAGAGTATAAAATCCATTTTTAATCTTGTTTGTTTAAGAGTAGTTATTTAATCTCTCAAATATTTTTTAGAAAATAAATATAATATCATTTTAATTGCTAAAAGTTTACTCAATGAATGATTTGCACTTACTTACTGAAAAATTTAAATAGATAAATATATTTTTTTTGAATTTAAATGAAATAAATATAAGCATAATATTTTAAAAATTTTTTGTTACTAAATCAATCACATTTCAAAGGAGAACTTATTTTATTAAATATTAGTGTAAATCGAAGATGATCAGAATTAGGATCAATAAAAATAAGAAGTGACAGATACAAAAAATAGTTAATATGCGGAAGAAGATAATAATGAGTAGAAAGCTAACGAAAATAATGAAGGTGATAACTCTGTGGAAAATAAAAATAATAATAATAAGCAAAAATCGAAAAGGAATAGCACCTTTTCAGTTATATAAGAGTCTAATATAATTCAAGGTGAGCGTTTAAGAACTAGAAATCCTTCTACAAGCTAAAGCTTATAACTTTAAAAGAACTCTTCAAGCTAGTAAAATACATCCAAGCCAGGAGGAGGTTCAGAACAAAAGTCTTAAAAGAAAAGCCAATAAAATAATAGTGAAGATTTAGATGCTTTGGAGTTACTTGAAATTAGAAAAAAATAGATCTCAAAAGAAGTAACAGGACCTTCAAACTCAGAAAACTATGTATATCTAAATAATTTATTCATATATTTTAAAAAATGTAATTAAATCAATTAATAGTTGAGCAAAACTCCAGATATTATATTGCAAATCGTTGATGATATCATTAAATATGATAAAATAGATTGTTTAAGATAGTAGTTCTGTGATTCAAAAATAGAAGAAATACCTAATTTAGCTAAATATGGTGAACGTAAAAAGAAGGAAGATTTTACTATCAAGGATCAAAATGGTAATCTCATAACAATATATTATCAAGACTAGATTAAACTAAAGAAGGAAGAAGAGGAAAAGAAACTTTAAGAATAAATGTTAGCAAAGCAAGCAGAGTAAGAAAAGATAAATAAGCAATAATAGATTTCAAATTAAACAAAGCAATTAGATTATGATTTAGATAAAGATAATAATATGAAATTAGATGAATTCTCAAAAGATTAATTTGCTAATTTAACTCCAAGCAAAGACATTTATTTCAATAATGACAGTAAAAGAACTCCTTAGAAATTATTAACAGAAGAAATAGTTTTAGATGATCATCATGGCATTTAAATGTAGGCTTAAACCAATGTAGGAACAGACTTTGTTATAGAAGATAACAATAATCATCATGACACTGCTTTAAATAACTTAATAAATGATGAGCTACTAAGATAGTTAGATGAAGAATATAATACTAACAAATAATAGCAAGCTTCAGTTGATTTTGCAAATATAAATTAATTTGATAGATAAATCGATGTCTAAAATATACAAGGAAATAATATCTAAAATTAACAAATTTAAGAGAATGTAAATAATTTAATACAAAAATAATTTTTAAATTAGAAAATAAATTTAAATTAAAAAATTAATTAATTATTTATTTATTTATTTTTTAGGGTTTTCTTGAACAAAATTAGTGTTTCAGCTAAAATTTGGGAAATATGGATGGATAGAATGAAATAAATGGCGAAAATGAAAAATAATTACCAGAATAATCAATGATTGGCTCATATTTAACAGAATTAAATGAAGATACGAAATATAATTTAGAGCATACTACTGTCACCAGTATTGACAGGATTAGGGATAGAGCTATTAATAATGTTTACTTTTCTTTTGAAGAAGTTGATTTAGATTTTAAAAAGCTATTTATTTACGCTCTTTACAAAAGGTGTGGATCTATTGAAAGTATTAATTACATTTGCAATATTATAGACAATTACAACTCTGTCATATAAAGGAGAGCAGCTAAATCTAAAACCATTCTAACGAAGATTGCAGATCTTCAAAAATTATTTAAATTAGATTTGGATAATAAATTTTAGGTAAAAACTTGGCCGTTTATTCCTACTAACCACAGAACATATGAATGCATAAAAGAATATTATCCAGAACCTCCTTCTAACAAAGAAAGTATTTATGAAACTCTCCGTTCAGAAAAAAAGCCAGTCGAGTGCTCTGAAAGCTGTGCATGTATGGATTTAAATTCTTTGGGAAATTTTTCTTTGGAATAAGGAACTTGGAATTCAGAGTAAAATTATATTATTTATTTTATATTTTTATATTTATTATTTTAATATTTTAATAGATGTCCTAATAGAAGAGATAGAATAGAGTGCACTCATCATGATTGTAAAAATAGTTAAGGATTTCATGGAAGATAAAAGGTATTAGGAGTAGATGTAAAAGAAACATTATGCTGGGGTATTGATTAATACACTAAAAAAAACATTTATTACATTCTTCCAGAAAATGAAAAAGAGGAAATCAAATTTAGATTTATTTAATGTTCTTTGATGAAGGCCGCTAACCTTTTAGAAAACGATGGATGGGAAATGAAAAAAGTTTGTGATTTTATAATTAGGAATAGTGAATCAAAAAAAAGCAGAATCAATCATGATGAATCTAAACCTAAAATAAAATACATCTTCTCAAACTCAGATAGGAAGTTTGCTAAGATTTTAAATAAAGCAATAGAATTAAAGATAGACCAAGAAGCTTTCAGAATACATCCAAAAGGCATGGGTGTAATTTGCATAAAGTATGAAATTCTATTTTGTATAAAATAATATGAATCATTTAAATATTTTTAAAAAAAATCTAAACAGCCGAAATGGAATTGATTAAAATGATCTTATTATAGAATATATTGGTGAGATTTATAGACCATATAGGTGGTTTGAAAGATAAGATTTCATTAAAAAATATATGAAAGACAATAACTAATAGGATGTTTTACCAGATTTTTACAATATTATGCTTGAATTACATAAAGATGAAGTTAAGGGCATCGACATTTTAGTATTTCCAAATTTTCAAAAATGTTTTTTTAATATTTTTCAATTAAAAAATTAGTATGTAGATCCTATGCAAAAAGGTAATTATTCTTCAAGACTTAGTCATTCTTGTGACCCTAATTGTGGAACAGTAGCAACCATATCAAAAGGATATTATAATATCTCTATGTTTGCTTTAAAATCTATTGAGTATGGTGAAGAATTAGCTTTTGATTATTCTGCTGTGACTGAAAGCAAGAACGAACACAAATAGTCAACTTGTCTTTGTGTAATTAATTCTTATATTATAAACTAATATTATTATTTTTACACATCAATTAATTATAAATTTTAGGGAACATAAAAATGTAGAGGGAAATATATTGAATTAAATAATAATAATTAAAAAGAATACAATTATATTCTTGATAAAATACACTGTTTTTTAAAAAGAAACTCAGATTTGTTAAGAAGTGGTAGTGAACCTTTAACAGAAGATGACATGAACTTACTAGAAAAATATAATTTGAAGTAAAATGTATAGAAAGGATGTGAAAAATGGCTTTTGAAATGGATTTCCATAATTTTAAAATCAGTTGGTGAAGAATAAGAGCTATTTTTCAGTGATCAACTTATATCAAATAGGTTTATTTAATAAAATGACAAAGATATTTCTCTAATTTAAAAAGCTATAGAAATAAAAGAAAAAGGAGGGTTTGAAGTAATAGAGGCTGAAGAAAATCTTTTAAAATAATAGGAATTATAACAAGATTAGAATTAAATATAAGAATAAAATTCAATTTAAAAATATGATCCCTCCAATGATAAATTAAATTAAGATTTATAAAAGTAACAATCAGAAAGTATTATTAAGGAAGAAGGAGACTTGAGTAATGTGTAAGAAGAGAAAATAGAAGAAGAAAAAAGTTAATTAAATGATTAAATTGAACAAAAAATTGAAGAAGAAATCTAAAATAATGATGATCAGATAGATAAGACAAAAGAATAAGTCAAATTACAAATAGATAATGAATTTGCTCAAAATAAAGATTCAAATATTTTGTAAAAAGAATCCTCGAAAATGGAACCTGAAGAAGGTGAAGAAAATAATGATGATGAAGAAGCAAGCTTAGAACTAAAAGACTCTGAAAGAAAACTAGATCAACCTAACAAAGAAGAAGGAGAAGATGTTAACGAAAACTCAGAAAATAAAACAGAAAATAACAAAGAAGAGGAAGGCTCAAATAATAAAATAAGTAGTGAAACAAGGATAAAGTCTCAGAGCGTTACTTCAAACAAGAAAAAATCCAACAACAAAAAATAAAAACCAAAAAAACAAGTAAAAGTAAGATACACCCAAGAAGAAATTGAGAAATTAGAAGAGAAGCAAAAGATAAAAGACCTTGTAGAGAAGAATACTATAGAATAGTTAAATGAGAAGCTAGTTCAAAAACAAAATGAAAAATAAAAGAATATTGCTTATCTTTAGTATTTAAGTAACGTTAAAGTAGAAAATAGAATTTAAAATATCATTATATCTCTAGACAAAGTCAAATTTTATTTAAACAATGTTAAAGATATAAGACCTCCTCTTTCTTACCTTTCCCAAAAAGAAATTTTCGAGAATTTATGGGGAAGAGTAAATAAATTCTAGAAAAGAAGAAAACCTGAAAACTAAGTTTATTCTATTGTTGAAGAGCTTATGGACTTAATTAAATATTATTCTCACTACAAAGAATGTCAATACACTTAAAAATTTATTGAATTATTTGATCCATTCATGACAAAGTATGTTGAAGAATCATATGAAAAAGCTCTACTAGCATGGCGTTTATTCTGCTTAAATATCCACAGTGTCTTTAACGATATAATAGATCCTTAATTCCATGCAGGGGCACTTCTTATAGTTTTATACTTTTACGCATTTACTCACACATACTTCACTCCTCACGAGTAAGCAATTTTATTTTGAATTTGATATTAATTTTACTCTTAAAATATAGATATTAGCCTTTTAATAGTGAAAAGATGACTATTTCTGAAACAGAAATGTTTAACTTAGAACTTCTTGATGAAGACAAAAAAAATACAAAAAAGCCAAATAAAAAGAAAAATTACGAAGAATAAAGATCATATTCCTCTTAATTTATATGGGGATAACTTACAGTTTGGTTCAAATAAACTGTTGCAAGTCCTTAGGCAACTCTATCTTAAGATCGTAGAGGAACTCTCTCTTACCCTTAATTAAATTAGTCATTTAAAACTAATATCCTCACTTATCCATTCTAAGAAAAAAATGATGTAAAAATAACAATTTATTTCTAATCAATTTTACTCAAATTATTCAAATAAATTATAGAAAACAGGAAGACAAACATTTTTAAATCATATGAAAGAAAAACCCAAAGATATGTGGCCTCCTGAGTAAGCTAAGTGGTCCTTTAAGAATGCCCTAAAGTAATTTTATTTTATTTAAAAATTTTATATTTCACATTTTTTAATATATAATTAAAGGAATTATGGTACACTGCTGTTTGAAGGTGTTCATAGCTAAAAATTATTTGAAAATCTTATTGAAAAAGTTATTGAATTAATTGATGGAAGTTTTGAAGAAAAATTAAAACTATTTATATAAGTAGAAAATAAGTTATCTTAACAAACCGAGTAAGATATCTAGGAAATTCAAACAGAATGTTTTGATGTCATTAAGTAATAATTGACTGTTATGAATTTTTAGACTGTTGAGAAAACATTAGAATAACTAAAATAGGATCAGTTACTCATTTAATAATAAAGTAATTTAGTAGATCCTGATAGTAAAATGTAATTAAGAACTGTGAGAAAGAAGCAAAAAGATTAGGAAGACGATGACTTTTTCTATGGCGATATCTTAAAGAAAAAGCCTTAGTAGCCTGTAAATTAACAGAACTCAACTAAGCAGAAAGATGTTTCTACTAATTCAAATTCTAATAAATAATAAGAAGAAATTAAAGAAACTTAAATATCCCACACTACTAGTGAGTTGAAAAAGAGAAAATTTAATGAATATATACTGAATGATGAAGACGAATGCTACATAGAAGAAGATGAGTCAATAGAAGATATTATTAAAGAGTCAAGTAACTTAAGTAAATATTTGGTAATAGAAGTTAAAAAATCGCTCATCACAAATTAGCTTCCTAAGATTGCAATTAAAATGAAAAAAGAGTACCCTGATTTGTTGGCACCTCCAACTAAGAAAGACCATAGAGTCACTAATAAAATTTCAGAAAAAGATAGCAAGAAAAATCAATCAACATATTAGCATTAAAATTCAGATAAGAAATAAAAAAATAACTTGCCCCAGTAATAGAATAAATCATAGCATCCTCCTTCATCAATTAAAATTTAGCATACTTAACAAGAAACAAAGACAACTCAATAAAAATAAAATAAATCTACTCAATAAAAATTCTAACACTAATCTTTGTTGAGCTTTTCAAGCTCTAAAGAGAAATAGGCAAGCAAGTAAGAGGTATCGCCTAACAAAACTACAACTTAAAAACCTAAATAAAAGTTAATTCCCACACAAAATAACTCTGATAAATCGAAACAGAAAGGAGAACACTAAATTCATCAAGAGTAGACCAAGCATTCACAATAAGGCAAAACTTAATCCAATTCATAAAAAGACAATTAGTAAATAAGTCATTCTCATCCCAAATAAAAATAAGACGAAATTGAAAATGTAAGCGAAAAGACAGAAAAAGAAAAAGAAACTTCAAAAATCCAGCCTAAAAAGAAAACCCCAAGTAAATCAAACTCATCTGGTCAAGGAGAAAAAGGTTAAGCAGCTAATTAATAAATTGATGAAATAGAGGCTTTGAGTGCATACAGATATCACAATGAGGACTCAAGAAAGAGTGTTTTATCATAAGCATCATAGAATAGCTAAGATTCTAATTAAAGAAGATCCCATAGAGCTAAAACATAGTTTGATTATAATCTTCTTTTCAGTAAAAAAGCTAAGCCTTAACAACCTCAAAACAATCAATAGTAAGGTCATCACACATAAGAATCACATGTTACCAATTCAGAAGAATAATAGAAACATATAAAAAATTAAAATAATGGAAATAGCCAAAATGAAGAATAATAAAACCATTTATCATAGTAAATAGAGCAAGAGTGAGTGAGTGAGTGACTAATACATGTTTTGAAATAAAAAATAAATAAACAATACTTTTAATCTCTATTTATATAAAAAAATATTTTTTCCTTATCTCAATAAAATTAATTTTGAAAGTTATTATTTTATAATTTTGTATTTGTTTTTTTAAGATTTTGTCTGTCATTTCATTGATTGTTTTTTATATTTAAAATTAATTTATTGAAATAATTCTGAAAATATTAATTTCATATTAAAAAAACTTTGGCGCAATTAATGATTCAAGGCAGATATTTATTTACTTGCTAATAATTAAATAAAAGATACTAATTATGAGTAAAATAAATATCTGTTTCTACTAACAATCAAATAGTTGACTAAATCTTTAAATTCATAATTTAAATATATTTATTTAATTTCATACTAACTAAGAAATAAAGCAATAAAATAAATTAGTAGCTAGCTAGCTAGTTAAATTTTTAGGAAATATTTCAATTCAAAATAACAAAAATAAATTATGGATTAAGCATATAAGCAGTTTTTAGTTACTGATGATTTAAAATTTACAATTGAATGGTCATCTAATTAACTTATGTAAATTAATAATTACAATTTTTCTCTCTGCATTAAAAGTATTCATATATATTCGTAGATACTAATCATATTTTAATAAATAATCAAGCTTGATAAACAATCTTGATCCTAAGCAAAAAGCTTAACTCCATATAAATGAGCAAGTAAATATTAAATGTTAATAAAGCCTTAGGTCAATTGTCAAAAATTATTTAATTTGAATTTATAAGATAGGAAAATAAGTTTAAGTTTGTATCTCTGAAAACTATGTAGCGTAAACAATATATTTAAGTGAAGGATCTTATCAGTTTATATTAAGGGATTACTCTAAATTCACTCAAGCAATATCTACAGATCCAAAAAAAGTTAACATTCCTTCACCGATTGTTGCTATTTATGAATAAAACAAACACACAATATTACTCTTCACAAAAGATTATGAAATATATAGTTTAAAGTGGGTATAATATAATTTTATTGAGTTTAGTTTAATAAAAACCTTTTTAAAGGTTTTAAATAATAGAAAAATAAATAATATTTTATAAAAAAACAAAAATTAGAAATTGATCACAGAAGATTCAGAAGTAAATCCTTACACATGTAAACAGCCAGTTTCTATTCATCTTTAGCTTGAACTAAATAATAGCAAATAAAGTAAAGAAAACTAAATATAAATGGAAGGAAAACTGATTAAAATGGTAAATAAGATAGATCTTCACTCAATTAATAGAATTTTACAATATAATTTTTATTTATTAGAAATATGAGAAAACAGTCGAGTATAGCTTTTTCTATTTGCAATCTTCGAATTGTAAAAGAATATACAAAGTTTAGTATAAAGAGGGATAAACTTGGGTTTAGTCTTGCATATAGTGTGATAAAGAAAGCTCAATATAGGATTTCGATGTGTATAATGGGAAAGTGTATGCAACTTTGATTAAATAAAAACAAAAAGCATTTACTTTAGCAACAGCTGAAGAATTAAGTGATAAATTTAGCCAGGAAAAGGAGATAGACTGTATAGAAAATGCATACTAAATAAATACTCATCTTTTCAAAATAATCGATACATTTAATAACGAAATTTACAATTATATTCTAATTTCTTACCTTCTTAAAGTACATTTTAAAAATCAATTAATTATTTGAATTTTAATTTATATTTTAAAACATAAATTTTAGAAATAAGACAACTAAAATCAGCTTAATGTGATTTTGATTGATTTGAATCTTCAATAAAATTTGAATAGCAATTAAATTTTAGAAAAACGTATTGCTATTGGAACGATTAGTTGTACAAATAATAGAGCAGAAGATATTCAAGCTTTGCATTTTAAGAGGGTTGTGAATCTCAAAAGAAATAACAAGGTATTTATTCCACTATATGAGAAAACATTGCTAGGTAATGAAAATAGTATCATTGTTAACACTATTTAGCTTTAAAAAGCAGAAATAGGATGCTAAGAAAACAATCAAGAATAATGTGATAATCTCTTTTAATAACTTGTTTTAAAGAAAAATAGCATTTATGATAAGAGCTATGTACTTTAAAGACCAAATCAAATTATTGATGAATATATTTAAATATAGCAAAACAAAATTCCTAATTATATTCAAAACTATAATCCTGATTTTAGTCCAAATTTGGATGTTTAAAGCTTGAAATTTCTTTATCTATTGATTGTAAATAAGCAACACACTCTGCTTACTGATATTATAAATACCAGGACAATAGTTAGAAGTAATAAAAATATAAAATATAATTTTACTAAATTATTTGATTAAATTTTGTATTAATTTTGAATTTTTTAAATAAATATAGAAAATTAAGAAGTATGTGAATATCTTATTTTGAACTTAGAATAATTAGAAAAGGAGTTAAGCTTTCTCATGTTTTAGAACGATGTGCTTAAATCTATTAGAGAAACAAACTTCTTAAATTTTAATAAGCAAGACTACAAATAATTTTATGAGCTAGTATAGATTATAAGCGAAATTTTTAATTCAATACTTGTGAGAAAATAAAAAGAAGCATTTGAAGATCTGAGAGAAAGAAATTTAAGTTGCATTAGTCCTGAACATTAGATTTCTATAAATAATGCAAATTCCCTCATCGAATAAATAGCTTCTTAGATTTCAATAATAAAAATATCAGGCTGGTTATTAGATTAGAACTTTTAAAATAAAAATTTGAGCTAATTACTATTTTCTTCTGATTATTATGTCAAAATAATCTAGCAATAAATAGTAAATAGATAATATGATTTGAGTGGCATGTAAATTTTTTCAAAATAAATTAATAAAATTAGTTAATAAATTTACTTTTCTTTATTAGAATAAAAGAGAGAAACAATTTATTAGATATAAATCAAACTTTTAATGCACTATTTTGTGATAAAATATTTCAAGAAACTACTTCCTTTGAGTTGTTTGATCCTATAAAGATAATCAAGACTTTCGAATCTAATAAGTCTGTTGGAATTAATTTGCATTCATTTGCTCTTTACAGATATATTTATGAGTTATCAAAACTTAATTAGGACTTTGATTTAGCCCTTCAAAACTATGAGAAACAGCTTTCTTATCTTTCAAATAATGGTTATGTTAACTCAATTGTAAATGTGAGTAATGGATAGTTATTTAGGTGCTTATGTTTGATTGATGATTTAAACTAAAAAAATAAACTTTAGGTTTTTAATTTAATTATTGAAAATAAAAAAATTATTCAAAGCTTAAGTCCTGATCTTATTCTTTTTATAATTTGTACATTTGCTGCTCATTCTTTTAAAGAAGAATCATTTCTTTTAATTCGTTAATTTAACAAAGAAATTGATTGGATACAGGCTAGTTATCCATCAATCCTCGTTAATATTTACCTGAAGTTTAATAGTGTAAGTTAATTTATGTAAAATTCAATATTCAAATTTATTTATAATGAAGGTAAGCTAAGCTATGTAATTCAGCTTTGCAATTAAAAACTGTACAACTCTGATTGAAAGAAAAGAAACAATTTTACAAGAATTAATTCCTAAAATAATAGAGAAAGGATAAGAAGAGATGCTTTTTAGAGAAGAACTAATGCTTTATCAGGATGAGCAGTTAGTCGAATCATTCTATAGCCTCATTAATAGTGGAAGAAATTAACTAATTTTAATTTTTATTAAATATTTAATTTACAGAAATTAATACCTAACAGCTATGGAGGTATTTGAAAATTATTAAAAAACGATAGTTAACTGCTTTGAAAAAGAATAAATTGAGTTTATTTTAGCTCTTTTTTCTTCTATTCTTAAATAGTATTCTTCTATCTAGTGTTAGGAATTAATTTAATCTTACTAATTTCTAACTCAATACAACGTTTTGAGATAGGGTAATTAAAACTAAATGAATGTGGAAAGCACAAACAAAAACTTTGCAAATAATATACTAAGCTCTTCAATAAAATCTTATAACCTACTTTAGTAAAATTTTAGTACAAAGAAGCCATAATAAAACTTTGAAGAAAATAACTTTTTAGGTTTAATAAACTAAGATATTAGTAAATTTTAAGCTTATGACTAGAATTAAATGATAGTTGATAACGATATTAATATGGTATATTTTACTTTTTCTAATTATTTAAGAAAATAAATTTTTTATTAAAAGACACCTCAGCAGTCATATGATAGATTAGACATGAGCCAAAGCAAAAAGAGCAAAAGAAAGTGGACAACTTCTAAAAAAAAACTTTCTCCAAATTGATTAAAAATTTAGTTATCAAAATGTTATATTAATGTTAATATTTGTTAATCCAAGAAAGAAAAGAATTATTTTATTTTTAAATTAATTAATTAATTCTCTAATTACCTAACTTAACAAAATAAGATATATTAATTCTAATTTGCTATCAAAATTAAAAGAAATATTTAATTCTATAGTATAAACTGTTTGTTTAAACATTAAAATAATAAAAAATGGGTAGTTATTTTGCTATTAAATTAAGTAATTAATTATCTTTCTTAATCAATAAAATAAAGCTAATAATTAAATTGAGGAGTAAATAAACTGTCAATACATAAAATATACTAAAATAGATAAAAAAGATTTCTTCTAAAATAAAAATATTGTTACCAAAATATAATATTAATATTTCTTTATTCTTGAGTTCTGTTTAAAATAAGTAAGTAAATGAGTAGTTCTTTTTAAATTAACTAATTCAATATTAGGCTAACTTTACAAAATAGAATATTTATTTTACTTAATTAATAAAATAAAAGGGAATTTAAATTTGTTGCAAATAATGTTTATTAAAATCATTTTGAAAATTTCTAATTTTTATTTTATAGAACTTCTTTGATTTGATTTTTAGCAAAACCTATTATGATTTATTATAGTTTGTTTATTAATTTGATATTTTACTTTAAATTTGATAGAATTTAAAGTATTTCTATTACTTTCATTTAAAATAATTGATAAAGTTTTGATAACAGAAAACAAAAATAATAAAGAAAATAAGAAAGTAAAAAAAAAATGGATTCTAACAATGCTCTAATAGAAAGTGCCTTTAATTAATTTAATATAGATTCTTATGTTTTTGCTTTAAATAAAGAATTTATCATTGCCAAAACTTAAAGGTCAATTATTTACTTATGCAGCTAAGTTAATTCTACCTTTAAAAATGTTTAAGTTGCTCTGAAAGTGTTTTACCAATCACGATCTTAACTAGAACTTACAATTAAAGCTCATAAAATATTTCCAAAATTGAACGAATGTGAATATTTAGTTAACCATTATGCAATTGGTGTCATAAATAATATTTTAGCTATATGCATGGATTTCATTCAGGGTAAAATTACTTATTTTTAAAATATTTTTTAATGCAAGCAAGCTTTTATTTGATAAGGAAGTACAATAGATTATATGGTTAAAAATAGAATTCTCACAAAAAATTAGCTAAAAGAAGCACTCAAATGCTACATGAAAGCAGTATAATACTTAAATACAAAAAATATTTAGCACAGTAATATAAAATGTAGCAATCTCTTCGTGACTAATAAAAATAAGCCAATCATAGGTAGAATTTATTAAAAAATCATATATGATTATTTATTTATTTATTTGTTTGCTGATCAGTTTTGTTTCCAAAGGAGACAGACATAACTAATACATTAACTAGTTAACAAACAGAATATACTTTTCAAACATTTCTTTATCTTTAAATAAAAAATTTAATTTATAAAGGTTGTATTCAGGTTTCAGATGAAAAAGCCTCTACTTCAAATTTTTATGAATATGGATGGGTTTTAATCTAGTTGTTTGGAGGGTATGAAGATGTAGATATAAATTAATTAAAGAAAGAACATAAAAGAAAAAAGTATTAAAATGAATAATTTCCTGAAGAGTTTATTGCAATTTTAAATGATCTTATTTTATATTAGTAAATTTCTGATGAGGATATTCTTATAAAGGAATAAGAAAATGTGGTAAAACGATTTAATGATTTATGTAATTTTTTTAATTTGCTTTATAATATATTCTATTTATTTTCTATATTTTAATTCTAAATATCTCATTTATAAATAAATAAACAAATAAATAAATAGTGGACAAAGATAGTTCATTCGATTCTTTTATTGAAAAATATACAAAACCTAATGAATCATTAAAGTAATAGACAATAAGGATATCTCCATTAAATAGGAAAGCCATATAAAATTAAAAAAGTTATTTCATAAACACTGCTTTAGTTGATCAAAAGGATCTAATAAAAGCTGAAGGCTATTTTTAAGAAGGACAGATAACGAAAGCTTCCTAAGAATTCTCTAAAATTATTAACAAAACAAAATGGCTGGATGCTACACCGATATATAATTTAGCTTATCTACAGTTTTAAGAAAAAGATTACGAAGAAGCTATAAAATTATTTAAAATATCCATAAAATTAAATCCCATGTATAGCTCAGCTTATAACTTAATCGGTTGCACTTATGATGAAATTGATTAATGTAAAAAATCATTAAAATACTATAAAAAAAGTATCCAGCTTGCTAAAAATTCTGGAAACTTTCTTAATAACATAGGAATTTATTACTTTAAGTAAATGAAGTACAAAATTTCTCTTTAATACATAACAAGAGCTCTTGAGTTAGAACCAGAAGATGATAGAATTCATGGTAATCTAGGAATGAATTACTTAAAATTAAAAAAATATAAACAGGCAAAATACCACCTTAAGAAATAAATTCAAATAAATCCAAAAACTCGCTCTGGCTACTATTCATTAGCCATATTATATAAAATAATTGATAAAATATAAAAGTCAATCTACTACTTTAAAAAACACTCAGAAGTCAATCCTGATTCAACTAATGCAATAAATAAAATAATAGACGCCTTTAACAAGCAAATATTAACTGAAGAAACATCTCTCAAATAATTTCAAAAAGTCACTTGAATAGGTCTATTCTATTCATACTAATTTTATCAATTATTATGATCAACCTACAAAATAATAAATGTTATAATATTAATAATTAATAAATAAATGAATAAATGAATGAATGATTAATTTATCATTAGTTTTTGAGAAGATGGATAAAAATTGATAAATTAATAAATTTAGAATTTATTTATTTATTTGTATAATTTAGAACAAAATATATATTTAAGTATAAGTAGAAAACATATAAATTAAAATTAATTAAATTATTTATTAGAATATTTCATAAATATTTTGTTTAGTTTGGTTGGTCGATTGATTAAATAATTTATTGGTTATTATATTTACAATTTTAGTAACTTAAGAACATGTATTTTTATTTAGCATAGCTTTTTTATTAGTTTTGATAATTGAATTTTTGCTTTGACTGACATATAAACTGTATATTACTTTCTTGTAATTTTACACAGTATTCATTTGAATATCCCTATTGCTATCATAGAATAGAAATTCATTTTATTTCTTTTATGATTTCACTATTAATAGGAGAAATATCACGGAATTAAGATAGATTTTGCTTTTATTAGGTAGAAGGAGTTTATGGAGTAGTGCTTCCATCAGGAGAGAAGCTTGCGTTTTGGCTTATCTTTCTATAATTTGGTGAATTTGGATCATTTGATATCTTATTTTTTATAGCCATTATATTACTGTTACTACTGTAGAGCTCTATTTTTTTGCTCACGCAATCATCATCCTCCAAAAATTCATCAGAATCAACTGAAAACATAGAAATGTTATTTTCAAATGGTCTTTGTGGTGTGTCATTTAATTAAATAGGTGGTATTTTGCAAGTTGGTGTAATATTATCTTACATGTTTATTTTATGAAAAGTAGATTTTTTAAATTAGTTTCTTGTTAAAAAGTATTCTGATTCATCTCTTGTTAACGGAATTTAATGATTATTTTCTTATCTGTTTGTTAGAATCATATCTTCTTAGTCTTATTAAGCAAACAGTAAGGATTTTTATAATTAATTATCATTTGAATTATTGAGTTAATTCAGATTTTTAATGGACATTAACTATTAATAAGATCCATTAAATAGCATACTCTTTTATTTTTATGGAGAGAAATCATGCTTTTTAATAGATTTTTAAGATGTCAAGTTCAATTTTGTTAGAGAAGGTGATGATTAATATATTTCGTTATAATTGCTTTGCTATCTCAATAGCTTTTTTACACTTGGGCAATTTTTATATTTTTTAAATGAGGCATGATTCAAAATATTTGAAAAGCTTATTCTCTCTGAAGGAGAATATTTAAGCATTTAAGAAATTAAATCTTTAACTTCTTCAGAAATACAAATATTATGATCTTCATTTAAGGTCTTTTTATCTATATGTTCCTTGATTAATCTATCTATATCAGGCTACGGGTTGCAAAGACTGTAAATATAGTTAGATATTTATAACTATGAGGTGCAGTAAGAGAAAGGAGAGCTTTTTTTTATTGAAGAATTTTAAGTATTTTTAAAGTAAATACAGTTCGAATCTCAAAATTAATTTAACTCTAATTAAAAGAAAATTAACTCCAGTAAATGCCTAAAATTATAACTTTAATCAACCAAATCAATTATAAAAAAAATAAATAGTTTTAAAGAAATACTTTCCAGTTAGCATGAAGAAAAGAACGCATCCAATACTCCATAAATCAACAGAAAAATCATATTCTTCATAGTTTTCTAATTCTGGAGCCATATAGTAATATGTACCACATAAATTATCATGCAAATTATCTATTTAGTAAAATATAGAGGCTCCAAAATCCCCTATTTTTATTTATAGATTATCATCCAGAAGTAAGTTCTCAGGTTTTATGTCTCTGTGTATGAGGTTCTAGCTATGAACTGCCTTTATTCCATCAAGTATTTATGCAAAAAGCTCAATAGACTAAATATTTTATATAAAATAAATAATTAAAAAAATTTCTATTTTAAGAGATTTCTCTATATTTATCTATTTATCTCTATGTAACTAAAATTTTTTTTCTATCAAATTATTAAAAAATTCCAATCCAATCAGTTTTTAAAGAAAGCTATATATAATATCAATGAATTTGATTATAATTTTTTACCTCCTCTTCATTGAGATGCTCTTTGCTCTTAACGTAATTGAAGAGATCTCCATTTTTACAATATTCCATCACAATAACAAAAAATTATTCTGTTGTAAAACACTCAGTTGATTTGATTACTCTATCAGAATCAACTAATTCAATAGCGTTAACTTCTTGCTCGAGTTGCATAATCACATATTATTCTTGTTATTAATCTTTGTAAAACCTTTCAATAAATTTTAACGCGTAGAGGCATCCATTATCTTTCTTCTAAGCTAAGAAGACTTATCCAGATACCCCTGTTCCTAAGAGTTCTAGAAGCTTGTAGTCTTCTACTTCAACCATTTAGCTATAATTTAAATTTGAGTATAAATTAGCCAATATATTTTAGCTTTAATTTTTAAGTCGCTTTTTTATAATTTTTAATAATTAAAATATGTAAAAAATTTAACTTAAATTGTTAAACATAAATAGAAAAATGTATTTTTTTTAAGAGGGGAAATTACAGAAAAAAAATTTAGATTAATCAACTTAATAATAAATTGCTTTTGTTAAATTTATTCAAAGTAATGTAAATTAATTATTTTAATTTTCTAATATTTTGATAATAAAAGTATTTAAAAGACACATTCCTGTTTATTTTAATAATCATTTCACGTTATTAGAAAAATTTTAGCATTAAAATACGTATGTTACATTATAAATAAGAAATTAATAATAGTAATAGATCATTTTTAATAATAATACTTTGATTCAAATATTATTATTTTTTTATTATTTTATTCTGAAAGTGATTGATTGTAAGCACCAATTTTCATAACTTAATCCAATTAAACTTACAAAACAAAAAAATTTATAATTAAAATAGATACAAAAAATTTGAAAAAAGCAATAGCCACATTCATTTATTCTATCTTTCAATTTTCTTGTTAGTTTCTAGATATTGTCTAATTAACTACTACAAGCTGGTTGTTTTTCCATATTCCATGAATTTCTGTATTATCTATTTTTTTAGTATAAACTCCACGTCCATTAAACATATCTTAGGAAAATTCACCGTTATACTTATCACCATTTTCTAAATACTGTATTCCTTTTCCTTCAAAGCAACCATTGCTCCACTACCCTTCATATTCTATTTCTCCATTTTTCTTTTTAAGTGTACCATAACCACTTTAAACACCATCTTTAAAGTTACCTTCATATTAGCTACCATCAGAGCTGATAAATAATCCCTGTCCATGCCTTTTTGAATTCCAGAATTCTCCTTCGTAATAATTACCTTTCATCGTTAAATAATAAATAAATATTTGAAATTTCATCAAATTTAAAAAATCTTTAGAAGATCAATTAAAAAAGAGAAGTTAAATTAATTAATTAATAAATAAATACCTTTCTAAGTCCATACATAAATTCCTCTTCCTTACTTTTTATCTAAATGAAAATCGCCAATATAAGTATCGCCATTTTAAAATATTATTCTGCCTTTACCATGAAGTTTTCCTTGCAGGAATTCTCCCTCATATATTTTACCTGTATGTCTAAAATAGCAAAGTCCCTTTCCATGTGGTAAAGTGGCTTAAAGTTCACCTATATAAATTATTTCTTAGTTTTCATAGAATCCTTTGTAAGTAGACTTTCCATCATTTGTTTTATTATTATTCAGCATTTCTATAGATAAATTACTTTCCTGCAAATAAAATGGTTAGAAATAATACTTCGGAGAGCGCAAGCAATCTAAATTGAAAACCTTTTATTCGAGGTAGGGAAGAATATCTTTATTTAAATATTTTTCAATAATCTGCATATGTGCATCGAAATCTTCCAAATAAACCTATTGCAATTATTATTCTATTGTTTAGTTAGATGAGTCTGCTTCAATACTTTGCAGAGATGAATCGTTTTTGTACTTTAGCTTGGTGCTAAGATGCTTAATTGCAGAATTAAACTCTTCTAGTGTCTTAAAATCTGCTTGTTTGCATTTTTGAATTAGTTGGCTTGTATTCAACTCATTCATTTTAGCCTAGTGTCTTTTTACCCTTTGCTCAACATACGAATCAATCAAGTCATTTAATTTCTTTTAAAATGACCGAATTGAATCAATATTCTATTTTAAATGAAAGTCACTTTCCTATTAAAATTTTTTATCCATTTCTGCAGCAGAAGAAAATTTATCATTAATCTAATCTAAAAATTCACCTAGTTCTAAACTGTCATGTCCTTTATGATTTCCTTTTATAGTTAAGCAGCTTGCACATATAAGTCCTTTATTTTCACAAAAATAATCTAAACAAACTAAAGTTGGTCTTTTCTTTGTATGCCATATGCAATGCTTATTTTTGAAAAATTCTGTTAGCTTTTATTCAGTATCGTCCATGCTAATTTTTTGGTGCTTTATAAAATCAAATATTAATTTATTAATAATAATAATAACAAATTATTAAAAGAAAAATTATTCTTATGATAATTTATGATATTTTATTATCCACAAAAGATAAACTATTAAATTTTATTTGATTTCTGACAAGTATTAACAAAGTGTTGAGTTTACATTTTCATGGTTTTGCTTTATTTTTTCAGTAAAAAAAACTTCTGCTTCTTTCTGCTATTTTCCCTTCATATTTTATAACAGAAAACTTAAATTTATTAACTAATTTTTTGTTTTCAGGCAAACCAAAAAAATAAAACCAACTTATTAAATTTATTTTAAAAATAATAAAAACATATTTTTTTGCTTTCAAAGTTTAATAAAAATGATATTATTTTTTTATTTATTATTTCAGGTGATTTAAATTGAAAAAATTAATGAAAAACAATTTTTTTTAAATATTAAATTCTTGAAATAAAATTCTAATTCTTAAATTAATTAAAAGAAAATAAAATTTTTTTTATAAATAAAAGAAATAATTTAATTTATTTATCAAAAATATATTTTTTAAATTAAGACTTGATATGTATGTAAATTTTAATAATATCTTTCATTTAATTCTTTCTGTTAAATATTATTTCTATTAGCTCTTATTGGAACTATTTGATTTATTTTCAGGGTGCTATGATTTTAGGATTGGAGATATTTCACTTAACCTTGGAAGATTGCTAGAAATTTATTTAAAAGATGGGTTGATAAAATATTATTATTTTTTAGAACCTATAGTAGTTGTGATTTATCTGTTTTAAGAAATCTGGTATGGATCTTACCTATCTGAGCTTATTTAATTTTATAAACTCAATTTTGGACTTTTTAAAATGCTTAAAGTTTTTTGTATTTCTTAAGAATTTGTTTTTGGTCTTACTTAATAAGCATTATTAGAAGAAAATGAAGAACTTAAATTTAATTGCTTTTATTACACTTTAGATTCAGACTAATGTTCTACAGAAGTATTCTATACAATCTTTTTAAAATAATTCAAATTATTATCTTTATCTGATTTTATACCCAATTAATCTATAATCTACAATTTTTTGTTGTTAGAATTTTTCTGAACAAAGCTGCTAAGCTAATAATTGTTTCCGTTTTAAGAATACTTCTTTGCTTATATTGAAATAGCTGAGATAATAGAGCTGTTTATTGAAGCTTAGCTAAGCTGACTGCTTCTTTTGTTTAAATTAAGATCACTTTATAACATAACACTGTTTTATTTACTCATCATATAGCTTTCTTTTTACTTTATATTCTCAATTCTATATAAATAAAAATAAACTTAAATTTTTGTTAAATTTAAAATAAACTATTTTTTTATTTCAATTTTTTTTATTAAAAAATATTCTTAACATATTTAATAAAACTAAAGATTGTTAGGTTAGTTAATAAGTTAAATTCTTAAAATTAAAATGTATTACAGACTGTTTGGAATAATTTCTTACAATTTTTACCAGCTAGTAAGCTACTAAAGATTTTAAAATATATCTAAGAATTTTCTTTCTGATATTATCATTCTCAATGATATCACAATTTACTTAATCCATATAATAAATGTATCTATATGATATGATTTTATAGGTCTATTTGAATATGTCAAATCTTCGTAAGCATTAAATAGGCAAGTAATTGCACTAAGTTTAAATAAAATACTCATTATATGTTTCTAGCTAGCATAATTAAATGTGCTATTCAATAGCTAGACAACTTGTCTTCCGTATATAGAGCTGGTACTTTAAAAAAAATAAATTTTATTTTCTAATTATTAAATAAATAAATATACGGTGAATTAAAAAACCAAAGCAAAATTGTGTGCCAAATAGAATCTGTAAATGAAATAAAAATATCTTCCCTCTATATTATTTTAATAATATGCGACAAAGTTTCAACAACAATAGATTTGCTCAAATTAATAGGCTGCTTGATCTTTAAAATATAAATTTAAATGAAAAAAATTCATTTTTTTTAGAAAATTTACTCTCAAATTTTGTAATATGAAAGGATCTTTTTTGTTGCTGTCTAAATACTTTATTGTTTTACAACTATAGTCAAAGTATTCAATACACATTAATTTAATTTTTTTGTAGACATTATCGAACTTATCGTGATATTTGTGTAGATTTTTTAATATTATATTTACAATATTTCCAGAGACAAATGAACTATTTGTGATATCTTGAAGTTTAGTAAGGACTCTCATTTTTATTAAATAATTCTTTTTGTTAGTTATTTTTAAAAATTAAATACAATTGATTTATTTCTTAATAAATACAAATAAAATTAACTTTTTTATTCTATAAAAACATAGTTTTAAGAATTGATTATATATTTTTTTTATTTACTAAAAATTTTGAAAAAAAATATTTTTCTATTGAATAAACTTTGTAGAGTGATTTGAACAAAAATAATACCATAAATATCCTTTCAAAATTAATAGCATTGTCATCAAGTAACATATCTAAGAGGTTGCTGCTAACCACTTATAAATTAATAGAATTTTCAGATTCTGAATACTTTTTGTTTAATTATCTTCTATACATCTCTATTTGACTATATTATTCTTAAAAAGAGAATATACTCTTAATGATTGCTAAGCATACTTAACTGCAAGGAAACGAGTAAAATTCTTTAGCAATTATTCTTTCACTAAAAAAATCTTTGCTTTTTGCCAATTATTCTATATCAGAATTAACCTATAAAAGTTATGAGTATTTATAAAAATAATATAATATATTAAGATTTACCTAAGCTAGCTTATAATTAGGATATGGATAAATAAGCCTAGACGAATGAAAACCGTTTAGAGTTGAAAAAAGACTATGGTTTTCCTCTGTTATATCTGTGTTTATCTTTTACCTTTAATCATTATGTTTCTCTAACTTAATGAATATATTATATAATTTTAACTTTACCTTTCAATTTGAGATTTCATCATTAAATTTCTACGTGCTTCTATAACTGCTTTATTAGTTAAGAAGAGTAGTGTTAATTTAGCTCTAACCTTTTTAATTTTAAATAATGCCTTTTCACTGAATTAAGTACTTCCAGAATTTTCATTTTGGCTTTATTTCATTAACATAGAAGTCCTTTGCTTTAAAAGCTGAATCTCATCTAATTATTGAATTTTATTATTATTTTTTATGCTTGATTTTTTCGATGCTTAAAGTTTAGGGCTAGTAAATTCTTTTAAGTTTGAACTCTCTCTTATAATAAATGAACTACCTACTTTTTTTTGTTACTTATAAGATTTTATCTGATTTAAATCTATTTTATCTATGTTAGGCAAAGACCCATTTAACTCCTAGTAATATAAATACTCAAAGTCATCATTTTTTTCTTAGATATTTTATTTTATTTATCCTAATATCTTATTCAATTCTTCAATATTTCTTTTGTTATCATTTATTACAGCCTATAGCTGTGTTTCTTCATTCAAAATTTAACTAATATCATTCTTAAATTAAAAATCCTTTAAATTTATATTTTAGAGCTAAAAAAAATTACTGCCTGTTTTTTTATTTGTGACTATTTCTCACATTCATTTTCTTGCACTTTTTATAGTAATATTCTTTAAATAACAGAAGTTTATTTTGTTTTAAAGTTTTTTTCTCTCTTAAACTTCTCAAAATGGTCATAGGAAAGAAGCAAAGAGCATAGCTCTTGAAACCAGGTACTATGATTCATATACTCAGCAATAAGATTCACATTTTAAGGAAATAATTTATATCTGTTAGATGCTAGATCCGAAATCCCAAATACGATTTCAAATATATATGGATTATATATATACTCTAACAAATTGAACATAACATTAAACGAAACCATATTTAATAAGGCTTAATCTTAATCAAATTCAATCATAATTTCAATAAGCTTAGCAACATGATTAAGATTTCCTGAAGAGAAATCGTCTAAAAAGAAATCATACATAAGCTAAACTAAATTATTATTGTTAAAAATTTTTAATTACAAAACAATAAATTTTATTAATTAGCATACATGTTACTGTAAAAAATTATGGAAAGCAATTCAGAATTATCCTCATATTCTGTCTTTACTTTAAAATTTAAATGATTTTATAAGAGCGGAAGTTTTGAATGTTAAACATTTCATCTTTTAATTCTAAAATCTTTTGGTGACTGTTTATTTTATAAAATTTAATATTCTTTGCATTTTTATTTAATTTTTTCAACTATGGATATAAATTAGTCCAAAAATTTTAAGGTTCTGCATTTTCTGGATAGAAAACAAAATTTAAGAAAAGCCTAACATTCTATTCTTATTTGAAAAAGTTCATCATATATTCGTTGTATCCAATACAGGGCACTTCTTCTAAATAAATAAATAAATAATAGTAAAATGACTTTAAATAACTTTGATTAAAATGAAGATATTTTTTACTTGAAGATATCCACTTTTCTACTTCCCATAACGGATTAGGTTCTTAAATTTATTCATCTAATATTATTTCAGAGGGTAAACTACCTGGTTCACTATCATCATCTTCATCTATGCATTCATCTTGCTTTGTATTTCTGAGCAAGTGTATTTTTAAAACATCAACAGGATTTATGAGGCCTCCATAACTCTTTTATTAAGTGCTTTGATAAGTATTAAAACTTTGGGTAAAGTCTTCCTCCTTTTATTTTTCTTAGCTATCTTGATGGACAAATAGTCTACTCTTTTACATGAAAACTTTTGATAATTTTAAGTAGAAATATTTATCTCTAATTTAATTAATAAGTATTAATTTATGTATGTATGTATATACCTGATTCAATCAAACTATCAAAATTAAATAAGTCTTCGAAGTAAAATAAAAAGGTTTTTTTTATTTTTTCTATTAGTTCTACTGTGTGGATAATTAGTTTTTCATTTTTCGTGTAATGAAGATAGTGATAGAAAATTGCATTTCTATCATCCAAACTCTTAACAGAGTGTTGAGTTACAAGAATAGAGATCAAATCAAATATAAATTCTAAACTCAACATTTTTATTGCAACAACATTTTCTTAAATCTCTTGAGTTAATAGAAAAAGAGTAAATAAGTAATCAATTTTCAAAATCGTATTTAATTCAATCAACTTGATATTACCTTCGTTAAATTAATAGACTGATATTTCTTCTTTCAGCTATTGGCTCTTTTCAACTCGATTTTCTGATGAATAAGAGTTAAATGAAGAACTAGAACTTTTTTGTCGTTTTTTTTTTTCACTGATTTCTTAAAGTCGCGCACAAAACTCTAAAGCTTCCCAAAATTATGTCATAAATACTAAATTCCACTAAAATTTTTCAAGTAAGCTAGCAAGTATTAATTTTATTGGATTTTTGGAGAAAATATAGTTAATCATTAGATATTTTACAAGTTCTTTGTTCTTTTTGATAATTATTTCACTAATTTCTTCAAATGGTAAGCTTTCGCTGATTATTTTGCATGCTTTAACTATTTTTTTCAATCTCTTATCGTCATTTTCTTCTATTGACTGCAAAAAATTTTAAAATCATCAAATTAGGTATGAAAAATTGAAATTATTTACTGCTTGCTTCAATAGATCTTACGGATTATCCATAAAATGTTAAGTAGACTTCTTCTTAAATTTATTTTTATGTTGCAATTTTCTTCTACTTTAAAATTAAATAGTTTAAAAAATTTCAATCAAACAAATAAACAAACAGAATCCAAAATTTCTAATAGAGGAAAATATCAAAAAAAAGTTAATAAAAAAAATAAAAACATGATTTTAATCAATAATTTTTGTTATATTCCAATATTAAATATAAAAATCCTACCACTCACATCATTCAAAAACAGTAAAGTATTTATAAATTTTTAAATACATTTTATTTTTACAATTATTTTTAATTTAATTTACTTGTTTAAAAAAGCTTTATCTATCTTTAGTAAAATTTATAAAAAAGTGGTACAATAATTTATTTGTTTGAGAAATAATAATTTTTGTTAATGAATTTGTTTTTGATTTTAAGTTAAAATATTTTTTTGTTAAAATTAATCTAAATTGGATTAAACACAACTGATAAGGTAAAATTTTAAAATTTTAAATGAGTAATTATTTGTTTTTGATTTTTAAATTACAATTTTGTTTCTTTAAATTTAATATTAAAAAAATTTTAAATTGATTATTTGATTAAGAAAATTATTAGTATGTGAAGGTAAAATATTAAATTTTGTTATTACTATGTTAACATATTGATTAGTTTATGTATATCAAAAAATATTGATTGCTTAAAAATAAATTTATTTATTTATTTAACTAATTAAGTATTTTCATTTGTACTTGAAAACTAACTTCTGAGACACCTTAGATTATTATTAGTTAGGTATTTATTTGTTTCTGGTAAGATTTCATTTCCTCTTAATCGCTAAAGAGAAGGAGGTTTGAATTAATTATGATCAAATAGCATTATAATTAATCTTGTGTGTATTATTGATTTAGTTAATTGAACATAATTTATAAGAAAAGAGACAAACAAGCATCAAAATAATTAATATTTAAGAAATAAATAGTTTCTCTATTAATAAAGATTTTTAATAAACAACAAGCATTTGAAAGAATCGAAAAAGCCCGCATAAGCTGTAATAGGATTAAACCTAACTGAATTTTTTCAGAATATAAATAAAAATAATTTTAAGCCATGGACAGAAACGATGTATGCTATTTATCTTTATTTACGGAATTAAAAACAATATCTTTCAGGAGTTATTTACAAGATTAGCATAATTTTTATAATTTCAAAAGGATGAAATGAATTTAGATGATAATTCTAATAACAATCAGTTCAAAGATGACGATGAGAATTATGTAAAGAGTGAGAATGAAATAAAAATAACAGTAATAAAAACTAATTCATTTTTGTTAAATTAATACAACTATTTCTTGAAGAAAATTTGAAATTACAATAATTTTGAGCTAATTAATATTAATAAATTGAATCATATAAAATTAGAAAGACATCATATTAGTTCATATTGAAAAAACATAGAAAAAGATTACAGAATTGATACCTGATTATGATATAAGCTAGTTTTTGAATAGTAATAATGAAATTGTTTTAGGAGAGTTGATTTCTTCTCTCAAAGAAACAGGTTTCCCTATTGATTAGAATATGGTACATTATTGGTGTCCTGAAGCAGAGATGTTTATTTACTGTGGATTTGATCCTTTACCTGATGATATTACTATCCCATTAGAAGACTATTAAAATTATAATGAAGTAAAAAAATAGAAAATTATTGTTCAAACTTAATAATTTAGAATGATTTTTTACAAAAGCATTTATTTATTTATTAGATAGCTGCTATAGACAGAGTGAATTTATATTAATTGTTTGTATTTATAAAAATTAACAGATTAAAATTAAATGCAAAGAAAACCCAATTAGCTTAATTCATCAAATAATGAGTGAAGAGACAAATGAAATGAATAACAATAAGTAAAAAGATGGAAATACATAGGAGAAAAAAGAGGCTAAAAATAACTGTAGAAGAACTAAAGAAAGAAAAATAGGATTCATTATTGAAAAGGTAGTTTAATGGAGAAATTACTATAATGGTGTTCCAGATGCTTCAGGAAAGGTAAACAGGTTATCTCTAGAAGAAGCAGCAAATAAAGTGTAAATATCAAAAAAATCTCTTGATGACTATCTTCTTCAGATAAGGTATAATTAAAAATTTTAATGGATTCAAATGGAATACAATAAATAATAATAAATAGATTTGGAAGGAAGTATCAATTTAATTTCAATGAGCATAAAAATGACAAGGTCGGAATCTTAAGAGCATTTGTTAAAAAGCACAAGCAACAATAAAACCAAGATAAACCTAAAAAAAGAAAAGAAAAGAAAGGAGATGGTAAATAATAAAAATAATTTAATTTAATTATGTTTTTAATTAATTAATTATTTAAATATTAAAAAAATTTAAAAAGCAAATGGAATTTAGTCAAAAAAAGAAGAGGAAGAAAAAAATTGAAGAATCAATCATGTTTATTTTAAACTATTTTACTTATATAAAATGTGAAATTAATCAAATCAAATTTTCAATTAATATCTTAGCTAACTCAAAAGCTCGACATGCCTATAAGAAACTAAATAAATAACTATGAGTTTTTTAACAACTTCTGTTGAGCATAAATAAGTACAAAAAATTAAATACTATTTTTGATACAAAAACTATATAAATTATCTATTAAATTATTAAATTAACTGTTATATACGGTAATTATTGAAATTGTTAAAAATAAAAATTGTTTTCAACCTTTCATTAAAATATTATATTATATTTAATTAAAATTAATATTTTTAACTAAATAACTAATTAACTAACTACATGCATTAATTATTAATTGTTTACTTGATAAATTAAGTTATGTTTTTATATATTTCATCATAAAATTTAAATTTTAATCTAAATAATCGTAAGATAATAAATTATTTATTTATTATTCTATTTTGTTTAAACTTTTTATCATTAATTCATTCATCATCTTCATCAAATTTAATAATTTAGACATCTTCAGCTATCTATTCTTAGTTTTATTGCTAAACGTTAGATTCTTTTCTTACTAAATTTGAGTTTTTTTAACTGAATTAGGATTATGTAGCAGCTAAAGGTAAATGAGATCCTTATCTTTGAATCATGTTGTTTGGAGATTAATCATTTGCAGTGACCATTTCTTGCTTAAGGGGATGATGATGAGTAATTTTTGAATTTTTCAAAGTATCTAACTCTTTTTACAAAGTATATTTATACGCTCTTTGCCTCTTGATTTTAATGCAAATACATATAATTATACCCAACACAACAACTAAAACTGAAATAACAATAGCTGCTATCACCCCAGCTGTGAGTTTATCTGCATAAACCTAATTAATTAATTAAATTAAAATTTTCAAAACTAAATATATTTATTGAATTATTACCTTATTTATTATCAAATCTCTTTCCATAAAGAACTAAGTAAGATTGTAGGAGTTATAGTATTACCAACTTTAGTAAATAAATCCTAGTTTAATTTTATGGTCTCCAGTTGTATCATAATCATTTTAGGAGGGACTACAAACAACATAAGCACTAGAAGGTACTAGCTTAGTAACATATATATGGAATTTTTATATACCTACAAAATAAGAGTCAGTTTAGTTACTGGTAGAGTTAAAGATTTGTAATATAGACCCACCTTACAGACCCAGTAAAAGGAAATAGGATTGCATTTTAGTCATATCATAAATTAGTGATGGGTGAACTGAATGCCATGTGATTGTATTAGAGTTAGATCCCAACAAAATAAAATAGTAATCATTGACAATAATATCTCTTATTTTATGGTCAACCTGATGCACTCTATTTAAATAGTAAGTACCACTACCTCCAATAACCATCTAAAATAATTTATTTTTATTTTCATTTACTTAAATTAAATTCATAAAATTTTTTTATTATCAAGCTATTAAACACAGAAGTGTTAAATATCTTATTTTAATAAATAAATAAAATAAATTACTTCATATTCACGAGTTTCATATAAATCAGAACTAGTTGTTACGAAGAACTACCTGTCTTTGTATGTATTGAATAACTTTGCATTAATAACTTTAATATAGAAAGAAGTATCAATTTAAACTGATGCTGCTAATGCCCCGACATATTAGTAAAAGTATTTAAAAATACCGTTTATTTCACATAGAATATAAATATTGATTTATTTTTTATAAGTATCATACCATATTCTCAAATCTCCATATTACTTTTGTGGTTGACCTTATGTAATGCTTGGAACAGTTAAAGGTTTAATTGTAGTGAAATTACTATTTAAATAAAAGGCACTCATTGACAAATCTTGTAAAACAAAAAGTACAAAATCACCATTATCTATTTGCACAGCCTGCATTTCTTAAAGGCTACCATTATCAGTATTCATCACAATATTTGAAAGTGATTTAGGATAGAAATAAGTCTAGTTATTGTAAATGTAAATGAAATTGATTCTATTGCTCAAACCTTCTATAGCCATTAATAAATAATTCCCTACTTGCACCATTTGAACGTTATTGAAGGGCTGTTTATATTCAAAATTATTAATTTTATTTAAAATTTCAACTCTTTAATATCAAACTTACAAAAACACCATCAGGTAGGTACAGCTTTTCTAATCTGTATTTACCAACAACCGTAGTAGTATTGCTTACAGGATCAATTTTTATGAATCTCAAAGTCTAGTTGGAATCTAAATGTGCTATGTTTGCATTATTAAACGCTGATACAGGATTTAATGTGGCCCAAGATTCTTTATTTAATTATGTTGATTTTCACAATTATTAAAAAAAAATAAAAAAATAATTTACATGTAAAAGCTACTTATGCTATTGCAAATCCATTATTATCAAAAGTAGGTAGTTGTATTTATAATTATGAAAAAGTTTCTAAGTTTATATGTCTATCAAATGTTTAACAAAAAGGAATTTAGAAATTATTTTCTGTCAGATTTAGTTTTATGTATTCAAGTGAAGATCCAACAGGGGAAATTTTAACTGTTTGCTTTTCTGTGATGGAGATATCTTCGTATTGGCTACTATAACTAGTTTAATATAGTAATGAAGGAAGATTTGTTAAGCTAGCTTAAGCTAAAACAAGAATTGAATTTAAGAGGATTAACCCTAATTTTATTTTCTTAAAATATTTCATATCTAATGATTTAAGATTTTTAAATATTCAATTTTTATTTTCAACTAATTAATATATGGATAATCATAAATAATACTTTGATATTTTTCAATCAATTATTTAGAGGATCTCAAAAATTTATTTTAAACAGCATCCTCGTTCACAGATACTACATATTGTAAAATAACCTCAATTTGTTTTAATTTAAAAGGCAATATCGATACTCAAATTTTAGTCATATTCATTTATAGTTAAAACATTAAAAGCCCATCAAATGAGATGAAATATCAAACTTATGTATGATAATTAACAAAAATAATCTTTTCTAAATAAAAATATATATTCTTTGTAAAAGGAAATCAGAGATTTTTTTAATCATATCAATAATTTATTAATTAATTTTCATTTATATTTTTTAAATCAAAATCAATCTTAATTAATTAATTATTTATTTCTATTTTTTAATATTTATCTAATTTCTTCTTTTAATATTTTTGTAAAATTTATTAAATAAAATATTATCAATGAAAGTTTACATTTTCCATTCCATTTACTTTACATAATTCAAATGAAAAAACTAATTTTTTGGAATAATTTTGAGTAATTTTCAAAATTATATTATAAAATTTAAAATAATAATTTTTAATATTATAGTATGATGATAATAATAAATTACAGAAAATTCAAAATAATTAATTAATTTTGTTAAATATAATAATTTAATTTATAAAAGATATTTAGAGATAGCATGATACACAACATATATTAGAATTAGTCAGAATATAGTAAGAGGAAGGATAATAAATAATTGAATAAATATATGAATGAATTCGTTAACTTTTTATTATAAAATTATAGTAAAAATATATTATGAAATAGAGAAATATTAAATAGTTAAAATTCGTTTGTTCTTTTGTTTGATTGTTTGTTTGTGTATGAGTTATATATATAAGATTCAGAAATCCATATCTTCTTAAATAATGATTTTAAAAACTTCAAGCTCGTCAATTTAGAAATTTTTATTTCCTGCTAATAGACTGTTGAGAGGAATATTTTATTAGATTTTTATTTCTTAATAATCTCCTGGGTATTCTGATTTATTATTTTCATCTTAATCTCCATTTTCAAAAATACTTAAATCACTAGTGCCAAAGGAAAAAATGTGCTCTTCTCCTTAATACAAAGCTGATTCAGAGTTTTTAACTGGTATTTTTACATTTTCACTGATAGAAAATAAGAAAGCATTTTCATCTTACTGGTAGCCTTGCTCGATTGACCATGGGACGCTTAAATATGCACCGAATATTTTAAAGTATTCCCAGCTCTTTATAAAAACTACTGATGGAAATACTCCACACACTTTCTCATCAAAAGTTTACTTTGTTAACTTATCTCTACTTGCTCTGTATATTAGTTCAAGATTCATTTTTTTAAAAGGAGAAAGCTCAAAGAAATTAGTCAATATTTCTTTATAATCTTATGTGCAATCTTCAAAAATTTTAGATGTATCATTAAAAGTTAAGAAATTTCCCATAATAGCAGATTCCATATCTTCATCATCAATCACACCATGTATTTTGGTTACTGGTTAATTCTAATTTATATTCATTTCTAAATGATCATTTGTGTTTAATTTATTTGTATTTGCCAAAATATCTTTGCCTTTTATTTCAACTGCTTTTCCTGATAAATTTTACTAAAAGTCATTGAATTTAGGGTTTTGTAATTATTGAAATTAAAAATGAGTGCTATAGTTTTATAAGTTATTTTTGATAAACTTATTATGTTGATAGCTCTGGCTTTAATTCATACTTTCCAAATCAGATAAAGGAACTATCTAGCTTTGTTGCATTCCTCCTGTGACATACATAATACTATTTTAGGTAGTCATCATCGAGGAATCGCTATTCTTCATTTTATGATTATCTACCAAAGTATTTTCTGGATAGTTTTACAGAGAAGAAGGACGATAGAATCCTTGATGAGTTTAAGCTTTTATTTATTATTAATTTTAAGTCTAAGGATCCTAGGTAGCTTAAGGAGAGTGATATTAATTCTAAAAAGTAAAATTTTTTAATACTTAGTATAAATCTTAATACTGCTTTTCTTTTTCTTGTAGCTGAGTTTCTCTTTCTTTGAACATCTTAAAAAGTTTTTGAATTTTTCTATTATACTCCTGCTCTTTTCCCTTATCGAGCTATTCAAACTATTTAACTGAGCCTTCTATAGTGCTTATTTTTAATAAAAGCTATTCCTCTTTTTTACTGAATTCTGAAGTCTTTTACTCAATTTCCTACTTCATTTTTAGCATTTAATCCTATAATTTGTTATTTTATTATTCCATTTCCTATACCTTCTTTTAATAATAAATTATTTCGCTTTTTAATTGGTAAAGACTACTATTATCCTAAGTACCTAAAGGAATCCTAATAATATTTAAAATTTAATAATAAAATTAAGCAATAATAAAAAACATTTTATAAAAAATACTTAAAAATATATTAAATAAAATACCTCAATGACTGGGTCTAATCTTCTTAGAAACTTTAGAAAAAAGGCATAATGTACTTATACTAATTAGCGGTAAGCTTATTCTCAGGTAAATATTCCTTTATGAGCAATTTTATATCCGTTGTAAGTTAATTATTTTTATAGTAGTGCTAAATTAAATTGAATGTTTCTATGGGATCAAGATAAGTAAAATCTTTATTAAAATTGAGTATTTATCTAGCTGCCTCCTGATCGAGATCAGCAAACGTAACAGGATAAGGTAGATTCTTTCTATCTTAATTAATGGCTTCTTTAACTATTTCAAATGAAGTATCTTCTAAAAAAGTCTAAGCTCTTTTTAATAAATCGTACTCACTGTACAAAACAGCAAGCTAAAAGACTGTAAAGAAATTAAACATATTAAAATTATTCAAAACTTCTGAGTTGAGCAATTAAACAAGTTTTTATATTTCTAAGTGTTTACACATTTTATATGTTTGATAGAATTCTTATTAGATAATAATGCTTTTTCCACCATAAAGACATCTTAATATTTTTTCCAAAATGCCTTCATCTTCTTCCTTAAAAAATTAAATGTCTAACTAAATTTCCTTTTTCGCCTCATTTTCTTTAAATACTCTCTCAAAAAATCCACTTTCAACTCTTAAATGCCCTTTATTAAGTGAAAAACTTTTTGTTACACTTTTTATGACTATATTTGGATTGATATCATTTGAAAATATTTTCTCTAATTTTGGATTTGCATGGATTATTAACACTATTTTGTATGTATCATCTTAGGAAACTGTTTTCTAAATATTTGTATTTGAAAAGTCTGAAGACTTTCTTTGTTGCGACGCTTGCTTTGTGTTTAAATTAAGCATTTTTGAAATGATTTATTTTTTCAATATTTTTATTATTAAAAACAAAAAGGTTCAAAAGATAGATATTATTTAACAAATAAATGAAATTAAATAAATAAAATACATTCTTCTTTTTTTTTGCACTGCCTGTGAAAAGATTTAAAATTTAGAATGCTTAATAAATAATTCAACACATTATTTAATAATACTAATTCTTTTTTTAAAAATTATTCAATTCTCATCAATGCAATTAAAATAATCTATGAAGTTAGAAAAAAAATAAATTAACTAGAATTTTAAAATATATTAAATTAATTCAAGTAATGATTATTAAATTTACGAAAATCATATTAAATATAGCATCATAAATAATTATTTTTTATTAGTATTAAAAGTAAATTTTTTCCAAGTATAAAATAAATTTATTTTGTGAGATTAAATTTTAATCTCATTTTTTGTTGATCTCAATTAAGATTAATCTTTGAATAAATTTTTGTTAGATTTAAAATACTTTGATTAGAATTTTTTGTGAATTAGTTATATGAATGTAGTAAAAGTATTTGTTTCCTAAAATTTGAAAAAGAATAAAAGAATAATATTCGGCTGTTTGCTAAATAAATAAAATATATTTTATTTAGTTAAAATAAAAACATAAATTTTGTTTACAAAATAAATGAAATTAAATAAAATACATTCTTCTATTTTTTTTTCACTACCTAAAGATTTAAAATTTAGAATGCTTATTAAATTTGCCAAAATTATATTATATCTAAAACTATAAATAATTATTTCTTATTAGTATTAAAAGTAAATTTTTTCCAAGTATAAAATAAATTTATTTTGTGAGATTAAATTTTAATCTCATTTTTTGTTGATCTCAATTAAGATTAATCTTTGAATAAATTTTTGTTAGATTTAAATACTTTGATTATAATTTTTGGTGAATTAGTTCTATGAATGTAGTAAAAATATATGTTTCCTAAATTTGAAAATGAATATAAGAATTATATTCTCTTGTTTACTAATTAATAAAATATTTTTATTTAGTTAACATAAAAACATAAATTTTGTTTACAATTCTATAAAATATTTTCTTGAAAGTATCAAACGACTTTATTCTATTGATGTAAAAATTAATATCATTTTTATTTAATAAAATTAAAATAAAACATTGAATAAATTTTTGGTTAGATGCGACTAATTCTTAGTTTAGGAATTTTTGAATGATTTTATTATTGATTACAATACTTTATTACATCAGAGTAATAAATAAATGAATAATTATTAAGTATTTTCATAAAATAATCTTTTTAATTTTATTTCTAATTTCAAATACAATATTTATAAATAATTACTTTTGTCTTGCTAGTTAAAAAGAAGTCTTAAGTTGACTTCAAATATTTGAGTTAAAATTTTTATGAACACATGAAGGAATTGAATTTTTATGGTAAAAATAAATTTTGAATACAAAATTCCATTTTCCTTATTTTTGATGAAAAGAATAATTAAATTACATTAACAGTAATATATTATTTAAGCTTTGAATATCTTAGTTGTTATAGATTTTTTGTGGAGGAGATGATAAATTAATTTCAAATAAGATAAATCAATCAATAAAATTAATTAATTTTGAGCGATATATTATATATACTATAGCTAAAATATATATCAATCAAATAAAAGGCTAATGGCTAGAGTAATATAGAAAAACCAAGAATTAGATTTAATTTAAATGAATTCGCAAAAATAAAATTACTACAATAGGATTATTTGGAATGACAATGAAAATAGAAAAATTTTAAACTCTGAGCAACACAATTAAATGTTTCAATTATAAAATTAAAATTTGCAAAATGAATTACCATCGATGAATAAGCAACCTAGAAGAGAATACAATTTTAGACCAAAAATAGCTATCACTAACAAGCTTCCAGTTGAATTTAGCTAAAACTCAAGAAATAACTCAGTTTCTGCTTCCAATTCTAAGGAACCTCAGCATAGAATAGGAAGTCATGATAAAGGCGGAATAGTTCTATCATCAAGAGGTGATTCAAAAAATATTGGTCGTTCGGAATTATATCTTCAAGCAATTTAGTCTGATTCTTAGTTATTATAGGCTTCTAAAATAAATGAAAAAAATTAAAGAGCTTTTTATCAATTTTCAGAATAGAACGACATCAACTAGCGTTAACTCTTAAAGTAAGTAGAAAGTTCAAATAGCTATTACGTTTAAGCACAACCATCTTCCCTAGATCAAATTAGTAAAGCTAGGAAAAACCCACTCAATCAGAGTGAGGGCAGCGCAGCAAAAGATCATTAATTTGAAAATAACAATAACAAAAGGTAACCATAAAGCGATGCAAATTTTGATAATTCTTAAATTAACAATAGCTGTTCTGCTCATAAATATGATCAACAATACAATTTGTAATTTTAAAACATGAGCCCTGATAAAAAATTCGGGTAAAAGAGCTAATTCAGATAGCTAGTTAAATGTATGCATAACCAAGAAGTCTCAGGAAATAACAACTAATTGTAACAATAATAAAATCAAAATCAATAACTTGAATAACAAAATTAATAGTAGTCTGTGGATAATAATAATCAATTTAATTATTTACACTCCTAATAAAATTACAATAATAACAATATTCACTCTGCAAATATATATATCTAACCAGAAGATCCATAAGCATAAGTCAATTTAATTTAACGGGAGGAAAAAAACAAATCTAAATCACATTTAAAAACAAATCATTTTAATTAAATTTTAAATAATTCAAACTCACAACAAGCGTTGGTATATCCAAAGGGTAGCACATAGTAAAAAGATTTCGATTTTCAGGCTCATTATTTTGATCCAACTAAGTTGCAATAGAATAATTAATAGAAAAGTCTCATATAAAAATAACAAACATAAGTTGAATAATAATAAAAGCCGCAAAAATATCAAGAAAACTTTTAAAGCTATTAAAATTTGTCTAGTTAAAAGCTAAGCATTCAAAATGAAAAAAAATAAAAAAATATTTAAAGTGATACTAACCTAAAATAAGAATAATCCTAATAGTATTATGTAATGAAATATGCTTCTGTTAATAAAGACCAATAAGAAGTTAAATAAAAAAACTCAGCTTCAGACAAAAGTATCTCTTTGAATAGCGAGCATTCTGACAGTTAACTCAATATTCATAAAAGATAAATGTAAAATTAAGAGAGCGGAATGTAGGTTAATAGTGATTTATATAATTAGTACTATATGAAATAGACAGCCTCATCTAATGGTATTTAAAATAGAAAAAGCAGCTTTAGATAAATTTAGTTGTAAAATGAAACTTAAATTAGTTCTAATAGGAGCAGTAACTAAAGCAACTCTACTGAAAAGTGTAACATGCAAAAGGAATCTCAATAATCACACCATAATCATATATAATATAGAAAAAATTAGTTTCCTTAATAGAGTCCTTTTAATTCCTCTTAAAATGAGTTGTACAAAGAAAAGAAAACAAGTCCAATTATTATTGATAAAATTTCTGATTAAGATAAACAGAATCATAACAAGGGAAATATGAGCAATAGAGAAAGTCAAAGGAATGAAAGCGATGATTAATAAGAGCTAATGAAATAAAATCAAAAAGTTAGGAAAAGTTTTGAAATTTATGATATAAATTAGTAAAGATATCTTATAAAAATGCAAAAAAAACAAAACTCATAAATAAATTAACTTGACTAGAGTAAATCTTAATCATCTTAAAATATTAATCCTCAACAATCTTCTTAAAATTAGCTTTTCCAAAAAGCAAATCTTTTTACAAATAAAGTAACAGCATCTTAACCTCAAAAACAAAATGAAACTTACTTAGAATAATCAGAATAGTAAGAAACGATGTTAAATAATATTAATAAAACAGGAAATACTGAGAACTTTAAAAATAAAAAATCAGATTTAATACCTTCAACTCATTTTTTGAAAAAAAATATTTAAATATAGAGTCCTACTCATTTTGATTTATCCCAAAAACCTTAATCTGCAAAAGAAACTTACACAAAACAATTTAAATCCCCTATTATTGAAAATTCAAAATTTTCCAATATAAAGAGCGAAAATGAGTAAGGCAACCCAAGATCATAACTCACTGAATAAGAGATTTTAAAGATATTTAGTCAAAATAACAAAAAACAAGAGTAAAACTATAATTTTTTCAATTAAAAAAATAAACATTGTTCAGATAGAATATTATCAGCTAAAACTCCACTAAACTATGAAGCATCTAAAAATTAATAAGGCGAATAGCTTATTTTTAACTTTTAAACTAGTGAAACAGATAATTTAGATACTTAATAAAAATAAAAATCCTCAAAACTAACTTTACTTAAGGGAGTCTCCTTGCAGTAATTAAAATAATTATCTCAATAAAATACACCTAGTAATAAGAATGAAGATTTCACTGATAATTTCACTAGCAAAGTGCAGTAATTAGAATAATAGTAATCTAATTAAACAAATTAACAGCAAAATTTAGAAGAAATAATTACAAATACAAATATACCAAATCATCCAACATCGAATTTTTATAATATATTGGATTAAAAAAGTAAATTTAGCTAAATGAGAGATGATTCAAGATTCTAAGCATTTAAATTAAAAATCGAGTAATTTTAATCTCAATTTAATTTAAAAACTAACTCAACAAATAGTGACATGTCTCCTGTAGAAAATTTAATAAAATTATCAAACAGAGGAAATAAAAAGATTTTGATTTAATAAAATTACCCTAGCCATCATCGGAACTAAATTTAAAATCAACAGCAATAATAGCATTCACATTTATAATAAAATAAATAAAGTTTATCAACAAATAGCTTTTCTTCTAATTTGTAAAATTTCAAATATGATATAGTTTAAAAATAGCTTCAATCTGTTTAGAAAAATATGGAAGATTGCAATACCCCATAAAATAAATAAGAAAACTCTAATTACTATTTTAATAATAAATTCTAAAATTAATTAAATTTATCTAAGAATTAAAAACCCTCCACTGATGAGTTTTTAGATTCAAAGGCGGTTGTTGTAATAAACAAAAAGCCCAGAAGCGACATTATTCCTTAATCGCCATCTATAAACTTAGAAAAATAGTCTTGCTCTATCATCCAATGCAATTCTAACTATAACAGCCCAAAATACCATTCAGAAAAAGGCTCCTTTACAGATTTGATAAATAAATAGAATATTTAAGAATAAAATTAAAAAAGTTCCAATGAAAATGTTAATTTTAGTAACAACAATTTATCTAACGATTCTTAAACCTATTTGTCTAATTAAAAACTAAAATAAAGAGCTTTCAGCTCACATAATAATTTATCGATACATTCAAGCAATAAGAAAACTTCTCTAGAAAATTCAATTTTATAATAAGATTCGTCTACTAATAAAAATAGCTTCAAGAAGAAAACTAAAAGTATGTAATCATATGGTAATGATATTGTAAAAAGCGAACAATTAGAAAATATCTCTAGCCATGATGAAATTAATAATATATAATAGCATAATAGCAAAAGTGCAAATTATTTCACTCACATTAAAAATCTCTCTTACAAAAATGAAGACTTGTTAACAATAAAATAGCTGCAAGAAGGTAACTCTTAATAGATTAATGATATAAATTAAGATAGATCTAACAGTATAATTTAACAATTTTAAAACAAATCATTTAATACACAAAGCCCAAATCAAAAACTAATTAGTTCATAATTGAGTAAATTCTAAAATTTTACAAACAGCATCTATAACTTTAAAGAGACAAACTTACAGCAATTAGCAAATAGCAACGGATTAAATTCAAGTTAAAAGACAGATGATAAATAAATTAGTTTTAGGAAAACTGTTTATTAGTTAAACAATAATATAAATCAATAATGGTAAAATATTGATAGTAAGTAGACTTAAGATGAAGTTGAAGTAGATAATACAAATTTAAATTTAAAAAATATTTCAAAAACAGATCAATAAAACGAGAACTAAAATGAAAATTAAATAATAACAAGTGACTAAAATACTCCGAAATCTCCTAAAAAGCTTCTAACTCCTCTGAATTAATAAAATAGTTCATAAAATAACTATGAATTATCAAAATTCAATAGTCCTGACAGCAAAATTCTAAAAAGAAATAGTTTTACAATAAAACAATAGGTGTTTACACCATAACAACAATCTAGATAGAGAGAAAATTTAGATAGTATAAATATAAAAACTGGATACAAACACACTTACTCAAACAGTTAGTCTCCTTTAAGTGAAAATTTTTTTTCAAAAGAGATTTAGCAAAATAGTAAAAGTAAATTTTAAATTAAGTTAAATTTATTAGATAAAGAGAGCAGTAAACTATTCACTAATTTTTTTGCAAATTAACATAAAACTCAAGTTCATCAAAACTCAAAAAGTGAGCTGAATGTTAATAAATTACCTAATTCAGCAAGGAATTTTGAGTCTGATAATTAAATTCAATTGAATAAAATAAGAATAAATGAACTAATTACTGTAAAATAAATATCAAATCATATCAAGAAAGTAGTTCACGTTCCAAGCCTTAACGTCTATATACTTAGATCTATTGAAATAAATTCTTAAAACAGAACTATAATGACATAAAAAATAGCAGATTATAAAAGTTTATCAGAAAAGTATCCATTTCTATTAAACCAAATAGTTTAAGTATTTTATAATACACCAGAAAGCCATATTTCAATTTTATCTGAGTAAATACAATTTACTTTAATAATTTTATTTAATATTTAAATTTATATATTTTATTAATTAGGTACTAACCCCTCTAGAGTTTAAAAAAAGTTACTAACTGCTTTTGTACTATAAATGAAAGAAGTCTTCAACAAATTGTAATTGAACTCTTAACAAAACTTCAAAATGTTGATGAAAAAGAATACCAACATATTCATATTAATTTTGACAATATTTTATTTGATAAATAAGCTCATGTTAAAATAGATTGCTCCTCTAGAGAGAAGTAAACTCATCAAAAAGATGAGTTGCTTAAAATTCTCAAAAAAATTTCTATTAAAAGTTAATAAGAAGATAGCAATTAAGATACCAAAAGATCAAGTTATTCAAAATAATCATCAACAGCAACTTCATTTTAAAACTCAAATGTATTATCTTAGAAAGATAATAAAAATGATAAGAACACTAATAAACATCATTCACTACCTGTTTCTTTAGCTATTCTTTTAATGGAAGCAGCTATAGGAGAAGATATTTTATATGACTATAGTTCGTTTTAATTTAGTTCTTTCGCTTCATAAGATCTTAAAAAGGAAACTGAATATTGCTGCTTTCTTCATAGCATTTTAAACAAGGAGAATATACTTTATAATGATCAATAATCTCTCCTCATTAAGAAAATGCTTACCTTGTAATATACTACTAATTTTATAGACTTCCTTTGCTAATGCTTTTAAAACGTCTCAATAAATAAACTTTCTAACCATCTTTTTGTTAAAGAAGCAACTAATTAAAAGTTTACATCAATTAACGAACTCATTCCCATATCTTTAAAATATGAATCAGAATAAGAAGTAGATAGTTAAAAAAGACTAGATTAAATTTTATCTTCCCTATCTGACTCTATTCCTAATTTTTCTTCATCACTTCATACAATGAAAGTAGCCAAATAAAGTTTAAAAGAAAGCCATCCTTTTGTAGATATGCTATAAAAAGACTTAGGGCTTGCAGCTTGGAATATATTAAGCTAATTAAAAAAAGCATATGATCTTTCTTTAGCTATTTGAAAAAGATGGTAGAATGATAGGTAGGCAGTAATTAATTAATCTCTACAATTTTCAAAAAAAAAATGTTGCTCATTCATCAATTAATTCATTCATACAAAATTTATTAATAAAATATATAAAAAATAAAAATGTACATAATTATTTTTTCAATAGTATTTAAAATATATTTTTATTAAAAAAATGTATTTATTTTTTGTTTATAATAATTTTACATCAAAATACTACTCAAAAAAATAACATATATAAACTACTCTAATATTCTTTTTTTATATTTTACTAATATTTGGTTTTTTAATAGTAATCCATAAAAATATTTACATAATTATTTTTTCAATTATATCTAAAATATATTTTAATAAATTAATATCTAAAAATGGAGTGTGTACTTGTGATACAAAAGAAAGAGAGGGCTAAAAATTAAATTTCTTTAAAAATAACTCTTAATTCATAAAATTATTATTGCTTTTTAAAAAATAATAATTTTTATTTTTTATATTCACTAAGCTCTTAGCTCATAGATTATTTAATTTAATTTTTATATGCAATCATCTTTTTTTAAAATAGTCTACCTAACTTTTTCTTCTAAATTATGGAATTCTTAAGCTTCGTGAAGTTTGATTTATTTAATTTATTCTTAAAAATTGTCTCTAATATCACAATTTTCTTTTGTAAGCATGTTTATCTCTTAAATTAAATTTTTTTTGTCTTATTCATGCTATATGACGGTCTTTTAAATCATTTACTCTTTCTGCATTATACTTTCCATTAATGAATTATTTTTTAATATTATTTGTTGATTCTCTTTTTATAGTAATTCTATTTACTTCTATAAATTAATGCTAAGTTTTTTTAAATTATTAAATTCACTCACTATGTTTTTAAAATCATCTTATAAACTACTTTATTATTATTAGCTCTACTGATAGCTTTATTATGAAATATTAAGGTTATTTATTTTTTGTATTAAATCGCTATTCTAATTAACAAAATGGGCATTCTATTCTACTTAACTAAAATTATGGTTCTAATTAGAGCAGCTACTGCTTAACTAGCTAACTTTAGCATTTTTAATGAAAGTTAAATTATCTTCCTTTTCTAAAAAAGAAGTGCTCTAGCAATTATTACATACAAATTAGCTTAATGTCAAATACTTTTTCTCATCTGAAATCGTGGATCTGCTTATGTCTTCTAGTCTTTTTTAAAAGTATTTATTTTAGCAATCTAAGAACGATATAATTTTATTAGCCATTCTAAGTTCCAACATTAGCCTTTCAGCAATTATTTAAAGGCAGTTTTCTTTTTTTATTTACTAACTACTTGCACCTTCTTTTTATTAAAGGTTTATGTTAGACATCTATTCATACTTTTTTTCAAGGCTCTTCTTTCTCTCTTAATAAAATTTATTTTCTTTATCACAAATTAATTCATATTGCTATATTTAGGCACATTAAATTTTTTAAAAGAATTCTATTTAAAAATTATTTAAATTTCCAAAAAGAGACTCTTTTACTTAGGAGTTTTACTAGTTTTATTAAATATTCTAGAAGGAGATCTAATTATCATTATTTAATGCTTATAGCTAACGTTGAGATTTTTCATAAGTTTTGCCTTAAGTATCTTAATTTAATAGTTTTTCATCATTTATGATATTTTTAGTATCAGTACTAAAATTGTTATTGTTTTAAAAATTTGATTTCTAATTTGCTTTTACTGAATGCTTAAATAAATTTAATTAGCTTAAAGGTGATTGCAGATCATATTATTTGTCTTGTATTTCATTTGAATTAAAGTTGTTGTTTGTGAACTAAATTTAGGATTTAGATTTAGTTAATTAATGATCATTTTATCTACCATTATTTTAATTTTACTTCTTGTTTGTAAAATTTATCTAATTTATGTTGCTAATTTAATTGCTTTATATAATAGGAGTTAGCTATTGATCATTACACAAATTTTGAGATTAATTTGAAGAGGAAATAGTTTATTCAACAGTATTAAAAACAGGAAGATTATTCTTTTGCTAATCATTTTTCTTTGATGGTATTTATTAAAAAGTATTTTTTAGATTAATTTAAATATTGTCATTTTTATTTACATCTGTCTCTGTATTTATGTCAACTGTGTTGATTAAATTGGTACTATCTTTTAGAGTGAAATAGTTATCTTCTTAAGTTGAGATAAGATTTTAATCTAATTTATTATCTAGCTATTACATATTATATTTATTTTTTTATTAGGATTTACTTTTTTCATAATTAGCACTAGATGAACTGCTTTTACATTCATCACTACTCCTTTCTTCGTGAATGTATTATTAATTATTAAAAGTTCTTTCTAAGTTTTTACTTATTGCATATTGTTAATTGCTTAAATCAGATTTATTCTAATAAACTTGCTATATTTAATTTTCAATTTATTTTTAAAAAAATCTTTAACCATTGGTTTAATTTTGCAACTAGTTATACTAGAACTATCCATTATTTTTATTTAATGTATTGCTTTTTCCAGAATTCAAATATACAGTTCCAATTTAATTGCTTTTTTAATCATGATTTTTTATTGTAAATAGATTATCTTCTTTCAGTAATTAGTCTTCTCTAAAGCCCTCAGCATTCTAAGCCTTCTTTTCAATATTTTAGCTATTTTGTTAGTTGTTCTGAAAACTGCGTTGTTGGTTTCCAATCTTTTTTTTATCAAACTTGTTTTTATATCCAACTTAATTTCTTTCTTTCTTTAATTACTCAATATAATTGCTCATCATATGGGATTAGTCAGACTACTAGCTATTTTTATTTTTAGCATATTAGTCATCAGATTACAATTCATCACTTGAAATAATTTTATCATTTTATTATTCATTAGATTGTTTTTTATATTTGAAAGTTTTCAAAAAACTAGCATTATTTTCTTCAAAGCTTGTATCATCCTATTCAGTAAGTGGATTTTCATCATTGAGATTCTTAAATACATTTTATGTAATATAAATTAAAAAAATGAATGTAAAATAATATTTAATGTCTACTTAATCGCTTTCTTCATAGAATTACTCGCTTTATTCCTAATAAGAAGGAAATAACTTTTTAGGTTCTAAATTTTAATTTTATATGATGCTGTCATTATATTTCTATTCAACTACATGACCTTTATATTTTGAATTTATATCTTTGCTTTTATTGTAAGAAGCGTTCATTTATTAGATTTTCTTAAATATTTATTTAACAGATAGATCTTAATTTAACTATCAATTCAATGACTGATAATAAATAAAATAATACAATACTTGGATTGAAAAGTTTAATAATTACTAATCTAACAAAAAAATACATTCTTTAATTAAAATAAAAATAAAAACTGTTAGAATCTGTTCAATTATTAAAAAATATTATTTAAGGTTTTAATATTTTTAAGTTGAATCATAAATACTTAAATGAATTAACACTCACTATTTATAATTTGTCCTTTATTTTTTAAATAAATATTGAATATCAAACTCAACTATCATCTAATAAAAAATAATAGATTACATTTGCTAAATATTTGATTGTATTTTAAATTAACATTAATGAAATCAATCTCCTAAAATATTTTTGATTGAATTATTTTATTTATTTATTTATTATTTTAAAAATAAATCAAAAAGCTTAAAGTATTTATTTTCATAATCCAAATCAAATGAATTTTATGATTAATTATTATATTCTAATTATTATTATTATTATACTATGTCTAAACTTTATAGTTTAAGCTGTATATATAGTCCATTTAATAGTAAAATGAATTATTATTTATATATTAGTTCATATGTTGAGTACATTTTTCATGGTGAGAGGGATTGGTGCTAGAAATCTAGGTTTCTTTTACTTGTCAAAGTGATCATGTAAATTAACATAGCTATTACTATTATGGATTTGACTTTAAGGTATGTAATTTCTTATCATGTTTTCAGCTTATAATTATGGTGGGTATAACTTAACAGATCTTAAATTAAATTAAGGTGGAATATATATTTCTTATCCAGGATATGCCCCATATTTATTTAAAGCAGCAAGTCGATTGATTTCGTCTAGTTCATCGAGTCCTTGTTTATATAGAGCAAATTACTCTTTATATTATTTCATTTTCTCATCAAACTAAACATTTACCACATTTTTTTTCTATTATAAACAAGCATATTAATAAATTGGTAAAGTAAGTATAACCAAATATATACCACTTGATTGTGATCAAATATTATTTATCTTAAGTATGGATCTAATTCTTTTTCCAATCTAATATCCTTAGTCTTTAAGTTTACAATACGAGGGAATTTAAGTTCGTAAATATTTCTTGAATCATATCTGCCTGGCGCGTTTTCATAATCTGTTATTCTTGGTTTTTCATGCTTTTTAAATACTTGTAATGGATTAACCCATTTCTTTTTCTTTTTCTTCTATTCGATTTCTTCATATGAGTCTAACTCATTTTAACTAAAATATTTAAATTATCTTATATCAGCCTCATTTTGGTTTGCTTCTTCTTCCTATTCATCTGTCTCCTGCTAATCTTTTTTTTTCTTTGAAGGTTTTTTCATTAATACTTGTTAATTAAACAAATAATGAGAAGCCTTAACTATCCTCCTCTTTTTTCTTTCTTCTACTTTATTATATACAGGGATTTTATCTTACTGTAAATCTTCTTGTTCTTCTACTTCGTTTTCTTAAATATGTATTTCAGGTTGAAAAGAATTTGCCATATCACAATAAATTCTTATTAAAGTTTTAAATTTTAAATAGCAGGATAGGGAATTAAATTTTTTATTAGAAATGGATGTTCTTTAATTTCCTGTTTTGAAAAGTAAAAGTTGTCTATTTTTATTTTAATAAATTACAGCAATTTAATAGAATATAGTGAGTGACTAACAAAAAATATCAAAAACAAAACAAGACTTAATATTATTTATTATTAAGAGAAAATCAAATATTTATTTATTAAAAAATTGACTGTATTACAAATTTTGCAGATATCTTTTAAATAGAAATAAGAGTAGAAATCGAAATGAATTTACAACAAATTTGTTCATAATGCTAATATAAAAATTTGTATTCATTTTAGTAGTTAAAATTATTTAGTATTTCATTTTATTGATAGCCTATAGGTTATTTAAGCAGGTTAAGAATTGATAAACTAAGGATTTATAGCTTCTATGTACTAGCAGAGTAATACATTTTTTTCAAAGTTGCTCATTTAATAATGAAATTTATTATTTTAGAAATAGGAAACTAGCTTGATAGTGTTTTAATTATGTCAGGATTTGGTAAGCAAATAAAATTGTTTTGAAAAAGATTTGAATTTCTTTAATAAAATAAAATAGTTTTAGTTAATTATTAATAATAACCCCTATAAATCAACACTGAAGTTATATTCAGCAAAGAATATCCTATTTCACCACCAGCATTCTATTTCGTAAATCCAGATCGTAAATATTTCAAAAGCATTGCTAATAAATTGTATCTAATCAATATAAATTAAAAAGCTAATAAATTCTAGGTGAATTCAAAATATGTTATTAACAAAAGACCAAATTCTGAGAGCTATTATGTTATTCTTGATAATTTGAATTGGAATACTCACAAAGATTTGGTAATTATAATATAGAGTTTACTACAAAAATATATTTAACAACAACTTTTTTTAAATATATTAAAATTAGAAAAAAACAATGAATTTGTATATCTAGATTTTATAAAAAGACTTTCCTCTCTACTCTAAATAATTTTAAAACTAGAATAATTAAAAGAATTATGAAATTAACAACTAAAATTAAATAGGAGGGGATATTGAATAAATTATTTATAATGATAATAAAGAAGTAGAATAAGCAGGTAATAAAAAAATAAATGAATTAATTATTTTTTAGATAAAAAATGAAATTATCTTCTTTTGTGTAATAATATCTATATAAATATAGTGAATAAGGAGATATCTAGTATAAAACTTTAGATCAATCAAGATATAAATTAGATGTTAGATGAAGTCAAATAGCTCTATGATCATAACTAAAATCTAATTAAATCAAGTGTAATTCTTCATAGAATAAATCAAGATCTTGATGAATAAATAAAGGAAGCAGATTCCTCAATTAATGATATGAGGAATAAGTGCCAATAGTACTCTAACGAAACTTTAAAATTAGAGACACTTAAAGAAAAGTATATGACAGCTCAAAGCCCTGTTCATAATTAGTATTATTTTATATAGAAAAATAAAGATTCTTATGATTCAAAAATTATTAAATAAAAAAAAGGATACTTCAACTCATAGCAGAGCTTGATGCAATAAAAGAAACATTTTTATTTACTGACGAATGGTTCAAAAGATCAAAAGACTTTGACCAATATAGTTCAGTAAATAATCTCTATTTAATTTAATATGTTAACTTTTATTTATTTTTAAAAGCAAATAAAACTTCTGGCTGAAAGAGAATTTGAGTGCAAAATACTTCTTAAAAAATGTTTACTCCTAGTCAATTGAAGCAAAATAAAAAATTTAAATATTTTTGTTTAAATTTAAATATCAATAAGCATATAACAAATATCTTATAAAAGCGTATTTTATCTAATAATCCATCTATTGTTATTTATATTCAATTTAAATATCAAATTATTTAACTGATTAATGTCATATAAATATCTCAGTGAATTAATAATAATTATTATTAATATTTCATTAAAAAATTTTGATTATAAAAATATTTTTTTACTTTATTAAAAATTGTTGTTTTTCATGATTGATAAAAATAATTTTTATAAGATTTATTACAAAAAAACTAAAGAATTAAAAGTAAATAGGGGTTTAAAGATTTGTTAAAATAATTTAAATTGACTTTAAATTATCAAAAATTAGAAAATTAAAAATTAAATTAGTGATTATCCTGAAATCATACCTAATTTTGTTATTTAGTAAAAGAAATAAAAACTAACATCTTTACATATCTTACAAAATAACTAAGATATTAGTTATTATTATATTGCTTCTATGATTGCATATGTTGACTTATTTAGAAAAATATAAATAAAAATCACAAAAAACACTTCTTAAATTAAGTCTCTTAAAAGTTGAAGATAATTTAATATTTGCAAAGCCAATTGAAAAGTATCAAATCTCTCAACAAAGTTTAACTTAATTTTAAATCTAAACAAACATTAGTTAAGAATCTATAGTTTCTATTAAAAAAGTTTAGATCCTAAAATTATAAATAATACGATAATCTTATAGAAATATCTTAGATTTGTTGAATATCATCTTACAAATTAATATTATGGAGTAGAATATAGGCAAATTCTAATTTTTTAATACTTTTGACTAATCATCTCCTGAAAATGATTCTAATAATGATAAAAAAATGCTTGTACTATTAATATTAATTGGATTTTTTTGTATATATTACCTAGTCTTACTTTATTACCATTTTACAAGGAGAAATCTCTTCCCTATTAGCGAACGTAGCTACAAATTGACACTTATTGATGGAATATGTTCTATGGTGTTTGTAAACATTGTATTAATATCTAGTATTATAACAAACGAACATAACTTTTTACTTGCCCCAAACTTCTTTTATTGTAGTATTGATAAGGTAGGACTAGGTTCAACAGATATAGAGTTTTATGAAAACAATTAATACAAGGCTAATTCAATTAAAGCTTTTTAGTTCCTTAACAATTTTTTAAAGTTTTTTAAGACAATAAACTACTTATTAAGGACTTTTAGGTTGAGTTATGTGTTTTACTTTAATATTAAGCACATTGAAAAATATAATTCTATCATTAATAAATCTGTGATGGGAAAAAATAGTATGACAGATATAAATAATGGAAATACCAATTTCATTTAATAGAACTAGAACTTAAGTTCTAATCACTAAAGATAACTAAATATAAATGTAGCAACATACAATACATAAAATTCTTACGGAGATGCTAATGGTTAATAGCAAAACACAGCTTAAAATTTTAGTAATCATTTAGGTTCACATAGATAAGGGCATTTTTAAGAAAGTCTCGTATATAGCGACATTTCATTTGGAAACTATTCAAACTCTACCTACATCCCTTAGACAAAAATGACTTATATGCTCAAAAGAGAGAATCTTCTGATAGGAATATCTTTCTTAATATCTATAGTTTTCGCAACAATATTTTACTTTATTGTAACATATTTAATTTAGCAAGATTATTATTTTAATTTATTTTCTAAATAATATTTTAATAAAAAAGCCTTCAGCATCTCCTTTTATGTTTTGGAACATTAAATTTTCTAGTGATTTGTAAGATACTCACATTTATGACAATATCATATTTATCTGCATGAATTTTATTTTAATTATCATTATACTATTCTGCTTGATGTCTGTAAAAAATGTAGATGATAGTTATAAGATAAAATATGAAATTTATTTCATGCTTGCCATTTTTACAATTGTAGGAAACATCATTTAGTTTGAATGTCCAGAATAAGATTCCATCAATTATGTATTTGATGAAAATTCTTATCCTATTTTTGGACTTATCCCATATAGATTGGCAATTAGTGGTCTTTTAGATTTTGTTGCTATTAATATAGAAATACTACTGCCTATTCTCTATTCAAGCAAAGAAAGACCTTTTTATAATCAGAATATAGTATAAGATAGTCTACCCTTCTTCTGTTCAAAATATAAAAATTTTGTAGATTTCTTAGTTTACCAGCAAAAGCCAAACCAAAGTTAAATCAATAGCTCTTCATAATGCTTAGCTGAAATATTAAATCTTTATATAGAAATGAAGAACCAAAATTAAAATTAACAAGACATAGATTAAATAACAAAGGTTTTTCAAAAATTTGACTGTCTTGTTCCTGCATTTAGAAGTGAAAATGTAAAATTAGATTTATTGTTTGAAATATAGGATGGTAAAGTTATATAAGCCAAAGAAAATGCAACATAATAAAGCCAAGATTATTAAATGTTATATTAGAAAACGACTGAAATTTTAGAAAAGTATCAAAAGATTTTTATGAAGACACCCTAATACGAATTCTTATTCAGAAGATATTAAATGCAGAATTAAATTTGCCTTTGCCTTTAGGACTTTAATATGACTGGAGATAATTCAAATTGAAACTTATTCAACATCTTTTAGATCAAAAATAATAATTTTTACTAGACTTTAAAAAATTTAATAAATAACAAAAACCCTGAAATTCAAATTTAATAAATTTTTAATTTAAAGCAAATTATTAGTTTTCACATTTATATGTAAATGATATTTAGTTATAAAATTATTAATCAAAAAATTCATAAAATTTTATAAAAAATATTTTAAATCAAATCAAAATTTATAAAAAAATAAATTAAAATTTAATTTTTAATTAGTTAAATAGAAATTCTAATTAACCACTATGTGCCCTTACTTGATAAAGACCAATCAATATTTAAAATAAAATAATTAAAATTATTAAAAAATAACAAGGATTTTAATCATAAACAAACCATATTAAAAGATATGATACCTAATTTATATATGAAAAATCTATTTAATGAAGATTTACATGTAAAAGTGTTTATCATTAATAAAAATACAAGAATAAATACTTTATATGTATCTATTTATTACATAATCATTTATATATCTTTATTAATTTATTTATTTAGATATTTAAAACAAAGGCAAAATCTATATATCTTATAAAGAAATTGGAAGAGAAAAGTTAGAGAGAAGCCAAGAAAATGAAAATTAATGAATAATGATATAAAGAAAAGAGAAAGATTAAAATGGAAAAGAAAGAAAAAATAATCAAATGATGAATGCAAAAGATTGATTCTGATTATTTATGTATTTATTACTTTGTTTGTATTTTGTATGTGATATTGAGTGAGTGAGTGGGAAGATGCTTGCAAATCAAAAAAACTATGCAATAAAGAAAGAAAATTTATTTAAGATAAAAAAGGAAAATTTATATTTAATTAAAAAATAAAGAAAAGAAGAAAAATAATTAATTTATTCAAAAGAGAGAAAAGATGGGCTACAAAATTAGAAACAAATCTATTTTCTGGACTAGAGCTGGTTGGAAGTGATAAAATTTACTTTTATAATAGATTTACTTAGTTAGCATCTATATAACGCAACTGCAATTCATAGCCATTTTTAAATAATATTTGTTTATATTAAAAATAATTAGGAATAACTGGCACCCTAAGAACTTTAATGCCCCTAGACCTTCTTACGGTGAATTCACTATGGGTATTAGATGCAGAAATGACCATCACTCTTTCCTTAGATGTATATTTTACTAAAATATTTTCTTTATTCATAATGATGAAAATTCTGCTATTGAATAAAAGTCTTATTTTTCTTTATCATATATCAAAAGACGTTTAGACCTACAGAAATATGTCAAGACATTGCAAGCAATACTTCCTTGGTGATAAATAACTCGAAGTAATTAAAATTTTATGAGAATAATTAGCTTGTAGGAAATTAAATTAAGTGAAAGAATTTTAGTTGATAACTAATAAAGCATAGATATAATTAAATGAGAATAATTTGTTGAATTAAGATTAATAGCAAAATAATATTATCGATCAATCTAGTCAAAAATAAAATTATTTGGAGTTGCTATAAATCATGTTTAGCAGAAATAGAAGCAGTAAAGATATTTTTATGGGAAATATAAACATTATTTAAAATGAAGCATTGCTAAAAAGATTATATTTGAATACTCTTCACTTTGCAACTATCAATAAAATATATTTATTGTTAGATACGTTGGTATTTAAAAAATAAAATAAAAGGCTAAATAAAGTAGATATCTTTGAAATTTTATATCTTAAGAATAGTTAATTCAACGAAGATTCTTTTATTCACTTGATTGATTTCTTTCTTACCAGCTTTAAAATGCTTTCTTATATTTATTGTGAAAAACTAACCCTATTAAATGTTATAAATAGGAAACTTTCATTTTGGGTTTGAGATCTTTATTCTTAGTTCCTTATGACTCTCAATGTTTAACTGATCAAATCAAGCACGGTGGTGTAATATGAAAATTCATTCATTTTAAAATAAATAAAAAATTTCTTTATATTTGAAAAAACCAGTTAATATTAAAATGGTTTTTTAATATTGAGAATTAAAAAATGTTTAGATTTTTATATTTCCAACTAACCTTTTTGCAATTTTATACAGGAAAGAAGATTCGTTGATCAATTAGACAGAGACTTCGAATTAATTTCATACAATACACACCCTTACTAATTATTCACCTACACTGTAAGAAACGAACATCTTGCTTGGAAAAATGAATAATACGAAAAGATCCAAAAGGGTGAAAAAACTTTCGAATAAGAATTACTTGACTACCTCGAGTAAGAATATTACATTAAATAAATTTATTTATTAAATGCTGCTTCAAATTTTTATGTTTTAATAAATTCTAAGTTATTATTTACTAAATTTATTTCTATTCATTATTAAAAGCGAATAAGTTCTTGCTGAAAAGGCCAAGTTAAGAGACGGTTAAAACTTCTCCATCGAAAGAATGACTGAAATTGCTTTACACGTTTTCAGAAAGGCTAGAGCTGGTAAGGTTAGACCTGCTCAAGATGTTAGAGGTCCTGATGGTAATGTTAATGACTTCCTCGAATAACGTAGACCCTTCGAACACCCCAACCCCACTGGTGTTACTCATTGATTAAATAAAGATTAAATAATGATAGTAAACAATCAAAAGCAAAGGAATTAGTGTAAAACTATCTAGTGCTTCTTTTAATAAATACAAATATTACCTGTTTTCATATCTGTATCGGTTTATATAAGCACTTATAGTAATATATTTTCCTATCTTCTAATTTTCACTCAACGAAAACGATTTAACTAACCTTTATTTAAACTCAACTCAACATTTATTAGAAATTACAATAAAAGTTCCAAAAACACACTTTGAATGCATCGAAGACAAAACAATAAATATTTAGATACATACAAACATATATCCATTCATCCTTAAATTTATATTATTAAAATTAAATGCTTTTCTTAAATTTTTCAAAAAAAGAAGAATATTAATGATAAATAAATGTCTGAATTAAATATTCAGGTAACTAATTCTTATAAAATTTAAAATATAATTTTGATAATGAAAGGATTGCATCTGATAGAAAAAGTCAATTTTTGATTGAATAATTTACATTTTATTTAAAGTACATACATATAATAACAACTTTTATTTTAATTTTTATAAAATATCAAATTAATTCTTATGTTTTTTAACTCAATCTTCTTCATTGCTAGCTTTTTCTTAATCATGATCATTTTCATTATCATCACCTTCTTCACCATTACTATTATCATCATCGTCTTCATCTTCTTCTTCATCATCTTCTTCTTCATTATCTCTTAAGGTTATTAAATGATTTATTTAATCCTTAATAGCATTCAACAAGTCATTATTTTTGCAAACTATAATCTTTTCAGACAACCATTCTTCATTATTTTTTATTAAGATTTTAGTTACATCTATAATTTTTTCAAGAGGAATTTAGTCAAAGTAATTTTCCATCAGCTCAAAAACTGTTTCATGACAGTCAATATGGTCAGGGTCTATCTAAATACATTTAGTTAACCAGTCTAGAGCTTATTCATATTGATCCTTTCCTATGTACAACAAACCGTAGGTGTATAGTGTTTCAGGATTTTTAGGATTTAAATCGTAAGCAGTTTTTAACCACTTTTCTGGTTATTTGAAAAGCTATCTTTGATCAAATTAAATGTAAGCTCTAGCAATAAGTTGAGCGATGTTATCGAGATGATGAGGGTTTCTATCATAAACCTTTTTCAGAACATTAACTATTTTATCTGTATTGTTATCAAGCAATTCACAGAGCAAAAGGAACATATCATCATTAGTCTAGTCTATTAAGAATATTTTTTCTAATAAAGAAACTGCCTTTTTTTTGTTATTTAATTCTCTGTAAACTGTTACTAACTCTGTCATGGTTTCAACGTCTTCAGGGTCTTACTCAAGCTCTTTTTCATAACTCTAGCAGGCTAAGGTAGGTTTATTCAGCAATCTATAGCATGAAGCTATGCTTTTATGAACTTTTTAACACCTGCTTTCATCTATTTTCAAAGCTTTCATAAACTATTCTAAAGCCTTTTTAGAATATTATTTAATTTCCTACTCATAATCTTTGTTTTTAGAATCTTAATCGTCTGAATCTTTTTATTCTTTTTCCTCCTCTTCAGCATCTTCATTCTATTCCTTTTTATTTTCAACTATTTCTTCTTCTTCACCATCATCCTTTTTGTTAGTTTTTTAGCTATTTTAAGAATCTTTTTAAGTTTTTTTTTTATTTTCTTCATTTTCAGCTACTAGCTCTTCTAGCTCCGCTTCTGAATCAAATCTTTCGTTCTCCTCCTCTAATTCTTATAATTATTAAATCTAAGTCAAGTAATATGAACCAATAGCAATAGCAGGGGCTGGGTCTTTAAATTCTGGATCAATTTCATAACATTTTTAATAATATTAAACAGATTTTGGAATATCTTCATCGCTGCTTGAAAATAAAGTATGTCCTAATTCTAAATAAATATAAGGGTTTTTAGGATGAGTCTTTAAACTCTCTTCTAGTATCTATAACGCCTCTTTAATATATCCTTTATCAGCTAAAGTTTTAGCTTGATATATTATCAGCTCTGCTTCTGGGCTTATGGCAGAAGGTTCTTAGGTTCCCTACTAAGATTATTTTAGGATTGTGTGAGCATCTTTTAATAATTCTAAAGATTTTTCTAAGTTATTATCTCTTTTCAATATGATAGTAGCCAATTAAACTTGTGCAACAGGTTTAGTTGTTTCCAATTCAAAAGCTAATTTACAATACTTTTCACTCTCTTCATAATTATCTTAATTTAAATATATTTAGGAAATGATTAGATAACCTTTTCCTTAATTTGGATTATCTTCTCCAACTCTCTTAAACCAGTTGATTGCATGTGTAATACAGTCTTTTTTAGGAATTCCTAATTGTTTTTGTATTTCTTCTTCCTCCTCAATTTAATATATATCATGGTAAAGAGTGCCAATCTCTTGGGCTATTAAATACTTTTCTGATTACTGAATAATATTGTAGCTTTTTTCAAAAAACTCCAAGCTCTCTTTGAAATTATTCTTTAATATATGAGATAGTATTCCTCGAACTAATAAGCTCCAACAATCATTAATTTGATTATCTTACTCAAGGCCATTGCTAAATTCTTGTAATTCTTTCATATTTCTTTAAGAGCCTATGGAATCCCCTTATTAAATTATTAGCTTTATTTCTAAATACTTAACCTTATAGTCATTTTATAAAATGGTTTTCAATTTTTCTATTAACTATTTAGCTTCGCTAGTTCTATCTAATTAAACTAAACAAAACGTCTTTTCCCTTAAGGCTATTGGGTCATTTTCATCTTTAATCAGTAACGCTTCATAAAACTCAAGGGCTGCCTATAATTTATCCTAATAAACTAATTTTTCTCCTTCGCTATAATCCATTTTATTTATTTATATCTTTGTAAAATTTTTCTAGAGTTTAAAATTCTAAATATATCAATCTATCTATCTATCTGTCTAAATGTTTGATTTATTTTTAGTATGTAGGAATTAATATTAAATCAATTTTATCTAATAATAATAATTGTCAAGCATGTATTTAAGTATATTTGTTAACTACTTCTTCTCTATCTTTTTATTTTTATATTCTTTATACCTATGCATTGATTCCATTTAAATATGTTTTGAGACACAATCCATTTAAGTTAATTAATATATGCTATTATTAAAGAGTATTCATTTATCTTAAAATTTTTGAAAAATGATTTTATAATAAAGCCTTTGAATTTTTAATTTGTATTATTTTAAAATATCTTTTGTTTATTATTATAAATTAAAATTTGGTAGATTATTAGATAAATTTTAATTTTTAAATTAACAAAATCTATTCAAATAGTTATGTTTATACCTCAAATACTTTTTGTAAAAAATTAAAGTTGATTTTAAAGAAAAATTAATAGAGTTATAATTTTAATGAATATAACATTTCATAAAAAAGTAAATTTCAATTTTTAACAGTTTTAAATCTGAAAAAAATTAAAATTAAAAACCATTAAAGTAAGTATGTATTTAAATTATAAATTGTTTAGCTTTTATTTATTAATTTTGGGATATTCTTTTTTAATTTTTAAATATATTATCCCATAAAAAATTCTTTTTAAAATCAAATATAAAATAAGATGATAGTTTAAAAGATTATTATTTTTTTAAATTTGGTAGTAAATAGCTTAAAGCATATTTTATTTTCATGGTTTTAAACGATATTATCCAAAAGAAATAAGATTGCTTATTTTTTTATTTTTATTAATAGATATTTATTATTATTATTAGATAGCACATATTAATATTAAATGTTTTACTAAAATTTTAGTGCCTTTTTTTGTATTTATTAGTACAAAAATATCATTTAGCTAAATAATATTTTATTACTTGAACTAGAAATATATTTATTTGTGAAGTATAAAATTTTATTTTTAGAGAAGAAAATTAAATTGTTCCAAATAGATAGATATTAAAAATTTTGGTATTTGTTCTCACTGAGAATGTTTGTAATATATATTACTTTTATTTATATTTTTTTACATAAATATAAAAAAAGTGATAGCTAAATAATTTACATCAATTTAAATTGTTTTTTATACCTTTAATTTTAATACTATATTTTTCTTAACTGTAATCCACATTTATACTTTACTTTTGAAATACTCTTCATACAAAAATAATCAAATATTTTAACATTTCCTTAAATTATTCTATTAATTAAAATACAAACCTAATTCTGTTTCATAAAAAAAGTGTATTATTTGTCTACTAAAAATTAATTGATTAATAAACTAAATCCTTTCATATAAATTACTCAAAAATATAGAAAATATTATCTAAATAAATTTGCCATCATAGATTTTATTTTTAATAGCATTTATCATTCATATTTTGTGCTGAGAAAGTAAAATAGGATGATGATAAGTTAGTAATTCAAAGTGTATAGTATAGCATCAATGCATTATTTTTGAAGAGAAAAATTATTTTGATCGTAATTAATCAAAATATTTCATAATAAATTTATGATCGGAATTATTATTATTAGTATCAGAATTAAATTTTAGGTGATTAATTGTTAATAGTTAATTAAAAGCTTTTTTCTCAATTTTTTTAATTTGATTTAAAATCTTTACTCATAATAATGAACAATCTATCAATATATTTTAATAATTAAATATCTATCTTTTAAAGCAACTCTAACAAAAAAATATCAAAAATTTTATAATAATTAAAAATAAATAAAAAAATTTGTCTATAATCTTTAGAAGTAATAAAGAAAAAATATTATTTTATGGATTCAGTTGAAATTAATTTGGATTGTGAGAAACATCCCTAAAAAAAAATTGAATTCTTCTGTTACAACCCTAAAACAGCTGATTGTACATTTGTTTGCTCTCGTTGTGTGCCTAGCGTGTCTAAATAAATGGTAGTTGTTGACTTAGAATAAGCCTTTTCTAATCAAGAATATTATGTTCACAACTGGCCTCCAGTTCAGAACTAGGATTTGTATGAGAAAATTGAAGATTCAATTTAATAAAAAGAAGAAACTCCTACTCCATAAATATCTTAAGATATATTTTAATAGATTTATTAAGAATTTGATGAATTTCTTCAAAATTTAGAAACATAAAGCATAGATAATGGTTAATCTAATTTTTACAATGACTATAAAAATCTTGCAAAAGTAGAACAGTTAAAATCTTTTCTTTAAGTTGAATTGGAAAAAGATTAGAAATTCAATTAGTTATCTAACGATTTTTTGGATTTTTTGACAAAAATTAATAACGATTCTTCTCTTGAAAAGGAGTTAGAAAGCAAGTTAAATTAAGTTACCTAAAAGAAGGTGGAAAAAAATCCATTTGGACAACTTGAGGAATCTTTTAAAATACTAATCTAAGACTATTAACAACTTGCTGATAATTAATAATTATTGCAAAAGTTGGAAATTTAGGAAAAAAATGAAAATATTAATACTAAACAAAATGATGACAAGACTTTCTAAGTTTCAAAAAACATGGTTTAATATGATCCATCTTAATTAGGTATTTATTTAAAGAGTTCATTAATAAAGAATAAAAAACAAGCAAGATAATCTAAAAAAGTTATCTAACTAGATTAAAATAAATAAGAATTTGTTGATTATATCAATCTAAATTTTAGATATAAGAAATTCTAGAATATATAAGCAAATTTTTAATTCTATGATCATCCTTTTGAGCTATAATTTAAGGATTCAAAGAATGATCAATTTGAAACAAAATGTGATTAATGCTCTAGTCCTACATTTAACTATTACTGGATGTGCAACTAGGAGTGTAAGCATACAATTTGTGTTGATTGTGCATATTAAGTACCTGAGTATCTAAACTACTTCGAAAATTTAGGTAAGTGCTAAATATAAATTGAATCACATCGTCATCAATTATAATTATAAAAGCATAACGAATTCTATGAATAATAATGTAATATTTGTGAAAGGTTACTTTTAAGATTCAGCTTTTCATGCCAGCCTTGTAATTTCTTTGTATGCCAAACTTGTACATCAATACATAAAGAAGTAAAAACAAGTAAATCATATGCTGCGGAAATTAAAAAAAATAATTTCGATTTCTTTGTTCAAAAAGGTAAAGAGATATATCTTGAGCAAGAAGAAATAATGTCTTGATAAAATCATTAAATATTAAGAGATTTATTATTGGTTTCTGCATATTTTCTATTTTTTTTCAAATCATATTGCTTTTCATTCTTTAAAATTTATATACTTTAAATAAAAAATATACGAAGGAGGGGGATAATACGCGGAACACATATTTTTAATTTATTTTAATAAATATTTATTCAAAAAAATAAATATTAACCTCTTTAAAATATTTGTTTAAAAGTTAGCTCTCTAAGAAATTTATTTCCAAGGAGTGGTATATCAAAAAATACTCATACAAAATTAACATATTTTATCTAATAATAAGATTACCTTCATTAAAAAAATTTTTTAAAGTTCAGATAGAGGGCTTTATTTATTGTTATTTTTTAAAATAAACAATCAGAAATAGCTTCTTTAGATTTTATGCACTTAAATGTCAAAAAATAATTTAATTTATTTACATAAAAATATTGCAAAATATATCATTTATATTTTATCTTAAGTTATAAATAGCACTATGTGTACTATATTTAGATATAATACTAATAAATTATGATAATTTCAGTAGTCTTAATTATGCTCAAGCTTAATTTATAGAAATCTAATATTAATAATTTACTTATCTAAAATTTCATAAATTATTATTTTCAGTCAATATATTCCTTACTTAGAGTCTTTTTAAAGAATTATTTTTGCTTAAATTCAAACATTTTTCTATTTTCAATCTTTAAATTTTACATAATTAAATGAAAAAAGCAATTAAAAAACTATTTAATCTGTTTTATATTTATTTTATCCTTTTTAATTTTAAATTAAATACATTTCATTTCTTTTTTTGATTAATTATTTACATAAAATATACAAATACAAAAATAAGTTCTTATTTATTCTATCTAGTTTACAAATAAAACTATTACTAGTATGATTTAGATATATATATTTATAATAAATTACGATTATTTAAATAGTTTTAATTATTCTTATCTAGCTTATTTGAGACTTCTAAAAGAATTATAATTGCTTAAATCCAAATATTTTTCTATTTCTATCTGGATATAAATACTGAAATGAAAAAAATTAAAAAAATTTTAATTGATTTTAGAATATCTATAATGGATGTTATTATTTTTACTTTTATTTCTTTTTAAAAATAAACATTCTCAAATTTCTAATCTGGATTTAAATATTGCTCTATAACTGCTAAATATAGAAAAATCTCAAAAAAACTATGAAAAGTTTAGTTATTTTAATTATGATTATTATTAATTTTTAGGAATAAAATATTAAAATTTACTTGCCTAAGATTTCAAAAAATATTTATTAATACTCATTTGATTATTATTAGTAGGTTATTTAAAGAATTGTACTTTCTTAAATCCAAATATTTTTCTATTTTTTAGTTTATTTAGTAATTTCTCAAAACAATAGTTTTTTCAATCACATAATTAATTTTTCTATTTTATAAAAAGAATTCGGAAAATGTTTAATATTTTTTCGAATAGAAAAAGTGTTTTTGTCAAAAATCTTGTTAACTGACAATATTTAAACTCTTTTTGCAATTTGAATTGCAAAGAATTTATTTTACTAAGTATCTGGAATATTTTTTAATATTTTTATACCCAGTCACACTTAAAACAATTAAAACAAAGGATTTTCATAATTTTGAAAATTCAAGTATTTAATTTTTTAATTTTTATAAAATTTCAATTTTTACGTGAATTTTTATCATGCGAAAATTAAAAATAATTTAGTGATAGATTTAAAGGAGCTTATAATAGTTAGGATCGGTCGATAGAAAAGATAAAAATTTGAAAGAGTGATAATCAGAAATTAAATTAAACTTTTTTGAAATTTAGTTTAATTCTATCTAGCGTTTTTTCAAAATAATTTGAATTTATTACTCTAGTTTTTTTGTTTTTTGAGACTTGTGCATTTTTAAATAAAAATATGTGCTTTTAAATATATTCTTACTGATTTATTGATGTAATATTTAAGCTATAATTAGCCCTCCTATTTTCCCTAGGATTTGTAGAACAAATTAAGCAATAAATAAAATAGCAAAAAATAAACAAAATTATTCTAAATAAAAATGTCCAGCGCATACTTGCTGTAGCTTATTCAGTCTCATTGTTTTAATTTATAAATCTCCAATCGAATTTCATTTATGTTTGTGAATCTTAAATAACTATCTGAAATAGAAGAATTTATAAGGCAAAATTACAGTTCATGTTTTGATTTCTAGATCATACAAAGCATACTTTTTATTGTAAAATTACAAAAATTAATTACTCTTTCTCTAACATCTTATGAATTAAAATTTATCTATTTCAAATCAAATAAGAAATATTAAAAACAAATCGCATTAAGTAAATATTTGTGATAAAGAATTAATTCATAAAAATATTAAAATTAAATAAAACTACAATGGGACAATAAATACATAAATCCATAAAAAATTTAAGTAAATTTAACAACAGAATATTAATGGCTGGCTAAAAGGGTTCTGGAAAAACATAAATAATAAAGCACTTAAACCTCAGCTCTTACTCAAAAGATGCCATGGATATGCCTTATCCTCTATAAAAAATACAATATAACAACCTCAGTATAAATATTTGGACCTTAGATGGTAAATGGAAAACCTATTACTACTGCGAAAATTACTTTCAAAATAACGATGCTATAATATACGTACTTCACTCTATCGATTGTGAAGCAATAAGTTAGGCAAAATATACTATTAATAAAATAATATAATAAAACTAAAATAGTAAGACTCCTGTATTAATATTCTTTAATTAAAAGCACTACTAACATGTACAAATTGAACAAATCGAATAATTATTAAATTTATAAGAAATATCTGGAATAGATCAATACCACATCTAAGAATGCTGTGCTATCAAAGGTGATGGTGTAATTTAAGGTTTCTAATGGCTTTAAAAATTATTAATTAAAAACGAAAATTAATGAAAAAATAAATATAAAAATAGTTTTAAATTGTAAATATTAAAATAAATTATGTAATAAATATATTAAAAATTATCATATTAACTCTTCATTTATATCTTCCTATTTGCACATATTTATTTATTTGCCAAAAGGTATCTATAAATAATTTATTTATTCTTTCAAAACTTTACACTTTTACCTTTATCAAAAAATGAACTTTATTATTGAATAATCTTCTTTCATGACTTAACAATTTTACTTTTATCAAAAAAGGAACTTTATTATTGAATAATGTAGTTATCATTTTAAAGTTTCCTTTTTATATCAAAAGAAATCCTTATTCATTATATATGTATATATATATATATATTAGATTTTTACAATTTTTTATCTTTATTTAACTTGATTTTGTAATTTATATAATATTACCTTTTAAAATAATTTTAAATATTATTTATTCAAGATAAGATAAATATTCATATCTATCGAAATTCGTTTTAATATTAAATTTTGAAATGACATATTTTGTTTGAATTTTCAAAAACAACTAAATTTTCTCTTCTTCATATTAAAATCTGATGAATTATTATAATGAACTTAAATCTAATTAATTTATCCTAAAAAATTCAATGAGTTCTAACAAATATTTAGTAGAAATAAACATTAATTAATTAATTATTTTTTCTGCAGGATACTAAATTTTTTACTAAATTATTAAATCTATATTTAATACAACTTGTTTTCCTTCAAGATCAAATTAAAAAAGTAGATTTTTTTAAATATTTTAAAATTTAAAAATAAAATAAAATTAACTTGATTTTTTTATTAATAATTATATTAAAAAATATATGTGAAATTTTATGCTTTTAACATAGATTTAAATTGATTTTTTAATATTTCAAAGTAGTTTTTTATTTCGAATTTAAATTCTCATTTACAAATCATAAAATACGAATATTTATTTTCATTTTATATACAAAGAAAAATCATCAAAACCAAATAAAGGTATAGATTCCAGCTTACTTTAATCAGAATTGCACTTAAGTATTTCATCTATTAATTTTGTAAGACCTAGTTCTATTTCAAAAGACTAAAGCTTATGCTTGACAACAAAACTTATTGGTTGAATCCATACATATTAATTGAAATCAGCGATGTTCATTTGACACATATCTTCTATTCCAGAAGTAAGGTTTTCTGTCCATTTATGGGAGTCTAACCATACTATTCTATCATCAATTCTTATTTATGCAGATTCTCCTTTCCAAAATGGGGATAAAAAAAAGAAATTGCCTTCAATTTTTAAATGGCTGTGTTCTGGTAAATCTTCGAATTTTTTATAAATTTTCTCATTCAAGCTAGCTGTTGCCATATCTTCTTCATTTCTAATTATAAAAATTATGCTAATTTGAGAATTAAGTCCACTTTAATTATAAATCAAATGATTAAATCTTAATAAATTCTTAATACGTTTTTAAAGACTCAGAAGATGCATCAGCTTTTATTACTTTCCACCCGTTTTAGAGAAGAGTTGTATTTGATTGTTGTTTGGTGAATGAAAATGACTCTGAATCGAGAAGTGTCCACTATCTTACTCCATTTATGCTAAGAGATTTGCTTTATATAAGATTTATATTTAGATTTGATGTTTCTGTTTCATCGTTTTTATCTTAAATGCTCAAATCTCCTAAAATAGTTATAACACCATCTTGTTGAGGATCATTTGGATTTTTTAATCCTTTAATTATATTGACGCTCAAAGTTTCACCTATCAGTTTTTCTGAAACTTTAACATTAGTGAATTAGCACTATTCACACCAAGCATTGTTAGTAATTATACCACTGTCAGCTTAATCTACTTACTTTTCATGATCACTTTACTCATTTTATTGATCCTATTGTAAATTAGTTTGTACAAACTAATTTTAAAAATATTTTTAAGGTATAAACTATGATTAATTTGGGTCAACTATAATCTCTTTTAATCTAAGCTAATCATTGACATATAAATTTCCTTTTATTGTATTTATGGCAGATACTCTTGATAACAAAGTAATTACACCTAATAGTAAAATAGCAAATTTGTGCATTTTGTTTCCTTATATTTTCTACTAAAAAAACTAACAAAAAATAAATATATATTTTTTTTTTTGCAATATTTATTGATTTGTAAAAATATTAATTGATTGCTCTCAAACTAAATAAATACTAAACGAATATATTAATTATGCTTAACGAAAGATAATAAAGTAAATTATTTAAGATTTTATAATAGTATAAATTATAAATATAAACTATTTAATGAGTGGGTGGTTAATTATATAATATAATTTTATTTTAATAAAACAGTTTGAAAATTATTTGAAAAATTATCTTCAAACATTAAATGAAGAGAGCATTTAAATAGCCTACTAAAAATATTCATCTGTATTTTAAGGAGGATTGATTTTTGCAAATGTGTCTTTATAAGGAATGTTCTTGTACCTTAGATAGTTAGTAATGTAATCAATAAAACTGAGTATTTGTCTTTGTATATATCCGTCAAATTATTTTAAATATTTTATATTAAAGTTCTTTTGTAGAGTTTATATGATGTTAGAAATTTAGCTTGGCAAGATATTTTCTGCAAACTGCATTTTATATTTTGAAGTTTCTACCATAACTTCGTCACAAAACTCTTGATATATCTTTATTTAGTCAGTTATATGCTGTTAAATTAATAGATTATTAGCTTATTTTAATGCTTATGCAGGAATAATTTTTATAATATTAAGCACTTTTTGCATTCTATCATTTAATGACTAAGCAATTGAAATTAAAGTTTTATTGTATTGTTCAGGATCAATCAAATCTATTAACTATTTCTATAGCTCTAACATTATCTATCCCATAACAAACATATATGATAACTCTGCTTAGCATGCTTGGATGCTTACAGTAAAATTCAAAAAATCGCCATTGGTATTATTATTTGTGAATATATTCTTCTTTGCATTACTCTTTCTATTGCTTTAATTAAAAAAATAAAAATAAAAATTGGTTGCATTAAATTTTTGTTCATCTTACCTGATTGTAGTTGTAAAAGATGTGTTAGTTTCTATTGAAAATTCAAATTGTTGATTTATGTTAGTGTGCCACTTATTTAGAATTTCATATAGATCATCCCAAGAAGCACGATCTTTTTCATTTATTATTAAAGACTTTTATAATACTTCTTTAGAAACAGGTCCACATTTTAGCTGATCATACTATATAGGTTGATTTTAAATATAGCCTAACAGCTCTGCTTCACTGTTAGCATAGTAGGGCAATTTTTTAAAAACTAACTCATAAAATATCATGCCAAAGCTCCATATATCAGTTTTGTAAGTATAAGGAATTTTACTCAAAATCTATGGTGACATGTAATAAGGAGATCCAACAGCTGACTTAATCATATGAGCCTAATTATCAAAGCTTTTACAAAATCCAAAATCTATAATTTTAATTTTTTTATTATGAACCAAAATATTCTAAGGTTTGAGATCTCTATGAATAATATCCATTCTGTGAACTGTTTGCATACCTTGAGTAATTTAATAGGCAATTTCTAAACAAATCTTTTCATACTCATCAAATGGCATATTGCTTTTTTGTATAGTTTAAATATAATGCTTAAGCTCACCGTCCTAGCAGAATTCTTGTATGATGTAAATGTAGTTATCAGAATAATAAACATCCTTTAATTCAATTACATTAGGGTGTTTTATTTTTTTTAAGGCTTCAATTTCTCTTTACAAAGATTACTTTATGTACTAATCCTATTAGACCATTCTTTGATCAATTTATTTTATGGCTACATCTTCATTAGTTATTTTATTAACTCCTTAAAACACCTTTCCATACTCTCCTTATCCTAAACAATAATTTATACTAAATTTATAATTTCCTATTTCCTTTTAATTTCTATCCGACATCCTAAAAGATTAAAAATACTCTTTAAAGTTAGTTATTAGCTGGTTTTTAATTATTAATTCTAAAAATTAAGATGATTTATATATCAAAATAAAGAATTATTTGAAATGATTTAGTTTAAAGATATAAAATATATAGTGTTTTTTTTGAAAAAATAACAAATTAAATTTTCTAACTCTGTTCAAAATCATAAGCATTTTTGATATTTAACAACAAAACAAACATATAAAGTCATCCAACATATATTAAAATTTATTAATTTCAATTAAAGGCTTTAATTTCTATAATAAAAAATGTTTTATTCAATTAAACGTTTTAATTTATATAATAAAAAATTTTTTATTCAATTAAAGAGTTTTTTTTGATTTTAGTAAATTAAAAAATAATAATTATCAGAATAATAAAAATTAATTGATATATATTGGTTTAATTAATTCTTTATATTAAGATAATTTATTTGTTTATTATTATTGATTAAAATTAGCTATTTTTCATTAAAAAAGATATTTAGAATGATAAACATTTAAAAATCACAATGTTTAATTAAAATATTTTAATTTCAATAAATATTGTTAAAAAAAATGTAAAAATGTTTTTTTTATTCAAGTTTATAACGATATTTTTTTCAGAAAAATAAATATAAGAAGATAAATACCAAAAATAATAAAAAATACTCAATAATGAGATTTAATAAATACTTTATTTTATTTAAGAAATTTATTTAATATTTTTAATGGAATTTAAATCTTTGATAAAAAATAAATAGATTTTTAGTATAATAACAAAGAATAAAGTAATTAATACATTTGATAACTATACCTAAATTTAGATTGTTTAATTTAAAAAATAGATTTACTTTGGTTGTATATAAGTTTAGTAAAATACAATTAGATGTTTGCTCCAATAAATTAGTTTAAATTTATTCATTTAAATAGGGAAAGGAAATTGATTGCTAATATTCCAATTAGAAGATAAAAAAATATTTTTTATTGTGAAACAAATGCTTGTTGTTTTTCATTGCATAAATTTACAGAGTTGTCTATATTTAATATCTATTCAGTTATAGCATTAAGACTTTCTAGAGATTATTAATTCTATTCTATGAATTTATCAGTTTGAGAAAACTTTACAGGCTTTGATTTGCCAGTTCCAGTTCCAGCTCCTGTTTTTTATTTTTTTTATTAATTTATTACAGATGCTCTTTAATTTTATGCAAATTTAATTTGTTCTGTTATCAAACCTTTAAACTTACCATTCCATGTTTCTCTATTTTCTGATCCACTTGACTTTACAATTAAAGATTTAAACATTGAACTTTTAACAAAATTGATGAAAAATCCGAATGTTATTTTAACAGTGGTAGGGCCTGTTTGCTAAATATGATAAAAATTTTATGTCGTAAAACAATCAGCCATCGGAACTTTCGAAACTTTAAACTCTCTTTGTATTAAAATTTCTTCGCTACTCAGCCAAAATATTTTTTCTTCTGAATTAACTTAGCAAGTTTTAGGGCCCATTGGTACTTTTTCTCTAACTGGGTGAATAAATTAGTTTGTTTTTGTAGAAAATTAATTAGATTCTAAAAACTCTTAATAGTTAGTAGAAGATACGTCAGTATAAATGCTACTAGGTGCAGGCTACCAAGGAGTTATATCAATATTAGTATCTTTAATGTATGTTTGCTAATAGAAATGGCTGAACGATTAATAATCCTTGTATTATTTATCACTGAATATTTCAATAAATACTTCTCTAGTGTGGGTATTTTCTAATACTAATTCAAATGTTTCAAAGTCTTTATTAGACAAATAATGTTTTGGGTTATCAGACAAAATTTTTTATTTTCTTTCAAGCATGGACTATTTTAATTCTTCAGATAAAATAGGAGGAAATGCAGGTTGTTTTTCTATAGCTTATTCGTCTGGTTGTGATTCAGGATTTTCTTAATTTTCGTTTGTATTTCCTGACCTTTCTAGCTCTCCTTATGAATCATCATCTCTTTATTATCCTTCTTCATCTACTTCATCATCCTCAGAATCTGAGGTGTCTACTTTATTTTTCTTAACTTTTTTATTTGAATTAGGAGCCATCTTCTTTTCCATAAGATCTCCGAACTAAGCTATTTGTCTAAATATTGTAAAATTAAAAAGAATTTAGTTAAATAGTAGTTGATTAAGTTTAAACTTTAAATAATATAAATTACTGTTTTATAAGCCTGTAACATCTATCTCTGTTCATAAAAGATGTAAATGTGAGTGTTCCCTTTTTAGTGGTAATTGATATGGCATTATCGAAGATTAATGCTTATGCTCTAAATTTAGAAAAATTTGAATTTAAAACAAAACAAAAAAATAAATTAATACTTTTTATCAATCTGCTTAATTTCATTAAACGGAATAACTAAAACTGTATCGCCTTTTAATTATAATTAAATAAATAAGTAATTCTGTAATTAATTAATGAACTAAGTTAGTAAATAAATAAATAATTTAGGCTTAAGTTAAAAAATTTTACCAAATAAAGTTTTAGAGTTAAAACTACTTATGAACCCTATCATCGTATTAAAGATATAAATCTTTCCATGCAGACCAGCGTTGGAACAACTGTAGGAATCTACAACAAAATCATTTTATGGAACATTAAATTTTTTTAATAGGGAATCAGAAATTTTTAATGAGTCTTGCTATTTGATACTATCTTTTAGAGGGGAACTAATAATATTTAACTCATTTATTTGTTTTTACTATTATTCTATAATGTAATCTTGCTTAAATTCATCAGGCAAGTTAAATAACTTTTTAAATACTATAAAATCTTATTAATTGTTTTATTTTTGCTCTTAAACATCAAAAAAATGCTAGTCTTTTGTAAAGTACGATTTTATTTAATCTTAAACCTCATCTTGAGACATCAAAACATTATCTATCGCTTTTTGTAAAAATTATTATTTTTTTTATTGCATTTTCAGCAATTCCTAGAATATAGAATATAATGAAGTGTAAATAGTGAGGCTACTTACATTTTCTTGCTTAAGAATCTTTTTTAGACTGCCAACAATCATTTATTAGTATTATTTTTGTAAATAAATACCATCATCATTCTATTGATAGTTTTTTAGCATTAACTATTACAAGTAAACAAGTGCCTTGTCCATATTGGAATATTCGTTAATTATTCCATTCAAACTGTTTTACTTTTAGTTGATAAAAATTGAAATATATTTAAATGCTTCTGATAGACCCTCCACTATAAATTAGAGAACATTTAAAACTTCTGTGAATTTAGCTGATAGTTTTGATCCAGATGTTTGTTGCTTGTTAGCCATGTGTTTTACTAAATTCTTTTAAATAAAATCGTATGATTCACACAATTCTCCTAAATACTGCTTTAGAATCTTAGCATTTTTAGATCTATCTTCAAGCATTTTTTTAAATTTTTCAATAATTGCTTTGACTTATTCAAAATAATAGCTACGGATACTTTCATCAGACTGATTCTGAGTTTAAATTTCAAACCTATCTAAGGCCTTTTATAAAGATAAGACAAAATTTATGCAAGAAAACTAATTTTAACTATTACTAGTTTAGCTTGAATTTTATAGGATAGTGTTACTAGACTCAACCAATTATTATTGTGACTTACTGGTATCTGATAACTGCAAATTATCTAAATTATCTTAAGTAACTTCGTTAACTTACATTTCTGGTAAAATTTGCTACTCTGTGAGTTTAAATTATTCACCAATTTTCAAGAAGTAAGGAAGGTAGTTGCTTTCAAGCTATTAAATTACCGTTTCTGTGATTTTATTTTGAGCTATTGCAAACTGTTTTACCAATAACAGAACAGAATTTACAGACTCAGAAAATAAAACTTTCATTGAATTAAAATTTAGCTTCAATGTCTCTTTGTAACTTGAAACTGATGAGTTAAAGTCATTAATTGTTTACTGTAGAGATTATTCCTATTGTTCTATTTCCTACACAAACACTCTTATTTTAGATTCCTACTTTTTAAATAAAGTTATGTTATAGCCAGTCTTCTGAGATTTTTGATACTCCTCATACCTCAGCTTGAATTCTGAAGATTGCTTTTCATATTTTTAGCTGTTCTTTAAATAGGCATCTACACACTTATCTAGTTTTTTTTCGCTGTTTTTTGTATTTTCTTTAATATTTTTTTTACCTATCTTAATATTTTCTAGATTGAAATCATTGCTTTCTAATTCATTAAGTTTTATTTAAGATTAGTTAATATAATCTATATAATATTTTTAAAAGTTTCCTATCTGTATGGAAACAGGTTCTTTGTCTTCATAAATAACTTAACCTATACAATTTTTTGTACTTTTTAGCTGTTGTTTAAAAAAAGTATCCAATAATAGCATCAAATCTACAAAATACTATTTGAAGTGCTTTGTAGTAATATTAATTTCTTCAGCCTGGTCCATGATATTTTGAGCAAGGTCTTTTTTTGAGTTGATATCTGTCTACATACTTAGAAAAGTTTATAATAAATTAAGGTATGCTAGAAGGCTTAATCAATTGAAAATGAATGAATGGGCAGACAAGTCTTAATAATATTATTATTTATTTAATAATAATACAAATTTTATGCTTTATTTTCCTTATTATAAATGTAAAATATAAGCTTATATTTATAATATTATGTTTTTTTATTGTTGTTATTCTTATTTAGTTATTATTATTTTTGCAAGAAATTTATAATATTTTTTCAATTATTAATTACTAAACATTATATCACACTGCGCTAATCAAAGTAACTCACTCACTTAATCAATAAATCAATCGTGTTAAATCTATACGAATTTAATTTTTAGAAATAATGATCAGAAAGTGTGTGATTTACATATAATTATTACATTTTTCAATTTTCTTATGCAATAATTTTGATAAGCCTTCAAAAAATGAATAGGAAGACTTAAAAAAATATCGATAGAAGATAGATTATTCTGTTTTTTAATTGAATAATATTAAAATGTACTATCAATCAAATTTGTAAAATTATTTGAATAATTTAACTTAATTTTAATTTCACTTCATCTAAAATTAAGAATTTTTTTTATATTAATTTTTTTAGAATTAAAATTATTAATTTAATTTAGTAAAAATAATTCTCAAATAAATTAAAATTAAGTTTATAAAGTGTTTGTTTTCTAAGTTTCATAGAATTATTTTTAAAAATTAAATATTTTTTATTTTTAAAAACTTTTCATAAATTGAAATTCTAAAACAAGCAAAAGAATTGTTTTATGATTTAATTTAAAAATATAATATTTTCATTTAATTTACAAGTATAATGCTAAATAATAGAATTATTTCCAAAAAGTTTAAAATAAATCTTCAAATTATTCTTTAATTAAGCCTAAAATTAAAAAAAATAAATTTATCTTAATTTTTTTTCTCATTCTTTACTTTTAGAGAATATTTATCGCTTTTAAAGAATTAAAATATAAACTTACAATATGAATCATTTAAACAATGGCTTTAAAATTTCTTAAGCAGATTTATTAGAAGAATTTTTTAATTTCTGTAATTCTTAAAACTCTGATGAATACTTGGGGCTTTCTTTTTATGTTATTAGATCTTTGTTTTAGCTAATTTCGTAAATAATTTATTTTATATCTTCAATATGCATATTTTTATTTTTCACAACAAATAACTTGATTAGATTCGAAAGTAATTTATCTTAGATTAGTTTTTTTTGACATTCTTTATTTTAAAATAATAATTTAGCCAATTTAAAAGACTTTTCTGATATTATTTTAGCTTAATCACCTTCTATATTAGCTATATCTTTATAGAGCTGCATTCTAAAATTTTCTAAGAAGTGCAAAAGATACTCATTAAAATCTAAATTAGTTTATACTATTCTATCCATGCTTTCATAAATAATTTTTTTGTCTTTTTTATTATACAACAATAAAATTCCTACTATCTAATTAATATTTAGCTAATTTTCAATAAAATATTAATACAAATCCTGGTTTAAAAGGTTTTGTTTTTCTTAAATAAAGTTTCTTCTAACCTAAGCTAATTATACTGAATTGATTGATAATATTTCTAAATAATCAGTTAAAACTTCCTAGAAATCTTATTCTAAGAAAATTTAAGGTCTGATCTACACACACTCCTTTATTATCTATGAAAAATTCATTAAACTACCCATGATCATGTGAGTAGAGTCCTTTTCGTTAGAAATAGATGTAGAATTTTAATTGCTAGGTTAGTTTTTTTCAATTTATGTCTATTGGTATATTATAAGACTAATATTATGCATAGTTTTGATAAAGTAATCTAAGTCAAAAATATCGTTTCTTTACATGTACTTGAAAGTCAAAAAAACAAAATGAATATATTTGCTTGGGCTTATTAAACTTTATTATTTATTGTTTTTACTATCACTTTATTTCCTTTCCTAAGATCCTCTTTTCTGTAAGTAAAATATAAAATCAGATAAATTATTTACAAAACTCATTTGAAATGCCTTCTATACATTAAATTCTTTACTTGGTAAAATTAGTATTGCAATAATTAAAACTACATTCAGTAAGATAAATGTTTGCAAATTCAACACTTAGTTTTTGTATCTTTTTCTATAGTATTTATACAATCTCACTATCCTTGATTCGTCTTTCTTTTTTTCAACAAAGATATCAAACAGTTCATCAAATTTTTTTTTCTATTCTATTTACTCCATAATAAATTATTTTTATTTTTCTTCTTCCTCTATCTAATGCAGCCTATTAGCATCGCTATCTTCAAAGTTTTAATCTGTAAACTTATCATATTTTTAGCTATAATATAATTTTTACTGATAATAAATAGCTTAATTGAAAATAAATCTATTTTAAAGAGGTTTTTGCTAAACACTCTAAAAGAAAATATTGCGATATTATTGTTTAAAGCTATTTTAAAGAAGCACCTTAGTTTTTAAAAACATTATTAATTATTAATTTAATTCAAAAAAAGATATTTTTACTTTTTTTATATCTAATTTTTGATAAATAAAGTTATTATTCAAAGTTATGGAATATTCTTTTGATTCAATGAAAGATTAACTGTAAACTTTTATTTTGCAATAAAAACAAATAAAATTGAAAAATTCTAAAAAAATAATTTAGTTTTAACTATTTAAATAAAAAATCTAATATGTATAATTTGCTTAGTAAATATATATTTAATAAATTATGAATGCTATTTTAGAAAAAAATCAAATCAAATATATGAAAACTCTTCTAAAATGTGTGTTTTAATTGATTCTGACCATAAGTTCATGCTAGTTAAAGCAAATTCTAAGGCTTCAACTAAGTACTTAGACTAAGAAAATTTAATATCATAATATTTAAAAGAGCTAATTAAATCCTCTGTGCTATAAGTATTTCTTTCACTATTAAAATTGAGTAAAAACTCTCTGCCTATTTGGCATAATGGAAATATTTAAACATCAGGAAAGTGAATGTACTTTTTAGTTAAACTAATTTAAATTTTATTCAAAATAGCAGAAATGTTTGATAAATTAATATAGCAGGGTATTTGCTAAATTTATATTTAATCTATAAGCTTGGTATTAAAATTTTAAGGTATAAATGACCAACCTATTTTATGAAACCTCATTTCGATATTTCTTTAGAAAATTAAATTAAAATCCATTTATTTGAGAGAAATCAAAAGAATTTCTTAAAGAGTATTTAGAAAATAGAATTAGCTCTTAAGTTAAGATAAAAATTGCTATTCATTCTTGTCAATTTTTGTTTTAATTTCATTTTATTTTTATACTGTATAAAGTCTATCTACTCTTTGAAGTTTAATTTGGTTAATCTTTTCTCCTTCATAAATTGTAAACAAAAATTTTAATTTTTGCAGGTCAGGTTATATTAATAGATAAGAAACAATCTATTTTGAAAATTATTTTATTACAATACTTAAGCTTTTTTGTTCAAAGTATTAATTTAGAAAATCAGAACCAAGAGAAATAATTTTAGAAGTCATTAACTTTACCATATTTAATATGTTTTCTTCCTTAGAATATTGTTGATAAAGATGATGCATAGTAATAAATCTTGCTTCTTCGACAGTTTCAATAAATAAATCAACTTCATCACTTGATAATTTAGCTTTATTTTCTAGTGATTTCCTTATTAGATATTTTATTAGATAAAAATCAGTTGAGGATACTTTTTCAAAGTAATGATATTTTGCATCTTAGTCTTCTAATTTCAAACAAACCATTTACTTTACTTCTTAAATTTCTTTATCGAGATTCTCTAATAACTCAGCTCTTAGAAGTATATTCTGCTTTGGATCAGAGAAGACAGCAGATTACTTAAATTTTTTAATAATTGGAGAAATCATTTTATAATTTCTTGTTAATAGGATATCAGAGAGTTAATTAGCTAGTCTTAATGTATAAGGAGTCTTTTTTGGTATTATACTATTAAGATAGGGCTCATTTGAAAGTTCATCATAAATTTATTCAATAATCTTTAAAAAGCTTTCAGTAGAACAAATTTCCTATAAAGGAGTATTAGGCTAAATAAGGTGAATATTTTTAGTAAAAACAGAAATAAGAAAATCTTTTTGATTTAAATTTTCATTTTAAGTTAAGATATATTTTATGCAATCCATAAATAGCTCACTAACTTGTCTGGGTATTTGATAGAGAATATTTAAATGTTTGTTTTCTTATTCATATTGATTTTGTAAACTACTTCTTAATCTTTTTTATATTTGTCTACTAGTTTAATCATTCTCAAATAGATCATTAAATTAAAATATTTCCAAGCAAATATCTAAATATTTTCTTAAATGAAAAGTAGTATTTTGTTTACTTGCTCCATAATCTATAAGCCTTTCTGAAAGTAGAATTTTTTTCTTATCCCTATAAACTATTGTTGTTTCTAATTTCTCTAAAAATAAATTCATAATCAACTAGGCTAACTACGGAAAAATCTCTTTTAACTTCTTTAAAGCATCTTTCTACTCATTTAAAGCGATTTAAAGTTAGGATTCAAATAAATTAGGTTAAATTTGACTCTTATATTTACATGATAGCTATTCAATTTACTATTTTTAACTTTATTTGATATCTTAAATACTTTGTAATTCTTGGACTGTTATACTAAATTAAATATTATTGTTGTCATTATTCTGTTTAATTATAGGATTTTTAGTGAGCTCAGAAAATGTAAAAGGTTTTTTGGCTATTAAAATTTATTGTTATTTTAGTTTAGGTAAAACATGTTCTTATTTTATATTCTTTATTGAGTTATTTTCATTTATCTTTCTAACAAATTATCTCTAATTATCTGAGAACGTTACTTTCTTTAAATGATCTTAGAATATAGAATCAGTATGATGAGTCAGTTCTTTTTATTTAGTTTTTAAGAGTGGAGCGCTGTTTTTAATAATGAATGACTGTGATTTTTTAATTTGCTTATCCATATTCAGAATGGTACATAACAAAAAATAAGCAATTATTTAATATTATATTGTTTTAAATACAATAAATTCTTTTTAATATTATGATTGAAAATAAATATTCCTAGATTTTTTAATAAAATTGCAATTATAATACGAATGGTTAATTTTAATTTTATAAATTAAAAATAGAAATTTAATTTTTACTTTAAAATAAATAAAAATTTTTATAAAATACTTTAAATAAATAATAATTACAAAAAATGTTATCTTCTTTATTTATTATAAGAATTGTTTTATCTTAATTTAAAAGCAAGTTTAAGTAAATTATGGTTTGAAATAAAATAGTTATAAAAGATATATTTTGGTTATATTAAAGAGTATTTATACTTCTTAAAAGTGGAAGTGAGATATTTTAATGAAAATAATTTTAAAAATAGGAATACAATTATCATCATGATTTCTCGTTTATAAAAATAAAAATTCATTTTTATTTACAAGAGAATATCCTGTATTTATTTATTTATTCTTTGTATCTAATATTTTTGAAAATTAAAACGAAGATTTGCTTTTGTAAAGGATATATATTATATTCAAAATTTTTACTTGCAAATTTAATATATTTATTAGCTAAGAATATTAGTCAGTCAAAATTAAGCAAAGATTTATTATAGAATTATTTTTTATTTGTAAATAATATGATACCATCTAATGGATATAATTAAGGATCTAATTTTGTACAAGCATATGTTGAACAAGTAATTTCATTTATATAAAAAAAATATATAGTTTAAATTATATCCATTTATAATATGATATATAAATAGTAAAAAAATGAATTGTAAAATTAAGAAACTTTTGAGCTTAAGATACCAAAAATAAACAGGGAAAATAAACAAAAAAAGCAGCAATAATCGGAATAAGAAAATTTTAAAAGAAAGTTTGACTCATTGATGAAAATAACATTTTTAAATTTGAATGAATTAGTTTTTACAAGATTAAAATATGGATTCAAATAAATAAAGTAGTATTAAAACAAATCATTGCTCAATAAAACTGAATAATGTGCTAAAAAATGTAGATAAATTTAAATATTAATAAATGCTTTGAAAAAATATGAAATGCGTGTAATTCTTTAGAATGCTTGTATGGATATGCCCTTTAATTTAGAACAATTAAAATATTTAAAAATATTGGAACCAAAAACTCTATTAGTTAAAGTGGTATTTTTAAAAATGAAGTTTATTTTTTATGAAAAAACAAAATCCAATTACTAAATATAATACCTTATAAAAAAAGAAAAAGAGTTTGCATCTCTATTGATAGTAAATTCAAATAAAATTTATAATCTTGAAATTAATTTTAAAAATTAGTATAAAATATTAGATTATAAAATAAGGAGATCTATGTAATTTGGCATAAATAGAATATTAGAGAAAGTATATAAAAACAATTAAATGGCTATAATAGTTTGTTCTAAAGCTAAAAATATCACTTAATAAAAATTTGCATAAGTAAAACAATAAATAAATAAATAAATATATTTTAGTTTTAGAATTATTTATTAATCTTATTACTGTTTAATTTAACAGAATTTATGTAAAGCTTTAAGAGCATTATTTCAAGCAAAAATAAAGAGTTCATTTACCAAGCTAAAAGAATAATCTATGCAAGAGTTTAGGACGAAAAATTTGATTCAATTAAAAGTTAAGGAATATCTTCTTAAAGCAGCAGCACTAAGCAAGACTCTGAAGTCTCTTATCAAAAGCAAATAATCCTATTCATTCTAAAAAATGAAATAGCTACAAGAAAAATATGAAGAGAAATAAATTTAGAATAATATTATCTAATTTGAAGAGAAATTTGATCATGTTATCAAGGATTAAGAAGCATAAATTGACATGAGCATTATAAAAACACAGGTAAGCAATTATATATATTGCTTTTTAAATTAAATATGTATTTGAATAAATTTGTTTAATAGGCGCTTGCAAACTAAGAAGCTGAAAACAAATTATTAAGAGCAAAAGAAAAATATATTAAAACATTAACCATTATCAGACGTTGCAGGTTTTTGTAGATAGTATCAAAATATTTATAAAAAAGAAAACAGAAGTGCTTTATATAATTTTAGAATAACACAATTATAAAAATGATTTAAAAGATGTCTAAACTAAAAGAGTAATTAATGGATAAAATAAATGATATTAACTTGAATCTAGAATGTTAAAGTGAATAAGAAAGAAATGATAATTGGATCATTGACTACAACAAATATTTGCACTTGAGAGTATAAAATATTTAAATATTTATGATAATTTTATTTTAAACTAATAAATATTATTTAATAAGCGATAAGAATATTAAACTGCAATTTAAGAGGCATAAGTTTATCTATAAAATGAAGAACAAGACTTTTTATTGACGATACAAGTAAAATTAGATATAAAATTCAATTTAAATATTTTAATATTTATTTAAAGTAAATGGATTAGCAGTTAGATTAAGATCCTATTGAAACTCATATTTACCAATCTGAAATTAATCCTTAGACACTTTAAAGTTTTCATAATTTATCTATGTAACAAAATGATTTGAGTATCCAAAATGCGAATAATAATTTATCAAGTTAAAATAATATTGCAATAAACTCTTGATTTATTTTTGTAATTTGTCTGATTTAATACTGGAATTAACAAAATACCAACGAGATTCATTTTTTAGCTTTAAATAATAATAAAAAATAAGTCTAAAATTATAAAATAAATTCAATGAAAATATATTTTTTTAATATGATGAATGATATTTGAAAATTTTTATTGAGCATTTTAGAATATATATTTATATGATTTTTATTTAAAAATATTATTTCTTCTAAGTATTTTATAAAAAGCTAAATTTAATCAAATTATAAATTTATAAAAATATTATTAAAAGCATTCTTTTTTTTAATCAGCAGACAGATAATAAATATAAAAACATTTTTTTATTTTTAAAAAATTCCTTATTTATTTCATTACTTTGAGAAAAATTTTAAAAATCCTTTAATTAAAATTTTCAAAAACGAAAAAGCTCAGAAACTGATTGTTTAAAGCAGATCATATCTGTCTATAAAAGAATAGAACATTTAATTTTGAAAAGTGAAAAAAATTAAAAATTTGACAATACTGAACAAAATAATATTTCATCACAACTTTTACTTTGTGGAAATAAGTAAAAAAAATTAATATAGATTCTTCTTAATATAATTAATTTTCAATACGTAAATAAGACTAGAAATTCTAAGATTGAAATTTATTTCAATAATTTTGTAATTTTTTTGTAAATTAAATTAAAATTATTGTGAAAAAATTAAAAAAAGCAAAAAGTATAATTTAGGAAATTTAGAAAGAAAAAAGATAAAGAAATGATAAGTTCATAATTTTAATAGGAAGTTTTTGAAAAAATACAATAAGATTCTGAAAATTAGTTTTGTTTCGAGTGTGGAAACAAATCTAATGCTTGGGCTTCTGTAAACAATGGTATTTTCTTGTGCTTAAACTGCTCTGGAGTTCATAGAGGATTTGGCGTTAATGTTTCATTTATTAGATCAGTTGATATGGATTCATGGTCATAATCTCAACTCAATTTAATGCTTTAAGGAGGAAATGCAAAATTAAGAAAATTCTTTGAAAAGTATAACCTTCCTAAAGATGCTCCTATGGATTTTAAATACAAAACCAAAGCTGGCATTTATTATAGAGAAATGGTAATTTTTAAAAGAAAACAGATATGATAAAATTAAATATTTTGTTTTAATTAACTAGCTTAAGTGTATTGCAGATGGTAATCCTATACCTGAACCACCATCATAAGAAGAAGCCCTAGAATTAGTTTCATTTTAAAATCCAAATTTCTTAAGTATTATTTTAAAAATAATATTTTTTAGTAAAACAAAAATGAACTGAATTTTAAACACAAAATAAAATAGATAATATGAAAAATAATTAAGGAATAAGTAATTCTTCTTAACAAAGCAATCAAGAAAAGGACGAAATAGGTCAAGCAGTTGATTAAGTTAAAAACTTCTTTTCTGTAGCTTATCAAAAGACAGCTGAAGCAACTAAAGCTGCTTATAAAAAAGCTGATGAAAAATATCATGATCCTGATTTCTAACAAAAGTTATAATCGACAAAAGAAAAGAGTGCAGAAGTTGCTAAAAAAGGCTATGAAACAGTCAAAAAAGTAAAATATTTCTTTAATAAAATATATTAAATATCCTCATCACAACAAAAATCTTTTTTCAGCATAAGAGAATATTATATAGTTATCAGAAAAAAAAAAGCTTTTTTCATTTTAAATCTATTAATCTATTAAAATAGAAAATTTAAATCAAATACTGTGATTTCTAATTAGCTAAATCTACTTTTATTTAATAAAAATCAAAAAAGTTTTTTTAAAATAATTTAACTTGGAGAAAAAATAATTAAAAAAATATTTTAATCTTACTTAGAGAGAGAGCAGTATTTAACAAATATTTAAATTAATTTTAGGGTTTATTTGGTGCTTTCAGTTTTATTAAGAACAAAGTTGATTCACTTTCAGAAGATTAAAAATAAAATTAGGGTCATTAGTAGTAGTAATAATAATAATATAATCCATAAAATCACGATTTAAATTGAAGTGGATAAATAGTAGTTATAATTTTAAAAGATACATACATTCATAAAAATGTATCAGTAAAGTAAATTTATTTATTTTTGTAGATTTAATTCAATAATATCTTGTTTAAATTAAATTGTCTTTATTTAATATATAATAAATTTAATAATTAGTTTTTGAAAATTAAATTGATACATTTCATTTATTAATATATATTTTTTGTGTAAATACTATAAATTTTTTAATATAAAATTTGTTATTCATTTTATTAATGTGATTGTTCTAAAAATTCACGATTCAGCTGCAGTTGTGTTCATCTGATTACTGTTTATTTTACCAGGACTTTTCATTTTAGTGCCTTACAAAAATATATTTGTCTTTAATGGGGAGTCTTTTAAAGATTACCTCTTTTTAAAGCTATGACTTTAAAACGAATTCATTTCCAAATTATTTTTTTAATTTAAGTTCAAAATTTATTAATTAATCATGGTTTAATTGTTCACTTTAAGGTTATTGTTAGAGTTTGCAAATTTTCCTTTATTATCTTTAATTATTTCTAAAAAAGACTTTTTATCAATTTCAACAAATTATCTGGGTTCCTTATTAATCAGAATTTATTTTTAATTAACGACTTATTGCCCTGGACTTAAGATATTTAAACCATAGAATGAAGTTCTTTTATTCTTATTAAAATCTAAATTAGTACTTGCTGGGGTTGGAAGATTAACATGAGAAACACTTCTAAGATGACCAACTCCTTTATTAATATTTTAAAACCCGTTTTATTCAAATTAAGTTTAAGATTAAACAGAATTTATTTAGTTTTAGGTATCTTAATACCTTGTTTGAGACAAAAAATTATTTGTAGTGTCTTCTTACTATGGTTTCATATGAAAAATGTTTAAACTTTATCTTTTTAAATTTTCAACATTTGAATTTGGTATATTTAGTAAAGAACAAATAGAATTAGACTTTCCTTTCTTTTAGTTTAATTGTAATTAATAAGGACTTTGTTAACTATTAGGTGATATTTAAGGACTTAGTTTATTTTTTTTATTGTTAAATGTATTAGAAGAGTTAAATTCAGTCTCTAATGATAAAGGTGCTGATTATTTATGATTCTTTATTTTCTGAAAATCAAGTGATTATGTTACTTTAGAAAACGGTAATAGATACGGATTGCTTTGACTACTAGTTAATTCACTTGTGAAGTTAAACTCATTGATAATATCTTGGTCATATCTAGTTTTTTCTTCTTCGAAATCGCTTAAAATTTGTATATTATTTAAGCTTTGTATTAAATTTATTGAGGGAAGAGATTATTAAAAATTTTCTTATAATTATGATTGCTATTGTTATTATTATTATTACTACTACTATTATTATTAAATTGAAGGGATAAATATGTTTGCCTTTTTTGGTTAGAATAACTTTTATTGTTTTTGTCTCCATTCATAGAGATAGTTTTATGGTTTAACATGCCTCTTAGTATTTATCAAATTAGTCATGTATGCCTTTTTTTCTTCCATTTTTTTTTGAAATGAAGAAATAAAAACTCGCTCACGCTTTTTTTCTTATTCTTAAGCATTTTGGCTTCCTTAAATGGTAATTATAGATTTATTTTCTTTGACAAAATCAATTCTTGGAGAAAGTGAAATAGGTGTTTTAGATGATAGATAATGGGTTCTTTCCCTTTGAGTTTCAAAATATTTCTGGGGTTCGTCACTTTTTTTAAGGACAAATTTTTAATTTTACCTAAATTTTATTTATTTATTTCAAAAATATTTTATAAATATTTAAATAAAACAATAATTACTATCCTAGCTATCCTAATTGAAGCTATTTAATGTTTCTATCTGACAAAACATATGTTTGAATTTTATTTATTGACTTCATTAAAATATTTTTTTATTGTGCAAGTCTATCATTTCTTAGTCCGACTTGCTTTACAAGATTCTCAAAACATGTCTCGTACTGTAAAACTCTTTTATTAAAATCATCGATTTAAATTCTAAGGCAAACAGCTCTATAAGAATTGCATTCAATTTTGAAGGAACTTATTCTTTCTTCACTTAATGCAGCTTCGCACATAAGTATTTCAAATTTTCCAATTTTACACACCTAGAAGAAATAGAAAAAAGAAAAAATGAGCAAATTTAATCTAAATTTATTATTTTAATTACTTAAAATTAATCTAGCTAGTTAATATCTATGTTTTGTTAGGAACCATTGTTCTAATTTTATGTAAGATTTTGTTAAATTGAGTGCTCGAATGTCTTGTAAGTCTTTTATTATAAAAATTAGGTTACAATTAAAAAAATTGAAAATTAAAAAATCAGAATTTGTATTACGAATTAGTAAAAATCAATTGTGACAAAAAAACTTTGTATCTGAAATTAGATATATTAATAAGTAAAAAAAAATTAAATAAACTCTTACTATAAACTCTCCTTCAAAAACAAAGTAGATATATTCAGTAATTTGGTTTTCTTCACTCAAAATTTAACCTTTTTAGCAAACTATTTCATCACAAACAAGATATATATCTTAAATGTGAGTAAATCTTAGATCTTTTAAAAGAGGAATCGAGTATAGAAAGTTTACATAATTTTTCATTTTAATCATTTCAGACTTAAAAAACTATTCACAGTACTCTTACTTAGTTAATGTTAGAAAATAACATTCTTCTTTCGTTATTACTGAGGCTAATCTTTTTTGATCGAATATCAGAGATAACTCACCAAACGAGTCTCCTTACTCCAACTACTTAACAGATTATAATGTCATATCTGAACTAAAATTTGGAGATTTAGCATGAATTTCAACCTTCCCTTTGAGAATAATGTAGAAAAGATTTCCTTCTGTGTCTATTTTAAAAGAATATGCTTTATTTATTAAACTCATGATTGACTTCTAATAAAAGCTCATAAAAATCAATGTTTTTATTTAAAATACTATCTGCATTATAATATAAAACGATCATTACTTATCTTAACAACTGTTTTATTTTCTTTATAATATTATAGTTTTCCGAGAACAGCTGCTTGTATTGATTTTTCTTTCTTATCATGAAAAAACTTTAAACTTTATAGGAATTAGGAAATCCTCAATTAATCATCTTTTTTTCTATTTTCAGGATCTAATCTAAGTAGGCATAGAATGTCCTATTTTATATCAATATTAAAAATATGCATTACACTAACTATGATCTTTGTTTTACTTAAATATCATCCATTCAACTTGCTTTCTTTTTTTGGTTAAAAATTTACTATTTGTTAATACTACTACTTTTCTAATATGCTTTGAGTTTATTTGCTTTACAAATTTTTTTAGCTTTTATTTATTTAAATTTTAATCTATAAAATATATAGTTAACTAGCAATAATTAGTTTAAATTTGTGGTGTTTTACAACCAATCAGTACTAATAATTTTTAAGATACTAGCTTCAAAATCATAAAATTTAAAAGATTATCGAAAATATAACTAATATTTTCTATTTTAATTAAGTAAATTAAACCTCTTACAAATATTTATAGTTATAAATATTTTTATTTACTGAAGCAATTGTTAACTTATTGATAATAATATTAATCTATTTACTTATTTATTAATACTTTAAGAGTATTTGTAAAGTATTTAAAGTGTTTCTCATAAAAGAATGATATTTTAAAAGATTTAGATTTTCCTAATTTACAAAATTAATAATTTAAAACGGAAATATCTTATTTCTAGATTATTAAACTGTCAATCTAAAATATGTTAAATTTTCATTAAAAAAATGAGATTAAAGGTTTTTTTGCATCTATTTTCTTTTAATTATTTTCAAACTGTTTAAACAAAAATTCATATAGAAATACTTAATGGATTTTAATAATTTTCATTATTTTGTAAAGATATCCATATATTTTTTAGTATTTAGTAATATCTGCACATTATCAACCTAACTCTCTATAGTTTTATTTTAATTAATTTATCTATTTGCTTAATCACATAAAATAAGATTAATTTTAATACTCTCTAATACAATTATATCAAATATACATATTAAATTCATATACAGATATAGATTTAGAAATTCTAAAACTAGATATAATACTTCAGTCATTTTTTTGATTTAAATAAAAGATTATGTAGTAGGGTTCGACCCAATATTCTTACTTCAAAATTTGCAGAATGTGAAATAAAATAATATAACAAGTTGCAGTATTATTTTTAGAGCTCAGTTAAAAAGCATGATTTCGATAACGATAATGAGAATAATATAATGCAAACAATTGAAAGAGTAAAATATCTCTATCTAAAAAAAAGAAATATAAAATTAAAATCTTATAAATAAACAGATAAAATAAGTAAGGAAATAAAATAAATTGATTTGAATAGTACTAAAGAGTAATATAAAAATATAAAATAAAATAATTTACTCTTTTTAATACAATAATGGATAGTTATATAAATGTTAATTTTATAAAGTTATTGTTATGTTAATTTCAATTTTTATTATCTTCTGATATTTTTGTGAAACGCTTGATTTCAATACCGGCTTTTTCAAGACTTGAAAGAATTAGGTTCTCATATTCGAAAATCGAAACAGAACCATTGTTATCTGTGTCTGCCATTTATATCCACATTCTTACATCATCAACAGTAGGTCTAAAATCAGTAATTCCTATATTTCTATAGGTGTCACTGATTATACCATAGACTTCATTCTCTTCAAGCTCTCCACTTTTGTCTGTGTCGTATTTAGCAAAGAGTCTTCTTGCTACATCTAATTTAAGTTCAACTTAAGGATTAAATCTTCTAGATGACTTAAAGATAGTATCCTTTACATCACATTTTAAACCAGCTTTTTCAAAGCAACTGATTACATAGTTTTCATACTCTTCAAAGGAGAGTCTACCATTCTTATCAGTATCTACTACTTCCATATAATCTTTGACATCTTAAACAGTTGGTTTATAGCCATGTATGCCTGCGTCTTCAAAAGTGTTAATGATCAATACAGCTACTTCATCTGGATCTAATTCTCCATTTTAGTCTTTATCACTTTAAACAAAAAGCCTCTTTGCAATCTAAAGTTTTTCTTCTATTTCTGGATGATAAACTTTCTTGATAACTATAGATGGGAAAGATGCCCTTTTAGGCTTTTCTTATCTTTAGAAAGCAGGTTCAATAGTAACAGAGCTAGTCTCTTCAATAATAACAATTTTACTTGATCTTAGAGTACTGCTTTAATTCATTTCTTAAGCCTGAAGTACAGGTCTTCCAGCAGGTTCACGAACTGAGGATGACATCTATTCTACAGGTCTTCCAGCAGGTACACGAGTTTATTCGCTAATCTATTCTGCTGGCTCTATTACATGTTTGCAAACAGGTTCTTAATCTTGCTTCTATTCTGAATTATCTTCAACTTTTTCTTATTCTCCTAACAATTCCTAAACCTTTTCCTATTCTTCTATTTATTCTTATACCTTTTCTTACTCTACAGCTTACTGCAGATCTTTTTAGAGCTACTCTTCTTGTTCTTTTTATTCAATTTGAAGCACTTCTTCTTCTACTACTTACTCAGTATTTTCTAATTTTTAAATTGGTTTTCCTCTTCTAAAATGTTCATTTGCTGGTGCTCTTTTTACAGTTTCTTGATTCTCATCGCTTTCGGCATTTTGATATTACTTGTATTAAATGACTTACATTCCTGATTGCTTAAGACTAAGAATAATTAAATCTTCGAACTCAATAATTGAAATTTTTCCATCATTGTCAGTATCAGCTAGCTGAATATAATATTTTACATCCTCTTCTGTTGGTTGGTAATCTAATATTCCCATTTCTGCATAGGAATCCTTAATCAAAGTATAAATTTCATTTTCCTCTAAGTAGCCACTTTTATCAGAATCACACTTTGCAAACTCTTTTCTTGCTACATCAAGATACATTTCAGCCTCTGGATTAAATCTTCTATTTGATTTTACAATAGTTTATTTAACTTCGCAGGGTATACCAACCTTTTCTAAGCACTTTATTACATATGTTTCGAATTCTTGGTATTAAATTAAGCCATCCTTATTTGTGTCAACTTCTTAAATATACAATCTTACATCTTCAGGAGTGGGTTAATATCCTTCTATACCATTTGAGCTAAATAAGGCGGTAATTAAAGTTGCTACTTCTTCAGGATTTAAGCTTCCTGATTTGTTTACGTCATGTTGAATAAATAATCTTCTCGCAGCATCTAGTCTTGTTTCAACTTATGGATCATAGACATTTTTAACTCCAATTAATGCAAGATTTTATCTATGAGCAGGTTTTACATAAGGTACTTTGCTTTCATTTTATTTACTTTCTTCATTTTCATCTCCTAAATCGCAGTGATCTTCATCATTTTCTTACTTTTCTTATGAAGGCTATGGCTTTTTGTTTCTTTTCACTTCATTGTCTTCATATTCTTCATCATTTTTGCATGCTTTCTTTTATTTTTCTTCACTTTCTTCATTCTAAACTTATTTTTAAATATTTTCATCATCACTTGACGATAAGTCTACTTGATTATCATTTTTGACAACTACATTTAACTCGTCAAAGCTCTTTTGTACTTACTCTTCTTTAATACAGCTCTCTTCTCCTCCTTACCTAATCATAGATTAAACAAATTTAATCTCCTCTCTTTCTTGTTCTATGCCTTCTGTTAAGTTGTTTACTTTTTTTGTCTCAACCAAAGGTTCATCAAGCTACTTTGATTTGCTTTCTTCAGATTCTTATTAATTTTCTGAAGTAGAAGTATGAGTTGAAGTGAAAACTTAAGATAAACTAACATCCTTATTTCCATCAACCTAGTTTATAGTTCTTGTAGTTACAGTGGTGATTTTTGTTACCTTTATAGATTAGATAACGCTGACATTTCCCTATTAGCTAGTCTTGACTACTTCTGTGACTTCAGGTATTGAATATTCTAAAATGGTAGTACCTTATGATTTGTAGTTTTGGAGAACAAAATCTTCAAATTCCTAAATAGAAATTCTTCCGTCATTGTTTGTATCAGCTGATTAAATATACTTCTGAACTTCATCAGCTGTAGGCTTTTTATCTATTCCTAAATCCTTATAAGTAAAAGCTATTAAGGCATAGATCTCATTTTCTTCTAAGTAGCCACTTCTATCAGTATCGAACTATGCAAAAAACTTTCTACCTGCATCTAATTGCATTTCAACTTCTGGATTGAAACTTCTTCTGGATTTAATGAAATTTGACTTCACACTGCAATTTACTCCAGCTTTATCTAAACAGTAGATAACATATTTTTCATACTCTTCAAAAGATACCTTACCATCTTTATTTGTGTCCACCTTCTACAAATAGAGTTTAACATCTTCAGGAGTAGCTTTGTAACCTGAGACTCCAGTATTAGCAAATGTAGTATTTATGAGATTTGCTACCTCTTCTTAATCGAGTTTACCGCTTTTGTCTTTGTCTAATTCTATAAACTGTCTTTTAGCTATGTTTAGCTTAGATTCTGCATCATCATGATAAACGTTCTTTACAATAATGTTTTAAGAACTTTATTTAGCACTGCTTTACATTTAATGTAAATATTCTTCATCTGAAAGCTTTTCGCAAGTCTCTTTATTATTAACTACTCTATATTAGATAACAACCTTGCCATTCTTTTTTAAATTCATAAGAAACAGGTCTTCGTATTCTTAGATAGAGATAACGCCATCTTTATTAGTATCTGCAAGTTCAATGTAGTATTTAACTTCCTCTTCAGAAGGTGTATCTTTCTGCATACCTATAAGCTGGTGAGTTTCTACAATTAAATTGTAAACTTCGTTCGAGTCTAGATTTCCACTTTTGTCAGTGTCAAACTTAGCAAACTGCTATCTAGCCACATTTAACTAAATTTCTATTTATGGGTTGAATTTTCTGTTTGTTCTTAAAATCGTATTGCTTTATGTAACCTTATGCCCAGTTCTTGCAAGACATCCGAGAAAGTAGCTTTCGAATTCATAGTAAGTTAGTTCTTTTTGTCTTGTTGATTTTATCTGCTTCATAAATTGTTTAACATCATCAGGAGTAGACTTAAATCCTTTAGTGTTTGTTTGAGTAAAAGCTTATTAGATAATTTGAGAAACGACGTCAGGTGAAAGGTACCCTTGCCCCTTAGAATCTTTCTCAGCAAAGATATGCCTGGCAACATTGAGTTTCTCTTCGCTTATTGCATCAAACAATTAAAAATGAATTACTTCTACCTTATTACTTCTTTGAGTCATTTTATTAATTGAATAAATTTTGTATCTTTTTTTGTTTTTAATAAACATTATAAATTTCTTAAATAGAAAATAAGATTTTTAAAATCAGGTCAAAAATTTTTATAATGAATGAAATGAACGCGTTTTCAAAATAAAGTAAATTTTTATAAAGCACTGACCCTTTTTGTTTATTTTTTAAAATAAAGGATTGTTTTTAAGTTTCTATAGCAATCTTCAATAAATACTAATTTATTGTACATCAGAAGATATAAATTCAAGCATATTGAAGTAATAAACTAGTTAGTCCTTTCAAACTACTGGAAAGGTTGATAAAATATTCTACATACAGAGAAATATCTTTTAAAGTAAAAAAAAATCTATTTATTTTGTTTTTGCTGAATATAAAAGAAAATAATCAATTGGAATATTGTAAATTCTAAAAAGGCACTTACAACATTTTTTGGAATTTTTATAATTTTTTATAATTTATTTTTTTTGCTTTTTTAAAAATAAAAGTCAATACCCATTAATATAAGTAATTTATTTTGCTGAATTTTCTTTATTATTTTAGTCTTAACTTTCAAATTATTTCTGTGTTTTTTTAATTAAAGATTAAATGATTTTTTAATTTAGAAATTGACGATCTTAATAAACGATCTAATGAGTACTATCAAATACTTTCTAAATGAAGAAAAACTGAAAACCAAATGCAACTTTCTAAAAATAAAAGAAAGGTATGCAGAAATTTATAAAAAACTCTCTTATAGTATTTTGGAGTCAGCTAAAATTACTTTTAATAAAAGAATAAAAACGATATATAAAATTACAATTATCAGTATAATTAACTGAAATTTAAGGAAAATTAATCAGAATTATTATTTTTATCACAACGTTTTATGTGAAATTATTATAAATATTAAGAGCAAAATTAAAAAATTAAGGGATTAAGATATTTCAGAAATGAAAAGCATCAATTAATAAAAACTGTTTGAATGTTTTGTAGTGGTAAATATTTGTTTTACCTAAAAATATTGATAAAAGCTCTTAATAACTTATTTTTATTATCTGAATTTAAGTTAATTATGAATGTTTTAATTTACTTAATATGGAACAAATAGTGATTAGGCAGACACTTTCAATAAAATAAAAAAAATCAAATTCCACAAAATAAAATTATGAGCTAAGAATAATTTGATAGAAAATCAATCATCCTATTTTTGAAGAGTAAATTTTTAATTAAAATCTAATTATTCTTTATGATGATAGAATACAAGCAAAATAAATAAAATACGTAATATTGGTTGGGCTGCATTCAAAAAATTTATTAATATTGTTCATAATTTAATTGTTTTTTTTATGAACATATTTTGATTAATTGATTATTTCTTTTGTTTTTTATTTTGAGAATGAGAGTGGTAACACTTTTGTTAATTACTACTCAATTTTCATTTATTTTACAAATTATAATAGGAAAAGATAAATTAAAAAATAAAATAAATGTTTAATGTTACTTTTGCATACACTTTAAATTTAATGTCAAATTCGAATTGTACACACTAATTTATTTTATTTGGTTTAATTTTAGAGAAAGCTATAGCTGCAAAATTGACAAATAAAAAAATAATAAGATAGCTAATTATTTTGTAATTAATAGTAAAAAAACAGATCTGTTATAAATTTAGAAAATTCGTAGAAAAATAGATAGGAGATAAATAGATTTTGGTTGCTTAAAATAAACTGTGAAAAATAAGCTATAAAAATTATTACTTTTACTAAATGAAATGATAGATAAAACAATAAATATATGTATTTATTTATTACTACTGTAAGATTGTTCTAATTATCTCTTGTAAAAAATTTGTTTGTATTCAATTAAAATCATATGGATTATTTTGTTATATTACATGACTTACAAATATTGAAATAGCTATGAAATTTGTATGAAGACAATCTATCAATAATAAGCAGTGGTCTCTTTTCTATTATACCTACTTATAACTTTACTTTGATTTTAATTAATTATATAATCATAATTTTAATAAAAAAAAAGTAATAAAAAAACAAAAAACAATACTTTCAATCTTTATTCTATTAAATTAAAGTAGATCTCTCCTAAATCTAACATACTAGTTGCAAGCTACCTGAATAGCTTTTAAAAGAGATAACTATCAAAGTTTTAATTCATACTCATATTCATAATGATAAACTCGCTATTGAACTTAAACTCATAGGTAGATGCCGCCTAAGATTTGTAGTCTACTACTGAATTTATTGAATAAATTAATATTGGAGAAAGAGCAGAAGAAGCTAAAAAAGGATATTAGTCTGAAAAGGAAGGGTATTATTCTTAAAGCTAGATTACATTACTCTAAGTAGGAAATATTTAAAACTATGCCAAAAAATAAAAGATTAAAGCAGCTAAGCAAGGAATTTAATTTTTTAGTGCTCTTTCTTCCTTAAACAATACTAAAAATTTTATAGAAGACTAATTTTTTGAAGAATTAAATCAGGATGAAGTTAGGTTTTAGAATGAATAAACTCTTGAGTTTCTTAACATTAAAAAGTGCACAAATATAATTAGCTAAATATTAGGAGAATAGATCTCATTGCAGTTTAATGTCATTTTCAACCAATTTAAAAGGTAAAATATCCAAGAAATAAATTGTCTTGAGTAGCTTTGGGAAGAATATAGATAGTAGAATTTACATTAAGATGTGTTTAAAGCAGCATACTTGCTAATAAATATAACAACATTTCAAAATAATAGCAAACTTTATGGATAAATTAAGAACTTATGTGTAGAATTGAGAAAAATCAATTCTACAAAGTCAAAAAAATTCAAAGCCTTCATAAAAGATATATCATATGAATATCAAATTAATCAAATATACGACTAATGAACAATTAACAATCAAAATAATAAATAACACTTCTTGCATTAAAATTATTTCATCGAAATTTGGTATAATTCCTAAATTGCAAGAATCATGACCATAACTGTAGTAAACAACCATGAGAAAAGTATTCAGCTTAAAAAATACTAAAATAAGTTGAATAAAAAGGAAAAATAGATTTCGTTTCATTTTAATCAGCTTTTATCTCATTAATACAACTTTAATATCTACCTTATAAAATTTGTTTCAATAATTATTTATTTTAAAATATTTAAGAATAAAAATTTTCCGTGTTTTAATTGCATTCTTTATACATATTATACTTAATAGCGTATTTCCATGTTCTATCTTAGTTACTTGCATACAAAAATTATCCTTTTAACTAGTGTTGTTTGATTAAAGATAGATTGATATATTGATTGATAAAAAAATTATCTCTCAAAAAATAAAAAAAACAAAAGAAAGGTAAACTGTAAGCATTCAAAGAAATATTGTTTGAAAAATATCTTTATTTTTTTTACTTCATCAATAACTAATTAAATTAGATCAAAATTTCAGATTTTGTAAATTTTATAAATTTGAAAACTGCTTACCTAGTATATTGGTTTCATTCTAAGAGAATATTTTAATTATTATGTATTTTATTAACTTTAAGGCTTTATCTAAGCTTATTTACTCACATTAAAAAATCCATTTCATAAATTAATAGCAAGAATTATTCAAGTTTAATCCAAATTTTTTAATAATTGGTAAATCAAAAAAAGTACTTTTAACTAAATACAAGCGCTTACAAGTTTTAAATAAAAAAAGTATTTTACTTTTTAGTCTTTTACCTTATTTTTGTATTGAAAGGTTGTAAAGTTAAATTTCATTAGAAAAATAAGAAAAATTAATGATCGTTCACCAAAAATAATTTGAGTAATAAATTTTTTATTAATTAAACTTTGTAATATTTCTTTTTATTTTATCATGTATGCTTGAATAATTTAGGAATCAATTATTACCCTTTCAAACAAAATCAAATAAATAGAAAATTTTTAATTTAACAAGATTTGGTATAGATGTAATGAGCCTAATAAAGCAAATGAATAAAAAAGTATAATTTAATATAAACCTTTTCTTTTTTTAACAAAATTTTAAGCAAGTTAATCAAAAACTAAATTTCAAATATAATACAAATAGTTTTTATATTTAATTAGAGCTATCAAAAAGAAGCAATCAAATAAAATGAGAATTACTTCTCGAAAGCAAAATTTTTCAGTAAACAAAATAGATTTCAAAAGTCTTTTTTGGGCAAATATTAACAAATTGATTAAATTTAAGGTAAATTGAATAAAAAATATATATTTGAAATGGAATTAATTTTTAAACCATTTCATAAATCATATTGTCTTTATTAGGTAATTTCATCATTTTTATTAAAACTTTAATCAGCTTAATTATTATTTTTGTAATTGATAAATTCCAATTTTTCTTAATTTTCTTAAGGGGTTTATTCACCAGTTTTTATAGAAGTTAGGAATGCATTAATTGTAAAAGGTTTTTCTTGAATGTTATCTTGATAATTATATATAACATTTCCAATCTCAAATTAATCCAAATGGTTTGAAGTGCCATTTTTCAAAGAATTTTGTGTTCTAGCCTTATCTTCATCATGTTTATTTATATCCTTAATGACTAATTCTTTACTTTAATCAAAATTATTTGGAGATAATGCTCCATAGTGGTTATCTTTCATTTTTAACATTGAGCTTTCCTTTGCTTTATCAGAATTTGTATCACTGAATTCATTAGTATTTCTATGAGAAAACGTGGCTTTAATAGTACTATTTTTTGATAAATTTTCTTTTTAAAATGATCTTTTATTTCCATTTGATTACATTTTAGATTTATCTGCTTTTAATTTCTGATCTTTGTTATCTTCAAAAACATCTTAGAATTTTGTAGATTTATTACTTAAAATATTGGTCTATTTTTTAGAATTTGGAGCTATATCTCCTTAACCTATAAAATTTTTATTATTGAATAATCTATTACTCTTAGATTCTAAATTTTGATGTTCATTATTATCTCTAAATGATTAGCTGTTCAAATAGATCTCTTATTCAATTTACTATAAATTTTATAGATTAAAGTGGTTATTCTAATCTGGTTTCAGCTAGACAGAGTTTGGCTACAGAAATAAATCCATAGATCTTTTTTTTCTATTTTTTTCTTACATAAAGTCTGTTTAATTTAACTTTTAAGTATTGAAATCTAAATTTTTGCTTAAGCCAAAATCAGATTATTTATGAGATTAACTCTTTGGAGAGTTATCCAAGTTATTAACTAGTGGATGACCAGTTATTGTAGCTCCACTACCTAAATCTTGTTTATAAAATTAGCTTGATTATTAATTGGTTTACTAATTTTTATTTTAAACTTATGAGAATGGATTTAATTCTTAAAAGCAATTTATGTTTTGCATTTATATTTCTTAAGTGTTTGATTTATTTATTATTTGATTTGTTTATCCTTTTTTATTTTTTGATTTAATTGTTTTATTGCTAAATTTTTTATTGCTTTAATGCTAAGGGACTTGTTAGTTATTGTGTTCCTGTCTCCCTATTTCCGTCCTTAAATCTTCTTCTTAAACATCTGCACTGTTGCAAATTGATTTTTCTATTAATCCCTAATAAATTTATAAAAGTATTTAATAAGTTCTACTAGAATAATTAATCAAGTTATTAATAAATAATTTGTATTACTTCAATTATATTTTAACTAAAAGGATTCAGATTATTTTAATTATCTTATTCATCCTCTTCTTCATTTTATTCTCTTTGATTGCTCTACTTGATCTGGTCTAAATTTTATTCTGCAAAATCAATAGGAATGATAGAGTTTATTTTCTTCTTTTTCTTCTTTAAGCAGCAGCAAATTTTCCTTTATGAAAAAAATTATTAAGAAAATAATCTAAAAAAATTTAATTTACGCAATTAATTGATTATCCATCTCTTAGATAGTATCCTTTCTCTTTGGTTTAGTATATGTATTGTCATTTTGTATATTATTTTAGTTTTATTACTCTTAGAAAGATTAGAACTCCTTTATTCCAGAACATATTCCATAAGGAATTTTTTCCTATTTAAAATAAATTTATTTTATTGCTCTCTATCCCAAAATAATTTGATTATTAAAAATACTGGTAAAACTTTTTATTTGAAATAATATTATTTTTTACTGTTTTGAATTTTAAATGTGAGAAAATTAAATAAATTAACATCAAATAAATCAATAAATGTAATTTATACAAAAAATTGAATATCAAAGAAATAACTATTTAAAATTACTTGTTTAGCTGCTCTAGAATTAATAATATACTCATATGTAGTAAGATGATTCATCGAAAGCCATGTGTGAAAAAGGAAAAGATTTATGTCCAGCAAACCAAAAAAAGCGATAAATATTAAATAGATCCATACGAATATTTTCATGACTACATAAGAGGTATAAGAATGACCTGAAAAATTATAATTATATTCACTACCATAAATATTAGCCAATGAATAGCTCAGAAACACACAATAGATTACACTATTTATGAAAACAAATCCTATCAAATAATAAAATATTCTATAATTTTCTTTTCCAATGCAATTATTTAGCCATTTACAATGATGATCAAATCCATTCACACACCTTTCAAAAATATTAAATAAATAAATATTATTCTTAGTTGGAGTTTTTAATCTTAAATTTTTTAGTTATAATAAAAGTTTTCTTTTGTTTTTGAATGAATATAATTGTTCGAAATTAGAAGATTTATTTACCTATCACATTATCTACAATGTTTCGATCCATCCTAAACATGAGAAATACATGTACTACAATAATATTCATACTCAATTGTATCATATTCAAGGCTTTTATATTTTTAAGTAAAGTATATGTGAGCATTTTCCATATTTATTTATTTTAATTTAAGTTATTATTTGTTCTTTGAAAATTCTAATCATTACTTATTTTTGCGCGCTAGTTTTTCTTTACGAATGATTGGGTCTGTTGGATCAGAGTAACTGCATACTATGGCCAACAATGCCATAATTCCTAGACTTATGTAGTATAATACCCCAGATATTATCTATTTATAAATTTGAATTTATCAAGTTAGAGATTTAGAATTTTAGTAATTGCATTCTGCGAAATAAGAAATATTATTTTAATAGAAGGTCGCTGAAAATACCTGTAATTAAGTGTTAAAAAATGGAAACACGCAAATTGCGAATACGATCAATGCTGATATATATACTAAATATGCAAATATTTGTAACGGGTGTAAACCATTAGAGAATCCATTAATTTTTATTAATCCTACTTATCTTTGATCTTCCATCTATTCAATTAAGTAATTTAAATTTTTAAGCTTATCTAAAAACTAATCAGAGTTATTGATTTTAAATGAATATTAAAAAATTCTGATTCAAACAAAATACACAAAAAATTAATTCGATTGATTAAAATTTATACTATTTATCGCTATCTCTCAACTCTAAATAGTAACTAGCAATTTAATTATATAATCTATCAATATCAATTCTTATATATTTTTTCTCTCTTCATAAAAATACTACAATTTTTTCTGCATCTTAAAAATATTTGATATTCGATTTTGATAATCTATCTCTTTTAAATCTTCTTTAAAATATAGAAAACAAATACCAAAGCAATGTAAAGAACTAGTTAGTAATTTTATTGACTCATTAATTGTTACATACAATTTAATTTGTTAGTAAGTAAGTTATTTAATTAATATTTCCTAAAAACGCAAATTAAAATTTAATAAAAATAAATATTTTGAAAAATAAATTTCCTAATTTTGACTGGCATAAATAATATTTTTGAGCTTAGATAAAAAAAGTAATAGAGTATATAATATTAGTTTAGGAAAATATTATTAATATTTTTTTGAATAATAAATTTTAATTCAATTATTTATTTATAGACATCTAAAAAATTAAATATTTGATAATAAATATGAAAATTTATTTAATATTTTTAGAATTTATATAATACTAATTTACTATAAAAATATCAATCTTAACTCTCATCATTTGATAAAATAATACCTCTATATAAATATAAGTCACTTTATATGCCTTTGGTCATGAATATAATTTTCAATATCATATGATTCTTCATAAAATATTTTAGAATTATTATAATTTTTATTTTCTTATGAGCTGAAATAATTGTTTGTTTATTTGGAACTGTATAAATTATTAGAACTTGATTATTTTTTACAAAGTTTATGATTTTTATCTTGCGTTTCTAACTATATGTGTTCATAATAATTTTAATTATATGATTATTTTTTTTACGGCTTAGTTCTGTTTTATATTGATGATAATTTTATGTTTTAATTTAGATTCCTAACTGATTATTTATTATTGTCTATTACTACTTCAAACGCATTAGCCTAATCAATAAATAGAGAATCTGCATATTACTTTTATGATTGTGATACACTGTTATTAATATTTAATTTTCTATTTAAAGGCCTTAGCTATACTTGATGCTCATTTATGGCACTAACCTTTTGCTGCTTATGAATCTTTTAATTTAATAAATTCTCTGTAAAGCTAAGCTATTTTTAGCAAATATCTTTCTTAAATGTCAAAACTCTTTTTAAAGAAAAATTATCTAATTTTTGATCTTCTTCCCAGCTTGATAACCTGTTTAATTCTAAACAATCTAAGGATTGTTAAATTTTAAAAGGAAACTCTGTAAGTGTTTTAGAGCTTTTGGTGGTACTAACTTACTTATATTTTTGAATTTACTAAATTTTATCCAGCAAGTTATTATATTCTTCCAAATTGATATTTTTTTACTTTTTTTGATTAGCTTAACTTTGCTTGAGAAGCGTTTGTTGCAATAAGAATGATATACTTTTTTTCTGATGAATATCTTAAATAGTTTACAGCTTGTGTTTTTATCTTAACTCATTTTCAAACTTTGTGCTGTCATATTTTTGTTAGTTTTATTAAGTAATTTGATTATCATATTTTTATTAAATCATTTCTTATAAAAAATATGAAGAATGTTTTATCTAATTTTTAAGATTCTTTATTAAAATGCTACTTTCCTTATTATAATTTCTTTGATTTGTTTATCTTTCAGATAAGACTGCACTTTCTTAGCATTTTAAATGCTAAATTTCAGGAGGATAATTGCATGAGAAGTATTCCTCATTCATATTTTTTTTATTTAAAAATTGTATTTTATTGTTATTATTAGAAGAGTCTTATTACATTGAATTATATCTAATAGCCTAATTAACATGTTCATTTTCTTCTTTTAAGAATTAAAGCAGTAATTCTGAATAGTTGTTTTAGTGTTAGCTCTCAGTACATTCTGGTTATAAAGTATAGTTTTCTTTAAAATTATTACTATGATTGGAACTTAATATTGCTTCATTTTTACTGTTTACTATATTCGAGTAATTACCAATATTATTATTAAGAATTTTTTATCTCTTAGTTGATGTGTTAAGACTTTCCTAATTTGATTATTCAATCAAACTCTGTTATTTCAAATAATTTTTATGGAAAATATTTTGGAGATAAGCTATACTCTTATTTCTATTATCTAGCTAAATTTTCTTAGGTTGTTTAGGGATTACTTATTTTGCATCAACATTTGTTAATTGAAGAGGTTAAACTTTAAAGCCATTATTACATTTCTAAAATTATTGTAATGTTTTCTGTAAAAATAGATTTTAGGCGACTAATTATGGTGAGGTTGGTATATCTTGCTATAAAAAGTATTTTCCATCAATAAAAAATGGTTCATTTTTTCTAGAAGTAATTGAGTTATTTATTTTGTTAGTGTTAGAATTGAGAATATCTTTTTCTAATTAACTTATTTCGTCATTAAGTGCTTATGTATTATTATTAGTAGAATTTTACATTTGTGTTAAATTTTCTCTGCTAAGATTATTTTCCTTAAGCGATTATTCTTACTTATTATCATCTTAGCAATTTTACTTTTTTAGTAAATTTTAGCTTTTCTGATTTGCCATTTAGTTCAAATACTTTTATTAAATTGATAGAAATTCTCCAATCTTCATTTTTCAAAAATTTTAATTTAATATTTTAATTTGTTTAAGCCCAATAAAAATCAATCATAATTTCACAAATAAATGATTATTTAAAGTAGAAGTTAACTATAGTCTATTTAAGCATTAGAAAAAACCCAATACAACTAAAAACACAAAAATATATATCAAGCTATAAAAAATTATTTGTTAATAATATACTATCCTTAAAAAAAAAGTCAATAGATATTAGGCATAAAAGTAAGCTATAATTTCAGCTAAGGCTCAAATTATAAAAAATTTTTTACATGACTAGCATTAAAATAGGGATAGTCTTCCTTTCTTTAAAAACTATCATAAATTTCTCACTATAATATTTTGTCAATTGATTAAAAATCTCTTTTGTGAAAAATTTTGTGTGGAGATTTCAGAAATATTTTAAATTGGAGTCAAATACATGTGTGAAGATGCCTGAAACATGAAATAAATTCAAAAACTTGAAAAAAAATAATTTGATTCGGATCTGATGTTATTTTAGCTGATATTAAAATAAATGCATCTTATTTAATTTATTTTAATTTTTGAAATAAATTTTTATTAAGATTTTTTCACAAAAAAATATTTTTAAATTTTCAAAATAGAAATAAAAATTGATAAGAAAAAAAAATAACAAACAGGCAAACGTAATTCATTCTTTATTTTGTAAGATAATAGTGAAGCAATATTTTTCAATAAAAATCCACTAAACATTTAAAGATTTTATGTTAGATAACATAAATTTAATATAGATATTTATAAGTTTTTTAAAATAATTAACTTATTTATGAATTTTAAAAATTTTTAGAATATTAATAAATTAATTCAAGAATACTTTACTTAGTTAGATAGATGATATCTATTTTTATTTCTTTTATTATATATTTTTAATGATAATTAATTATATATTTACATTAAATTTTAAAGTTCTTATTTTATATATTAAATTTGATAAATAAATAAATAAATTCTTAATTAAAATAGAGTTTAGTTTGTATGTCTGTCTGCTCACTTAAATTTTTGTTACTTATTTTCATCAAAGTATATATTTTGCAAATTAATTTGAGCTCTATTTTAATATATTTTAGGCAAAAAGCTATTATTATTTTTTTAAATATTTTATGATTTAACTTCGATTTTATTAGTTTATAGACTTAAATATCTGTTTTTAACAGATTAAATATTTTATTCCATTTCATTTTTTTATTTACTTATTAAATTTTATATTTTTTAATTTTAAAATTAATAATCATTTTTAGTTAATTTATTGCTGGTTTGTGTTATTGTCACAGTATTTTAATTAAGATAACCTTAACTTCTATTGGCTAAGTTATTCTCTAAAATGTAGGGTAAACCATGCATTTTTTTATCAGCTCCTAGTTAAACTAAATCTACTTAAGAATCAAAAGATTACTGATTATTTGACTGGTTTTTATTATTTTAATCATTAGGATTCGAAATAACTTTCCTCCTTAATTTTAAAGGAGTTAAACTTGCTGTTGTACTTTACTATCTATTACTTTATAACTATTAATCATTATATTCTCTATTTGTTAAAACTCTTTTTGATGGGTAGTAAATTTATATTTTTTCTATTTATGATTAGGATTTATTTTTTTCCAGTTAATTTTGTTTTGTAATTTTTTCTATGTCTAAACTCGGCAATGATTTGTTTCTTACATTTATTTATTCTTTAAAATAGTTACCTTTATTTTCTAATATTTAAATATTTTCTTAAATCACACTTTCCAGCTGATCTAAAGTAATCCTTTTTTGTGGATTAGTCTTAAGCATCTTTTTTATTATTTATTCATTCAAATCACTGTATTCATCATTATAACACTTTGCTAGTAAATTTGAATCTAACTTTAGTTTTATTAATGTTTCTTTGCTTAGAATAACTTTAGTTGTTAATAAAAACACTAATCCCAAGCTATAAATATCGCTCTAATTTAAAAAATTATTAATTATAAAAATTATTTGAAAATAGAATTACTTCTTTAGATATTGGTGTTTTTACTTTAAATTAATGTAATAAGTATTACTCAGGGGAGCTGTAAGTTGAAGTAAATCCTTTCTATTAATAAAATATTGTTGCTTATTTAATTGAATTTATTACAATAGTAATATATATTTACTGTGTCAGTTGTTGATTCTTATCCATCACGTAAAACAAAAGATAACCCAAAGTCGTCTTTTTAAAATAAAGGTATATTAAAATTAATTCTTCATATGATTAATTGAAATATACAGCATAACTATGCAATTTAAATAATCAAAGATAATTTTATTCATGGGTAGCTTTAATAAAGCTTTGGTATTACATAGTAAAGATAAGTATATATTTATTAGATTTAATAAAAATTTATATTTTTTATGATTAAACTGAGCTTTTATTCTAATTAAAAGACATTAATAATAAATTATTATTAGATATAAATAGTATATTAATTTATGCTTCATATTTATTTATCATTCAAAATTAATTATAAGTTTAAAAGAAAAATTAGAATTATTAGAAAACATAATATTTATAGTTATTAACTAAATCAAATAAGAGCTAAATTATTATTGAATCTTTAACTAAAAGAATAAATAATTTTGTTAATAATTAATTACTGTATTTCCAAAAATTGTCTATTCCAAGGAGAATATTTGCTGGTTTTATGTCTAAGTGAAGAATATTTTAGCTATGCAAATACTTTAGACCTTATACAAGTTATAACCATAATTAAAGAATTTCTAAATTTTTCAACCATTTTTTCTAGCTTAAGAAGTAATTTAAGTATTCGACTAAGTCAGCTATTTAAATTAAATATAAATTAACATGTGAATTGATAAATTAGAATTTATTTTAAAAGTAATAATTAGTAGATTATCAAAATAATAGTTTTCAATATTTAAAAGTCCTTTTTTACTTTTGCAAAGATCCATAACAATAAATTGAATCTATAACTCATTGAAATTCATTATCTAAATAGATTAGAGGATGTTTTTCTACTTAAGATCTTATTAATTATTGAATTCTAGCAAGTTATCAAAAAACTATTTTTGTGTTTTAAATTTAATTATTTTTATAGCTACATATTTTTTGAGAGGAACACTATACCCTTTTACTACCATTCCAAAACCTCCTTTTCCAAGAATTTGATCTGTCAATAAATATCCTTTTTCTTTAAGAAATTATAGAATGCTCTTTCCTTTATTTCCAAAATCATTAAACTTTTGCTTGAGGATTTCATTCACAAAATGCGTTTACTGATTTATGTCTATTTACCAAATTATGGATAAGAAAATTAATCATTAAATAAAAAAATATATTGCTAAATTAGGCTAACTATTATAATACAATTCTAAATGAATTGATCTATGAAAGTTAAAAATCTACCTAACTCTTAAAAAGCGTTTTATTTTGGATTTTCTGGGTAGTTGTTGGGGTCATAAGCATGTTTTTTAGTTAAATCTATCTTTTATAACGTGGACTGAGTTTCACCCATAAATAAATATGATGTTTATTAATTCTTTGAACACAACAAAATTAATATTTTTACTTTAATTCTTCTTTAATATTTCAATATAAAAAATATACAGTAAGACTTTTGAATTAAAATAAATATGCAAAATTATAGCCACATTTAGGTGTACAATCATTATTTTTCTTATAATATTCAGTAACTCTAGTACTAAATGTTTGAAATATAAAATATTGTCAATTATAGCTTAAATAAATTTCTTAAACCATTGTAAAGACTTGGAAATTTAATTTTATTAAACTATTGTTATTTATTATACATACAACTTCATCAATATTTCTATTAAAAATACGATATTAATTTTTTATTATTTTCAATTGATATTTTTATTTTCAGTTTTTGCTTATACTTGATAAATCTATAGAATGTCTATTTATTTATGGTAAACTAAAATCTTTTAAAGTTCCTTCTTACTGGATTCCGTGCTTATCATATTATATTTCGATTATTTCTTCTACATCTAAATATATTTTTTTAAAAAAATTAGTGGATATAAACAATTTAATTAAGAGAATTCGAAAGTAACATTCAATAAATTACAGGGTTCTGGTTCCTACTTTTTATATTCAAACAAATCCTCTTTGGAATTATAAAGCATATCTTGTTCCCTTTGTAATTAGTTCTAACCAAATATCTAAAATAAAATTAAAATAGTGATTAATTTTTATAAAATAATCCTTTTTATTTACTATTAAATTATCTAACTCTAGGTTTTGATCAATAAGTATTTTTTTATGGAATTTCATGTCATCTCTTAGACTAGATAGTCTTTAGTTATAATATTTTAGTGAGTCAAATGATTGAAATGGTTTGTTAGTTATTTTGCTTTGATTCAAGCTATACTAGCTTATTGACTTTGACATCTTTAAAGACTAATTCAAGCTGGTAGCCAGAGGCTTTCTTACTATCTCAAGCTATTTTTTAACCATACCTTATGGCAATGCTCTGTTAAACGCAAGAGGCATATCTTCTAATACAACTAGAGGGTTCATGTTAACTTGTGATTTTGATTTAATAATATCTTTATAATCACCTTCATCAGGATTTAATTATTGATCTTCCTATGGATTTCTAAGATTCATGTACCACACTCTAGACCCAAAAAGATCAAATGCCCCTTTTGCTGTCTCAAACACATCAGTCATTTCTTTTTTCTATTTTAGTTAAATAAAATTGTAAAGAAAAGAAACAAAAATATGAAGATTTTTTATTATTATCCTAAACCATTTTTATTATAAATGAAATTAATTAATATTTAATTACTTATCTAAATCCATCTTATTAAAGAAGCTGTGATTATGTGTAATCTCTATGCATTTTAGAGCTACTATACTCTATAAAATTCATCCATTCTTTTTCAATTTAATTAAATTTTTCTAAGTTTCTTGTTTGTTAAGTAAATCTTAATTTATCAGTTGTTTTAAGTTATTAAACTGCCTTATTTTCAACTTCTATATTATGCTTTATCCTTTCTCTGATAGCTTCTAATTATTTTTCAAGTTAGTATTTAGTTATTTTAACATCTTACTATATTTTCAAGGCATTTTTCAAGTTACTCTTATTTAAAGAGCGACTCTTAACACTAATAGATTGAGTTGTTAATTATCTTTACCTTTTAGGTGTAAAAATGCTTAGATCTTCCTTTGTTAACTTGCTTCCTTAGTTTTTTAAAAACCATTCTGGCTTTCCAACTATCGAGCGAGGTATTATCTTACCATTTTTGTCAAATTTAGGTCCGTTATCACCTATTTAAGGCTAGTATAAAGGTTAGTTATGCTTAAGAAAAATATTTCTATCCATATGAGATGAAGAGACATCCATTGAATCATCGATTCCACTAATATTTACATGCGGTATAACACTTTCATTTAAATTTGAGCTTTTAATTACATTATTTTATGCATCATTTGATTCTCTATTAAAATAACTTTAAAATGCAGATGGCTTTTCAATAACACCTTTTAAAATTTAATTTGGAGATATATTTCTTTTACCATTTCCTTAGTTTTAAATAGAGTTTTGCTAAGGAGTAAACCCTGGTACGTATTATGAATTATTCAAGCTTTGATTAACAGAAGGGAGATTATTTAAAAAAGGTAGAAAAGTAGGAGATTATCCTTCTTATATATTATTTTCTAAAGAAAAATTTCTTTTTTTTTGAAATTCTTGTTAATATTCATTTTTTATATTTTAATTTTGATTCGCTTATGAAAATCTTCGCTACTGTTAATCTATTTCATAATTATTATTATCAGGATTCTAATATATTTCTTATTTTCCTTAACTTGATGGTGTTTGCTCATGCTCTTAATCCTCAACAATTTTCCCAATATTGGGCTATACTTTCCTTGCCACAAAGTACTTTTTCTTTTTTCCTTTCTCTTTTATTGATGTATCATTTTTAAGAATAACATTATTATCAATTTATTTTTGTGATTAGCTATTTTCTTATGCCAGGAAATCTAAAAGGTTAGTCTAAGAACCTATATTGCTAAGCTATTAGTTGGTAGATATATTCATTTAAAATATTTTTTTAAAATAATTATTATAAATTTCACTTTTTATTCCAAAAATATTAAATAGTTATACAAAAATTTGTGCTTATATTATGAAACAATTACTTTATTTTTTATAAAAAAAACAATACAAAAAATTTTATTTTCGATAAATTATGGCCAGCTAAAGATCTATCTATAATATAATAAATAATGCACATAAAATTGATATCAAAAATATAAAAATCTGCCAAAATATTTATAATTTATCAAATATCTCATTTAGCTATTTTCAAATAGCAAAATAAATATTATGATACAAATTTATAACATTTTATAAAAGGAAATATTAAATTACGTTAATTCTGTAAAAATAAGTTAAATTAATCATTGAATATTCATTATATTAACTGAATTAATTAATTAATTATTAAATTATTTTTGATATTTTATAATTAAGGAATTAACGAATACAAATTAATGTATTATTACAAGATAAAATAGAACAAATATATTTATAATAAATTATGAATTTTAAATATTAATTAATACTCCTCCTTTCTGAAATTTTAGAAAACATAGATGAACCTTCAAAATTTAAAAATATTAATGGGAGGTAGGTAGAGTGTTTTTTGTGAGAAAAAAGAAAATAATAAAATTAAAAAAAAAAAAAATAGAATTATGATAATTATTGAAAATAATTCAAAATTTAATTAGTTAAGTTGTAATAAATTAGTAAAATCACGTGAATTTCAAACAAAATATTTGAAATTTAACTTTAAAAAATTGTCTATAGCAATATTTTAAATTTAATTATAATGGAATAAAAAAGAAACTAAATCAAGGTTATTTCTATTTATATCACATGAGGCAAAATGTGTAATTTATTTAAAAATATAGATTTAATTTTTAAATTGTTTAATTTGTATACAAACGAGCTGAGCTGTGTTGATATATTTTTTATGATTAAATAAAAATTCAAAATAGATATATAAATAATCTATTTGTAAACAATCAAACAAATTACTTATTTATAAGATTGAAAAAAAAAAAAATAAATTAGCAAATCTTAGTTTAGTATTATATTTAGAAAATGATTATTTGCGGTACTTCAATACTCTGCTGTGCTGGTAAAGCATTTTGCTCTAATGCATGTGGTTGTTGTAAATCTTTATGCAAAACAACTTGGAAATAATAGATTAGATTGGCATACATTATTTTAAACATAGTATTCACTCTTTTTATAATATTCACTTTCTACTATCTATAAGATATATTTCAAACATTTTCAAAATACATTAACTGTCCTTCTGAAGCTGGTGGTGGTTCAGAATGTCTTGGAGCTAGTTCTGTTTATAGAATGAGTTTTAGTTTAGCATCATTTTATCTAGGATTATTCTTGCTTCTGTTTATTTGCTGTGGTATAGAAGCCAAAAAGATGATAAATGATGGTAAATATTATTTAATTAAAATTCTTCATTTTTTATTAAATAAATTATTTTATTCAAATTAGGATTATGGTGCTTCAAGATAACTTATATAATTTTAGTTTTTATATTAGTTTTCTTTATCCCTAATAGTTTTTTTGAAGGTTATTCTTAATTTGCTAAATATGTTAGTATTCTATATATGCTATTTTAGTCTTTAGTAATTATTGATCTACTCTATAAATGGTCTCAAACTTGGGTCAAATATTACGATCAAGGAAACTAGTCTATGAAATATGTTTTGGTTTTTACTTCCTTAATTTTATATGGGTTGACTATAGCTTTAAACGTTCTTACATTCATATGGTTTAAAGGATGTAGTACAAATACTGCTATATCTTCTGTTAATATCGTAATTCTAGTAGTTATAACATTTATTCAAATTCTTGGATTTAACCCTCATGGATCATTGATTGCTTCTGGCGGTATCGGATTATACATTTCATTTTTGACATTTTCCTCATAGTTTAGTTCTCCTGATAGTGAATGCAACAGTCTTATTTCTAATTCAGATAATAAAAATGGATTCTACTTTGATCTATCTATCGCAATTATCTTAAATTTTATTGTCTTGATGTATGTCACTTTTAGTAGCAAAGAATCAACAAGTAAAACTACCTAAAATATCATAAACAATGCACCTTAAGCTTTGTTAGCAGATAATAAAGATGATGAAGAAGATAAATCTTTAGATTAAAATAAAGTATCAAATCAAAATGCATATGAAAATAATTCCATGCAATAGCCTTAAGGTTAATAATAGCAATAATCGTAGAACTTAAACTAGTAATAAGCCAATCTAAGTGATGAAGATAAAAATGATATAAGAAGACTTGTTGTTATATAATAATTTAAGGCTTTCTATGTAGTCATGTTTTTTGTTTCGATCTACACATGTATGCTAATTACTAATTGGGGCTCTCCTGATTTTAGTAATAATACTTTCTAACTATATTAAGAATCTTCTGCTAGTTATTGGATTAAAATTATAATAGCTTGGCTAACAGCAGCTATTTATATTTGGACTTTAATAGCTCCAAAAATATTCCCTAACAGAGACTTCTCTTGATATAAATATATATAAAAATTAATTAATTTAATATATTTCAAAATCAATTAAATAATAATCAGCTAAAAAATTAAATATAAATATTATAAGTAGAGATAATAATATATAAATTAATATTATTGTAAATAAAAGAGACTAATTGTGTAAATTTATATTTCTGATATAATTCAATTAAATTATTGTTTTAACTAATTAATGATTGTATGTTTTGAGAAGATTACTAAAGAAAACTTAGATATTGTTATAATAATAATAATTTTAATATTTTTATTCAATTCAGTTTTCATTTATTTGCAGATTTTGCAAATAATAAATACCAATAAATAACTTGAAGTATTATGGTAATTCTATTTTAATAAAAATAATAATTTTTTAAAGCATTTTGCTTAAAATAATTTTTCAAGTTATTTTTGCTGTTATTTATTTTAAAATATGTTTTGAAAATTTTTTATTTAAATAATCAAATAGACATTTAAACCAAAGAATTAAAAATTTTGTTTTTTTTTTATTTGAGATTTTGCTAATTTATAATATTTTTATCTTTAATTTATTTTTAAACAAGAAATATTTTATTAAAGCATTACTATATTTATATATGATTGAGATCTATTTGAAAATCTATAACTCAAAATTTATTAGTTGTGAAATAAATTATTTATTTATTTATCTTGAATTTTTGATAAATTACTTATCTCAATTACATTAATATGTTGATGATATTTAAATTAGTTAATTAATTAATTATCTAAAAATTTACAATAAAATAAATTAAATCATTCAAAAATTTTCAATTTTTATCAAAAATGCAAAAATTTAAAGAATTTTCTAATCTTAATACTAAAGCTTTAATGAAGGTCTTTTATGCTCTTTTATTATTAGGGTTAATTCATGCCAATCAAAATATTAAATTGAATGAATAGATAACTAGCACTATATTACCTCGTCAAAATTAGATTTTTAAAATCGAGTCTTGCGGAGATGTAGAAGTTGAATTAAAAGTGAAGGGTTAAATTGTTGTGGAGGCTGGTCCTGCAAGAACAGTAAAGCTTAATATTATTTTGAGTTATTTTTAAATTTATTTTATTGTTTTATAAAGATGAGCTAAAAAGGATTTTAGGAAGATTTTAAAAAGCAATTATCAAATGAAAGCATCAAATTTAGTTTATAATTTCCATTTGTGTACTATAACTCATCAACAAAAATTTGTATGATATATTTAAGCATTTATGGATAAGCTAACTCACAAAATGGTGCTTCGGAAAATATAGAGTTTGAATTTGTTGTAAAGCCCAAAGTTAAGAATGATATTTACATAGTTAAATTAGAAAAATTACCAGAAAATGCTATGATTTATTCAAACTCAATTCCTTCCAATTAGGATATTTTTGTTTTATTAAAAGGTGGAATCTTAAAAAATACGCCAATTAATATATAAATATTTGACAACTCACCACACTCTTCAGTTTAAAATATATAAGGATCAGATGCTTAAGCTTAGGAGTCTTCAATGAATGTCCCTAATATAGTATTTAACTAATAAGGATAAGAGTTAAAAAATAAAAAGAAAAAATCTTAAGACTAAAAGAATAAATAATATTAACTATAGTCAAAGAGCAACTATTTAAATTTTAATCAGTAATAATAAGTTACTATGTAGAGTGACTCTATTATGGTTTTAGCAGAAAAAAGTTAAAGTGAGAGTAGAAAAATTCAGATATTTAAGCAAGATTGCTTATAATTCTAATCATTGCAGAGTTTAAGCTAATATAAATTTACAGGACTCAATTTTAAGTTATTAAAAGACAATAAATAAAAAATATTTTTAAATAATGAAGGATGCTATGTCTTAGAAATATTTTCAATGAGTCCATAAAGTCTGAAGGTATATCTAAACACAAAAACTCCAGATGTAGATCATGTACAATTAGAACTTCATATGCTAAAAATAAATAGTTATACTTATTATATTGTTTTGTAATAAGTTTACTAACCTGATTCTTTAGAAATTGTTAGTAGTGCAGATATTGATGTGCTGATTCAATTAAAACAATATTCTCAAAATACATTTTAAGAGGTTACAAAACCAAGAGATGATTACTTTGAAATAAATATAAATGATAATGCCCTTTAAGTAACGAATGATTCAAACCAAAAAATAGAGCATGCTTATCTTTTTATGTCTTCTGACTAAGCTTCTCTAGAATCAAATGTATTAATTGGAGAATCTGTAAGTAATATAATACATTTCATGGAAATAGATCCAAAGCATTAAGACTTAAATTAAATGCTTGAAAAATTAAGTAATTTTTCAAAACTGTATATTTCAGTAAGAGCCTACGATGAATTCTAAAGGTCTCACATATCTCAAGTTTAATTAGTGGACAATCCTTACAGTAGTTCTATTTCCTTTTCTTTAACTAATATCCTTTTGATAATCATAATCAGCTTAGCTTTAGCTGCAGCAATAATATATTTAACTCTAAGAGGATTTAAAGAAAAGAAGATTATAAAATAACCTGATGAATAAGAATTAATTCATGGTTCAGTTCATGTTAGAATGCCTTCAGAAAATAACTATTGAAAATATCAAATATAATAATTTTTTTTAAGTTCATAATTGTGTAAAAGTACAATTTTTATATCATTAACAAGCTAAAATCTTCTTATAATGAATTAGTAGAATTTTTAATTGATAAAATTGAAATAAATGTTGATTATTAATTAATCTTTCAAGAACAACACAACATATTCCTTTATTTATTTAAATATTTAATAGGCAGTAGAAAAAATTTGTAGTGTAGTCAGAATTTATACGATTTATATAATAATTCTTTTATCTATTTAATAATTTATTGATTAGTCAAAATGTTTCTAGTACATTTTTCATTTTTTAGGTTAAATTCTTAAATAAAATTCTAAAAAATAAAGATCGCTTTAAAAGTAAATCAAAAAATAGAATATCATTTTATTAATAAAATTAATAACTGTACGAAAATGGATAAAGTTGAATAACCTCATGTGAATGCTAATGGACATATTTATTTTTATAGAGAATATGAACATAATGGTATATTTTCTAACTTTTATGCTTCTCCTATAGCATTAAAAGAAAAGCAATGGCCTACAACTGAACATTATTTCTAAGCTCAAAAATTTTCAGGAACAGAAAAAGAGGAGTTAATTAGATTAGCTTCAACCCCAAGCGAATCCTTCAAATTAGGTAAAGGGACCATTTTGAATTAATATTAAAACTAATTATTTATGTAGGAAGACAGAGAGATGACGAGTACCCTTTAAGAAAAGATTGGGAGAGTGTAAAAGATGAAGTAATGTATGAGGCATTAAAAGCTAAATTTACATAACACAAAGATTTATAGAAATTTCTGCTTAGTACAGGAGATGCAAAGATAATTGAACATACTCAGAAAGATAAATATTGGGCTGATGGAGGAGACGGTAGTGGTAAAAATATGCTTGGAATATTGCTTATGAATTTGAGAAATGAACTTAAAGCGAAATAAAAATGAAATTTAACTTGAAAAAGATGATATTCTTTTATTCATTTTAATGTTTTAAATTCCTAAAATGAATAAATATCTTTATAAATTTCTAAGTCATTTTTTTTCGAGATTACATTAAATTGAAAACATATATATAAATTTAGTAAAATTATAGATATTTATTTACTGTATGAATTTAGATATTTTATTTTTTAATAAAAATAGAGTTTTTATAATCATATTTAACTTAACTTTTTTAATTTCCTTTGAGTAAAATTTTAAGGTTAATTCAATTTAATATTTGTTTTCATGTATTAAATATATTTTAAAATGGCATACATACTGATCTCCTGAAAGTATTATTCGGTTTTTTAATTTGCATTAATAGTCTTCAAATTGCTGAACAATTTTTTGAGTAAATATCTAATACAATTAGTTGTCAAGTAAATTATTTCATATATTTTTTGCTAAAATATATTTTTTATACAATAATGTAAATTTAATGTTTTAATATGTATATATGTTTAAGAAAATTAACTTATAATTAAAAACTAGTCCATGAATAAAATATATCAAAAAAGGCAGAATTAAAATTATCTTACTCTGATAATTAATAACTCTTTAACTTTCTTGATAAATATCTAATTTTGACTTTTCTTTTTAGATATTTTTGGTAGTATTAGTAAATTTAAATTTATTTAATTGCAGCGTTTTGACTGGAATAAATCTTTTTCTTATCAAATTTAATAAAATTTAAATAAGGTTTTACTTACTTAATTGTCTTTTTTCTTTATTAAAAAGATATTTTTTATGTTACATAAATTTTTATGAATTCTATGAGTTGAATTTTCATGGGATCTATACTATGGTTTTTATTTTCTAATTATATATTGCTATACTTCAGGTGATATTTTAGCATTCTAGTTATGCATGCATATATTCAGAAAATAATCTTGATCATTTCCATAAAAAGTCTAAGCTAAACTACTAGAATGATATGATGGCAAATAAAATATTTCTTGAGTGTTACTTTAAATTTTGTTAAGGTGATCTTGATATGATGGGTTTAATTAAATTGATTTTTAATTTAATAGAGTAAAAATAAAATTTTATAAGCTCATCATTTTAATTTCTTGATAATTTATTTTAAATTGATCTGCTTAAAAAAAAATTGATAGAAAAATAATTAATTTAATTTTAGAAAATTTGTAAATTCATACTAATTTCAATAAATTGAATTTTTTAGAAAAGAAATTTAAAAATATGAAATATTTCTTAATAATAAGAGTTACATATTACCTACTATCAATTTTAAAAATACAATTTGAATTATCATTTTTTAAGCTTTTGTATTTTTATTTTATTTGAGTAACATTTAAGTAATTGCTTCAAATAAATAAAAATGTTAATTCAACACTTATTTTATTTATTGTTCAGTAAACTAAATTAACGCTTATATTTTTTGATATATTAAAAAATTGTTATAAATATCCACTTAATTGATGTTACCAGAAATATTTGAAAATAAATTAAATTTCACAAATTTATGTAATATTTCAAATATATAGTTTTTTATCACCTAAATCTTAATTAATTGCCTTTTTCTCCTTACTTTAAAATAAATTAAGCTCGAAAAATTACTTATTTAAAAATTTATTTAAATTCTATCAATCTATACATTTGTTTCCGATACATATATATTTACATTTGAGTATAGAAACAATTTTCAATTATAATAACCGTTTAGTTATTAATAAGTCTACTTTTTTCATGAGAAATATAATTGACATAAAACATTCATAAAAGTTGCTATTTTTAATTTTTGTAATTAAAATTTTCCTCTCTTTTCTCAATAATCTGAAAATAATCAAATTTTTATCTTTCGTGGATATCAATTATAATAATTGTTATTTACTTCCAACATAATCAGTCAATTTTTATAATAAATTAATTTAAAAAACTTAGATAACAAAAAATAAAGATATTCATCCAAAAAATTATAAAAGCTTACAATAATCTTTCTAATTCCTATAAAATTCAAAAACCACAAAAAATTTATTTATTGTTTATTTTTACCATAAAAGAATTAATTGATAATAAATTTGGAAAATAGCTTTTAATAATATAAAAACATAATAACCAAAACGCTTAAAAAAATATGGGTTAAAGTAATAATAAATTAGCTAATTGGGTTGAAAAGGCATAAAATCTTGAGCGTGACTTGGAATAAATATTACATCAATTGGATTCAAGTAGAATTTTAATGTTTGATCTAGCTGAGATTCCACACTTGAGAGATATGCACGATGCAAATTTTTAAAGAGACTTATTTCTTATTGAAAATGCATTAAGCTACATGAATTAAAGCTATAGCTAAAAGATATTTATATAAGAAATATCTTCTAACCTAAAAAAAACTTCTAACGATATTATGTTGTTGAAAAACCTACTGATTAAGTTGAATAAAAACTATGAAAATCTTGTTAAGTAATTCGGGTAATATCAAGGTGCTGATAACTTGATTTAAAATTTGCTTTAAACAATAGATTGGAAAAGGTAGTCTCTGATTAATTATTTTCATGGTCATACCGAGTAATTTAATGACTGTGTATATTAGAGCCTATATGAATTTAAAAGCGAAGCAATCGTAGGAAGTAGATCCACAATGCACACATACCCTTAAATAAGAAAATAATCAACTCTAGGCTGAACTAGAGTATTATCTCAATTAGAATAAATCAAATATCAACCAAACAAATAATTGTTATACAAAAAGAAATCACAAACATAATAAAACCAAGTATTTTAACAAATCTTTTATAAAAAACAACCAAAAACAAATTATTCTCACCATCATAAATATTAATATTTCAAAAAAATTTAATCAATTTCATAATGATCTCAATTTATTTTCATCAAATGCTATATATTATTTATTATTTATATTCATGTAAATTTTTACTAACCTTTTATGTTTTATTCAAACAAAATAATCTTAAAACTTGTTTCCTAAATTTACAGTAATAATTTAAATATAAACAATGCCCATATAACCATAATACTAACAATTTAATTCAAAAACTCATTAATTTGCAATTTAGTTAATTACTTATTTATTTATATATTAATTCATTTATTTTTTTTCTATATTTATCAAAATCCATTAAAGAAAAAATATTATCATAGTTATAATAACTCTTTACATTTAAATAAACTAAAGATTCCCAATTACTATTTTGATAATCATTAAAGAAAATACTTCTTCCAAAAATTAATTAAGATAATCAACCAACAAAGAAAGAACTATATTTTTTTAAATTTCTTTTGTATGATTTTTATAGAATTTAAATTATGCTCGCATTCAAATTTAAACATGAATGAATAATTAATTCGTATTTACATCTTTCAATATAAAAATCTATTTTGTCACACTGTTTGATTTCTCTTTTGAAATTTTTGAAAAATTGAAAAAATTTATTATTGGTTAAATTTAGTTTACTTAATATAAAACAAACTAAATTAATCTATAAATAACTGTATTTTTCAGTCTAGTTAATGTAGTTAATGGACTAAAATTTTGAGCTTTATCTGTTAATCTTCAGTTTTTAATTTATTTTTTCCATGGTATATTTTTGGGAATAAATAAATCTATAACACCTATATTAGCTAGCTTTTCTGATCAAAGACAAAAACAAGTATTAAGTAATATTAAGGAAAATATATAAAAGAATAAAAAATTAATGTTACATTCTTTATAGAAAAACAAATTTATTTTAAGTAATAAATAAATAAAAATACTATGATTAAACATATAAATCATTTTAATCATTTTATTTAAGGAATTTTAGTCTTGCTCTCAGCCTAAAGTTTTTGGATTTGCTATTCTTTAATTTGTTAATCTTCTAATTAATCAATACATTTCCAAAATTCATCTGGAGTTAGTCCATCAGTAGCTAAATATTAAATTAAACCTTACTTGTATTCTATCTTTCTCTCTCTCTTTATAAATTAACGTATTATACCACTATTTTCACTTAGCTAGTCATCTATTTAAAAAAAATAATTAGTATTTAACAAAAAATCAGTACTTAATTTACCATTATTTATTTTTTAAGAAGTAACTGAGGCCCTCCTTTAGGTTGATACAGCCTCACTTTACTAAACAGAACGTAAAGTATGATTAGAAGTAATATTCACTGACTAATCCTAAGATAAATTATCCTAAATTTAAGAAGCACTTTCATTTTGTGCTTAACTCTAGCTTTATTACCTTTGTAATTGACTGGTTACTAATTTTTTTTTATTGTCTTAATTAGATTAGTTAACTATAGGATATAAACGAAGATAAGCCTTAATTTTTGCATATATTTACTCATAACTATAAGATTAACTAAAGTCTTTATATGTAACATTTATCTTATACCCACTTTAACCTTTCTAAATAAAGCTTAAATACTCTGTGAACATATATGTTTTAAATACACTCGGTTTTGCATGCCATGCTTGTGATAATGCACTAATTAAACTCAACAGCGACGATATTATTACCTATTTATTTTTAGATAAATAAAAGTTAAATTAAAATATTTTTTCATAACCATTTTATGCAAATTACTCTTAAATATTGCCAACTTCCAAACTTTATTTGAGATTAACCTTCTTGCCTGAACTGATATAACAGCAAAATTACAATTTAAGGAATATTTTCTATGAATGCTCTGATAAATTTAGAAACGATTACTTGAGGTACTAAGATACCTTACATGAAATTTATTTTAATTAAAGACTTTTAAACTGATGTTGTTGAGAATCTATCTAAAACAGCTCCAAATGCATTCATTTCCTAAACTAGGGCAAGTTTTGTGTATTGATTTATAAATGCAGTATTATGAATCTCACCTGATTTTTTCTTTCTAAAATCCCATATTCTCACTATTGCATTTCTCTGTGTAACTAAAGAAATTAATATATTTAATGAAGCTAATGCTAAGCAATAAGCTCCAAGATCTGCTGACTTTAGCTTGTCACATTTAGTAATAAGCATACCAAAACAAACGTCTGTGTATATGTCATATTTAGACATTATTGATGAAAAGACAAGAGAAATAATAGATAAGCTACTTGTTGTAAATATTTACTAAGAGCCAATAATCTACTCCAAATTTTTTAGCAAAGTAATCTCAATAAAAGCAGATATAATTAAGTAGATATATATTGGTATATCCTATGTAACTGAAGTTGTTTAGCAGTTATCTTAAGTTTTGTTATTTTCAATTATAAAAGGATATATTACTGATAAGAAAATCTAAAAAACAATCATGTTAAAATAGATCACATAGTGGAAGTGTTTAATCAAATTAAATACTTTTTCTGTTTAAGTTCCTTTTTTTATATTTTAAAAATTGTCTTGCGTAGGTTTCTCTAAAAATTATTCAATTCTTTTTAGCTTTGCCTTTTATCCCGACTGATTAAATAAAATAAAAAATAAAATATTTGATTATAATAGCTTATTAATTTAATTACATCGTTTATATTGATATTCTTTCCGCTTATAACTTGATCTAAAATAGCCACATCTTTATCAAAATAGAAATCTTCAGAGGTAATTGATTCAGGGACCTTCTTATCAACAAGAATATAGTATTCCTTCTTCTTAAATAATCTATATAAAAAATCAGGTGAAAAAGTATAGGTACTAATAGTGGTATTGATCCTGATTGTTAATACCTAAATTAAGTGGAAAATAGTTAAAGGGAATAATATTATTCCGACTATGATAATCAAATAATAATGAGTTTTCCAATTTCTTAAAACAAAGCTATTTATCGAGTCAAACAAACCAATGTTTGTAACATTATTCAAGAAGTTTGACAAATCAACCTATTCACCAACACTCTCATATTTATCTACTTGTTCAGAGCACTTTTTTAAATATTCTTAGAATCTTTCATATTCATCAAAAAGCTTCTTTAAAGAACGATCCTTTTTACTTACTGACTAGCTCAAGAATTTTTAAAACTTTTCATAAAATATAAAAATTTTTATAAATTTATTTAATAATTTTTAAGTAAAATTCTATTTTCATTATTTTGCCAATATTTCTTATTATTAAATAACAAATTCTAATTAGAATAAATAAAATTGCTTTTACAGTTGAAGAAACCTCGTTAGAAGCGCTTATAATTTATTCTTCAACTTTTAAATTATTTAGCTTTGTTTCTTTCTCCTATTTAGTATTTCCTGCTTTTTCAAAGTTTGTCTTTTCAGCCTAATTTTAATTCTTTTTAATTTGCTTATTGTTTGATTTATTAGAGGCTTTATTAGGATTAATAAGTTGATTTTCTTCACTCTTGAGTTATTCTAAATCTTTTGTTTCTTCTTTCTTATCAACTAAATTTTCTATTTTTTTCTCTAGTGATGTTACACGAGTTTTTAAACTCTATACTTCTGCAAATGTTGAACTTAGTTCAAATCTAAACCCTTTATGGATTCTTTCTACAATTGCAGCATATAAATATTTCATACCGAAAGCAGAAAGACGTCTATTATTTGTTAAATCTAAGTATACTAAGTTTCTAAGCTGGTCTTCGTCTGATAGAATTAAACTAAACTTTTCTGCAAATATATCACTTACATTTACTCCACTTAAATTTAAGTAACGAAGTCCTTTCATCCTTTTTTAGATAAATAAGCAGAGATGATCAAAAATGGTATCATCGAGTTCATTATCAGATTCAATTAAATTTTCTAAATTGTTTCTTTTTGTGTCATTCATTTCTTCTTCCTGATCCTATTTGCTCTGCTAAACTAAAATTTTCATATTTTTTGTACTTAAATCCAATTTTTAGTGAGCATTTTCTGTTACTTTTAACTTTTAAATTCCTTAATTCATCGCTAACCAAGGCGAAATATGACTTTTTATGTAATTGTTAAAACCTTTAAAATTTAAAAAGCTATTATTTCTCAAATTTAGAGTTTCTACAAATTCTAAAAGCACCCATAATTCATTGTAGTCAAATGTTTTTTTCATTTTTTAACACATGTATATTATATATTAAATTGTTATAATCACCTAGTGCTCATGTTATTGCAATTTTTTTTCACTGATACCTCTTTCTTATAAATTTTTTAAATTCTAGTTCGCACTCTTTTGCAAAAATGATAGATTTTAGCTACCAGCTAGCACAGACATTCTATTTTATTTGGTTTTAATCCTAGTTGAAGATTTTAATTTGCTAGTACCTTCTTGATTCTATGATTTCTTTAAATCCATTATTTATTAATATATAGTAGCTATACCAGTATATTTATTACCTAATTCATGAACAGTTTTAGAAATAATTTTAATTTTTGCCTTTAATTCTTCACTAAGCTACGAACTTATTGTTTCTTCTAGCTACTTTGTATAGTATTAAATTTGATTGAAAAAGTAAATGTTTACTCCTATCTAATTATCTATAAAAGAATCTAAAATTTTCTAAATTATTTCAAGTAGCTCTTCTAATTTATATATTTCATTATCGACAATATCTTAAAAGCGTTCAAAAATAATTCCATTCTTTATCAAATCATCTTCGTCAAAAATAAGATATAAAATTTCATAAAAAGAACATCCGGAAATATATTTTTAGAAGTTTGTACTTAAAAAGTACATTACTTTAGATTTAGGACTAACACTGGTGTGCTAAATGATATGATTGAAACCTTAATAAACATTATTGAATAAGAAAGGAGAGAGATATTATATTGAGTTATAAGATCTTGATACCATATCAAATTCTGCATCACCTAACTTATTACGAATATCACCCAAAGTGATGAGGAAAGAAGTTATACAAAACATGTTATCTCCTCTTTTTAAGATCTAAGAAAGAATTTTCATAAGTTCTTTGCCATTTTATTCATGCAATTTAATTAAATTTAACAAATTCAGATATTTCACATGCTCTTTAAAATATTAACTCTCAATCAATTCTTTAACAAACTCAATATTTGAAGGATAATTATTTGTAAATGATATCTAAGAAATAAATCTTTGAAGCTGGAGTCTATTCAAAATTAAAATTAAATATTAAAATTATTTTTTATACATTTATTATATTACCTTGGCTCATCATCTTATTTGTCATTTTCCCAACTTTAAAGGAAGTTGGTAAGGAATACAGTTGGATTTTAAACTTTACAATTATCTAAATCAATATGTTCAAGTTTGTAATGCAGATTATTAAAACTGATAGAATTAAAGTGCTCTCCTGCAATTTAAGTATCACCAAAATTGATCCTCTTTAACTTTTCAAATTTCGATAAGAACTGTGCTAAGCTTTCTTTTGTGAACCATTTCTTTTGATCCATCAAGTCTTCATCGTTAATTCTCTGTTCCTCCTCTTCTTCAACTTCTTTTTCAGCTTTTACAGCAGCATTTTCTTTACCATCTTAGCTTTAGCTGCTGTCGCTGTCACTATCACTGCTACTACTTTCAATTTTTTCTTTTAATTCATTTTCTGCTTGATTTTCATCATTATTTTCTTCTGACAAGTTATCTTAATTTTATTACTATTCAACTTCAGCATCGCTTCCATTCTTTTATTATTTTTTCTTTTTCTTTTTATTTTAAACTCCGGCATCATCTAAGAAAAATCTCTTTTTCTAATACTAAATAATTTCTATTGTTTTTTCATTCAAGATAAACTTGTTTTTCTTGAGACATAAATAATTCATGTTCATAAATATGTAATCAGGAATTTTAGCTATATCTTCAAAGGTTATCTATGAACTTGAGTGCTCAAAGATATCTTCGAATAGCTAAGTACTGTAGCATTTTTCGAAAAGAGGAAGTAAATGGAAAAAGTTATAGTCATTTTCTCCTTGAATATTTACATTATGTATACAATCTAATTTACTGATAAATAATTGAATTGATGAAGTGTACTTGGGATCAGTTATTTAGATATTAGGGTAATATAGTTTGCTTGCAGTTAGTTTACTTAATTCTTTATTGAAAAGTATCTAAGGAGTTAACTGTAACTTAGGTAAGTAATATCTCGAACTATTTTAATTTATATTTTCATAAACAGCCATTTTTTTCTATTCATCTAATTGATTCAGATGCAAGTTAATCAATTTTAAAAAGTAAGTCCAATCACATCCTTTTTAATCATAAGTATAAGAAAGTATTTAAAGTGATGATGTCTTACATTCTTGATAGTTTATATTTTATTCTTTGTCTTCGTTTTCTGCAATATTTTATTTTGTTGTAGAAGGTTTTTGTTATTGTTCAAGTTTAGGAGGAGTAAAGATGCTAATTAAAATCTCGTCTTAAATAGAATTAAAAGTGATTTTAAGCTTGGTATTAATTCTGCATACTTAATAGCACAGATATTCCAAATCTGCTTAGCTGACAGAATATAAAATCTTTAACTCTTTAAGATTACTCATTTTTATAATCTAAAATTAAGAAAGTTCACATTCATTATTATTGTTACTGTTATCTAAATCGAAATTGGGAATAACCAATTCCTCTAATTGATAATAATTTTTAAATTTCTTGAGTTACAAAACTTCTGAGAACTTAGGCTTGGTTTATTCAGATTATTCAACATAACTTTTGTAAAATTCGAATATATTTACAGAGCTATGGAAAAAGTCAATATTAATAAGTTCAATAAATTATTTAAATGTTATTTATTAAACAGGCTTGAAACGTTTTACATTTTTAATCGATTTCTTAGTAAGTATATTATTTAAGACAATATCTTGCTATGTTTTTAGATTTTCTTCTTTAGACTCTTAGCTATTTGAATGCCTTTTTAGGACTAATTATTTACATTTAAATTCCTTAACTGACTAAAATAATAGATTCATAGTTTAAGGCTATATTTCTTCTAAGTACAAAACTAAATCTTTCATACTACCTACAATTTTTGGGTATGAAATTAAATATTCAAAAATATTATCAATACTGTAATCATTGTCACTTCTCATAGGGAGAACGATTTTATAAAAAAAGGGACTAAACTAAAACAAATTACTTACAATTGATTATTCTAAACTTTTGAGAGTATTACTAAAGTATGAAGATTCAAAATAGTATGTTTAAGAATAATCAGTATCAATATTTACTTTTCTGATATTGAGAAAACACTTATTTCTGGAAAAATTATATTTCAAAAAATACAAAAAGGTATATGACGATTACGTCAATTTGACATTCATTTCTTCTATTAAAGCAACGTTTTCTAATTTATTTATAACTTAGTAAAGATTTCCAGGAGTAAAAGCCTAAAAAGGAGCTAGTTTTAGCACCTTATGCCTTTTTGTGTAAAATGATTTATCCACTTCATAAAATAAGTTAAATATTAGCCTTATTTTTTGTTTTTTTTCAATTTATTCATCTTCCAAAGTATCATCTAAAAAGAGATTAGCTAAATGAACAAAGAAATCATCAAGATTAAATTTAGGGGAATAAAATCTCTTCTTTACTCTATGAGCAGTATATAACACATATAAAGGATGAATGCATTCAACTCTTTTAAATTCAACACTTTCTAAACTAGAAAAGTTGTTTGTTAAAAGCATATCCTCATAAATACCAGCATATTATCCTTAATTATTAACTACTTCTTCTTTATTAACATTCATTTCCTCTCCATTTTACTCATAAATTTCATAAATCTTTTTATGCTTATTAAGCTTTTTTTACAGTTTATCTTCCAGCTTGGGAAGCGAAGCTCTTTTAACTTTCTCTTAATCTTCATACAATATTATTTTTTTGATATTACACACATATCTACTAAGGGCTAGTTCCAACAAGCTTGAACTACTAATTTTATTTTAAACTTTATAAAAAAATATTAATTATTTATTTTATTTTTAAAATTATTATTAATTAATTATTACTTATCCTTAAGGATGAAAGATCAAGAATTTCCATATTTAGAAGATTAGGCTAGTTGCTAAGAATTTAAAGGCATTCCTCATCAACCACATCTCCATTTTCATAAATTAATTTGGATAGATCCAATTTTGGTTTATTTTCTTAAACAAGTAGTATTTTTAAATGCTTAAATTTTAAATAGAGAAAAAAAAAATATTTATTTTTTGATAATATTAATTATAATTTATTTTACTTAAAGTTTAACTTTGGAAATATTTAAATCAACAAGATTTGGTAATTTGTTTGTCTTAGCCAAATTAACCCATATTGGATAAAAAGAATCTCTATCTTCTAAGCTGGTTATCTGTATAACTTAAATATTCTGTAAATAGGGCGAAAGTTTCAATAATTAATTAATATTTTCAATATTTTCTTGAATACTTTTCATAACCAACGTCTTTTGTTTGAGCATATAAATACTTTCAATCATACTCATAACATAGTTTTGCTATTAGAACATGAAATTGTTTTCAAAAATAATTTATGACATATCAAGATCTAAATGCACGTTTTTAGCTCTTAACAAGTAATGCAAGTGAGTTTTACAGTTTATTGAATCGTTATCTATGAAGAATGATTTCAGCAGAGGTAATTTTTTGGTGCTTGCCAAACTAATAAAAGTTGAATTACTAACATATTCGTAATTTACTTATATTTTCTCTATATTCACAGCATATTTACTGTAAAACAATTATTGAAGCTTTGATAAATAAAAAAATTTTGAACAAATAAATAAATAAATGTTGTTTTAAATAAAATTACAATATTGTCAGTAATAGGTATTTCTTTTAAATCTAAATTTTTAATATTTAAAAGATAGCGACTATTTATCAAATATTCTATTAACTAGTTATTTATGGCATTGTACTTGTTAGATATTTAGTTCTAAATGTAGCAATCCATTAATTCAGATATGTTAAAAGAGCTGCTAAAAGGACATTCTTGTAATATACTGCATAAACTTCTCTAAGTAACATTAGTACCTTCTACTTTCAATATTTCTAGGTATTTAAACGAGCGCTAATTTAGCTCATTTTTTTTTATGAGATACTTTTAAATATTTTAAATAAAAATTAATATAATCTGAATAAATAAATACTTTTTACTTTTATAATATCTTAGTCATATACTAATTTTTGATGATTTAGATTAAGCTTCAATAAATTATTTCCATTTCTTAAATGCTTTAAAAGAAGTCTAAGGGATTTTCTTTCAATAAAAGTTGAGCTTAAATCAAGCTCTGTGAACTAAAATGACTGAAATAAGAAAATATAATAAAAATTTTAAATTCTAGGAAGAGGCTTTATAATTTTATCTTCTCCTTCTAGATCAATTTGTTAATTTTAAATAAAACGATAGTACTTCTCCATCAACGATAGCGATTCTTATAAAATAAAAGGAAAATTAGTTGTTATAGAAGGATCAACTATAGCTTTTTCAAATACATAAATAAACTTATCTAAATATTCTTTTTATTTTTCCAAACCAATTAAATTTTCAAGCTTTATGTAATTTTATTAAATAAAATATTAAATATCTATTTGATATTTTAAAGAAATCTTGTCGGTTTTAAAACAAAACAACTCACTGTTTTTGCAAGCAATATAAATTAAATTGAGAATTTTTTTGAAAGCAGGAATTTAGCAATTAAGATTAAAATCTAAGCATATTTATCTAAAATGCCTTATATTAGTACTTAATAGAATTTCAGCTAATAAAATAGGGTCAATTTGAGGGAAATAATTTAGATTCAAATTCTTCTATTTGAAATACAGTAATGAAGTCTTTAAAAAACTATTTAGTGAGATATTTAACTCTGATCCTTTAGAGTATAAAAATTCCTCAATTCTTAATTTCTTGGCTTCATTTTGTGGCTTGGTAATATCTGTAAATAAAGTAAATGTTCCTTATTCTATTTGCTACTTAATAACCTTATCTGTCATTATATAAGTTCTATCAACCCAAATAGTTTTGATGCAGTTTTTTTAAGAAGCAAGAGAGTTAAGATATTGGAATTGAAAATAAGTGTCTGAAAGATTAAGCACTCTAATTTTTTAGAAACACCCTTAATACTTTAAGAATAATCCATTTACATTAGAAGATTCAAGATTTATGCATTCAACCTTTATTTACTAATAGAAATAATATTTAAATAAATCAATTCTTAAAAATATATTAAATTAATTTACTTTATCAATAAAATATTTTAGATATCTTGCTAAAGTTTCGTCATTAATTTATGTTAAATAATAAAAGAAAAATTTCCTGATGTCATATTAATAATTGACTTTTTTCTCTTTTTAGTCCAAAACTTTGTTTAAAACAAAATTAATATCTTTTATATTTGGACATTAATCTAACTATATAAATTATAATCCTGCTAGATGTTTACTTGCTATAATGGCTTCGATTACTTTTTCAGTAGCTTATGTGCCAGATAAATTTATAATTTAAACATCTCTTAGTATCAAAGAGTTTAAAAAGAATATACAAAGAGCCTATTCTGAAAGTGAATTATTATCTGATAGGTCAATATAGTTTAATTTACGCTTGACATTTTTAAAGAAGTCTAAAGATTATTTGTATGAATTTACTTCTGCCTCATCTTAAGCTTTGTTATTTTAATTATTTTACTCAATAATATTTTTTTGATATATTTTTTTTTAGGCGATATATCTTATTAAAGAAAAAGCCATTAATATATTGTTATCAATTAATTCTTTGTGGATTTTAATAAAATAGTCATACTTGAAATAAAATAGATTTTCAGCGTATAAAAATATATCAACTAAAACATTATCTTTTTTAAGATCTTCATCAAATGTAAAAGAAACAAATGGGTCATCTTTTAAAATATATTCTTTCCACTAAGCAATTTCACTTTCTTCATATGTTTATGGAATTTAATTATTTTTGTTAGAGTTTTATTATGCAGGTTTATTATTTTATTATTGATTAGTAGTCTTTTAATCTTTATTTTTATCCTAGCCCTAAAACAAATAAATAAATTTAACAAAATACTTACGATTATTCTAATAAATTTTACTTTAGCTTAAGCATTATTCTAAGGTGTAGAAATCTACTATTATAATGAGGCATTCGGATCTCTACAAATTTATTCTTTGAATAAATAATTAAAAAATGGAAAATTAAGTTAATTAACTTACAAATGTCTAACATTTTGTTAAATATTTCCTCGTATTTTGGTAAACCATAAAATAAAGATTTATTCCTCTAATTTTTACAAAAATTTATTTTAAGTATTGTGAAAATAAAATTAGAGATTGCTTCAATAGAAAGGCTTTAGTTAAAATTTAAAGCACTTATACAACCTCATAAAAAACTATAATAAAATACTCTATTGTCTAAGAATATTATCTCTAACTAAGAATTTCTAATTTCTTCATTTTAATTTTATCCTTACTATAATTTTCTTACAGTTCTTTAATAAATGTTATAAACAGACCTGATACCCTCTGAAGTGAGGTTAGGGGTAAACCTAAAATCAAACGTTTTAACTGCGAATTCATCTGTTAAAGTCTCATTCATTAGTTTTTAAAGCTCTTTATCAGAAATAACTGACTCCTAAAAGTTAATTTCCTTTTTATAGTTAGTGAGTGATAAAAAATTAAATAATAAAAAATGGTTATTTATTTACTCTAAAAAATATTTTTCTGTTTGAATATTTGAGAGTATCTATGATTCTTCCATTTAATAACCCTGAATTCTAGTATAAGAAATGTCCTAAATCAAATCTTGTTAAATTATTTGAATCTACAATGAATGAAACACCTCTCTCAGTAATCAAAGGGCAATCTTTAAAATATATTCTCTCTAGATTTCTGAATTTTTATGAAACAGAAATCATCTAAAAACCTCTATCACTAATCAGTGTATTTTCTACATTTATAATTCTCAAATTTATGCTTACATCTTAAGCAACAAAGCAAATACTCATAATACAGTCATCCATATTTGGTAACTTAATATCAGATAAATCTAAATAGAGAATGTTTGACATATACCTTGATTAAGACATTGCTATTAATACTTCATAATCAATCAAATGTTTCATTTCAAGCACACACTCCAACCTAAAATGTTTAGATAAATTTTTGCTTTTGCAAATAGAAATAAGAACCTCCTTTGAGAGGTGAAGACAACCTTTTAATCCTATATACTCTATACCAGAACCCTTATCAATTACTTACAGAATGGTATTAGATTCTACTTTAGTATATTGCAAGTGAAGAGAGTTTAAGTAGGGAAAGAGTTCAAAAATAAGTTTATCAATAGTTTGACTGCTAAGTTATTAGTTACCATTCAGTATAAGCTTTCTAATCTTCCTTGGTTTTTCACCAACTTTTTTTTCTTCTTCTTTAATTTTTCTTATCTATGAAAGAACCTCATTTATATTTCTTTCAGTTAAAGACATATTTTTTTAATTAACCAAATACATCAACTGAGCAATATTTAGCACGTCTTCATTATTTATTTTCTAAAATTAATTTTTGAACATAATTTTTTTATTGAAAATTAAATAAAACTTACTTTTTTATGTGCAATACTGATAGGCTGAAGACATGGAGTATTTTAGCATGAAATGTAAATGATTGAAGGATGATATTTGATAATTTTTGAAAAGAGCTTGTAATTGATTCTAGTATTGTCTAAAATAATAGTCTCAAGGCTAGAGTTCTAAATTTTATTTTTCACTATTTTTTATTTTTTGAATCCTTTAAGCAAAACATTATAAAATTATTATGTTTCTTCTTAATATTTTTCGGATTCATCAATATCTGGTAGAGCAGCTCCAGTAATATTAAAATGAAAGTATCTTTTTAATAATTAATAGTCTTAAATTAAATAATAGACTAATTTTTTGGTAATTAGATGGCGATAGCATCCTAAAAAGTAATTAAAATCAAATATTTAGCTCTTAATTTGCTCTAAGATTTCCAAGAGGTGATTGTCTTCCCAAAGCTTGCACCCAACAGCTGAGAAAACAAATAAACATGGTAAAATACGATTTTCTTCTAATTTTGCTTTTACCGTTTTGTTTTTATTTTATTTTGAATTTTTTCCCTTTAGGTTCTACATAGAATTAATCTGGCTAGATATTTCTATTTATTTACTGAAGTAAGGATTTTATGAAAAATTTGAGAAATCAATATAAATTTCGCAAAGGGATTTGTCTTCGGAAAGAAACTTCCACATAGTTTCGTTTGTTATATTAGAGCGTTGAAGATTAATAATTTTAAGTAAATTAAAGCAATTTGATTTATTTTTGATAAATTCTTCAAATTCTATGTCAAAGTAATTGCAATCATTTAAGTTTAATTCCTGCAAACTATGAAAAACAGTGTTAAAAAGATTTTTAAATTTACTTGGTTTGATATTTTAGCATTAAGAAAGAATTAAAACTTCTAAATATTAGTTTACGCTTTCAAACTACTAGCTGGCATTTTACATTGATTTTGTTTAATCATTTGGTGGTTTTAATAAATTATTTTCTTCTTATTTTTTAATTTAATCTTCAGCTTTAGCTTAATTTTTTTATTTTGGTGAATTTTAACCATCATTTTTCTATTCATTTTCTTGTTTTAAATTGATTTCTTTCTCTTTGTTTTCGACATCTTTTGATTTTTTATCTTCTTCATCATCTTCATCATCTTCGCCATTTTCTTCGTGATTATCTTCATTTTCACCCATTGATTCATCTATATTTTTTAAAGAACCATCAGCTTTTCCTTCTTCTTATTAATTATTTTCTATTTCTTCCTCATCCAAAGTTCCTTTTTTATATATATTAACATTTCTTTGAATAGTTTAGCCTTTATAGTCTTTGCAATCATCAAATTGATTGATATAAGTAAAAATTTCTCCACAGACACTTGTTTTTGAGAGGTTCAAATAGAAGATTTTTTCTAAATAGTCATAAGATGCAAATTACTCAAAGAAAACAGATGTTATATTTTTATTTCCTGAAAAATCTATGGTATCTATTCCACACTTGGGATTAAAACTATTTTTTAGATCTTCCATCTCTTTGATCTTATCATATATCAGCTTATACTCTTCAAAATGGTCTTTTTCTTTTTTTTTCATTAAGGTTATGCCTTATTGAGTTTCTTTTAAGTACTGCTAAACTCTAAATTCTATCATGTGAAGATAAATATTTGTATCATTTGGGTTAAAATAGTCTTCATAATCTTTTTAATTGATTTTTTGTTAAGAAGTTAATTTTAATTATTTAATTTCATCAAGAATTTAAATAGCCTGTTACTCTTCCTTACTGCATTATTCTATATTTTCATCTTGGTTTTTAAATTTATTTTGTAAATAATTTTTTAGTTTTTAGATATATTGTATTATCAATGCTTTATATTCATCTTTTAATATCTTATTTTTCCCTATTTTAAAATATAAAAAAATAAATAAATTAGTTTAAATACATAGCTTATTTAATACTCCTTATTAAGTCAACTATATAAATTGAAAGAGTATCTTCAACGGCATGCTAACAATTTGATATATTTAAATTTTATAAACTAGGTATGTAAGTCAAATATTTTATCCCTTTATGTGTTAATTTCTTTTGATATAAAAAAAATTATTAATTAAAATAAAATACTATCAATAATTAACCTTACTTTAGTTTAATTATTAGATATATCAAGAGATTTTAGGACTTACTTATTAGAGTAAAAATAATATAATGAATAGCATGTATTATCATCTATAGAAGTTTAGCTCAAATTTAATTCGCATAGTGATATCAAATTAGTTGTTTTAATAAATGTGTTTAAATCATTAGAATCAAATTATGAATTTTAAAAATTAAGGTTTGTCAATTGATCTATGGACGATAACATTGACAAATTCTTGAAAAAGTCAGGTGTTAGAATACAATTTTTAAATTTTAAAACCTTTAATTCAGTTAATGAATGTATTGCCATTTTAGAAAAACTTATACATTATTTTATTTAAGATATGCATCTAAAGCTTATTTTTTTTAAATATTTACTAAAGTATTCTTCATTTAATGGGAGATCTTCAAAGTTACTACAAACTGAAGAATCAAAACTTAAGCCTTTAAGGTTTGTAGCATAGTACGCACTTTTTTAATAAATTTCTTCCTTTGTGTAAATAAAACGAGCTGACAACATAAAATGCATAGACTTTTCTATGTTTTCTCCATCTAATTTTTTTAACTTAATACCTGTTGCTCCTCTTTTTATTATATAGGTTAAAATTATTCATAAAAAAAATTAATTAATTAATTAATAGTTTAATTCATTAGTTTGTAAGTAAGAAAGTAAATAAGCTACCTCATTGATTCATAAGTGGATAGTTTTAAAAAGTCCTCACCTTTAAAATTAGCTGAATTTTTTATTATAAGGTTAAGTTTTGTATCCCTTACTGTTGATCTATACTGTTCTTTATTACTTTAATATCTTTCTTATAATTAATTCCACTTCTCAACTTGGTGATTATATATTTCTAAAAATGAATAAGAGAGATTTCTACACCCTTCTACTCTAAGCTTCATTTCATACCTAGGATATAAATCGGTTGATCTATTTTAGTTATTCATTATTTCTAAGTGTTTTAATAAATCTCTGAGCTCATAGTCATTTATTGCACAATTAATAATTTCTAGAGATTTAGGCGTCTTATCCTTTGAAGTGATATTCAGCATAATAAAACGATTGATTAACTAAGTGGAGCAATTTTTAAAGCTTAATCTAGAAAGTAAAATACCCTGATTTTCATACTTTTAATCATATTTTATTTAAACTTTTGAAAGAAAAAACCTTAGTTCTTTATTATGTAGTGGAAAATTCAGTTTTTCTTACTCTTCTAAAGCTTTAAAAACTTCATTGAGATCATCAACCTAAATATAGACTATATGCTTCTTTTTAGAAGACAATTAAAAGTTTGTGACACTAAAACTGCCTATAAAAAAATAATATAAATTTTATGCTTAGAAAAAATAAAATTACTTGGTTTTTATTTTGTAAAATATTAAAATGCAACCACTTTGTTTTACAAAATCTGCATTTTCCTCCTATAGTTCAACTATATTAGCTTTAATTTAAATGCCTCTTTTATATCCAGCATATTTGTAGGATGTAAAAGCATATTTTACAACTCTTTATTTTTATTTTCTAATCTTTCTTGTAATTGACTTCTAAGTTATTCTATTTCATCAGTTTATTCATTAAATTAAAAAATGGAATTATTAACTTTTAACTTTGTGATTAGATTTTCAAATTCCTAAAAATATTGATTATTTTGGTATAATTTGTTAAACCTATTCATTAGATTGATAAGTTCCTAATAGTAATTAACTATAGCCTTTTAATCAGTATTATAGCACGTTTTTATAGGTTTGTATGAATCTCTTAAAGCCTTATAATATTTTTACTAATATTCTGTAAGATTTATTAGTGTCTTCAAAAGATAATCAACAAACAAATTATAGTAATCTTTATCTTAATTATTTACTAAAAATTTTATCATAAAAATCCTGTAACAATAAATAACAAATGCATATGGCTTTTCTGTGAAACCAAGCTCAACAAATTTTAATGTTGAAATGGTAAATAAATACTTCTTATAATAATCATTTGCTGAAACTTAACTTTCTATATTATTGTAATCATAATAATCAAGATCAGTTCTTCCTAAGACACTTCTAATACTATAATAATGTAAATTATTTTCGTAGTACTTATTCAAAAAATCAAATATTTTTTATATGCTTGTTTTTTTTTCATCAGCTATTGTATTCATTAAAATGGCCTTCTCTATTTTTTCTTTGTCTTTCTCTTTTTCTTTATCTTTTTCCTTGTCCTTTTTATCTTGTTTATCTTATTTCTCCTCAGTTTTTTCATCTTTTTCACCTTTATCTCCCTTTTCTTTATCTGCTTTATCTTTTTTTTCTGTCTCTTTTGGTTGAGGATCATACTTTTATTTTACGCTTTATATTTCTTTTTAAACTTATTCTGGAGTCATTTATCCCTATGTAGGAGAAAAATATACATAATTTTAAGGAAACTTGATGCCAGCATTTTTTAGATGATTATAGACAGCTTCATATTTAGAATTTTTAAACCAAATACTCCAAATTTACAAGCATTCTAATAATAAAATATTGTATTATTAGCCTAAGAATCTCAACTCATTACTTTGAACACAATTCTCTTTAATAAAATAGAGACTTCCATTTTCTTAACTACTTTACTTTATTCTTAATGCTACTTTCTATAATTATTCTAATAAGTTCTACTCTACTTCAACTTAAAATTCCTCTGAGAAAGTTTCTATTAGTTATTTGAGAATTCTGAGGGAATTAAATTAAGACCATGGCTCATAGTCATCGCAATATTAAACCAAATCATTAATGCATATGACTATGAATTTGATAAAATCTTAGTTGCCATCTAAAATTAACTTTCTATAGGGTTTGATATATTCAGGAGTATACTCAAATTATTTAACTAATCTTACAAATGACTCTATTCTTTCTTAGGAATAGCCACTGTATGATACCCTAGGTATTCTTTGACCATATATTCTATTTGGTTCATTCATTTTAGTAATTTTTAGCTTATCCTCAGTAAACTATCACTATAAAATTCGTATTTGATTAATAAAACTAACAAAATATATTTAAATCTTTTTGCCTTAATCTTACTTAATTATTTAAATATTTATATATTAAACTTAAATGGCTTTCTTTCTCTTTCTGGTTTTTTACTTATTAATAATCTAATTTAAATTACAGTTTTTTATTTTTAACAAGTTTTATTTAGTTGAATTTTAGTTATTTCACTTATTGTGATGATCAAAAAACTGTCCATAAAAATTCAATTTATTTATTGTTTAAATAAAAGGAATATAAAAGTACTTATAAAATGATTTTCTTCAATCAGTTTGTTTCCCTTTATAAAATAGGATAAGTTTAAATTGGAATAAAAAAATATAAAGTTAATTTATTGTTGAAAATTAAAAACAAATTTAAATGTGAATTATCATACTTTTTTAAATATTTTACTTTGAATTTTATTTTGTTTTAAATTATTTTATTAAACAATTTTTTTTCTTTATTTTTAACTTTTTATTATAATAAAAAAGAAATAGTTTTATAAGATTTTTCATACATTATGATTTAAAAAACAACCGAGAAAATATCTATTTAAATTAATCAGATTTTGTCAGATTTAGTATAATTCTTCTATACTAATTTAATCATTTATCAATATTCTTTCTTTAAAAAAGTAGGTAAAGTAGTAAAATCAAACTAAAAAATAATAGAGAACTAAATAAATGGACAATGCTAATTTATAGTCAATACTAGATTTAATAAACAATTAAATTATGAATTAAAGCTAAAACTAAGATTTAGTAGATTAAGAAGAAGTAAATATTCAAGAAAATATTAACAATAACAACAATAACACTTAAATGATTGTCGAAGAATTTAAAAAAGATTGGGATGAAAAAATAGAAACAGAAACACCAAATTTATATTAGTTATAAAGAAGGTAAGTAAATTTGAGAGGTACTTACAAGCCTATGAAATGCCCAGGCTATGGCTTTATTTGTGCAGTAGCTTCATACAAAAACAGATATATATTCTTAGGAACAAGTCAGAATCAGTTTTTTTGCTATGATCTATAAAAGAATTAGCTTATATTTGAAGATTACAAACACTCAGATTGGGTTCTATCTATAGAAATAATTACTATTTAAGGTGTGGATATAGTTATTTCTGGTGGAGGACTATACGATAGATCCTTATGCTTTTATGATTTATCCTTAATAGATTAGGGAATAGTGGGGTTTATTAGCTAACAAATTGTTCACAATAAATCAATAACTAAAATATACTATATAGAAGACAAAAATCTATTAATTACATGTGGGAGTGACTTTTATTTTAAAATATGGAAGATCAGTATTCAAAAATAACAAATTAACTAATTTGAGGAAGAATAATCTATTAGGAATGAAGGAGAAATAAAAGATAGTGAAGAAGAAATAACAGATCCTCAAGCTTAAACAATTGACAAAAACTTTGGTAATTTTTGCGAATATTATTCTGATGATGAAAGCGAATATGTTGAAGAATTATCTAATTTAAAAGTTTCGTTAAAGCTTATTTAATCAATAGGAGAAACTTCATAAGTGTATTCATTTTGCGAAAGTGATGATAATTTTATGTCATATGGAACAGGCTAAGGATTTTTGAAAGTTTTAAAGTTTAGCCCAAATTTGAATAAAGCTAAATAAGTCAGATCTTTTAAATTTCAAAGATCAATTTGGTGTCTGTAAAGATTTATTAACTTTAAGTATTTAGTTGGATATAGCTTTTAAACTTAAGGCAGAGTTGATATAATTAATATAGTAACAGGCTAACACATTATGAAATTTTTTAATTTCAGCTATAGTATTCACTCATTTAAAATAATAACTAAACTCGAAGAAAAGAATATTGTTATTAAGAACAAGTAAGATTTCATAAAAAAATCTTAGAACTCCATAGCGTTGGTAGGAGCTAGTAAGCTTGGATAGGTTTAAATTGTTAACATAGGTGATAGGATAGATACTCCAATAGAATATAAGTATTAATATAATTAGAACATAGAATGGATCCCCTGGAATCCACTCACATTTTTTAAATGCAAAAATGAAGATGATTATCCAGAATTTGAAAAGTATAAAATCTATTGCTCTACAGGAAACTCTGAAAATAAAATCACTTAACTTATTCCTCTAATTGAAATTGAGTGGTATGTTTGATCAATATAGTTAAGTAAATACTTTAAAAAAATTACATATATATTTCATATTAGTTAATCTTTATTTTAAATAAAATGCTTAAATTTTAAAAAAAATTATTTGTTATTTTTTCTTCCTAATTAAAGTATTTTTCAAAAGTTAAAAATATTGAAATTTCTAGCAAAATTATTAATTTGATAATTGTTTATATTTATTTAGTGATTATAAATTCTTATTATTTATATTCCAAAAACGCTATTTTAACCTATCAATCAATACTATATAATTTTAAAACCATATATAAATAGAAATGGAGTATTTAATTTTAAGGAAGCAGATTATTTCATAATAAGTGAAAATAATAGGTCCAAAATTGTCATCAAATTAATCTAATATAGGTTTATAAAATAATTTTTTTTAAATTTGCTCTTTTTCACTTTTCATTTTTGAAAACGTTCTTTTTATTCATATGAGAATTCAAACTGAATACATATTTCATGCATGCATAGATATTTTATTATTTAGGCAATATATAAAAGAAATTATATTTATTTATTTGTAAAATGAATAAAAATAATTATATACAAAAGCTGAAAAAATTGTATTTTTATTGTCTAAAAATTTTTATAATAATGATATAATATATTATAACTAAATCTAAGTTGAAAGTATTATAAATAATTAGTGATTAGATAATTATTATATTTAAAATAAATCAATCCAAAAATAGGAAAGTAACTATCATTATAAAATATTCAATCAAAAATTTTTTTAATATAAAAATAAGAAACTCAACAAAAATATAAGAAATTAATCTAAAATAATAAATATAATTTTATTAAATATGAGTTGATTAGAGTTAAGCTAATAAAAATATTTGCTCACTTTGCTATTATTGTTTTATTCTTCTTTTTACTTTCTTATTGAGCCTTTTCTAACTAGCTTTATTGATCTTCAAAGTAATCAACACATTTCCAGAATTCATCAGGTGTTAACCCATCTGTGCATAGATAGTGAATGAGACCTGTTTGATAATCTGTTGTTCTCTATCTTTATTGAATTTCACGAGTTGTAACACTTCTTTCACTTAAAGCATCATCTTATTTTAAATAATAATTTATTATTCATTTATATTAATGATTAAAAGTTTTTTACCATTGTTTCTTTGAGAGGTGAGAGATGGTCTTCTTTATGTGGATACTGCTTCACTTTGCATTGCAGAACGTAATGTATGATTAGAAGTTATGTTGACAGATTAATCTTAAGAAAAATTATCTTATATCTGTGATTGGCTCTCATTGTTAGCTGGTACACTTTGACTCTACTATCTAACTATTTAACTCAAAACTGCCTTCTTCCTATGATCTTGACTATTTTAGCTTGATATAGGATAGACACGTGTGTATGCTTTAATCTTAGCATAGATTTACTCATATGTATATGATTAACTAAAGTTTTTATAAGTGACATTTATTTTATACCCATTTTCTCCCTTCTAAATAAATCCAATATATTCTGAAAACATGTAAGTCTTGAATATACTAGGTTTCGCGTGCCAAGTCTATGATAAAGCACTAAAAAGACTCAATAATGAAGATAGAATGACCTAAAAAGGAATTAATAAATAAATAAATAAATAAATAAATAAATAAATAAAAATAAAATTAGAAATTATAATAATTTACTCTTAAATATTGCCAACTTCCAAAAGAAATTTAGCTTGATCCTTGTTGCCTGAACTAGTAGAATAAAATAATGAAAATTTGTGGGATATCTTCTATGAAAGCTCTAATGAATTTAGAAATGATAACCTAAGGCACAATAATACCCTACATAAAACTAAACTTAAATAATGGCTTTTCAAAGGTTTATATAGCTGTAGTTGAGAATCTATCTAAAACTGTACCAAAAGCATTCATTTCTTACACAAGTGTTAGTTTAGTATAAACATTAATGAAGGCAGTATTGTGAATTTCACCTGCTTTCCTCTTTCTGTAATCCATAATCCTTGCTATGCAATTTCTTTGCATATATATTGAGATACTCAAATTCAATGCAGCTAAGGCTAAACAATAAGCACCTAGATCTTAAGAATTTAACTTTTTACAGAAAGCGAGCTATATACCAAAACAAACATCAGTGTAAATATCGTATCTAGCCATAATTGAAGAAGAAAGCAATGAAATAACTGATAAGCTACTTGTAGTAAATATTTGCTGTGAACCAATAATCTGCTCTAAATTCCTCAGTAATATAAGCTCTATAAAACAAGATATAAATAGATAAACATAAATTGGTATATCTTAAGTCGAGGATGTTTTGTCACAGGTATCATCAGTTTTAGAATTTTCTATGATGAAAGGATATGCTATTGTCAAGAAAAGCTAAAATACTATAATGTTAAATATAACAACGTAATCTAAATACTTTAGCAAATTAGTTGTTTTTTCACTTTGTAAACCTTTTTTGATGTTATGAAAGTTGTCTTAATTTGGGTTTTCTAGGAATTACTTGACTCTATTTAGTTTTGACTTTAATGCTTGCTAATGTTTCAATTTAAAATAAATATCATACTCAATAAATAAAGTAAATAATTAATTACATCACTTATACTCACATTTTTTCCACTAATGACTTAATCAAGAATTGCCACATCTTTATCAAAATAAAAGTCTTAAGAAGTGATTGATTCAGGAACTTTTTTATCAACAAGAATTGTATAATCTTTTTTCTTAAAGATTCTATAAATGAAATCAGGAGAAAAGGTGTATGTGCTTATTTTTGTGTTTACTCTGATCAAGAGTACTTAGGTTATGTGAAAGATTGTCAAAGGGAACAAAATTAATCCTATAATCATAATGATAAAGTAATGAGTTCTCCAATTTCTTAAAACAAAACTATTAATAGAATCAAATAATCCAATATTTGTAACATTATTCATAAAGCTCATAAAATCAACTTATTCGTTCACTCTATCATATTTTTCAACCTATTCGGAACACTTCTTTAAATACTCTTAAAATCTTGTATATTCCTCTAGAAGAGAGTTTAATTTACGGTCTTTTTTATCGATATTCTATGATTAATACTTTTCCAACTAGATTTAATTATTTTTATTATTTTAATTTAATGAAATAATTTTTTTAATTGAATCTTAATTAAATAAAATAATAATTAAACTTTAGAAAAATAATAAATGATTAATTAATTACAAGCTACACCATTTCATTTGGAAGATTCTGATTAGGTCCTATAGGAGAGATGCTATTTAAATTTTTGTCTTTTGTTTATATTAACTTACCAGCTTCTTCAAGGTTATCATGATTAAGTTACACTTAGCTTTTTATTTGGGTTTTGCTTTTACCTGATTGCTACAGGTTTTGTTTGTTATCTTCTGTAATTTACGATTTACTTTTAATTTTATTTTACTTAGCAATTTCATTATCTATCATTTTGAACTATTCAATTTGTTCAGATTTGTCATCTAAATTTTCTATTTTCACTTCGAGGGCTGTAACACGTGCCTTTAAGCTTTGTACCTCTGCAAATGTAGAACTAATTTCTAATCTAAATCCTTTATGTATTCTATCAACTATTGCAGCATACAAATACTTCATACCAAAAGCGGATAGACGTCTATTATTTGTTAAGTCTAGTTTAACAAGGTTTCTCAGCTGATCTTCATCTGAAAGAATCAGACTAAACTTTTCTGCAAAAATATCACTTATATTAACACCACTAAGATTAATATAACGTAGACCTTTCATTCTTTTTTATATAAACAAACAAAGGTGATCAAAAATTGTATCATCAAGCTCATTATCAGATTCTATTAAATTCTCTAAATTATTTCTTTTTGTTTCATTATCTTCATCATTCTCTTAATTGCTCTACTTTACTAAAACTCTCAAATTCTTTGTGCTTAAATCAAGTTTTGAATTTACATTATCTCCTTACACTTTTAACTTTTGAATTCCTTAATTCATAGCTAACCAAGGTGAGATGTGGCTCTTTATGTAATTATTAAATCCTTTAAAGTTTAAAAAGCTATTATTTCTTAAGTTCAATGTTTCAACAAACTCTAAAAGAATGCATAATTCGTTATAATCAAATGATTTCTTCATTTTCTAACACATTTGAATAATATATTATATAGTTATGATTATTTGATGTTCATACTATTAAAGTTTTTTCTCGCTTAGACCTCTTTCTTGCAAATTTTTTAAATTATTATTTTAACCTCTCTAAAAGAAAGACTTAGTTAAAGAAGAAATTTATGAAAATTTATTTTATGTAGTTTTCATTCTAAGAGAGGATTTCATTTTATTACCAGTTGATTAAGATTTTTCCATCTTTAATTAAGTTGATTCTTAGTAAATATTGGCAATAGCTAGATACTTATTTTAATAATTAGGTAAGTCATTGTAAAATGTTTAAGCTTTCTCTTTAAATTCCTCGTTATTTAGTGAATTTACTACTTGCTTTAACTATTCCACGTATGATTGAATCTGATTAAAAAAGAAATTATTTATGCCTACTTGATTTTCGATAAATGAATCCAAAATTTTCAGAAGTGTTTCAAATAGAATTTCTAATTTCTCAAATTCTGTATCAACAATATCCTCTATGCGCTCATAAATAATTCCATTATTGATCAAATCATCTTCATCAAAAATAAGATATAATATTTCATAAAAAGAGCATCCAGATATGTATCTTTAGAAATTTGTACTTAAAAAGTACATTACTTTTGATTTAGGGCTAACACTTGTGTGCTAAATGATATGGTTGAAACCTTAATAAACATTATTGAATAAGAAAGGTGATAGGTATTAAATTTAATTGTAGGACCTTGTAATCAAATCGAATTCATTATCACTTAGCTTATTACGAATATCACCTAAAGTAATCAGGAAGGAAGTAATACAAAAGATATTATCTCCTCTCTTCAGTATTTATGAAAGAATTTTCATTAATTCTTTACCATTTTGTTCATGCAATTTGATTAAATTTAATAAATTTAGATATTTCACATGCTCTTTAAAATAGTGGCTATCTACTAATTCTTTTATAAATTCAATATTTGAAGGGAAGTTATTTGTGAAAGATATCTAAGAAATGAATCTCTGCAGTTACAATCTTTTTAAAATAAAAATAAAATACTTATTATCAAGAAATTTATTTATTTATTTTATTACCTAGGCTCAGCTTCTCCTTTGTCATGATCCCAGCTTTAAAGGAAGCTTGTAAGAAATGCTGTCGGATTCTAAACTTTACAGTTATCTAAATCAATGTGCTCAAGTTTATAATGTAAATTATTAAAACTGATAGAAATAAAGTGCTCTCCAGCAATCTGTGTATCTCCAAAATTAATTCTTTTTAACTTTACAAATTTCTACAAGAACCCTGCTAAATTTTCTTTTGTGAACCATTTCTTTTGATCCATCAAGTCTTCATCATTAATTCTCTATTCTTCCTCCTCTTCAACCTCCTTTTCAACCTTTGCAGCAGGGTTTTCTTTACCATCTTCACTTTAGCTGCTATCACTGTCACTATCACTACTACTACTCTAATTTTTTTCTTTTAATTAGTTATCTGCTTAATTTTCATCATTATTTTCATCTTAATCAATATTTTGATTTTATTACTAGTCTTCCTCTACATTACTACCTTGCTATTACTGTTTTTATTGCTTCTTCTTTTTATTCTTCTTTTAGCCACCAGCGTCATCTAAGAAAAACCTCTTTTTCTGATACTAAATAGTTTCTATTGTTTTTTCATTTAGTATAAATTTATTTTTCTTTAGGCATAAATAATTCATGTTAAAGAATATGTAATCAGGAATTTTAGAAATATCTTCATATGTTATCTATGAACTTGAATGTTCAAATATATCTTCAAATAGCTATGTACTATAGCATTTTTCGAAAAGAGGAAGCAAATGGAAAAAGTTGTAATCATTTTCTCCATAAATACTTACATTATGTAAGCAATCTAATTTACCTATGAATAACTGAATTGATGATGTGTATTTAGGATCAGTAATGCTAATATTAGGATAGTATAACTTGTTTGTAGTAAGCTTACCTAATTCTTTATTAAAAAGTATCTAAGGAGTAATTTATAGTTTAGGTAAATAATATCTTGAACTGTTTTAATTTATATTTTCATAGATAGTCATTTTTTTCTATTCATCGAGTTAATTCAAATGTGAATTTACAAAATTTAAAACATAAGTCCAGTCACGACCATTTTGATCATAAGTAAAAGAAGTTATTTTTAGTATCCCTTCTTTGCTTTCTTAATAGTTAATTTGTTACTCTTTGTCTTCATTTTCTGTAATATTTTGTTTTGTTGCTGAAGCTTTTTGTGGCAATTCAAGTTTAGGTGGAGTAAAAATGTTAACTAATATTTCTTCTTAAATTGAGCTAAATGTTACTTTAAGCTTGTTATTAACAAGAAAAACCTAGTAAAATAAATATTCTAAATCTGCTTGACTAACTGAATACTAAATTTTTAGCTCCTTAAGATTAGTCATTTAAATAATTTTGAAATAAGAAAGTTCACATTCATTAGTATTATTCAAATCAATTTCAAAATTTGGAATCAATAATTCTTCTAACTATAAGTAATTTCCAAACTATGTCAATTATAAGACTTCAGATAATTTAGGCTTTGTTTATTCAGATTATTCAACAAAATTTTTGTAAAATTCAAATATATTTACTGAGTTATGGAAAAAATTAATTTTAATAAGCTCAATAAATTATTTAAATGTAATTAATTAAGCTGGTTTGAAACGTTTAACATTGATTAATGATTTTTTGGTTAGTATATTGTTTATTACATTATCTTGTAAAGCTTTTAGATTATCTCCCTTCGATTCAGAATTATTATAATTTCTCTTTAGTATTAATTATTTACACCTAAATTATTAAACATATACAAAAATATTATTTATTGTACTAACCTCTATATCTTCTAAGAATAAGACTAAGTCCTTCATAGAGGCTATGATCTTTGGGTATGAATATAGATTTGAAAAAATTTAGTCAATCGAACAATCACTCTCTCTCTTAAGAGGAATAACATATTTATAAAAGAAGGGACTAAATTAAAATTAATCATTTACTACTGCAGATTCTAAATTTAAAAGTGAATCTTAGAAGTAGTATTCACTAAAATAGTATGTTTAAAATTGCTCAATATCAATGTTTATTTTTTTGAGATTTAGTAAGTATTTACTTCTCGAACCATATCTAATGATGAAGAATAGATTTGAAGTAGGTTCAACAAATTTTAAATTGATTTCTTCAATCAAAGAAAGGTGCTCTAACTTATTTAATAAATAGGAAACACCACTTCTATTAAATACTTAGAATGGAGTCATTTTTACCACTTTATGTCTTTTAGTGTAAAATGATTTATCAATTTCATAAAATAAGTTAAATATTTGTTGTAAAGACCTTTTTTTTGGTCTCTATTCATCATCTAAACTGTTATCATCAGAGAAATAATTAGCTATTTAAACGAAGAAATCATCAAGATTAAATTTGGGAGAATAAAATCTCTTTTTGACTCTATGAGCTGTGTATAATACATACAATGGGTGGATACATTCTATTCCTTTAAATTCAATACTTTCTAAATTAGAAAAGTTATTAGTAAGTAGCATATCTTCATAGATACCAGCGTACTCTCCTTAATGCTTTGCTACTTCCTCCTTGTTAACATTCATTTCTTCTCCATTTTATTCATAAATCTCATAAATCTTTTTATGTTTATTTAGCTTTTTTTGAAGTTTTTCCTCAAACTTTGGAAGCGTAGCTCTTTATACTTTCTCCTAATCTTCATATAAAATTATTTTTTTGATATTAGTCACATATTTACTGAGAGCTAATTCTAATAAGCTTGAGCTACTTATTCCGTTTTAAACTTTTTTATAAAATTATAATTAATTAATTTTCATTTTAAACATTAATTATTACTTATCCTCAATGATGAAAGATCAAGAACTTCCATATTTAAAAGATTAGGTTAGTTACTTAAAATTTTAAGACATTCATCGTCAACAACATCTCCATTTTCATAAAATAATTTAGAAAGATCTAATTTAGGTTTGTTTTCTTAAACAAGCAGTATTTTTAAATGCTATTTTTAAATTATAGAGAAAAGATATATTTAATGATAATATCAATAATAATTTTACATCACGTAATACTTTTGAGATAGTTAAATCAACAAGATTTGGTAATTTGTTTGTCTTAGCCAAATTGACCCATACAGGATAAAAAGTATCTCTATCATCTAAACTTGTAATGTGTATAACTTAAATATTCTATAAATAAGGTGAAAGTTTGAAAAGTTAGTTGATGTTTTCAATATTTTCTTGAATACTTTTCATGACTAAAGTCTTTTGTTTGAGCATATAACTACTCTCAATCATACTCATAACATAGTTTACTTATTAGAACATGAAATTATTTTCAAAGACAATTTATGACATATCAAGATCGAAGTGCAAGTTTTTGGCTCTAAATAAGTAGTGTAAATGAGTTTTGCAATTGGTAGCATCATTATCAATATAGAAAGATTTTAATAAAGGTAACTTTTTGGTACTTGCGAGTCCAATAAATGTTGAATTGCTTACAAATTCGTAATTCAGTTATATTTTCTCTATATTAATTGCATACTTACTGTAAAACAGCTATTGAAGCTAATTAAAAATAAAATTTATTAATAATTATTTTGTAATAAAATTTTTACTATATTATCTGTGATAGGGATATCTCTTAAATCTAAGCTTTTAATATTTAATAAATAAGGACTGTCGATTAAATACTCTGCTAATGAATTATTTAATGCATTATATTTATTTTTTTTAAAGTTTTAAATATAATCATCAATTAATTCAGATATATTAAAAGAGCTACTAAATGGACATTCTTTTAATACACAGCATAAACTTCTTTAAGTAACATTAGTATCTATTATTTTTAGCACTTCTAGATATTTAAAGCAGAATTAATTTAGGTCATTTTTTTTGATGAGGTACTGTTGATTAAAAATAAAAAAAATAATTAGATAAATATTAAAAATTTCAAAAATACTGTTTACCTTAATTATGTCTTAGTCATAAATCAGCTTTTAATTAATCAAATTAAGCTTTAGTAAGCTATTTTCATTTCTTAAGAGTTTTATTAGAAGTCTAAAGGATTTTCTTTCTATTAAATTTGAGCTCAAATCAAGTTCGGTGAACTAAAATGGTTGGAATAAGAAATTATAATATGCGTATTAAATTTTAGGGGTAGGTTTTATGATTTTATCTCTTCCATCTAGATCGAGTTGTTAATTTTAGATTTAACTATAGTATTTTTCAATATCTTTAACAGATTCTTATATAATAAAAGGAAAACTGGTAGTGATAGAAGGATCTATTATGACTTTTTCAAAAACATACTTATACTTATCTTAGTATTCTTTCTACTTTTCTACATTATGTAGATTCTCTAGCTTTATTGAGTTTTATGACATAAAATACTAGATATCAATTTAATATTTAATTGAAATTTTATCAGACTTAAAGCAAAATAATTCGCTATTCTTACAAGCTTAATAGATTAAATTAAGGACTTTCTTAAATGCAGGTATTTAGCAATTTAGTTTGAAATCTAAACATATTTATTTAAAATGCTTAATGTTATTCGTAGTAAGAATATCTGCTAACAATAATGGATCAATTTAAGGGAAATAATTAAGATTTAAATTCTTTTATTTAAAGTAAAGCAGTGAGGTCTTTAAAAAACTTTTGAGAGAGATATTTAGCTCAGGTCCTTTAGAGTATAAAAATTCTTCTATTCTCAATTTTTTAGCATAACTTTAAGGCTTAATAATGTCAGTAAATAATGTGAATTCTCCTTTTTCTATCATTTATTTAAGAACCTTATCAGTCATTATATGAGTTTTGTCTACCCATATTGTTTTGATACAATTCTTTTGCTAAGCAATTTAATTCAGATAATAAAATGAAAAATAAGTATTAGACAAATTCAAAACTCTAATTTTTTAAAAACAATCAGAGTATTTGAAGAATAAACCACTTACTTTAGAGCCATCTAAATTTATGCATTCAACTTATAAATTCTTGATTTATTTATGTAATAATAATAAATAAAATTGAAAATAATAAAAAATCAATTACTTTGTCTTAAAAATATTTTAGGTATTTAGCTAAAGTTTCATCATTTATTTGGTTTAGATAATAATAAAAAAATTTTTTTAAATTAAATTTAGTTTAAGCACCTGTCTTTTCTGATACATCTAATAATTTGTTCAGCAAATAATTGATATCTTAAATGTCTTCACATTGATCTAATTAGATAAAATTTAAACATTTTAGATATTTGCTTGCGAAAATGGAGTCAATAACTTTTTCAGTAGCTTTTGTTCCTGATAGATTAATAATTTTAACTTCTCTTAAAATCTGACAATTTAAAAAGAATCTACAGAGAGATTGTTCTGAAATGTTGGTATTATATGATAAATCAATATAATTTAGACTAGAAAATTATTAACTATTTAAATAATTCATAGATGCAGTAAAGGCAGATGCTTCAGCTTCATCTTAACCTTTATTGTTAGCATTATTTTAATCAATAAAATTTTTTTAATAAATTTTTTTTTAAGCAAAGTATTTAATTAAAGCAAAGGCTGTTAAAATGTTATTATTTATTAATTATTTATGCTTTTTTATAAAGTAGTCATACTAAAAGCTCTTTAAGTTTTAATTGTATAGAAAGATATCAACAAATATGTTGTCTTTTTTAAGAAGTTCTTCATAATTTAATGAAACATATGGATCATCTCTCATTATATAATCTTTCCACTAATTAATTTCGCTTTCTTCATAAGTTTAAATTATTTGATTATTTTTATTAGCGCTAGGTTTAGCTGCTTGCTATTAATTTTAAGGTTATCCACCAGTTTAGTTATTTTATTATTAGTTATTATTTTTTTACTATTTATTTTTGTCTTATGCTTAAGCGTTTTGAGGCTATTATATTTTATAAAATTTAAATATAATTCATAATATTTTCTACAAAGAATATACATACTTTTGTATTGGCATTTGCTGGAGGAGTTGACACTTATTATTAGATACTCAATTATTCTTTTTTATTGTAGACTTTAAAAATAAATATTTAATTAAAGTCAATTTAAATAAAATATTTAATTAATTACATTGATCCAGCATTTTGTCAAAAATATCTACATAATTTGGCAATTAATAAAATAAAGACTTATTTCTCTAATTAAAATAAAAGAATTTAAAATTAGAAAAAATTATAATTTTAAAGTTACTCTTTCATCTAAATATATTATTTCTAGTTAGGATTATTGAACTTCATCCTAATTTTGAGCTTATCCATCTTATCTTTTTCTAGTTGTCCTTTGATAAATATTATATATAGATTTTATACCTTCAGAAGTGAGATTAGGAGTAAACCTAAAATCAAACATTTTAGTAGCAAAAGAGTTGCTTAAAGTTTCATTTAATAATTTTTACAGTTCCTTATCTGAAATCGAAGATTCTTAAAAGTTAATTTCCTATTATTTAATTTAATCAAAAATAAATTAATTTTTTTCATTTAAATAAAAAAATAAATGATTTACCCTGAAAAATACTTTTCTGTTAGAATATTTAAGGGTATCTATGATTCTTCCATTAAGAAGCCCAGAATTTTAATTGAGAAAATGGTTAAGATCAAATCTTGTTAAATTATTTGAGTCAACTATAAATGAGACACCTCTTTCAGTAATCAAAGGGCAATCTTTAAAGTAAATTCTTTCTAAATTTTTAAATTTCTAAGAAACTGAAATCATTTAGAAACCTCTATCACTGATTAATGTATTTCGTACATTTATTATCCTTAAGTTAATACTGATATCTTGAGCTACAAAGCATATACTCATAATGCAGTCATCCATGTTTGGTAGTTTAATGTCAGATAAATCTAAATAGAGTATATTCGACATATATTTTGATTAAGATAGAGCTATTAATACTTCGTAGTCAATCAAATGTTTCATTTCTAGTACACATTCTAGCCTAAAATTTTTAGATAGATTCTTACATTTACATATAGAAATAAGAACTTCTTTGGAGAGATGGATACATCCCTTGAGTCCTATATATTCTATACTATTACCCTTTTCAATAATTTGCATAATGGTTGTAGATTCAACTTTAGTGTATTACAAATAAAGCGAATTTAAATAGGGAAATAATTCAAATATAAGCTTGTCAAGTGTTTGACTACTTAGATTTTAATTTCCATTCAGAATGAGTTTCTTAGTCTTTTTCAGTTTGATACCAGTTCTTTTTTCTTCTTCTTTAATTTTTCTAACTTAAATAAAAATTTCCTAAATATGTCTTTCTTACAGTGAAATGCTCTTTTAGTTTATCAAGTACACGAGTTAATCTAAATTTAGAACATCTTCGCTAGTTTTCTGTTGTATTAAAATTAAATGAATAAATAAATAAATATATTTTTTTAACTTATTACTTTTTTATGGGCAACGCTTAACGGATGAAGATAAGGAGTATTTAAACAGGAAATATATTTGATTTTGGGATGATATTTGATAATTTTAGTGAATAATTTATAATTGATCCTTGAATTGTCTACTACTATTGTTTCAAGGTAATACTGTTATGTATCATTAGCTTTTTTTACTATCTTTTTGTTTCTATTAAAGAATCTTTTGAATAGTTATTAAGTTTCCTCTTGATATTTTTCTGATTCTTCTATATCAGGGAGAGCAGCGCCACTGATATTAAAATAAAAATATTTTTTCAACAATTAATATTCTTATATGATGTAGTAAATTAGTTTTTTAGTAATTAAGTGACGATAACAGCCTAAAAAGTAGTTAAAATCAAATATTTAACTTGAAATCAGTTCTAAAATCTCTAATAGATGACTATCTTCCCAATATTTGCATCCAGTAGCAGAAAACACAAAGACAGAGGGCAATATACGCTCTCCTTCTTATCTACCTTTTGTAGTTTTTTGTTGCTATTAGTTCTTTCTTTTAGACTTCTAGTAATTTTAATTAACATTCTCTACCTATCTATTTAAAAAAGGGTTTATAGATAAGTTTGTATAATCCAAATATAATTCTATTAGCTATTTATCCTCCTGCAACAATTTCCAGATAGCTTCGTTTGTAATGTTCGAATATTATATATTGAGTATTTTCAGATGACTAAAGCAGGTCTATTTATTTTTTGTGAATTCTTCTATTTCTCTATCAGTATAAATACAATTGTTCAGATTTAATTCTTAGAGATTATGGAAGACTATATTAAACAAATTCATATACTTATTTGATTTTATATTCCTGCACTAGGATAAAATCAATACCTCTAAGCATTCGTTTACATACATAAATTCTTATTAGCTTACATTCTAAGCAGATTTTATTTAGTTAATTGTATTTTTCTAGATTTGTGCATTAGTCAAATTATTTTATTCTTTCTATTTGATCTCTTCTTACTAATTATTTTTAACTGCTGCTTCATTTGCCTTAATTGAGTGAACAGATTTTTAATCTTCTTTTTATTGATTTATTGTGATTTCTTTTTAGCTACCTTATTTATCTTTTGGTGTATTTTCATCTTCTTCTTTAACCTCCTCAATATTCACCAAAGAACCATCTTCTTATGCAACATTTTCTAAATCTTCATCTTCTTCAAGAGTTCCTTTCTTAATTAAAACATCATTTCTTTAAAAATGCTCTCCTTTATAATCCTTGCAATCATCAAATTGATGGATGTAATTAAAAATTTCACCACAAACACTTGTCTTAGAAAGATTTAGATAAAATAATTTTTCTAAATAATCAGTCATGAAAAATTAATCAAAGAAGATAGAGGTAATTTTTTAATTGCCAGATAAATCTATGCTTTCAATGCTACACTTTGGATTAAAATTTATTTTCATATCATCCAGTTCTTTAATTCTATCATAGATTTGCTTATATTCTTCTTTATGCTAAATTTCTTTTTTCTTCATTTAATTTATTGTATCTTCGAGTTCTTAAATATGCTGTTAAATTTTAAATTCAACAATATGCAAATAAATATTGCTATCGTTTGGATTGAAATAATCTTCATAATCTTTTTGAGCTACTTTCTACAAAAAGGTTTACTTTTATTATCTAACTTCTTCAAGTATTAATGTAGCTTGCTAAATATCTTTTTCACATTATTCTATTTTAGGCAATTAGCTTTTATATTTTTAATTAACATATGATTACAATTAACTTCTATAATCTTCTATCAAATCAACATATTAAGATTTGTAAAACTTATTTTTTCCTGTTTAATTTAAATTTAATTTTTATTTTAATAAAATTAATTTTCAGTTTTAAAATTATTACTTCTAATTAAGTCAAACAAATATATTGAAAGAGTATCATCAATAGCTTTCTAGCAATTACTTATATTTAAATTTTCTATACTTTTAATATAAGTTAAGTATTTAATTCCTTTGTGAGTTAGTTTCTATTTTTATAATTTTATTCAAAATCATTAAAAGCATCTATTCGAAAATTTTGTTTACCTTTGATTAATTTTAGGAAATATCTAGCTGTGTTAAATACACTTAGTTACTCAAAGATGTATAGATTGTATAACATATGTTATCATCTATGCTTGTGTTACTCAAATTTAATTCATAAAGATTCTTTAAGTCATTTGTCTTTAAAAAATTATTTAAATCATTGTTATCAAATTAGCAATTTTAAAAATTTAATTTCTCCAATGAGCTAACGCATTTTAAGCTTGATAAATTCTAAAAAAAATCTGATGTCAAAATACAATTTTTTAATTTTAACACCTTTAATTATGATAGCGAATAACCCCTCATCTTAGAAAAGCTTATAGCCTACTTATTTTAAGAAGTACATTTAAAGCTCAATTTTTGTAAGCTATTATAATACTCTTCATGTAGATTAAGATCTTCAAAGCTGCTACAAACAGAAGAATCAAAGCTTACTCCCTTAAGCAGGCTTTTATAGCAATTTTAATAAGGAAATACAACGTCTCTTGTAAATATTAAGCGGCTTTATAGCAGATAGCTCATAGCTTATTCCATATTCTCCCCATCTAACTTTTTCAATTTAATGGCCTGTACACCTCTAAATAATAAATAAATAAATAAATAAATAAAATATTAAGTTAATTATTGTAATTTTAATTTACCTAAATGATTCAAATGTAGAAAGTTTTAAAATATCTTCTATTTTAAAATTAATTGAATTTTTTAATATGAGCTTAAGCTGGATTGTTGATATATGTCTCCAATATTCAGTTTTGTCACCTTAAAATATTTCTTATAATTGATTCCATTTTTCAACAGAATGGTTGAAATTTTCTAAAAACTAATATGTCAAATTTCTGCACCCCTCCACTCTTATTTTCATATTATATTTTGGGTAACGTTTTTAACTTTAATCTGGATTATTTAAAGATTCAAATAATTTTAGTATTTCTTTTAATTCAATATCATTTATTGCACAGTTAATAACTTCTAATGATTTTGGTAACTTTTCTTTTTTAGTAATGTTTAGTGTTGTGAAATTCTGTATTAAATGAGTTGAACAGTTTTTAAAACTTAATCTTGATAATGAAATATTTTCATTTTCATATTTTTTATCATAATTTATTTAGACTCTACTAAGAATAAACCTCAATTCTTTATCTTTTAGAGGGTAATTTTATTTTTCTTGATCTTCCAAAATTTTAAAGACGTCATTTAACTCAACTACTTTGATGTAAATAATATGTTTTTTTTTACTAGACAACTAAAAATTTTTGGCTTCAAAGCATGCTTTTATTTTTTTAAATTATATTTAAAAAATGTATTAAAATATAAAAATTTACTCAAATTATCTTTAGAAAAATACTAAAAGGCAACTATTTTGTTCTACAGAATTTGCATTTTTCTCTTGTATGTAATTTTATTATTTTTCTCTAGGAAAATTTATCTCATGTTTAGCATGTATTGCGGAGTTTTTAGCTTATCCTAAAGCTAAAGAGTTCTTGACTAAAATGTCTATTCTTTTCTGTTTTTTTATGATTCTATTGTAGTGTCGGATAAAGTATATAAGAAAAAGGAATCGTTCTTTTTTAACTTAGCAATAAGACCCTCCAATTCTAAGGAATATTTATTAAAAAAAACTGAATTGAAATTTATTAATGAATTAACCAATTCAACATAATAACTTCTAATCTATATTTGCTACTAATTACAACAACTAACAACTTATCTACCTTCATTTTTTAAAGATTTATAATAATTTTATTAGTATTCTAATAGATTGATCAATGTTTTAAAAATGATTTCTATGAATAAATCCAAATAGTCATTATCGAAAGTTTATAGAAGTATTCTATTAATGATGAGTCTGTAAGGTATATATACAAAAGCATAACATTATGGTACAAAACCTAATTCTATAAGCTTTAAAGATGATTTGATAAATTAATACTTTTTAAAATAATCATCATAAGAAATTTAAGAATCTAGAACTGAGTAATCATATGTAGTTGTATCTTTATTGCCGAAAGTAGTTCTTAAATTCTAATATGAAAACTAGTTTTCTGTTTATTAAGCAATCAAAGTATCTATAAATTTTTGCAAGCTATTTTTTTTATCATCTGAAATACTCACTGTCAACAATGCTTTTTCTAATTCTTTTTCTTTTTCCTTGTCTTTTTCTTTGTCTTTCTCTTTATCTTTCTCTTTATCCTTTTTATCTGCTTTATCTTACTTTTCATCTTTTTCTTATTTTTCTGTTTTTTCATCTTTATCAGCTTTATCAGTTTTATCAGCTTTATCAACTTTATCTAATTTTTCTTTTTTGTCTTATTCTTTTGTATTTTAAGGAGGCTATGGATCATATTTTTACTTAACACTTTAAATTTCTTTTTAAACTTATTCTTGTGTCATTTTTGATTAAGTTGGCGAAAAGTAGAGATAATTTTAAGGAAACCTTACTCCATAACTTTTGAGATCTATATAAACATGTTCATACTTTGAATTTTTAAACCAAATACTCCAAATTTGTAAGCATTCTAAAATTAATAAAATGTAATGCTGACCTAAATACCTTAATTCTTTATTTTATACACAACTTTATTTAATGAAGTAGAGGTTTCCATTTTCGTAACCAGAATTCTTAGTTGATTTTACTATTTAAGATAAAACATCTAACAATTTTTATTCAGCTTCATATTAGAATTATTCAGAAAAGAGTTCAATAAATTATTTTAGTAATCTCATTGAATTAAACTAGATCCATGGTTCATAATCCTCGCTAAATTTGATTACATCATGTAAGCTATTAACAACAAACTTAATGAAATCAATGTTTTCTTCTTAAATGAGCTTTTTATAAGGTTTTATGTATTCAGGAATGTACTCAAATTGAGTCACTAGCTTAACAAATGACTCAAGTCTCTCTGGTGGAATACCAGTATTGTTAAGTGGTATTCTTTAGCCATAAGCTCTCTGGTTCATCCTAATAAAGATTCCTAATTGAATTATTTTTAAATCTGTTTTCTTCTTTCCTATCTTATTAATTAGTTAACTTTAATTAGATTAAGCTTTTAATTACTTATGTTATTCTGCTTTTTTTTATTTTTTTATTACAGGAAGATTTCTATTTGAAATAAAACCGAAAGGGAAAACATTAATTTTTTTTCTCCACTAACTTGTTGTAGCCTTGAAAGATAAGTTGTTACAATTTAAATCAAGCTGATACTAAGAGAAGAAGGGTATTGTATATTTTTTAAATCTTTCTATCTATTAATAACAAACTATAGAAGGATATTAAAATTCAACCAGCGATGCATATTTTGAGAAGAAATTTGTTTGATTAGTATTTGAGGTGAAATTTCATTTTTGATTTAATAACAGTAAATATCACACTTTTTTTAAAATCTAAATTCATAAAAAGTTTGTTTTTAAATATTTTTTTTATTATTTAATTAATATTATGTAAAAAAATCCATATTTTTCATAATTAATTTATATTTTCAAAGTTTTTTGTAATTAAGGTATATAACTTAAAAAAAATTATACGATATTTAATGAAAGGTATTAGTAGATTACTATTTTTTTTATTGTTAATTTGCACTAAAATTTTCTTTTTATTTCATCTAAAATACTAAAAATCGTCAATTAATATTGAAAATATGAATAATAAATAAAAATATATATCAAGAAGTTATATATGAAGAGATAATTTATTAAAATAAGTTTTTATTTTTGTAATCAAAAATATTAAAGTATGTTTTTATTTCAGTGAAGATAAGATTGATTGAAGTAATTAAATTAAGGAAGAAAATCAAGTAAATATGATTTTTAACAAAGTATATTAATTAGTTTTTTTTGTTGTTCATCTATAAATACGCAATAACTTCTTAATTAAAAGGAATACATTAAATTATGCAATATTTTTTCGAAAATTTTTTTCAAGTTAGTTTGTACTTAATTTAAATAAAGAAAAAGAAATTAATATTTTCGACATCAATTAAAAATAATCTATTAATTAGTTAAAACGCCATTCATTTTTTGTCTTATTTTTATATTTCTATAAATAAGTTTCTAATATAAAATTAAAATAAAATAAAAACATGAATTTTACCACTAAAGGTTTTATAGTTATTCCTGTATATTTCAAACAAAATTTTAGGGTAATTTTAGATGTTCTTATTATTAAAAATCATTTATCTTATTTTTTAAATAATTATAAATATTTCTTAAAATATATTTTTAAATTTTAATTTAACCAAAAATTTATACTAGAGTATTGATTATAAATTTGAAATTGAATTCAAAATAATATGTGTTAATACAATTTAACATCAAATTTCTTTTATAAATTAATCTTTCTATATGCATAACAATCCTATCTAATTTTTAAATAATTTCTTAATCATCTTTTTAAATAAAAATATTAAATTTTAACATATAAATTAGAATTTTATTATTTTTTAAAGATATGTAAATGAAGGTAAAATTTTAGCTCAAATGCTTTTTTTTTATTTTCTACCAAAAAATATGATTTTAAAATGAATTATATATACTAAGAAAAAATTTAATAAAAATGCACCGACCGGGAATCGAACCCGGGTCAAAGCGATGGCAACGCTCTATTCTACCACTAAACCATCGGTGCTTAAGGTGAAATACTTGTATTTAAACACTACATTTTTTAATTTTTATAAACTATGTATAAATCAACAATTTAAAGCATTAAAAGTAGAATGTATAAATGTTTAAATAGAATTTGGATAAGATATAAATTGAAAAATACACAGAAAATATTTTGAATTTATAAAAATTTTTATAATTTAAAAGATAGAATTTCGCTCCAAAAGAAAATTTTGAAATTATAAATTATCAAAATTTAAGTAAAAATAAGCTGTGATAATAATTAAAAATTGCATATCAATTTAATTAAAATACTTGATTAGAATTAAATAAATAGGAGTATTAAAAGTCACGTTTTAAATTACAAAAATAGGCGGGCAATAAATATTTATTAGAGTAGCTTTAAATGACTGAGTTTTTCATATTCCCATTCAGCTTCTCTGAGATCAGAGAACAGTCATCAGACAGTAGATATACTGTAAATTATTTTAAACTTCAATTCCAATTATAGATTTTTAATAAATTCATTTTATAGATCTTGTATGAGATTATTAAAATTTTGAATATTTCTGATAGGTCGTTGGTGGAAATTTCGTAAAAGGTTAGGAAGAGAAGTAAATAAAAAGGACCCTTAATGAACTAGATAGAGCAATTTACGAAGATATTCATATTATAAATGAAAGCGACAGATTTGATTATTTATATTGGATTATTACGTAATTATTCTACTAATTTTATATTTAAAAAATGAACTTTAGAGCATTCATTAACGTTTTTATGATGATCTAATAGTATGATGGAAGAAAGTAAAGAGAAGATGAATGTAGAAATCCTAGTAAAAGTTGGAGATATAATACACACTCATTTCTAGCGCATTATTAAAATGCTTGACGATGTTGATGGAGAAGATTAAATCAACTAACATAGAATCTCATTTAAAATGCTGGCATTCTTAGCTTTTTACTATCTGAATGCAAGTTGTGTTAAAAAGCCAAAAAAGGCTTTAATTTCAAATGAAATAAGAGGAAAAAAAGAGGTTTCTAATGAGTATATTGAGAAAATAGCTGAAAAGCAAGCTATTTTATTAAGGTTATTTGAAGAATCTCTTTTAATTAATTTTAAAACGCTTTGGTAAAGAGTAAATAAAATCTTTTTTAACTTTTTCTTTTTATGATGATAATTTATGTATATATCAATCATTTATTTAAAATATTTTTATTCTAGTTTTTTATGTTTCAAGAATATCTTTTCATTAATCATAAATTTAAAATAGAGAGAAATTGATTCACAGTTTTTCAAATACTATTATGAGACATCCTTGAAAATGCTTGAAAGCAAGCAATTATTAAAATAGCAAAATATTAAAGAAACCATATTTAACATTTTGAAGAAGGTTATTTTTATAAACTCTGATAGCTTGAGCACTATATAATTTAAATTGATCAATTTAATTTATGAAGAAGAAAACATAGTTGAATATATTTGCGATTTTTTATTATCAACATAAAATTAAAACAGTGGCAATACCAACCAAGATGAATTTTTAATTCTTTTGAATATTAGTGAAGATTAAAGGGATAATAGCGAGAAGAACTATTCTCAACTTTGCACAGATACTCTCATTCGTTTAGTAAATTATGCAAATTAAACTAATGTAAATACTGAATCATAAGCAGTCAAGAATGTCAAAGAATTCTTATTAAAAATGTCTGAAAAGATTCCTAAAATATTTTACAACAATTTATCTTGCTTTGTCTAACTCCTAGATAATGAAGCTTACCATTTAAGAAATGCAGTAGTAGAAATAATGGGTAACATTATTAAAAATGTTCTGTCAACTCGTTAAAATCTTCCTTAGGATGAGTAAAGTCTCTAAGAAGAAGAGAGTGAAAACCATGAAAAAGCAAAAGAAAAGATACTTGATGCGTTGATTTAAAGAATATATGACAAGCATGCTTTTTCAAGATCACATGTTTTATAAGTTTTTATAGATTTATGCACTTAAAATCTTATTCCTCAAAATTACCTTTTCCCATTATTAGGATGTGCTTGTGATAGAATAAAAGATACATCTGCTAATGTTCGTAAGAAAGCCATCATCCTATTGCTTAAAATTATGGAATTTTACTTCATCATATTTGCAGCTTCTTAAAATAGAGTTAAATTCCATACTATAGAAGAGCTTGAAAGAGAACAAAGTTTCAATGAAACTGAAAAATCAGAACTCATTTCAGAATAAAAATAAATAGAAGAAAAATTATAAGACAGGTAAAATATTTTTATTAAGTTAAAATTCAAGTTTGCATTCATTTTTTAATAAAAATTAATAAATTTTTATTATTTTAAATAGAGAAAACGTAGAATAATTTCACGAATTTTAGCACGACTTAAATTAAGTTAAGAGAAAAATAGAATTATGCATGAAGTTAAAGCATAATTTGGATGAATATACAAAAATGATTAACTAAATTGAATTGATTATGCCAAATCTCTTATAATTACTGGGTTCCAAAAATAACTCAGATGTTACAGAAACCATTAAATTAATGATTTATTTATATTAAACAAATATTCAATGTGCTAATCAAGGAATTAGAAAGATGCTCGTCTTAATATGGTCAAGAGAAAAGCTAGTAAAAGAAGAGCTCATTAAAGCTTATTGGGTAAAATAAACAATTTATTATCAATAAAAAAATATATTTAATTTATTTATTTATAATAAAAAATTAGATTCTATATTTAGATGAAAAGGCATTCAAGCCAGAAGGAGTAGCTAAAAATTTAGTTTATTTGTTTAAAAAAGCAAATCTAACAGATTTAACCTCATTAGAAGAATTGCTGGTTGCAATACAAAAATGGAATCAAACAATCGAAGAGAAAGAAAGAGAAAAGAAACAAGATATGTTTTACATAAGCAATAAAACATTCGATAAAATTTGGGATATATTCACAACTTCTGTCATTTAAAACGATGCTAATTCTAAATATTCTATGAGAGCTGCTCTAACTATCCTCCGTATAAGTTCTTAAAATAACAAGGTTATATTCACATAAAATAGAATGATTTCTCTAATTGAAGTTTTGAAAAAATTCTTAAGGTTAAATTAACCTGATTGGATAGTAGTCAAAGAGATAGGTACAATTTAATTTTGAAATGCATTCATTTATTTTAATATTTTTTCATTATATAGGCATTTTACTTGAAAATAAAGAGGATTGCAATTATTTAAATAGCTTCATAAAGCTCATGATTTTTATACTTATCAAATTTTAAGGTACTGTTGATAATGAGTGGTATTGTGCTTGTGAACAAATATTAAATACAATCTTTTCAATAGAATAAAATCCTGAGAGTCTTATCAAGTATCTCATTCTTAGATGTACAAAAACTCTATTGGAAGGATAAGATACAAACAGCGATATCAATAAAAATATTGAAATTCCTTAAACTCCTCCAAGAAGTAAGTATATCCTTTAATTACTTAAAATTCAAAATTTAAAATAATTTTAAAAGATATTGTTGAAGCTGTAAGTCCTTTAAAAGTTACACCCTTTTAAAGTCCTAAGTAAACTTTTGAAACAGAAGAAAATGAAGAAAGCAAGCAGCTGTTATTCGAAAGAAGACTTGGTCATTTGTTGTTCCTTGTATACAATTTATATAATAAAATTAATAAAAAATTAAAAAAATATAATTTTATCTAAATAATAGGTTGGACATTGCGCACTTAAATTGCTTATTCATATTGATAATATTGAAAACGAACTCAAAAAGCTAAAAATTGAAGGAGAAAAAAAATAAGAGGAACAACAGCACAAAGATGGAGCTGAAGCTGCTGAATTAGATAAGATTTATGGTGGTTTAGAAGCTGAATACGAAAAGAGATTAGAGTATCTTCATAAAATAGCTGAAGAAAATATTATAAATGGAGATAATTTGATAGCACAATATAAACCTTGGGTAGACAAGATTGTCAAAGATATTATTGAAAACTAAGAAGGTGCAGACTACAGAAATGTTGATTTAGACAGAGTTGCTGTTCTTACTTTATGTAAATTCATGTGCGTATCAAAAGTATACTGTGAATAGAATCTCCCTATCTTATTTAAATTACTGGAATCCTCTTTTTCAGACCATCTGCTAAAGATCAATATTATAGTATCAATTGGAGATTTGCTTCACAAATATCCTAATCTTGTTGAACCTTATAATTCAAAGATTTTTGCAAAGTAAATTTCCTTTTATTTTGATTAAATTTAATATTTATCTTAAATAATAGATTGCATGATCCAGATGTTTAAGTTAGAAAAACAACTATGATGGTATTGACTCATCTTATTTTAAATGATATGATGAAAATTAGAGGTGAAATATGTGAAGTAGCTCTCCTTTTAGAAGATGAAGAGCCTAAGATTTAAAACATTGTCAAATTATTCTTGCATGAACTCCACAAGAAAGATTAAAAAATTATTTATAATCTTTTACCTGAAGCTATTGGCAGAATGTCTCGTTAAGATAAAACAGAACTAGGAGCTCCTATACATGAAAAAACTTTTGAAAATTTTGCAAAAAATATTATGCAATATTTAGAAAAAGATAAATATTCAGAAACCCTTGTTGAAAAGCTTTGTGTCCGTTTCCAAAATTCATAAAGTAATTAATTTATTTATTGATTTTTAACTATAATAAATAACTTACGTTAATAAAGACTAAAGAGAATGGAGAAATTGTAGCTTCTGTCTTAGTTAGCTTAGTTATAACGAGAAAGGTTTAAGAAAATTAATTGAATTCTATGAAAATTACAGAGAAAAGCTTCATGACCAAGAAATTATGGAAAATTTCTAAAATATTCTCATCAAGTTAAAGAGATTACCAAAGCAAGAAATGAAACCTTTAATTGAAGAATTTGAAGCAAAGCTTTAAGCTTATAAGGTTGAATCATTTGAACCTGTTAAGAAAAAAGAAACTGCTTTAGCAGCTAAGGCTAAGCGTGTTGCTGACAAAAAGAAAAAAGATGAGAGCAATAAAGAAAATTAATAAAATTAAATAAATACTAGAACAAAAAGCAAAAAATAAACTAAGAAAGTAAAAATTATTTACAAAAAATATATTATTTAAATAAATAAATTTTAAATAAGAACTAAGAAGAAAGTGATGAAGATGAGCTCGAAGGAGAAGATAAAAATGAAGACTTCGAAGAGGAGGAAGAAGAAATCGAAGAAAAACCTTAAACAAATAAAAGATTTTAGAAAAAAGAGCAACCTAAAAAGAGAGTCTTAAGAAAGACTAATTTAAATAAAAAGAGATCAATGGTAGAAGAAGATGAAGATGATGAATAAATGGATAGTGAAGGAGATTATGATGAAGATGATGAAGATTATAACTGATTTTTATTTTATAATTTAATCTAAAATAAAAATTATTTTAAGAGTATAAGTATAAAAATTATTTATTTTATTATTTCTTTTTAAAAGTGTTTGAGTTTCAATTTAAGTTATAAATTATAATTAATTCCTTTTCATTTTTATCATATTTAAATAAATAAATTAAAAACATATATATACTGTAATTCTTCATTAATTAAGAATCCGTTCATTAATTAAGACATTATATCATTAAAATTTAAATGAAACTTGATACCATAAATAATGTAAATAATTTCTAAAATTTTCATTTTCTTCCTACCTCATATACCTATATCCTTTTGTAAGAATTAATAAAAATTCTTTAATTTTCAAAAACAAAGTTCTTAGATAAAAATTAAATTTATAAAAAAACTCAACTATTTTACTATGTAGAAATCATTTGTTAGATATAAAATAAATAAATAGTAAAAAGCAATATTAAATGTTGATACAATAAATTGTAAATTTTTAATTCATAAAACATTTGATAATAGCGTTATCAATACATAAATGCTTATAAAGGTGTAATTCTTTTTTATATAAGTGATTATATTATTCAACATAAAAGGTCCATGTTAAATTGGTTAATTAATTGAAAAGTTTCATTCGATTATGTTAAGGCATCTATCTGCTGTTTACTTTTTAAAAATGTATTTGTGAACAACAAAATTGAAGTTGATATAACAATTTTTAGTGCTAAGCTTTATTTAAAATTAATTTTAATAGAGCTTTTTTCAGAATATATCTATTTATTATTATTAATAATTGTTTAGTAATTTTTATTAGGAATATTAATTTTACTGCATTCATCTTTGGTTCCTTTTTTCCCTTTTCCTTTAGATGCTGCCTAAGCTGTCATATCATCTCTAGATGAGGTATTTTATTAAACAACCTTTTAAGAAGCAGGCTAAGCCATTGTGTTTGATCTTTTATTTTCTAATATTAATGATTTAAAAGATTTTAATATTTTGTTGAAAAATTGAAAAGAAAAATTAAACATACTTTCTTATACTTCAAAGGTTGGATCGAAGCTCTATTAGAATACTACTGTTAAAAGTATAAATAAATTTAAAAATTAATGATATTTAAGTTGAGAAGCAAATTACTTTAATTATTGGTTCTTGATTAATCAACAGAAGAATTAGTAGATAGTGAGCCTTATGATGAATTTGTATTTTATACTTGTGCTTGCTATTATTAGTTTTATTTCTTTTAATGATTTTTTATATTAGCATATTCTATTTCCTCTTCAACAGGTATTTAAGCTTGCATTTTCTATTTAATTAAATAGCAATTAACTATATAAAATTAGTATTGAAATCATTTTACATTTTATTCTCCCTTGATTTCTTCTAAACCAAGAACTTTGAATATCAAATTTTTGTTTTAGAAATAGTCGAGATGTTCTTCAGAAATAGAAGAATAATAGTGAATTTTTTAGAATGTGTAATTAGGGCGAGGGTTTTTGCCTACAATCTTTTTTTATATTTTAATAATAAATTTAATTAAAATTAAAAATTTTATTTACTCTTTCTGTTCTATATGTTTGCATTTTTCCATCTTAATCCATAAGGTTATATTCAACAAAAGTATCTCTGCAGAAGTTATCTGGTAAAACAGCACTTGAAATTGTAATTTTAACATACATTTCTTTACCAAGTAATTACTTTGGATCTTCTATAACATCAGAACCCTCTTCTTCTTCCATTTCCTTAGCTAGATTTTTTTCACCTGTTTCATCACATGGAATCACGCCAACCTATAAAGAGCCACATTATCCATCTAAATTAAATTAAAATAATAATTTTGTCATTTATTTAAATATTGTTAATTTTAAATTTACTTTCTCCTACTAAAGACAATTCAATTTATGAGTCCATAAAATAAGCTAAATATAGAAGCTTAAAATAACCATTTCCTATCAAATGAGGCTCAGGAGGATCATAAAATGGATCTTCTGAATTATCAAGTGACTTTATTTTTAATTAATTATTTGTGAGATTTAAAATTTGAAAAAGCTAATAAAAGAATTTATTTTACTGGAATCTGATTAGTTTCAAAGTATTTTTCAAGTTACTCTTTAATTTGATAATATCTTTCATTGAATTTTGCTTAGTCCCATATAAACACCTAGCCTAATTCTCTATTGTCAACTTAGATTTAAATTTTTGATTTATTATTGATTGAGTTAGCATTAGGTTCTTCTTCATCTTCATCAGAATAAAGCTAACAAATTTTAGCTTGCAAAGAGATATTCCTTTTTAATTCCTTTGCAATCAAGTTAATTTCAAGAACTTTTGGAAGGAATTTCTGTAATTTATGCTCCAAATAATTTTTATCTTTGAACTTTTTATTATTTTCTTGCTTTTTATTTTTCTCTTGCAATTCTTTGATTTAGTTTTCTAATTAAATTTTTTAATCTTCCCATTATTTTTGTTATTCGATGGTTTATTTTTAGGTTTCAATTTCTTTCTCATGCTACTTTTCTTCAAATTCTTGAATACGAGTTTTATTTTCTAATTCCATGTAGGTGTTCATTTCATCCTGAACAAAGTCATAATCAATCTATTCAAAAGTTAGCTGGTCATTGCGAGGTTATGAGTCCTTAAAGATAAGAGTAAACATACTTGTAGTGCTTATAATGATTCTATCTAAATGGAATAATTCTGTCTTTTCTTTAACTGGAACACCATTTACCAAAATATTACAATCATACTAGTCCTATTTTATTTAAGTAAGTTAATGTTTTTAAATTTTTAGATGGTGAATCAAGTTTTATTACTGAATATTATTCTATAAATAATTATTTATGGTCTTCACTATGAATAATTTTAGCAACGTTATTTCTTGTTAAACCTACAATTATATCAGGTTTAGGTTGTGAGTGTTTACTACCTATAATTATAACATCCTTATCTAAACTGTATTAGATCTTATTGTGTAGTTATGGATCTTCGTGGACGTTTACTAAATGTGGTTTGGAGAGATCTATTTTATTTTATTCTGATTCCTCTTCTAATTACTTTTATTTTAATATTAATTTAATTAAGAAAATATTTATTTTCGTTTTTTACCTTGTTTTCAATATGTCTTTGCTATTTAGTTTTTGTAGTATCTTCGAGAAGGTGCTAGTTAGCTTCAAATTCTTCCTTTTTTTCTTTAACTTCTTAAATATTGTAAACTTAAGGATCTAAGTTTTCTATGTTCTTCATATCCAAATTATCTAAAGTAAAATATAGAAAATTCTGTTAAAACTCATTTATAAAATTATTATATTTATTTATTTTACTCAAATTGATTCCAAATTAATCCTAAAACTTTTGCATAAACAATTTAAGTTTTTCATTTTCTTCAGTCAGTTCTCTGATTAATTTGTCTGTAGCACTTTCATTAACAGTAGCTTTATTTTTGATCTTTTTAGCTTGATCTGCATATCTTAAAGTAGATAAGGTTTCTTCATAATTATCATTTGAAGGAGAAACTGCACAAATCATAAGAGTTTTAGAGTTACCACCCAAAGCGTTACATAAAATTTTAGTCAAACAACTTTCTCTATAAGGAATAACTTAATTCTTATTTTTACCCATTTCTTTATCTGCTAAAGCTTAAATGACTTTACCAAGAGTAGTCAATGAAAGGTTGATATTAGTAGCTTTTTAAATAAAAATTTAAAGTATTTGTAAATATTTTAAGATTTCTCATAAAAAATTAAATACCTTCTTTTAATCTTTTGTCTGTTGCACCAGTTTTGGCAACCTTTTCAGAACCAGCTAAATCAACTAAATTAATAATTGATAATTTCTCATACTTTCTATCACCTTTTTCTTCAGTTTACTTGAATTAAATAATAATAATAGTGTGAGCACGGGAAGAACAAGCATTCATTTGAGTTGAGGCAACAGTTCTATTTTAAGTACCTGTGTCCATAATTTTTTCAATGTCATTATAACTTTCTACTGGATGTTTTGACATACCATCAACATAAAATCCTAATGACTAATGCTGTCTAATCTTGAGACCACCTGTTGGCCTCTTAGTTACTGGAATCAATAAATCTTAAACAGTTTCGTTGTAAATTTCTAGCATAGAACAGCTAACCTAGTTTTAATTTAAATAGGATGTTATAAGATTACCATTTTTTTAGTAAATTGATGATTTATTTGTCGAAATATTTATGAAAACGTGTTGAAATAACTGCCATAATTAGCTATATTTGTAATAAATAATTGAATAAATATGATTGTTTTAGTATTACTTCTTATTCTAAATGAGGATTGTCATTTAACTTTATTCTTTCAAAAATTTCCTAACAAGCAATAGGGACAATACCTTTGTTAGCTCCATATCCAACCATAGAATAACTTTTACCAGCTCCTGTTTAGCCATAAGCAAATAAACAACAATGATAACCTAACCATGCATTATCTAATATCTATTAACCTACTTAATTATAAACAGCTCTTTAGTCGGCATATCTATCTGAAACAGGGATAGCCTATATTTTAATTATTCATTTAAAATGTATTTAAAATAATTTTTTCAATCAACTTAGATGTATTCTTTGATTGGAAAAGTTAAATTTGATAATACTTTTAAGATTATTAATGAATATTTATCTTATTTTGCTTTGATAATCAAAAACCATTTTTTAACAAACAATTAAGATATTATTAGAAGGAAAATGATTTATATAAAGTGATCTAAATAATTTTAATAGAAAAAATTACTAGTCCTTCTTCGTTTAACTCGAATCCATCATGACTCCAGAAGGAATAATCAAAGAAGAAATCTTTGTTTTTTTTAGGATCGTTCAAATCCAATAAACTTGTACGAGTTCCATCCATGTCAATACAAAGTTATGAATTGAGTCCTATTTCTCTCGTATTAAATGGTCTTACTCTGACAGCTACAACTACACTCATTTTTTTTATCGCCTTTTATGTTTATTTTAAATGTAAGCTATTTTATTTTATATGCCTAATAGTAGCTCTTCCTTCTCTTCCTGAATTAAACTCTAAAACTAAAGAATTTGTTAAAATATGATCTTTTGATTTTTAATTTTTATTATTTTATTTGAATATAAAATTTGATTAAAATTTTTGTTTGTTTACTTGCTATTTTTGTTATTTTATAATTGAAACACTAAAAAAAGTGAGGATTGAATGTAATAAATAAATTATCTTTGATTCCAACAGAAATTTAATATTCTCTTCATTGATTTATTTGTTTATATACTCATCGCATAACCTTTAGTTTTTTCTCACTTATTTTTCCTTCTTTATTTTATCTAGACTTTTGATAGAAGAGAATTAAAATGCCATAAAACACTGCCTTTAATATACATATTTATTTGATCACATTTATTACTTTCACTTCATTAACTTTGTCGATTTCTCCTTTAACTTTGCAATTTATTTGATCAGCCAACAAATATTTTTATCTGATTCCAGTATTTATAGAACATAAATTGATGCAATAATGCCAAATTTATACAAAGTAAATTTAAATTAAGAAAAAAAAATTTAATAAATTAAATACTATTAATATTAAAAAAAATACTAAATAATAAACAACATAGAAGTAAAATTAAAGAACAATTTAAACTAAAACAGCAAAATAATAAAATCTTAAAAAGCAAAAGTCTAATCTAACTAGAGAATGTTAATGACCATCTATATGAGTTTAGCAGTTGCATATATGAAATATTTCTACTTCAAAATGGCATAAATAGCTCTAGGAGACGCCTATAAAATTACACAAAAAAGTTCTTAAATTCTATTTAGAAGATCATAAGCTGTTGCTTACAATAAATTCAGTGCAAAAAAAATATTAAAATAAGAAATAATCAAACTACTTTTTACAAAATATTCATATTAATTTTAATATATTTATTTTAAACATTATTTATCTTAATTACAAATAAAAAAACTAAAATTTTTTAATTTTTTAACATAAATTAGTTTTATTTTAAGGTAATTTGTTTAACTAATTAAAAAGAAAGAATGTATAAAATACAAGAAGAAATGTAAAAATATTTTACTTAACTTATTTAGATTTTATAAATTTAAAATGAATTTATTTGTGTTTATTAATTTTATTAAATTTGAAAGAATAAATATTTTAAACAAAGAATAAAGGATAAGGATTTAGTTAGTTGCTTTTGATAAGTACAAATTTTTTTATTTTTATAAACTTGTAGTTTGTTTCAGTAAATTAATAAAAGTATTTTTTTGCCTAAAAGTTTATTATTTAATTCAATTTTGTTTGTTTGTTTGTTTTTATGATATTGAAAATTTTTACTTTTTACAGTTGTTGAAATTAATTTAAAAAATTCAATCAGCTATTAATTTTGTGCTTAGATCTTTCAGTTCGTGGTTCATAGTTAAATTAGGCTTAGATTTCTTAAAAAAACTAGGCTTTGTTAATAAATATTTATAGTCTTCTATAGCTACAGGCATAATGAAAACAATAGCAATCAAAGTAATTACAATGAATAAAAGGAATATGTTTTCCTAACCAAAAATTGGGATTAAAAGCTAAATGATAGAAGATGCTAAACTACCAGCTCCTTCAATAATTCCAGTAACTGTTCCTATTGCTTATTAATTTCCTTTTAATACTTAATGTTTCCCTAAATCTATGATTAATGGCCCATGCTGCACATTATATGGTCCACCTAAAAAGATACCAATTAACAAACTTGTGATGTAGAAATTTACCAAGGAATCTTCTTTAGAATTTAAAGTGTGAAAATAGAATAGAGATAAAGCTAAAAGTATGAGACTGGGAGGCATCAAAATTCCTCTTCTTTTGTGTAATCTATCACCTACATATCCACTAACTATACCTCCTATTAAGACTCCAAAGCTCCACATAATGCTTATTCCAGAACTGTTGCTTTCCAAGTGGTTTTGTTGCAAAAACTTTGGGAACCAAAATAAAATACCATAATTCAAACCTTTTAAGCACATAAAATCTATAGTATACCAAATAACACCAGGTATTTAAAGGGCTTCATAGACTGTAATTCCTTTGTATTCTTCTTTTACTCTTGTTGGGTTTATAATGCCTGAGCTACCATACTTTAACTATAATTTTTCACGTAGTCTCTCTAAATCATCTGCATCCATATTAGTTAACTGCACTTCTTAGGATTCAGTTTTAGAAACATATTGGAGAGGTCTTCTAATAAAACTAGGATTTATAGCTGAGCTCTCCTCAAGTTCATCTTCCTCAATAGTCGCTAAACCTGTAGAAGAGGGACTCTCAGATGTAAATTCATAAATAATATAAGCCATAAAGAGGCAAATACTTCCAAAGACTACAAGAGACCAATACCACGAAAAGTGTAATCTTAAAATTGCTAAATCTCCAATTAATAAACCAAAAGTATCACCAAAGCTTCTGCAACCGCTCCAAATACCTAGAAGTATTCCTATATTTAAAAAAATAATCATTAATTTAAGAACAAAACTAGAGAAATATATCATTATTTTGAATTTAAAGAAAGTATGAATACATTTGAATCTACTTATTTAAACTATTAGTAGAATAAATTTAAAAATATATTTATTATTTCTTTATTTAGTTTTTGTACCTCTATTTTCTGAGGAATACCAATTTCCGAGCATTCTCATATACCCAGGAAGACAAGCAGATTCAAATAGTCCATTAAAAGCTTAGAGTATAACATAAATATATACCTCAGTAATAAAAAATACTCTTAAAATTCCTATCCCTGCTAAGCAACTTGCAGAAATAACCATTCCTGCGAGTAAAAAATTCTTTGGATTAAAGTGATCAGCTTTATTGTTAAAAATTAAAAAATGAATTTAGTTTTTAATGCATACTTATAATTTCTTTTATTTTATGGCTATTGCCTTGAGAACTCTTAATATTAACTAGTTCCTTAAAATAATTTGCTACATTTTAATGTTTTCAGACAGATTTGCTCTGTCTGCTTTAAAAATGATAAAATGAATAAATTACATTTATTTCCGCAGAAGTAAAGTCCAATACCTAAAAATAATAAAAATGCTGTATCCATATATCCAATATCTTTGTCTGTTATTTCAGGGAGGTCATCTTATATATATTTTTATGTAAAACTCCAACCTGTCCTCATGCCTACATACAATAAATATAAACTTAGCAATTTTTTTAAATAAAAGCTTGTAATTTTTCTATGAGAAAACAGAAAAAAAGCTAGCTTGGTACTAAGAAATTGAAAAATAATATAAAAATTACAATGGAGTGAGGAATATCCTAAAAATAATATGATGAAGACTTTAACTTATCTATTAAAAAGTTCTTTAGTATCATAATTCTGTTTCCATTGCTAAATAAATGCTATCATCCTTTTTTTAAAAGTATACCAATCAACTAAAACAAATTTTATTCAAATCTTCTTTCTTAAATCTTAAATTGTTTATTTATTTATTTTGTTTTTGAACAATGTTTATTTTTTATTTTTAAATTATTTAATTGAACTAAAATATGCTCACCAAAAAATTTTTACTTTGGTATTTATTTCTAAGAGATTCTAAAATTTTAGATTGTTAGGTGGGGTCACTTTTTTTCTATTAAAATTGAGATATATCACTTACAATATACTATATATGCATCTGGTTTTGAATATTTCTACTTAATACTCAAGATAACGTTATTTTAACTTTGAACATAGACGTGACACACTCTATTAAAAATGTAAGAAATAATGTTTATATTACTACCTTTAAATTTAAACTCTATCTGATAATAAGTAGTTTTTCCACCTCGAAAATTTACAAAATCTATTTTGTATTCTAAGGTTTACATCCTTTAATTACTAAAATAAATCTAATTATATCAAAATTTTGCTAATTTATAAATTCAAAAAAATACTATTTTCATTTTTGAAAGTTGTTAAGTAAAACCTTATTGAATTCTTTCTTTAAATTTTTGCTTTTCAAGGATTTTTATTTTATTGAAAATTACTAAGGATGAATTTGTAATTTCAAGCTGTTTTAAAAAATATTAATTTAGTTGATTTTCTAGCAACAAAATCAATTTCCAGACAAGTAATATCGTCAATTTTAATTTTATTTTGCGTCAAACGAAAGTGTAATGCACTTTTATAAAGCTTTAGTAGGAAAATCTAATAAATCAAGTAGTATTTTTATATAATAATTCAAATACTTTCTACAATAATATGAAAACATACTTTTTTAAATTAATTTTTAATTTTAGAATTAACATTAGCAGCTGATTCTATTTTCAATAATTGACACAACAAAAATATAAAATTTTATTTTAAAAATAGTAAATTTATTATCTATTAGCATAGTTATTTTTGTGAAAAATTACTTGCAAGTATTAAATTAAAAATTTTTTGTTACTTAGAAGAGCTTTGTTTTTAGAGTAAAGTGTAAAAAAAGAATTTTAAACAAAATTTTGTAAATTATATTAAATAAAAAAATTTTTTATGGTGGGCACTATTAAAAAATTGATAAGATGCCTAATATTTTTTTGCTTTCGCAAAATTTGTGGTGCTAGTTAAATTATTATATGTCTATAAAATTTTAATTTGATAGAAATTTCCTTTTTAACCTAGCTAAGTATCTTTGTTAATAAATAATATATATCAACTTACATATATTTGAATAATTTAGTTTCGATTCAGTTAATATGTTCTATAAAAGATATCTTTTTATCTATTGTTTTTAGAAAAAGTAAGTAGTAATATTTAATTTTGTAATTGCTCGATTTTATTTCTGTCCAAATAGTCATTAAATTACACAGTAAATATTTTGATGTCAGACTATGAAATAATAAAATATTGTTGATGCAATTATATAAATTTACCAAAAATTGGGTAAATTAATTAATTTTAGTCATAAAATTTTAAGTAAGTTTATAATAAATATTTAAATAAAACACTTTATAATTTCATTAAAAAAAAATAATTAGCATTTTTTATTTTCTCATATTGAGTTTAGCAAAATTTTTACATGACTCTTATACTAAACATAAGTTGATCTATTTTTTATTAGTTTACTATTTTCTTTTGATAATTATTCATTCATATTACTATTTATCATAGCAAGAATAATCATATCGTATTAAAAAAACATTAAAGTCTATTTTTAATATAGTGAAATCAAAACAATTTCTAGTTAATTGCTCTTAGATTGAATAATGATATCTATTTATTAACTGATTTTACTTTCAAATGTTTTCTTTTCATTTATACAAACCTAATTCATAATTTTCAACAAATAAACTTTCGATATTGTTAACAATTGCTTGATTTTCGAAAGCTCATCTCATTCAACATCTATAGGATAAAAAGATAATCCATCGCGTAATAGCACCACAAACTAATGTCTATTGTGTTAGAATGGGTATTATCTAGATGAAGGAAAGTGTATTTATATCCCAAATTGTACAAATCCAATAGTTAATTAAATGTATATTCTGATTTTTTTTTTAAAACGATTACTTAAATTTATTTTTAATAGCGATGATATAATTTCATGTGAGGAAGGAGTATATTTAGGATATTATGCATAGTCATTCTTTTAGTGTCCAAAAAATTGTATCAGTTGCTTCAAGTAAGATAATGAAATTTTATGCAAAGGATGCAAAATAGGATTTGCTCGAAAGTAAGATGGATCATGCTATCCTCCTCCAAGCTTTTGTATACAAGCGAGCACAATTTAAGTTAAACTACCAAAAAATGATACTATAAACTTAGGTGATTAATATTCTTCATAATAGTAGGAATAATAGAGCTCATAAATGACTGAATTAATTTAATGTGATTAATGTTAGTCAGGATTTATTACATAGATTTAAGACTATACTAGCCCATCTGATTATTATAATCAGTGCATAGAATGTTCAGATATAATTGAAAATTGTTAAAATTGCTCTCTTGTTTTAGATTAAAAATATATATGCAACTCTTGTAATGAGGGTTATTATTTAACATAAGACAAAAATCAATCATCAGTATGCCAATAATGTTCTAGCAATTGCTCATTTTGTATATTCGGTTAAGTTTAGTATAATGCTCCTTTTATATTATCAAACTCTTAAATTGGTGTAGAAGAAAGAGAAATTTGTTTGAAATGCCCTAAAGGATATGGATTTCATTATGATGGAAAAACTTGTGTACAGTGTAATTAATGTGATTAATGCTTCTATTTAATAAATAAATAATATGTTTATACTCTTGGTACTAATTTCAAGGCAATTACAGATGAAGATATAATCTAACTTAAACTTTAAGTAGAATTGACTTGCTCCTACCAAACTTGCTCAGAAGGCTGTATAGATTAATTCAACAGTAAAATAAATTATGTTATTTATTTAGTTTTTAAAGTTTACAATTAAGTGAAGATGTTTATTTTTTATCATTTTATTTTTAAAATTGAAAAATATTTTGTGAAGAAACATTTTTTGCTGAATCAAAATACAAAAAATTTTGAGATTATCTTAATTAATAAGCCTTTTTAAAATGAATTGTTTTATTTTTTTTAAAAGTTTGTTAAACAAAAAATAAAATTTCTGGATGTTCTCTATGTGCAGCATAAAAAATAAGCTCTGATTTAAGTCAGAATGCACTTACATGCAAATAGTGTTTTTCAGACAGTAAATTAATTTTTTATGATTATCGATAAATTGGAATTTATAAATGATATATTTATAGAGCAAATGAAAGTACAAATTTAATCAACCTTGTAGAACTAATATTGCTTAGATAGGTGTTAAAGTGACTGCTAGTAATGCAACTATGATGATTTTTTATAGATTTAAACATGCAGCTTGTGCAAAAAACAAGGAAACTACTAGCTAGAGTATTAATAAGCAATAGATGAACTCAACAATTTACTAGGAAATGAAGACATGATAAAATATAATTCATACCATTATCTTTTTTTACTTTAAAATTAAAAATCCAAGAAGTGTCTAAACTGCCTATTTGGATGCTATGAGTGCTAAAATGCATAAATTTATTAAAACAATTAAGAAGTAGGCCACTATACCTCAAGTATAGATTAAATAAGCTTCATCCAACAAGTTTAGTTGTTGAGTTAATATTATCCTTAATATTTTAAGTCCAATGACTTTTTTTTTCCTCCTTAAGACTCTGTATAAACAATTAAATTTATTTTTTAGGATTAAAAATATTTTATTATTTTTAAAAGGTAGATATCGTTAACTCAAATTGCATAAAATGCTAAGATGGTTACTAATTAATAGTGCCTTAGATGAAATGTATAAAATGCTCTGAAAATAAATTTTGTAAATTTACAATATAAAATATTTAATATAATTTATTTAGCTCAGATTTTGACTAAATGAGCTTTGACGAAATTCTTAGCTAAGTTTTTGGTTAGGATTGGTTCAATTTAAATCACTTCTATTAAATGAATCAGCTAGATATTTAAGATATAGAAGTAGTTTTGAATTTAGGTAAGAGAACTTATTTTTTAAAGGATAGCTACTCTCTAAATCTATCATACATGAAAAGTGGTAAAATATTCGCCAATTCTAAGCTTAAATTAATAGGCGCTGGTCCTTAAACAGTTTTACAAATAAGCTAGAATTTTTCAATTTTATTTTTTACTTAGATTGAAATTTAAGACATGACAATTTCTATTGATAATTAAAGTAAAATTATTAATTGATCAAAAATATAAAAATGTTCTAATCATTTTTTTATAAAATTAAATAGAAAATTGGGTTATAGGAGCTTTTGAGGATAACAGTTCTATTATTTTTTCTGGTGTTGTTTTTTAATCTTAATAAAATATGGGATCTATTGTTTTATTTGATAATTTTTCAAAATTAGAGATATCTAAATGCGTATTTGATGGAAATTTTGCCTAAAGTACGGATTTCATTTAACTTATTGACCCTACTCCTTTCAGTGATATTGATGATGAAGGGTTTGATGATTTGACAATAAGCATTTTTGGAAATTATTTCACTCCTAATTTCACTCTTACTTAATACTTTCTATAGACATAATTCTTCAGCCATTTAAACATAAATTTAGAAATGAAACAAAACACATTTAGAAAATCAAAGATAGGCGGCTTTCTATATGTTTCTACTTTGTAAGATATGGGTAAGTTATTTTTTCAATGTTGTATTAATTTTGGAAGTAATTTGTTTATTTTTTTTTGAAAAAGATGCTTTAAGTTATAAAGATCGATTAATATCTATTACAGACAACACTTTTGATTTATATCTTTTTAGTGGATACAGCTTTTTTTAAGATGCAACCCTTGATTATGTTTATTTGAATAATAATACAATATATTCGATTTCTGTTGATAAAATTAATGATTAAGCGACATCATTTTTTTCATTTTTTTAAGGAAGTGTTTTAAATACTAAAATTGCTAGCGTTTAAGTTCCATAAGCTAAATTTTATCTCTTCGATTTTACAGGCACAAGAGATTACACTGATATTTATCTATGTATAGATATTACTGTAAAATTAATAAATTTTACTTCTGTTGATCCTGATGAGCTATCTCCACAGAAACCAAGTTTTAATTTATTAAACTATGGACTCTAAGATAATGGATAATCTTAACTCTAACATAATTTGAAATTTAGACATTTGGAAAAACATTCAGAATTTATTTCGGGTACTGATAAAAAAGTTAATGAAAAAATTGAGAAACGTTAATTGTAGAGTTAAGCAAACATAGTTTCTTAATATCCATTAATTATTTTGAGTAAAATTTATTAAATAAATTAATTAATTAATGATTTTATTTAATTTAGAAAATAGCTAAAACAATTTTAGAAAAAACTTTGAAATAAGCAATTTCTACATGAAGTCAATTTCTCTTTAAACAAATGGTAGCCCTTTGATAGAAATTGAAGCTTCTTTGATAGTTACAGTCTAAAATTTTACTTTATAGGATTCATACATTTAAGGGGACGTGTTTAGAGCTCAATGTTACAATTTTACTGCTAACAGTATAATAATAAAAAATCTCATAAACGAACATTATTTTTTAATTAGTTCATTTAGTGTTAATCTCTTTATTTCTGATATTTAATTTCCTAATTCTGAAGATTAGTTTAGCCCTATTAATTAGCTAATCAATTATCAAGATTCAAGCCAAATTAATATTGATATTATTAATGATTATAAATCTTGCGATTTTGATGAATGCAAAATAAATGATAGTTGTGTAATATAAATTGATATTTGTACATAGGGTATGCCGCTTAAGAAATGCGATTCTATCGGCTAAACTGTTATAGACTTTTGTTAATAAGAAGAATTTGATCAGAGTCAAAATAACGAGAATGATTAAACTGATTCTAGTTCAGATTAAAACAATAAAGCTGATGAAGATATAGATGAGAATTATAACCAATATAATTAAAATGACTTAAAATCTCTTTAAGCAGATAGAAATCCAGCTTAAAATTAAAATTAAACGGATTATTCTATTTGTGATATCTTAAAATTTAACAGATTGCCTATTATTTTTGAAGAATTTACTTTTAATACAAATGAGGAATTAATAAGTCAGGTTATTATTTAAAATATTTAAATTGAGAATAGAATTACTTCAAATTCATTAATATAAATAAAAAATAATTAAAATGGAATATAAAAAATTTAAGTTAAAAATATAAAACTGGATAATCTAATATACTATAACTCTAATATTGGAAATTCATACGATTTATCATTGTTTATGAGTGTAAATTCAGCAAGATCAGTACTAATTATGAAGAACATAACAGCTTAAGGTATTTATATTTTAGATAATAGTGTTGACATAATAAATGTAAATAATAAACTCTTGATAAACTGTTTTCTTCAAATATAAGTTTAACACTTTTTGCTTAAGCATTCATACTATGCTAATGAAGGTGGTTCTAAGTATTAAAATCTTCAATAAAAATGTAAAATTATTTTTTAATTTTAGAATTTCACAGATTATTAATTTAAAAAGATAAAGTTTTAGATTATGCTCCCAGATTTGTAGATTTTGTAGGTTAAACACTTTATTTTAATCACACAAAATTTGTTAAGATAGCATCCCTAAGTGGAGGGGTGGTAAGAGCTTCATCAAATTAAAATTTAGATTTCTTTTTTTATAATATGACAACTGAAAGTGTATTTGTTAGTAAGAGTGGTGGTTTGCTCTATTTTTACTCCTCAATAGGCACAAGTGTGTATCTACACATATAAAATTCATTTTTTAAAAATATAACATCAAATGCAAGTTTTGGACTTTTTGATATCAATAATTTATAAAATCCAATAAATCTAAATATAATTAATTGTGATTTAGTAGACATTTCGTCTCCATAAACCTCTCTTTTTTAAGTAAAGAATATGAATAGCTTTGTCCTCCTCTAAGATGTTAATGTATTTTTTTTTTTTAATAAGATAATATTTAAAATTTTCTAAAAAATAAAGATTCATGAGATTTTTCATATTTTTCCTATCTTTAAAAATGAAATGATTTGTTTGAAGAATACTGAAGTGCGTCTGATAAACATAAGGATTTTTAACTTAAATGACTACTAAACTCTATTTAATTTTGATTAAAGTGTTATTCTTTTTTACAATGTATCCATATAAAAAGTAGAAGTGCTTTTAGGTTTATTCTTATTTTAAAGGAGTTAAGTATAGATGATTGAGTTTACATTTAAAGACAGCAAATCCACTTTTTTAAATTTAAATAGTGATCCAACGCATATTAACACTGCTTAGCAAATGTTTATCTACTGCTAATCATTCATAGAATTTAAATTTTGTTATCCTTTAATTATGAGAAATGTCACCATTTAAAATATTTAGCTGAATTATTGTTCAAACAATATCATTTATTTTGACTAAAGCTCATCCAATATAAAAAATATAACTCTTGTTAATAATACATTCGATAATAGAGTCTTGCAGAATCAAATTAGTCTCTTATACTATAATTAAATTTTTGTTTCACTCAAAAATTAGCATCATCATATACTAATTGAGGCAACAGTCAGTGGCAATATACTTCCAGAAGCATCAAAAGGATGTATAAGAGTTTTTAACACTTAAATAATCTTAAGAGAAAGTATTTTCTCACATAATATTGTTGTAAAAAATTATTTAAAAATACTCTTTTTTGAAAATAAAATTATTAATATAATATTAAGGATTACGGAGGCGGCCTATACATACAGACTACAAATAATGATGGTTCTGGTATGTCAGAAAAAGCACCTAACCATAGACTCTTATAATAAAATAATTAGAATATCAAAAAAAATTTAAATCCTAAACGAAAATAATAAAAATTGAGAACTCTTGATGAAACTGTAGAAATCTATTACACTTAAAACAATACATTTCTACCCACTAATAATTCAGAGTCATATTACCAAAATTTTGAGCCAGATAAATTATGGGTTACACTAGATGACTAACCAGATTTTAAAGAGAGATATTAAAACATATTTTAATATCCTTTTTAATTTATATTTATTATTGATGGATGCTAATTCCTTGACAACTATGCATTTTCATAAGGAGGAGCTATATACATAGACATAAATGATAGCTCAAGAGATTTATTAATTAATTCAGTAGCTATTTTAAATTCAGATATTTCACACAATATTGCAGAAATAAATTCTCCTGGAATAGGAAGCCTCACTTTTATTCCTTTTTTATAGAATAACTCTTAATCAAACAATACAGTAAAAAATAGAGCTATAACAGCATTTAACATAGCTCCCTCTAATCTAAATATTTATTACCAAAATGGTTCTGCTGTTTTGAATTTAAAAAACATAACTTCTGGATAACTATTTGATTAAGGAAATTTAATAGTAGAGTTTTAAAATATTAATGGTGAGAAGGTTTATCTTAATGATCCTTCACTTATATCAACAGCTAGAAAACCTTAAGTTTTTTTAACCTACGATTAAATAAAAATTGCAATTGACACCTTTTCGTTTGAAAATGGAACTATCACTATATTACCATAGTAATATATTTACACTCCTGGGAGTGTAGTTGATTTTATCTTTTCTTCACCAAATATTTTAACACCGGTAAGATTAGATGGTGATATTATTTTCGAGATTTAAACTAATAAGTATGAAAAAATTATTAAGGCTCATTTTAGAAGTTGTTAAATAGGAGAAATATACTTTAAAGACAAAAAGATATGTTCACCTTGTTCTTTTGGCACATATAGCTTAGAAGATCCTAAAAGCGCTAGATGTACAAATTGTCCGCAAGGAGGATATGTAATATTTTTAAATTAAATAGGCTAATTATTTAAAGATTATATAACTAATAGTGTCTTGGAGGTAATTAAATTTTACTGCTTGAAGGCTATTGGTCTGATGCTACTATTAAGCAAGATGAAATAATATATTGTAGTAGAAATCCTTCAAACTGTGTAGGGTAAGTTAGTCAAGAGTTATTAAATAATAGAGAATTTAAACCTAAAAGAAATTTAAATCACGAAGACAAAAGCCAGTTCTTTCCATGCATAGAAGGACATGTTGGAGCTCTCTGTGAAGTGTGTGATTTGACTGTAAATATTTTTTGTTATAGATTTTGTTCTAACTTTTATAAAAAATAAACAAATTTATTATTTTTTATAGTAATTTTATTTAAATTTTTTTAAAAATGATACATATAATTTTAAGGGTTTGAAGAATGGATTAAGGTATTATCAAACATAAGGTTATCAGTGTGAAAAATGTTAAGAAATAGTAAATATTTATGTAAAATTAGGTTTTTACATTTTAATAAGCATATCAATCGCTCTAATAACTGTTTATACATTAGTTTCGGAAATTCAAAACAAGATTATAAAAAATGCATTAAAAATTATAGGTGTATTAATGGTGGGAATTAATTCTTAATATTATCAAATTGCATCTTCTTTATTTAAGATTATCATTAATTACGCACAGATCAACTTAATTATTTACACTCTAGATTTATAAATACCAAGTGAGCTTAATAATATCTTTTTATCAATAATTTCTCCATTTAAGTAAAATTTATTATATTGAGAAATAAATACATTTTTCAAACGTTTCTATTTATTTGATAGGTTTTTATAGACAGGCTTTGATTGTTTATTGAGCGATATGTTTTCTTTATAAGTTGTGTTCATAAAATCAATTGGATTATGCTTATTGCCAGTACTTTACTATGTCATATTACTTTTCATTCTTACTATCGTTGAGACATTAAAAAGGAAATTTATAAAATCGTATTATTTTTATACTGCTTGCTTTTTTATTACGCTTTTTAGTATTCCTAATGTTATTCAGTACTTAGCTTTGGTATTATCATGCAGAAGAGTAGGAAGCTAAAAATATATAGCAGCTGACGTGAGCTAAATATGCTACTCAAGTCAGCATATATAACATATAAAGAGTGTAATTGTCCCTGGTATTGTTGTTTATGGATTACTTATTCCTTTGCTATTTGTGTGCATTTTACATTTCAACAGAGATAAATTTGAATAAAATATGTTTGAAATGAAATATGGATTTCTTTATAGAGAATACAAGAGTAAAGTTTTTTACTGGGAAATAGTGCGTTTAGGATGTAAAGAAATTATATTTCTATCTGTTAGTATTTGGGACGAATAGTAAGAATTAAAAGCTATGATTGTTTGCCTTCTTCTGATATTTTACTATGGACTTTTATAGAGAGTACAGCCATTTAAAAATTAGCTCTTAAATCGATATGAGCAAATATCTACTACTTTGAATATTATTTCAATAATTATTGCTCTTGTTGTTAAGTAAATAAGCAATAGTACAACTAACATATTACTCTACATATTTATCATAGGTTAAAATATTCTATTCATTTCATTTATAGTCTACAGAATAATTTCTATTTACAGAACAAAATTAGTTAATTGCTTAAACCTTGTAAAAATAAAACTCTTAATTTGCCTAAAATTTGCAAACAAAGAATAGATTCAAAAAATGTAAGAAAAGCAAGCAAACGATAAAATAATGAAATCAAAAAAGATATCTAAGAATTGGCAAATATTAAGAATTTATATATTTGTTTTACAATTTTTCAAAAAATTGAATAAAAGCTTAGGAATGTATTCTCCATAAGTAACTTTTTCATTTATATAAGCAAAGTAAAATAATGAAATCTTAAATAATGAGATATCTTTGATTTAATAAAAAGTTAATTTGTAAAAGTTCCTTCTAACAACTGTTGATAAAATAAAAACAGATTAGTAAGAAAGCTTTATAGTAGAAGGAAAAGTAATCACTCCGCTTCTTCAAGCAAATTAAGATACTGATAGTAAGAATATTATCAAGCTATAACTAGATTTCTAGCAAAATATGATAAATTTTCATTAAGCCTACAAGAATACAAATTCTATCAAAGATGATTATTACAAAAATAATGAGATTTATGCTGATAATTTTAAGTTAAAAAATGAAAATAGCCCTACTTTTTTTTCCTAAAATTAAACTCATTACTTAAATTTAAGTGAAACTCCGTTTTAAAAAAAACAAAACCCTGAGATTGAAAATTTACAATCTTTCTAAATTTAAAGTAATGATCTTAACTTCGATTAGGGTAAAAAAAATTTAAAGTTTATTCAATAAGAAAATTAAATTGTTCATTAGCTTTTGCCAATTATCAGCAAAGAAAAAGAAATTGAATTGTAAAGTTTTAACGATGAGATTAACAATCAATTTAATGTTAGAAATACTTTTACCTAAAAAATGCATTTTAATAACAATTAAGATTCAATGTAATTTACATTGAAATAACAAGATTTTGATTAAAATGATGCTACTAGATTCATAGTTTAACATCAATAAAATGAAATTGATAATATTTCACCTGAAAATAAAAGTAAAATTAAAAACTTTGGTTCATAAATAGAACTAAAATAGAAAATTAGTAATCTCAATAATATATTCTAAAGGGATAATTAAATTTTTGAAAATTAAGATAAGCAAGAAATTCATTATAACGAAAATGAAAAGCTAAGCTAGTTTAAAGATTTAAATAATTTTAGTTTTGATAAAAAAAGAGAAATATAAGATCTATAAGAAATAAGTAAAAATTAAAATGAGTAGCAAAATAATCTAGTGGAATAGCCTTATAATGTGCAACAAAATTTAGATAATGATGAGCTAATTAAATTTGATTCTGATGATTCAGATTATGATTTCTCTAATGGAATATGCTCTCATAAATAAATTTCAGCTAGCAATTAGCTTGAAAATGCCGGAAAATAATAAAAATCAATGTATAATAGTAGAAACCAAGAAGAATGTAATATTTTTATTCTAAATTTATTATTTTTATTCTTAATTAATTATTTTTTTAAAAATTTAATATATTTTTATTTTTTAATAAAAAAAAATATTATTAAGAAGAAAAATTACAGAATTTAAATTAAGATGAAGGAAACAGTGGAGAGGCTTTTATAAGCTGAAAACAAATACTAAATTTTATATTAAAATAATTTATACAAATAGCATGTATTTTTAAATTGTAAGTATAATTTTTAATAATATGGTTTTTGTGTTTTTTATAATTAATTTTTCAGTGCTTAAATTTATTTAAATACATTTGTAAATTTCAATCAAATTAATAATTTCCACAATTTTACATTATTTGCGATATATGTTAAAAGTTTTGAAGGAAAAAAGAATTATTAGTGGCATATAACAAAAAAACTATATGATTTCTTAGTTAATATATCTGTTTCTTAATTAAATATTAATTTCAATTAAGTAAAATAAGCAGCAAGTAAAGCTAAAAAGAAGTAAAAAATAGAGTAACTTTAAATAAGTTTATAAAAACTTATGATAGGATATGCGATATTTAGATATTTTGCTGTAATCATATTTATTGCATTATAGAATTGCTCATCTTAACTGATAAGATAAGAAAATGAAATTATTTAAAATTGCTTAAACTTTAGCATTACTAAATAATAGTAAAATAACTAAAATTAGAGCTACTGTAACACCTGCTAATATGGCTACTTTTTATACTAAGGCAAGTGCTATTTAATTAAAAATTGTGAAGTATCTGCAATTATACAAGAGTATATATTTAAGTTTAAATCATTATTTGGAAAATAAAAATTTATTCATATTATTTTTTTTCATTTCTACTTTTTATAAATTAATAAAGTCAATACTTAGTATAATGTCTAGATGGATCATACCTAACTTTTTATAATAATTCGTTCCACGCTTGTCCAAATTATTGCAATTAATGTGGCTTTGACAACGGATAGCTTATATGCACTAGTTGTTAATAAGGCTATTAATTAATGTAATAAGTATCTCCAGAAGGAATTTTACATGGTACATATTGCTCCATTTATAATGATGTTAATTGCCTATTACAAGGTGAATGTTCTATTAACTAATGCTGTTTAAAATGCTAGAAAGGATATTTTTTAGATAAAAAAACATAATTATGTACTCCTTGTTCTAAATTAGTGAATAATTGTATTGATTGCATAGATGTCAGTGCAGTAACAGATTAAATATCCTAAATTAAGTGTACTACATGCTCTATGGGATTTTACTAGCAATTTTAATACGATTAATGTAATTAATGTTAAACTTACTGTCAAGTTTGTGCCTATAAATTTGTATATTATTTTAATCCAATCAAAATGTAGTTTGGAAGTGAAAAAAGATTGTAATGTTTACAATGCTAAGATGGGTACGGTTTTCATTAAGATGGTTAGAGATGCGTTAAATGTGAAGATAATTGTCCTCTCTGTTATAAATAGTTAAATAATTTATATCAGTATACAATAACAAACTAATTTAAAGCTCAGCTAATTGATGATATAACTATGAATTTTTCACTTAAATGCTTAAATTACGAGTTTTAGGATCAGTGCATTGATGTTTATGGAAGTAATTGATAACAAACATACTTAAAACAACAAATTTAAAAATCAGAATCAACAAACCGTTTTTTGAAATATTTTTATGAGAAAATACTGATATTATTAGTGTTGATTGATGATCATTTTAATTTTCTTGAATTTTTAATTTCCATTTTAATAAGAAAAATTATCAAAACAAATTAATATAATTCTACAATAATGAAATAATGCATATTTTTTAGATAACTCTAATGCATTTTAAAAATAAAATTAGGATTATCAAAAATTTAGAAGAAACCTGTGGACAATTGCCTATTAAATTACTGCGGTTAAGTTCTGGATACAAGAAATATTTAAATCTCTTACTTGAGTTGTTTGAAGTGCGCAAAAGGATGTAATTAATGATAAATAGTATTAGATTAATATATTGTTTATTTAATTATTTTATATTAGACTAGCCAATTTTGAAAAGCTATTAAACATATATTGCTTAAGAATGTATTGATGACTGTCCAAATTAATGCTTGACTTGCATAAAGGATCTTAGCACGAATTTAAATACATGTTTGAATTGCCTACAGAAGGGGAAGGCCACTGATTCTAATTATATATTTTTCTTAAATATTCTAAGCAAAATTCCAGATTATTAAAATATTTAATAACTAATATTCCCTTTATTTAAAGTTCAATATAATAATCAAAGCTAAAAGGTAAGATGCTTAAATTGTTTTGTGGGCTGTTTGATATGTTAAAGTATTGATAATGGCATTAATCAAATAGATCTTACTGTTTCTGAGAAGGATTTATTAATTAATAATTTTAGACCTTTTTTTAATGAGAAATCTTTTGCACTTCCCTAACTAGATACGGTAACTTACTTTTGTTTATTTAGCTTTGGTTTCTAATCAATTTTATTGTACTTAGATATTAACTTCAAGGCAGATATGCTTAAAATGTGATGAAGGATATTAAATGGTGTATCCTGAGTAGAAATGTGTAAAATGCCCTAAAGAAGGAAAATAGTGCAAGTACTAAATTAAGTTATAAGATGAAGTCATCTATTTCACTTAGTAACTAAGCATTTAACTTTAGCTAGATCAATTTATGCAAACCAGAATCAATGATGCATTTTCGTTTTATTTAGTCCACCAATTTAATATTCAATAAATTGGTTAGACCCTTCACATATAATAAGGATATTACTAACTTAAAAATTAGTCGTCAATTAATTATAATTTTCTTAGAAATGCATACTCAAAGCAGATTCAATAAGCAAATCTTACAATAATTGGAGAAGGCGATGGAACAACTCAATTTAATATTAGCAGCTATTTATCTATTCTTGATTTTGAGAACGTGAGATTTGAAAATATTACCATTAGCTTATCCAAATAAGGTTTTTTTAAAATAATTTAAATTTTAAAAATGAAGAAAAATGTTTTAATAAAATAGGTAGACTTATGATAGGAAATCTTAAAAATTTTAAAAGCCTGATCTTTAAAAATGTGCAGTTTTCTAATTTCTAGGGCTGCGAAAGTGGGTCAATTCTGATATTTTCTAATATTTAAAAATTAAAATTTATTAACTGCACATTTAATAACCTTATACTGAAGTAGGATGATTTTATATAATTTATACCATATAATTTGTATTCTAGTACAAAAGAGACTGTAAAAAATAAAATCTACATAGGTCATAGTACTTTTGTTGATAGTTACTTTGATAAATGCTTTCTAAATACTTAATTTCTAAATTAAAACAATCTTGAGCTATAAATAAATAATTCTATATTTGATTAAGTGACCACGAAATGTTTTATATCAATTAAAATAAATGAATCTAATTTAGGTAATTTATAATGCATTATCAAATTATTTAAAATTTATTTTACTTGAATTAATAGAAAATAGCATTGATTTTATGAGTAGAAATATTACTTTGTTAAATAACAAGTTTAACATTATGATTAGGAATGAAGGTTTCTTTTTCAAGGATGAAACATTAGATTATATAATTATGGTTGGAAATACTATACAATTTTAAGAATATGAAAGCAACTATACCTCATAATCAACAGGCTTTGTGTTTTAATAAGGATTAATTAAAAACACCCTTATTGATTCCTATAAAGTATAATCAGACAATCTGGTTCTTTTTGATCTAACAGGGTAATATAAATATAATTAAATGCAAGATTATTGCTTCGATAATATTATTAGGATAGCGAATTTTACATTTAAATCTGACTAAATTATCGAAATTACAGCCCCTGTCATGATAATAAGTAAATTATTTTTAGAAGAAAAAAAATTTATTTATTGATATTTTATTAATTTTAAAGAACCAAGCATGTTTAATCGTTTAAAATCAGTGTACTTAGAAAATATTTTTATTTATGATATTACTAGAATGAATAACTAACCATATTATATCTTTGATTTATAAGGATTGCTTATTATTTCTTTAAAAAATTTTATCTGCAAAGACGCTTATACAGATGGTTAATATTTTAAACTTGCTGCTAAAATTGTTTATATAAGTGAAATAAAAATTTCCTTAATTCACCAATTGCATTCGTTATTTACAATCTACAGCTAACAAGCTTTTATCAGTGATATTAAGATTTCTAATGATTTTGAACTTTAAATGAGCAATATAATTGATTTCTAACAAGCTAACTATTTAGACTTTGCGTATTCTTATCAAATAAAAGGATTTACGTATGAAGACTGTATGAATTATACATCTTGCTATACAAACAAGTAAAATGATTTGTGTTATTATGAATCTCATTCAATACAAACTAGCTCATAATATTTAGATTAGTTTAATTTATATTAGGAGATATTACAAGATAATGTAATATTTTACAAAGAGGTAGGAATTGCTCAAGTTATAATCTCAAATGTTTAAATTTTCTAAGCGATAATAAGTAGAAATATGATATCAATTGCTTGCTCTTATTAACCAGCATTCATTAGTATATCTAATATAACTTTTAAAGAGTCTGAGTTTGTCTTAGATAATACTCAAATTAATTTAGACTAATAACAATAATTTTTATTTTTTGTATATTCTGATTAGTCTCTTGTTTCTTTAGTTGATATATTCTATGAAAGGTTTAACTCAATAGTGAGTTAAGAATCAGATGATAATTAGGAGTGGGAAGGAAATAAATAACCTAATAGCTTTTAAAATAAAATATAAGCACTCATATTTCTTTATTCAGAAATAATATATATAAAGAATGTTATAGCTAATACTCCTTTGAAAACAAATCATTCAAGTAAATTACTTTAAAGTTAAAGTAGTAACATAAAAATATTTTATTATTTTAAATTACTAGTTTTGATGCCTCATCAATTTTTAGTGTAAGAAAGCAAATTTATTTAGTTTATAGCCAAAACCTTTATACTCAAAGATAGCATATTTAATGATTTTAGCTGCTCAAAAGGTGGGTTATTAATCTCGCCTATTCAACAAGACATTGATTTATACATGTAAAATGTAACTTTAAAAAAAGTAAATTCCGAGGGTGATGGCGGAGTATTATATTTCTACTTAATAGAGAGTTCACGTATTTCAATAAATTTGTAAAGTTGTGTTTTCGATAATATTTCAAAAGATTAAGGTGGGATAATAGCTATTGATAACAGTAATGATAGAATCTATATAATTATTTAAGACACTTTTATTAAAAATGTTTTTTCTAGTTATAATACTCTGATCTCTATCCCCTAACAGGGAATCTGTATAATATCGCTCAAAAATACAACAGTATTTATCTTTCAAAAACATTATTTTTTAATTGAAAAACATTATAAAAAAGATTGAAAATAAATAGTTTTTACAAAATTATTTTTAAAAATTAAGATTACAGAGGACAAAAATTAAATACACCCGGAATTAGTTAAGAAGAGTATGATACAAATAAAAGGTGGAATCATTCTTTTTCAAAATGTCATAATAGATTCTATTAGCAATTATGACTTAATATTTATTTTTGACAATTCTGAAATTTTTTTTCATAATGTAACACTCAATGCTGTGTCAACACACTCTGGAATAATAAGAGCGAAATTCCTTGTATTTGTTTAGTTTACAGATACAACTATTTAAAATGCAAAAAGATTAAGTACCTAGGTAACAATAGAAAACTTGAATTCAGATGAAATTACTAAATAAGTTTTTGGATATTGCAATCCTGATATGTATTTCTATATGGGAGAATTTATCCATTTTTAAAATGTAACTTTCTCTAATAACGAAGTGTTACCCTGTGCACAATCATTTATTAGTGTACAAAATTCTAACTTCTACTTTGATAATGTTACTGTCAAAAATAATTATTGTAATAGTGTAGATTATTTTTATTAAGAATTTTCATTTATTTAATTTGCTGGCGAGCATTACAAGAAAAAAGAATATGGTAATTTGATAATTAATTCTTAATTTTATCACAATCACTTGTATGGCAATTCTTTTGGGATTATTAATTTAAGTAATTTGAGAGTGTTCATTACAAAATCAACTTTCGAAAAAAATTATGCAGTAAGTTTTTCAATAAATAAATAAATAATAACAAAATAATTTATTAACTTTAATAATTTTTAAAAAAATAGAATTATGGTGGAGCAATTTATTTTTAGTAAATAGATGCTGCAACAATTAGTAATCAGAATGATAAAGGAAGAATACTTGAAATTAATAGTGAAATGGAAGATTCTCTTTAAAAATAATACGATTATATTATTGAATCTAATTATAAATTTATAATTAAATACAATTTTAAATATCAGCTCGTAATTGATCAGTGCAATTTTTTTTAAAATACAGCTATGGAAGGTGGTGCTTTGTATTTAGATAACCAAAGAGGAACTACAGTAAGCTTATAATTCGCCATTTTAAATTCTACATTTATAAACAATAATGCTAGTGAAAATTCTCCTGCTATTAGCTGCTTAAAGTATATTCCTTCTGTAATAAATGCGCTTTTTTAAAATAATACTTTGGGAAATAATACAGAAGTAAATCCCTTAAATATTGCTCCTTCCTAGATTTAAGTTTCTAATACAACTGAAGAAGACATAAACTTTTTTTCAAACTTTATATCTGGTGTAGAAATTTAATCAAATATAACTTTAAAATTTAAAGATTTGTCCAATTAAACTGTCTTTTTAAATACAAAAAATACTGACCTTATTCCTTAAGTTTTTCTTTCATATGATACCAATAAAATAGCCTTAGAGAATTATGAACCAAATACTGGCTAGCTATATTTAGGAAATATATCTTTTATATATTAACCAGGCTAAAATGCTACCTTCAGCTTGACATCAAGACATATAATAACTCCTATTTTAGATGAAAATTAAATTGTGACCTCATTCAGCAATAAAGAATATATTAAAAATATAATTGTAGAATTCAGAAATTGTACACCAGGAGAAATATATTTATCTCAAAAAAAAATATGTTAGCTGTGTCCATCGGGTTCATACAGCAGACAAAACAGTAAAAATAAAAATTCTGATGTATGCCTAACTTGTCCTGAGGGAGCTGATGTAATTATCATTTTCAATACAAATAAATTTATAAATCATTAGTTAAAATTATTTATCAGTGTCCAGGAGGGAATATCGTCAATACAATTGATGGGTATTGGCAAGATTCAAGTATTTAAGGAGAAGAAAAAGAGATATTCTATTGCTTGTATTCTTAAAGTAATTGCCTTTCTAACTCAAATTCTACATATTAAAACATAACAGATCCACTTCAAAAATTATACTTTCCATGTAAACTCGGTCATGTTGGGGCACTTTGTCAATCTTGTGATACACAAGTAATTTAATTGAATTTATATTTCAACTCAACTATTTTCATTTTAATTGATTAAGTCATTCATATTTTAAATAATATACCATGAATTCAATTATAAATAGGTCATCAACGAAATCAATTAATTATTAATTTAATCGAATTGTTAATTTTATCATTTTTAAAAATTTTAATTATATATTTTGTTAACACTATTTATAAATACTATTTAGCGATTAATGAGCAATGTTACTTTTTATGAGGATGGTTTATATTAATGCTCATTATGTTCAGATAAATTGGGTATATATTTAAAAGTAGGATTTGTTATTACTGGAGGACTAGTTTTGGCTCTCTTAACTGTCTATAGCATTATAAATGAAGCATAAAATAAAATTATAAAAAATGTATTAAAATTGTTTGGTATATTATCATTAGGAACTGCTTCACAATACTCTCCTGCATCATCTTCATTATTCAAAATACTGATTAATCACTCATAAATAAATTTAATTGCTTTCTCTCTAAGCTAGGATATACCCTAATAACTTACATAAATAATTAATATGATTGTTTCCCCTTTTAGGTATTTATTAATTAAATTATTATTACTTTTATCAAAAATAATAAATTATTGTTTATAAAAAAGACTTATTAAAACAGGTTTTGATTGCTTATTGAGTTAACTTTTTGTTGAAAAATTAGTATTTATAAAGACAATATTTTTTAGTCTGCAACCAATCATATTTTATGTTTTAATTATGTTATGCTTCACTATCATTGAAGTTATTAGAAAAAAGATGATAAAGTCATACTATTTCTATACATCATGTTTTTTTGTTGCACTTTACCTTGTCCCTTAAGTTATTTAGCAACTCATCTTAGCTATTTCTTGCTAAACTGTAGGTTAAAATAAGTATATGATTGCTGATATGACAATAATTTGCTTTTCTGACATTCATATATAATACATAAAATATATTATTATACCAGGTTTAATAGTTTACGGAGTATTGATTCCTATTTTAATGATAACCTTACTTTGTGTTAATAAAAAGCATTTTACTAGCAGTTACTTTGAAATCAAATATGGGTTCTTGTACAAAGAATTTAAGCCAAATTTATTTTACTGGGAAATATTAAGACTCTTATTCAAAGTGTTTATTTACTCTTTTATAGGGCTTTGGAAAAGTGAAATCTAAACAAAAGGATTGATTTCAATTCTTATCCTTATCCTTTATTTTGAATTATTTTAAAAGCTGAAACCTTTCAAAAATCTGGATGTCAACCTGTTAGAGCTTACATCTATTCAAATTAATATTATTTCACTAACATTAGTAGTATTTGCTTATCAAATAAGGAATATCGGCTTTTAATTCTTTGTGTATATGGTAATCATAGGGCTTAACTTCTATTTTTTTTACTAAGTAGCAAAATAGCTTTACAAAATTAATAGAAAATAAATTATCCATCTTAAAAATAAAATTATTGCCCTTTTGAAGAAAGTTAGTACTAAATGCTTTAAAAGATTTAGCTCTGTTAAAAGTTAAATAAATGATCAAAATAAAAGCTTTGTTTAAGATTTAAATCATAATACTATCAAAAAAAATAATTGGAAAAAATTGAGAGATTATTTTAAATTCTACAAAAAATTTAAATAAGAATAGAAAAACAGTACTCTTAGTTTATTTTCTTTAGAAATAATCAAATAATATCAAATCTCAAAGGCTCTTGAAAGTAATAAAGAAAAATTTAACGATCTTGAGGACATAGAAGGAAAATAAATAAAAACTTCTCTTAAAAAACAACAATCTGTCAAGTAAGATTCAGTTGGGAAAAAAAAATTATATTAAAGTGTATTTTCTTTTAGAAGCGCTGACTAGTTAATCCAAGATAGCAATATTGATATTATCGTTAACACATAATTTAAAAATAAATCTTGTTCAACAGAATTTTCAGAAAGAGTAATGGGCGATAGTGCTTTATCAAGATAATTGACAAGATTTAAAACCAAAACGAGTAGAAGATAATAAAAAAGCATTCATAATAAAAGCACTGTAAAATTTTTGGAAAAAAATTTTTATTTTGAATAAAGCAATAAAAATATTAATAAGACTTTAAATCTAAAACAAATAAATTAAAATAATAAAAACTCTGATTTTATAAAATTATCTAACATTTAAATTGAAGACAACATAAAAGATTAAATAATTTCTCAAGATCTAAAGGAATAAAAAGAAATTAACTCTAGTGAAATAATTAATAAATTGCAATAAAAAAAAAATAATTTTAATCAAATAAAAAATAAAGAAATGTATATATAAGATATAAATCATAGTTAACAAGAATGAAAATTTGAAACTATTCTATCCATCTTTAACTACCTAAAATTAATTAATATAAAGTTTCTTAGTTTTCAATTTATGAATTAATATATTTTAACAACTTTTATATCAATAAAATCTTATTTATTTATTTATTATTTAAGAAGAATTCATAATTTTGTATGTCATTTTGCTTCTACTCTTTTCTAATTAGTCCATATTAATTTTATTAAATTAATTATTCTTTCTTCAGTTGTTATTTTTGAAAATTTATAAAATGTATGTTGTGTTCAATTATTCATATATTTGCTTTTAATTAATAATTGTATTAAAGTTTTTTTTAATTTAATCTTAATGCAATACAATATGAATATTTATTAATTAAGACAAAATAAATACAAAAAATTTTTTCAAGAATTTTATAATATATAAGGTAAGTTTTTATAAAGTAAATTTTATCTTTATTAAAAATCTCTATTAATTTTTTTTAATGGTGAAAATATTTGGAGAAAAGTAGGGATGGGGATTAATTATCTTATTAATTAGAAATCATCTTATACAAAATTATGTGTAGTTTTTTTTAGAGGAAAATAGAGTCAATAAATCATTAATTGCTAAAAGATTAGAGCTTTTTGATAAAAGACCATGTTCTTATATGAGCTCTTTTTTTCGTTGATTTAAAATTCAATTTAAGATTTCTGTTTATAGAGTTAATTACATTTGTGTAATTTCCTAGTGGATAATATACTCTATATTTTTTCATTCTTTCAAATTCATTCTAAAAAATCATAATTTGTTATTAATTTTAATGTTATAATTCTATTATATTTTATTTAATTTAATCAAACAATAATAATTATTGCACTATTTGTTAATTTTATTATTGTTGATCAATTGACTTCACTGAAATTTATTACAAAGATTTTGTAATACCTTATGGAGTTAATGTGCTTAACTATTTTTCTAAAATAGAATTAATTTTTGAAAGCTGTTTAATTATTCCACCTTATTACATAATATTATTTGTATTTTCTATTTCGTTTTTAGAATTCTGTTTTTTGCTTTAACTTGTTTTTTATTCGTTCAAGCTCCTGGTATCATGTTTTGTAATACTCTTTGGTATTAATCCTTTCTTTTTTACATTTCTCCTTTTGAAAGAGCTTTTTTGCTACTCAAGAACACTTTAATCATCAAATTAAACTTTTGACTTTTTAGTAGCTTACGAATTAATAGTATTCGATTTAAATATATCATTATAAGATGCGAATTAGCTTCTTGAATTTTGAAATATAATTTTAGTTTAGCTTTAAGAAGTTAATGCAGTAGGATTTTGGTTTATTAAATGTGAAAATTATTAAGCAACTTAATTGATTTTTTAAACTTACTAAAATTTATTAATTGAAGGATTATTTAAATTAAGATATGAGCTATTTGTGTTTTGTAGATTTAAATTTTAATTATGTAAATGAGATCCAGATATTTAACTTAGACTATATTAATCTCCCGAACTTATTAGATCTAAAACAGTTAGACTTTTTTATACCTACTATTAAGGACTTTCTTCTTAAATCTCTTCAACTTCTTAAATGAAATTATTATCAATAAAATTTGAGTGAATTTTATATATTTTATTTTAATTGCTATTGGAATCAGATAATTTTTACATTTCTAATTCTAATTCTTCTTAAATTTATTATTCTGCTTGATTTAATGAGAGACTATCATCTAGCTCATCTAAGTTACTATCCCTATCAGAATGGAAGGAACTCTCTGATTCCCCGTTAGATTGATTAAGATTGTCTAACTCTAATAATTCAATTAAAGTGATGTAATCTGGATTTTAATTTAATCTATCGCATACATCTCTCATTTAATTTACAAAGTGAATGGCATTAGTTCTTAATCTAAGTTATCGTTGATAAGTAGCTCTTTCCTACTAAAAGTTTACTTATTATTTCTGAATTATTAGATAATTATTTGGAGAAAAATGAATTTTATCACAATCATTTTCCTAATGATAATTACTATTGCATATTCTACAACATACCTACAAAAAAGGAGAATTTTTTTGAATAAGTATGGAATCTCTAGTAACACAAAACTATTCAAAATCGTCATTTGAAGTTTAGATAACTTCTATAAATTACTTTCTGGGTATTTTGTATACTGTTGTGAAATCACCACTTCTAACTTGATAATTGAATTCTAATCCTGAAAAAAAGTTGGTTTCACCAAAAATACCATTTTTTTCTAACACACAAAATGTTACAATTTCACCATTCGCCTTAACTTTCTCTAATAAAACTTTATTGTATTAATAAAAATTGTTTTTATCAAAACTATGAGTAAATTTGATTATTTCTCTAATTAAATAATTTTAAATTACCTTTTCCTTTCTATACAAGATAGAGAGCCTAATTAGTGAAGCTACCTTGCTTAAAAATAATTTCATTTGGTAGAAAACACTCTTCTTCGATAATCTAGATAGTTTTTTTTTTTATTTTATCAGAAAACGTTTTGCAAATTGATTAAAATTGCTCTATAACATTTTGGTTGATATCTTATTAGATGTCTTCTCTTAAACTTACAGGAAGCCTCTTCAAAACGTTGAGAGCCTCTTTGTTATTTTTAATGTCTCCCTTTTCTTCATATAGATATTCTAAAAAGTTACAGACTTTTGACTGTAGCTCCTTTTTTAAATTTTTTTTTCTCATATATTAGTTAATTGTATCTAAGTCAGCTTTGAATTCTCTTGTTTTTTTATTTTCCTATTCTAAAATGTCACCTAAATAAATTAATTATATCATATTTAAAAACAATAGTTATATAAAATAAACATTACTTATACACTACATAATTAAAGCAAATGAGCCAATAGTAGAGTACATAGCTAAAATTACAAAAGCTGTTTCTAAGGTATTCAATTAATTTTATGGGTTAAGCATTATGATATTTAAGGAATAATACAAAGCATAGATATACTTATCATACCACAAAGCGTTATCTATTCCTATGCTATCAATCCAAGTATTCGTTACATTAAAATATGTCTACTCTACTATAGCTAACTAGTAAAGTAAAATTGAAATTATATGGCACAAAAGAATACACTTTAGCATGAGCTTAAAAAGTTCATAAAGATTTCCAGCCTTACCTACAATATGTATCAGGTGATCGATTTGTAAAAATGTTTAGTAACTTGATAAAATTCGGATGAAAAAAATAGATTTAAATATTGCAGAGTACTTATAGCTATCAAAAAGACTTAAAATGTTAATTAAAAGAATTAAAGCAGAAGAAAAATCAATAAAAAAATAGGATTTAACATAACTCTTAAAAATAAGACTCCGATCGATCACTATATCTCCCTTGCTGTATATTCCGACAAAAAATTTAGTTACAATATCACATACTATTATTATAAGACTAAATATTTCTACACACTTTGTAAAGAAATAATCACCACTAAAGAAAAAAATATAAAAGGAATAGATAAAGTAGAGAAGAAGTATGGAAGACATTTAAATCAAATTTAAGCTAATGTTAAAAGAATTAGTTGGTTGTATGATTGGAATTTTATGAATACATCTTTTAAAAATCTACTTTAACTAGAAAGTAGAACTAATTATTTTCCATTAGAGAAGAGAAAAACATTTAACTTTTTTATTTGTTTTTTCTTCCTTTTAGCTTAACACATAACTTTTGTCATTAATGAGCTAGATTTGATTTTAATTCAAGCTTTTAAACCTCCTATTTTCAGTCTTTTCTAGCAAATAGTTTAAGACTTTTACAATTTTTTATTTTACAGATTTTTTTATTAACATAAATATGTCTTCTGAGCTCTATTATTTATACAAGTCTATTTTTGAAATTACATATTTCTAGCTTACTTTGCTACTCTTTGCTTTACTAACTAAAAATTTAGAGCTTTGGATAGTAAATTTCTATTCCATTGGCAAAAGTCTTCTTGAATGAGATAAATTTCTCTTATTTATAAAAACCTTTTCTCCATTTTGAAATGAACTCTCTATCTCACTTTTGATTATGCTTATTTCAGAATATTTATCCTAGGTTATATTCTTGAATTAAGATTGCGTCTAAGCCACTGCTCTCATCTACTTTGATAATAATGAACTTGTATTCATAATTTAGTTTTAAGCTTATGTTTCTTTAGATTGATTATCTTTTTCTTCTTTAAGTTTATGATCAAGCATTATAATAGAATTATTGTTTTATGAATAATTATTTTGCTGTGAATCATCATCATCACCACCAGATGTACCTTTTGTATTTCTTCTATTTTATTTATGCATTTAACTACTATCTTAGGCTGTTATGTCAATGTCTGTTATAGATATTGGCTAAATATTTTCTTAACTCTCCCTTCTAGTAGAAATTTACTGCAAAAGTACATGATCCTATTTATCAAAAAGAGCTTGAGCTTATTATTTAATCATTGATTATTAAATCAGTTTACTAATTAAATAATTTACTTTATATAATATATTTAATTTTAAAGACTTTTGAACAAATTTTAGAAAAAACTAAATAGAGCAATTGATTGACTATGTAATATTTAAAAATTACAAAAAATTAAATTCCTCAATAATTTTTTAACCAATGCTTTATAAATAATGCATATATTTAATAAAATTTTAATTAATCGGGTATTAAAATAACTCAATATATTAATTGATAAATTTTATTTTGATTTATTGTTTCATTAACCATTAGCTACTTCTCCAACCAAAAGAAAGTTGGTGTATTCTTCTGATGAAAAATTAACCTTGTACAAATCCTCTGTATTCCAATATTAGTCTCTAGAATGAATAAATTTTTTAATTTACTCGATTGTTAATTTTTATAGCATCCATTAATTCCCAATTCTGAAAAATATAATTAAATAAATTAGCATTCTCTTCTTGTTAATATTCCCAATAATAAAAAAAAGTGTTGTCTTTTGATTATTTAAAAACATCATTAAATATTTAAATATTCTTTAGTTTAATATCTTGTTCAAATCCCAGTTAATAATTAAAATTGATGAAATCATAAAACAAATTTATCAAAAAAGCATTTTAATTTATCACATAAACTAATTATTTACCACTTTTAAATCTAATAATAATATTCTTTTCTTTTATTTATATTATTTCAAACATATAAAACGTATGTCCTTTTTTTATTAGCTTTTAACATTTATTATTATTGAAAATTGTTATTTATTTAATATTATAAAAATTTGATTCTAAAATAAATAATAAATTTAGGATAATCTGAAAAATTATAAATTTTAAATTTTAAGTGGGTAAAAATCAACTTGTTAATAATTAATTGGAAAATTTTTTATTAAAATAAATTTTATCAATATTTTATAATTATTTACTTTAAATTCTATTATATAACAAATTATATGATAACTTAGTATTTTTATTCATGATTTTATATAAATTTACAATATAAATTATTAAATGTGCTATTTTAACCAGAAATTATTTGCTTGTTTGTTTGTTTGTTTGTTTGTTTTATTGATGGGAATTTATTAATTTCTAAAATTTATGGAATTTAATTAATTTGGTTAATAAAATTCTTGAATTTCTAGAAATTTGTGAACAATCAAAAGATTTATTGATTTGGTTCAAATGAAGAATTATTCTGTAAATTTTATTAAAGTAGCTATAAATTTCTTAGATTAAAAGAGACTTTATTATGAAAGAATATATATTATTTACAAGACATTTTTTATTATTTTATTAATTATAATTTATTTTATGATTTTAATTTAATTTATCAAATATATTTTAGAAAATTTTTATCAATTATAAAAGAGGGGAATCTTTTTGTAAAGTAATTAACTATTGAATCTGGTTTAGCATTGACTTGTTTAAGTAAAGCATTTAATATTGTTTTTGAACTTTATTCTCCAAAATCACTTTAGTTTCTCACACACTCTTGGAAATAGCAGAACATTAATGCAAAGAAGAGATTGTTAACATAATTAATTACTGATTATCTTTAAAGTATTTAATTATCTATTCTGGAAGTTGATAGGAGATAAATAATATCGCTTGTGAAAATTTGAGCAATTTTTGTAATAGACACTTTCTTTTAGCCATTAATTTCTTATGCTTGATTTAAAACATCCAATAGATAATTGAAAATTTCAGAATGAAAATCAGAGAATGCAATTAAAAATAAATTGGATAAAACACTTAGATTATCAATTTCCTAATTAATCTTTAAGACAGCATTAACTCTTTAATTTACTTGAGTATAAAATCTATTTATTTTTTATATTAAGTTGCTATTATTTTCTTTTGAGAGCTTTTTTGTGTTATACATGTATAAAATCAAATTTTTTTCAACAAGTAAATATTTAGGAAGTTATCTCTTCTTGAAGCACTGAAGACAGCTGAATATATTAAATTGGTTATCATCTTCTTCGTTTTCATCATTATTTTAAGCTTTATTCAATTAAGCTCTTGATTAAAGTTCACATTAGCTTTATAGTGATTTCTCTTACATATATATTTGTTTAAAAATGCTCCATAAATCAATAAAAGATTAAGGATTTTCGTTACTGCTTGACTAATTTTACTCTTGGTCTCTCAAAACATATAGAGTCTATTAATATTCTAAATAAAATAAAAAATTATAAACTTTAGTTGATAAAAATATATTATTTACAAATTTTAGGAGTCTTCTTTTCATGTTAAGTCAAACCAACGTTTATTGAAGCTACAGTGCTAACAGAGGAGTAGTTAGACTCACTTTCGTCTAAAAAGCTACATTTTATTCCTTCCCTAAATGATTAATCGCCATCATATTCAAATTAGCTAGGTGTCTTTGAAGTAAAATTTATCTTTTATTTGATATATTCTAAAGATTAAATCATCTGACTATCATTATTCTTAGCAGACAATATTTTTTTAGTAAATTCTTAAAGCTATTAAACTTTGGATGCCTACTAGTTTTAATTCTTTACGGGCTCATCGTTTAAATTAATTTCTTGCAATTAAAGTTCTTACAATTATTACAATTATGATGCCATTTTACAAAATAGTTGTTAAACGAATAAATTGTTGTTACTTAAAGCTTAAAAAGTTTTTTTAATATTTTGATTGTTTTTTGTATTTTTTAATCTTAAGCTTTTTCAAAATGAGTTTGCGAAAGAGTGAGGTGGTCTTTTACTATTAATTTAATTATGATTATTTTTTATTTTAATTACAAATTTTTTGATGGAAAATGCCTAATTTTTATTAAAAGGATGGTTATCATTATTTTGAGTATAAATATTTCTTTGTAAGCTTATTTTAGTTATCTATTTTATTGAAATTATAAATTTTCTTTTATCAGTGCTTAACTATTATTTAAAAATAGAATCTATAAATTTTTACCTTTATTGAGAAATATTATTTATTTATTTTTTAATTTTAAACATTTTTTATTAATTAAAAATTTTTATCAAACAATTCTAATTCAATTAAATCACAAAAAATATTTTTTTTAAAAATTATATTAATTTTATAAAATTTATTTTGCATTTAATTAAAATTAATCTTTTTAAAGCTCTTTGACTAGATTTTATTTAATAAAATAAGAAATTATCTTTTTATAGCTAATTATTATTAATTTTTTGTAAAACTCGCATGCATGAATAAAGAAAATTGAAATACAAATTGAGTAAAAATATCGATATAAAGCAAAACAAAAGAGGAATGCATTTATAAATTTAAAATAAATAAATTGTATTACTTATTTAATTACTTTTTTTATCTTTCATTTGTTCTTTTTAGTTGGTTTTTTTGGTTCAATTAGCTTAAGAGGAGCTTTAAGCTCAATTTCAATTTAATGAGCGTTTTTAGATGAAGAATCTTTGTTTTCTTTGATTTTAACTGAGCAACCTGCTTCTTTAGCATATGTGAGGAACCTCTTTGGTTCAATTTTAAGTAAAGAAGCTAGAGGAGCAGCATCAAATTTGTAGTCAAATACCATCAAAGCTAGAACAATAATATATGAGATAAGTTTATCCTTTAATGCTTAACTGCGTTGATAAATTACACCACTACCACTCTAGAAGGCTTAGTAGAAATTTTTGAGTATATTTTTAAGAAGATTTGCTGGTATATTAGTTTCTTTACTAACTTCATCTAATGTTTTACCGCTTAACTTTACTTTGTTTGCAACACGTAATAGATAATCAAGATAAACTAATTGTTTAGCAATAAGAGAATGGTTGTTACGTCCACCAAAGTGAGTTTAGAAATCGAAAAGCAGATTGCGAACTAAATGGGTCATATTTTTACATTCGCTCTTTATTAAATCACGCTTTTTAATATACTCAGCAGCAAAAGAAAGAGTTGTCAAATCTTCTGGAGTTATTATACTATTTAAACTGAAAATTTCAGTTGGATTTTTTGTTTCCAAATCGAATTCTGGCAAAAATTCACGCTTGCTGTCGATTTCTTAGTCACGTTCACGGATTGTATGATTCATGGCATCTGCTTCAAGTTCTTCACCCTTATCTTAAATGGACACTTTTAAGTTTTAGGAAAGATTTTATTCATGAACTATGTTGTTTTGCATTTATTTAACTTTCTTTCTAGATTTTACAGTACCGAATTCTTAGACCAACATTTACTTTTATTCCATATGAGTAGTCTTAGTTTTAGCAATATTAGAATCTATATTTTAGGAGTTTTCTAACTCTTTCAAAGTATGTTGCTAAAGTTTAAATAATTGTTCTACTTAAAACAATTTAATTGTATTTGTTTTATCGTCTTTAATACCAATTAAGTAAGCAGAGGAACACTTATTTGCATTATTATTGCTTTCACTTGCTCCTTCGTTTTCATTGATGATAGTTTCATTAGAATTGCTATTGTATTAACCTGAGCAGTTTTATCCTTTACCAAAAATTTCTAAAATATCGTTTGACATTCTTAAAACAGTCTTCTTCTTATTTTTCTCTTGCACTCTAACCTTAATTGATTATTCGAAGTCCTCTTATGGAGGAATATTCTATTCGAAGTTGGCTAAGAATGGACCTCTTTAATCAGCCTTCTTCTTAATGACTTCTACTTTTAAGCTCATTCTACTAAAGTGTGTTATTAAATAATAAATGCTTATTTTTTATAATTAATTTTCGCCAAAATTAATTTTGCTCTAAGATTTATATTAATTTTTTATAAATAATTAATTGCTCGCTCTAATGTACTTTGCTTGGCTAGTTAGTTTTTTCACTTTAAGCTTTGCTTCATATTCTCCTTTTTAAAATCAATTTACTAATCTAATTATTTATGATAGGATTTATCTACCATTTTTTAACGAATATAGATTTTGAGATAAAATAAATATAAATAAATAAATAATTTATTTGAACATCATCTTTTATGAATATGTATGTATTCATTCCATTTTTGCTAAATATTTAATTATTTTTTAATTATATTTAGATCTTGGAAAGGATATATGATTTATTGATTGATTGATTGATCGACTGCTTATCTATATATTTCAATAAACATCTATATAAACAGAATTACAATAAAACTAATAAATCAATAACAAATCTTTATTAAGTTTAAGCCTTTTAGCTGCATATATTGAATTAGATTTTTAATAGATTTTATTAAAGTTAAAGTTTAAAATTTTAATAATGAGACCATTTAAGTTATCAAAAAATATTTTTAGCCACCTTAGACTCTCAAAAAATATATTGTTTTATAATTTTTCATCTGATTTCTTCAAAAATTTGCATCTTAATCCCTACTTGTTTGCAAATTTAAAAGAGAACAAAATTTCTGAGCCTACTTCAATCCAAGTTAAAGTCTGGTTGATTTTTTTAGCTGTTTTTTTTAATTAATATAAATGACCTTAATGATTTTCATACTGCATCTCTAAATATATTTAATTTATTTTTTTATTCAATAGAGTTTGGAACATGTGATAAATGGAGAAAATGCAGTTGTTACTGCAGAAACAGGAAGTGGCAAAACTCTCTGCTATCTACTTCCTGTTATGAACCATATTTTAAGTAAAAAATTGGATTTAGCTCCTGAAGTTTATAGATAAAATAGTCCTCGCGGCGCTATTATACTTGTTCCTACCAAAGAATTAGGTGCATAAGTTTATGCAATGATAAGAAGACTTGATAAAAAAAATAAGCTTGATGTCTCAAGAACAGGATCAATAGGATACATAGCCCCAATTGTGCATATTTTAGTATTTTTTAATTTAAAATCTTAAAGAATAAAACATGAATCCCGGAAAAATATTTTAATCACATTTGAGCTTAATACAGCTTATTCCTTATTTTTAGATATGTTAACACAAAAATATACTTCTAGATTTCTAGAAGTTTTTTTTGGAATTTTGTTTTATTTTAAAATATTATTTTAATTTTCAAATTAAATTAATTTCATAAAAATAATAAACAACAGAGTGATGATAAACAGCCAAAGGATGCAAGAACATCATTGAGATTAAATGATCTTGCCTTTGAAAGTGTAGTTAGAGGCATAGATTGGGATTAATTAGATATTTTAGTTTCTACTCCTAGTTAATTGGATTAAATGCTAAAGCTAAAAGACCAAACAAATCCATATTAAGTAGATCCAAAGTAATAAATTTCAAAACTTTACCTTATTCTTATATTTAATTTTTTTTATCAGATTTATAGTTATTGATGAATTTGACTTGCTTCTAGGTGATACAAATATTGCTAGGAGTACCATATCTATTCTCAATAGATTTTGTAATGTACATAATAATCCTCAAAATATAAACAGATAGTTTATTTTGACAGGAGCAAGTTTTCCTTTAAGGATTAATAATGAGAAAGGTACCTAATTTATTGACAAAGTTTTTAAAAGACCTATTTGTATAGAGAGTGAGAATTTCTACAAAATTAGTGAAAAAATGAAACATGTTGTTATCAGAGTAAATGATTACTTGAATGCAAACCCTAATTTTTCTATTTAAGACATTCTAGTAGATTAAATCAAGAAGTCTACTTCTTAAAGAATTATTGTTTTTGTATAATCACAAGCCTCTTCCGAATCTATAGCTAAGCACTTGCAGGATCATGATATAAAGGCTCTCTCTTTTCATGCTAGTAATTAATTATAAAAATAATAGAAAAAATATTAAAAATAATTAAATAAATTAGATTTGAATACTGAGTAAAGAATAGATACTTTAGCTAATTTTGATGAAGGAAAAGTCAGAGTTTTAGTTTCAACTGATTTAGCAAGTAGAGGTTTAGACTTTTAAAATGTAGATCATGTCATTTAATTTGATTTTGCTTTAGATGCAGTAAGCTTTTTGCATAGAGTTGGTAGAACTTGTAGAATGGGCAGAAATGGAGTAGTTACATCTTTTGTTAGAGAAAACGATGAATTTTTATATGAAAAAGTTTAAAAATTAATATGTAATCATTAAAGAATAGATCCAATAATCAGTAGAAAAAGGTCATTAAGTAAAAACTATAAAAGAAGTAAAGGATCAGATGATGAAATGTCAAGTGATGATGATAATTGAGATATTAATAACTCATACATTGATAAAAATTAATATAATACAATTATATTTAAAAATTATTAAAAATTTTGTTGATAAAAATAATCTACTCTGTAAGAATACTATGATTAATTTATAATTAAATAAGTGTAGTTTAAGCTTTAATGTATGTCCATTATATTATGAACAATTTAATTTACATTTAAATACTTTAATCTTTGAAAAAAAGCTAAGAAATAATTATAGGAAAACAATTAATTAATATAACTAATTTATTTTTAAATCATTTAATTTTTATTATAAAACTATTTTTTTATTTAACTATTTACAATTTTATTTATAAATTTAGAAAATTTTTTTTGTGCTTTTGTTTTCTCATTCATTCCAAAGTCTATTTTATTTATTTACAACTCCCATCATTTATTTTTCTATCTCGATTTTATGCTTGAGCTAGTTTATGATTCTATCGTTTATTCTATAATCTCATAGTTACTTAAACCTAAATTTATATTTAAATTTTGCTAATATTATTGTTTAGCCAATTAATTTTTGTTTGTGCTTGCTCCTGAAGCTTTAGACATTTAGCCATCATACAAGCTAGTTGGTGTTCTATTTTAACAATCTTCGTTAGAAAGAAGAGATAGTTACTTCTTTCTATTGTTATTATTGTTATTGCTACTGTTGCAACTTAAATTTAATTAGTCATTAATCTACTATTAAATAACTTATTACTACTTCTTTTGATTGTATTATGCTTGCTCAGATCTACTTCTTAAATGAGCACTGTTCAGATTAGCAAGATTTTATTAGTTTTATAGCTAAGCTGATTATCTAAGTATGTTTCCTCCTGGTATAAAATTATTATTATTGTTATTCATTTGGCGACTTTGACTAAAGCTGTTTGTAGTGTTAGTTGAATTTTTAGCACTGCAAATACCTGCTAAGGAATTTTCATCTATTACACTCTATTATAAGCCATGATTTTCAAGATAATTAGTAACATCAACATAATTCATAGTTTTATTCATGATATTTTATTTTGATCCATCATAAAATTATATCGATGGAGAATTTGTGCTTTTTATTCTCTTTTATAATGGTGATCTATTATTTTGAGCTCTTTGATTCTAATATATTTAATTTACCATTTTTTGATCAAGATTTTTTGAATTGTTTTTATTTGAAATCATTTACTGCTACTAATCTTTTGCATCAATAGAGTTGAAATAGTTTTATTGATATTGGAGCTGATTTTATAGAAATATTGCTTAATATTGCATATTATTGCTAGAATTTGTATGGGCTGTAGAACAAGCGTTGCTACTCTGACTGGAAGGAGTAATAGTTTAGAATTTTGGCTTGTTATTTACTAGTGTATCAGTATAATTGTAGTCATCAGCATTTAAACTTTAGTATTTTTATATTTTATTTTTTAATGAACCCTTTTTAGATTTTGTACTATTGCTATTAGTATTTGCATTATTGGGAGTTTAGCTGTTACTACTTAGATAATTACTATTTAAAGTTAAATTTAGCTTTTAATTCTTATTCAAAGAAGATTATCTCTTTTATGAATTGCTTTAAGTATGAGAGCTTTGAGGCGATCTACTTGGAGCTTATAAAGTACTGTTTAAGGGGCTTTTTTGTTATAAATAGTTACTTTATTAGCTTACCACATTCTTGCGTGAAGCAGATAGACTATGCTACATTTCATTATCAATTGATCTAAAATCACTCTTTTTCTAAGAAAGTGGAGAGGGAGAATCATTCTTAATTCTATACCCTTTTCCTTTATTTTACTGTTAACTTAGGCTGCTACTATTTTATTAATCTTTTTTTTAGATATTTTTATGATGTAAATTATCATTTTTAGAAACAGCTATATTACTAATATTATTAGGAAATGCTGGTGGCTAACACTAGAGGGCAGATGATTGGTATAAAATATTCTAGTTTATATCTTCTTACCTTGATTTGCTTCGAGAAGGTGGCTTATTATTAAGTTAATTTTTAAAGTTATTTGTAGGATTTATCTAATAAGAGTTGATGGGAAGATTAATTGCTTAGTTTAGTTAGTTGGAATATGAATTGTTATTATTATTATTATTAGCTTAGGGCACATAGTTATTAGAATTTACTTATAAGATTTAGCCATTAGGCTAGATAAAAGAATTATTCTAATTTGTTTGATTTGCAAACGAATTATCTAAAGTTTATGATGCTTAATTTTAGTTATTTAGAGTTAAACGTAAGTCAACAGTGATGTTACTTCCTCCTCTTTTTGAACTTTTGTTGGTCATTTTACCAGATATTGGAGATATTATACTGTCATTATTACTGTGATTATGGATAGTTTAAATAGTATTAACGGGAGAGATAATATTTCTCTATTCACTTCTACATCTAACTTAATCTATAGTCTAGTTTAATCTTGGATTATAAATCAATTTCTAATTTAAAAGAGACTATTCTTATTAAAATTATTATTGTTTTTACATTTATGGTATTTGATCAGATTATTGATTGATTAGCATCACAGCTATTTATTTACTGTTTCTGCTGTTTTTTCTAAATTTACTAATATTCAAGCATCCTGAGTTATTTTAATTTGTCAATTATTGCAGTAACTTATTATTTGAATTATTTTAAAAATTATCAGTTTCCTCCTACCTTAAGGATGTATTATGGTAATTTTTTGAAACACTATTTGTAATTTAGCTTATTGATTTTATTGTAGACGATGGATTAAATTTACTTTTTTAGTCTCCTACGATTTCATCATCTAGATCTAAATCATTTTTAGTTTAATTAAATTCAGAAAAGTTATTATTACTTAATATTTCAAACTTCATTGTATCTCCCCAGGGACTTCTACACCTGCTAGATTACTATGATCTGCTTCTTTCTTTTTTAATTTTTAAATCATCCTCCTCTAAAGGTTTATTATGAACTAATTTATAATTTTACTGTAAAGCTTACATCTCTTCTTCTTGTTTAGATTGTTAAGATTACAGTTGTTATTGTTGCATAATTTATTATTGTATATTAACTTAATTCTATAAAAACTATTGATTAACTTATATTTATTGTTAGAAAGCTAATTATTAATCTTCTAATTTCGAGTTATTTTAACTACTCTTATTACTTTATCCCATAGATAATATATTCTTATCATAGGTCTAAACCATTTATTAGGGTAATTAAACGTTTGTTTATCTTTTATTTGGTAAAATTGAAGAATAAATAGAAGATGCACTTTTCCCTTAACTATGGTTAAAATCTTGTTTTTCAAAAGATGGGTAATTCATAGAGCTTTATTAAGATAACTTGTGAATATTGTTGTTTTTTTATACTTCATCGTTATTTATATCCACTTATTTTTCTATTAAATCTTCTAAATTTTTAACTTTTTCTAATAATTGCTAATTCTGTTCTTACTATTAGCTCATTTTCTTTTACACATTTGATAATTATCTCTTAGTTTCTTCAACCTAATTTTCTAAAGACAACTAATAAATAAGCTAAGGTTTATATAAAATAAAAATACCTTTATCAAGTAGCTATTGATTAAGATCATCAATTAAATTTTAATAGTCTGAAATTCTATTTTCATAATTTTCTTTCATTTTTTCAAACTATTTTGATAATAGAAATAAGTTAAAAATAGATTTTTATTTTGTTATATAAAAGAAATAAGTACTTGTTCCTGCAGTTAGGTATTTTTTATTTGGAGCCTTTGTATTTCTTAATCCTTTTCAGCTAATTTCTTGTCTTCATTTTCTTTAGTTATTTTATCTAAATTCTTTTTGAGCTCATTGTTTTCCTTCTTAACTTCTTCACACTTTTAATCCATATTTTTCATTTAATTTTCCTGTTATAATTTTAAAAATAATTCAAATTATAAAAAAATTAACCCTTAATATAAAATAAATACCTGCTAATTGACTTTATTCTGCAAAATCCTAAGCTGTTACATAAATATCTTAGCATTATCTTCATCAGATCCAGATACTTCACTTTTTTTCGAAGATATTAATGATACCTTCGATCCACCATTATTGCTATTATTAGCGCAGCTGTTATTCCTATATTTAGGTGTACCCAAAATGAATTGATATGTTTGATGAAAGCTTGATTGTTATCCTTCTCTTTTTCCACTAGGCATGGCATCACCAACGGACATCTCTTCAAAATCCATAAATCTATCTCTAGTTACAGCTTTTATTTTGAAAAAAATTATTCAATTTTAGCACACTAAAAGCTCATAAAATTTGTATTTGTCAATAAAATAATACACGATACAGAAGAAGGTCCTTTAATTTTGGTATCAAAAGAGGAAGAGTAATTATTTATCTTATAAAAGTTATCTAAGCATTTAATTTTGAAAAAAAAGATAGAATCATTGTTTCTACAAATACTATAACTTACGACTTGAATTATCTTCTCCATCTGTAACTGATTCATTTGTCAAATTAGCGTAGCTTTATCGCTATGAATCTAATATTAGTTAAAAATATGATTAGCATAACCAATTTTATAAAAAGTTAAGTTAGCTGTATCCATAAAATGCTTTAAAAAAATTTGCAGTAAAATATTTAAATAATAGCTTGCCTATTTTATTTTTTACAAGAGCATTATTAGCAATTAATATCTTATTTATATTTTCTATTTCCTTTGTACTTTACATAGTCCCTAACTCTCTATATTTTGAATCTTCTTACTATTATAATTAAATAGATATTATTTGACAAAAAATATAAATTAATAAAGAAATTATTGGATTATCAATCAGCTTAGTTGGATTTTGTGAAAATGTAAATTAATTTATAAAAAGAAAAAAAATTTGAACTTTTTAAATGATATTTACTTTACAACCAACAGAATAATATTCTGTTTCGTAATAATCTTTACCATTTATTTAACTATTTATATATTTTTTAAGTATTCCAAAAAAATAAAAATAGTCATTTTACAAACTTTTTTTTTGTTGAGATATTGAGTATTTTTTCAACATATTCAATAAGAAATTTAAATTAACTAAAAAATACTTTTTGCTGATTATTATAAAAGTTGATTTCAATCAGTTTTAAAAAACCTTAAAAAAAATACAAATTAAATTATTTTAATGAAAATTATATTCTACAATTTAGTAAAATGAACTAATTAATTGTGAATAAAACTTAAGATGTTTTAAATACTATTTATTTTTAAGAATAAGTTAAGAAATAAAATATTAGCATAGCATTAAATAATCTAATTTACTTCATAAAAAATTAACAAACACATAAATTATAAAATATTTGCTAAAATTTTGGTTGCTATATTTTGTCTGATGTAAAATATTAACAAATCAATTGATAAACTGAGTATTTTTAATGATAAAGCATTAAAGTTATTTTATTATTCATATTGTCAAGATAACAAAAGCTACTGAAAATTCATTCTCATGAGATATAGATACATGAATATCTTTGATTTATAATTGCTCTTCTAAAATTTGTTTACTAGTTTCTTCTATCTTTAGTTTTGGCTTTGGACAGTCAACTGATTTAGTTAGATACATTTAAGGGAATATAAGCTCTCTTCTACCAGAGGCTTTTACAATAGCTTCTTTAAATGCCCACCTAATAAATCAGATAAATTTCAATTTTTCTTCAGATAATTAAACAAAGTACCTAGAAGCCAAATACTAAGACTATTACTCTTCTGTAGATTTTTAGTTAAACTCCTCGATCTCAATTTTATTTAGGACTTTATTTAAAAATCTATCTCTCGTTGTACCTTAAAGTATTTTCATCATTCTTTAATTGCTTACTATATCAGTTCCTATGCCGAAGATTCTATTCATACTACAAATAACAAAAGTTAAAAGCAAATAATGTCATTTAGTAATTTTTTTTACTATTATAGATCTTTTAATGATTTAAGTTGATTCTATTTATTTATTTTGTAAATTATAAAAAGTAGGAATATTCCAAAATACGATAAAAATTATTAATTAATATTTGATGTTGAAATTTTAACAAGTTAACGTTATAATTTAGCAAAACACTTACTACAAGCAGTAAAGATCTTTTTTATAAAATATAAGACTCACATAGTATTTTTATAATAAACCCTTTAAACTATATTAACAAAACTCGAATAATGTATTTAAAACTTTGTTTAGATTATGCAAATGAAAGATATTCATTTTAATAAAATATCATTTAATTTTACTTATAAAATATTACATGAATACAATTAAAAAATAAATATATATAATTTGGAAGAAAGAATCTTCTTGAAAAAAATTGCTAGAAGTTTTTGTTTTAACTAACTTTGCATTCTTTAAATTTAATCTTTAGATTATTTTTCTTTTTAGAAATATAAATAAGTAGCAGCTTGCAGCAAGCAAGCAGCGAATTTACCATTTTAAATTATCTTGCCATCATCAATTTTTATTTAAACCGAGTTCCTATCTAGTTTATATAGCCTAATCTAATTAATCTTACATTTTATTTCTCATATTTTTAATCTTAGTATTTAATAGCCTATTGTTGCCTCCCTATTATCCATTTGCATTTGGCTTTATCTCAAATGGTTAGTTGAGTTTTTCCTATTTTCTATCAAAGTTCTCTAAATCCTTAATAGTCCAATCTTTATAACCTTATAAGTCTTATTTAGCTTCAGCGAATTCATCATAATCTTCATCTTCTTCATCTTCAATCCATCCTTCAAGCCACCCTTTAGCTTCAAGAGTTGGGAAATCATATCCTTTCTTCCTAAGCCTCATCATTTTCTTAGGAGTTGCAATATATCTTATGTAGAACATTAAAAATGCTACGCAAAGAGCTGGATATAAGAAATAGTTTTTGAAATGCCAAGGAGTATATTTTGGACTCCATAAAATACTATTTTTGTAATATTCGTGCAACTCTCTTCTTTCAGCTAAAATGACATCATAAGTGTGCTTATAAGGGTTATTTTTAGAAGTACCTCCTTTTACGCAAAATTTTGGCTACAAATATAATGTATTCTATAATATTTCTTTTCTTCTCTCTGGATTTGTAAAACCAGGAATGTCATACTTAGAGGGCTACTTTAAAATAATTTGCTTTGGATTAATTTTGAACATTTTAATTACTTTTTGATTTATATATGTAATTTTTTATTAAATATTTTTTATAAGCTACAAATCAATTAAAATAAATCAACTTAAAAATTAATGTATGTCAATATTTTATTGAATAAAAACATTACATAAATTTATAATTTTTAAATGAAATTATTATTTTTGTGAAAGATTTTTTTTCAAAAAAGCAAAAATATTTCAATTAATTAAAAATTAAGATTTATCAATCAGATTTAAAAGATATAATTCAGCAATATGTATTTTTGTAAGTGTATGTATATAAAAATGGGTTATTTTTTGCTATATTTACAGTTATTTTTAATTAATGCGTAGATAGTTTGAAATGCATGTTTGTTAATATTTACTTAAAGGCTAAGCATTTTTATATTATTAATTCAAAGGTCAGTTGCTTATATAATATTTTTTTATCGGTTTTTTATAAATATAATTACTATTTCCTTTACTCAAAGGTAAAGAGAGGTTAAATTATGAGTTAGATAATTTAATCTCATTAATTATTTAAATATTTTTCAGTTGAATTAAGTTAATTCTTTTGATTTTAATTATTATGTGAGCTTTTAGAATCTATTTCTAATGCTGTGGAGTAATCAGCTATTGCAAGGTCTAACTCACCAATTCTAAATAAAATATATTAAATTTATTATTTTTTAGATAAAAAAATAAGAATTTACGAATCATAACAGCAGCCTCTATTGAAATAAGCATTGGCATTGTCTTTATTATGAGAAATAACAGAAGTAAAATCTTCAATGGCCTTTCGTATAAAAATGAAATAATTTTAAAATATTTTTATTATTAAATTGTTAAATGAATTACATTTCTGTAAAGCCCCATTCTTTCATAACATATACCTCTATTATGAAGAGCGTGAATGTTTTTAGGTTCAAGTGCTAATGCCCTTGTATAATCACCAACTGCTTCTTTATAAATTTTAAGTTTAGCAAAGCAATATGCCCTATTGTTAATAGTCCTAGCATTTTCAGTACTGTATTCCATTTCTTTTGTGTAGCACTCTATTGCGTGTTCAAAATTTTCAAGCTTTCTGTGTACCAAGCTGGAGTAAAAAAATAAAATTATAAGAATATTTGAAATAGAAAAACGTTTTTTACCCAATGTTTGAATAGATGATAGGATTAGTTGAATCTAATTATAGTGCAGCATTAAAGTCTTCAATTGCTTCATTAAGTCTAAAATGATTAAAAATTTTGATTTACTTTTTTAATTGAAATAAAATTTTATTTTATTTTACTTTCCCATATTTCTAAGACAACAAGCTCTATTATGAATAAATACAGGATTGTTTTGGTGTAGACTAATAGCATTCGAGAAATCTTGATATGCTTAGTCATAATTTTTTAGTTTATCATAAACTAATCCTCTAGCGTTATAAGCTGGAGCATAACTTGAGTCTAGTGAAAGAGCTTCATTAAAGCAAATTAAGGCATCTTCTAATGATTGTGGAGTGTTAATCTTCTCTAAGAGACATCCGTAATGATAAAGTACATTAATATTCTTAGGCTAAAGCATCAAAGCTTATTTATAATCACTTTCAGCACTTTCAAAATTATTAATCTTATCAAAGCAGAATGCTCTGTTATAATAAGCTTTGAAGTGCTTACTATCTATTTCAATAGCCTTTGTATAGTCACTAATTGCCATTTCATAGTTTTTCTTTTTTCTATATGCAAATGCTCTATTGTGATAGAAATCGGCCTTTTTATCATCAAGAGAAATGGCCATAGTAAAATTGCTTATTGCATCATCGAAAAGATTTTTACGATCTAAGCTTATTCCTCTATTATAATAAGCATAAGCATTATTAGGGTCTATTTCTAAAGCTTAAGAGTAATCAGCTATTGCTAAGTCATACATTTCTAACTTATCATAAGCGAAACCTCTGTTATATAATTATGATTTTAGTTAAATTAAATTTAGATTTTTTAATTAGATGAAAACTTAATTTATAAAAAAAATTTTTAAAAACGTATAATTACCTGTTGAAAAAAGCCTTAAAGTGGCGTGGATTTAGCTCTATAGCTTAGGTATATAGTTAAATAGCTTTTTGGAAATCTCCTTTTTTGCGCATTTCAAATCCTTGTGAATGAAGATTCTCTGCTTACTTTTTTGTATCGCCCTTATATTTTTGTTGCTATTGTTCTTAATTTGAATTAGCAATAAAAGACATGTCTGATTAGAAAGATGGTTGCTCTTCTAATCTTGTAGATGATCTAACTGTAGAATGAAGAGAGTTTGAAGAGTTTTATCTTCTCATTGGAGTTATTTAATTCTCAAGAGAAATTTACATATTTTAAATATTATGTGGTGTTATTAATTACTATGGTTAGCTTACAACGGCATTTAGTTTAGAGTTAGAGAATCTTCCTTGTGAGCTCAATGTTCTAGAATGGGAAGAAGGGAGTTAAGGAGAGTCTTTCAAATATGCTTACTATTAAGAAGATTTTTAAACAGAAAACTAGTGTTATTTTTGCTTTTACCCACTTAAACCATTTGAAATAATTTGAGAAGAGTCCATATGAATAAAATTTATGTTTGACTCATTAGGATTAATGAAATCCTCTTCATTTGAATTAATATTTTATTAACTTTGACTCTAAGCAAAATGGTATCCATATTACTACTTACCAATTTATTTTTTACCAGAAACTTAACAACTACTATTCTCATTGAAATTTTATCCATAATTTAATTAAACGCATTAAATACCACTATCATTTTAAGCATTATTTATATTGATAGGGTTCTGTTTAAAACTAGAACCTTGATTAGAAAAATTCTAGCTTTAAGAGAGTTTCTAGCTTAGCAATCTACGGTTTCTCTTCATTCCAGAACTCATCATTTATTATTTTTCTTAATCTAATTCTAAAGCTTTATTATAATCTTCTATAGCTTTATTAAAATCACCCAATTTATTATAGCAAGCAGCTCTAGCAAAAACAGCATTTACATGTGAAGCATCTAATTCTAAAACGAAGCTAAAATCTTAAATACCCTTTTCTATGTCTCCTTGCTTTTCATAGGCGCAGCCTTTTCATTAGAAAAATATTTAAATAAAGGTGAAAAAAAGATTTAGAAATGAAAATAAATTTATGTTTTATTTAAAATAAAATATTTTGGACGGACTGACAAATAAGCAAACTGAACTGACGATTGAATTAAATATTGAATTAAAATCAAATAAAAACTTACCTCTTATATAATATGCTCCTACGTTATATTCATCAATAGATATAAGCGTGTTTGTATCATTAATTGCTTACTCAAATAAACCTTTTTTCATGTAAGAGGATGCTCTAATATACAGAGCTTTTTTATGCTTAGGATCAATAGTTAATTTTTTCGAGCATATACTTATTAAATTATCAACATTTATTGTTTATCTGAATGATTTTGATAAACGAGAACAAGAAAGATTTTGTGAAGATCTTAAAGATCCACTACTGTTTAGCTACTGTGCTTAATTATTTTATTATTGAGCGCTTTAAAATATTTATTGGCCTTTGGTTTTTAAATCTTAAACTGGGCTTTGCATTGAAACACTTTATTTTGATGTACTAGATTACTATGAGTTTACCTTCTAAAGAAAAGGAATTTGTTTATTATCTAGAGTGGAATTGTTCAAAGCTGAACTGTTATTTTACTACTCTTAAATCTTGAAATTATGCTTCATTAAAAGCTAATTAATAGCATCTATTATTTTATAAAAAGAAAATTAAATTAAAGGCTTTGGCTTAATCATATATATAATCGGAACGTTTCGTAAAATCTGAATTGAATTTAATATAAGACAATGGCTAATCAACTACATTTAAAGCTTTTACCTTATTTTTAAGATTAAGTGCTACTGATATTTTCCTTATTTCCACAATTCATAATGCAAATTTTATCTTCAAAAATGAATGGGTGAATAAGAGAGTTTAATGTCTTACTAGTTATAAAGTTATGGACTTAAGATGAAAGTCAAAATATTGATTGAAAATGATTAGATATAATCTCTTTTCTTTTCTTTTATTTATTATTTAATTTATTTCTTCTAATTAGCAAAGCAAGCCAAATACGATGGGTGAGCAAATTAACTTTCTAAAGGGATAATTCTTTTAATCAAATTTCAAAAAGAAAAAATAGTTAGAAAAGATAAGTAAAAATTTTCAAACGGTCACATTGAAATGCTTTCTTTCACAAAAAAAAAACATTTATTAAATCTTAATCATGATTATTATCTTTCAAATACCATACATACTTTAACAGAAAGGGCTTTTAAATTATTTCAAAGCTGAATAACAAAAAAGGAGTGTTTATTAGTACATATTCCATGCATTTTATTGTAAAATTTTAATATTAAAAAAATATATTAATTATTTAAATTAACTATTCATTTTTATAATCTATTTTATTTTTCTTTTCTTAAAAAGAAAATTAAACATTAATTATTTTTATTTTCCTTTTGATTTTTTATTTGATATTAAAATACTGCTTTAAAGATTATAAAGAATCAGCCGCCCAATTATTTTTATTATTTTTATAATTTGCTAATAACTATAATATTTTTGTGATTTACTTTAAAGATTTTATTAAATTTTATTTGCTCATCTAAATTTTTAAAAACCATATTATTTTTTATTGCTTAATTTTAATTAGTTTTTTGTAAATTAATTACTTATTAATAAATTATTTATTAAATATTTACATGATTAAAGCAGCTAGAAATTAAATCTCTGAATTTTTGATTAATAATATCAAACCTTCATTTAATTAGAAAACCCTAAAAGTAAAATTCTGTAAAAACCATTCAATTCAACATTTTCTTAACAAAAAAATAAATAAAATCTAATTTAAAGAATATGTATTTTTATTTTTTTGAGGTTAAAGTTTTAAAAAATAAAATATTTTTAAGTTTTTCATTCTTTTAAAATTGAAAAATGTATTTAAAAATTCTGTAAACAGTTAGTTCAAAAAATTTGATTTAAAATTTTACTTTTTTGATAAAAATAAAATTCTAGTAGATTAATTTTCCTATTTATAAATTTTTATACAATCTATCAATTGATTTATTTCCATAGAGTATGATAAATAAAATAATCAATAAAGTTGCTTTCTGACATATTATTTCATTATTAATATTTATTTAAATATATAAATAAAAATATTTAAATATTTTACTGAAAAGGTTTTAATGCTGACTCCATTTATTTTTGTATTGAATATTGTTACTATTTATTAATATTTAAAAATAGACCATTTATTGTTGATGTTTTTAAATTTAATAACATGAAGAATAATATCGTAATAGATTATCACAAATGAAAAGTAGTTTACATCAACTTTGTATTTTTTATTTATTTTAAAAAAGAATTCTGTGATTTACAGTTGGTTGTACACTAAACATAACAATTACTAATTGAATTATAAAATAAGTGGATTTAATTTGATTTTGATAGTTCATCAGTGAAAGGAGCTAATTAAATTAAAATGAGTAAGGTGTATCTTTAAATAAAAATAATAAGCATAGTAATATAATCAAATTACATGAAATAAAGGTATTTCTAAAAGCGAAATAAGCTATTTTTAGTAAAGGAATAATTTTTAAGCGTTTTCTTTTGTTTGCTAAAGGTAAAAAGAAATAGAGATTTCATATTCACTTATTATAACTATTTAAATTTCAAAAATCAAATAAATTCCTAAGATGATTGATATAGATTATTATGATATTTGTTCTCACAAATATTGTAATTACAAAAGAGGATTTTTAAGAATGATATTTTATTACTTGGTAAAACAATTTATTTCAACATTGATAATAATTTCATAGTTTTCATGCAATAAAATAGGTTGATTTTTTTATGAATTTTTGCTTACAGTTTATTCTTAGAATTAATACTTTAAATGATAGTGTAATCATAACATCTTTCATGGTATAAAAATTCTGATTAAGTATTTGAATATATTTTGTAATTATTTGTTCTAAATAAAAAAATCAACACTCTTTTTGTTTTTATATATTTTATACTCTTTTTTGTTTATACATATTTTATAAGTTTAGCACACTTAAAATTGGCTATATTAATAGCAAACTAGTACTAAAAACAAATACTATTTGTAGATTTTGTAATTTTGTTGATATATCTTTATACTAAATGTGTGGATTTAGTCTAAAAGTTAATTGAATATGAAATTTAAAAATGCTTGCTATTTAATTAAATTTAATGGTATTATTGGTAATAGTATTTTATACAAGAAACTTTAGTAAAGAAAAAAAGCAAAACAAAAAAAGTAATAATCAAATCAGAATTTGTTTGTGAAACAAATAAGTGATAGTAAGTAAGTAAATAAATAAACAGACAGATATTAATATTATATACTTAATAATTAAATAAAAAAAATATTTTTAGCAAATACCAACCTACATATAATCTTTATTATCATCTGAGCTATTTGAAATGAAGATGAATGATGGTAGCCCTTTGAAAGTGACTAGATTAAAAAGAAGCTCTGCTAATAACTTCAATCAAGAAAACCAATAGATTTCTGTGTGTTAAAACATAAATTAAAAGCATTAAATGATGGCTTAGACTATAATAGAAAAGATAAGATGTAACTCAGAAAACCTTCAGTAAAAACAAAAGAGATAAACAAGCTCTTATGCAGAGCAATTGGCTTAGTATTCTCTAAAGAATATTATATAATAACAAATTAATTTTTAAAAAAATTCCTAAAATGGCTATGCAGATCTATCTCCTACTAAATAATAAAATACTTCAAATTGTCTTAATGATAGCATAATAAAGAAGAATAATAAAAGAGTAATAATTAGTGCTTTGAAGCTTTCAATTGAGCTGAGTAAAAGTAATGAAGAAGATATAGAGCACGTTGAATGCGAAACTATTGTTAATGAAGAGTTTAAAAAGTATAAAGACATGAGAACAGATTCATTTTCTTATAATGATCATCTAGTTAAAGAAGAAATAATAAAACAGCTATAGGCAACATGTGCAAAAAAATCAGGATCATAGAGTCCTCTTCGTCGTTAAAGCAATACCCTGAATACTGTAATTGGTTAACGTGAAATAAGGTCTCTTCAAGCTTCGAGATAATTAAAGGAGTACTTAATAAAATAATAATTAACATAAAGTGAAATCTAGGAGGATGATTTATTAGATATTTAAAAAATTGATAATTTATATGACAAGTAAAGTCCTTAATTTTTATAAAGGAGTTCTTTTTAAAAGGCTTTAAATGACTTAGAAGAAGAGATAGGTTAACTCAACAAGAACTGCAGAAAAAGATATGAAAGAAGTAGAATATAAGATAATTCAAAAATGAATTAAGAAACCGCTAATTAGAATACTTAGTACCTAAGCTCAGAAGAAGGATTGGATAACTAAGAAATAAAAATTAAGGCTGAGTAAGTAAAAAGTAATAACTAATAACAAAAAATATCTGAAAAAGATGATATTTGCTATTAAAACTAGAACTAAGAGAATCAAATTGATAATTTTGACTTAAAAAGTGAAAGCAAAGAAAAATGTTCTCCTTTATGGAGAAGTAAGATTTGCTACTCATAAAAAAGTTAAATTAATAGCACTAGACTGAATACAGACTCATAGTAATACAAAATTTAAAAATAAAATGAATGCTCAGGGAATTTCGCGATTTTTAAAAATTAGTATATTAAACAAATGCAATCTAATATATCTGAAAAAAAAAACTTTACAACAAGCGATTCTTCATATTACATGGCTGATGCTGATACAGATTCTTCTAAATAGAGCAGTGCGCTATCAACTAAAAAGAATAGTTGTGAATCCGAAGAGATCATTTCTGCTAGTAAAGACAAACAATTTCCTTTAAATAACAACTCTCTGATATTTTCTTAAAGCTAAGAAATAGTGGATCAGTAAATAATTACACCCAAAAAATAATATTGTGTTTAAAAACTTTAAGATTAGTTAGATATCAGTAACTAAAACTAAATAAACCAATTAAATAATAAAAATAGCTCTAATACTCCTTTTTCCTTTGGCTTTAATGGATTTTTAAGCTAGTAAATTTATGAAGGAAAAAAAGAAAATACACAAGAAGAAAATAAAAATTAATTACGTGGTCGCAGTCTGACTCCATTTCAAAGTTCAAAAATATATCAATAGGATTAAAGTAGCAGAGTTATTAAATCAAATGAAATAAATTTGGCCGACTAGTCTACTATTGAGCTAAATCAAACTTCAAACTAACTTAATAATTAAGATAAAAATAACAAAAGTTACCTAAATCAAAAAAGTACTTAGTAATAGTTGCTAGTTAATAAAAGTTCGTTTTAATAAGTGAAGCCAAAATAAGCAACTTTAGAATAAATAATTATGAATGAACCAAGAATCAAAACTGAGTCAAATATCCAAAGATAAAGGAAAAGAAATTTTAGTGCTAAAGAATAAAGTAATAGCTTTACTTAAAGAAACGAAGGGGCAAACGATTTAAATGAATTCAGAAAAAAACTGCTGCATAAAGTGATGAAAAACAATATTGAAAATAGACTATCAAATTAGTAACAAATAGGAGACAATAATAATAATATTTTCTAAATTAGAAGAATTGCAAATTAGAAATAAAAAAGTGAATATGAAAATTAATCCTCCAGCATAAATAATAGTTTCTTAACCAATAATTATTTATAATAAACTAGTTAAAACATGAAATTAAATGTTTTAAATTTTGAAAATAAAGATTTGAAACAAAAAAGCGATAATAAAAATATATCAGCTAATATTTAAGCTAACTAAGAAAAATTAAACAATATCTTGAAGAAAAAATATAAACATGTCAATAATAATAAAAGCAACAAAAACAATGTCAGCTTATAAAATTAAATTTTGTAAGATTGTCACAGTAAAATATTTTCTGCTGAAGATGATATATCATTTTTCCTAAAAAAATTAGGAACCTCACCTGCAGCTAGCAAAATTAATGAAACTAATTAAATAGAATTAAACAAAAGTTCATTAATTTGAAAGCTAAATTTTTAATTAAACACAAAAAAAAAAACAAACATAAGCACACATAGGTCTTTTTAAAACTATTTATAGAATATATAAAAAAATATTAATTTATTAAAACTTACTTTGAGTTAATTATATAAACTTACTTCTATAACTAATTTAATTTATTATGAGATTTACTTATAATAATTTACTTATAATTAATTAAATTAACTTAACATATTTATTTATAAGTGTAATTTTTATAATATTATTGTTTTATTTTGCAATAAATACAAATCATAGAATTGAAATAAAAAAATCCTTAAATTTATTTGAAAAATTTTATCTTTTTAATTTACAAAAATAGGAGATGAAAAAAAAAAAATTGGATTATGATTTTTTAGCATATTAAGTGTATAAAAAAACTTAGATATTTTGATTTTTCAAATTTTAAATATTAACTAATTTGTTAATTTATTTAATAATAAAGAAATAAACCTTTTATAAAATAGTTATATCTAATTAAATTTAACTCAAAAACTAGCTCTTTTTATTAATTAAATACATATAGGATAGAAATTAATATTAAACCATTTTAATTGGATTAATAGTTTAGATATCTTTTTGAATTTTATAAAAATGAAACTTGCTCAATTAAATAGTGATTTCAAAAATAAATTTTAGTAAAAATAATTAGATTTCAATTTTAAAAAGAAACAAGATATTAATTATTTAATGTAATTTAGAAAAGTATTTTTGTTAATATTGGATTTATAAATTAATTGTATAATATGTTTATTACAAAATATTTATTATGTTAATATCAAATTTAAACTAAAACAGAGAGGATTAGATTAATTTATTGATTGATTAATTAATTAATTAATTACTTGATTGTTTGCTTATTTATTTACTAAGCTTAACTTCTCAAAGCTAACTATTTAGATTTATTTGCTTATTTTTGAAAATATAAGTAGGTATATGTTTTTGTATTTGTTTATTTATTTATTACCATTTTCTTTTTCGAGCAAGATTTAATATATTTACTATAAATAAAATTTCTGTTTGTTCTTTTATTATTATTATTGTTTTTAGAGAATTTTGTTATTTTATAATAATCAATAAATTTTGGTGAAAGTGAGGAAAACTTAAAGCCATATAAAGTAGTGGATGGATTGGTAATTGGAATAAGAGTAGGTGTTGTTTTTATTTTACTATGTTTAATAAATAATTAATTTTAGTGGTTTTTTTTTATTGAGTCTTTTTTCTCAGAAAACACGACGTGAAAATTCAGTTAAATTCTAATAAAATGTAGCGTATTTACTAGAAGGAATTTTTTCAAATTTATCTTTGTCTTTAGGAGGTATTGTAGGTACCATTTATTAATTTTATAGAGTAAATTAATTAGAAGCTAAAGCACATTTAAGAATATCATAAGCATGTTCTAATATTTTAACTGGATTGCTAGAATTGGTTGTATTTTCATTTACGAATTTAGCCTATGTTAAAAGGCAAAAAAAGTATTTACGAAGACACTTTAGGTACTTAGTTCGATCAAATGAATCTATTTCTTAGAGTTTTCTTGGCTCTGATAAGTATTGTACGATATTTAATCTGGCTTCTTTATAGAGGTCTTAATGTAAATTTACTAATTCTTCCTCTACCATTAAATTTTCATCAATATACTTCAAAAATAAGCTTAGTTCAAATTAAGTTCCTGAACAAAATTTTAAAAGTTCTTAATTTTCATAAATAGACTTATCAACATTAACTAATAAAAAGCAGTTTATAAGAGTTTCTTAGACGATGCTTAATGTAATTCTTTACTTCTAAAATCTTTGGTCCACAGAAGATATAGTTGATTATTGATCTATGTTAGATTTTGAACTACATAGATTGCTACTGTTATTATTTACATTAAATTTTAAAAACACCTTTTCATCTTCTACTCTGCTACCAATGCTTAAGAGTTATTACTAATTGAATGACTAGCCTATACTATAGTTACCGTTTGAACCATTAGACATTTATTTATAAAACTTTTATGTTGATTATCTGAGATTATCTTAATTTTCTTCTTCTCTTAAATTTACTGGAACAACATCAAGGTTTTAATTTGATTTAAATCCTGCAATACCTAATTAATTGCATTCTGATTATGGGGAGGAAAAGGCTTAGGTGTTATCAAAGCAATTGAGTGATGCATTTCTCTTTCTACCTCCATCTGGAATATTCATCATAAATCCTAATCTTTCTTGTTGCTAAAAAACTGGATGGTTAAAAAGCTCTTCCCAGCTTATACGATAATCAGGATTTCTATATTAATAAAATTTAAATTTAAAAACTTTTAAATGTCATTGTTTTTTTCTTGATAAGTAGAGAATGAATAACAAAAAAATAACTTAAAATTTATTTTTTAAGATATTTATTTAAAAGGAATGTTATCATAAAAATTCTCAGAATATTTTAATCAAAGAATTTAAATTATAAAGAAAGCGATTTAATTAATTAAATTATAAAAGAAATTTATTTAAATTTTATAAACTGTAAAGTAATATCTAATTCATGATTATGGATTTATTTATTTATTTATTTATCTAAGTATCTCAATAAGTTAAAATAAATTTTCCATTTACTTTTTAAATATCTTTTTTATTAATTATTTTCACTTCAAAATATTTATGTTTTGATAAATAAATATGTATTGATTATAAGTTTAATTAAGCTCATTCTAACTATTTCAAATTTAGATTTATCTTATTTATTCTTTATATCTGTTTTGTTTTATTGATGGTAAAATTGTTTTTTTCAAAGAAATTAATAAATAAATCTATTTAAATATAAAATTTGTTGTGTGCTAAATATCTTTGTAAAAAAATAAGTAAATTAATTAGAGGCTTTTTTTCTTTAAATATCTTTTATGATTTTATTAATTATTAAACAATCAAATAATTTCTTACACTTAAAGCATGTGATTCAGTAAGGCTTGAGTTTATTAGCTTATTCTTATATTTTAAATGTTGTAGCTTATATTTCCTTGCTTTATTTTATTCTGCAGCTCTCTTTCGTCTTTTGCTGGGAAAGGATAGTTTAGATCAAAAAGCATTTAATAAAAAATAATTCCTAAAGACCAAATATCAGCCTTATCAGAATACCGAGAAACCCCATCATATACTTCAGGAGCTTTGGTGTAGGGAGTACCAACTTAACTTGAGGCATACTCTTTGTTTATGGCCAAACCAAAATCTGCAATTTTCAGCACATTATTTTTAACTAAAATATTTTTTAACTTAATATCACGATGTATAATGTTTTATTTTCTAAGAGATCTAAAGCCGTTGAGAATCTATTTCATGTAGCCTTTATATATATATAAAATAAATTTAGATTTTAATGCATTAGACCATTTGAAAAAAGAAAAAAAATATATTGATTATTTTGTCCATTTTTTTTTTGTTTTTCTTTAGGAGTAATAGAAGAATAGCAGACAGTAATTGAGATAATATAAATAAAATAGATATTTCTTATTTCTATTTAATTCCTTTACTAGTTTTTTCTTATTTGTATGCATTTCTTATAATATATATTTGACTCTATTAATTTTTATAAACTTTATAAGAATGCTATTACTTATGAGAAAAACGACTATAATATATAAATAATGTATGTGTTAGTTTAAACTATTTTTTTAAATCTTTGATTCATTGCAAAAAACAACATATTTTTAGAGGTATTAAAATATTATAATTTAATCCATTTACCTACTGCTTCGGATTCTGTAAGAGCAACGGAAGTACCCTTCTTCTTTCTTATGTTAGAAATTTTTTAATGCAAATTCTATTAACAGAGCTCCATGATAATATATAAGTTATCATCTTAGCGCACTTAATCAATAAACCTAATTACATTTTCATTTGGCTCTAATTGCTTCATAATATTTAACTCTCTTCTAATTAATTGTAAGCTATATTAGCTCCTTTTTTTTAAGCTCATCTGTTTTATCGCTACAAGCTCATTATTTTTGATGTCTCTGCCTATCCATATTTGTCCGAACTCTCCTTTATCTAATGGTCTCACAAAAACAAAATTCTATCCAATAAACTATAACCCAAGGATGGCTTCGCAAAAACTATTCTACTCATTCATCTTCATTAAAAGCAATGTTGCAATACTAATGAGTAATGATACTTCAAACTGAAAAAGTCAGTATAATTGACTGATTGATTGGTTGATTAATCGATAAATAGATCGATCGATATATGTATGTATGTATTAATTATAAAGATTTTAATAATTAAATCAATATAGTTGAATTTGATTAATTTATATCTTTAACTAATTATTATGAGTTTTATATATCAAAAAATTATAAAAATATTAAGAAACCTTATGATATCAATAATGTAGAATATATATACATTGAAATCGCTTTTTTTCTTTATTTTTTTACTTATTTTTTCTTTGCCTACTTTCAATCAAGCAAGCTTACCTTATTACATTCTTTATAACCAATTTTGGTAAGCATTTTCAAATTCTTTTTAAAATTAACATGAAATTTCACTCTTTTTGTTATTCATTTATTGCTCATAGCTTTTCTTATTTTATTATTATTATTTTTTTTTTTGCAGCTTCTTATTAACATATGCAACTTTAAGGTGGGCATTTAATTGCTTATTTATATTTTGCAATTTTTATTACTTTCTTTCATCAATAATAGCTAAGTAATATGCATCATTTATTTATTTCTTTTCTTTTTTCTTTTTTTAATTTATTCATTCTTAGCAGGTAAAGAAGTATAAACCATCATACAAATTTCTTTTATTATATATATTATTTAACTTTATATACTGACAGGTATTTTTTTTTTCCTTCATAAAACAGGAGAATTTCATTTAATTTATTAACTTTGAAATACATATTCTTATTAAATAAGCATCAAAAAGCTTATAATCTGAGCCTAATCTGCTATCATTTTTATCTTTTAAAATCAAAATTATCTTATCAATAGTTAAATATAAAAATATATCTAAATTAATTAATTAGATAATATAAATTTGCTTTCTCATTACAAAGATTATTAAAAGATATACATTAGAATTAATTAAAACATACATGTTATACTAAAAATATTCTATTGAAATAATAATTTATATTTGGAGATCAAGTTAATTGAAGTTTAGTATTAAATCATTTTATATTTTTGAAAAATAAATTTTATTAAGTCTAGATGTTTAATTTAACTAAATAAATTTGGATATAGTATAGAATAAAAAACATAAATAGAAAAATAAAAAATTTGAATAAATATGCTTTAAGCTGCTATATTTGTGTCTAAAAACTGAGTATAGAGAGACCCACTATTATTTTATTTATTATCTACTTATGAATTAATCTACATTATGAATAAGCATGCAAACCTAAATATAATTTTGAGATATTTACAATAAATATCTTTAATTATTGATATGTTTATCTTGAAATTTAATAATTTTGTAATCATAAAAAATGTAATTTATTTACAGACTAGAACTAATTAATATTTCTAAAGTATTTAGAGCTAATATTAATTAAAAATAATTTTTCTTTTCAAAAAGCAATGTGCATAAGCATATTATGTAAAATTAAATAAGCAAAAAAAATATTGCTAGTGCATCGTCGATTTAAATAATTGATTAGTTTTATTGGAGATACCACATGAAAAATCAGAATATATTTTTCTCTTTATTAAATTATTATTCAGATTATCAAGAAATAAAGCAAATTACATACTAAAACTAAATTCTTTTATTAGCTTTTGAATTTCTTACACACTATTAAAATATTGAATAGCTGATGTATTCTTTTTTCGTAAATTTGAGGTTATCAAAAAAGCTCTAGTCGTTTTATAATTCAAATAGCAATTTATGAAATCAAATGAATATTTTCGGCTTAACTTAAAAATAATTGTCATCTTATAAATTCTATTTAATTCATAAGTAAACAATATTGAATATAATCATAAAGAATTTATAAAATATGTTTTTAATTTTTAAATTATTCTTAAAATTAGTTAAAATAATTATTCTAATATTCAAAATATTATTATATTTTATAATCACTTTTAACTAAATAATTTTATTTTTAGATGAAGTAAATAAGTAAGTGTATTAATTTAATTTTTAAATTTGCTTAACTTGTCTTAAAAGAGCAAAATGAAATTTATAATTTTAAACTCATATTTAAATTTATCTTAGCTGTATTAAAGATTTAGATAAAGTAATCATCTGTTAATTATTGGCATAGAAATCATTTGATTATTAATATTTAAATTTAGTCTTTTTTGTTTATAAATTTGTTTAATTTTACATCTAAAATTTTTCTCAAGAAGTTAAAAATAGTTTTTTTTTTTGAAAGAAACAATTTGCTTGCTAAATTTTTTAATAAAAATAACAATATTAACGAAAATTGAAATATTATGTAATTTTATTATTACATTTTTTATATTTAAAATATTGAGCATAAAATTAATTAATTCAAATTTTATAATTTTATTTAACTGAAAATCTGATTCAAACAAAATTTAAAAAATTAATTTTTTTAATTAAAAAAAATTAAAATGTCTCTAAATTGAATTGAATTTATTAAGTCTAGTTTTAGAAATATTTTTTTATTAAAAAAATTTAAATAATATATTTATAATTCAAATTTTTGTAAGTATATAGAGTAAATATTTATTAAATTAAATAAAAAATTCTACTTAAAATAAAATATCCATAATAATGAATTTATGATAAAATAAAAATACTATGTTGCTCAATTATTTTATTTGTTCATTTTAGTAATTTAAAAATTTTTTAATTTATGGTAAACTCTGTAATATATTTCTTATAAGATTTTTTATTTCCTTCAGTTTTTAGATCGTTTAAAGTCTTTTGAAATATTTTAGCCAAGATTTAATAAACAATCAAATTTATTTAAAATTTTAAAGTTAGAAAATTAACAAAAGATTTTATCTCAAACAAATTTATTACATAATTTAAATAAGAAAGTAAAGGTATATTGAAAATTTATTTATTAGTTTTTTAAATAAAGCCTTGAATTTAAATCACTTAATAGGATTAATGTAACTAAAAGGCATAATGAAAGTTCATTCCGTTATTTTTTGATTTAGATATTAAAATTCAAAAAGTATTTTAAATTTAGTATTATTGATTTTACTAAAGAAATAATGCTAAATTTTTTACTTTTTTTCTATCCAACTAAAAGAAAGTAGAATAATTCATAATTATATAAACAAACTTAATTTTTTATATAAAAATTTAATTAAAAATTGCATTCATTCAATTAGAACAATTTTTTAACAATTAGATTTAATTTCTTAATTTGCTTTTTTTTTTTTGAAAAATTAGATAGAAGTTTGAAAGGTTTCATAAATAATTGTACAGTTTGGAATCAATTATACATTCTAAAAGTTTTTAAATTTATTAAAGAATAAATAAATGGATTATCCATTGTTGGAGGCATTTGAAGAAGCGGTAATACTTTTGAAATCATTAATCTTTTTTTTGAATGAAAGATTATTTAAATTTAATTGTTTTTTTATAAATTTTGATTTCTACATAATATTCTCAAATTTATTGTTAGATTTTGCAAGAAGATGAGGCTAAGCGAATGCAGCTTGTCTCAAAAGGATTAAAAAAAATAACAGATATTCTTCCTTTCCCTAAATAAAACCATCTTCTCCTTTTGCAAAGAGACATTTTAAAATACTTGTTTTTAAACATTCCGCTATTTGAGCCAGTAGTAATAGATTTAAATATATTTTTAATTATAATGGAGCATAATAGAAAATTTATTAAAGATAAAACTAATCATAGACACTTTCATTGAAAAGTTTGGAAACCAACCTAAATTTATTGATCAATTGTTTGCATCTACGCGTTACATAAGTGAAATAAGAGAAGCAATAAATTAAAATAATGATAAAACAGCTATAACTTCTTATCATAACTATTAAAATCAAGAGTAAAATTTGATTAACCTCGACTTACACTAAAAAATTATTAACATTTGGTTTTTTTAAGATCATAATAAAATATAGAAAGTGGAATAATACAAGATGATTTTTTATCTTCTTAAGATGCACAAAAGAAAAGACAAAGATTAAATATGTTCTCTAAGTTTAATTTACCTAAATATATACAAAATCACATTAAAATCATAAAAAAATATGTTTTAATTTATGTGAAAAAAATAATTTAAGTTATTATGGTAAATTAGTATTTTATTACTCATCTTTCTCTGATTGATTTTAACTTTTCTTTTATAATAAATAACTAACTAATTAACCAGTAAAGAAACGATGATTAAGAAAAATATGCAAACTTAGTTTGTGAGTTTTATAAATAATTTTTGGACAATACTGATTATGATGACTTGATATCAGAAGCTTGCAAAGATTTGTATTATTTTAAAAATTAATGGATTTGCTTAAAAAAGAATCATACAATCATGCAAGAAGTAGAAGAGAGTGATTTGTTTATTTATTTTTAATTATTACTTAGGCTAATCTAGTTTTTTATTGATTGTAAATAATAGTTTTATTATTGAAGAGCAAGAAATTTAAAGTTCTTTAACAAAATGATGATTATTTTAATGATGACCTAGAAAAAGAGGTAAAAGTATTCTGATTAATTCCAAAGTTTAAAGTTAAATCGTTAAATAGGATGAGTAAGAAGGGCATGAGAACGACAAAAATTTATCATTAAATTCTTAAACAGGAGAATCAGACAAAAAATAAGATGAAAAAGATGCAGTAGATCTATTGGAAGATTGGTTGTCTAGTGATGATGTAGCTTAGTTATCAAAAATTAAAAGAGAAACTGAATCAAGATTAAGCATCGATTTTTTTAAGATAGATTCTAACTTAGAAATTTTACTTTCTTTTATCATCAACCCTACTTTGTACACTTGCTCTAGGATAGTAAATAATTTATTTTTTATTAAACTAGATAAGAAGTTGTTGTTAAATAAATGATAAAAAATAAATAGTGGACTTAGAGATATTAGAATATCATTTAAAAAAACCATTTTTATCCCAAGCCAACAACTTTTAGGGCTGACTTTTACAGAAAAGCTTCACAAAACGATTTAAATGAGCTTCAAAAAAAGAAGAGAACAAAAGAAGGGACCAAGGTTACAGAAGAAATGCAATCTGAAGGTAATAATGATGAATATAGCTAACCTTCTTTGAAAAGAATATAAGATGTGTTTTCTAATAATTATTCAAATGATGATTTAAATCATGAAGAATTGAATAATCCTTAATTAAGAAAATAAGCAATTTATTATTTGCGTTCATATAGGACAGCTATTATGCTTACTGATCCAAAAAACTACAGACCCTTAATTAGGATCAATAACTTATACATTGACATTTTTTGTAATTTTTGATTTATTATTAATGTTATATTTATTAATATTTCTTCTAAGTCAACAATTTATATGAATGTTTTAAACGCGACACTCCATGCATGAATATGAACCATATTGCAATAAATATAGAATACTTAATTGGAAAAGAGCCAGAACTTGTATTTTACTATTTGATAGAATATAATATTTTATTTAAAGTACTATAAATGATGGAGCAAAGCCATGTTGTTAACTTCTTACTCAATCTTATACTCTAATAAGGATAATATCCTTTCATCTCCAAAGAAATGAACGAAAAAGTTATTTTTATTCATTTTTTTATTAAACTGATTTTAAAAATTAAATAAATAAATAGCTTTGGTTTTACTTAACAGAGACATAATTCTACTTTGAACTGTGCTAAATCATGCTTTTTAATAAGATGGGAGAATATTTTTAATAAAAGGTAAAATTTATTTACTAAATTCATTTATGTATAAATTAATATATGGTGATAAAAATTAATTTTTTAGGCCTTTTAATCATATAAATTACCTGGTTTAAGAAAGTTGGCATAAAAAGCACCTATTAAGAAATAATTTCAATCAAATGATATGCTTTCTAGAGACTACATGTTTACGAATTATACGAATTTATAAGAGCACACGTTTGAACTATAAGTAATTAATTAACTTCTATAATTCAAAATTGAAATTTATGCAAAAATATTAAGTGCGACATAGATGGATTGAAAGATTTTTTAGTTGTAAGAAAGTCTCTTACAAATTTTAAGAGTAAATAAACAGTTATTACTAAAATAAAAATGCTTTAAAACTTGGGAGCTATTAATAGTTTAACTTCAGATCTCCCTAGTGATTAGCATAAGCCTACATCAAAAGTGTCTATGACATAAATAAACTAGCATTCATCTATGTCATTGGAAAGTAACACACTTATAGAAATGATCAAAGAAGATGAGTCTAAAATAGAGGATGATACATTCCATGAGTAAACTCCGTTAAACAAAATTGTTTTATAGCAAATGAAAAATTAAGTAAGCAAGCATAATTTGATAGGTTAAATAAAATAATTATTTTAAAAATTAAATAAATAGTCTGAAGATACAAACAAAGCAAGCTAATAAGCATTTGCAAAAGGAAAAAATTCTGCTTTTGATGTTTTTAGTGATATAAATTAACAAAAGTTAGATTTGTAAAGATCTTTGCCTTAAACATTATCTAAAAAACTAAATTCGGAATTAAATTCTTAGCAGGGAGTATTCACCCCTTAATATTCAAAATCGTCTTCATTAGTTAGACCTGAGCAAAGAAGACTTACAGCCTTTAATGCTGCTTTATAATAAAGTTAATCCACAAATTCTAATTAAGATAATAAAAAGAAAAATGGAATTATTTAGCCACCTCTAAAGCTACCTAATTTTATAGTGTTTTCACCAACTTCTTCTTTAGCAAGCACAGGCTAAAATTTTTTTAAAGATGCAGTAAAAGATTCAACAAAAACTCCAACAAACGTAAAATTTATTTATTTATTAATGAATTAATTTTATTTTTTATTTATTAACTTACTCATTAATCTACAATTCATTTATATTTATTTATTTATTTTTAAATAGTTTGGAATTTAAAAAAAAAATGATTTGAATCAGAAAACTTTAGCAAGACTGTTTAACATTTCTGAATTATGTATGTAGATTTTGTTTATAATATCTAAATTTTATATTTTTTGATATTAATTATTATAAGCATACAATAAAGATGTCGTGTAAGTTGAAGATAAACTCAATTTTTTGTACCCATAGAATATCTAAAACGTAAAAATAAATAAATATTCTAAAATTTAATAGAGTAATAAAAGATTTATTTAAATGGCTTTATTAATAAAAGCTCGAATAAACTCCGTTGGATATTCTTTCTAAGAGCAAGACCTTTAATATTGAAAATTTAATCTAAAATGAAGAATTTTCATATAACTGTATTACTGGAATATAAGCAATTTTCGAAGAAATATTTAATTAGATGGATCACCCATAATTATATAAATCATTTAGGCTATTTACTTTCGATACTCCTATACGACATTTGAAAAGTTTGTTAGGAGATAAATTATATAACTTTGATTTGATATTAAAGCATTTCCTTTTGAAATTAAAGCTTTATTCTGTAGCAGATGCTAACAGCTCGATATTAGCTGGGTAACTAGCTAATCGCATTATATAATCGCTGATGTAACTTATTGTATGCAAATCATCAATTTAAGATTTAAATTTTTTATAGGGATCATTCAACTTAATTAAAGGATTTTATACCATTTTTAATCGAAATTATTAATGAGAACTGGAATTTACTGTTAAAATAAATAATCTTAAATTTCACTATTTCTAAAGAAAAAAATCAATAACCAATCAGAATCCAATCAATACAGGTAAATCATTAAAATATACTCTAAATTCTCATTAATTAAGACCTATAAAAATTACTTTTATTTCATAAATTTTTAACCATTTTTGAACTTTTGAATTTTTTGATTTTAATTAAATTGACTTAAATTTATACTAAATTATTTATTAATTTATACTATTTAATTATATTGAAAAAAATATTTTTTTAGATCGAAAAAAAGATGTCTTCTACTACTTATCAAATTGTAAAATTATTTTTGCTTTGTCTGCAAGTCTAAACCGATCCAGAAAATAAGAAGAAACTTATAAAATAAATTCCTATACCTTGCTTACATGCTCTTGTTCTTATGTTTTTTGAGTATCCTACTAATAATTTATATTAGACTCTGTTTATAAAAATAATAAATGAGCTTTTTAAATTTGGAACATCATAAATTTATTATAATATTATATTTCAATTTAATGTGCTTAATTATATGAATATTGTTTTAGAAAGCATCTGCTGTAACGGAGTCTTTAATAAAAAATTGTAAATAGATGGTATATACTACTCTATTAAATAGTTTTGCATTATGCTGGAAGAAAATTTTAATGTAAAATATTAAGATTTATCTACGATTTTTTTTATATTCTACTCTTAATACCTAGGAAAGATAATAAGAACTTAAGAACATAAGGACATAGGTTGAAAGCTTAGACATATGGCACACAATAAAAAAATAATTCCATATGAAAGATACGTAAATTTTCATAAGTACATACATATTCTATACTAAGAAAATATTTTTTCCTAAAAGTTTTAAATCTTAGGAGCTTGGTTCAGTTATTTCTAAGACTACTTCTCCAAAAGGATCTTCTATATTTGCAAATAAAGAAGATAAAATTAAGCAAAAGATAAAAAACCAATAAAATACTTTTGATATACAGTAAAAATTAGAACCTAAGTCTATGTTAAGTCCTTCTTTAAGAGCTATATCTGTCCATTCTCCACTAATAAATTTAAACACTAACAATTCTCTTATATCTAATAATAGCAAAGCACTTTATTAAACTGACAGATCAAATTAATTTTAAAATGCTTCTTAAAATTTTCTTTCTCCTCTTTAATAATAAAATAAAAAAACTAATGAATATGTTAGACATTCTAAGTCTAATAGCTTTAATCCTTATAATCAAGAAGTATCAAACCATATAAAAAATAATAGCTCAATAGCAAATTAATTTCTTGCTATCTCAAAAACATAAACTAATTTTAAGATAAGAACAAATTCTTAGAGTATAATAAAAAAATGATAGACAGACAAATAAAGTGAAAAATAACCTCCAATTTATTTTTGTTTTATATTTGTATAGAAAACCATTTGATAAATAAGTAAATAAATATACACGTAACAAACTTCGTTTTTTATTTGTAAAAATGTAAGAATAACCTAAAAAATTTGATAATACTTTAATAAATATATTTTTTTAATTGTGGATTAATTAACTAACTTAGGAAATTAAATCTTTATTAATAATTAAAAGAAATCAAATAATATTTTAATAACTTTAAAGTAAGTTAAAAGGTAAAAACAGTATAAAATGAATTTGAAATTCTATTTACTCATAAATAATTTTGAATTATTTTTACAACAAAATATATTTTTTAGGCCTAGTTGAATCTACAAAAAAAATACTGTATTGATTTGATTAATTAGAAGATTTATATTTTATCAATTTATTAATTATTAAATAAATACAGCATAAATCTATATCAACTAGAACTTAAATAAAGAAAAAAAAAATATTTAAAACATATATTTAGATGTCTGCACCTGTATTTTCTACGATAGCTCGTGGTACTAATATATTAGTAGATTGCATTTTAATGTTTAGTTCAATAAAGAAACTGCCTAATAATAAATGTTTTGGAATATTAGCAATTCTCTCTTTATTAAACATTCAGCTGAACTCAGTAACTAAATTTAAGACATTAGAAAAAAAAAATATAATTTTAAATATGATAGATTCTAATTATAAATGACACTTTAAAAGGAGGTCCATTTTCTGTTTAGATTAAAGTTTACTCTATAATATTAAAAATAACTAAATAATATCTGATCATTTAGTTTAGTTCACTAAATCTAAAATCAATTTATTGTGCTCTTTAAAATTAGATTAGTTATTTATTTTTTAGTAAGCTTGTTTGGGTTTGGACTTTAGCTTACTTAAGTAAATTAATTTATTTTGATTATTAAAATCAATTTTATAAATGCATATATAATAGTTAGTTTAGTCTGCTTATAAAATGTATATGATAATATGGTCTTAAACGATCAATTTTTTTTAGTGTCAAAAGATGGGTACTTTACATATTCTTCTATTTAGATTGATAAATATGTTTGGGGTTCAGAATTTCTAGTCAATACATTTAATTTAGCTTTTGGTTTCTTAATTAATGTAATTTATTTCTACTAAATAAATTATAATTTAATTAAACTTTATCAAAGCAAAATTTTGGAGGCAATCAGAAACTTTATCTAACAGCATGTATAATTATGGTATTTAGTTCTTTCTGCTAATAATTCGAATTTTTTATAGACATATATCCACTATTTTAGTCCCTGTAAACATTTATAATTTTCTTATACTGGTAATTTATGATTGAATTTACTGACAGATAAAAATATTTGCTGAATATTTTTAAAATGCTATGATTTTAATGTGTTATTTCTATATATTTATCTATTAAAGCAGATGTTATTGATATCATTTTAGATAGTATTTTTTATCAAGTAATTTTATTAAAGATTTTTATAAAGATAGATAAAATAATCTACTTATATATTCTTTTTATTTATATTTAATTGATTGTTATAATAATAAAATTTATTAATTTAAAATTTTATTTTAATTATTTTTTTCAAGCTGATACATTTTTAATTAAATAATAAATATTTTTTTTACTATATTGTAATTTGTAAAAATCTACATATTTATAAAAAAACATAAACAATTTTCTTAATAAATTTAAATATTATAAATAATATTGACTGGCTGATAGATAGACTGACTCGCTCACTGATTGACTGACTCGCTCACTGACAAACCAAGTAAATAATTAACTAAGTCAGCAACTAACAGAGAGAATGGTAGATTGAAAGATTGCTAGAATTAAGTTTTAAATAATAATTTGCTATTTAAATGAAGATATTTATTAGTTTTCAAATAAATATCATTTAATTTAACTATATATTATAATATTAAATTGCTTTAAAATAAGAATTAATTAATTGTATTAAATATAATATTATTGTTTTAAATAGGATAGAAAGCTTTAATAAATATAGATTATAAGAATCTCCCTTAAGCAAGTCTTTATGCAAGATTAGTAGATAAAAATAGGTGTTGGAGCTTTATCCTTCATAGTATTATATTGGATTTACAAATACATATAGTCTTTAGATTTAAGTTTTACTTAAGGAGTTATAGTTGGGTTCGTATTATGCATAATAATTGAAATTGGGTTAGTCTTTTGGTATATCAAATGGAGAGTTTAGAAGAGCTAGAGTTAGTCAAAGATTAGCCTTAATATAAGTATAAAGTCGCATTTTAATGATATTTAATATAATATGAAGTAGATTTGAAGGTAATTAAACTCATTATTTTATTTTTAAATATTATCTATAGTTTCAATGGATATAGATAAGCTATTTGGAGAAGAACAGTTAGAAGATATTAAGGAAAAGAATAAAAAAAAGGAGTTTTTTATCAATTAGGTAATTAAATTAAATTTGGCATTTTAAATTGATTAAAGCACATACTGATAGTATGTATGCTAATCGCTTGATGAAAAAATAATTAAAGATGTTAAAGCAATTAACTACATTAATGTTAATTATAAAATAAATTAGTACTCGCATGAAAAAAAGCTAATGCAAAAGGTTTATAAAAAAGATGAAACATATACCAGCTTCCAACAGCAAAATGGTATAAGAAAAGCGAACACCATCATTACAGAGGAAAATAGTTAAAGCCCTTAATAGGGTGGATATGGTTAAAGTAGCTTAGCTATTCAACGATAAAACGTTTTAACTGAAACAAGCATTCAAAAGAAAGAAACTGGAGAAATGCAGAATGATGGATCAGAAAAGAAAGATAACATTTAAGAGAAAAAAAAGCATACTTTGGAAGAAATTGAAACATTAGCTTTTGAAAAAGTAAAAAAAAAAGAGTTTTTAAATAAAGTAAATACGTTTGGTAAGTTCTTAGAAGTTTTCATTAGCTTAGAAAAAAATTTTGCTAAGGATTTAAGGACTATTGGTAAGCCAAGATTTTTAAAAACTTGCATGTTTGATGTAGTTGTTAGACGTGATGAGAGGTACCATCATTCGTACAGACTTTGTGATGTTGATTCTATATATAGAGAGGAATTTAATACAATTTTAGCTATGAGTGAGTCTATTTCTCGCTAATCAGATTCTCAGTTAATTATACTGCCTAATTGGATTTACTTAAAAAATATCTTTTTAGAAATGAGCAAAGTACATGATCAGCTAGTCTAATATATACAATTTGGCATATTTGATTTAACTAAAGTAACCAAAACCATTTATTTAAATATATTACACTTTTATTATAAACAAAATTTTTGTAGAAGAAAGTAGAATAACCATTTTTTTCTTTCTCTAGGTGCTAATTGAGGAGTATGAAGAATAGTATAAAAAACTGAAACTTATGAAAAAAGAAGCTTAAGCTCATATACAAAAGAAATTAGAAGAGGCTAAATAATAAGAACTAGTTTATAATGAGATCAGCAAGAAAATCAAAAATATGGCTGAAACATACGAAGTAAAAAAATTAATTCATTACTTTCAATGCAAGAGTTTACTTTTTTTAATTAATAAATAAATATTTAGAACTAGCAATCAAGCCAAAACAAAGAATTAGCACGTAAAAGAGTAGAACTAAAAGGTGAAATAGAATTATTACTATATGATAAAAATAATAGCAAAATTAAAGTATATGCAAGCTACGAAGCTTTGCACAAGGCAAGATAAGATGCAAATAAAGTTAATTCTAAAATTAATTCTCATAAAAAAGAATGGGAAAAGTAAAACAATTAATTCATTCTAAATTAAAAATAATTTTAAAAAAAATTTTGTAATTTATTTATAATAGGAGATTTTAAACTCTTTTCAAAACCAGTATGAAAAGTATTATTAGTGGGTTCTTTGATATTACAAAGGATGTGTAAAAGAATTTAAAAAGCCTTCTTATCACAAATTTAAAGTAATCTACTACAGTACCTGTAATAGATTTTGATGCCTAGAGCTTTGAAAATGATCAATCCATTTACTCTTCGGTCGATGGGTCTTTTTCGCATAAGAAAAATAAGATAGTAAATTAAACTAATGCAAAGGGAACAAACAACATTTCTTAATAAAATGAAAGTGGATTACTAAATACAAATATAGGATTAACTAATAGAAGTGTCCTGAATAATTCTAATATAAATCCTTTATTGATATGTGTAGATCACCGCTAGTAGCTAACAGAGTTTTTAAAAAATTAAGATAAATATGATAAAGAGTATGATGAGATTGAAAAGTATCAAGAAGAAATTACATTTTTGGTAGAGGATGTTTGCTCTTCTCTATCTAAATATATATAGGAGTTTGAAAATAAGATCAGTAAAACAAATACTTTTAAATTTATGGGAGAAGCCATGATATACGAATAAATGGGCAGTTTTTTGCAAATAGATATTAGTGATAATACGAAGAGATATTTTAAGATAATGCTTACTCATTTTGAGAAGAATTTAAAACCGTTTTAAGCTAACACACAACGAGTTTTATAAGATTTGGCTATTGAAAAAAAGAATTACAAGAAACATATATCCACTGTATAGGATTTGTAAATTAATTTAGATAAAACTTGCGCAAATTGGCAATAAAATAGAGATTCTATAGTAAACTTTTAGTAAAAGTATGACTTTTTGAAGCATAAATTTGATGAGATTTACGAGAAAACTTACAGTAGTAAGTAAGAAATTGAAAAAATCATAAAGCAGCATGAAAAAGGTGTTGAAGATCTAAAAAAATAGATTATCAATGCTTTAGTTTAATTTTCAGTGTAGTTTTCAGAAAGGTTTGAATTGATTGAAAATAACTCTGATATAATTTTGTCATAAGATGATGACAACATGGAGGCTAATTTCTCAGATAAAGATTCTGTTTAATCAAGAGCTTCAACTTCTACATTGAGAAATAATAATAATTTAATGAAGAGGTAGTAATAATATCTTTATGATTTTATATGTAAATCTCATTTTTTTCTAACTTTTTTAATAGATCTAGTATTGCATTTATGGGATAAAGTGAATTTCTACATTAGTATTAATAAGAGGATGAAGTTAATGAAGCTGGATCAAATCATTTAAACCCAGCAAGTATATAAGATTAGCATAATAAATCAGCTGCTAAGATAGTTACTAAGCTCTTGAAAGTTTTTTATCAGTAATGGAAAGATGCAGACTTTTTCAAGGAGAAAATTAAAACAGAACTTTATATTTCTCTCAATAAAAAATTAGAAGACTCCCTAGAAGAGATGGTTGTTACAAAGCTTATTGTAATAGATTATTTTTATAATAATCTTTTAAATTATGATATTATGTTAAAAATTAGATTAAAGGAGAGGGACCAGATATAAAGTCAATTACACCACAAAAAAGCGAAGATTATGAATTTTTAGTTGATTTAGAACTTTCCTATAAAGGTACTGTGTACATTGAAATCGATACAGCCTATCATTTAGATTGGCCAAAAGTAATCAATCAATCATCTAATTTTTTATAACATAAAAACTTTAAATTTTTAAAAAGCCTGATTCTTACAAGCTACCTTTAACTGTTAAAATTAAGTTAAACGAATTTTACTCCATCATAAGACTTTGCTATGTTCCCAGGGAGTACGGTAAAAGCTGGTAATTATTTGTATATTTACTTTGAAGTTAACATCTCATCAATTATTTTTTAAAAAGGTTTTCTTTTATTGGTGAGCCAGTATTATCAATAGATATAGACCCTATCATTTCAAAAAAATACCATGTTTCTCGTCTCCCAAGAGTATATTTGTTATATAAATTGGATATAAGTTTACATATAAAAATTATTTATTAGGTAAAAACATTGATCTAAGAAATAATTAGTTAAAAAATTAAAAAAATGACATTCCCAAATAGGTAATGAATTCTTATTTTTCTTACAAATAATATTATTAATATTTTTAAATATTTAATAAAGAGATTCGATAAAGATTCCTTTATCAAAACCAGACAAAAAGATTACAGATATTAGAGAAAAATTGTTGCATAAAAAATAATCAATAATCGCTCGTGCTCCTACAAATAAATCAAATATTTACACAAATCCATATAAAGAAACAAATCAGTGAGTGAGTTAGTCTATGTATGTATGAGAGATTTATTTGTTAATAAGCAAAAAATAGAATAGTTAATAGTAGAGAAATGAGCAATAAATATTTACTATACAAAGATAAATAAAATTTTCTTGTAAAAATATATAACTTGATATTAAGTAGTAAGTAATAAGTAACGAATTTTCTGTGATTATTTGCTTATTGAGTAATAAATATATGTTAATTAATTGCATCAATAATTGCCAAGAAAATTCTAAATACTATTTTTGCTTTTTTACCTTTTCGAGTTCTATTAATTTCTTAAGAAAAATCATACAGCTCTTTTTCAAAGAGTTAATTTAAATAAAAATAAATCTTTTTAAATAAGAAATTGACTGACTGACTAACTTGCTAACTAATTATTGTGCTTTTCATATAAATTGATCAAAAATCTTGAAGCTTTTCTTAAGCACTCTTATTATTTTTAAATGTTACATATAATTCAATATACTTTATTATTAATTTCGAAATCATTCTATCTTCTTTATTGTCTTATAAAAAACTTTAAGCTATTTACTAATTCTATTTTACAAACTCATTAATGTCAGATTTACTGTCCTTGTTAAATATATTTTTGATTGTCTCTACTGTGCTTTCAATTAAAAACTCTAATGATTCTAATTAATTTTTTAAAATTTAAATTTATTAAATAAAAGTAATAAATAAATAAATAATAAGATTTATTTGTTTTTTTTACATTCTAATTCTATCTTTTTAGGCTTTTTGTACTAAAAGTCAATAGTGATTTTAGGACCAAAAAATTTCCTTTCTTCATTTTGTTATTAGTGATAAAGTCTCCATGCTGTTTTTATCTATTCGCCATCAGCTGCTTGATTTTGATTTATTTTTATGGGGAAAGCTATTGACATAACTTCTCCTTTATTCACTTAAACTACAGGGTATTGACAATTATCAGTTATACCAGATATGCATTTAAGGTATACGTTTTCAGGCCAATTCTCAGTACCATTATTTAAAATTTCTTAGAAAACAATTACACTATCATCTATCAGTATATCACTGGAGCAATAGCTATTAACAAGCTTAGCTCGATACTGTCTCTAATCTTCTCCTTATTTTTAACCTGAAGGAGTTATACTAGGTCTACTTGACGACAATCCATAAACTGATTGGGTCAAAGATTTACCTGATGTGTATTATGATTTTACACATATTGAATTTGAAATGTTACTACTACTACTGGAAGCACTTTAAGTTTGATTTACATTTGATTTAGGCTCTTCCAAAGTAAAATCGTTTGTATTATTCAATTTAGAATTTAACAAATTTTATGACTATTCTGGTGATTCTTAATTTTGTATATTTTCAAAAATGTTTACTTTTTATTTTTTAGATGATGAAGACTCGCTTATTAGTTGTATTTCGTTTTTTTAAGTTGGTGGTATTATTTCGAAATTAATTTAGTCTGTCTACTACTGAGTTGTATTAGAAACAAGAGGATGCTAAGAAACAACTGGGGAACTAATTATATTTGCACTAGATGGAGCACCATTACTATCAGCTATATTTTTTGGTACTTTAAAAATGGAAGAATCACAAAAAGTTGGAGGTTCATCATCTTAGTTGAAATTAGCTGTTACACAACTTATTTCCTAGTTGTTTAATGAGAGCACATTAAGGCTAGTGTTACCTGATATTGGCTTTTTAATAATTTTTTAATTTGTTGAGCATCTTGGTAAAACTACATTAATATTTGCGTCGTCTTTAGCTAAATTATCATTAAAATAATCAAATTGATCCTCGTGACTAGTATTTTTTACGATAGTTGTAACTGATTTATTATCCGATTTTGATCTCATTTTATGGAGATTCTATTATTGTTGTTGCAGCAATTCTGTATCTACTGAGTTTCTTTAACTAAACTCCTATCTAGCTTATGCAGAAAGTTAGGTTTATATTATAGACTATTACTATTATAGTTGTATGCTTTAAGGCTAAAATCCAATATATGTTGAAGTTTCTAATTAGCCTTAAAGTGCTTTTTAAATTTGTTGTACGTTATTTTATTAAGGGAAAGTAAAAAGATTTGTACTTTAAGTAAAGTTGTTTCTCTCTGGTTTTCTAATTAGGCTATTCTAAAATAAAGGATTTGTCATATTATTATTCAAATAATTCAAATTTTAAAGAGCATTTTGTTAAGTTGAGTTTCCGGCTTTTATGCTCCTGTCGAGTTAGCTTGTTCGTTAAATAGGTGTACTTGTTAATGACTACTGATTTTGTTATGTTTACTAATTCAAGTTGCTGTGCATGATCATTATATCATCTTTGCAAAATTAAACTACACGATGGTTCGAATCATGATTGTCCTCACAATTTTCACAAATAATATTATCAAAGTCAATATCATCCTGCCATCTTTTACTGAAAACCTCTGAGTTTCTATTATTTTTTGATTTACAATCAATGCAAAAGTATATAAATTTTAATTGCGACACATCAGTTTGGCATTCAGAGCAGCGGATTAAGTGCATGTTCTTTTATATTAAATTAGTATTGTTATTCACCTAAAGGGAAAGATCTTTATCCTTATTTGATTAGCTTGGCGTAAAAGGAGAAAATAAAGGCTAATCTTCTGGCTTTTGTGATGGTCTATTGCTAGCACACTCACCACATTATATTTAAAGAATCTTTTATAACCAGTCCATACTTTCTTTTGGGATGATTTTTTCAACTTTTTGTTATCTGACTGTTAAACTTTTTAGAACTATTTCTGCTTCTTTTAATTTATGTCTAACTATTGTTTGAATTACATTAAAGGTATTCGGATCTTCTATTTTCAAAAATCCTGATCCACCACATTTATCACATTCTGGACAAGGAGTAAATGGGATTATATCTTTTCCAATACTACTAGTTGGTGTTTTATCAGTTTTATCACTGTATCTGGAAGGATTATTTTTTTATTCCTCGTCCCAAATCATACATTTTTCGCAAGGAACTTGTATGCTCTAGCCTGAACGTAATGGTGGAGTAATTTGAGATGGACGAATCTTGCTTTACATCAGATTGTTTGTAGAGTTAGCCAAAGTGTTATTTTGGGATAGTGGTGGAGATGGTGAAAACTCTCTTTTAATATAATTATTAGCAATAAAATCACTTTCAATTGTTTTATCAAACTATTAATTCTATATACTCTCTTTACCAATCTAATCGAATTGTTCACGAGAAACAATTGCTTAATTTGTATATTAGCTAGAAAGTAGAGCTTCGTTTATTCTTATTCCTTAAGGAGCTTAAATTTAGTTTACATTATTTGCTGAATAATTAGATCCCATATTTCCTCCTCCAGTTGTTTAGCTTCTTGTGTCAACATTATTTGAAATTGTAGAGGAGTTTAATTCTGCTTGTTTGAGATATTATGAGTTTTTAGCAGCAAGATTTATATTTTGAGAATTGTTAAAAATATTTTAAGAACCTGGAGTAAAAGATAGGTGATTAGATAATGTAGGCTGCATATCATCTAAACCGCAGCTCATAGAGCTAATTTTTTTAATATCTTTTGATTTAATATCATTGTCTGATTCATCAATCATAGGATTTGGTATATCTGATCCGCTAATTAAATTACGTGTGTTAGACAATTTTTCGTTTTCAAACTTAGTTAGATCTTGATTACCAAATTTAGATGTTATATTGAGGTCGTTTATATTAGAGGAATTAAATGGCTACTACATTAATAAATTGTATTGATTCATTTGATTGGAAGTTGCAATAGCATTTTTTGTAACTGAAGATTTGACATTAGCAAAACTAACCATAATGTTTTATTAATTATTCTATTATTATGATAGTGACTAGCCTACATTTCTCCTTTCATTAGCAAAGCTTATATTTGATTCCACATTAGCAGTATAGCTTTGATTGGCAGATTACCTTTTTATGTCGTTCGCATTAGCTTCAGAAGCACCTCTTGAAAGAGAAGGAATTTAAGGTGCTGATGAGAGTGAATTATTAACAGCGTTGGTGTTATTATTAAAATTTACATTTACATTATTATTACCATTATTAAATCCATGGTTATTTAAGCAAGAATTTGTTGTACTCGAACTTTTTTAAGCTTGATTTCCTTATGTGTTCAGCATGCACATAAGCATCTAAATTATGTTATAATTTAAATCATTTGAATTTGGAGAGTTCATGTTTTGAAAATTTCCATAAAATGAGTTCTAATCTTAGCTTGAAATCTAAAATTGAGTTTTTTAATTTTTGTTTTGCATATTCTGATAATAAGGAGTAAAAGGATTTAGAAGCATTCCTATTACGTTGTTTGCTTAGTAAGTTTAAGATGATTATCCCTGATTAGCAAAGTTTGGCTGATTTCCCATAGCTTACTATTGCTACTCTTACCAGTTAAAGTATTGCTTAAATGATTTTGAATCTATTCTTAATTTTATTGCCTTGAGCTTTTCTTAGTTGCAATATTCCAAAAAAGCCTCATAATCTGATGAACTCTCAACATTAATAGAGTCATTTTCGCTATCTTAATACTTGAAACAGAAATTTTCTGGCAATTTGTTATCAAATTTATTTCTAGCTATATCTTCTAATTCTTAAAAATTTTGAGGGAATTTTGAAAGTCTAAAACAATCACCTCCAAAAACTAACTTTAAAGAAATTCTGTTCTATTAGTGCTCTTAAAATTAAGGAAACATCTTTGCTTAGCTTACTATTCAGATACTAATAATTAATTGCTAACCTGTATTCTTTTTTATAAAAAATATAAACATATTTGCATGAATATTTACATACAAAAAGTAATAGTAAAATAAAAGTTAGTTAAATAAAATATTCATAAAAGTATTGAGGAGATCTTTAAGCCTAAGTGAAATAGATTTACTTACAGCTATGATTTTAAACCAAGCTATTTAATATGGTTGCTAAATTTTTACAAAAATATTTAATTATGCCTACTAATTTATTCCTCTCTAATTTTAATTTTTGAAATAACCACTTAGTTATAGGCTGGATATTCATTGATATAATTTATATACTAAAGGCCATCTAAAAGACTAACTGTATTTAGTAAAATAATGTATTTCATAGTTAAAATTTTCTTTTCGATTGTTTAAAAACAAAAGTATTTGTAAATATGTCTGCTTAATTAATTTAAACCATGATCTTCATAAATAATTAAATAAAGCGATTAGTTTAAAATTTTAGAAATAGCATACATAATAATAGAAATTTGAAGCTAGAGATAATCAATAGAGAAATTTGAACCCTAATAATGTTTGATCAAAATCACTATGGAGCTATCAATCTATCTAAATTTTAACTTTTTCTCTTTTTGAAAAAGAAATACAAACAAAAAATATTATATTAATTATAAAATTTGTTTTATAAATTTTATATCCTTATTTTTATTTATTTTCTAATTTCTTATTCAGATTAAATGCATTAAAATAGTCTTTAATCTTTCAATAATGAATGAATGAGTGAAATTAATAGATAAGAGTTTGTTTATACTTATGCATAAAAACCTTCTTTCTTTTAACTTTTTAAGCCCTATAAATAATTATTGATTTCAAACAGCATATCTTACAAATGCTATCTAAAAAGAAAAGCATATTTATATGATAGAATGTATTTTGTTTGAATACAGCTAAAATTTTAACTTTTTCATGGTAATAAAAACAATAAATTAATAAAAAAATAATATAGATCTCATTTCAATTTTGCTAAATATTAAATTCAATTAAAAAAACTAAATATTATTTCTATTTCGTTACAGATCTACTATTTTAGTTTATCATTAAAACTTTCATCCTTAGAATTTAGATAAATTAGTAGATAACATTAACAAATATGATAGAATTACACATTTAACTCGCAAGCTCATTTTGGTTAAGGTTAAGCTCAAATCAATTCAGATAATTTATTAATTATTAATTTATTTTGATTGATTAAAACAAGACTGCTTGCTCTTTTTCATCTTATAATCTATTCTTATATTGAAAATTAAAAAATAACAATTTATCTAATGGAGGAGATTCTTTATTTGTCTATTTTAATATATCAATTTGATAAGAGATTCTCATTTAAAGAAAAAAAACAAATAAGAAAATAAAGATATTCCTCTTGTCTATTTCAAACATAATTTTTAAACCTCTTGATTGATTGTATACCTTAAAAAAAAAGGTTATAAAATAAAAAACAATAGTCTTATTACTTTAAATTTTTATAAAAATATTTGGTTTTTTTTTAAATAAATATTCATAAAATAGAAAATAAAGCTATTTTATTAAAATTAAACTTAGTTTTAGTTGATATTTTATTATTTCTTTCTAAAAATTACAGAATTGGTCCATAAATTTAATTTAATTTAATTAAATCAAAGTCAAAGAAACATTTATTGTTGACAATTAAATTAGCCATAAATAAATAATATCAAATTAATAAATAAGCAAGTAAATAAATATTTTAAATAATTATGTATTGATTCTCTCTTCAAGAAGATTTAAGATTTTGAGAATAAGATGAAGGAGTTGAGTCCAAGTTTTATTTCTTTTGTAGGAAATCGTTATTAATGTAGTTTTATTACTGTTATTCATTTTCTCTTTTTTGTAAGAAATACTTTTATCTGTCATCACTTCTATTTACATTTATTATTTTATGATCAATATTTTAATAAATTTTCAATTATGATTTTTCATCATTTAAATCAATTATCTATGCTTTATTCAGTTTATTAAACTTCTTATTTTAGTATTATTTACTAAAGTACAAAGAGTTTTAATTTTTTTTTTATTAAACAAATCTTGAAAGAAAGTCTTTAGATGTAGTCAGTTTAGGAGCAAATGTATGCTGTCTTTCACTATCTTATTGTTATAGATATATTTTATAATCACTTCTCTAACTCATTGATACAAGTTTTTACTCCTCTTTATCTAGAATCCTTCTTTTAAATTATATGAGTTTAGGTTCTTTGAAGGAATCGGAAGTAGTATTTAAGAATTAGGTATGTATTGATTCAAATGATTTTATATCTTCAGTTAAATTGCCCATTTCCTTTTCATTTTAAATCAATGTTTGAACTCTTATTGAATTTTTTAACTTTTATTAAGAAGTACGATCAGTTAAACTTTCATTTTATTTAAAACTTCTTAAAGGTAAATATACCATTTAGTGAAGTTATTTGTTTGAAATTTATAATTATTGGGAATAATAACATTCATTTTAAGTTAATGCTTTTCCAGCATTTTAGTTATTGTTAAAACTGCCTTATTTGAATGATGCACTTCTATCTTACATTTTATATTAGTTCTCTATATTAATTTTTGATATCGGTTGGAGCTTAGTGTTAGAAATAATCCTTTATGAGATCCTATCTTCAAATATCGAATTAGTATGAGTTTTGTAATTATTTCTATTTATATAATTTTTCATATTTCAAAAATGCATTTTATTAAGTTTAAAAATTATTTTTACCTTTCTTATTTGCTTGTACTAGATATATGATAAGCGACTCTGTCGGTTTATATTTATTCATTTTGATTTTATTCAGCTTTCTTACAGCTTTAGTAATCTCCATCTTTACCTTCTGAGTTTTCATTTTTTAATGCTAATTTAGTAATCTATCCTACTCTACTCGCTTACTTATGCATACTTATTATTTATTGAACTTTTTGCTTTTTATTAACTATTTTATTTAAGCTTTTCTATGTAGAAAATAGTTAAGATTGCCTAAAATTAATTTTTTGTTAGGAAAGTTCACTATAATCTTCTTGCGAGTTTTGTTAACTTTCAAAATCAGATTAGCTCGATTAAGTCTAAAAAGTAAATTATTTTACAATCTAAGATTAGTCCTAAAATTGTTAATCTTCAATTAACTTTTGATCTTTTTTCTAATTATTTTAGTCAACATTAATAATTTCTAAATTTGAGACTTTTAATATTGATGATCTTTCTTTTTTTTCACTATTAGATAAATCTTCTTGATCTTTACTTACATAAGATAGCCTCTTTTAATTAGCTTATCCATTTTCGTTTAACGAAAGGTGTGATGGTTTTCTATTGCTGCCATTGTTGTTATTATTATTATTATAATTTTGTAAAGAAAGATAAAGAGGATTATGTAAGCTATATGAATTTTTTTTTTACTTATTGGTTTGTTAGTTTGCAACTTCGGTATTTTCAGGTTGCAAAATCTATGGGTTTTCTAAATTATTTTATAAGCTATTTAGTTAATTAAACATTAAGCTATCTATATATTTAGATCTTCTAACCTTTCCAATAAAAGCAATACATTTGAGACCAGTATTAATTCCTAATTTACTGTTTTCAACAGCATTCTAAATAGCTGTTTTAAATGGAAGTGAAATTAATTTTTTGTTTTTATTCAATTCAGGTCCGCATCTGTTGCAACAACAGCTTTTAGGTCTCATTTTAATATTATCAATTATCTTTGTTTCTTTTTTCGCCTAATTCTTTGGCGTAAATCCAGAGTTAATGTATGTATTGCCTCTATTTTAGTTCATTCTTCTTTATGCATAGGTTTTTGTTGTTGTTTTATTATTTCTTTTTTGTGAATCTGTACTTTATGGAAAATTATTTGAATTGATCTCATTCTATAAATTTTCTTCAACATCTGAAAATATCCAAAATTAGTTTTTTTATCTAAGATTTTACTCCATATCGTTTGAAAAGTAAACAAAATTGTTAGATAAACTCTTTCTCCCTAATATATAAAATTATGTTTAAATATTTTCATTACATGATTGTGTAAATTATTTCATACTAAAACTTGGTGCTTTGGTATTCTTTTCAGTTGAAAGATTATCTGTATTTTCTTCAGCACATGAATTAAGTACATCTCTGGCACTTGATGTCTTACTTTTACTATTATGTTTTCCAGCAGCAGCAATAGCAGCAGCCTATGCTACTCTAAATGAATCCTTAAAATATTTATTGATATACTCTAAATTTATAAATAAAAATTTTATTTTGTTTTATTTTATTTATCAAAAGTTAAAAAATAGTTAATCAATTACGTTGCTTTGAAATAACACTTCCACTTAAGCTTTAACTTAGATTTAATTTTTTTAAAGCTGATTTATTCATAAAACTAGTGCTTAATTTTCTCTCATCATTTACAGGACTTAGTATACTCAATCCTTGTGTATCTAATATGTTTTTAGATAAATCCTACCAAGTAATTTTCTTTTCTCTTGTTTATTCTTCTATATTTTGAGTGTTAAAACGTAAGGTAGAATCTATTTTAAAGTAAGGCACGAAATTGAGCTCTTTGACTTTGTAAAATATTTAAATTACATTATATTATATGAATTTAAAATGGAATAATATACCCATTTGATGCTGAGAATCAAATAATGCTCCTTCTTCGTTATATTCTATCTCCTACGCTTTAATTAATAATTCATCTTCCTATTATTTTATTTATCGTTTTATTACTAATGCTAATGGAAGAAAAGAGTTTAAGAGAATGAGATTTACGTTCTTCAAATATAATTTACTGTATGGAGTCATATTATCATAAGTATCACCCTAAAAGGATAGAGTATCTAATTTTTTTATCATTAGATTTTGTCTCATTTCTTCTTCTACTTACTAAATCGGTTTTACACTTCTATTATTTAATAAATTTAAATTGTAAAATTTTCTTCTACTTTTGTATTGGTTAATTACTAAAAATTATTTGTGCTTTTACTTGTTACTATTATTTAAAGTTATGGTTTATTAGTACAGCTAGAAGCGTATTTTCATTTATAAAAAACATTAAATTTTTAAAAATAAATAAATTTCTCATGTAAATCTCCTTATATCTATCTATCATAGAGTTATTTTATTAAAATATTATTACTAAATAAATATGTCTGTTTATTTATTGAATAATGAAAAATTATTACTAAATATACTTATTTATTTATTTACTCTTGAAATTCTTGTATTTATCATCAGAATATTTAAATAAAATCTAAGTCATTTCTTTTATTATTAACAAATGTTATTTTTATCACATTGAATCAGTTTATAATCAAAACAAAGTAATCTTTTTCTAATATCATAGTGATTAATTGATCAATAAATCTAATAATTAAAATCAATAAATAAGAATAGATTTTAACTCACCTTTAATATTCAAAAGATTATTTTTAAATTAGAATTATTAAAAAATTAAGCGACATTAAAGAAATGTCAAAAAATAGAACTAACAAAATGGTCATTGATATGGACAATGATGATTGTGAAGTTAAGTTGGTATTTGATGATGACAATACCACTTAGTAAGTCACTGATCTAAGTTCAAGTCTTGTTAAGAAAGACCATTTTTAGTAATAAACTCAAGCAGAAAGCAGTGGTGATAAAAAAAATAAAAATTAAAGAAATAATAATATGCATTTCATAACTGAAAATCATTTTTAGTAAAATAGAAAACTTTCAGACCCATTAGTCAAGTATTCTGATGATCTTGATGAGTTATAAGATGGTTTTTCTGAAATTTTAGTTGATCCTAATGCTCTATAGCGAAGATAGAGATTAACTAATATCAACCTGATGGCTAAGAGTGACGTTGGATTTAAGGTAATTAATTAAGAAGATGACTCAAATGAATTAGTATCTAACTCATCACTAGGATCAAGTATGATCAATAATTCAAACTCATTAATAGCAAACTCTGCTTCCAATTAAAAAGCTGATAAGCTGTCAGTAAATCTTGAGTATTATAAAATTAAAGTGTTTGATGTAAATGATTTTTAGAAAGGCCCAGAATGTTGTGTCTGCAAATCTAAATTTGGGTTATTTTCGTTAAGAGTACATCATTGTAGATTTTGTAGCATGTCTTGCTGCTAGCATTGTTCAGCCAAAAGAATTAATTCCCATCGATCATGTGATATATGTTTTATTACTATTGCAATCAAAACTAACTCTGGCCATGATAATCCGTATTTAAATACATTTAGGAAAGATGTTGAGTTCTATTCAAAGTATGAAAAGCTTGCTGAAGAATAAAATAAAATTTTAATTTCTCAATACGAGAATATGATTAATCATTGCGAGTATTTGTCAACTAAATAATGGAAAATGCAATAGCAGGTAATTTTTATAGAATTTTCAAACTTAAAATAGCAAATACCAACAAATTCACATTTCTAAATATAGCAAAAAATCTACATGATGTGAATATAAAAAAATAATTAGTTGTTTATTTTTAAAAATATTTAAATTATTTTCTATTATTATTTAAAAGGTTGAGCAAACATAAAAAGAACGAGAAGATTAAATAATTGAGCATGGAAAATAGCTGAGAGACATTTTATATGATAGAATATAAAAATAGTAAGACATAAAAAATATGAAAGGGATTCTTGATTCAAAGATATCACAATTAGAGGAGAAGAAAAAGCTTCTTTACTAGCTAGAACAAAGGCTAAAAAGATAAAGAGAAGATAATTTAATGAAATTGCAAGCTCTTGACACAAAGCAAAAAAAGTTAAATAGACTCTATGAAAAATAAGATGAACTTTAATAAAAGCATAATTTAAATTAGAAATTAATCGAACGTGATGATAGAAGCTCATCAACTTTAAATCCGAGTTTAATCTACAACCATGATCATTTTAATATCTTCACAAATAATACTTCCAATAGAAGTTAGTCAGTATATGATACAAGGGATAACACTACCTTCAACACAGACTTGAAAGGTCCTACTTATGAATAATAAGAATTTGAATAAATATAAAATATTAAAAATAAACGTTGTTACACATTAAATTCTGAATAGTATGATGATTTTGAACCTAAAACCCATAATGTAGCTCCAAAAAAAGAGAAAAAAATGAACATGTGCTTAAATAGATATGACTATAATTGATCTAACAAAAAATGTATTTATAAATTAAAAAATAAAGAATGATCTGCTTTTTATTTTCCTAAACTAAATAACATTATTTATAAATCAATTAATATGAATCTAAAATTGAAAATGATTTTGCTTTAATACTATATTAATAACTAATTAAAAATAATAATAATCTAATAAATAAATTATCAATTAATTAACAAAATTTTATATTTCTAATTATCTTTATTAAACTGATGCGTGTGCATGTAAATTTTTAAATTAAAAATTATTTATAATAGACTCAAATTAAAATTTATTTTTTATTAACTTGTAATATTATTTTCAGTTATTTAGAATTGAGAGAAAAAAAAAAGAAATTTTGATGTCCTTCCTATGGTTTAGCCCAAGACCAACAGGTCCATTAGGTCCGTTATGTTCAGGGCGCAGGAATATAGATTGGCTAACTCTTGGGCGAGGGAGCAAGCTCAACCTCAACCTAAGTTACTTTGTTATTGGATCGCATCTTTACATGTTATGCACTATATAGAGTGCTATGCATACTTATGATGCTTGCACTATCGTTCGTTTGCCGAAGCAAATTACTATAATAGGCTGTTATCCTTAATCATATCAGCCTTTGAGAAATTATAAGCTATAAAGTTTTTAATTAAATTTATTTATGGGTTTTTTAGTCCAGTCTTTAATAAAATTAAGATTTTGCTACAAGTAGAATCAAATTAATTGGAAAGATTAAAACAAAAAAGAGAGATTAAATACTAAAATTTTTGTTTTACAAAAATATATTTTTATGTAAAATATCACAAATTTAAAAAAAATAATTTATTTAATTAAAATTATTTCTAACACAGTAAAATAATTCAACTGGTAAAAAAGGAAAAAAATTTAATCTAACTACAATCAATATATACTTTTTAATAAAATTTTTGAGGAAAATAATTAATACAAGTTAAATTTTTAAAAATTATAATCTCCTACTTGTAATTTGATGTAAAAATTCAAAGTTAGGTTTTTATATTAATTTATGAGAAATTAATTTTTGATTAAATCAATTTATTTATACATAATAATTTTTATAAGCCAAAGTATTTGAAAATATTTATTTATTAATAATTTCTTTCTGCTAAATATTTCCTTTTTTAGATTTCGATAATAATAATAATTAAATAAGTTATTTTTTTTTGTTTGCTAATCATCAAATAAAATTTTACTCATAAAATATAAATATTAGATAAATACTTTTTAGCTTCTAATATTATTAAAAAAAGAAGTATAAAATTGCAATTGATAAATTTATGTCAATTTATTTGCAAATTGGAATTAAATTTTTTTTTTTCAATATTAAATATATTTAATACAAAATGTAAGCTAAATTAAGAAATAAATAAGCTGAATTTCTTCAAACCAACGATAAATTTATTTTCTAGCTTATAATTTTTTTCTGTGTTCTACAAATATAATTTGATTATATAGATTACATATTTTTAATATTTTCTTTTTTTCTAGTAATACTATTGAAAAAATTTCTAAAAAGTTAGAACTTAAAATTAAATCTAAATAAATCTATGCTGATTTATATTACTAATTTACACTGTACTAAATTATATAAAATACACAATTTCGCATTAATTACTATGAAAAGATTGAGACAGTACAATTATCTACTTTATAAAAAAATGGATATCTAAAATATTTGCTTGAGAACAAACATAAAGTTGAAAAAATAAAATTTATAATCTTAGAAATTAAGTTGTGATTTTGAAGAAATTAGAGGTGTTTATAGCTATAGAAATATTTATTAAAAATGAAATAATTTGTAAACTGATTTCTTTTATTAGTAGTAAACTATTTAAATTGTATTTTTCCTAATTGAAAAAAAACCTTTGAAAATTTTAAGAAAATTTCTTTCCGCTATAGCGAATTTATTAAATACGTATTTATATTTTTTACCTAGTAAATTGAGATTATAGTAAGAAAATAATAATATCACTTGGAACAAATAATTAGTTTGAGATTTTTAGAAAAAGTCTTTTTATACAATCTAGTATAAATTATCATATTCATTAATCTTTACACTTCTAAATTAAAAGAGATAATATTTATTTAAAATTTAGTTTTTTTTATCAAAAATAAAAAAATTTTGTATTTAGATGAATTTTTAAGATATCGTGCAAATTTTTATATATACTTGATCGCTTTATTAGTTTTGAAAATATTTAATTAAGCTTGCAAAAGTGATAGTAAATATTAAAAATTTGTTATGAAAAAATAACTCTGCCTTAAGAAGAACAAACTAAATATTTATTTGTTACATATTATTTTAAGGAAGGAAAGAATATATTCAAAATTCATAGACATCATACATTATTTATTAAATTCTATTAGAAAATTAGCAAATAAAAAATAAGCTATTCTATCTCTAAAGTAATTCAATCAGGATACTATGTTCTATATTGAAAAGCTATTATAAGTTATGTCAAAACTAAGTCTGCCATTAGAATAGTTATATTAATATATTTGCAGCTGTATAATTTTAAAGTTAAAGATATTAAATATTAATATTTTTTTTATTTAAAAGCTCATTCAAAGCAATTTTTAAGAACAAAAATACATAACTTTAAAACGTATTTATTCTATTCTAACACAAATAGTGTACATTCACTTTTTTAAGATTTTTAATTTATTAATTTTTGCATCTAAGTAACAAGCTTAATGATGAATATTTTTAAATATAAATGTCATTAAAGAAGGTTATTTTCTATCTTTGTTATTTTCTGAGTCATCTCATCAAAATACTTTATCAAAATTAAATATCCAATAGTTTTGTTTAATATTATGATTGATTACCTTATGTGGCTTCAATAATAATCTTATTAACAATAAAAACTGAACTAATTAATTCAAGCTTAAAAAAAAAAACCTCTTTGGTTTAAAATGCAATGAATAAATTGAACAGAATCCTTTGCTTTATTATAATAAATTTTTTTCCATTCAAATAGATTGAAAAAAATTAATAATCATAATTTTTTATTAACAATCTAATATTATTCATTAGAGTAAATCAATCATTTGCATAGTTAACTTCACATCACTATTGCAAAAAAAAATAAATCAACACTTATTTATAAATTTTATAGACCAATTAATTTATTCTGAAAATTTAAAGGATTTGCTTGCTTGTAGTCCTTTTTAAACAAAAAAGTTTATTAATTATATATATAAATTTATTAATTTGCATACTTTTTAATTTAATATTCAAAGCAAATAGATCACTCAGACATAATTTTTTTTATATTTATTAATTAAATTAATATTAACAATAAAAGAGGTAAAGCGTAAAAATGAGAAGCAATAATGCTTCATAGCATATTTCTGAAAATAATGCTCTTGTTTAATTTCATATTAACCATAAAAATATAGAGTAAGATGAAAATCTTATAATGTTTGATTCTGGTAATTCAGTTCAAATAAAGTAATCTCAAAATCAAGATGAGCCTAAGGCAAACAACGCTGGAATATATAGTTTAGTTTACAAAAAAGATATTGTTAGCAACGAAAATCGGTCAATGAATTCTTAAAGAGACTAGGCGAAGGAAGTTTTTGAAGTTATTATTGATAATGACTCAAATACAAATGAAAGAAATAGTCGTATGGAGTTAAAGAATGGGAACAACCATCTTTAAAATCCTCATGTCAATATACATAGGGCATCAACTAAAAAAAAGAGCAACATTCATTTTCATGCTGGTGGACATAAGCATGAAGGATTTGATCCTTTTAAAATTCCTTGTGATTGGGAAAAAGCTAAGTTGCATGCTTAATCTAGAGAAACAAAACCTGAATTAGATTCTGAAGAAGTACTCTCACCAGATGGCTAATAAGCTGAGAAAAAAATGTAAGAGGTTTGTGACTGCTGTGGTTATGAGTTAAAAAGGAAAGAAATAGGTCTTAATGTAGATACTATGGAGTTAGGTTTTATGGGATCAGGTTTCCCACTGTATTTTAACTATATCAAATATTGCTGCCTTATGCTTTTTTTCCTATTTTGCATTTAAGGAATCCCAAACCTAGTCTACAATATTCAAGGTGAATTTTGCCATTCTGACCCTGTTGAAGTCTTCGCTGCTATTGAAGAAAACCATGATCATCATTAAGCCTACTTTTTAATCCCTTGTCCTGATACAAATTTAAATAAGATTTCGATGGCTAATGTTTTAGATAAAATGTACAGAGAAACAAATTACGACTTTCACTTTTCTATTGCAGCAGTCATAGTGTAGTTATTACTGAATATTTTATTCAGAAGAAGCCAGAGAAAAATAGAATAAGATGTTGATATTGCCTGCAGCACACCTTCTGATTACACAATTATGGTTCAAAATATAAGTTAGAATATAACTAATATAAAAGAAACCTTGAAGGAAATATTTGAGTAATATGGTACAGTAGAAAAAATAAATTTGGTTTATGATATCACAGACCTCGAGCATATAGAAACATAAATTAAAAAAAAGGTACAGTAGAAACAGAAAATAATTGATAAGATTTAAAGTTTTGATCCTAATAATAAAGAAATTTAAGAAATTGATCATCAAATAGAAAAGTTGGAAGAAGAAGTTCATTAAATGCAAATATAAATGTAGGCTGACAATAAAAGATTTGTAGGAACAGCATTTATAAGTTTTTCAAGAGAAGAAGAAAAGTAAAAAGCAATTAAATCAAACCCATAAGATGGATGGAAAAGATTTAAAGACTACTTTAAAGATGGTAAATCATAACATTCAAAAAAAGACTAGCTTTATTTAGATGGAAGATATTTATATATATCAGAAGCTCCTGAGCCAAATGACGTCGATTGGGAGTTTGCCCATGTAAAAACAGTAGAAAAAATTAAAGTTAGAACAATTGCATTTTTTAAATGGTTGATTTTAACACTTGCATCTTTTGTTGTTATAGCTCTTATATCTTATCTCTAAAGTAATACCATAGATCATATTTTGAAATAAGAGCATGATATTGCAATCGAAAGCGAAGGAAGAGAAATGACTGAAGAAGAGTAGCATCATTACGATGATCTCTAATCTCAAAAAACTTCTGTCACAGTTTTATCATTTGTTATTTCCAGTATTATAGTCATTTGGAATAAATTTTTCTTGCCTTTTATAATCCATAAGATTTGTGATCACGAAAAATGGGCTACTAAGACAAGTCTAAACGTATCCTTTGCATACAAGTTAACTATTGGTCTTTTCTTCAATACCGCTCTCATCACATTCTTTGTTGAAATTATTTTCTTCTAAAATATTTACGCACTAGCTGGAGGTATGATATACAATGAATTCTTGATTTTTATCATAAACGCCGTTGTTCCAGCATTAGCATGGATTATTGATCCTTGGAAAATTTGGTAAGATTTTAAAAGAAATAGATAAATAAAGAAGAAAGTCTGTTCTTTAACTTAATAAGAAGCTAACTCATTAATGGAACATCCTAGCTACACTCAAGGTAAAAGATATGCCGATATTATGAAAACTATGTGGTTCACTTTCTTTTATTCACCAATCATACCCATAGGAACTGTTATTTCTCTAGGTGGTTTGATTGCTTACTATATCACTGATAAATACAACCTTATTTTTAGAAGAACTGTAAAAGAATCTATATCTTCAAGACTTTCAATGTAAATGATTGAACTCGTTGAACTTTCTATCATTTTCCATACATTTGGATAAGTTTTTTTCAAATGGTTTATGAGCTATTACATTGATGTTGGAAATTTCTTTTTATTTATTGCTGTCTGCATAGTTGTAGTCATTATTCCTATGGATAAAATAAACGAGTTTTTATTCCCTCTTGGAGACTCAGATGAAGAGAAGACATACAAAGAAGTTCATTTAGATTTTGATACCGATTATGATAGAGAAAATCCTGTTACAAGAAAAGAAAGTTTAATACACTTTTAGAATCTAAGAAATGGTATTATTACAGTTGTAGATGCATATAAAGCCGCATAAAATATGGTATAATTTGCTCATCACCATAGAGCAAGTCCAATGCACTAAGATGATAAACTTGTGTAAGAACTTTAAAGCATGCAAAAAGACAGTAGCAAAAACAATAATTAGAACGCTGATAATATCTAAAATAACTAAACTAAATCTAATACTCAGAATGTTCTAAGCAACGGAGAAATTTAAGTTTGATTTAGTTTTTAATTCTTTTCTGTATATCTTCCACTGACCCAAATATAATAATTATAAATCTTATTATACAATACTTAATTGATTGTATTATTTATCTTATACTTCATTCTACTAATAAATAGTATTACATTTTTAATAAGTTCAAACATTTGATTAATAAAAATAAGAAACTTTGATATTTTAGGTTGAAAAGTTATTAAAATTCAAATAAAAATATCTAATTTATTGCAAATTTTATTTTTATATCTTGTTTTTCAAATTTTCATAAATTACCTTTCATCCATTTTTTATATAATTTATTTCAAATTACTCTTCAATTTCTTTTAAATTTTTCTAACTCTTTTTAGTGTAGCTTCTCTCATAATTTCTAAATATTTGTTATATTTTTTGGATAACATTGATACATAAGATCATCAGAATTATAATATTTTTAATAGGTGCTCTTTCAAATCTTTTAGCTTTTGTAAAAAATAAAATAGATCTAAATACATACATACTTGAGATTCATCGAAATTAAATATCATTAATGAAATATTTAGATTTAAAATTATCAATAATAATCATAAATGCAAAAAAATCATGGGTAGTAAGAGATAAAATAGCTCTTAATAGTTAAAGATAAAACATTCAATAAACTAAAATAAATTTTAATTTAATTTAAAATATTATAAATTTAAATTTTTAATGAGTTTCAAATAGTTTTGTTAATTAAGCAATTAAAAATTAGAAATTTTATATCAAAAAATCAAATTTAAATCTCATAATTCTTATTTAATTTAAAATAACTTAACTTATAAAACTAATTATTTATTCTAGCAAAGTTTGAAGATGGGAAATATTTATTAATTAATTTATATGAAGTAATTTTAAAATAAAATAATTTAAATTGATTATAGGTGTTAATATTTTAAATACTTTTACTCTTCATTAATAAACAAGTACTTCTATTTAAAATTCAATAATATTAACCAAAATGATCTCAGGAATGAGTAATCAAGAATATTTTATAGTATTTAAATAGGCAGGAGGTATTGCAGTAATATTTAAAATGATGAAATATTTTTTAAAATATGAAATATCAATCAAATTAATTATAATTTAGATTAATAGTAAAATTTATACTATTTAGATAAGTACCATTTAAATAATTGTTAATTTTGTATTTATTGTTCTGTTAAGAACAATCTTTTAAATAACTATAATAAATAAGTAGAATATCAAATTTTATAATTAGTGCATTTAGTCATACATAGAAATCGAAAGCTTATTCAAACTTTTCAATGAATAAATAAACAATCAAAATGAAAGCAGAAATATTTTAATCACAAAATTTCAAAGCAATTATAATGAAAAAACTTTCCTATACCTTCTATTACATGCATTAAAAGGATAAAGAATTTTCCAGAGATACTTTTTACTATAAGCTTATATTATGGATGCACTTTTTTATAATTTATGGGATACTTGCAACATTTATAAAGGATAGCGCTAATGAAACATTTTTGAACAATTTTATTAAATTTTCTAAATATGTAAGAATAGTTCCGCTGATATCAAATATAGAATTGAATAACTGCTCGATAATATTTTCTTTATTTTTTGCTATTTTAGATATAATTTACATAATTCTACTTTGGTAAATATCAAATTGTGATCCTTCTAATATAGAAAAGAACTATTATAGATCAAAATCAGGGTATTTTGAAATTATTTTACATAATTAATTAACTTATTTCGAGCTATAATCTATTTTTTGTTATTTTGTTAATAAACAGATAGATAGCTTTTTTAACTATTTACATTGAGATTCACAGATGGATTATTTATCCAATAAAAATTGATACACTTTTAGGGATTATTATGTGCTTTCCGAATAATAAATTACTAAGATGTGACGATTTAGGCTAGTTTACTTTATTTTTAAGTCCCTTTCTTATTAATACATATATAACTTGCTTATTAATAATAACTTTGATTATTTCTAACATGGATTTATTTCTATACGTAAGCATTGAGCTTCAATAAAGTAACGACTTAAAACCTAAGTATAGCAGAAAAAATATTTGGAACTCTTATCTTATATTTCTTATAGTGATTTCTAGTTACTATTTACCAAACTCAATACCTTTAATTCTTTCTTGTTTATATAGCATATAGTATTTTTTTTAGTTTTTATATAATTTTCCTGTTGGGAAAAAAGCTCTTAGACACCTAGGAATATCTTGTTTGTGCTTTTTTTTAGGAGTACTTCTAATAGCTTTACATTATTATAAATTTATGAATCCTCAAAACCACTTAATATTACTCTTTTGTGGTTCTTCTGTACTATATGGTCTATTAGAGATTATTTACTAAAAGAAATAGAGGAGCTAATAAATAAAATTATAAGAATAAATATTAAGAGAACCTTTGAAATCTCTTGATTACTTTCTTGAAATATTAAATTTATTCAATAATTCCATAACATCTAAAAAATCTTATGTACTGCTAATTGGTAAAGTTTTTAAACTATTCTAAAATTAATTAAAAATCTATAAAATGGTTAGGTATACTTAATCAGCATTAGAATTAGTGTAAGTAATCTCTATGTCCTTGTCAAAATGGATAATCTTATAAATTAAATTAAGCTATTCAAGATGAAGACTGTGAAGAAAAAAATGAAGATAACTAAGCTAAAAAAGTGCAAAACAATAGAAGAAAATCTACTATTTTCATATAAATAAGAAAAAATTATGCAAATAAAAATAGAGAAAGCTCTAAAGTAAATTAAATATTTTTAAATTTAACACAAGAACATAGATCTATCTATTTATTTATAATTTAAATATTTATCAATAAATATATAGGTTGATTTTTATAATTTATTTGAAAGAATAAATTCCTAAATTGCAAATTAGTGGATTTAAGATCTTATTGAATTTTGGATTCTATAAATGTTGGAAAATAATGTTTTATTTCAATCAAACCATAAAGTAATTAATCTTTATTTTTTTACCTAAACTAATAATAATTTAAATTGATAGTAAGAGTAAGCTTTAATTGAAACTTTAATTCAATAGTATTGGAGCTTCTTATTGACAATAAAGAAAACTCATATTAAAGCTCTATATGTCAATAAGCAATTACAAGACTTTCTTTAAAAAAAAACTTTTTTCTTCGAGTTTATATCTTAGACATTCTCACTAATTAGTAATTTATTTTTAATGAAAATACATTTTTTAATCTAACTTAAAATAATACCTTAGTAATTACATAGTTTAGAGAATAAGATAAATCCTAAGCTTACTCATACTTTTAAAAGGATCGTTAAGAAGCTAATTAATCAACTTACTTTGAAAAAATAAGTATCAGTGATAGTTTATTAGAAAATTAAATTCAATAAATTTCAAATCTTCTAAAAATGAAATTAAATTTACTGGAAAATATGCAACTTGGATATAAAAATCTAGAGCAACTATTGGAAGTAACAAAAATACATATATGTTGTAGAATTTCATAATTTGATATTTAAAAAGGATTTAAAAGCACTTGTCTCACTCTTTTAGGTCAATGAAAATAAATTAAAATAAGACCTTCATAGAAATTAAAATAATATTTATGCTCTTAAATTTCTATCTTTGGTGAATTCAGTAATTCTTAATGACCCTATTTCTTATTTTGAATTTGAGTAGAAATTTTATGAAATGATCTTGAAAGAAAATAGAAAAGAATAAATTGGTAAATAATTAAATAATTTTTTCAAAAATTTATTTAATTTTAAAAAATAAATAAGATGAAATTAACATACTTTCTATATTAAATGGGAAAACATCAAGTTTAAATGTTTCTTACTTCAAGGAGGAATTTGAGATTTACTCTTTTTCTACTGGAACTCCTTAGATTTTTGGTTATAACTTCTGGGAATTTTAATAAGTTAAAAAGCTTGACTAAATTATGCCTTCAATAATTGCTCAAGGTCATAATAAGTTTATAAATAATTTGTTTGAGAAAAATACATCTACAGTTATTAGGAATTATAGATACTTTTTTGCTAAAAATAAATAGCACTTTCTATTCCCTGTTAAAACCTATATAAACTATTTCTTTTTGAATGAGGAAAAGCTTTCTTTTAATTGTCTTTTTCTGAAGCTGGAAGAAAAATATATGACAATTATGTCTGATCATAAAGGTTAAATTTAAGGAGTTTCCTAAAATTTTTACAATCTGATGGCTTTAATTTGCTAATAAGAATTTGATGTTTAGAGATTAAACGGAATAAGTATTAGTTCTATAATTCCATAATTCGAAGCTTTAGCCAAAGATATACTCAAATAAATGAAGCAAGAATAGACTAAATTCTACAAATCTGAAACCATTATTTTGAGAATGGAACTTCCAAAAGGCATTCATTTATTAATTTATTTTTATTAGAAATAATTATTTTTATTCTTAATTTAATAATTTTTTTTTTATTAAAAGAATTGGAAAAATTTTTAAAATAGCATAAAAAGCTTTCATCTGATTTACACTAATTAGAAAATTTTGATTAGAATGAAGGCAAAAAACAAACAAAATTAAAGAAAATATTTTATTTTATGCTGCAGAAGCAATTTTAAAAAGAAGAAATTGAAAAAGAGTATCTTAAAATTACTATGAAAATAAATACTGAGTTGTATAAATTCAGTGAAGAATTGTTACCATTCTTTTATATTTCTATCAGCAGTTTTTAATTAGTCACAAGTTAAGAAAGTTAACATACAGAAAGCGATTTAGATTCTCAAATGTAATTAGTTCCTTTGAAAACTGCAGTAAATGACATAAATTTTTTAACTATTGTAAGCTTAATTAAATGTTTTTCAAAAATTTTTCATTTATAAAAATGATAGAATTAACTTTTTGATTATTCATTATTGTAATGTTAATTTCATCATTTTTTTTTTAAATTAAATTTATTTTTTCTAATTTTTTTATAAGTAAATCTGTGGTTTTTTTATCAACACCTTATTAATATTAAAAGGCTGACAAATTTAGGAATAATTGTATTGATTTGAAATTACAGAATTTAGAAGTTTTTGTAAATTTAGTTTATTTTTTTGAAATAAAAGCTAAATTCTTTTTTCTTTAAGAATAAATAAGACTCAATAGAAAAAGATATGACATTTAAAATGAAATAAAATCTTAAAAACATTTTTGAAAATAAAATAAATTTAATAAGATCTGAGTCTTGTGATATTGAAGAAAATTAAACAGATTAAAATTATACATGCACTTAAATAAATTTGTTAACAAGGAATTAGGGTTATAACAATAGAGCTCCTCATTTAAACACTTAAGTAAATTAAAATAATCAAAAATTATATAACTTAAATTAATTTAATAAATCATAGAAAAATGGAAATCAAAAATTGATGAATAATGATAAATAAAAGAATAACAGAGATAGATCTGATTCATTGTAACCAATGAATTTTATAAATTTGTAAGAAAGATTTTAGAGTAATAAAAGTAAAGAATAAGAAAAGATAGATAATTCTGAATCTAAAAATAACCAAATTTTAAAAAAATATATATAATTGATATAAGGCGATGTTTAAAGTAAAACAAAATCATTTAGCATTTAATAAACTCCAAAGACTTCATAAAAAGAAGAATTAAGAACAAAATCTAAATCTTAAGATATGAGTTATTTTAAAACATAAAAAAAAGATATGTAATAAGACACCATTTAAATATAAAAAAACTTATTACCTGCTAAATTAAAAGAAGATGAAAATAAATTTAAGGTAAATTGTTTCAAATTTTTTTAAATTCACATAGATTTTTTAACTTAAAAGAATGAATCAGTTGATTTTGAAATTTTCAAAATTACAAAATAAAAGAGTCAGTAATCATTAAGTGTGATTGATAACAATTAAAAAGATATTTCCTTACCTAGACCTAGAAGATCTTCTTTATTTTCTAACTAGAAGGAATTAATAACAAATTTACATACATAAAATGATAATTTTGCTGATGCTTAAATCTAAATGCTGGAGCATAAAATTAAAACTAATCCAAAAATAGCCGAGCATATAAGTATTGAAGAAAAGTTTAAGGTAAAATTATTAATTATTATTTAAAAACTTATTAAAATTTACCTAGGCTGAAAACATAGACAAAGAAGTTTTAAATAAAATAAAAGAAAAGAGAAATTCGTTTTTAGATTAAGAAAACAGTAATCTACTATTAAATCCATAGATTCGAAGTAGAAAGTCATCTATATTTTCAAATGAGAGATAATAAGATACTGATTAGTAGTAAGATTTAACAAGTAACAATTAATGTGAAATTTAAGAAATTAACCAAGAGCTTTTAACAGCTAAAGATGAAAATCAGTTTGATAAACTGCTTAGTAATGATTTCTAAATTATTCACGAAGTTAGCCTTGAAAGTGATTAAACATCTTCTTCTAGCTAAAGTTAAGGAAATAAAAGCAAAAATCTGAAAGGTTAATCTTAAGAGTATTCTGATAAGAAATAAACAGATTTAGAAATTGATGAAAGCAGTTCTAGTTCTAATTAATCAATTAACAGGTAATTGACTATATTAGCTTGTAAATCTGTAAATACTAGTGGAAGAGATGATTTCTTTTAAAGCTAATAGTCTTTTAAAAGCAAATAGTCTTTTAAAAGCAAAAAGTCTTTCAAAAGTTAAAAATCATTAAAAAGTAAGCATTAAAAAAAGACAGAACCATAAATTAATTACAATACTAGCAATAATGATAATACCAACAAAGACGAATGGGAAGAAAAAACTATAGCAAATAACCTATTAGCTAACTAGCATCAAATAGTTTCAGACTCAACACACCCCAATGAAAAAAAACTTTAGCTGGTATGATTTATTTATATAAAATTTTTATTTTTAATATATATTAAATTAAAGGCTGCAAAAAGTGAAGAGATTTTTGCATATATAGGCAAAAGCTATTTGATGTATTTATTTAACTGGCTGATATACTTTGTTGTAGTTATATTTTCTTATGTTTTAGTAATTAGATTCTATAATGATTTTAAGTATTTACTCTAATTTGAAAGTCTCTCAGCTTAATTACAAGTTTCTTACTCAAGATGTCTTGAGAGTTTTACATTCTAAAATTAGCTTAATTTGAATTTTATAAATGCTTTCTAAAACAACTAATTTAGTACTTAAAATATAGCTGATTATTTTTAATAACGATGCATATAAGATTATCATGATTAAAATGTAAAATCTTTATTAAATAATTATTTTTTTAGTATTTTTATTTTTAAAAGCAACTTTAATTAAAAAACTTAAAATAATTAATATTTATTTATCTTATTGTAAAGGATTTATTAATGAAATTATACTCTGAATAAATAGCTTATGACTTTTAAACGTATTTTTACACCTAACCTATTGAAGCAGTCTTTAGAAAATAACCACCTTAAACTATGACTTTATAATTATTTGCTAATTTAGCATCTGAAGCTATTTATACATTATTAGAATCAGAAAATAAACTTAAAACTGATTATTTTTAGCTAGTGGATAATTTAATTGAATATGTTAAAAATGGTTATTAGATAAATGATATTTTGTAACAAGAATTCTTTCAATAAAAAGACAATTTAATGAGAAATCTGATAACTTTCCTTATTATAGGAAACATATTACTTATCATTTAATTTATAATCATGATTTATTTGTAGTACACTTTGAGGATAAAAATAAAACTAATTTTAAACGTTATTTGTAGAGTCACCGATGAAGAAACATAAAATTAAATTAATTTAATCCATACAACCCAAAATTTAATAACTTCTGAAAATCTTAGTTTCTTAAAATTCAATTTTAGAAATCTAGTCAAGGAAGTTGATAATTTTAAGATTTCAGAAAAGTTTTTATTTCTGAATCAACATAATCTTTTATAAATACCAGCTCAGAGGGTAAAAAAGAATAACACTAGTAAAGAATCATCAAATAAATTTTCATCAACTTACTTAAATGACAGAATATCTAATAATTACTTAAATACTAACATTAATTTTATTCTTATATCATCTTTGCTTGTATTAGCTAGCATCATAGGAGTATATTTATTTTATTTTTTTATTATTTAATATTAAATATATATCAATAGATTTATCTAATCGTAGAGAATTTTTCATAGAAAACAACATAACCGACTTCATACTTGAGCAACTACTACGGTTTAGCATAACAACTTTCTACTTTATTTTTGGTTGATGAAATAATTATTTTTGATAAAACTTACAAATTATAAAGCTTAAACCCAGCCTCTCATTCTCTTCCTTTTCCTATAAATTAATTTATCATATAACCTAGTCAAATGGCAGATTTTTAGGAATTTAGGAGCTAATTAGTCTCATAAGTTGATGGTTTATTTTCTATTTTTAAAAACACAAATTATAATTAGATTTTTGATGATGCATCTAGTGAAATTTAATATATAAATTAAGTCGGTTATTGTAATAATAAATACTTATCTCTGTCTTAAATTGAATAGTAAATGTGTGAAAGCTCCAGTACATAAAATGGATTAATCAATTCACTTTAAAATTCATATTACAGGTTTTATATGAATGATTACTAAAATTTGAATACCTTATAAGAGGCTACCTAATATATAAACCAACAATCAAATATTTAATAAAATGTTGAAGACTCATTAGAAATCACAATTTTGACATAGCTTTTAACATAATTAAATTCAACAGTTCTCAGTATTTCAGAAAGCTAATTAACAATTCTAATTTTTTACATTTGTGCTATATTAACAGTTTATTCTATTATTATTATTGGATTGACATTTAATTATTACAATGATGTAATTAAAACTTTAAAAACTGTCAGAAAGGCTCTGTTACTGATACCATTTAATAGGATAACTAATGATACTTAGACTCTTTATATTATATAAAATATTTTAAATGTAAAACTGTGATTAATTAATATTATTTTCTTATGTTATGTTTATTTAAACTGATTGATTAAATTGTAAATGATTTTAAAAACGTAAAATTTGCTAAATTTTCTATAAATTTTGAAAAATTTAAAATTTAATTTGTGAAAAAAATTTTAAAGATACCCACATTAAATTACAGTACTGAAGGTAAATATTTATTTTCTATTAAATAAATAAAATTCTTTGAAACAAAATAAAAAATTTTAAAATATCTTATTTTTATTTTTTAAAATTATTTTTTTTGAATAATTTATTAAAAAGAAAAATGTTAAAATATTCTTTTTTTATCATACGCCAAACAAACATCCAGAAAATTTTATACATACTTGTTAGCTTATTAAAATGAGTTTTTATGTAAAATATAATTTATTCATAAATAAAATATAAAAAAATATAAGGAGATTCACTAAAAATTAATTTTTTTATGTTTTTTATAAAATTTAATTAAGTCAATATAAAGAGGATTATTTATGGCTTCTTTTAGAAAATTTAAAACAGCCAAATGTTCTTCTTTATTTTGCACTTTACTTTAATTTAGCCACAGAATCGCCCTATATTTAAGATAATACTCAAACAGTGGTTTATAACAAGATTTTTCTATGATAAATTTTAGCTTCATATTCCATCTTTTTCCAAATTTAGCAATACTTCTTTTTATTATTTTTTTGATTTCTATATAATTATATGTTTTTTTAGTAAATTAAAATATAAGTTATTATTCTTATAAATCTAAATTTTAGACGAATTTTTGAAATGACTTTAGTATATTCTTTACCACGTTATTATGTTTTGCTGACTAAAAATTTTAAACAATCTATTCAAAATTTTCTGCTTTAGTTTTACTATTAAAATAAGCTTATCTTAATCCTTATTATTATTGTTGGTGCTATTATTATTCAATAGTGGATTCTTTAGATACCTCAAGGAATACATCCAGAAGGTTTGAATTTAGAAAATCTTGAATAGAATAAGTAGTTGATGATAATTCCATAGTTAAATAAAACTTAATATTATCAGGTGATTGTCTATCGTATATATGTTTTGATGCTAATGAGAGATAATTATTAGATTTAATCTATTTGGATAAATGTTTTATATATGGGTGTGTGATATTGGTATTTGAAAAACAATTATTTGTAGTTATTAATTATTATTTCTTATCAATTTATTATCGTAAAGGTCTAACTTTTAAACTTAATTTAAAATATATGTTTGCTTTATCAAAGTAAGGTTTATTATCTATCTCACTGATTTGACGTATATCATAAATTTATATTTTTATTTACATTTAATGATTAACAATGAGTATCAGTGATTAAAACTTTACAATTATTGTTATTATAAATGATTTTAATTTTTTATATAAAAAAATAAGAACATCTACTTTGAAAACAATGCAATTGGCATTTTAATTAAAACATTTTCATTTATTAGTTTAGGTTGTAAAATGAATTATTTTTAATTTAGAAAAAACAATAGTTATGATTCAATCTTCCTTTAATCTAAAATTTAGTTTATTGAGATTATCTTAATTAAACATAAAAATCACAAAAGAAAATTTACAATCTAAATGAATTGTAAAAAAATAGTTTGCTAGTTATCTGATTCAATTTAAAAAAGTTTTTAATTAGTTTTTTTAGAATCTGTATGTATAATTTTCTCTCTCAATCATTTTGGATTAATTTTTATAAGTAATTTAGGAAATTATTCTAAAATCAATTTATACTGTTCAAATATAGTCAAAATATTAAAAATAAAATTATTATATTGCTTATTTGATATTTAATGTTAGAAGTAGCCATGATAAATATTTATAGTATTATTTTAAACAATATCTAAAAATTTATTATGTGGTTAAATCATAATAAAAATGTGGCTATTTTAACTAATTTACATTAATATCAAAGATATATTATCTGAGTAACTATTATTGTCATAATTATTGATATCTACATACATATTTACAGTTATTTAAGTTCAAGAATATATATTTTTAAATATTTTTACACTTTCAGATTCCATGAGACTAATTAAAAATTTAAATTAGTAAACCAATTAATTAATTCTTTTTTGTAAAATAAATTGGTATATTTTTAATAAAATTGAATAAAATGATTGGGGAATTGCAGATTAATTATTGGAAGATAAAAAATCTTGCCTTTCATTTCTTTGTAAAAGCAAGTAACTTTTAAAACTAAAAAAAAAGGGGGATTATTGATCTGGCAATTAAAATTTCTTTTTTTATATTTTGCCTTAAACTAAAAAACATCAAAGACTACCCAGTATATTTTGACAATTATTTGAAAAATAAATATAAAATTTATATAAAGAAGTTAATTCAATAAAATAGTGGAAGAGTTAACGAATTTTCATGATTTTTATAATTTCTAACAAAGCTTATAACTAACAAATTTTTTCTTTCTGATTTAAATAAAATAGCTCCATGAATCAAAAATATATTGGACCTTATGATAATAATAGCAAAAATGCATCTTTTTATTAATTATTTTATTTGTCATATAAGCTATTTAAAAACCTTATCTTGATTGAATTGAAATCATAATCTATCAATACATTTTAGTATATTTTGTAAGCTAGTTTAAGTAAACAAATTAAAAATTTAATTTAGATCAATATTATTTAGAAAAATAAAATTATCAAATATTCATTAAGCAAGATTATTATCTAATAATACTTAATAAAAAATATTATATTTAAATTTAATTTAAAATATATCATATGAAATTCATTTTATTTATAATCTTTTCTGTGAAATAACGCTTGATTTAAAATAAATATATTGATATTTATTATTAATTTACTGCCAACAACATAAATTATATTTTTCGTTTAATTTTTTTATATTATAAACTCATTCATAAATAACTGCATAACTTCATGAAATGTTAATTAAATACAATATTTTAAACACTTTTTATTTTGTATAAAAAAAAAAGTTAATTCAATTACTAGCTTATTTTTGAAATAGTGTAAGACATCTTAATTATAAATAAAAAAATAATTTAATCAGCGTATGATTGCAATAGCCTATTTCCAAAAGTTAGTTTAGTTTTAAAAATTTGTATTTTCTTTGACATTCTCAATCTTTTAAATTTGCTTTTTCGAATTTTGGATCATAAAAAAAATGCTTATTTTTTTACAATATAAAGTTTGCCATATTTATAAAACTATTATAACCTTCTATATTAGAAAAGTTCAAGCATAAAAAATTCAATTTGAAAAGAAAAAAATACTTCATAAAGATATTTCTAAATATTAACTTATATTTTAAAATAAAATAATAGAGATAAAGAAAACTAAATTAGTTTACATTATAAAATATGATTAAATATCTTTAAAATGTCTTTTCAACAAAAATAATTTTATTAAATTATGTCTAGCTAACTATTGCAATAGATTAATTGATATTCCATATCTAACATTTGACCACTTAAATTATAACAAATTCATTATATTTTTATACAAACCATCCTATTTTATCATCAAAAAATTATTATAAGCTAAATAGAATTATCCTTGAAAAGATTATTTGGAATAGATGAATTTTAGATATAAATTATTGTATGAGATTTATTAATAATAATACAAAGAAAACATGGAGGGAATATTAAATAAATTTAAATAAAAGAAAGAAATATACAAAAATATTAAAAATATTTGTCAATGATCACTTATTTTAAATAAAATCAATAACAAGTTAATATTTTAATTTTATAAACATTTTGTGATCAAAAAGTTATTTATATTACTACATTATTACACCTGTTCAAAAAATATGTATATTTATAATATAATTATAATATAAAGAAATTTTTAGCAAAAATACTCTTTTATTTAACCATCAATTAACTTCTGTTAAGATAATTAGTCGAGTGAGTGAGTGTGTCTAAAGTTAAGAAAAACAAACAAACAATTAAAAATTTATTTAAAAAATTATATTTTTAATTTAAAATAAAATTCAAGGGAAAGTAGTAATTAATTGTTAAATACAATAAATTATTCTTAATTAAAGCTATTTCTTATAATTCCAATATTTAAAAGACTAAGACAAACAACGTTGAAAAAAAAATGTATTTATTTTTTTAAATAAAAAATTTTAGAAATTTTTAAATTTAATAATATGTGTATGTTCTTATGTTTTACCTCCATATGTATATTTTTGGATATTTTACTAAAAATACTCAAATGTTTTAAAACTTATGAGAGATGAACTATTATTAAATATTAAAATTATTATAATATTAAATATAACTTTTGTAATATTATACAATTTTACTAGTTACATTTATTATTTTTATCTGTTTATATTTATTCTAGAAATATTGAAAAAACCTTAATCTTTTTTATTTTTAAATTCATATAATATTTAGTTATTAAATATATCTAATATTAAAATGCTATGTAAATTTTCAGAAATCTCTAAAATATAAAATGAATCGATTGTTTATGTATCAATAATTATTATTAGTTTATCTATCATAAGCATTAAAAATGTTTGAAAATGAAAAACAATTAAATTGGTTTTATTGTAATAAAAATTAGCAGCTCAAAAATTTTTAAAAATTAGTTTGTTTATTTTTGAAAAAAAATATTAAATATTTATTTATTTAGTTATTTATTTATTTTAGAAAGTGTGAGTTGAAATTTTTTAAGATATTAGTTAATCAAAAACAATTACTTAGATTATTTTTATAATTTTATAATTATCAGATAAGAAATAAGATGGAAGAAGTTATTTTCAACAATCTCAAAAATTAAATTAACGATAAAGCTTTATAAATTATTAAAGAAAAAATAGATAAAAAGTCATATAATTCTAATGATGCTCAAAGGTGGACTAACTAATTATGCGATGATGTTTTAAAATTTCTCACTACTTTAAATAAAAACTTTAAATTTATTGTAAACTGCATGATCATGCAAAAAAGTGATGCAGGTTTACATATTTCTGGTTCTTGCTATTGGGATAATGAAATAGATGGCAGTTTGGTAGTAAAATATGAAACTAACTCAATAGTTTGTATCATGAATATATTTGGGTGTGCTTTGTGATTAAAATAATAGTTTGAAACTTTTTAACATAAAACGCTAATGAATTATAAATTAGTTGAGAAGTTATTTAAATGATTAAGCATAAAATTAAAGCTAGTTAGCTAGTTATTTATTTAGTAAGTTAGTTAGTTTTTTATTGTTTTAAAAATACCTAAGTGCTAACATTTAAATTTAGTTTAGAAGAAAAATTAATACTTGTATTTTAATCTTTCATATTAATTCTTCAAAGAAAATGTATTAATTAAAGCATGTGTTTTAATAATTCTTAATAAATTTGAAGAGCTTATTTTTAATGCTTATTTGTCAATTATTTCTTCTTTTTATTTTTTCAGTTTTTCAAAATAATTAGTTAAAATTATTTTTATAAATTCTAATAAAAAAATAGTTTTTAAAGAGAAAATTTTAATTAAAAAATCAATCAATCATTCATTCATTCTTATTTTATTTTAGAAGATTTAAAATTTTCTTTTTCTAAATAGTTTATTCAATTTTTCTAAGAAATGTGGGTCAAATACATACATAATCAGAAAAATTTTATTTTAGATATTTTTCAGTAAAAATAAAGGCTACAACAAAGTTTAAAAAATGCAGTCATAAAGCTATTTTTACTTCAGGTTAATAGGAATTCATCACAGGTTAGATTGATTTTGATATTGTGAATGAATGATTAACTAAAATTTCTCTCTTTTTAGCATATTAGCTAATCAAAGAAAGAAGTATAAAAGTATTGTTTTCATTATTTGTTGATTTATTCTTAAGAATGGCAAAAGATAGGATGATTTTTCTTTCAATGTTAAATACATTAGTTGAATAAGTAATTTAAGAAGGTCAATATTTTAAAAAAAAGTAACTATAGTGCAAGAAATACCAACATACATGATCTCAATTGATAAACTAACTAATCTTGATAATAACATTATTGCATTATAAATTATTTTCTTAATTATTTTTGGCATAATAAATCAAAAACTATTCACAACACATGCTACTATTTATTTAACTATATCAATACAGAGATCGAAGTAACGCTTTTAGAATCCTTTCATTAGGTTTTGTCATCAAAGCCTCTGAAACGAGTAACTCTGATAGAATTTTCAATGTATGAAGCATTATTTCTTCCTTGAACTCCAGGAATAAAAGATAAAGTGGAAACAACTAAATCAGCAGCGTTACCAAGTATAGAGTGAATACCTTGAATAGTTTCGAACTTGTTCAAACCCCACCAGAATTTTAAGGGGTAAGAAGCGAAATGCTTGTGGACAGATCTTTCGTTATGATAATCTCTTTCAACTTTTTTGAAGGGATCAGAGCTCATTTTATTTGCTAATAAGTTAATGTATCTATCTATCTAAATTATTATTAATCTTTAATTTTATTAATTTTTTCCTAAGAAATGGTTTATTTTGAATAAATATCTTAGTTCATAATAAAATCTATGCTTAATAAATGAAATTTCATTAAAATAAATTATATTTATAATTCTATTTCAATTATTATCAATCAATCAACACAAATTATTTATTACTTTGGTATTAATCGAAGGAAAATTTAAGTCAGTCATTAAAATCAATTTATTTATAAATATAAATATGTTTTTTAAATTAATTTTTATATTTTATAAAAATAGAATACATTTAAATATTTCAAAAAGAAAAAGTTATTTTTGTTGTATCTATTAAAATGTATAATTCAATTTAAGTTAAAACATAATCTATCACTAGCTTTTTCTAATACTGATTTATTTATTTATAATAATTATTTTTAGGTATTTAATTTTATAAATCTTTTTATTGAAAAGAACAATTTGTATTAATTAAGTAATTAATTCTTTACTTATTCCACATAAAAATATTTTATTTTAAAAGTAATTAATTAATTTACAGCTTTCAACATTTTATTATTTAATTTTTATGAATTTACAGTTATTATAGCTCAGTTAAATATTGATTTCAATATTAGAAGACATTATATTTATATTTAGAGATAATTTTAATTTACATAGATAGATTACTCATTTAGTGATTAAGATTTACCAAGTATTTAAAATTAAAATTATTCATTAACTCACTCACTCAATTCAATCACTAATTCATTGATTCATTCATTAATTTTAAACTTTAATATGATTGTATTTGAAGCCAGAAATTATAGTTATTTATTAACTTATTTATTTTTAATTTTGCTCTTACGATTTGGATAAAATAATATTTTTTAATATATGAAAATAAAACTAGTAAAATTTGTTTATAAAATTTTCTTTGTTGATCTTTTTTAGAAGGAGAAGAAGTATGATTTTTTTATTTATTTAGTTAGTTATTTATTTATTTATTAAGTACAATTAGAGAAATGTTTCAATAGAATTAATAAGTCTCAGATATCCTAGTATTGTGTATCAAAGCTTCTATCTTCATCGTCTTCCTCTTCACTTATAACCTCTATTCCTTCATTTTCGTTGGATCCTCCTAGACAAGAACTGAATATACCTCTTTGATTTCTATCGTATATTATTTCCAGAAGAGTTCTTCCATTTTAAATTTAAATACGGTCTAAGTCTTATGTGATCTCTAAGTCATCTCTCATCATGACTAAACTTCCAAATTTAGATTCTCTGTCTTTGATATAGAGCTAATGAGTTTCTGAGTCATAAGTTAACTAAGCATGCTAGCGAGAAACAGAAATATCTGAAACCCTTATATCAGCATCGTGAGCTCTTCCAATTGTAAAATGGTTTTTACCACTTAATTTGAGAATATAAACTCCAAAGGATTATAACTTACTTCCTGTATATGCTTCTAAAATCAAATACGGAGAACCATCTTCTGGTTTAGAATAATCTACAATATCATAAATTTACCCCTCTGAGTTGAATTTAAAATGGTACTTTGTTTTGCAAAGCTCGCATTCAAAAAATTTACTTAAAAGGACTATACAATTTTAATTTTAGTAAGAACTCTATATTTTGCTTCTTACCCAATACTGAATGCATTTAATATGAACAAATTTCATGCTTCCTGTACATTTACATGGATTTACAAAAGGATTATCAGAATCTGCTTATTCACTCAAGCATATTTTGCACATAGGAACAAATCCTCCCTCAATATTATTATTATTACTCATATTTGTATTGTTAGTTATATCCTTTCCTAAATCACCTTTGCTAGGGATGTTTGGATAAGTACCCTCTTTTGTAAAACACTATAATTACGAGCAGTTAGTTCCTTGCTCTTCATATTTTTGCTTAAAATTACTAAGTTATTAAACAAAAGCTTATTGTTATGGATTAGTAGTGGTATTCTTGTTAGTTGGGTTGTTAAGGGAATTAAGTATGTTAGAGTTAGGTTTAAGTTGAAATTCTTCTAAATTTTTTGCGCTTCTTATTGTCAGCATTTCAGTAATACCCTCCTATTCGCTTACAAATTCTGTTTACTCTTCAATGATTTTTTTTATTTGCTATAAATTATATTATTAAAAGAATTAAAATAATGTATTTAATAAATAAAATCAATGATTTTGATTTCTAAAAAACTAATTTGGTGAACAACAATTACTAAATTATTTTATTTTTAAATTTTAACAGCAGAAATATCACTATCATCATCATTAATTTTGTGATAATAAATTAATTATGAATTATAAGTCCTTCACTATATTCCACAAAATGTGAAAAAAGAATTTAAATAATTTATGACACAAGATGAAAATCATTTAAGTAAAAACTAAGGAGTAAAAATTGTAATTTTAGTAATTAATTTAAAAACTTGTTTTTAATAATGAAAAATGTTATTAAAAATTGATTAACTAGTGTTTTTTTATTAGAGTTAAAATAAGTTATTTTTATGTTTAAGATTAATTTTTAATGAAAGATGGTTGATAAATGATTTAAAAACACTTTCTCTCTATTTTTTGATACATATTTGCTTTTTTTTTTAAAAAATGATCAGATTTCCATTTATAATTTTGCTTTTAAATATCAATTTTTATGTTATATTTAAATTTTTTACGGTTTGAACTTTTTTTCCTGATTCGCAGATTTCTCTCACCTTGAATTTTAATCTGCCAAGTTTAATAAAATCGTTTTCGATTAGTCTAAACCCTTTTTTTCTTTAATTTTGTACAGATTTTATTACTATCCAACTGCTTTACTAGGAAGGCCTCATCTCTGAATCGAAAGTCTACTAAAGGAAGAATCTGCCACATTCATAATGAACTTTAAACAAGTCTACCTCTGAATTATTTTTACCGTTATTTGCATTTTAATTGGCTTAAATATTTTCTCCATTAATCTATCCAATATATTTTTTATTTTTTTTTCTATAAACAATTTAGTCTTTGCTTAGAGTTAGTGTACCTGAGGATTTAATTTTAAAAATAGATTGCTTATTATCGTTGTTTTCATAATCAAAAAGAGAATGGGAATCTTTATTCCAAATCGTAGTTTTTATTTTTACAAACTTCTATGCAGGATTTAGTTTATTATTCAAATTATTGATAGCATCATTTGATTCTTTATTTGTTGTAATTATATCATCTCTTTAACTATTATAAGCTTTCGAAGCATTTGTACCGATTGATAAAGATTGATTATATTCCTATTAGTTTTTTTGCTTAATTTGCTCTAAATTTATTCCATCCTTTGCATTCTAAATTCTACTTTATTATCTTTATCCTAAAAAATACTTTTCTAAATCTTGTCCCTGTTCAGGAGATTCTGTTGTTAAACCTAGTTGACAAATATTTTAGCAATTTCCCATTTTTATAAAAAAATTATTAACTTCTTATTTAAAGCTTAGTCTTTTTTTAACAAGTTATTTATTGGTTAGCTAATATTTCTATTTAGTTTATTAATAAACTATTTATTCAATTAATTAATTAAAAAGTATGGGATTTGCGTTCAATGAAAGTAAATAAATATTCATTATAATTAAAACAATCAATCACTAGGAATAAATATCATTAACAAAAAGATTGGCTAATTGAACTTGAGTATACTCAATTTTTTTTTTTGATATTTTTAATAGGTGAATGATTATTATTTAGCTACTGCTATTGATTTTTTAAGATAAATATTATGCAAATTTGTTAAATCACTTTTCAAAATTAATATCTATAATAATCATTTTCACATATTGATTCATTTAAAAATTAGTGGATAATTGTTTATAACTCACTCACTCTTAAATAATTTAGTAAATTCTAATCTTCATCAAAGTCATTTAAATATTAGTTTGTGAAATTAACTCCTTTTATTTAAAATAAAAGCCCCTCACTTTTTAATAAAACTAAATTTATTCTATAGATATTATGGCTACAAGCAATATTATTTTTTATTATAAATAATACATTTTTTGGATTCTTAATAATAAATTTTTTCTCATTTTTGAGTGATTGATTTTAAAAAAAACCTAAATTTAAATATTGCTACTTCAATCATATTTTTATTAATAGAATTTTAATTAAAAAATGATTCAACAAATGGTTTCTTTTAAAAGTGGCTCAACTATTGAAAAAATTTTTAATTGATCATTTTTAGTAGAATAAAAATTAGTATTTAGATCGATAAAAAGCATGCTTAAAATTAAAATTATATTAGGAGTTATAATAAAGTATTAAGTTAAAATTACATTAATATCTTTTAATATGATCGCTTATCAGCTTGATAACTAATTTTATGTTTATTTTAAATAAAATATTGTGCTTATTTTAAATAAAATTTGGTCATTTATAGCAAATATAAACACTTCGTTTAAACCTCATGATATAAAATTTAAATTCAAACAAAGTAGCATTCTTACAGAAACCTTTAGCATATATTTTACATTTTATAATTTTATTTAAAATTTAATTTCTAAAAAATTAGAAAATAAATTTAATTTTTCATTTAAAAAAGAAATTATAAGATTTTTATTTTTTTGAATTAATTTTTCATGAAAAAAGATGATATAATTTTTTAAAGGTTTTGGAAATAAATTTATACAAACCAAAAATTATTTTTTGAAGAAAATATTTTATAGCTTATATATAAACTAACAATTTATATCATCTATTATTTAAAATCTATAAAAAATTATGTACAATTTTCATATGAAAATTGAATTAATTAAATGTATGTATTAATATATATGATCTCTTTACTGTAAATGAGTGATAAAGGAGTGGCTCTCTATTCTATTTAATTAAGTTTAAAGTATCCTTTTAGTTAGAAATTAAATTATCAGAATAATTTTATATTAATTAAATCTATTCATATCTATTTTTTATTGGTTCTATTATACATTCAGTGAAACATTTAGATTAATTTTAAGGTAAAAAAATATTTTGATATTAGTTATTTTTCTTTATAGTTTTAAAGTATACTTATTACACTAGTTTATATTTTATATGCTCTATTTTTTACCTCAATTAAATATGATTTACTTTTTTTTAGAAAAAAATTAAACGAATACATTATTTTTTATTTTTTTTTCAAATAATAAAATATTTAATAAAAAAAAACTATTTCAATTAAATTTTAAGAGTTTTCATATGTATTATTTTTATTTTTCATATTTAATAAAGTTAATCGATATATTTTTAGTATATAAATAATTGTTTTAATAATTTTATACTTCAGCTTCTCAATTATTAATGACTTTTAATAAAAAATATTTTTATAGAATTAAAATATTATTTCAACTTAAAATTGAAGTTAATCATATTTAAAATTTGTTTTTTATTCATAGTGTATCTTTTTATTTATTCTACTAAACTGGTTAAAATAAAAAACTGTCATTTATATTATGGTCAATTTCTTTAGAGTCTAACCTTAATTAATTTTTAGCTGCAAATGTGAATAATTTCAGGTTAAAGTATTATTATAATTAGTTATATTGACAAGTAAAATAAGATAATAGCTAATATTGCAAGATTAGTTTTTGTTTATAATTTTTTATGTAAAACGCAAGGTTAATTATTTAATAAATTAAGGAAATAAAGCTAGATACTTTTTACACAAGTAGAATTTTGAAGAAGTATAAAAAAGTTATAAATAAATATAGCAATTTAATATAAACTATCAACCAAATAGATAAAAACAATGGCAGATACCTTTAATATTCAAAAAGACTCAGAATTTATTATAAAAGAACATGTATAAAAATCCTTTGTTAATTTGATTAATAATTGTGTTACAAAATAAAAAAAGGAATTCGCAAACATGAGTGTAATTTCGCTAAGAAAAGCTTAGAAAGAGAATAACTCAAGTAATTAAAAAAATCAATAATTATTTTCACTAAAAATAATCTATTTTCCTTAAAATAATAATTTACAATAGATAATTACTGCTAAAAGATGCAAGATAGCCTAATTATGGTAATTATTAACTTTAAAACTTTCTTATAACTTATAAATTAATGTAAAAAAAAAAGGATTCAAGCACAAAAGGGTATACTAAAAAAAAAGTATTTAATTCTCTAAGTAAAGGTAAAGCTCATAAATAATAATATTTGATTAAGCTGATTGATTTTCAAAAAATAAATATAAAATTATTTCTTTTTTTCTAAGTCATTTTTATGAATTCAATAAGAATTTATTCAACCAACTACTTATATAATAAATAAATAAATAAATTAATTTCTTATTAATTTTCTATAATTAAAAAGAAAATATTTTTTTGAAGAAGAAAGAATTTGAAAGGCCTTTAAGTACACCTATTTATGCCTTTGAAAAGAGTTTTAAGTCAAAAGAATATAACTTATCAATAAATACACAGAACTTATTGTAAGTAAAAACTAAACCCAGTTTAAAAAATATTGAATCAAACACATTAATAAATGATATTTCACGTTCAAAGATTAACATTTAAGATAAAAATTAAAGTATTTAGTCTCCCTAATAAGAAAATAATACTTAAAGATCTAGAAGCACAACATAAAACTAGATAAATCTAAATAATACTAATAATAATAATAATAATATTATTCCAAACATAGTAATAAACAGTATCAACTACTAAAATCCAGAATTACAATAAAATTTAGGAATGACAAATAGAGATGAACTAATTTCAGAAAGATCTTTCAGAGTAAATATGAGAAGGAAAAGTGCTGAATAACACGACGATCGTATAAATTAATATATCAGAAAATATCACAATCTCAAAAATATAATAAACCACCATGAAATCCAAACATAAAAAAAAGCTGAGGAGTTAAAATAAATTTAAATTAATTTACAAAAGAAAAATATATAATAATAAGAGAGATTTAGTTAGCCAAGCAATTCATTTAGATAGAGGAAGAGTGTTTTGATTGCACCTGAGTTTACTTTATTTTAAAATCTATAAAATAAAAAAGAACTCAAAAGAATAGGTAGTGGAAATAGCATAGAATTAAGACCAAAAAGATAAACAATACCATATTCAAATAATTAGTAATTTAATTTAATTTACTCTTTTTTTCATAAGCTAATGAAAATACTTTTAATACTCATTTATTTATTCATTTTTATATTAATGTGTTTTTCTCAAAAAATAGTCCGATATAATCTTTTAATTTACAAGAACTTAAGCTAGAAAAACATAATTCTAGTTAGTAAAGCAGCTAAAATGAAGATCAAAAATTCTTGAGAACCTAATCAGACTTGTCTAAAGTATATGCTATTAATCAATATAAAGAAACTAAAAAAGCAAAAGGAAAAACAAGTTTAGTTGACAATTTGTTAAACTTGTATAGCGGAAATTAAATGAATAATTCTAATCCCTTCTAAAGTTTATCAAACTAAGCTGAAAGATAAAGTAGTTAGAAGGAGTCTTTTTAATATCATTAATAGGCTAGAAGTTCATCAAATAAATAAGGGAATAATACTTCTTTAGATAGGTTAAATAATCATTCGAATCAACTTTTTTAAGAAAAAAAACTAACAAAGTGTACTTCAGAGTAATTCTCTAATTAGAATTTAATGACAGACCCAAATTCTAACGAGGATAGAAAATGTATTCTTTAGAAATAAAATAATGGAACATATTTATTGTAAAAAAAAAACAATTCTTATAACTTTAATAAACTAAATCAAATAGTTTAAACTAAAAATAAATAAGAAAGTTTAAAATAATTTGCATCTAGGCACATAAACTAGTCATTTTCTCTATCTTAAAATAAAGAAAAAGTAAGAAACGTTTTAATTAGCCCAGCTAAGGCAACATATGTGCAAGTTAATACTTTTTCATAATTTTTTTCATAAAAATCACCTATATTAAATCCATAAAAACCAGTTGAAAAGTATTTACCTCCTCTTAATTTTTCAGTAAAATAATAAAATTCTAATAATTTATGTGATTCATAAACTAATACTAAAAGCAATTAAATACTAAAATACTCGACATATTTAAACTATAAATAACTTAACAAAAAAAAATTATATTATTCATATTTATCAAGAGACGCTAGTTATAATGGAAGTACAAGCAACTAATCATCCCAAGAAATTACGAAGACTGAGCCTTCTCCGTAACCGACAAAAAATTATGGCTTTATGAGAAAAATATTTTGAAAAGTTAATAACAATTCTTATAAATAAAAATTAAATATTTTAGTATTAAATTATTACATATTTATTTTATTTTTTTAGGTTATTTCAAATTTTAATATTTTAAAATATATAAGTAACATTAAGAAAAAAAATGGTTATAATATATTTTACTCTAACATAAAGATAAATAAGTTAAAAAGTCATATTAAATCTTTTTATTAATTTTTAATTATCTTAAATCCTTTTTTTTTAATACAGAAAGTTGAAATATTAATCATTTTTTCTTTTATTTATATATTTAATTTGAGATTTTTTTTCATGATAAAGCTCATTAGTATATAAAAAATTATTATTTTTATTTTTTATATTAATAATAGCATTTCTTGATATTAAAATTTTGTTTTTCCTCTAAAATATATTTTAATGTACTGGATTTGAAATTAAATAGTATATCCAATTTTATCATTTGTTGTAAAGTAGATTTATAAAATTGTATCATCAAATTCTAAATCAGATAATATTCAGCTAGATATCTATGTTTTTAGAAAGAAGGAGAAATAGGACAGGTCCTAGTCTAGCTGAGACTTTATTTAAAATAAAATCAAATTAAAAAAAAGTAGAGGTTTACTCCTTATTTTACAAAAATTCTATTTGGGAAAATTTAATAATATAACTACATTTTTATCCATATTAAAGATCTAATAATCTTAAGGTTTTAATTCCTTAAATAAATTAAAATATTTGTTTTTAGAATTGGATACTTTTTTATATTTTTTAGAAAATTTTATTTAAAAGATTGAGTGAAGGTCGTCTTAAAGCCTAATGCCACATCTTTTAAATCCTTATTAACTTCATAATGCTTAAAATATGGTTAGGGTTGGGTTTATTATTGTAGGGTGGGCTATAATTGTGCCTATCTATTATATATTCCAGAATATTTTTTAATTAATTAAATATTTATATATTTTTATTGACTATTCGTTGAGCATTAAATAGCTGGGCTTGTAAAAAATGCACAGGATTTAAGTATACACAATAAAATTTATTTTTCATAAATATTGTTACTAATAAAAATATTTTTACTAAGTTCTTTTAAAAATAATTTATGGTTGTTATCTTTTCTAAAAAATTAATTTTAATTATAATTTTATTAGATTAAAATAGTTTTTGAAATTTTTTATTACCATAAATTACTAAAAATATTTTTTTTAGCCTTTTATGTTCTTATTTCATAATTCAAAACCTAGGAATAAAGATTATTCAGGATAAAGACAATCTGTAAATAAAGAAATATCTCCAGCTAGACCCATCATATAACTAAAAGGATAGTCAGAAACACCAACCATATATCTATCTGGTAAGTCAAATTTATTGATTATATCCATTATTTATTTATTTTTTTATATTTAAAGAAAAGTAAAGCAGTAATAAAGCCATTTTAAGTCTTTAGTAATATTATAAAGAGGTAAAAAAGCATAGGCATTTCCTGAAATTCCATGACAAATACCGTAACCCTTCTTTAGAATACCAAATTTCCATATATCTTCACCTGCCCTTTTAGCTGATTCCAACAAATTTTATGCTCCAAATAATTAAGATCCTAATATTAGAGGAACAACTGCTCCAGGAGAACCATGACAAAATTAAACTAAGAAATCTGTCTCTTTACGATGAGTTCCAGATGGAAAATTTCCAGATTACATTTACAAAGAGGCACAAAATAATATTGATTTCTAAATAAGGCTCTCAACATTTACGTTTTGAATTTATTTAAGTTAAGGGTTTTATTTTATTGTAGCCATAAGAATCTAACAAATTCCAAATAATCCGTGAGCTCCTCCTAGATATTCTCTTTAGTGAAAATTATATGTTAATCTGAAGCCTATATCGTCCTAAAAAATAAAAAAAATATTTTATTTATAAATAAAAAATATTTATAAATTATTACTTCTTTCATTGTATACCCTGCTTTTATGATTATTGTAAAAATTTTTTCTATACATTCAACAAGCATTTTACTTGTATTTGCATTGATCATGGCAGAAAAATTCTTTTATATAAAGAGAAGATTATATAAATAGCCTGATGTACCATACAATATTTCATGATATAACTTAGGAGAATTTTAATTTTTAATTATTTCAGGAGTAAATTCTAAAATCTTTTATAAGTTATTATCAAATTTTTTTTAGTCTTTGACTTCGTTATAGTATATCATAGAGACAAGATAAACTCCAACAGGAGAAAAGAAGAATGTTATATCTCTGAATTTACTTTACTAAATCAAATTTTCTAAAACTTGGATTTATTAGACGATATCCTATTCATATTTTTCTTTCTTTAAATATTATTTTAGCTAATTAGGAGTATTTTATTCAAGAAAGTTTGAATCTGCTTAATTTATTCTTTGGAAAAATAAGAACAGCTTTACATAGGCTATTAAATAGCTTCCAGCTCCATCAAACATATTATATTATACATCAGACTATTTTTATTCTGAAGCGATTGCTCTCTTTTCTCCAACTTTTACATTTTTGTAAAACTTATCGATATCTAAATATTTTAAATTAAATATATTTTAAAAGAAGATTTTAAATATTAATTATAAATTTACTTTCAAGTAGCAATAACAAAATATTCTTTCTTTCCTTATCTAAATTAAAGTTGCTGCCCTAAAAAGGAGGATAAGGATTTTCAATGTGTCTTACTTCCTATTATCTATCCATATTAATGATTGTTTCTAATTTTATCAGGTATTATATAGAAAATACTTCTTTCAACTTTTATTTAATTAATAATAGAAAAGTTTGCTTGCTTTTTACCCATCAAACTAAATAGATGCTATAATTACATAATCTAAGCTAAGAATAGGAATATTTTATTTTTATTTTTAAATAAAATATTTTGAAAACTTAATATATCCTATTAAATTAAAAGCTTTTATTTTTTTATTAAATGCTCAAGTTAAAAACATTTTGATAATTATTTTTAAAACTAAATCAAGTTCTTTTAAAATGTATCTTGATATAATATTATTAATTATATTTTTTAATTATTTTTTTCAATTAAATCAAAGTAAATATGTTTTTATTAGATTTTTTTAGAAGATCATGTAATATTTATTGTGAAATTTAAATTATTTTTTTTAAATTTAAATAAATAATTAAAATTATTTTTTAGAAATTCATTTATTATTTATTTTTGAAAGCTTAAATTTTCAAGAATATTTTAGAAATGTAGGCATCTATTTTAATTCATTTTATTTTTGTTTAACATTTAATTTAAAAGGGACAGTAAATTTTTCAGATATGATAAATTTTATGATAAGGATAGATAAAAAAGTTTTTATGAAAGATTCACAAAATGAAAAAATAAAATTTATTTAGAACAGATCAATTACTATTTCTGCAAATTAATACAAGCATAACTATATGAAAATCGATTATTTAAAGTAAATTAAAAAGAGCTGATATTTTGATAAAAAAAACGAATGTTAGATCGAGTGAATTAATAATTATTTATCAAAATATACTTTAATTTGATTATAAACTATTCAATTTCAAAAAAAATTAAGCAATAAAAAGATGTACCATTCAACAACTCAAACTTTCGCTCCTTTGGCAAGCACAGTAAGAATTATTCCTTAATCACCAGTGATTCTTGGAAATTAACCTATTGAAAGCTTACAATAATCTGCTATGCCTCAATAGCATCCTTACATTGATAATTAATCAGGTCTTAGGGAAAATGAAAAGCTTCATTAAATTAGAGTCTAAGCAGCAAGAATCCAAAAATTAGAAGAAAGAATTTCCCTCTTACTTGAAGAAAATTAAAAGCAAGAATCTGTTGTTAATTTTAAACAACAAGAATCTGTTTAATGGCAAGAAAATTATAACAGTTTGCGCGATGATTTTTGTAAAATTTTTATTAATTTATGAAAAAAGATATTTATATTAGATTAAAATACCATTTTAAACTAAAAATAACTTTAATATAACAGTAAAGAAATCAAATTAAATGAACCAACTTGAAGAAGAAATCGATTAAATTTTGAAGAAATAATCTAAGCTTGTAGATGATATTGAAAAAAATGAACAAGATATCCGTAATTTGCATAACGAAATATATGCTAAAAATGAAGATATCCATTACTGGAAAGATCGTTCAAATTAAGCTCTTTCTGCACAAGCAAAAATTGCAGAACTAGAAAAGCAAATAGATATATTGACTAAAGAAAATTCAAAACTTAATAAATTGTTAATGCAAAGTAACGACTATACATAATGATTGATGTCTTTGTATATTATGTTGCTTACTTTTTAATATTAGCTTTTAGATTTTAAGATATCATTATTCATCAATTCAAATTAATTTAAATAGTTTCAAAAATTTTGTAAAATTTAAATAGTTAATTTTTTTTGGATGAATTATTAAATTATTTTATGGAAATTGTTTTTTACTAAAATTTTTTAAAATGAAAAGAATAAAATAAATTAATTTGAAATTTTATTGAAATAGTTGGTAAATTAATAAAGCATAATACAAAAATATAACAAATAAAATTGTCATCATGAAACAATTAATATTTATTTTATAATATATATTTTTAGTTAGTATTTGTGGTTGATTGATTGATTTATTTATTGATTTGTTGGTTGTTATAATTTTTCATAGATCAATCTAAATTTTATAATTCTTTTCATTGGTTTCTTCTGTTGTTATAACCCATCATCTTATTGCTGTAACCATTGCTTGGGATCATTTGTTTTGCTAAATTGTTGCTATTAGATCCATATGGGCTCATACTATGACTTTGAGAGTAGTTATTATTTTACCCATAACTTTACTATAAGTTATGATTGTTATGGTTAGATAGATAATTACCAAGTGAACCTTGATTAGGATTATTGTAGTTTGATGAGTAACTATTAGAATTTCCATAATTTGGTGAATAGCTTTGGTTATTGCTTGAATAATTAGGTTAGGAGTTGGCATTGGAACCAAAGTTCTGGAGATATCCTTTCTAATTATTCAATTTTTAGTTTACTAAGGTTTGCTTATGATTAAGCAACTAATCATATTAGTTGTGTGAATGAAGTGGGGAGTTATTATTTTGGTTTTATTTTATTATTGGACTCGAATCTCCATGATTGTTATAGTACTTCATAGAGTATCCATTGTTTGCTGAGTTAGGTTAATTCCTAGAATTCAGATTCATCAACTAAGGTTAATATTGGCTTTTAGGATTACTAAAAAGGTTTGATGATGGTGAGGTGTACATATTACCGCTATTTCCACTTAAACTGTTGCTGTACCCTCTATTTGCAGAAGCTACTTCGTTATAGTCTTAGTTTAGTGACCAATCTACAGGTTAGTTATAGTTTTTATTGCTTTGCAATTAAGGAGTTGAAAACAAGTTGCTATAATTATTACTAGGCTAGTAGGAATGCTAACTCTGTGAGAGGTCATATTTTTTTTAAGGGGGCTCAAACCTTTCACTTTGATTGATCCACAGAGAGCTTGGACTTACCACATTATCAAGACTGGATTTTTTGTTTTATTTTTGAGCCATAGAAAAATGATCAATAGAATCAGAATTATTCCAATTTTATTCATATGGGTTGTTGTTTTTCTTTTAATAAATTAATTTAAAATCGGTAACTCATTTTAATTTTAAGTAAATTAAAAGTAGAACCATCAAATTAAATCAAAAAAAAAATAAAACAAAAAATTACAGGAGATCTGGAATTCTCTGAATAATAATTGCTTCTATCTCTACTATTATCAGAAGGTGGTTAGACAATTGAGTTGCTCTGAGCTTTTTTTAAGCGGCTTATTTCTGATTGAAGTTTGTTAATTTAGTTGTCCTTGTCTTTAATGACAGCCCTTAAAGTAATTACTTCTTTTCTCATTTATTCTACTTATTATTTGTCTTTTTATTTATCATCTGCTGCATTTTCTTCTTCATAATCATAATCACCAACACCATCTTCTAATTACTATTAAGCGCTAATCTCAGCATAATTTGGTTCTTCATTTTAACTCGCATTTTTGCTGTTATTAGTATTTTTATTTTTATTATCATTATTATTACTTTTAGCTCCTGCTTTACCACTAGCTGCCTGTGTTCCTTACTTGGAAGCGTTTAAAGGAGAGTTTTAATTATTTTTATTATTTGTTGCTCCTCCAGTTTTTGAATCTTGTAATGGTTTGTCTGTTTGTTTCTAGTTAGCTTTTCCATTTTGTTTAGGTTCAGGTGATTTAATTACTCCTTCTTCTTAACCTTCTTAATCTTCATTCTGAGATGGTATGTAACCTTCCTTTCCGCTCATCATATTTGAATTTCCTTATTATTCTTTTTCATTACTAAAGTCTTATGCATCATCAGCATCACCGTTAATCATATTATTCATAGCTTTATCCAATTAACTTTTTTTTGTTTTGCTTTTTTATTATTTTTAGGTTATTTTTTTAATAGTCTTTTAATTATTTTAATCAATAGATATATAAACCATAAATTTAAACTAAGATTTATAGTTATTATAGTGGATTTAATATTAAAAATATTAAATTCTAACCACACAATGCAGAGAATTTTAAATATATAAAATTTAAGGCCTATATTACCTATTTTAAAATAAAATAGTCAGAGTTAACTTAATTATTATATTAAGTCTTAAATTTTACCGGAGATTCGGACTTTATATCATACAAATTATCATAATTAATAATTAAATACATATTATATAGCTTTAAGCTTAATTAGAATAATAACTATTATTAGAGTTGTTTTTTGTTATATTTTTATTTGATAAAGAATGTTAATTAATTTTTATGATTTTTGTCTTATTTCAATAATATTGTTTATAATAAAATTATTCATATTCTTAAAGAAAATAACTTGGAATTAAATTAAATAAATAAGGGGTTGGGGTTGGGGTTGGGGTTGGGGTTGGGGTTGGGGTTGGGGTTGGGGTTGGGGTTGGGGTTGGGGTTGGGGTTGGGGTTGGGGTTGGGGTTGGGGTTGGGGTTGGGGTTGGGGGTTGGGGTTGGGGTTGGGGTTGGGGTTGGGGTTGGGGTTGGGGTTGGGGTTGGGGTTGGGGTTGGGGTTGGGGTTGGGGTTGGGGTTGGGGTTGGGGTTGGGGTTGGGGTTGGGGTTGGGGTTGGGGTTGGGGTTGGGGTTGGGGTTGGGGTTGGGGTTG